TCTCGTGTAGTCTCGCTCGGTTAGACGATGATCTAGTCCCCATTCACCAAGCCTGGACTGTACTAGACTGACAACAACCGTCGGCATCGGTTTAGTTCACTTTTGGGGGTTTTACTTTTAGGTTTCAAAACTTAATCATCCACTGCTGAGTAGTCTAGTAGTAGATAGATAGCAGGTAGTTAATGAGTCTTCTCTTCTGCTTTGAGAGTTCAGACCTCCTCAATACTCCGTGGTTCTACGGAGTATATTTCTACGGAGTATATCTCCATGACTCCACCCGTTCACCGAGGTGGCTGGCGGCGGATCGATGTTTTGCCTTGATGGTGGAGGAGCTGAGGTTCTTCCTTCTTACCCTCTGTTTGACTTTGATAACAAGAGATATTGCGTGATTTATCTTAACTTTAGGAATTATATTAGTCTGCATGGCGTAGGCTCCGATCATTATCTCGTAGTGATAAACAAAGAATCCTCCGGCCGAGGAAGCGGAAGATTGTACAACTCCGTGGAATACTACTACTACTACCAAGTAATCAGTAGTAGTACTACCTAGGTCCTAGGTCCAGCGCTCAGGAGACCGGCTTGGAAGTTTCAGTCAACACATGTCTCATACCATCGGGGCCGCTAATGGTCCTATCGGAGTAGAACCAGAGAAAAATTGAGATGATCATTCCGGAGTACTTTATGGGTTTTGCGACTTATATTGCAATATCAAGGGGAGTCGTTAGTAGTAGTGCCGACGGTGGAGTTATCCACATGTGTTGACAACTTGACACCAAGAAAATCGTCCTCGCAGGCTCTCCCCGGCTCCTAGCCTCCCTTCCAATGTCGTCGGCCAAATTCGTCACTGATTCGTCCGACTATCTGGTACATACTACTCGGTAGCGCGGATGACAAGAAACTACCATGCCGAATGACTCGCTCAACGCTCGACCAGATCTCAATTTCGCCTATTCTTTACTATTTGGTGTATGGCCGTGATCGTCTCCGTCTGTTTGAAAATCTTTCCCTCGGCATTTTGTTTGGAACGAACTGGATCTGGTGAGCTAAATGGCGCCAAAGAATGGAATGGCTAACGGGTTACGGGCGGCGACCATTTATCCAGTCATCGGCAGATGAGTTGATTTTTATATATATATATTTTAGAGTTTGACTCAAGGCGCAACTTCAAGAGTTCGCTTGTCTCTTGTAGATAGATATTCCGTAGTGGGTAGCTGCGGATATTTGCAACCGAGACCATTGCTCCAGGTAGCCACTCGGTGAAAATTGAGAAGATCATAGGACAGGGATTTTAAGTATCCGTCTGATTGATTCTCATAGGAGAAAGAGAGAGGGGGAAAAAAAAGCAGACAATAATTCACAGACAAATAAATCAAAGATTAGGCGAGGACTTGTACCGGAAATTTCGAGTATCACTCACCATCATGACGGACGGCATGCAGATTGGATCGCCATGACCTTTAAAGTTGAGAGTTGAGACATGGGCATTCTCCGGGATTCATCCCCGTTGACCGTGAGCATCGAAAAATGACCCAAAGGAGTAACTTGGGGCTAAGATTGATGGAAGAATTGAAGGCCTGAGGCAACTGGTAAGACCCCAAGGGCTCCGCTTCAGTCTCACTGTCTTGCAGTCTGGCTCTGTTGCGCACATGCACTGTTGCTCTGTGCTCAGTTTGGAGTCTTGGAGGTTATCCACTTGGGGGCATGGTGGATTCGGTGGACTGCGAGTCTGCGAGGTATTTCACCGAATGGCTGATCTGGAGGAGCTCTGGGTCCAGTCTAAAGATAAGCCCTAGCTAAGGCTGGGAACGCCCAGGATAGGATGATTTGCCCGAAGAGCCTGAGCGTTTCCATGGGTTCCATGATTTTGATCTTTCCATCATCGCCTCCATCATCTCAATTCTGAGGAACGCCGTCGGACCATCCAGTGATTCGAGTCCTAATATCCGGCCGAAACACATTTAAGGAATGGATCCTTGATGTGAATGGCTTGATCTGGATCGGTTGATGGAGTTGAGAGATTCGGATCATGTCATAGATACTCCGTGGCCCAGAAGATGTCAGGAGTCAGAACTCAGTTAGACTTAAGAGCACTTTTTGGGTTCATCGATTAGCTAGTCGAAACTCGAGTCCTGAAAACAATGGAGGTTGAGCAAAAGCCGGCAGTAAGAACAAAGTTATGTTCAAATGCCGTCCCGAGGGACCTGACATAAGAGTTTCCACCTCCATTGGAAGATTGAAGGATTGCTTAGAGGATATAAACGAGGATCGAGAAACCGGAGTTGCTAACTTGGGAGATGAAGAACTGGAACTTGCTCCTTTACACTACTATGTCAGTAGTCAGTATAGAACCGAAATTGCTCCTAAAGTACTGCACATATACAATGGAGTTTGCAGATCAGAGCCAAATTCTGCGTCAGAAATCTATAACAACAATAATCACAAGTTTCCCGAATTCCCGAATATCAGAATCGCTCACACACAAGTACGGAGTAGGGATCTCGTCAAGGCTAAATTATGGATCCCCCTTCAGATGTGTACCAGTTCCAGTAAGTAGACTAAGACAAATGGCAGAACTTTACATGCTCCAAGATCTATCAGATATTGATTGCATGATCAAGATGCAGAATTGTCAATCGGTTATCCTCTTTTTAGTAGTATAAATTTGGGGATTCTACCTTTTTTTTTTTTTTTTTTTTTTTCAATGCGAGGAAATACCAGTGCTCAAAGGTTCGATACTTCAGCCTGATGAAGTACACGTAGTATTTGTCACTGCACAATAGAAGACTCTACCAGGAATCAGGTCAGCAGCCAAGTATAGGTATAGGAATCCTTCTTGACTTGGATCACCCTTTTCAAGCAAAGTAGAAGTCAATCAAGCAAAGAGCCACAGATCGTAATAAGCCGCCATCATAATAATAGGAGCTGTTAACCCTCCTTGACTAACCGAAATCTCACATACCTAGGTACCCTCCTACTGTACAGTAACTATGATACGGATTATGTATTTCAAATCGGTGAGGATAATATGGATTGGATACTAATTTTGTCCTTTTTATTACTACTATACACATGATCACCTTCTACTCGTATTATATTCGTTCTTCCTATCATTGATTGTATAACTCTTTCTCTCATCCATCCTACCTATTCTCTCTTCTTCAACCCCTTCATCCAACTACTCTGGTCCGTCGATCTCATCTCTCCTCCTCTCCCTCCCCCCGTTGACTTCCTTGTTTTCTTATTATACTATATTTTCAAGGCCCCCCCTTGGTCCATACTAAACTGCCCCAAAGACCCCTCCACCTCCCGTTCGTTTGTCTACTCCGCTCCCTCCCCTGCTCGCCTACAGGGGGACCCTGTACAAGTGCAGGCTCTCGAAGCGTTAACAGACAGCCTTCCCGAGCCACTACGTCTGTTACGTCCACAACATCCCACCCTTCCCTGTAGCAAATCATCCTTTGACTCGTTCCCATCGAGATCTACCGCGGAGACACTATTTCTTTCCGACCTAGGGGCTCCTTACCTTTTTTAAGTGGTAGTAATCTTCCGCCCCAACCCAAGGCAGTCTAGCGACTGAGCGTGCCTGTGAGCGGCTCTCGGGCGTCAACGGCTTTGGCTCTCTTGGGAAGATCTGTCAAGACGACCGGGAAAATTGAGGGTCAACCCAGAAAAAAAGACGGAAAAGAAGATAATCAAAAGGAAACAAAAAAAAAGAAAAAAAGAAAAACACACACACACACACACACACACACACACACACACAGAGTACCAACACTCTGGTCCTCTCGGCCGTGGTGTGCTCTCTGTCATCTCTCTCGTTTAGTGTCCTACTTGGGTACGGAGTCTACCCTATCATCGACAAACGACCCTTCCCTTCCTTTGACAAGGCCTAGTCTGACTTGCTTGTTGTGTGGTGTCCTTTTTCCCTCTCTCTCTTTTTCATTTATTTATTTATTATATTTTCCCATTCGTTTTTCTCTGGCCTTTTGGTGAGACCCCTGCCTTCGGCTGCAGCTGGGCAACGCTTCCTTCAAACTACCACTTTGCCTAGAAGAACCGTCCCCTGGGTTGACTATTGCTTCGGTGGTGACCTGCGTACGATCCGGACCAAAGTAATCTGGCCCACAGTCCAACAGATATCCTCAGGCTTCAACGGAACCACTGTTCAGAGCTCCGGACGATCAACGGAGATTCTGCAGCAACCCTGGCATGGAGGAGACGTTTCGTCAGAAGGAAGTTTCAGAGCCGTTTGTGCCTTGATAATGGTCGTTTAGTTGCATCTGTTCCCTCGTGCTTCTTCCAGTCCCACCTGCCAGCGTGTGTATGTGGAAATTTTAATCGGAGCCCTCGTGGCGCAGACTCGGCTCTATAGACGCAGTGTCATCGTTTCCCCTGTCTTGGAGAGTTAATTAGTCCTACGCTGCAAAGTGCCTCGTTCACAAGAGGTTTGATCTCAACCAATCCCTGACAGACTACTGTGTCGCATAGCATAAAGAGTCCTGACGCTCGAGAATCGGGGTTGTGTGAGAAGGATATTGTATCCTTTTCACTTCAAACCTCGTGCTTACCAACTTCGCCTCCCTTCTCACTTCTCCTTTACTTCTTCAGCTTTGAAGTAAGAACAGAAGTGGAAAAGAGGTGGCTGGGAGCAAGTTGGACTCGCCTGTTGTGTCCTAAACTCGGCGCTATCATCGATCTCTCGCTGCCCCATTCTACTCCTCAGACGTCATTGCCATTCTTCTTGATCCTCATGAGATTTTCCTTCCTCATCACTCGCTATACTGACTCCGGGATTGTGGATCGCATCGGAGCTCGATTCCCAAAGTCCTTTGCCCTTTAAGACGGTCTGGACTGAAGCCAAAATCCGCCATTCCTTTCTCTGTGCCTCTACCCCGCCCACAGAAACAAGGGGATTCGAAACACTTGGGCATTCCATGTTATTCGACAACCTATATACCGCCTCACTACTTTGAAGATCAACTTTCGTTTGTTAGACCGTCATGTCGACCTACTATGTGGGACCATTCGGGCGTATGTTACCTAGTACCGATTGTCCATCTCCGGAACCAGAACCAGTTCGTCCAGCTAACGTGCCAGTATCTGGAAACCATCCATACCAGCTTCCCCCGCCTCGGACATTGGAATCTTTGCAGTTTGGAACGGATCCATTTCTGCATCAGCGAAGCGACGAAGAAAAAGGAGACTCTGGAGTGCGCTCTAATGCACCTGGACGCCAGTCCGGTGTGAACGAACAGCTGCCTTCTGTGAGCGAGCTGCTGACTCCATCTGCTCGTTCAAGCCAATCATCATCACCACATCGCCAGCATCTCTTTGGCTGGTACACACCTGACGGGGAGGGCAGTAACGCTGGAAGAATTTCCCATCACGCTACCCACCATGATATCAATGCTGGTCCTCGAACACCCCAGAGTGGAATTAACGGCAGGCCTGAAAGCCATGTTGAATCATTTTCGAGACCAACAACCGCAAATCTGCCTCCACTATCTCAACTGTCCATGTTCTCGGCTGCCAACGAGCTTCGCGTGCACACGGCATCCCGTGCCGATGTCCCTTTGCAACTATCGCCCCATAGTGTCTTTCCAACTCAAGGCTACATGAATCATGAAAAGGAAAGCAGGGAGGATGACTCCTCACCGATCGCCAACGAATTTGGAAGTGCAGCTGGAAGCCGACCCCAGTCGGCGAAGGTCCGTCCACATGTGGTTGATGAACGATATATAGAGGGCGAAGGCTGGTGCTATATCTATGCTGATGGGTCCCACTGCCCCAAGACAATTGACGGCGTGCCTGTGAACGCAAACTGGGGTGTCACCAAGGCTGGGAAACCGCGAAAACGGCTCGCTCAGGCTTGTCTAACCTGCAGAGAAAAGAAGATCAAGTGCCAGCCGAATCTACCCAAGTGTGACCAGTGCCAGAAGTCGGGAAGGGATTGTAGATTTGAGAGTGCGTAAGTACTTTTGTGCCAGGCACCAGAAGCCTTCGGTGGCGTGTGGGAATTCTAGTGCTGATTTTAAGGCCTGCCTAGACCTCGTGGTAACCGCGCAGGAGCGAAAGCGTCTCCGCATTCGACGAGACACGATTCGAGAGACAGCTCCTCCTCTGCGACCCATAATCCTTCAAACTCTTCCGGTTCGATCTACTCCATTGTCCGAGCTTCCGAAAGCGCCACGTCCCTCCCTGGCACCAACTCCCAGTCTCCCGTATCCGATGCATCTATGCTCACATCCCCTGCGATAAACACCCCCCAGGAGAGCGGCGTCGATTCAGATCATCTGAGCAGGATGAGATTGCATAGTCTTGGTAGAATCTCTATGGGCGCCGAGGAGCTGTCGGGACGATCAGTAGAGGGCATTTCAGCCCGCGTGGCTCCTGACTACACAGATATTCTTATGGAGATGAAGGACCTAGATCCGCAGGACCCTCTTGCCCATGAATGGAACACGGACCCCTTTGAGACTGACGCTGAGCTCACCACTCACTATATTGAGAGCTACTTCACGCACGTGAACGATAGCTTGTACTACATTCTCCCCCGAAGACGTTTTCTACTCTGGTTAAGATCGTGCCACACGAAGTCTCTAGAAGATAACATGCTCCTTTATTCGATGATGTCTCTGGGTGCTGTCTTTTCCGACCGACCTGACAGACTCACGGCCATGAGGAGGGTTTCACGCACGGCCCGTTACGCTGTGGAACATAGTCGCCATAATCCTTCGTTGCAGCTCGCCCAAGCACTAATAATTATGAGTCTTTGGTATTATGCCATTGGCGCTTTAGAGAAATCCTGGGATGCTGTGGGTGCCGCAGTGCGAACGGTCTGCGGGTTGCGGTATAATGTTGAATCGGGAGGGGTTATCGTGGACCAGAGTCGGGTCTGCGAATACGGACTACATCCCCAAGCCTTGATTGAATGTCGTCGTCGGACGTTTTGGGTTGCATTCCTAATGGATGTAAGTATCTGATGCCCTGTATTCTCTGGCGAAAAATTGACTGACCACCTTGCCTAGCGTCTTTCATGTCTCTATTCACCAACTTCTGCATTCATTCCCCCGCAGACGGCTTATATCAGGTTGCCTTGCCGAGAAGAAATCTTCGAGGCGCAGCAATATACAACCGTGCCCTATTTTCAGGACTTCCTTAACCAACCTTTCGTGACAACGGAAGATGATGCTTCCAGACCGAGCGCCATGGCACTTTTGGTGGAGATAACTTCTCTTTGGGGAGAAGTGTCTGACCACGTTTTCCGGCTATCTTTGCTACCCGTCGAGTCGTCCAGCACTGCTTTTGAAAAGTTGTATACCACAATTGTCGGTCGTGCAGATGCATGGGCCGCCAGGCTCCCAGAACATCTCAGGTTCACTGCTCGAAATTTGGAGAGGAGTCTTCAGGCGAGGAAGCTAGACGCTTTCATTGCGATACATCTTTTGTATCATGCAACGTTGATGAAGTTGCATAGACATGCCCGCTGCCAGGACCCTCGGGTGGAGAATGTGAACCGGCATGTTCGCGCAACAAGGAATCAGGCAGCCGAAATACTGCGAATTGCCCTGGCGCTGGCTCATTACACTTCCGAATTCGATCCAGCGCGAATCGTCATGGAATCGCCTTCTTCCGCTACGGCCATATTCAACCCTTTTCTGGGTTACGTGGTCCTCTCTGCGGTGGACGTCCTCACCGCCGCAGGATTGATCACTGACATGCCTGAGTGCATCAATCTGACCCGGGGCGGCCTTGAGGCCGTCAAAGAGCTGGGCCGGTTCTGGGAGAGCTCATCGTCGCTGATCTTGCTGATTGAGAGACGACTGGAAGCATTATCGGAGCTTCTTCATAGTCCAATGGACTTGGAACGCAAGGTTGCGTTTATTACGAAGAGTCAATCCTTGGACAGCTGCATCCAGAAGCAGCAGAATCCGATTGCTGAGGATCTCTTCTACGGCGCGTTGCCCCGTGAAAGGCTGTTGAGCGCACTGGGACTCGAAGACGCTTCGTTATCAGAAGCTAACGTACTTTGGATCACAGACAAGGACTAAAATGTCTTCATGCGGTCATTTACATGTTTTGCATGTGCCTTGACAATTTACAATCAAGAGCACAATACCTTGCTTCAACCCTTTCCATCTATACCCTGGGTTCATACCTCTGTTGATTTGTCGGTGGGATTCTCTTTTGCGGCATATGCGTCGCCAGTTTGCGGTGCGATATGCTTCCATTTATTAGCGAGGAGGATGATCAGTGGGTGGCTTTGTTCTGTTCATTCGCAAAGTGTATAGTAGTGATGAATTTCATTATCAGTCAGTTGTTTGACTCTAAGTCCCCTACTTGACATAAGATTATGTACGACAGCAGCAATGATCTGCTGTTCAAACCGATTCATGACACAAAACAGCAGACCATAGTCTCCTGTAGCGGATACTACAGCCAAGCCTGATGTATCGACACGCGACGGAGATCTATTTCTATAGTCAAGAGTGAAGCTGAAGGTATTGGCGGGCCGTTCGGATATCTTCAGCCTTGTAGGCCGTACTGAAAATGCAACAGTCAACAAGAGTAGGATGAGAGGTACAGCACTAGACCTCAGATCTCATATCAATCGGCCAAATTCCCAAAATTCTTTCCTCGAGAAAATAGATATATAGTGCTCAAGAGTCAAGACTGATCTCCAAGAGGAGGATACCTGAGCCGGCGCACGGAGCAATGGCCCCCCCGACCACTGCGATTTTTCTTCCCGACGTCATCGGAGCGGGAAAAGGACACCGTGCGAAACCACGAACCTCGACCACAACAAATCTAAAGCTCACTCTACGAAGCGAAATGTCCAAAGGAATCCCGATGTCTTACTGAAAACTAATCTAGGCCGCATACCTACGCGATCACCTGAGTCCCAGTCCCCCAGGTCTCCCGGACCACACTGCCCTTGCAATGCCGCTGGACGGGTATGGATGGGAACCACCCACCCACCCCTCCCTCTCGGACCTCGACGAAGCAGAATACAGCCTGCTGATGGACTACCCCGAGGAAGCCGATTACTACGCGCTGCTGGGGCTTGCGCGCGAGCCGGCGCCCACGGACGCGGAGATCCGCTCCGCGTACCGCAATCTGACGCTGAGCTTCCACCCGGACAAGCAGCCTGCGGAGCTGCGGGAGGCGGCGCAGGGCCATTTTGGGCGGATCCAGGAGGCGTATGAGACGCTGATTGATCCGCGGAAGAGGGCTGTGTATGATTTGCTGGGGGCAGAGGGGGTGCGGCGGGAGTGGGCGCGAGGTGGTGCGATAGGGATTGGTGGGGAGGCGGAGAGGCAGGTGGGCGTGAAGGCGCAGACGCCGGAGGAGTTTAGGGCGTGGTTCCTGGAGACGATGAAGAGGAGGGAGAGGAGGTTGGTGAATAGTATGGTTCAGAGTCGGGTGGGTCTCCAGTTTGTGACCTGTGGTCTTATGTCCCCGGTTGTGGTTGTTGTTTGGTTGCTGACTTGGGGGTGGATGATGTAGGGCTCATTAAGTCTTGGGATTGATGCTTCCGATATGATCTCGGTCGATGAGTATTCCGGGGATGTGTTCTTCCACGTACCCTCGCCCCAGATGTCCTCCTACGCTATTGGATACTCCTTCAGGGCACCGTTCCCCACGCCGGAAGTGCTGTTTGGTAAGGAGGAGGTTGGAGACGAAGATGAGGAGACAGAAGGCGAATCTGCTGGGCAGAAAACCTCTTCATTCTCAGACGAACCAGAGACCGAGATCTCGTTCAATGCGGGATTCTCCGGCACTCTCAAACAGAACTATCGTGAAGTCAAGCTCCAAATGCAGGATGACTCAATTGTGACCCGAGCGGTAGGTTTTATTTGTGTCTTGCGCCCTGTGTATGCCCCGGGATATCTCGCTGACGGAAGAATAGATCCCCTTGCCCTTGCTTTGTGCAGGACGAGAAATCAGCCTAGGTGCCAGCGTCAACCGGAGCTTTGGGGATGTCGCGAGTATGAAGGGCCTTCTGGGAAGACGCCCTTTTAGATTTTTGAGCAACTCGGCCGTCGCGGTGAATGCGTCGCTCTTGCCAACTCCGTTATTGCAAGCAACCCTCGGTAAAGCATTCAGCCCTATTCGTGGAACGAGACCGTTCCAAGTCAATACGAGCGCTATCATCACCAATTCCTTGCTGAAGACGCCGCCTATACTTGCAGTGCAAGTAACGAAGGGTGTCGGGGAGAGAAAGCATGCCTTCTGTTCGTGGTCTAGCGGCACCATTTTCTGGCCCCAGGTCTTCGAGGTCTTGTTCAGCCCAATCGCTCGACTGGGTGCCGATACCGACTGGCTCGTAGGCATGTCCGCTTTCACTCAAATGAGTCAATTCCAGGTGGGGCTCATCTCCACGCCAAAGCGACCACAGAAGGCCCTTGCCATGGACGATGAGGAGGATGGGGAAGAGGACGAAGAGGACGACGAAGAACTCGAGTACAGGCGCCTCCGGAAAAAGGACCATGACGAGGCAGATGTGGCCGAGTCCTGGCAGACGGTGATCACTGCCACGCCAGCTATAGCAGGCTTATCCCTGACTTATGCTCGGAACATCTTCAACGGTAAGGCGGCCAACGACCCTGTCCGTTCTGAATGGAGCTCCGAAGGCCATTATTCTCTGCCTCCGGCTATTGAACCTCGGTCTGTACGCCTGGAAATCCAAAGCACAGTGAATATCGATCTTTCCCTGGCGTGGAACATCACAGGTATGCGACAGGTGGGCAGGTTCACCCGCCTGGGTTTCGGCGTGGGCATCGAAGGAAACCGGGGCCTTGTCATGACGGCCTCGTGGAGTAGGCTTGGCCAAAGCATCAAACTCCCCGTCGCGGTCTGTCCATTCGAGAGCGCGAATGCAGATGCCGCCGCGCTTGCAGTCGTCTTCCCCTGGGTGGCCTACTGCGCCTTTGAGTTCTTGTACAACCGTCCTAGAGAGAGGCGGGCGCGTCGTCGCGCCATCGCTCGACGGCAGAAGCAATTAATGAAGTTGGTTCCGAAGAAGAGAGCGGAAAGCCAGCAAGCAATTAAACTTATGGCCGATCAGACCCAGCGTCGACAAGCGAGAGAAGAGTCGCAAGCTGGCTTGGTTATCACCAAGGCCGAGTATGGTCATTATCCTTCGTCCAAGAAAGCTAATGACAGCCCGGAAGACTCGGAGGTCGCTGATGTTACGATCCCGGTAGCTGCGTTGGTGGACCGCGGTCAATTGGTCATAACAAAGGGCACTGTCAAGGTCAGTATTATACATTGCCGGATGCCAGATCATTTACTAAAAATTCATCTAGTTTCATATCCTCGGCTTCCATGACCCTGCACCACTTCTCCCGAAGAAGCTGAAGATCTGGTATACCTATCATGGAAAGGAGCATTATGTTGAAGCCAACGACTCCGAAGGCGTTGCATGCCCAATGCGCACGCATCTACTATTTAACGAGAGCTGATCCTTATCATGACGAAGTGGTATACCTGATCCTGTACCTCTTTACTCATCACTGTTCTATACTCCTACGCCTCTTCATCCCGTCACCTCCACTTTAGCTGTATACCAGCTTGCGTCATTTTCCCGCACAAGGCTCGGGGATTCTTCTCGCCTATTCCTTTGTCTCCATACTCTTGATGGATAATAAACAACTCATCTCTCCTCTTGCATCTGAACGGGGCGAGGAGACTCGTACTTTGTTCTAGTGTTATGAGTGCATTCTATTGTAAAATAGCATACTTTTACGTTCTGGCCATAGAATCAGCATGCAGTGATACCCTGATCATTTGAGCAGAGGGTAGAAAAAAGAACAGGAGTCACGCAAGTCATCATTCCTTGACTTGCTTGGTTGTCGTAGATAGCACTCAAAATAGAAGAAGCCGACACCTTGCATCCTATAAAGACATCGAATACCACAATATCATGATGCTTCCACAAAATATTACTAAGAATATCTTTCGAAAAAGAGAATTCTTTTAGTTCATCTTCCACTCAGTTGTAGGTATTCATGCTTCGTTGAAGTATTTGGCTGCGATTTGATGATAGCTACTGCGGTTAGCGAGACGGACCATCTGCGCACTGCTGCCGTCCGCCGCCAAACGAAAAGCATCATCTTGCATCAGAAAGTTCAACCATCATACATCCCTATCCCCTCTTCATCTTGTCCCAATTTTCAACCATGGCATCCATTGCAGAGGGGCTTTTTAAATCACTACCCAAGCCGAAATACACCGGCGAGGAAGAGGAGGTGCCTCAACACGCCCAGCCTCGTGGTCCGCGAATCGTGGGCGCGGACCAGATCGATCAGAGCCAAATTGTGTTAAGGGTGAGGTCAATCCACCCCCTCTCGCAGTCTACAGCTCATTGTTAAGTACAAATGCTAATCTAATGACGTTATCCAAACCATAGAAAACAGGCCCTCCCCCTTATGGAAACCGTACAGGATGGCGTCCCCGGGCAGCTGAGGATTTTGGTGACGGTGGCGCGTTCCCCGAAATTCTCGTCGCACAGTATCCCCTCGACATGGGCCGGAAGGGCACGTCGTCGACATCGAACGCGCTCGCCGTGCAGGTCGACGCCGAGGGCAAGGTGAAATACGACGCGATCGCGCGGCGTGGCCACAGCGACAACCGCATCGTCCATGCTTCCTTCAAGGACTTGATCCCGCTTCGACAGCGGGTGGATATGGGCGAGATCTCGCTAGACCGGCCATCGGAAGAAGAGGTTGAGGCGCAGATGGAAAAGACCAAGAATGCGCTGGCGAGTCTGGTTGAGGGTGCGGTGGCGGCGCAGAAACCGAAGAACGTCAGGGGGGGTAGGAGGGCCGAGCCTACGTTTGTTCGATACACGCCGGCGAACCAGATGGGTGACACAAGCCGAAAGAACGATCGCATTATGAAGATCGTGGAGAGGCAGCAGGATCCCATGGAGCCGCCCAAGTTCAAGCACAAGAAGATCCCTCGCGGACCGCCCTCGCCACCTCCGCCCATCATGCACTCTCCGCCTCGAAAGCTTACAGCCGAAGACCAAGAGGCGTGGAAGATCCCCCCACCTGTGTCGAACTGGAAGAATCCTAAGGGTTACACAGTCCCGCTGGATAAGCGTCTTGCTGCAGATGGTCGTGGCCTACAGGATGTCTCAATCAATGATAAGTTTGCTCAGTTCGCCGAGGCCCTCTTCACGGCCGACAGACACGCTCGTGAGGAGGTGCGACTACGTGCACAGATGCAGCAGAAGCTGGCAGAAAAGGAAAAAGCCCAAAAGGAGGAGCACCTTCGCGCCCTGGCGCAGAAGGCTCGCGAGGAACGAGCCACAAGCAGCCGGCGCGATTCTCGTGCGCGCTCCCGCAGTCTCAGCCGCAGTCCTTCCGCCTACTCCTCGCGATCAGCCACGCCCAGCGGTGATGAAGATGCGGCACGGGAACGCGAGCGGCTGCGCCGCGAACGTCGCCAGGATGCTGAGCGACAGCTGCGCCAGTCTCGTATGGGCACCGAGCGTCGAATCCAGATGATGGCCCGTGAACAGAACCGTGACATCTCAGAAAAGGTGGCTCTTGGACTGGCCAAGCCCACGCAAGCATCTGAGTCCATGTGGGACTCCCGGCTCTTCAACCAGACAAGCGGCATGCATTCTGGGTTCAATGAAGACAATCCCTACGACAAGCCACTGTTCGCCGCGCAGGACGCGATCAACAGCATCTATCGGCCACGTGCTCAGGTGGACGTCGATGACGAGGAAGGCGCCGACGGTGAGATGAGCAAAATCCAGAAGACCAGTCGCTTCGAAGTACTGGGCAAGGCCAAAGAAGGTTTCCGGGGCGCAGCTGAGGCTGAGGTGAGATTGCTCCAATTTCCACCTGTTCTTACAAACATTGTTATTATTTGCAAAAGTTACAACATCAATCGAGGCTTTCAGCTGACTTTCTATTTTACTTCAACTCTAGGCTCGTGAAGGCCCCGTGCAGTTTGAGAAGGACACCACCGACCCCTTTGGCATCGACAGCATGATCGCTGATGTGACCGGGGGAGCTGGCCAGAAGCGCTACGGAATTCAAGAAGCAGAGCGTGATGACCGTGGATCGAAGCGCGCCAGGGTCGACGACGATTAAAATATGGTATTTCCCATTTGCCTCTTTTTTCTTTGATTTTTTATCTTGCGTATGGTACTGCGCCTCTGACCCGTGGAGGCCTTTATGCATTGCGGGCGTTGTAGTCTTCTTGTGTAACTATGGAATGGGACTCATGTTTTTCTTTTCTTCTCTGAACTTTTCAAATCTCATGTTGGGGTCTACGTATGTATCTCTACGTTGTGGTCATGGTGAGAGGGGGAACAGTTGATAATGTCTGCAGGATGAAGTAAGTACCTACGAAGGACAGCACGGAGTAACTACTCTACCAACTCATCTCCGCTCGCCTACAGCATGCCCCGTAGTCTAAATCTTAATTCCAACAAAGGAATAGAACATGGAGGCCTCGTGATGCATGCCCCATTTAGTCGGTAGTCGGTACTCACTCGGTAGAAAGTCGATGGTTTCGATACAATCAACGGGAAGACACTATGTCCTTCTCGCAGACAAAGCAATGAGGGGGAAGAAACTAACATAAGAAAGATAGAAAAAAGCAACGCGAGAAATTTCCCGAAGAGTTGCGCTTATCTCTGGTTTACCCCGTAGTGTCCCCCGTGAGTCCCGTTTCCCTATCTGCAGAATTGCATGAATTCCGAAAATGCTGAAAGATGAAACAAACGTACCATGTCTGTGTGGCGCCACGCTTGGTGAAAAACAAAAAAACAAAAAAAAAAAAACAGATTTGGGCAAGTAAAGCAGAGAGAGATTGGTGATCAGATCGGATATTGATGTGTAGATCCGGTAGTCAACGCGTCCATAGAGGCATTTTTCTGCCTATCTCTTGTCATGGATGAATCTCTCAGAGATGCTGCAATAACCGCATAGATCGACTCTTGCAGAGCAACTCAGCAACACCCACCTGGCACCATTGGCATCAACAGGGATGGACCGGATGATCGCCCATCAGAGTGGGTTGATTGGATAACTGGAATCCAAGCCGAAGTATGTTATGTGAGTGATATCGACATACCAGTTCGCAGGGTTCAGGACAAATGATCATCAGACTCGACAAGCCCGTGCGAGCCTGTATTTAGCTCAACCGGTGGAAGAGATACATTATTCTCATAAGCTGAGCAAGCCTGAGTTTCTGACTATAGCGCTCCAAGCGCATAAGTGAGGGGGTGAGAAATAACACACCAGCTGCGGAAACCAAAGAGACCTCGAGATTGTGCCCTTTGTGTCACAGGGGATGGCCCCTTGAAGTTGTACACAATGAATATTTGCAGTCGCATTTGCTCACTTATTCTGAACCACATCAAAGTGGTGCCATCACTATGGCATCATCTCCTAGAGGCCCATGCTGCTAGCGAAGCTCATTAATCCTCTTTTCGAGTAAAAAATTGGATTAGTGACAAGACACCTCCACCTCATTCAATAACCATATCACAGCGACTTTTTAGCCCTGGACTCCCTGAAAGTCGCACGCCCCCAGCGTTATCAGACAATCTTAGCATCTCCATCAAGTGGATGCGAGTGCCATATCAAAGGGTAATATCGTCAATGACTCTCATCTTCTCTCATCGCGAGCATTTTCGGGACTTTGGTTTAGTTTGTCCTTCTCTGTGTGATTTCTTCTAACCGTTTCTCTTTGGGCCTTGCTCGCCACATTATGCACGATTGGCGAATGTGTGTTGTGTGTGTAACGACGAATTAATCATACGCAAGCGAACGTGGTGCCTGACTAGCCACCACATAAGCCCTGCAACCGACAGGTGCGGAGATTCAATGACCACCTGCCATTTGACCTCGAGGCATCTTAACCAACTTTGTATAGCTGTCACAGTCGAACCGTGCGCCGGGGGTAAAGGGGTCAGACTGAGACCTCATAGTCATAGTCTCATAGACTCATAAACCCATGATCTTAACTTTATGAGGCTATGAGCATTAGACCTCGTATGTACCTTGGGATTGACCCCCCACCGTAGATGGTAGCGGCGCCTAGCGCGGGGTGGCGAACGAGCGTATTTGCTGGCCATGACTGATAAGCAGCTGGTGGAGACTGAAAGCTGGAGATAAAGCCTAATGAACCCATTCCAACCAGTCAGTGGAAGGGATCACGCTGCAAAAGGCATTTGGTAAAATGGTTTATAAAAGGATCATTAGGATAACAATGGAGGAACAGTGAAAGGGTTCAGCATACGGCAGAGTGGATCAGAAATATAGGTAGCAAAAGTCCCTGTGCTCGAGTGGCTTTCTTTTCGGGTTTTCATCCTTTTGTCCTCTCCATTTTCCTAAGTCGAGCCGAGTGTGTGTGAGGTGCTTCTTCAACCATACTATATTCATCCCTATTGCGCGTTAAACCATTAGCAGGAGACGAAAAGAAAGGAACAGTACAGAGAGAGAGGAAGTTGTGTGGCAGCAAAAGGACGACGAAGAAGAGCAATCCAGTGACTTGCCAGAACAGGAAAGCAGCCTTGAGTCACCTCCGGAGGACTTCGAGATACAACCTCAACTCTTCTCTCTTTTCCTTCATCTTCCACCCAGCTTGTCGTTCTACCGTCGGGAGGTTTTCTTCCATCATCCATAAGCCAACCCGTCTCATTTCAAGAGCATTGTGAGCATCGTGACCTCTCTTGCGTGCTGTCAATACGATCATTTCTCCGAGCAATGGCGTAACTCGAAACGGCCCATCAGGACAATGACGATTCAAGGCTTTGTGCCATCCAGCAAAAACAGGAGGAAAAAGAAAAGAAAACACTTTTGATGTCCACTGCATATTGTTGATGGCATTTAGGTGTTCCCTGGTCCCCATACTTATTCACTCTTCTTTCATCATTCACATCTCTTTCTCATTGTTGCCTACTCACGCCATACTATCGATCAACAATAGGCTCAGCCATCCAGCCTGGTCTCTTGATTATTTTCCTGCTTGGTTCTCACTACCTTCACATACCCTTCTTTCTGGTCTTCCTGGTCTCACATATTCCTAAATTAACTTTCACGGTCTCATCCTAAGACTGATTCACCTCTCTGTCGGGTGTTCTGAACACACAAGTGATCTTCTATTCATTTGGTGAAAGACATCAGGACTTTTGCTGCAGAGGAGAGTATATCGATAGCACTTTCTATAGTCCTAAAGGCTATGATGGAGCAGTCACTATCTCTCATTTCTGCTCAGGTCCAGTTTATGGTAAGCGTCCGTGATTCTTTGTCTCTCATATTGCAGCAATATTCCTCTTTCCTTCTTGTCTGAATGATTTAACCACTTCTTTTCTTTCTTTCCTTTCATTTCTCGAAACCTTGAACCCAATGGGAACCCCTCAGCTCAAGCTTGTCTCACTAACCACTGTCGTTGAGGTACAGGACGACCGACTGGCTCTGGTGCATATTCCTCTGGACCTCTACCCATACTTTCTAAATCCAATCCTGCAAGTTCTTTTCCATGAGGTGCCTCCAATCGAGCCAACTCATGCGGAACTGAAGAATGGCTCCAGGGATGGCACTCGACATGCTCAACCGGCTTTCTTGAACCTCTCTATCACTCCTGTTGAGTGCTCGATTATGTGCCCACGACAGCTTGCCAACAAGTACTTCGCCCCTCTAGTCAATCAGTTCATACAAGACCATTCCTCTAGTAGTAGTCGCCTGTCTATTAGTCAGGATGATTTCATTGCTATGCAGGTCTACGGCGAGGGCTTGGAGGCTGGCCAACGCGTGCTTGAGTTGACAAGCCCTTTGGCATTGGCAGGAATGTATGATATCTCAAAATCTACTCACTATTCTTCAATACCAGGTCCGGATACTTTGCTAACTTTTCTCCACCCAGCTCTATCTTTTTCATCTCTACTTACTATTCCGACTATATCATTGTTCCCCTCCGCAATAAAAAACAAGTCATTGATGCCTTGGAAAAACGAGGCTTCCAGTTCGAAAAATCCACCGATGCCTTCATCAATCATAATCAAAATCAGTTCAATAGCTGTTACAGCCCGGTATCATCTCGCTCTGGTAGTAGTTTAGGTTCCCCGCCGGCTACTCCTCCTCCATCGACCCTTGAAGAGCTACAGGCCCGCACCTTCGCCTCTTTGCGAAAGAATCATATTGTGCCTTCTGTTGATACTTCCCTTCGGTTGGTGCAATGTGCAGCTCATCATCCGTACAGCAGTGATGCTAGTTCAATCTCTATCCTTCGTACAGCATTGACCACCACACTGGTTGTGGACAAACCACGCTTCCTTTCGCTCACGTTGACAGCCGCTGATCCAGCGGCCTCTCTCCTACTTGAACAGAGACTTCTACCTCGATTCTCGGCTGATCCTGCATCGCTCACGGATGCTGACAACGAGACGAGCCTTCTTCTAGGTTCTAAGGAAGACATTCTCGTCCCAATCATGCTAGATCTGCGGAAACTTCCACTCGAGGCGACTGGTATTGTTTGCGGGGTAGCCAGTCGGCTGGCTGACGCAACCCATGCTGTCTGGGGTGAGAGTAGCGAGGCATTCACGCCTACCTTGTCGCGCTCTTTCAATGGTACATCATCCTTTAGCAATACGATTGATCGGTTCTTCTCGTCCAGCGTGGGTTCTGGAGGACCTGTTAGACCGCCAAATCACGCTCCAGGGCGCGATTCTCCCATCGATGGCAACAGCGAAGCATTTACAGCAACTGTACATCACTTACAACCAGACTTAGATGCATCTATCAATGCTGTTGAGATAAGCTTCCTCAGCACAGCACGTGCAGGAACCATCATTGTCGGTGAACATGAATTACACCGTGCTGTTGATGCATTGGAGGCCGAGAACCACGAACCGGAGATGGTGACCGGCGAGCTTGATGATTAGATTGTTCTACACCAGACACTATGTACTTGTTGGCCATTCTCATGCTCCATGGCCCTTTGGAGAAGATCATTGATCGAAAAACTTCCAATATTTACGACACTTGCATGACTAAAAGCGTCTAGTCGATTCTAGCCCCTTGCTTTATTTATTGTCTGTTCGATTCACTATTGGCGTCTGTGACATATTGGTTTCAAAAGTTCTCATTTGGCAACTACGAAAAAAGGCCAAAATCGTGTTACTCGGTTGGGTGGTGTCACATTTGCATCTTCGTCGAATCTTGCTCTTATTACAGAATGGAATGAGGCCACGCATGGCTCTGTACATTATTCTGCCTCGGTCAAGCTGAGTCTAATTATGAATTGTTTTCGAGTGGATATTGATGGCTTGTTCCAATCCTTGCTTCTTGCTCTTCTTTTTATCGCGTTAGTCCCAAACCTCACTATGTACAGTGGAAATGAAGATGTCAAGTTGTCAAGCACTAGTCCAATTTCAAAGGTCCATTTACATCTGACACGTACTTACACTAGTCGAATGGCTCTTATGTAGATAGCCACAGCTGACAGTATCCACATCGAGTCTTCAGCTGCCTTCTTCCCACCTTGACATCCGTATTGGTAAACGGACGCAGAGTCGACTAATGTCAGTAATGACACGTCATCTCACTACCCGATTTGCTCGAATATGACGCACAACGCGTTGACGACGGTCAATAGACAGAAGCTCAATTCTTGATCAATAGCGAGATTTCGACGAGGACAAAACCCCTGCCCGAGAAGACTATTGCCCCATAATCCAGAGTGCATGCAGAATCGCAAAGATAAAACATGCAACATGCAACGGGGACGCAGTCGCGCCGCCAATTGTCCAATCACGAGCAGCCAGGTCAACCGTGACAGTGCAGCTGCATTTGCAATGAAGGGTGGTCGTAACGGCGTCGGCATTGGCTTTCTTTTTTTCGCCAGGGTTGATTGGTCATGCAGGAGTTTCGACTGTCGAGGCAGCGCATGGTGTTTCCCGGGCAGACGTGGGCTCGGAAAGAGCTTGCTTTTTGGTCATTGGAGCCAGGGCCCTGGTACCTGTGTGGAGTTTGCGGGATATCGAAACGCGGCTGGTGTTGTTTGGACACGAAGCTGCTGTCAGCGATGTAGACCATCCAGGTTGGCTGTCTTGAGATCGGAGGGTAGGATGTTGGCTACCTCGTTCAGCTATAGATTTTGACGGTACCTGTGAAATTCCATGGTTAGCAAGGACGTAATTCGAACCGACGAAAGGAAAGAAGAAAAAGAAAACGGAGTAAACGGGATTCCATACCATCGGAGCATCCCCCAGCCCAGCAACCACCCTTTTCATTCCATGCCACACAGCTGACCACCTTCACCCCGTCGCCCGCGGGGACACTCGCAATGACCTCCCCGCTAAGCACGTCCCAAGCAAAGACATACGCTTGGGCCGATCGATCCCCCTTCTCCGCCTCGCTACCGCTCAGGACAACAGCATCCGCCTTCGCGAAGACCGACCGGATCCGCAGTTCGCTATTGCGGTAGATCGCGTTCCCAGGGCTCGATTTATAACCTTCCTCGCCCCCAAAGGCCTGGAGCAGCTTCCCATCCGCCCTGTCCAGCATGCGAATCCGACCGTCAAGCGTAGAGATGAGTAGCACGTTGCCGTCCGCGGAGCACCGCACGCTCGTGACAGGATGAGCCAGGACATCGACGGTCGTCCGGCCCATACGGACATCGTAGACGCGGACGCGGCCATCGTAGCTCCCGCTCGCGATGGAGTACGTGGGCATGTGCACGTGCAGCGAGGACACGGTATCCCGGGCTTCGGCGAGGGTCTGGATGGGCTTATGGGCTTTGGATCGGGTGTCCCACAGGTTGATAGTGGTGTCTGCGCTCCCTGAGAATAGTAAGCTTCGATGCTTGCTTGATCGAGGAAGTTGCCAACAAAGTGAATGAATGTCTCACCAGATACCACCACGGAATCGCCCTCTCCCGCAAACTGGACCGCCTCGACCCTGGCATTGTGGCCCGTCCATCTCCGTGTGGTTATCCCCTGCTCGACATCCCACAGAAATACCTGGCGATCACCGCCCACACTCGCAAACCGGGCGTTGTCGGCCGCGACGGCCACGTCTAGGACTGAGTATCCGTGCGCCTCATATTTCTGGATCGGAGAAGTCGTCTCCACGCCGGAGGAAGTATTACTGGGAACGGCGCGGGAGAGATGGATTGCGCGATCAGACGAGCCGGTCAGAACATATGTTCCCGGATAGCTGGAGAAAGTAACGGCATTTACCGGTCCTGCATTACGTGAGGCTTAGCTTAATGTTTGGTCTGTTGATCTGGCTGCGGAGTCGAGGCTTACCATTGTGTGTCTTGAGGGTGTGGATTAGCTTGCGAGGGAAAGGTTTGGTCGTCGACATGGATCTTCACAACAATTGTTGTCTTGTAGAAGTTTTTAATGGGTTTCTCGGTAAGAACTGAACATGTGAAGGTGATTATGCTGCAAATCTTCTCAAACTTGGCTAGAAGAAGTGCGGAGATGATGCTATTCTTGTTTCACCGCCATAGAAGAAGAGGTCCACCCACAGTATCAAAAAGTCTAAACCCCAACTGGCTCTTGATCTATAGAGTACGGCGCAATCAGATAAAAACCTTCAAACAGGGCATGTATTTTGTACTGGCGCGCTACGCAATACAAATGGATTATTATCAAGGATGTAGGGAGATCGTCGCTAGCTACCAGCGGGCAAAAAAAGAAATGTGAAGAACCATGCCTGAGAGACAGCGCGCCAATGCCCTGGATCGGATATGTTTCTCCCCCGAATGCGAAGAATAAGCCGAAAAGAAACTCGAGGGGTAATCAAGAATAGACAGTATTAATCAAAGTGAAGCAATTTTCCTTTCTCCACCGCTTGCTCAGATTCCGCAGCCGCCGTGGCCCAGGTGTCCAGGAACATTCTAACGGCGTCCGTGACTCCGAGTGGTTGAACCTTGCAAGGCCTCGATTTCTACTTCCAGCGATTTGATCCTGTTTCTATTGTCAGCACTCTCTCCCTAATAATAGGTAGATCATATGGCACATACGCAGCATGGGTGGCTTCCAAATCCTTGTTCAGGCGATCTCTCTCGGCAATGAGCTTCTGCTCCCACTGGCGGAAACGCTGCTCCTCGACCTTGACCTGTTCGGTGAAACGCTTCCGCAGAGCTTCCTCCTCTTCCTTGAACTTTGGATTGTCCAACTTTCTCGGCCGGGCCTCGCCAAACTTCCTTGTCTCCATCTGCTGCGCGCGGTATGCTTCGTAGTGCTGCTCTTCCGTAGTGTGGATAAGATCCAGCATGTGGGTGCGGATCAGGATCGAACGCAACTTCTTGAAGTCACAGTGGTCCTCGTTCTCAACTTCGGCAACACCCCAAGCATATTGACGACCCTTCACCACCCGGTTGTCGTTAGTCTTGACATCCTTCTCGGATCCAATCACGGCGAAGGGCATGGCAGCCATCAGGCTGCGTGCGTGCGTGGCGGCATGTTCGTCATCCTCTTCAATGGGAGGGGTATAGATCTTGATGCCTTGGGCCTCAATGACAGCTTGGACCTAGAGTGGTTCAGAGCGTCAGTAATTTCCAGCAACACGGGTCAACCATGCAAGTCTCACTCTCTGCTTGTATCGGGCCAGGTCGGTAGGGCTAAGAGTGTCGGCTTTTGCAATGACGGGGATGAGGTTGACACGAGAGCTCAAGCGCTTCATGACCTCGATATCGAGGGGCTTCAGTGTATGGCCAGTGGGTCTGATGAAGTACAAGCAGGCGTGAACACGCATGTCGATCTTGTCTGTACGACGGGGTTGCTGCTCTTGCAGCATGTACGATTCGTGCTGATCATCAAGGAATTCGATAATTGGTTGCCAGGAATCACGGTTGTTGACATAGTCGCCGAAGCCGGGGGTATCAATAACGGTCAAGCGAACTGTCCATTGTCACAAGACCACATTAGCCATTGATCGTCCATGAGGGTTAAAAAAGTCCAATATGAACCTTTGAAGAACTTCTCCTCCAACTCTGCCTTCGTGATTTCGATTTCAACAGTCCGGTCAATTTGCTTCTGATGGCGACGCTTGTGATCGGCATAGTTCTTGATAGTGGTCGAGAAAAGAGTGTTGATAAACGTGGTCTTTCCGAGTCCTGATTCTCCAGCAACCTACACTCACATATGAGCAAAACAAAGCCTGCGGGGCATGTAATATAACCGAATCATTATCAACGCACCATAATAGTGAAGGCCGCACCCCGCTTAGCAACAATCTTGTGTCTAAGAGCTTCAGTTAGAACCATCCCTCTTCGGCCCCTCGACCCATCAAAAATAGCTGATAATTGGTACACACCGCTGATTGGGAAGCTGTAGAAGAACAATGGCTTGTTAGAATTGCGATCCATGATAATGATCCTTTGCTGGAAGCATCTCAGTACTCACGTTGGCAATGCCAATAGGGGAGGCAGTTTCCGTAGTAGTAGCCATGATGATAAAGGGGGTATCGGTAAGTTGGTACGAAACAAATGGGGATTAGAGAGCTGATTGATGGATAGAGACAGGAAGTACCCCAAGTCAGAAGTCAAGAGTGCTCTGATGGTTAGAGGATCGAATGATGGTCGGAAAGAGAGGCTCTCCTGGGTCTTCGTGCCTTCTGCTTAGTTAGATAGTTCTCCTTGGTATGGTCCACGGAGTAGTTCGATACCTTATGCTTTGCTTTGCTTCTGGTTTGGTTGCTGCCCCTGAATCGCTGTAGTGGAGAACAAACAGGAGCAAACAAGCAAGCGTGACCTTGGGCCCCAGATGCCGCTAGTATGTTCTGGGGTTAGCGACTTCGGCATCGGATTAACTATTGATCAAATCTCTTATCGCCCGTTTGGGAAGACGATTTTTTTGATCGATTGCAAGGTGAAGGCTGAGGAGCTACACAAGCTTACTAGGGACAATGAAGACAGATTTTAAGGTGAGTTTGGTCTGGTGCGGCCTTGCGATTCTGATATTGACCATTTTTTTCAGTTCTCCAACCTTTTGGGGACGGTCTACCGCAAAGGAAACCTTCTCTTCACGCCCGACGGTACCTGCTTGCTCTCCCCAGTGGGCAACCGGGTCACAGTTTTTGATCTTGTGAAGTATGTTGAGTCCCTTACCTACTGCAGGTTGATTGACTATAGCATGAGCTGACTTGGCGTGCTCAATGAAGCAATACATCATATACCCTTCCATTCGCGCATCGCACGAATATCGATCGTCTCGATCTCTCGCCCCGCGGCAATCTCTTACTTTCCGTCGACGAGAATGGCCGTGCCATTTTGACCAATTTCTTGCGCAAAGTCGTCATCCATCATTTCTCTTTCAAGGGCCGAGTTACCGCGCTTAAATTTTCCACCTCGGGTCGTCATTTCGCTGTTGGAGTGGGTAGACGCTTACAGATCTGGCACACGCCTTCGACACCTGGAACCGATAACAATGGCGAGATTGAATTCGCACCTTTCGTCCTGTACCGTGATCTTGCCGCCCATTTCGATGTCATCCACAATATCGAATGGTCTAGCGATTCGCGCTTCCTTCTTACCGCATCTAAGGATCTCACAGCACGCATTTGGAGTCTAGACCCGGAAGAAGGATTTGAGCCTACCACTTTAGCAGGACATCGTCAGGGTGTGAAGGCAGCTTATTTCTCCGCTAACCAGGAATCGGTAAGTCACCTTGATGAGCATTGTAGGATCATCTGCTAATGCCATCCCAGATTTATACTGTCAGCCAAGATGGAGCCCTTTTCCGGTGGGACTACGTGACCAAGAAAGACCCGGATACCATGGAGGATATCGCGGATGCCCGTTGGCGAATTGTAAAGAAGGATTATTTTATGCAAAATGATGCCAAAGTCAACTGTGCTACATTCCATGCCCCTACCAATCTCCTTGTTGTTGGTTTCTCCAACGGCTTGTTTGGACTTTATGACCTGCCGGAGTTTAACCCAATTCATCAGCTCAGGTATTTATATCACTTTATATCACATACCTCTTCTTCTGAAACTTGTGGTACTGACCATGTTTGCAGCGTCTCTCAGAGCAACATTGACTACGTGACAGTAAACAAGTCTGGTGAGTGGCTAGCATTCGGCTCGTCAAAGCATGGCCAGCTCCTCGTGTGGGAATGGCAGTCGGAATCCTATATCCTCAAGCAACAGGGTCACTTGGATTCGATGAATGCTCTCGTTTATTCGCCTGACGGGCAGAAGGTTGTCACCGCTGCCGATGACGGCAAAGTGAAAGTCTGGGATGTCAAGTCCGGCTTTTGCATAGTCACTTTTACGGAGCACACAAGTGGAGTCACTGCGTGCCAGTTTGCCAAGAAGGGAAGTGTATTGTTCACAGCATCATTGGATGGTTCCGTAAGAGCATGGGATCTCATCCGTTACCGCAACTTTCGTACCTTTACTGCGCCATCTCGAATGTCTTTCTCTTCGCTTGCGGTTGATCCTAGCGGTGAAGTTGTTTGTGCTGGATCACCAGATTCCTTCGATATTCATGTATGGTCAGTACAAACGGGACAACTGCTCGACCAGCTTTCGGGTCATGAGGGACCAGTTTCATCGCTCGCTTTCGCTGCCGATGGCAACCATCTCGTCAGCGGCAGCTGGGACCGCACCGTCCGTGTGTGGAGCATCTTCGGCCGCACGCAGACAAGCGAACCTTTGCAGCTTATGTCTGACATCCTAGATGTGGCATTCCGACCTGACGGAAAGCAAGTTGCCGCATCTACCTTGGACGGCCAGTTGACCTTCTGGTCTGTGGAGAATGCTGTCCAAGAGAGCGGAATCGATGGTCGCCGTGATGTCTCCGGAGGCCGCAAGATGGGTGATCGTATCACTGCCGCAAATTCGGCGGCTACGAAGTCTTTCAATTGTATCACATACAGCGCAGACGGCTCCTGTGTCTTGGCGGCAGGCAACAGCAAGCACATTTGCCTGTATGAAGTGAGAACGGGTACGCTACTCAAGAAGTACACAGTCTCCGTCAATACTTCTCTTGATGGCACTCAGGAGTTCTTGAACAGCCGGGATCTGACAGAAGCCGGCCCTCGTGGTCTCATTGACGAGACTGGCGAAGCATCGGATCTGGAAGATCGTATTGATCGAAGCCTTCCCGGTGCAAAACGTGGTGATGCTGGGGCTCGGAAAACTCGACCTGAAGTTCGTGTCACCTCGGTTGACTTCTCCCCAACCGGACGTGCGTTCTGTGCAGCTTCAACGGAAGGTCTCCTCATTTACAGTCTCGACACAGAATTTGTCTTCGACCCATTTGATCTTGATATCTCTATCACGCCGTCCAGCATCCTTGCCACTCTTGAGGCTGCCAAGAAAGCGCATTCAACTGGTGCTATAGATGATGACAACACTTTTTTGAAAGCATTGGTCATGGCTTTCCGTCTGAACGAATCCAAGCTCATCCGTGCTGTGTATGAAGCCATTCCTCCCTCGGAGATTCCTCTTGTAGTTCGCGCTCTGCCAACTGTTTACCTTCCTCGTTTCCTTCGATTCGTGGCCAAGGCTGCCGATGAGACCCCTCATCTGGAATTCAACCTGCGGTGGATTGAGTCTCTGCTGAGTATCCATGGTCGGTACTTTAAGGACAACTCTGGCACTCTCGCCACGGAATTGCGTGCCGTACATCGGGCCATCGATGACATTCGGGATAATCTGAAGAAGATGGTGGAAAAGAATCTGTACGATCTCAACTACCTCCTCTCCACACCAGTTCTTACCGACAAGAAGAGCGCTGCGCCAAAGACCATTCAAGACTTGAATGCTGTGATCACGAATGATGTTGATGAGCATATGGTTGATGGAGATGAGGGTGATGGAGAAGGGGAATGGGTTGGCCTCGAATGATCTTGCTTCTGTCACCTTGTATCAATATACACCTCATGCCCTACCGTTTCGCATTCCTTCTCTTGTCTCTTCGCATTTGCGTCTGGCGTTCGAGTGCTTTGATATACCTGGGAAGGGAGCAAGTAAAAGTCCTGGAGTCCTTTGCTATAGCCTTTGCTGATCGCATATACATTCAAATAGGCAATTGCCGATCTAAAATCTGTGTGCTTGGTAATTGTTTTATGTTCATATCCCTCTTGATAACTTCTCGATAAATCAAACACCTAGCCTGCCCTTTGCTATCCCTATTTTTAGTGGTCGTGAAGCGGAAGTTTCCATTAGTGCACTACTATCACGGAAGATGCCATTCAATGACATGGACAACAGCGTCATATTCACTGTTCTCTCAGCATATCGACTGTTCTAGACGACAGAGCCCTTAGGAGCTCATTCACTGTCTCTCTGTCTCAGGAACTTCACCCACAGATATAAGTACCATGCTCATCGACCATCTTCCCATCTCTCTTTCTCCCTTTCTCCATTTCTCTCCTTCTGCACCTGCTCTTCAGCCTACCTCATTCATACTCTCACGTTCGTGTCCATCAGTTTGTATTTGCACATCGATAAGCAGCGCTCTGTCACAGGGACATAAGGCAAAACGTCAAAATGATCCCCCTGTGGCCTATTATCTTGCTTTTTTGTTCTTCAGTCTACTTTTACTTCAACCCACCAGGGGAGAAGTCAAATGACATTCCAACCATCAGATACAGTCACTTTTTGCCTGATTTCGTCAACAGACTGATTTTCATCGTGGCTGCCCCTCAGCTCATCAAACGTGGCTATGACAAGGTTAATCTTACTCTTCTCTCAATTAGTGCTCTTCCGCTGACTTGGATTTGCAGTGTAAGAATGGACCATATCGTATTATCAAGGCCGACGGTGACTTGGTCATTCTGCCTGCGAAGTATCTTGCGGAGATCCGTCACATTCCTCCTTCTAGGCTCAGCGGTGTCGATGCTCAATTCGAGGTACGTTGTCTGTTGTTTGGTGAAGCCTGGTTGACACTGACGCTTGAACGTTTAGAATATTCTTGGAAAATACACCAATGTCCTTGTTGAGAGCCACTTGCCAACGAAGACGGTTATCAAGCGTCTTACTCCGGGTATTGGTAAGTGCATGACTCGCAGATATCAACTTGATGGGCGTCTGAGGCTAAGATGAGATCAATTCACAGGTCGAGTCCTTCCTCGCATTCTCAATGAGCTGCAGTATGCTTTCCATGTTGAAGTTCCTGACTGTGATGGTATGTCTTTGCTTGATACACTTGGTACCAGATAACGGAAGATCTAACGAGACTGGTGCATAGATAAATGGGTTTCGGTCAATCTGTATGACATGATCCTGAACATTCTTACTCGCGCCACTTCTCGTGTGATTGTTGGAGAAACCGTTTGCAGAAACCCGAAGTGGCTTCAGACTGTCACCAACTACACTGTCAACCTTGGAATCACCGTCATGCTGCTTCGCCCATTCCCCGAGTTTCTACGCCCAATGATTGCAAAGGTCCTTCCAAGCGTCAAGAAGCTCCGGACTCAGCTGCGCTATGTGCAAAAGGAACTGTTCATCCCTATGATTCTCTCTCGTCGTTACTCAGAGAAGAATGAGCCTGCATATGAGAAGCCCGACGACTTCCTTCAATGGATGATGGATCTTGCAGAGGATGATTTCGACAAGGACCCAGCGAATCTTTCTCAGAACCTACTAATTGTCATGAGCCTTGCAGTTGTGCACACCAGCACTATGTTGATGACTCACACGCTCTTCGACCTCATAATTCGACCTGAATATGCTCAATCTTTGAGAGAAGAAATCGCTGCTACTTTGCCTGACGGTTGGGACAACGCTACTCAGGCTGCATTTGCTTCTCAGCGTCGCTTGGACAGTTTCATGCGCGAATCTCAGCGTTTCAATCCTACTGGCGAATGTAAGTGTCTTCCTCGCCTCATGCATGATGCTCTTTCTCTCTGATACTAACCGGCTTCCTCTTCACAGTATCCACCCATCGCATGGTCAAGGAAGATATGGTACTCTCCGACGGTCTGGTTCTCAAGAAGGGCACCCACATCTGCTTTCCATCGAAGCCAATGGGCATGGACTCGTCCATCGTCAAGGATGCTCTGACCTTCGACGGTTTCCGCTGGTGCGACGATCCGGAGAACAAGAATGCCAGTCTGGTTAGCATCGGCCCCTCGAACATGCATTTCGGCTACGGAAGACAGGCTTGTCCTGGCCGCTTCTTCGCGACGAACACAAACAAGGCCATTCTCAGCAGGCTCATTGCGGATTACGAGTTCAAATTCGAGGATGGCAGAAAGACCAGGCCAAACAACATTCTTCTGGGCGAGCAGATCATGCCGAATATGTACACGAAGGTGCTTATGCGCAAGAGGGAGTTTGTCTAAATGGGGGTATGGGGGATTTTGAGTCTCGATTGGAGTTTGGAGGATAAATTGTCTCAGGGGGGGTGCTTGGAACAGAGAGTTTGGGCGTTCATAGACTGGATATGGGCTTTGGGTGCTTTTCTTGCTGAATCTTCATTCTGGAAAGACTTGATACTTGATACACAGAACAAGACTTAACTCTGGTTACTTTAGATAGCAATTAACAAATACATTTATTTCTGCTCGCAATCCACCAAGTTGAATTGGCTCCTCACCTTGTGCAGTACAGTGGATTCAAAATATTGCCACCGCATTAGGGGGACTCGCAGCACCCCCAGGGACCTGCAGACACGAACATACTTCATTAGCAACTGCGTAACGCAAGGGCAGTAACACTCGTTTTCACTGACATTCAGAGGCACACTCGAAAGGAAAAAAGACCACCGATTCGTCTTCCTACAGTGCTCAGCAACCCCTTCCAGATCGAAATACTCCCCAATCGGCATCCCCCAACCAGCCAACAGCCACTGGTGCAATTGGAACTCAGCTGGCCCGTCAGGCCCTGCAATAGGCGCCGGCTCGAAACTGGGCGAGTCACTGGCAACCGCTGCGAACTGGTTCTCCCACAACCAACGCAGCGTTGCCTCGCCGGCCTCCAGGCCCGCAAACTGCGGGGTTTCGCGCTGTGCGATGGCGAGTTCTTCCTCAGCGGAGAGCTGGTCGTAGGCAGCTGTGAAGCCTGTGCGGAGGAAGAGGATGTCGCCGGGACGGAAGTGAATCTTCTTCTCTGCAATGATTTGCTGGATCGATGATAAGGAGATTTTACTCGTGGTAAAAGGGCTGAGGGTGACGGAGTTCGTCGTGGCCCATGAGGCGTAGTCGATGAGGACGCCGCGGCCAACGATGCCACCGTGCTTTACCCATGCTGAACTCCGTGAGCTGGAGCTGGCGGGATTGACAGGTTACAGCAAGATCAGGATACGCGTACCATCGATACCAATGACAGAGGATATCTTCAACTCCTCCAGTGAATGACCGTTGAAGTAGCACTTGTGCGTATGGTTTCCTCCAACGTAGCGCTTCTATCAGCACAATTATGTCTTCACAACTCCACATCATATCCTCGAAGAAAACAGCAGAAGCTCGCTTACCATAATGCTTGAACCCGTCCCACTGCGTACTACACTGTGTATTGAACCTGAGGATATCATCATTCACAATACGTGGTCCCTTGTTCACCAATTCCCGCGCGAACGGCTTGCGCCCAAAACTCGGGTTCTTGATTCGATCAAGCGGTAGATCAAGTGAAAACCTGACTCCCTCTCGGATCTCCTCCGATGCTGCTCTATGCACGCTCTCGGGAGTGAGCAGGTTTAACATACCAAGTTCGTTGCTGGCACCGAACAAACCCCATGCGTTGCCTGAGGGCCCCGAAGGGTCAATGGTTAGATTGTCGAATGCGGGACGAGAGTTGGGTTGAGGTGTCATAAATGTGTGGTCTGAAGGTATTTTACGGACTTGATATGAGCTATCGATTAAGAAAAAATAGGACTCGCTGAATATATGTACAGTTGTAGACGCAATTTACTACTGATCTTGCATTTGTATAGCTTCCCCGCATTGATCATATTTGGGGTCGATAGGCGGATATTTTTCCTTCTCTACGGCTCGGATGAAAGAGACATAGTAAGACCAGATTGATACTACTCAACTTTCGACGGTGTCTTTCGACGCTTTCATTGATCGTACAGAGACAGCTCCATTGTAATAGTAATCTGAGGCAGACAGCAATTCTAACCACGCTGCTCACCTATACTAAGTCATCGGATACTCAGCAACAGGAGCGGTGGCGCATGGCCTAATTATTGTTCGTGGTAGCTGCACCTCTTCCCCGCTGGCCGCCTCTCCCTCTGGATCCGTTTCCTTTGTCCGATCCACGGAAACCCCCTCGACCTCCCCGTCCACTACCGCGGTCAAGACCCTTAGGAGGAGGCACCTGGGAGTAGTTCTGTGGCCGGAAATTAGGGTTATTTTTGATAATCCCAGCGTCCGGATTGCTGTTATCAACCGAAACATATCCTCCTCGAGTCCGGTACATGCCACCACGGCCCCTGCCGCCGCGATTCTCACTGCCGTTGGGATGAGGGCGGAAAGGTAGACTTGTGGGATTCGATCCTCCATTCGAGGCACCACGGCCACCCCGCCCTCTACCGTTGCCTCGTCCATTGCTCACTCCGGAAACCGCGCCGCGGTACGAACCAGACAGAGGCGGGGGAGCAGCTGCCTCTCTCAGCTGTCCCTGTCCGTTGGGTCCGAGCGGGGCACCATATCCTGCAACCGTCAAAGGTGAGGGTTGGCTCTGCGACTGCTGACTAGCGGCAGCCCGGGTACTGGCGAGCAGTTGTCGATATGAAACGTTGAGAACAGAAGATGCCAATACGGTTTGCCCGCGGAAAGGCGAGCATCGGTCTCCCAGGGTAGTACCACTCATGAATGAGACATCGAACACCACGTCGAGCAACATTGCCCGAGAAGTTCGGGTCAGGCCAACGACTGTTCCCCTAGTCGCAATGGGTACCTTACCGGAGTCTTGCGCATAGACAACACGGTCCCCAAGTTTGAAAGATTGGTTTTGCAGTCGTTGTTCAACATCCGAAGGTCGCAGTAGTGCGCTTCTGGGAACGCCCCTAACCTTTTTGGCTTGCATTTGAGGTTGGCTCTGCATTAGCCGATCCGCATCCTGCTCAATCAATTTAACAACTTCGGAGTCTAATTGCTCGGCCTCGAGAGGCACTCTTTCGAAGTTCTTGGCTTCAATCGACTTGAGCCAATCCTTGATTTCCTGTATCTTCTGAAGAGCGACGTCCTCGGGATAGAAATCTGCTGGATTGTACCGATCTCTTTGAGGATTACGCTGAATACCAGCGATAAACTCTGGGAACTTGATCATATACTGCTGAAGGAGATCAACGGTCCTCTGACTGAACTCCCAACCAGAATCTCCACGTCGAGAGTAGCCAAGCACTTTCTGTTTTCGCGCTTCAAACTTGAGGTTAAGACCCAGGTTGACGCGCTGTCCTTCCACATCAACCGAAAACGAGGAGGTGATCTTGGCCAGTACCAACGGGTTCAGACGCAGGCTGCGAGCGATGGCAAAGGAAGGCATATAAGGGCAGAGCTTTTCAGCTTCTCTCGCGCGTTCCTTGCCAAACTCTGGCTCCCGGCCTGGGATGGAAGCGATCAGGCCGTTCACCTTACCATCGTCATGCCCGGTGACGTGCACGGGTCTACCGTAGTTATAGTCTCCCAAGAAAAATGCACGAGAACCCTCCGGAAACTCCTTCTCAATAGGCAAAGCATCCCTTTCAATAAAGCGTTCGTCAGGATTGATCACCTCATCAACAACCAGCTGAAGTGCATAATCAGTCTCCTGTCCTAGAATATCGGCGAATTCTTTGATCGTCGCGCCCTCATCCGTTTTGATGAGACCCTTGAGCAGTTGGACGTGTACCATGGAATCAACCGGACCAATGACGGTACCTAGCCTTCGGCTATAGGTCCCCTCGATCTTGTCCGCCTTCTTTCTCCATTGATCGATTTGGGCTTCAGTGTGGGGAATGGGAACCGGATGTTCTTCTCCATCAGGGATAATATAATCGAAGAGCTCGTCCGACACGCGGACAACCAACGCTTCTTGGAGAAACGGATAGCCGACAAAGACACGCTTTCCCAATTTGCTCTTCGCTAACTCGACACTTGATCTGCTTCCAGGATCAAGTATTGTGATGACCATACTTTCATTGCGACTCTCCTGCTGGAAAACGCACACACCATGGAAACCAAGCTGGCCAACATGGGGCAGTGTCTTCAAGCTCGGGAAACCAGCTAGCGCAGCAGCCCCAAGCTGTACGCCGTCAACCAAGCCAATATAAGGCTCGAGGCCATCCATGGTAGGCAAGTCGAAGACGTTCTCGATACAATGGCAATTGGGGATATCGGGGAAGACGCCGGGCAAAGACGAGGGATAACTATAATTCGCATCTGGCGAATAAGTGAATTTAAGACTAACCCCAAAATCATTGCGTACTTTTTCTTCCGGGGTCAGAAGGTGCGATTTGGTGGCAAGTGCGTCTAGGAGGCGACGTTCCTCTATGAATGGGATCTTGACGACAGCCTCCCATTCCATCTTTTTGCCATTCATGTCCAGCTCGAAATCGCGTGGGTAGAAATCAATTATGGGAGAGTCTGGAGATGTCATCAGGTCCCGATAGGCTGCAGGCACGATTTTCTTGCTTCGGTCCGGCAAGACTCCCATAAGCTGCTCATAGGGCTTGAAAGGTTGGCCAAGCTGGAAGTTCATGTCTGCTTTCAATCCCTTGGTAACATCTACTCAAAAGTTAGCATACAGCTGATATAGTATACTCGGGGATACTCTGGGGCGAGGGTTGACGCGACGATGGGAGACAATTGCAGGGGAAATGGGACCATTGAGGTGTCAATGAGATGTAAGAACTTACCAGATATCATGGGAGCATAATGATATTTGAAGAACCAAGGCCACGAAGCAATGCCTCGGTAATAGTAGTACAAAACCCACTGAAGGCCCTGCACATAGTTCTCCGTGAGTTTTCTCATCTCTTCATGATTGTCAAGACCCCATCCGAACTTGCTCATGTAGTACTTATCTTTCCACTCTTGGAATTTCTCTTCGTACTTCTGTTCAGCCGCCTTCTGGGCTTCCTCGGGAGAAATCTCCTGGACTTTCGCGTTTTCGTATCGTCGGATGACACGGCGGACGGCCATGGAGGCTTCTTCGTCCTCTTCCTCTTCGCTATCGTCATCATCGTTGGTAGGAAGTTGGAGTCTAATGAATCGATCTCCATGTTCATCTGCGACAGTAGTCCACGGTACGTGGAGATCGTTGGCCAGCTGCTCCACAAATTTGCGATCACGAGCCGGCAGTGCGGAGGGTAAGTCGAGAGGCTTTGAGCCAGTTTCCTTCTCAGGTCTGTTCAAAACATATTTCTTGACCTCCTTGAAAAGCTCCTTCTGTGCTGGAGTCACTGTAAGCCCTCTTTGCTTTTCCGGGGGCTCGAAATCGTTCTCAATGGCCTTTCTCTTTGCAGTAATCCATTTGGCATCAGAATATTCGACCTCGAAAAAACGAAATTCAACGTCACTCAGAGCTTCGACAAGCATTCCGAGGCGCTTCAGGTTAATGACACCTCCCTCGTTGACATAACCACCCATCTTCGGTAAGACCTCCTTATAGATCTTGAACATCAGTGCCAATGCTCCCTCGTTGATATGCAGATTGGGAAGATTTGGCAAGAAATCGTTTCCAACAAAAAAGGCCATCAGGATAAAGTCGTCTATCACTCTTTCCATATCGAAAGGGAAGTCTAAAACACCTTCCTGTTCTAATTCCTGAAACTCCAATTCCAAATACTCCCGAACCATGCATAGATGAAGGAGAAAGAAATTCTGGTGCTCGAGTTCTTTGGGCTTCTTTTGAACTTGGCGGCCGAATGTCACCTCCTCGCGAAGAAGACAAAAGTGAGGATCATGACTGAGAAGACCCAACATAATCAAATCCGCATCAAGACCATAAAGACAGTGACGGATGTTGGAATCATAATCAGGCTGCGCTTTCGCGTGCCGAATATATTCCATAATCTTGTGTTCGCCTTCTCCTGGGACCTCATGGCCTGAGAGCACGATCTCCACCCCTTGCCAATCTTTATCTTCTGAAATCTTCTTGCTGATGAAATACTTTAATTGTTGCGTCAATTTCGCCATGAACTCTGTACCGGGTGTGATGCAGTTACTGTCGAATGCATCTTCTTTCGGCATTTCAATTCCCTGAGCAATGGCCTTCTCCTTTGCCACCTCAGCGTCCAGCGCTGTACGAAAACGTCTCGCACGCTGTTGATTCATCTTTGCTCGAGGCGCAACACCGTCGATAGCCATGAAGAAAAGCTTCTTTGGCTTAATTTTGCCGTACAAATGTTCGATGTAGTTGAAGATCGCGATAAACATTTTATCCTCGGTCATACGAAACGTAGGAGAATCGCTATCCTTATGTGTACAGTTATGAATGATACCGTTCATATCGAGGTATAGCGCATCAAACTCAGGAATGCGATTCTCCGCGATCAACATGGAGATCGTGGGGTACCGCTCGCTCAGCCAGCGGAAGAACTTGGGGACACCCATGATGAATGGTTAGAATGGGTAATTCTAGGGTGTAGTAATAGAATAGAATCAAGCGCGGCAGCTTCGTTGTCTGTCGTCGTCGTCGTCGTAAGTGGTCGTCAAGACTCAGTGAGAAACCCAAGCTTGGAGGCAAATAATGCACCAAATGGCGCGTAGTCGTCGGCAAAAAAAGAGAACGACTGGGTATCCTCAAAGAATATAAGACACAAGAAGAAAACAGAGAGAAAGAAAAGAATAAAGCTAGTTTGGGCAACAAGAAGCCCTCTGCGTGGATAGCTCGTCAAATGCGATGATGGTTCTTCGAAGAAGTGACTCCTCCATGAGTTGCCCGATCTTTAGGTGGAAGCATCCGAGGTCAACGCCAAGCCCCCATGCCACTTCTGGAATAGCTTGCTCCAGCGCCAATTAACGCGGTGATGGGAGCAAAGTCGCGTTTCTCAAGTGTGAGAGAGCTCGATTCGCCTGTCAAAGCTCTGCTACACCTACACCTGAAGCTCTTGTCTTGCGCTCAGCGACACCCAATCCCTTCTCTCTCTTTCTTTATCATCAAATTTGATTCTGTGCTTTATATTGCATACATAATTGGCAGCTATTATCGCATTCACAAACCGCCATGGAACCCTATGATGATGGTAAGACACTTGCCGTATTTTCATTTGCGCGATCGCTACTGACTTTTCTGCGTCGCAGCTGTTATGGAGGAGCAGGTGGAGCAAGAGGAAGAACGCACCGAAGAGAAGATTATCAATGAAGGTATTCAAGATCGATCTGCTTCCCTAGCTCATCTTCGCATGGGTCTGATACAATCTGCATTAGAATACAAAACATGGAAGAAGAATGCACCTTTCCTTTACGACATGATCCTCAGCACGGCATTGGAATGGCCGACGCTCACGACACAGTGGCTTCCTGACAAGCAGGAGTATGTGCATCATCAGCTTGTCTTGCGCTCACCAGAATATTAACTTGGCTTCAGGGTTCCGGATAAGCCGTACTCAACCCACCGTCTGCTGATCGGTACACACACATCCAGCGATGCACAAAATTATCTGCAGATTGCTCATGTTCAACTTCCCAACCCATCCGCACCGAATCCTGAGGACTACGACGAGGACCGTGGGGAAATCGGTGGATATGGGGGTAGCTCCAAGAAGGCACCCATGGAGATTAAATTCAACATCGTGCAAAAGATTGATCACAAGGGCGAAGTCAACAAGGCACGGTATCAGCCGCAGAATCCTAATATCATCGCTACTATGTGCACAGACGGTAGGGTAATGATCTGGGATCGGTCGAAACACCCCAGCCTACCCACAGGCACCGTCAACCCTCAGATGGAGCTCCTGGGTCATACAAAAGAAGGCTTTGGGCTAAGCTGGAGTCCACACACTGCTGGCCACTTGGTCACAGGTAGTGAAGATAAGACCGTCCGACTCTGGTAAAGAAAACAAACACAATTCGATTTCGCAGGTTACTGATTCGGATTTTTAGGGATTTGACTACTTACACGAAAGGCAACAAGGCATTGAAGCCTTCTCGCACGTACACTCATCATTCTTCGATTGTCAATGACGTTCAGTATCATCCTCTGCACTCGTCGCTTATCGGTACTGTCTCCGATGATATCACGCTCCAGATTCTCGACATTCGAGAAGCAGACACCACTCGAGCGGCTGCGTCTGCGGAGGGCCAACACCGCGATGCCATCAACGCCATTGCCTTCAACCCCGCTGCTGAAACTGTTTTGGCAACTGGTTCGGCCGATAAGACGATAGGACTCTGGGATCTGCGTAACTTGAAGACCAAATTACACTCGCTGGAAGGCCACACCGACTCCGTGACTTCTATTTCTTGGCATCCATTTGAAGAGGCTGTACTGGCCAGTGCCAGTTATGATCGTAAGATTGCATTCTGGGATCTCAGCAGAGCAGGCGAGGAACAGACCCCTGAAGATGCCCAGGACGGACCACCAGAACTGTATGTGAAATTTGATGTCATGCTCCAGTTGTTGGCTCGATCCGCTAATTCATATCTACAGTCTTTTCCAGCACGGCGGTCACACCAACCGTATCTCGGATTTCAGCTGGAACCTCAACGATCCTTGGGTTCTCTGTTCCGCTGCGGAGGACAATCTTCTCCAGGTCTGGAAAGTCGCCGATGCGATTGTTGGAAAGGATTTGGAGGATGTGCCTACGGAGGAATTGGAGCCTTGATCTCGAGAGCATTGATACCTGTACAATGGGCGGTTTTATCTATTCATTCCTGTTTCAATATCACCATACTACGGGATTGTGCTCGCCAGTAGTTGAAGACAAATACAATAGTGATGGACAAACGTATTAAAGCCCGAAGCAAGCTGATCATGGATCTGACCTGAGGATCCAATCTCTTACAGGTACTACCTTAGTGTGGCTTGACGCACATAAGCCAAGGCGTGGAAGCTGCATGCATTAGATATATATATCCAAACCCCCAGTCTTGATTCCAGTGCATTTCATATGTCATTGCAGAAACCAATCATTATAACCCAAGACGAGCGACATAATACGGAGACTTGTACCTGATGAACGTAATACCTATCCGTTGAAGCAGGAATGATAATGACACTGCTTGCATGCATGATTTCTATGAGCAATGAACCCCCGTAATAATACGGAGGATGGATAAGATTGCCTGAGGCTTCTTAAAATCATTGCCCGCGCTACTCTAAACTGGGACTAGTTTAATCCCCCCGCCTGCAGGTCAGTTTCTCCAACTGTTGGAAATGAGCCAATCACACTGTGAGAAAAGGAAGGCGGTGGAAATGATGAAATCAGATCGGCGTTGGCAGAACTTCGGAGGGGTCCAAATCGCTCCGAAAAAGCAGAATTAATCGCCATAGTGTATCTAGACTAGACTAGTTCCTCCGTTCTAGCAGCAGTAAAGTAATTATTATTTCAGTTCGCCCACCTCCGTCAGCGAAACTTTTCTTCTCCCCCTTCTCAATGATGATGAACTCTCTTCCTGCTGCTTAATAATTCATAGAACGCAGTTCTCTGTCCTTGCTTTGGTTTGAGTGTTTTTATAAAGGTTATCATTTGGTCGATCCTCTGATCAGAACGCGCCCAAGCTCCTCGACTACATATAAATTTCATCTCCCTTATCGCCCCTCCTCCACCCATTATTTTCCAGAACAGTCATGGGTTCCGGATCTCCTCCTCCCCCAGGCCCAAAGCCTAAGTCCGCCATCCCATCTCATCTTTTGAATGGTAGTTCTCCTCTGCACCCTTCCAATACCACTGGCGTTCGCGATGCTCGTGAGCGCGAGAGCCTGAACTCATCTATCCGTGGCTCCTTTGCCCCTCGCATTCCCGCTGAGTTCAACTTGTCGGAAACAGAAACACATCCTGTCAGCGATGCCGCCAGCACTTACAATGGAGCTGTTCGGAGCCCCGAAATTGTCAGGTATGCTTTTCATCTTGGAAGTGCTTGAATTATGCTTATTGCTTCATCTAGGCCTACTTTGAGCGACCCCCCGCGCGACCCCCGAGACGAAGGTGGTGCTTTGACCCCTCCCGCGACAGCCAGTCGGCCATCGAGCCCGTACACTGCGAATCCCCCTATCGATTTCGACGGATTGAGCTGGCCTTGTGAGTAATCAATGGCCCATGAGCTTGGTTTCTGACATGCCATCTAATCAACTGGTTTGGTAGGCCCTGGCACGAGGGCGCGGCTGGAATCCACCCCTGAACAGACTGAAGAACGGATCCAGAAGCTTGCAGGTGCCGTAAGAACCATCTTTGAATGCATTGGAGAGGACCCTGAAAGAGAGGGACTGCGCGAGACTCCCGAGAGATATGCCAAGGCTATGCTTTATTTCACCAAGGGCTACGAAGAGAATGTTCGCGACCTCGTCAATGGTGCTGTCTTCCACGAGGATCACGATGAGCTGGTCATTGTCAAGGACATTGAGGTGTTCTCTCTCTGCGAACATCACATGGTTCCATTCACTGGAAAGGTAAACTCTCTTCTGTCCATTGTGTGTCAGATTACTAACATGTATGTCTGCGACGCAGATGCACATCGGATATATCCCTGACCGCCGAGTCCTCGGTCTCTCAAAGCTGGCCCGCCTAGCGGAAATGTTCTCTCGGAGACTGCAGGTGCAAGAGCGCCTTACCAAGCAAGTCGCCTTGGCCATTTCGGAGGTTCTGAAACCCCGAGGCGTAGGTGTCGTCATGGAGTCTTCCCATCTCTGCATGGTCATGCGTGGTGTACAAAAGACCAGCAGTACCACCACCACCAGCTGCATGCTTGGTTGCATGCGGTCCAGCGCGAAGACCAGAGAAGAGTTCCTTACACTTCTCAACAGAAAGTAGCGCTGATGCCGACTCGGACTCTCTGTTTAGTATTTGTTACTCCGATTTAACAGTGGATGACATTGACGATCTTTTCAAAAGGAGTTATGGTGGTTCACCTTTCAACAGGTTATTGGGTGTTGGCATTTGTTTTTCTTGGTACATGCCGTGAGCAAGGAGTTTTGTTTTTTCACTATATCATGCAAAACCTCTTTTTTCCTATATTTGCACATGTAAATGCTATGTATATTGTTATATCCCGCCCTCTTCATCTGACCACCGGTTGGGACACAGCACACGAGCTCGGATTCGCCTGCTGAATCTGCTGTTGGAGAGCAGACACGAAGCTGATACGGTGGGGGGAAAAAGAAATACAGGGATAGAAAGAGATAGAAGACTGGATATCATGTCCTCACTATCATAAGAGTCTCTCTTACATCATCTTTCGAAAGTTGGATTTTGTGAAAAGTCACCTGGCTGGGGTACTTGGGCTTTCCAACACTGCATTCCCTCTACGAAATCAGATGTTGACTGCGTTTGCCTCTATTGGAGACGATATAATACCATTCATGACTAGGTCTATGTTGGAAGCTTCACATACTCTCCATGTTATGACTTAAACACGAGATTCAATACCGTAAAAGGCAACATGTGTGCTGATTCCTCGCAGGCAGAGTGAATGCTATCGAAGACCTGTCATCTCGAATCTTCTATTGCGATGACATGGAGGCCGCTGGCTCAGACGTAATTCACTCACTACACTGAACTGCTTGTTGAGTCAGGTGGCAGATGGCAGTCACTGTCATAACACGTTTTCTCGATTCACCACGCGACGCCTGCTGACCATATTTCCATTTCTTGCTTGTTGATATTGATATTCTCCTCCTGCACAGTCTACATCCATCTTCTAGACATTTACGTCTGCAGGATTTCTTATTTCAGTCGTTACCTGTTATCCGTATCTCGTGCTTACCATTCAGTATAACTACTTCTGCGACTATTTTTTACCTAACCCTCAGTCAAGTACTCTCGGAAACATCCGCGATGGCGCGAAATATCAATAGTGAGTTGACTCAGATGAAGAGGCATTCTGAGATCCTCAGGAACCTTGCTGACGATCTGGATCTCTCAGCCGGCGAGAAACGACCTACAACACCGACACCTGCAAACCGGGAACGAACTGACGACGAGATGGAAGCTGGCGAAGCTTTGCTCCTGCTTTACAGAGATTATGTCGAGCGCCACGGTGAACAAAAACAGCATCGGAACCCCCACCGCCAGGCACAAGGCAAAAACCATGGGCAGACAATGAATGGTGATCAACGTCCTCGTCAGAATAAATCAGTAGCCCAGACAGGTGGTAGACCACAGGCGTCTCAATTCATCCCACAGCAAAATCCAGATGCTGGTACGGCGGCAATGCCAGTATATCCGATACGGAACGCCAATGGACTTCCGTACATGCACCCTGGAGCCAGACATACGCCAGTTGCCTTAACGGGACAGGAGGCGCTACAGGCGTATCTGATCCGGCAGCAAATACTTGCGGGTGTGGCTCCTGAAAACCTGATCATGATGAGGGGGCCACAACAGCACAGACAGCAACTTCCTGCTCCTCCGCTGTTGCAGATTACTAACCAGGGCGTCTTTGCCCCTGCCATACCACCTGCGGCCTTCAACGGCGTGTTTCATCCATATCCAGTAATGGCTTTCCAGCCAAACGCACCTGGAGCCCCGGGTCTTGCTGGTGTAACTGGCCCCCAAGTTCGTTTTGCTGTACCTAGTGCCCCGATTCAAGGTGTTGCAGCTCAGAATGCCTCAGTCCAATATGTTGCAGGCGGCGGCTCAGCCCCGGTGCATCAGTGCGGTTTTTCTCACAACAGATCCATGATGCCCCAGGCAATCGCCCAAACTCGTCTGAGACTTTTGCAGAATGGAAATCCCCCCGCTGCAGCAGGGATAGCTGAACTTAGCACAAATCTGCCGTCTCAGAATAGAGCAACGGTACCAGCAGGCACTTGGGCCAATGGGGTGCAAGCCCTGGTCACATCTCAAACACCGACCCGAAGATTGATTGAAGGCAATGCGAATGTTCCGGGAACTGAACAGAAACAGAAGGCTGGGCTAACCCGTGCGAAGATTCCTGGTTCTCGTTTTCAGCCGCGCGAAACACTCCGAATCAAAGCAGAATCTTCGGCCGCTACGGATGCCACAACTAAGCAAGCCAATCTTACTGGAATCCGAAGGGCTGCGATTGGTCAGAATAGCAAGAGACGCCGGGTTCCTCAGTCAAAACCCGCACCTCAACCTGGAAACGAGAGGTTGAGGCTATCTTCCTCTAGTGGCTCGGATATCAGACCAGTCTCGCTCAACTCGGCTGATGCAGACCGAAGTTTGATGAGCAACGTGCAACAAAAGCGCAACAGAGGCAAAAGTGGCGACCGGCACCATTTCAGCATACTGAAGTCGCTCGTTGGCCACCCCGCTTCGGCTTTCATGATCATCGATTGTCTTGAAGTCCAGGATGTGATAAACCTACACCTTACCTTCAAGCGCTTCTTTTATTTGGTGCAGAACAATCTTGCGATAATCATTATGCGCAAGGCGGCACAGAACGCATTCGAAGCAATGCGCATATTCCCCTTCGCTTGCTACTACAAGCTCTGCGATGAAGCTTTGGCCCCGCCTGGTTTGAGACTAGATAACGGAAAGTACCTGGTTCCCTCGTTCCGATGGTTGCAAATGATCCTGTATCGCGATATGGTCATCAATGATATCATGAACCTGATGATTGACCTGGGATGGGACTTGCCCGAGCCTTGTGAGCTAGTCCTCAAGAAGCTATGGTTTCTGATGGACATTCCGGATAATAGACGACGCCTCTGGACAATCCAGAACCGTTCCCTGTGGCCCGACACCGACCTGTTTCTTGCAGCTTATTTCATCTCGCAGCTTGATCTACTTTTTATGAGCCATCACGCCAAGAAGAAGAATGGCTGCATGAGACGCCTTCTCATGGCCCAGCCCGGCTTAACTCTGTTGTGGGAGGTACTCAAGGGCACCGCTTTGAACACGCATTATGAGACGCTAAAGGCGTACGTGCGCTGGCAATTTAAGCCCGAAGAGTGTCAGACAGGCCAGTGGTTGTTTGGCGTACCACCCAATGAGATTGGATCCCTCCAGTGGGAAGGATACGGTCGAAAGGCAAGAACCGTCAAGTTCAAGCGCCCAGATCACTTGATTCTGAAAGAGATCGAGAATCGCAAGCTAGGTGTGCAGAGTATGTATGTGGACATCATCTTATGCGAGAAGATCGAGCCTAGCCATGAAACATGTACTTGGCCTGACGAGATCATGAAGGAAGCTGGTAACTCGCCCTGGTTGCAGACTGTCACTTTGCAGTGGTAACGGCGGTCATTTCAAGTTGATGTACCGTGGATCGTGGAATAGCAGAAGTGTGGGTTAGGTGTGATGGATACTCGGAGCTCAATATCAGAATTTATAGGAATTTGCTTCCGAGATATGCCAATTGAGTTGTAACCACAAAGTTATGTATTCTTCATACAGCTTGCATTATTTAATAATAGAAGGAGCTACGGAGTATATGTATGGAAGCTTCTTCCTTAAGCGATGGCTAGAGGAGTAGACATACCAGACAGAAGGGAAGACCAACCCCTTATGAATGCACGTGATATCGGAGCGGAATTTCTATCTCCGCCAGCTGGTGTGCCAGTCTGTGGAAAGCCACAACGGCACAACCTGACATCGAACGACCCATCCATCCTCCACCAACGGTTCCTCGATGGACCTCTTGTATGACCAGGAAGCGGGACATATCATTTATCACAATAAATCTAGATATCAAGGTGAATTATCGCAACTGGGAACTGTTCTTTTTACTTCATCCTGCCTTGTTCTGAGGGTGGTTCATGGTGCTTGTTGTTGGCCCGGCCCTCGGGACGACCCTGGCCAAGCCCAGTGTCAATCCCGCACAGGCTCTTCCGCCCATCAACATCTTGAGCAGTTACGTTATCAGTTGATACAACGCAGTTGATCTTCCTGAAAAGGCACAAACAGAGTGGGTTGTTTATGAAGTACTAGAGATGAATACCCTTGATCAAGAAGTCTTATCGCTTTCCTCACCTTTGTCGATATGGAAGTGGTTGTCGTTCTTGTTCCGGTAGACATATACAAGCGACTCTGCCAGTTAAGTCTAGCAGGTACGCACTCCACATTGCTCGCAATTATTTCCCCAGGCTCGCCTGACAAGTTTGGGCCTGACTTTCTTTATTCGTCAGGTCGTATGCGTGCCTTCAAAGGTGCAGCGTGACTTGTTAATTTTTACATACTGAGGCTTGGGATGTGCGCAACAAGCATGGCCCTACCAGACTTGCCTCCTTAACTTGTGGATCATTGCAATATTCCAAAAGATTTAGGGCGATTTTCTGCAAGACCCAGCCGTGTCCCTGATCAGATCGTCAACTATCATGTGTACTGCTCTTTTGATGGGAGACGAGGGGAGACGCGACATTCTGCGGATCGCTCAATTGTATCAGGATCTGGCGGTCGTTCTATGTACCAAAGTCGAATTGTGGCCCGGATTGTCACTTTCTGATCTCTTGACTTCCATTGCAGTGAAGTCTCAAGGTAAGGTACTAACTAGCCTAGGGGTGCTGTTATTGCTGGCACTGGGACACTGGTACTGGGTTCCCTGCTACTGCTTAGGATGTCTCGGCCCCATTACGTCGTCTGTTGCCTTTTCTTTGCTTGCCGTAGATAGTGTTGCTCCACCAGCAAGCGACAAGAGATACCTCTCGCAAAGGCAAGGGGCCTCGCGAGCCAAGCGGCCTCGCGAGCCAAGCGGGAAGGAAAATGGAGAAAACGCGCACATGAGGTGGAACACTTGCAGCATCAAGTTTGACCCACGCCATGACCGCAATTTACGCTCGAGAATGGTTTAAAAACAAGCGTTCTAAACAGAGAGGCAGAGCATCAAAATGGCGAAGGCGAACCGCGAACTCGACAATGACGGGCCTGATTTGAGCTCGATTTTTTGCCCAGGGGCAGTAACGCTTCTTTGCACTATTCGAGAATGTGCTCATGTCGGTTCATGTGAGGAGCCACAATGGCAACAGCCTTGTACTTGTGCTGGTATTGGCCTGCTCCTGCTTGCAGCCAAAACCCGAGCCATATTCGTAGTAGATTCGACAGAAGCAAGCGAGCCAAAAAGTGGAACGACAGCCCTCTTGAGACGGAGCTTAGCTTTGTCGACTTGTCAAGCCCGCGTGCTCAATGACTCCCAGGCTCAGCAGCAACACCTAGATCAACACACCCTCCCGTCAACAGAAGTAGAATTTTTGTCACCTGTCTGTTGACATCCGACATTCATTAAGGTAGTATTGAAATCGGGGGCGACAACTGGTGGGTTTTGTCCCCTTTGAGCGATAACAGAACACAGGTGCGTCTTCTCTCCAAGGGAATTTTTATTTGAATTTCCCCCCACCCTTTCCTCTCTCCCAAATGTTTGGGTCGAAGATTTTTGATGTTTTCTCTTGTTTTTGACGCCTTTGTGTCTCAAGACCTCCAGACCGAGCCATTTCACCAGAGAGCTCTCCCATCTCGGAAAAACCACGCCTCCGCTACCACCCATTATCGATATTCCATTCTTTCCCACGCCCGACGAGACTTGCTCAATACGATGTGAACGCGGCCGACACACGTCCCGACCAACTACGATTTTATCTATTACCAAGGAGCTACCGACTATTACTGACTAGACGAAAGGCAACTGGCTCCACCGGAACGTCTTGCCGTCGTACACTCACAACTGCCACGCTAATTCTTCCATTCTTCAGTCAGCGGGTTCCCCCATGCCCCCTGCCTTTGTTCCATACAATACCTAGTTTTTAAAAGCTAGATGCACCTGAAGAAGTTTTCATGGCCGGGTCCCGTAGCAGTCCGCCACTGTTGAGAGACCAGTGGAGCGCCGCCGACGATACCAGAGACCACAGAGATCCAAGAGATCGAGGGAGGCCAAGGCCTCGAGGCTCAGAACGTGGAAGAGGGAGGGATAGGTTCCGCGACAGAGAGCGTCGTCGCCGGTCCAAAGCGAACGTACCTCACCCCCCGTTACGATCGCCGCCGCCTTCGCGCCCTCACCCACACCCCGACTTTGAAGGCAGCCGTTCGCATCGTGAATTCTCTCCTAATAATCCCTCCGCTCGTGGCTCACCTGGCCTTTCCTATACCGAGCCTAGACAACGACAGCAAGAGCCTCACCAGGACTCTTCCCGACCTGTTGAATATCTGGGTTCAAGGCTGTCGGTTGAGAGAGCGACCGAAAAGGACTACAAGAGGGACGAGTCGCCGTCTGCACCCCCTCCCTTCAAACGAAAAAGGACACAGAGTCCACCTCCTGGACTAGGTCCCCGTTCTCGTCAGTACGACCAAGGCTATAACTATCCGCCTGCGGATCAGTTCGACGAAGCCGATCGGGGTTACCCTCATAAGAAACGTGGTCGATTCCCAGGTCGAGGCAGAGCGCGTCGGAGATCTCCTAGAAGAGGAAGGGACCGACGAAGAAAGGAATTCGACCGATTCAACCCTTCGGAGCCTAATTCATATCGAAATCCCCGTGGACGATTTGTCAGTCCACACCCTGAAGACGGTCCCGAGGACGAGTTTCGCCATCGATCGACTTCTCGACATTCTGTTCAGTCGCGTGCTTCGAGGTTCTCAGCAAATTCACGACGCAATTCAAACGCGAGCACGACAATGAATCCAAGGCCGACGCACTCCGCAATGAACCATTCATTTGGATCTCCGTCTCCGCCTCGACCTCATTCCAACATTGATGCTGATCTTCCTAGCGCTCCTATTGAAGGAGATACCAGCAGTAGTCAACGAGCTCGCACCTCACGACCTCATGTCGATACTAACCAGAATGCACCCTCTCCCAACAACCAGGGGTCTCCTCAATCGACATCTCCTCACCCTGCACGTGGGGGCTGGGCTAGTCAGCCTGCGTACTCTGGGCCACAGGGGTAAATCCGATCCTATATCATAATGTCGATCAGCTATAGTACTAACGATATGGTCAAAAACAGTTCCAGGCATTCCTCGCCATATCGCCAGAACAATTATACTTCGCAAAGCGGCTCACAAGATCAGTTTCATCAGGGCCAGAATCCACCAACCGGACCATCGAATCACGGCCAAGCATATTCCGGCTCATCCTATCGAGGTGGGCATTCGGGATATCGAGGAACTTATCAGAATCACGGTCAAAACCGGCGATTCTCTGGTTCCGGGCCGTCACCTCGAGGACGCGGTCGATTCAACAATCTACAATGGAGCGCCCGCGGCCGGGGCGGCTCCAACAGCCCTCATACGACTCATGGACATCCTTCACAAAGCCCTCCCCCTCCTGGAGCAGACATGCAGAGTCTTGCAGGCGAGAGGGGAGAACACGAGTCTTTCACATCTCCAAGGAGAGATCTCCAAGAGGAAAATAACAATTCGAAAGCTGGCTCTGAAAATGGGGACTCCCAGCAAGTGCCCCAACCCACGCAGCCGTCTGACACCAACTCTACGCCAAACAAAGGCGGGAAATTCAGTTTTGCTTTCAAAGCCAAAAGCACACCTGCACCCGCTCCAAAGGCTGTGCCGGATTTGGCACAGAGAATGCAGGCGCGAGAACCGCCACCCCGTGTTGCTGATGCCCCTCTTAATCCCCGCAACAGAGTACCCCTTGGCCCACCTCCAAGATTCAAACCGGAACCCCGTTTTGATCGACGCGATCGCGACCGAGATCGCGAACGACACCGAAATCGAGACAGAGACAGGGGAAGGCGCGACCGCCGTGATTTCCGAGACCCGCGTGACATTCGCGATCACAGGGATGACCGCGACTTTCGGAAAGACGACCGTCGAATTGACAACCGCCATGAAACGAGGAATGATGACCGGCGGCAGGATGCTCGTCCTCCGCGTGGACCACGCCGACCCCGAGAACGCTCGCCTGACTTAAAGCCACCCAAGATTCTGACTCGACCTAAACCTCGTCCTACCCTACCAGACGAATACGCAAACTCTGACTCTGTCTATTATCGCAAGCCAGGGAACGAATCCGTGATCGGTGCTGGCACCTACGGAAAAGTCTTTAAAGCGATTCACGTTTACACTCAGAAAAAAGTGGCTCTCAAGAAGATACGGATGGAAGGGGAGAAGGATGGGTTCCCCGTCACAGCTGTTCGCGAAATCAAATTGCTACAGCACCTTCGCAACCACAACGTGGTAAGCTTGCTGGAGGTTATGGTAGAGAGAAACGAATGCTTCATGGTGTTCGAATACCTTTCTCATGACTTAACCGGTCTCATCAACCATCCGACGTTCAGTCTCACCGCAGCCCACAAGAAGGACCTGGCGAAGCAAATGTTCGAAGGCCTGAACTACCTACATCATCGGAGTGTGTTGCATCGCGACATCAAGGCTGCGAATATCCTCATCAGCAATACGGGTCTATTAAAATTTGCTGATTTTGGCCTGGCACGGTTCTTTTCAAAGAGTCGTCAGCTTGATTACACGAATCGCGTGATCACGATCTGGTACCGGCCGCCAGAACTGCTACTTGGGGAGACTAGATACGGTCCAGCAGTTGATGTTTGGAGCGCGGGCTGTGTGTTTGTCGAGTTGTTTACGAAGAAGGCTGTGTTTCCTGGCGAAGGCGGCGAGATCAGTCAGCTCGAAAAGCTCTACAACTCTCTGGGAACACCCACCCGGATTGAGTGGCCTGATATTGTGGAGATGCCTTGGTTTGAACTCATGCGACCAACTGAGCGCAAGAAGAGGGTCTTTGAGGACGTGTATTGCAATGTACTATCCCCAGCTGCCCTGGACCTGGTTTCTCAGATCTTCCGCTACGATCCGGCAAAGCGACCTACAGCGGAGGAAGTACTGGCACATCCATACTTTGTGTTGGAGGAGCCAGCTCCGCAACAGGCTGTTGAGTAAGTCTGCTCACTTCTGATTTCTCTGGTAGATCACTACTAACGGCTGTAGGTTGGAAAACATTGAAGGTGATTGGCATGAGTTCGAATCTAAAGCGCTTCGCAAAGAGAAGGACAAGGAGGCTCGTCGCGCAGAGTACCAGAGAGATAAGGAGAAAAGGAAAGCGGCCTCATCGGCTCCGCAGAGTGACAGAGACTCCAAACGTGCCAAGCAAGAACCGGATGAGAACCTGCAAACCTCGGGTCAAGCTCCTGAAGAATAAGATCGGGGGGGTTTTTTTTTGCTGGTCTATCTATAATGATCCCCCCTCCCTACAAGCTATGGAACCTCGACTGGTTCCGCAGACACTGGCCTAATGGAAGGTCTTGACTTGTTCAAAGGAGCTTAATGCCATCATTGAATCCATTATGAGCCGATACCCTCTTTTTCGGAAGTTTCCTCTGGTGCAACTTGTCCGAACATCTCGACCCCATATTGAGTGGACGTCACTCCCCCCAACGGAAATTGCGGGTTCGCAGTTTTCTTCTACCATGTCCTTATATTATGTATTTCAAGCCTTCAAGACGGTCGAATGTATAGACTCATCGAATTAATCCAGAGAGACACATCGGGGCGATGGTTTTATTCTACTATAGCAATTCTTTCAGAGAGTGGCACCCTGACTTGGCGCTGGTGTGCTTGAATATCGTGCAACTGTCTTAAGAACATGTTGTCTCGACAGCGCAATCATTCGTTTCAATCTTCAGGAGAGTAGACAGGTAGACTCATTGATCACTTACGAACTAATTGCTTGGGGCATGTGGTCAGCGAACGATCAGGAAAGCCACTGCAAGGTGGATGAATAACAGCCATGGAACGAGAATTGTCGAATCAGATTATGCCATTGAACCTCAGGCTCAACCAGCTAGGCCAATATGGCTCAATACAAGCGGTTGAGCAGCTCGGATTACCAGAGTACGAGTATTTCTTCACACACGAACAGACAAGAGGAATGGAAGCCAGCGTGGCCCAGGGTGAACAAACAGGGACTTTTTAAAACGCACCAGCTCTACGAAACATATAGACCCAGGAGATTTCACAATCGCAAGCCATGTATTAATCGTGATTAGATAGTATAGAAAAGAAAAAATAGACAAGTATCTAGATGGGACTGTCCCGTCATGCAGGTCATCAACGCATCATGGGTAGCCCGAGAGCCCTCGTGATGATGGTTTTAGATGCGGGGATTCTGAAGAGAACTCATTCTCGACACACTCATCGGAATCGCCAGAGCAGTGGAGGCGGTAAGAAAGATACGCAGCCAGCGATGATTTGAGTTGGTGGTCTTGGGTTTTGTGAAGAAAAAAAAAAGAAAAGAGAAAGAGAAGAGCAGAGCGGACGAAGAGCTTTTTAAGTGCAAAACGCAAGGAAAAACATTGCTGCGGGCGGAGAAGAGCGGGACTGATGGTGATTGGCTGGCGGCGGAGAGAGGGGGAGAAACTCCAATAATGGGCGGATTCGCTGGATTTTGTAAGTGGTGATGATTCTGCTCTGCTCTGCTCTGCTCTCGACCTTTACCTTTGGTATCTCGTCCTTCGAAAGAAAACTCCCTTTCTTCCTCCCTACTCTCTGATCTTTTCCTTGCCTACTTCTACTACGTTTTTATCTCCTAGTCTTCTCCTTCTACTACTATCAATCCGCTTTATTTCCTTCTCCCCTCCCACTACTACCATACACGGTCTCTCTCTCTCTCTCTGCCTCACACACACACAGACATACTCCGTACATACGTACCTACATAACTCAACCACCTTGTTTACGATCACGATCACGATTTCCTTCATCTCTCTATTTCCTTCGATATATTGTTTGATTTCTTATTAGCTTCTTCCCTTTTTAATATCTTCTTGTCTTTCGCTCCCCGTCGTTTTTTTTTTCTTTTCTCTCTCTCATTGGCTTGGTGTTGCCGTTGCTGTCTTCTTTTCTTCCCGCCTCCCTCTGGTCTGGCCCTGCGATTTCAGCTTCGCCCGACGTCTACCTGCCGCGCCTTCGGTTTTCCCTGATGACCGTTCGCCTGTCGAACAGTCTGAACAGCTAGCGCTATGGATAATGCAAACTTGTGGACTCGCAGAGCTAAGTATGTTGACGATCCGATCTTCGCCGTCGTGGGTTATGTATGATCCTCGCGCAACGCTAACCTCTGTCGTGTCTCTAGCTCCGCCAAATTGTCTCTGTCTATGACGGGAACTGACGGAAAGGACGGTGGCGCAAGAGTTGACCTCCCCCGCGGTCATACAACGAAGCGTTTCGGTCCAGATAGCTCGCACGGTGGCCGATCGAATCCCTTCAACGCATTATCCCCCATCTCGGGTGGCGTGTCCTCCCCGTCGACGAACGCTTCCTCCGCATTCGGTCTGGGTTCCGGTGCATTCGCATCCTTCGGTACCCCCAAGACGCCTGGGACCAGTGCCTCGGACCTGAATTCTTCCAAAGCGCCTGGTGAAAAACGGGAGGCTGGTTCGGAGTTGGACTCGGTTGCGGAGATCAAGACCAAGGCTCCTGTCTCTGGTCCCCGGGATCATGCCTTGAAGTCCACTTGGGTGATCTGGTACCGTCCGCCGACCCCGAAATATTCGGACTATGAGAAGTCCACTGTCCCGCTTGCATCTATATCCTCGGTGGAGAGCTTCTGGTCGATATACTCCCATCTCAAGCGCCCTTCTCTCCTCCCCACCGTGTCTGACTATCACATCTTCAAGAAAGGCATTCGTCCTGTATGGGAGGATGATGCCAACAAGAAGGGCGGAAAGTGGATCGTCCGGTTGAAGAAGGGAGTGGCTGACCGGTATTGGGAGGATCTTCTGTTGGCCATGGTCGGTGATCAGTTCGCCGAGGCTGGGGATGAAGTCTGTGGCGCCGTACTTAGTGTTCGGAGCGGCGAGGATGTTTTGAGTGTCTGGACCCGGATCGACGGAGGGCGCAACATCAAGATCAGGTAAGTTCTCAGATGTCTCAATTGACAGCCCAGTGGGTACAGAACGCTTACTCGCGGCAGGGAAACGATCAAACGCCTGCTTGCCTTCCCGGCGGACACCAACATCGTATGGAAGAGCCACGATGATAGCATTGCTCAGCGCTCCGCAATCGACCAGGCCCGCCAGGATAAGGCTTCCGGGAATACCGGTCACCATCACCACCTCGGAGGGGATCGACGAAGAAATATGCCAAATGACGACTCTATTGGAGACAAGGGAAAAGGAACGGCGTCTTGAACTACCCAGTTTGATTCTGATTCAAATCTTCCTGTATAGTAAAGAGGTCAAAATTCATTGGGACGTTTCTGGGTTCGGGGGCATTGGCGAATCATTGCGTTTTGACTTTTTGGCTCTTCTTTTATACTTCTTATTTTATGTCTTCCATGTTCGTCTTCCATTGTCTTGGGGAGGGTCTTGTGGCTTCCATGATTCGCTTTACTACGGCTTGTTTGGGATAATGCGAGAGACGCTACGCAGGTCAACAGACAGTGTCATGTCAGGCGCAATGTCAAATTATGCTTCATGCAGTGCTTCGATCCCTTGTCTAGCTCAGAGTACTCCTGTGTGCATATCCGGACCACATACTGTAACTGGACTCTATAGCCTATCCATCTAGATAGTATTTATCTAGGTAAGCACCTGGGTAGATAGGTCTCGTATCTGGCTGAGCGATCGACAGCCAATGATGCCACCAATGGATAACTACAAGAGGGAATGACTGCAGCTCTCCCACTTAGCGTCGATTTTCTTTCCGCACTGCAGAAAAGGCAGAAAACTGGTCGACCGCCTTTCTTGTTATCCATGCATGATATGATACAGCGACTCTTCCAATAGTCTCTCTCCTCTTTCTATATTTATTGCCTATCTATGGATTATTTGATGTCACTCTGAAGAATGGTCGATCGCCGAAGCACTCAGTGTTCTCCGTCTTGAATATATGCCGTTCTTCGAGAAATTATCAGAGCTGATCGCCCCATTGACTTCTCCCCGTCGCCGCGGAAATCAGCACGACTTGCTTCCCTCTGCACCATCAGATGCAATATCGGATCCGACACGACGGACTCAGCTGTCCGGCGCGAGCGATGCTCTTTCTTTAGGGCCCTCTGCATCCGATTTTCAGCCTCACGCTGAACCACCCGGTGAACCCGTCAATGTAAGGCCACATTATACTCTAAATCTCTATGCGCCCCTCTTTTCTTTGCATCAATGTCTCTGGTCACGACACTTCGCTCCATGCGCTCTTCTATCTTTTGCCTTTCCTATTCTACCCCTACGATGCGCACTGCGACTAACATATTGTTGCATTACAGCGGCTCCATCGCTATGCCGAAGGATTTCGACCTACCTCACAATCTCGGACTGTACGTTCATTACTGTGTCGGACCATTCCTCGACCATATTCAGGGATGCGTCGACTGTAAATATATCCTTGAACATCTGTTTCCTCAGCGAACAACACTGATGCAAAGGGAACAGGTCCACAGACAATGGGTCCATACGACGGGACCAGGCGACTTCCCTACAGGACGAGGATAGGCTGTTTCCTCCATCTTCTACACGGTGCGTTGCGACGGAATACGCACTATACGAGTTCTTTCAAGAAGGATGACTGATGTCTTCATTCTCTCTTTTAGCTTAAGTCCCAGCGGAGTGCCCATAATACCGGGGCAGATATTCAAAAAGAAGAACCCGACCCAGGTATGCAACATCTGAAATACCATGGCCCGATCATGTTCCATCTAACACCGGGCTTCAATAGAACCTCAGAGGGTTCAAGCCTGTTGACAATATATCTTCAAGAGGCCGAGAAAGCGGGCCAGTACGTGCACGAGGAAAGCAGGGAAACCGCGTTGGCTTCCAGACCCTATCTGCGATCAGTGTCCCACGCCCGGAGACGTTTCCTGAGCACAGTTTCTCGGAAAGACCCACAAAACGCCAGCGACGGGATACCCAAAGTTCACCGGTCCCAAAAGTGATTGACGACTCGGAGGATAATTTGACATTACGATCAGTCGTCGATCCATCGTCAACCGCTGGAAATAAGCCACGTCAGTCGCCAAGTTCGAGCCAACATTCTGACAAATCCAAGAAAAATAGGAAAGCTAAACTCAACGCAGTCGATGAGTTTCGTCAGGTGGAGAAGAACGTCAGGATTGACCGCCCTCAACCCAGTCCGAAGCTTGGAGCCAAGAGATACCACCGTCGCTTTTCACCGGAGGATGATTTCGAACAGCGTTTTACCGAAAATGCTACGAGACAACGACGTCTATCGGCCCCCAGTGATAGATCCGAGGTGCTGCAGAGCGTTGAGATCCAGCGCCCACGAGAAGCTGGGACTTCACCCCACCGCCTTTATACGAAGAGCGGAAAGCGACGAAATTCAGATGCGCGCGAGAGCCCGGATGAGTTACAAGGGGCAGCAACCGTGCAGCCCGCACCGGATTCCATCAGTGGCCTCCGTAAGAAAGACGTCAGGGGCGGAACCGATCCAGAGGAAAAAGCGGGCACCACTATGCAACGGGCATCGTCACCGGCAGATATCCAACCGACACTCTTCGTCAGCTCAGCGCGTCAGGGCCAGGGGAAATTGAAGGGGAAGAGCGCTAAATTTAAAAAACGTGCTACCTCCTTTCGGTTCTTCCAGGCGACATTTTTTCGGTTCGGAAATATTATTGCGTCAGCATCCGGCCCCAAGCCCATCGATCTAGTTGTGGACATGGCTCATGAGATCCTCGAAATGAATGAGTCATGTCAAATTCTTCTTCAAAGAGTCGACAGGGTTCTTCGAGGAGACTCAGAGAGCTCCAAGGTCCGGCTTTGTCTATCTAGGACGGAAGGCACCGGTGACTGCAATGTGGATATAGAGCTCACCTCCTCTCAAGAAAAGCAAGATTTTTGCTCCTTGTTTATCATAGGACATTTCAACGTTGTCAACAAGGAAGGGTATGTACCATCCACCCCTATGAAATTTGTTGAACCAAGCTCACAGGCCAAGTAAATGGATGGACGACGCGTTCAAAAGGGGCAAAACCATGATGGCTTCACCACGGAACACGAACGGATCCAAGCGACCAAGCTTGAATGGCGTTTCTGAATCTGTGCCTGAGGCACGAGTCGAAGTACTAAAACGACCTAAGCTTTCGACCTCGTTGGAAGACGATCGCGGGAGCCTTTCTGTTCCTCTACCAAACCCAAAAGGCGCATCCCACAGCCCCAAGCCACTACATAAATCTTGGGATATCTCTTCGAATGAGACGACAAACCCTATTTTCTCCAAAGTTGATACTAAGGAGGCGGTCGAGATACCAGTTAAAAAGTACAAAGGGGAAGCCACAATCTCCAGCCGTGCGACAAGATCGACCTCGCGGCGTACGCAGCCAGCAACAATAGTATCGTAAGTGTTTACTAGAGTCTCAAGATAAAATCGTCGACTGATTTGTCATTACAGCGATGACGAAGAGGACCATTTGCCAGAACCGAAGCTTGATCAAAAATCAAAGAGATGGCAGCAGTATGTTCTGCCACTCGTTCATCTAACAATGTGCTGTACTAATTGATATGATTAGGTCGCTCGTGTATCCACGGTTCGGTAAGAAGAAAGCTGAAGTTGACGCTTTAGACCTTGAGAGATTACGGGAAAACGAATTCTTGAACGACAATTTAATAGGATTCTACATACGCTTTCTGGAGGACCATTTGGAACGGAATAACAAGGAAGTATCAAACAGGGTTTACTTCTTCAATTCATATTTCTTCGCGACTCTCACGAATTTACCACGGGGGAAACAGGGAATCAACTACGAGGGCGTTCAGAAATGGACAAGGAATGTCGACTTGTTCAGCTATGACTATATTGTCGTTCCCATCAACGAAGCGGCACATTGGTATGTCGCGATCATTTGCAATCTGCCGCAATTACCGGGCATCGTCAATGAAAATCCAGCGGTGGATGAGGCGTCGAAGGGCAGCAGGGAACCTTCTACAGTACCGAGCCTTGAAGTCCCAGAAATCTCAAACACACTCGATGCCAAAGGAGGAAATTCTTTCAATAACGACGTGGCTGAACATGCGATTCGCCAGGGATCTGTTCCCGGCAAAGAGGAGTTGGCTCGTGAATCACTAGCTGCAATGAGCTTATTGGACCAAAAGGAGTCAAAGGACAATGAATCGCAGGAGGTGCCTCCTTCAGACGAAGATTGGCCGGAAAAAGAGGAGAATCCCCTCTCCTCACCTGCTAAATTCTCTAGTCCCCGACGGGACGCTGGGTCTACGAAGCAGGTCGATTCCCAAAACGCCAGCCAAACTTCTGCCGCGGGCAGTCAAAAAGGACGGAAGCCGAAGAAGAAGCGCCTGGGCCCAAAATATGATGTACGGCAGCCAATGATTATCACATTTGACTCTTTGAATCTGCCACGCTCGCCTACGATCAATGTGCTGCGGAATTACCTTCAAGAGGAAGCCAAGTCGAAAAGGGGGCTTGATATCGATACAAGCTTGATCAAAGGCATGAAAGCGCAAGAAATCCCATTGCAGCCCAATTACTCAGATTGCGGTCTCTATCTGCTTGCATATGTGGAGAAATTTGTCCAAGACCCAGATACATTCGTGACGAAGCTGCTTCGGAAGGAGATGCGTTCAGAGGATGACTGGCCGCCCTTGCGGTCTGGCCTCCTTCGGCGTCGCTTGCGAAAATTTCTTGACGATCTATATGACGAACAGAAGCAGATGAATCGCGAGAAGGCAAATGAAAAGATTACCATGGCGGACAAGCAGCCGATATCTTTTCTTCTTGGACATTCTGAGCCGGAAGGTGGACCAGATGCTACGACCACCACGGCTGTCTCGCCTGTGCGATATGAGAAATCACCAAGCAGAAAGCCAGCAGCGAAAAATCTGGATTTGGAACTTGCGAAACCCAACAGGCATACTGCACGCGAAACACAGCCCAAAGCTAACTCGTCCAACGATGATGCATTGGACGACGTGGTTGAAAAGGACAAGTCTTTGCCCCGAAAATCTCCAGCGAGTTCTACAGAGCCATCTGTTCGCGAAATAGTCGAAGTTCCCGACAGCCAAGAGCAGGCAGATGATGACTCTCGAGCCTGCCAATCGCAAACTAAGCCCCAAGGTCGACAGGATGTGGGTAAAGACACAGTTCAAGTCCAAGTACCTCAGTACCCTGTGGAAGACAGTAGTGTCGAAGTGCGGATCCTCGGAACTCCTCCCCCGGAATCATCTCCAGACGCGCAAGATCGCATTCGCAAGAGTCCGCGAGGTTTCAAAAGCAAAACCGGTCACGCATGAGTGAAGATGCATATATTTCTTTTCTTTTCTTCCACTTCCTTGTTATTTTCTTTATTTCCTCTCTAGAGCGCCCATAGAAGCTCGGCCTTTTGACTTCGGAGTTTCGGACGGTAGTGACAGGAGTTGCTATGTGCTTCTGGGAGTGCATCTGATACCACACATTGTATATGAATTATGATTTCCATCTCAGTACGAGCGTCCCGCTATTTCATTGCTATCACTTGTCACTTGTTCCATCTTGCACCTTGCCGTCATAGCTATATGGCCGTGTATCTATTAGAATGACCCTGAAAACATTCCATCAAACAACTATTACGCTGATCAACTGCTTTATGCTGTCAAATGCATCTTCTGCTTTGCTCGTACTCTCCCCCCTTAAACAGCTGCGCCGACGCAGTCACCATTCGCTCTCATCCGCATTCACCCACCACGCCATCTTATCCCGCTTGAAAGCCTCAAAGTCCCACTCCGCATCCTCCAGCCGATCCTCCCCCGCCACATACACATAGGTCATCGCCTGCACCTCCTCCCTCTCATCCGCAAACTCTGCCCCCGCCGCATCCAGCACATCCTTCAGATGCCGGTCCGGATTCTTGGTAATACTCGCCTCCTGCCGCCCCCCAACGCTCAACGACTCCATCAACACCCGCACACCCACGCACTCCTTGACATACTCCGACCCCTCGAAGATATCCAGCCGGTGCACGTCCCCGTCCGTCAGCCCCGAGACCACCGTCCCCAGCACGGACGCGTGCATCGAGTCCTTGCTCGGCACGATGCCTGGGTAATCGGCCCCGCGCACACGGTGCCGCTGGTAGCCGTGCAGAATAGCCGGTTTGAAGGTGAGCATGGCCTTTTGCCAGGGTTCGGGGTCGGGGCGGCCGTGGATTACCCTGTGGAGGATTTGGGGCGCCATGAGGGTTCCTGTGTTTCGATTGTTAGTTGAGTTGTTTGGAGGAGTGCGGTGGGACGGGTGGGGTTGAGAGGAGGAAGATAAAGGTCAAGGAGGGTTTGCAGTTTGGGTGATAGGTTGGAGAGAGGGTTGTAGGGATATTGGGGGGGGGGGGGAGGGGGGAGCTTACCGTAGAAGAAGAGGACGTGGTCTCCCATTTTGTATGCTTTGGGAGATTGTGTCTGCAAAGCAGATTGATATATATGGTGGGATGATCGCTTGCGGAGTTGAAGACAAGTCGGATATCACACAGATATACTTCGAAATCCTATGCCAAAGGCTAATCCATAAGGACATGGAGACTGAGACTGAGATGATACCATACACACTATCACAGATAAGAGAGGAGTATGTCTCGCCCTTCAGGCTCTAGTCGCTGGCCTATACTTTGTTTCGCCAGGCGTCCATAACTCCATACTCCCTCCGCCTGTTGAGGCCATTGCAGGACCCACCGCTTATCGATAAGAGCTAGCTAGCTAGCCCAGCTGCTGCGCCACATCCACCTCACCGCCCGCAGCGAAAAGGCCCATGTGGCTTCAAGCAATCCACAGCGATGCTGATGTGGAGGGAGTAAATAACAATCGCTACGTCGTCGCTTCGGCATCACCCAGGGGGACATTGGCCCTTGATCTATTTATCTTTCTGTCCAGGGTGCTTGATTGACCTCGGTTGTTTTATCTTTGGATAGTCATTCGGTGCTGATCTCACCTCGGTATCCTATTCAACAATGCATTCGTCCCTAAACAGAGCCCAGGGCGTCTTTGGTTTCTTCACCACCGTCGCCTTATGCGTCGCGGGTCTAGCTGCCTTATCGGTGCTGCTGTACCCTGCGCATGATGCAAAGGCTCAGGTGTCATTGAAGAATGTACAGGTGTATGTCTATCCGTGGACTTCTCCGATTCCGCCGTCTTTATTATTGTTCGCTAACGAGACGCGCTCTGTAGAATCAAAGGCCGGCCTAACTACTACTCCGCCAAGAAGGAAGAGTATGCGCAGATGAGGTTTGATCTGGATGCGGGTATGTTGGGCCCTCCGACTCGACAAGTATAGCAAACAGATCTCCTAACACGAACACGAACATGAACAGACCTCTCTCCGCTCTTCAACTGGAACACGAAACAACTCTTCGTCTACGTCTATGCCTCCTACTCCTCCTCGGACAAGAAATCGTCCCTCGTCCCGAACTCCGAGTCTATCATCTGGGACACCATCATCCCCGCCCCGGAATCGCCGTACTCCTTCAACGCTCTCCGCGAGCGTTTCTTCCCCGCGAAGAAATCGTCCGGCCGCAAGAACCAGAAGCGCACCAACGCCGCTTCCAAGAAAGCTTCCACCTCCAAGAAGGATGCAGCTGCCGCCCCCGGCGTGCTCCGTCTGCGTGGCCAGCGCGCCAAGTACCAGATCAGCGACATCACCGGTAAGATGGCGGAGCGCGGGAACGTGACGCTCTCCGTGGGCTGGAACGTGCAGCCCTGGGTGGGTGCGCTGTTGTGGAGTCCCCGGACTGGTGCTTTCCCGCATACGGCTGGGACCATTGTTGATACCAAGGCCTTTGATTTCCCGGCTTTGAAGGGAAGTAAGGCTAGTGCTGCCAAGGCTAGTGAGCAGGCAGCAAAGTCCTCTGTGTAGACTCTAGAGTGCGATTCTGATGATCAATGGGATAGAGTTATTGCTAAAGTCAATGAAGGCGTAAATAACATCACTAATTCATGCGTAGCACAACTTGGCAAAGAAATTATTGAACAAACCCGAAAAAACTCTGTCATATGTCATACTACCAATAGGTAAGAGTACCAGAAAGCAGTGAGTATGAGAATATAAGTAGAGCAACCCTCACAATCCAAGCATTGATCATCCAATTCATTTCATTTCGCCCTAGCCCATCCGATTCATATTGGTCCTCGAAATCAGATATATCCAGAAACGGGTACACCCGTCGAACGTTCAGAGAGTGCTTCCGTACGATCGTCCGGGAGGTCCTCCCTGTATACGATCGGAATACACTCCGGGAGCATGGCGTCGGGCCATGGGGTCTCCCTTGCGGTTGTGATAGTATACATATTCTAGGTAGAAAGCATGGATATGGCCCGGAAAGTATCTATATTCAGTCAGCATTGTTGTCGGCATGATCAGTTTAGAATTTTTGAGACAGCGCATTGCGGAACGATTGAAGGTGCGCAGGGAAATGTGTAAACTAACCCGAGGATCGTGAGCAGGATATTGATGAGGAAATCCACGCTGCAGCCGGAGATCATAAAGACACCGAGAGGAGGAACTAGTGAGAGTATCCGGGTTAGAGATAATTAATCATTTGGGTTATTGCTGCAACAAAACAGAGGCGCGAGCATAAGCAAGTCTTACTGAAAAGAGTGACAAGGATCAGGCAGAGAATGGACGCCGTTCCTGCCATTATGATGACCACAAGAAGACTCGATTTATTTTAGATGAAATGTTGGGGTTCACAATCAGTTGCTGTCTTTCACCGTGCGTTTCGTTGAATCCCAGGAAGTGCCAAGGAAGCTGAGAATGAGTATCACAAATAACAGTATGAAGATGTAAACGGGCGAAGTGTCTTCGCGGGGGAGATCGAGACGATTCATTTTTATATCGACAAGTTAAGCGCCACGCCACCAACGGCTGCAATATCCCTGGAGCTCTGGTAGGAGTCTCAATGACTTAACAAAAAAGACATATGAATAAATGATCACCTCATAAGGCTGAAGGCAGAAACATTGTTGGCCTCAGGATCTGCCGGAAATGGTCTGACCTGACGTCATCCCGCGCTTCTCCGGGTTCTGAATACCCGCTAGTCCCTTTTAGATATGATTACTGCGCCACTGAAGCATGGGGATGCAGGTGTGGCTTGTAATAGAATCAAGGGTAGTGGTCATAGTGCAGATGAATGTATGTACATATAATGCCACACACCAATCTATAAAGTAGCCCCTGGTGAGCTCTATATTTCTTCATTTCAACAGAAGACCGCAAAAGATTTGAAATAATACAGAGCACTCACACAGCATCTATCGATGCTCTCGTTGTGACCTGCTCGTTCTTATTGCCAAGTTTTGAGATTTGGAGGAATGCATCGACTCCATAACCTTCTAAACTGTGTAACTCCAGGCTGCCTGCCCAGTATTCGGCGTAGACTCGGCTCATTGGAAGGCCAATCCCCAGGCGTAAATTGGGTGGACGCGAAGTCAGGGAGTCGAGTGACCCGTCTCGGAACGTTTCTCGGTCCGCATGCTTCCTTTCTTTGGACACTGAGAGTTCCTGCATTGTAGCCGCCATCGCAGGAACCTGTTTCAGGTTTTGGAGGCGCGCTTTGCTCAGAGGACCCTTATCAAAAGACCACAAGTAGGGAATCAGTTCGCGCGGGATTCCACCCGCTTGGTCTGACACTCGCATAATTACATGCTGGGGCGCTTCGCAGATGAGCACTTCGATAGGTGGGGGACGCTCGGGCGAATTTTTGAACTTCTCGCTGACGGCCTGGATCGAATTACGCAGAAGCTCGCCAATGATATACTCCAGATGGCTCAGAATGTAAGGAAAAGTCGCATCAAGATGTCCTTGTACGACAATGTCAGGAATTTTATCCGTTCCTGAGCTCTGCCGCATCATGTCCTGCGCAAGCTTGCCGCAGCGTTCGATGACTTCTCTCGCATTGCATTTGAGAAAGACCTCTCCGACAAAGTCTGCATTCATATCAGTGCGGTCCTGAGCGCCTGGAAAGTGCCATGGAGAGTTGAACGTTTCGGTCAGAGCCAAATGTTGCTCGGCGATAACACGACGGGAGATTCTCTACCAATTGTATAGATGATCAGTCAACCACGCAAAACCAGCAAATTAGTCGATTGTTCCATAAGCGCCATACCGATCGAAGAAGAGCATTCATGAAGGAATCCATCACGCCAGGCGCCACAAGATCCCGACATTCCAGAACACCCATGGCTAGTTTCGGTATCACAACCAGATGGTCTCTGAGTGTTTTCCGTAAGATATCACAGAAATTCTCGTTGTCCTCCAGAGTCTTGATCTCCGGTAAAACGCGAAACCGTTCAAATGCCTTGTAGTAGAGCTCATAGACCAAAGAGAGATGCGGATTCGCTACGACGACGTATGGTAGCTTTTGAATATCACGTAGCCGATGTGCGATCCTTATCGAGAAAATAGCGAAACAAATTAGGCTGGGATAGCTTTATGGATTCGAAGGGCGATGCGCATACTGACCTGGTGGGCAGCTCAGTTCGCACGTAATTTGCGGAACTGATGAGCCGCGACTCCGTCAAAGTGCGTCCAAAGAAGGTCAATTGCCGTAGACTTATAGGTCGAATCTCGCGTTCGACCCATCTGTCAAGCACATCGGGTTAGCAGCAGTTGCCTTTGACCATGCTGGTGGTGTTGCATACTCATCAAGCACTGAACCAGGCCTCCACGGAGGCGGGTGGTGTGAGCACCCAGTATTTGAGTAGAATCGTGATCTATGCGTATGGCTCTGTCGAAGTGGACGCCAGGAGCGAAATGGGTGACTTCTCCGCATGATGGAGCGTGCTGCAGTTGACTCACTGTGAGATTAGGGCCAGAAATTTGAAGATGCGGTTTGGCAATGGCGCTCAAATTCAGCCAGGACGTCTAATCAATGTAGAATAAATATGTTGTCTTCCAAACATGGCTCATCCACGGGCAGTATATACTCTATCACCAGATGTTCTATTCACTTGGTGATGGCATGACATATTGCTGGAAATGTACAGAGTACATGGGTGGAGGGAATCTGCAGGCAAACACAACAACCAAAGGCGGTGAGTGCTCAGCTTAGCATGTGACACTGCGAGATCTATGGGGGTTTATCATTATTACTATTGAGGAATTGAGCTGCCTGCCTGCTTCAATGATCTGCGCAATGATTGTTCTATCCTACTGATTCTCTCTATCAGAGCCATCATCAACATGGCCAAGTGTATTGCAGATGATTGCCCACGGCTCGTTGGTCTCAAAGTCACCACTGAGATGACTACGCCTTGGGAATATATCAACAATATGGGATGAAATGCAGAACCGAGGAACTGACAAAACAGTGACAGGAAGGGTGGGTATATGCCAGTGCACATGCTATGGAAAGTACATGTTCTACACATCATTTCATAGGATAATTGTTATTGTTTTGCCAGTTGCTCGATTTCTGGGTTATTCCCCGGCTCTAACGGATATTCATGAGTGATATCATCCTCGAGGACATTTGTGCGACTATACATCTGATTCTTCCTGTTTCTTCCCCTCAAAATCGCCGTTTTATATATGACCAACACTTTACTCGGGAAGACATTGAAATTTGCTGATGAACAAGGATAATGCAGGTCAAAGCGAAGGAAGTACTGGTGTTGATCTGGGACATTTGCAACTATGCCGTCAGAGAGACTGCCCTAGGGCTTACCTAAGTCAAGAGTACAATGTCAGTACACTGATAATGCAGAGAACAACAGCACCAGTAAGCTAGGAATGAGTATCCAATAGTACCTCTTTTATTCATCCTTCCTTTATATATCTGAACAGATTATCTACTCAAGCTGTTCTCCGCCATGCAATCTGTAGATGCCTAGGCAGTTCTCTCCAAAAGTACAGGCGGTCTTGGTGTCCCACCTATTATTATTGGGTTCTGGGAACTCCGCCACTAACTTCAACTCCTCTGAACCGGAATCTGCTGCTGCAATACTCTTCTATCTACCACTCACTGTCCGGTGTCGTCGCTCTCTTTTATCCTTCTCATCTCATTTCTGCTGAATTTTTAAATACTCTTTTCTCCCCCCATCTGCCTCCGGGGTAGCTCACCCAGACTGTCCTTGATCGAGGGTGCCCTTTTTTTTTTTTTTTTTCTTAGTTGAGTGCTTGAGCGCACTTTTCTTTCTTCATGGACAACGTAAGTCCCGAGTCCGTTTGTGGATTATTCGCATACAAATCAAACATATACTGCAGTGATTTGAACAAACAATGAACTCTTACTGACTCAAACTCTCGTGTCTTCCTAGGTTGCGGATAATGAGATGCTCGTCGATGAATACGAGCAGTATCACAATGACAGGACGGATGATGTCGTGGTCTCTCGCTCTGGTTCAGAGGAGCCAGAACCAGAGCCCCTTGCGGATGACTGTAAGAACCCTCGTCGTACCGCTCAGATTCCATTCAGATGCCCGTCTTTGTTCGAGTACGCTGGAAATTGATTCCTTGGGTCCGGTGGAGGAATGCACCTGCAAGGACATTCATTGCTGGGGCTCCGAACTTTTCACAACATCACTCACAATGCCATTTTCCAATGCTGAGCGCGACTATAGATCCCGCAATGATGGCTCGCATCCTCCCGAAGGATTCCGACTTAGAGACCGCAGACGAAGCGTATCACACATGGCACATTCAGGATTGGCGCAAGCTGAAAAAGAAGGAGCATGGGCCAGTCTTCCAATGTGGGGGATTCCCTTGGTGAGTCTACCCTCCTCGGAAGCAGCACGGTTACTGTTCGTTTCTGATTTTGCCTCCATAGGCGGGTGCTCTTCTTCCCTTACGGTAATCAAGTTGAATATGCTTCATTCTACCTGGAGCATGCTTGGGAGCAGGAACCCCCAGAGAATTGGTATGCATGCGTCCAATTTGCTTTGGTTCTGTGGAACGTCAATGACCCATCAATTTACGTATCTCATGGTATGTATCTCGATGACTCGGTGACCCCCTGCAAATATATCCCGCTTACCCAGATGTAGTTGCTACGCACCGTTTTAACGCAGACGAGGGCGATTGGGGCTTTACCAGATTCTGCGAATTGCGCAGACTTTTCAACATGCCATGGGAAGGCCGTGGAGTCCCGTTAGTGCAAAATGACGAAGCCAGAGTCACGGCTTACGTACGTGTTGTGAAAGACCCGACGGGTGTGCTTTGGCACACTTTCCAAAAGTAGGTTTTGTCTGACGATACACGTGTTCCGCGACGCTAATTCCAATAAGCTATGACTCGAAGAAGGAAACTGGCATGGTCGGGTTGAAGAACCAGGGTGCAACATGTTACCTCAATTCCTTGCTCCAGTCCTTATACTTCACAAACTCATTCCGCAAGGTCAGCCTTATCTCATAAGCCGACTATCGCATATGCTGACTGTTCCCAAGGCTGTATACCAAATACCCACAGAGGCCGAGGCGTCCAAAGAAAACAGTGCCTGGACTCTTCAAAGGCTATTCTACAACCTTCAAACCAGTGAGAATTCGGTATCGACAACTGAATTGACGGCATCATTCGGCTGGGAATCGCGGCAAATCTTCGAACAGCAGGATGTCCAGGAACTTTCGAGAAAGTTGATGGAAAGGTTGGAGGAAAAGATGAAAGGAACGCCAGTGGAAAAGGCATTGCCCGACCTCTTCGTTGGGAAGACGAAGACTTATATCTCCTGTATTAACGTCGATTATGAATCCTCGCGCGTGGAGGATTTCTGGGATATCCAGCTTAACGTGAGGGGCAACAAGACCCTTGACGACAGCTTCAAGGATTACATCCAGGTGGAAACTCTTGAAGGCGAGAACAAATACGACGCTGGTTCTCCCTACGGTTTGCAAGATGCAAAGAAAGGTGTCATCTTCGAAAGCTTCCCCCCTGTCCTTCATCTCCACTTGAAGCGGTTCGAATACGACATCAATCGCGACGCGATGATGAAGATCAATGACCGCCACGCTTTCCCCATGGAGTTTGATGCTTCACCCTATCTTTCCAATGACGCCGACAAATCAGAATCCTATATGTATGAGTTGCATGGAGTTTTGGTCCACAGCGGCGACTTGAACGCAGGACACTACTACGCATTTTTGAAACCCACTAAGGATGGACATTGGTATCGCTTTGATGATGATCGAGTTACTAGAGCTACTGACAAGGAGGTCCTTGAGGAGAATTATGGTGGTGAATATGAGCTTGCCAATGGCGCGGCTGGCGTACGGCAACCATACACAAGAGGACTTTCGACAAAGCGGTCTATGAATGCCTATATGTTGGTATACGTTCGCAAGACACGAATAGACGATGTTCTCTTACCGATTACGAAGGATGACGTTCCTTCTCACATTGGTGAGCTTTAGCAATGTCTTGTGCCGCTGCCACTCAGAACGCTAACAGTATCACCAGAAAAACGGTTGACCGAGGAAAGAGCGGAGTTTCTCCGCAGGAAGAAGGAGAGGGAGGAAGCGCACCTCTTTATCAACGTCGGAGTTTTGACGGAAGAGTCCTACAGATCGCATCACGGATTTGATCTAACAAGCACGGATCTACCTGCCGGCGATCCCGCCCTACCAAAGGCGTACAGGATACTCCGGGCTACGAAGGTTCGCGAATTCGCTGAGCAGCTTGCTGAAGAACGGGGTCTTAACGCCAATCAAATTCGCTTCTGGGTCATGGTTAACCGCCAAAACAAGACAACTCGCCCTGATCAAGTCATCAAAGACCCTGATATGACTGTCGAAGAAGCCTATAGCAGATACGGCACTAAAGGAAATCCATTCAAAGTATGGATGGAGGTTGGGCAGCCTGCTGCGGATGGGTCCATTCCTTCGCCGGATAGCAACAACTCGGTCTTAATCTTCTTGAAGAATTTCGACGTGCCGTCGCAAACCCTCACAGGAGTGGGAGCTGTATATGTTCGGAAGAATCAGAGAGTTGCCGACCTTGCTCCGACGATACTCGAGAAGATGAACTGGCCTGCCGGGACCGAATTTATGCTTTTTGAGGAGATCAAGCACAACATGATCGACGTTATGAAGCCAAAGCAGACATTCCAGCAGTCGGAGATTCAAGATGGTGATATTATAACATTCCAGCGGACGGTTAAAGAGTCCGAATTACCCCCGGCCGCATTGTACACCGACGCGAGACAATACTACGACTACTTGTTGAACAGGATCGATATTACCTTCGCTCCCTTCAAGGCTACCGACGGTGATGAATTTGTTCTGACTTTGAGCCGAAAGATGACATACGATCAATTCTCAAAGAAGGTTGGCGAGCATCTGAACGTGGAGTCAACGCACCTACGCTTTGCTCCCGTTCTGGCAAGCAGTGGAAAACCAAAGCAGTTCATCAAGCGGAACTCCAACCAGGCCAACCAGACTCTGTATCACATTCTTAGTGGACAGGTCAGCGGATATGGTTATAGTATGCACCGTCAGGATGCGCTATATTATGAAGTCCTGGAGACTAGCTTGAGTGACTTTGAGTCAAAAGTTTGCCTGAAAGTAACATTGCTTCCTGAAGGCATCACTAAAGAGGTAATTTCACCATGTGCTTGCGAGTCGATATCCTCAATGCTAATGCACACCGCAGCAAGTAATTGAGGTCCTAGTCCCTCGGGACGGTACCATCTCAGATCTCCTGGCGGGACTGCAGAAGAAGGCCAACCTTGAAGACGACGTGGTCCGTGAAATGCGGGTCTTCGAAGCTCACAGCGGCAAGATCTACAAGGAATATCAAGCCGACTCCAGGATCGCTCCTATCAATGAATATGTATCTCTATACGCCGAAAGAGTACCGGAGGAAGAACTCCAGATGCGGGACGGCGAGCGGACAATCAACGCATTCAACTTTGATCGGGAACCGAACAGGTCACACGGAGTTCCTTTCAAGTTTGTCTTGAGACCTGTATGAATATTCATTCCCCAGATGTCTTCCATGAGACTAACATCTCCCAGGGCGAAATCTTCAAGGAGACGAAAGAGAGATTATCCAAGCGGACGGGCATCAAAGGCAAGCAATTTGAGAAGATCAAATTTGCTGTTGTACCCCGATCGTTGTACTCTAACCCGCGGTATCTCGAAGATGGTGAGTCCTGCCTCTTCACATCGGGAATGACGTTCGACGCTAATCCATCGGTTGCAGATGATATCCTTTCCGACATCGTTGGTGACTCCGACGATCTGCTGGGACTCGACCATGTAAATAAGAATCGGAATTTTTGGAACAGGAGCGAGTCCTTTTTCATTCGATAGAGGTGTTTCATGCAACCAAATACTTGGTGGTGGCAATCGCAGGTGTTCTTCGCGTTTAGATAGCCTTTGTGCATCTCACTGACCTTTGAGCTTCTCTATATGAGATAACTATACTCCAAATGAAATAGCCGACTGTTTTTTGAACGATGCGACATTATGATTTTTGCGAGGATCTTGAGACCTTGTTTCTGTCTTTCTGCTAGCTCTATCTTTGGGTTCAGCGTGTACGATGTTGTTGATGCAGGATCCCTTCCTACCTTCTTGTCTGGTCATGTGAACCTGAAACACTCTGCAACATCATTCGCCAGCTCTTCACATCAATGATATTAAGGAATATCTGGACGAGTTAACAACTGTTGACACTGTAGATACTAAATTGACATGAATACGAAGACTCGTACTCCGTACTTCGTGTTCTAAGCTAAGAGCACAAGGGGGTGACCTGTTTGCGCTAGTCCTGAAGGGGCAATCTGCAAACACGCCAAACACCGCGAAACGCAAAGCTGTCCAGAACTTCCCCAAACACACCCTAGTCCTACCCAAAGGAAACCTCGCGCGTGCGTTCCCATCGACCATTCTTTCTCAGAAAGGAATTTTGCCTCATTCGATTGACGGACTACTTTCTTTTCCAGCGCTACGATGCATTTCGCGACTTTGTTAATAGGGGTCCTGGCGACTCTGGTGTCGACCGTCACGGCGACCGCCCTGACCTATCGACTCGAGGCGAACGAGAAGGCATGCTTCTATAACTACGTCGATCAGCGGAACGCCAAGGTGGCGTTCTATTTTGCTGTATGTGTTGATTTTTGGGGGGAAGAAGCTTGGGGGTGTGGCCATGAGGGCTGAGCTGATTGTGGGATCGAAATCTAGGTGCAATCGGGTGGTTCGTTCGACGTTGATTACTCGGTTGTCGGTCCCGGGGACAAGGTGGTGCTTGACGGAACGAAGGAGCGACAGGGCGACTTTGTGTTCACGGCGCAGAGCATTGGCGAGTACCGGTTCTGCTTCAACAATGAGATGTCTACGTTTGCGGAGAAGATGGTCGACTTTGAGATTGCGGTATGTTTTTTTTATTTTTTTCTCTCTACATTCGGGGAAGTTGGGAAATGGATGGGGAAGTGATGCCAGATAATGGGATGATCTTGCTGCATGGTTATTGACTCTTGTTTGTTTTTCCCGGCTGTAGGTTGAGAACGAGGAACGCGCGCAATTGCCTTCCCGGCAAGGCGCCAGCCCCGAGCAGGCAGGCGCACTCGAGGAATCCATCTACAAGCTGTCGGCGCAGTTGTCGACCATTGCCCGCAACCAGAAGTACTTCCGGACACGGGAGAACCGCAACTTCAGCACCGTCCGCAGCACCGAGCGGCGGATCTTCAACTTCAGCGTGATCGAGGGCCTGATGATGGTGTCGATGGCGGGCTTGCAGGTGTTTGTTGTCCGGTTCTTCTTCCAGGGAGCGCGCAAAGGTATGTCATTTTGTCCTTTCTACAGAAGAGATGCAACCTGAATTTGTTTTTTTTTCTTTTTTTTTTTGGTTGAGGTATGGAGACTGACTACGTATCGACAGGCTACGTGTGATGAGTGTCCATGAAATATATCTGATTATGTCTGTTGAATTGTGGCGTCTACTCTTGTATCTACATCCCCCCTTTTGTCATGTCATAGGTTCTAGACTCAGTTCTCCTTCGATGCTTAAACTGGTTATGCAAGCGAGCTTTTTCTCCATCACCATCATCATCCCAGCGACATCACATTTCGTCTTGTCCGAACAAGGCAGGGAAAAAGAAAAAAAAATCAAAATTAAAATCAAGAAGTCCAAAAAAATTCGTAGCAAGCTTTGTTTTGCTCCTGTATCTGGTAGGTTTGGTATGACCATGTGGTCAGCATGGTCTTCCCTCTCTGCATCATTGATTGCACATTGCTCGACTGTAGTGCTAATGGAGGCTGACTTGCAACTCTTGCGTTTCTCCTGCTCTAGATAGTTCGGAGTTTGGGCGTGTAGTGTGCCTGGAAGGGGTATGCCTGGAGGAATATCCTCACGGTTACATAGCCGACGGATCGGATCAGGGGCAGCAAGCCCAGCAGAAAGCGAGACACCAACAGGCACCGGCGGCGGAGTGTACAGCATCCAGCAGTAATGGGACGACTTGGATACTGGTGAACTTCTTCTGGGATGCCCCAAGGGAAAAGAGCTACAACTCGGTAGCAGTCAGTCCGCTTGTATGATCTGATGTCGAAACATACCGAGCATCCAGCTATGTCTTACACAACTATACTACTGATATCCATACTCACCACGGACTACGGAGTACTCCGTACACAGGTGGACAGTCAGTCCACCCAATCCTACTACGGATGGCAGGAGTATGAAGACGGAGGGCCCATGCATGCACCCACCAGGACAATTTGATCTATCTCGAAGAACGGTTTCGAGACGCACGAAAAAAAAATGATAAGAAAAAAACAAAGTATAGAAGAGGCGGGTCGTTGGTACATGGGGGCAGAGGGGAATGAGTCGGCAAAGTGGACAAAGGCGTAGTTTAGCTGACGCTTGCGGACATTGATTGCAGCGGTTTTCACGCTGGGTTTTGTTGTTGGAGGATATGTTTTCCAAAAGGAAGCCATAAGGAGGAAAAAGGGCGAGATGATGCGATGCCGGTTCCATGACGTTGTGGGAGGAGACGTCCAATGTAAGGACAGTAGGTAGGAAGGCTGAGTTCTTGACCTTTGGTAGATAAGTGCTTTTGTCTCATTTCATCCACTGGGGGGAGGGAAGCTCCTTGTGTGATATCATCTGGGACACCGGTGGTTCCTGAATGATCGCATTGCTTTCTGTGTTGCTTTTCGCTGTCGACATTCTTGAGTCTTGACAAATGGCAGAATTGATCAAGAATCTGTTAACTGCTGATTCGTACTCGAGATTTTATTTACACTTTTGGGTCCTTTTTTGGTGGAGAAACACCCCATCTACAGACCGTGAGTCCATCCAATGACCTCCTGCGCGAGTCTGGGGAATAAGAGCAGAGGAAGGGGAACGATGATGGATGCTACAGCGTGGGAATCGAGCAACTGGCCTGACTTGGGGGATAGCAGATACCGCTGATTTCATCGGATCTTTTTTAATTGTGTTTGATGATTTTTTTTTTCTTTTTCTTCCTAACCCTCGTTGCTTTTCTATGCCCTTCCCCGGCAACGTCCAGGATCGCACGGGAAACGGGACATGGTGAACGCTGCACGAAACTGGAGATCTAGAATAGCGCTGACGATGGAGAGCTCCTTACAGTTCACACTCCACAGACAATGCCCATCTGTCATGATCGACGATTTCTAAGTCGTGAAGATCCAGTCCGCAACAGTTAACCCTCGCCAGAGGCATGAGCATAGACCATACATGCTGGACTAGGGGGCAGACTTCCTCTGGCGTCATCGGAGAGCATCCCGTGGAGGGTTGGCCGCTGGCTGCGGATTCCCCCATGTCATCTGCAGCAGACGGGGTACTTCTAGAGGCATCTATCTGCTTTAGGAGTAGTCAAACCGCAGGTTGTGCCTCTGCGGATGGGGTTGCAAATCAAATGGAGCTATGGGCGCCGAAAGATCCACATACTTTGACTCTGCCCTTTCAGCTGCAGCACTAGGCTACTCAGTAGGTACTGTACTCCATACACAGAGTAGGGTGAGTACTGAGTACTGATTGCTGAGGAGTGACGGGATAGTGGCCGCACCGCTACAGCGCAACTCGGCAGGAGGTGTTGCCGATCAGAGAATCAGGTATGGAGTAATTAGCCCTTAGCCTGTGATTCGTACACTGTCCTCCGTATACCTCGAGTGGAGGATGGGTTCTCGGATCTCTGCGAATGCGCGTGGGATGGGATCGAGACAGCGTGGGTTGAACGGGTGGCGACGAGGTCATATGGATCTCTTCTCCCTCTCAGCCTTTGAAAAGATATTTGCACCTTACATTATTGGGGAGGGAACGGAGCATGGTCAAGAATGGAGGCTGAAGTGGTGGTTGCATTTGGGTCTCGGAAAAGAGTTGCGAGAGTCCACCTAAAAGGGATCTAGATGGGGATGGCGAAAAACGGTGTCTCCCTAGCATGCTATACTATGGTCTATGAGTGTCTTCTGATTCGATCAACAGACAGGATTCGGAGCTGATGTACGGGAGCGACGAAACGGCATCGAAGTGCGAGGCTATGAGCATTGAGAGCTGACACTCCACTCGGAGATCATGAGCGTGTCATATGGAGCCGTGTGAAGCTGTGTTCATTTGCAGAGTGGGTTGCTATGAGCTTTTTTCCCATTGAAGTACTGAGCTTTCATAGCACCATCCTCTGTTTTTTTCTTAAATACCCACGAGTAACATCAATCATGCCCTTGATCTTGATCATGATTGAGGGGTATATTCGCGATGATAAATACTTTACTCTCTACTCTGTCTCTAGTATAAGTAGTATCTAGAATTCTAGATCGGAGTAGTAGAAGTGGCAGGGGTACGTCGGCACTCGGCAAAGCTCCAGTAGCACCAGCCACATGACGTCAATCTGCAACCTCAGGCATCACATTTCGGCCGTCTCCACTTGTTCTTCGATTGCAAAAAAAAAAAAAAAAAAAACCTCCATCGAAATTTACACCGAAAACATCACATCCCATACCACAGACAATCAGTCCCTCACAGCTTCGACACAGGCATCAGGTAACAGAACGAGTAAATGAGACGCTCATTTCTACCATTTCTAGCCTCATACCACAACGTCGGTGTCTTCGCCACAACAAGTATAATCCAACCCCCTTTATCAGCAACCCATGCACTGTTGGGATCTTGGGACTTCGAAAGTGACCCAATCGATCCAGACACCCTCGGTTCTCGCATTGGTCGATCTGGGGGGCAAGAAACTTTCCCCTTGCTGGGCTTTGTACCGATCTGGCTCTGTTTTGCCTGTAGGGGTATCTGCGGTTTAGATCTGTGAAATGGATGGGTAGACAGCAGATAGACAGTAGACAACGCTATAGATGTGTACAATCCTAGTCTATTGTGATACCGTCTTAGTAGAAGATGGCTTCGATTGTGGCCTTGTGCATGTCTCAGACTGACTCGCTGATTTCGACCGGGGACTCTCTATATTCTAATACCACGTACTAACTATGGGCTATGTTTATGGAGTAGCGTGGATGTCAAAATGCTAAGTACTACTACTACTAAATACTCACTAGATAAGTAGTAGACTGGGGTAGATGTCTATCTATCTACCTATAGTATCTACTATCTACTCATAGAGAGCTACCACTTAGACACTACCTACACCTGGACAGAATGACAGATACCTTATCCTGATACATTGGCCTACATTGAACTAATCATTTAGCACTGCTCCCTAAGACTTTAAAAAAATGCATCTTATCCTAATATCAATATCTCTTGTTGTGGATGTGAATATGGATAGCTTCTGATGCAAGTCCCTCTCCGCACGGATGCCACCGACTCTTCGGAAAGTCCACAAACTCTTAGTTTGGGGCATAAAAAAGACAGTGCGTCTTTGTGTCCGATAGTTTAGATTGCTAGAATCATTGTCCATGGCGATCTGCAGGGACGGTTTGCCTCGTCTGTCGATCGAACGACGCCATCCAATTCCCGTGGTCCAGTCGCGGCCCTCCTGTGACCTCATTCCGGAACCCCGTCAAAGTCTTCCGGGGGATGATTTGCTTTGATTCCCTCTGGGATTCAGTTGTCCAGCGTCCAGTCCACCGGTGTCCACTCAACCACTGTTCATTGTTCATTGTCAACTAAGAGACTAGTAACTTGCCCCATAAGCTTGTGGAGATTAGTCCTTAGTGGCCCTCCTCCAGAAGGACCAGAAGGACCAGAAGGACTAGCTAGATATTTGGGATATTTGTTTTTGGTGGATAAGTCAGAGAATGCATGAGGAAATAAGACGATTGAATTCCAATTTCTTTTTTTTTTTTTCTCTCTCTTTTTGGGCTGGAGATGTCGCCTACAGGAAGGACCTTTCTAGCTAATGATGTCATGGCGTCTTTGGATCCCCAGAGGAACAGCCACTCTACTTAGTAAGTAACTTAGTGACTGGAGATGTATCAACGCGAATGAATTCGACTCTAGAGGACCGATGAAAGCATCCTGAGGATCATTATAATGTTCATTACCGAGTCTAGTCTAACTAACTACCTCAATCATCCACCCCTATTGTCATCGATTGATCAAGCCCTGTGCGTTTGACATCCCTGGGAAAATTAGGTATGCCACTCACGGTTGATCCTCAACTCCCCCGAAGATACCAATGGATGGATTCCAGTCATTCATTCATATTTCGACGTTAATATTATTTGCATCCATCCTATTCTATCCTATCCATTGTTGTCATTTGTCTCACGGACACTGGCTGCTCTCTGCGGACTGTGATCTCATATCAGCCTCCAAAAAAGGATATATATCCCCCCCCCCCTCCTCCTCCCCCTTTCCTCGTCAGCCTCGTTTATCGCTCGTGAGGGAATAGTTGGAAGTATGAATATAGATCATTCAACCCAAGTGACATCCGTTCTCCATCTGCGTCTGCATCAATCCGTCCAAGCCACATTTGTACTAGTAATACCTAAACCCTAGGGTATTTGGCGTGTCAATCTGCCACTCCCCCTCCCCTCCTCTCTTTTTTGAGGCTTGTCCCAGGGATTCAATCACTTCTCTTCTTATCCTTTTTTGTCTCTTGTCGATTGTTTATCTATCCTCTACCTCATTTCCGCTGTTGCGTGTCTCGCGACCTCCCGGCTTCCCATCCACCATCAGCGCTTGTCTCTATCCTCGTGCACGATAACTTGACTCTCCCTCTCTCTGTTGATCCTTTTCTCTATTTTTTTTTTTTTTTTTTTTTTTTGTGATCAAAAGGTGAGCCTGCAGAGATTTTTGTCATTGTCCCCCACTCTCCAAATGCCTCCCCTTAGCTTGAGTCGCTGGTACATTGGCTCTCTACTACCACTTCGCGGCAACCACCGGCGAGCAGTAGCGGCAAAGCGTCGAGTCATTCAAAGACAAAGTCCCCTGTCCTTTCCCTTCCTTCCGGTGGTCCGTCAAACCATGCGGCGATCTGATACAACTGACCACGACGGGCGGTGTTGACATCCCACACCAATCTTCTTCTTTTCACCCCCACCACCCAGCTGATGTACTGTGTAGAGTTGACTTCGGATGTGCCATAAGACATGTGAATCCATATGAACGAAACTGACAGTGAGCTTCTTCTAGAAGAACCCGTGCAGAAGTCAAAAAAAGTCGCATGATGCAGCAACCCAAGAACATCGGACCTACTTTCCCCACCGATGGAGGAGGATGTCGGCCGCCTGGCGAGCCGCAAGTGGAATCTCAACGCTCCATGGACCCCAATACGTCCATCGAGGACTACAACCGGGTCATGCTGGAGTATACCCAGCGACGCATGTCGACCTTCCTGGACATGGAAGATGAGAGCGCCTCCCCCGCCAGTCGCAGCAGCCGTAGTAGCGACACCAGTGGCAGCAGTGGCATTTCCGTCTCTGGTATGCTAGCTCGTCAAGCTGCCGCTCCCACCTCTGCGGCGGCTGCCCGTCAACATTGCGATGCCCAGAAGAACCCCGGGCACCAGTCGGCAAAGCAGGGGGGTGAAAACAAGATGGGGCTTTGAACCAACCAACCAACCGACGTCCGTCCTCTTCGCTCGGCAAGGCTACTTAGATCAAGACACGGGTGCGTTGTTCGAAGGCCAACTAATAATCACTCACGTGTCTAGACTTGCCAGCCGCCTTTTCTATTGATGACAACGAAGACGACGACGTGGTGAACCTTGATTTGATCCTCATTTTTAGCTTCGGAGGAGGGAGTGTTGGGTGCTTTGGTGGGGAGATCGGTGATCAAGCATCACTAGGTTGGTGTTGTTGATGATCTCCCCGGCGTTCTGATGAGTTAGCGAGAGTAGCTTTCTGCTACTGCCAGCGACCTTTTGCGAGGCGATGCTTTTCGAGCGTGCTGGCATGGATCTCTTCTCTGCAGAGATCGTCGCTATCCTTTTTTTTTTCTTCCGTTTTTTGATATTTTCAACCTGCCCTCCCCCACGTTTTTGCTTCCCGCTTTTTTATACCACTAGAACAACTTTGTTTCTACACTTGGGACCACATAGCTTATGACTGGAGTACTCATTCGGGAATCCGATCAATGGAGCTATCTGTTGGAGACCAATTGTACTTCTTGAGGAACGTCTTTATCTTTCGCCCTTGTCTCTGTGAGTTCAAAGGTGAATTGGAAATTCTTCCTCGGAAGTGATTCTTACAACCTCCCCCTTTTATCCCCTCTCCCCCTTTTGTTCCCGACGACCTATCGTCGAATTCGTTTCTTGTCACTCGTTTGGCCTAGGCAAGGCGTCCGCTCTTTTTTCAGACTGACCCTTGATTGGAGCTGTTCGGTGTATGTCCTCATATCCTGACAGCTGACAATCAATCAACAAGTTTGTTCCATCACGTCTCAGTTCGGAGAATCTCTCCTGGCACGACCTTTCAGTTTTCCTGCTTTCCAAAGAGAATGAGCGTGTCTGATGTACAACACTGTATTATTACCGTCCTGCGTGCTTTCTATTTCTCTTGTGTCTGAGCGACTGAGGAGAACTGGTTTTCTCCTGTTCCTGGCACTGTTACGAATGTTGCGACCTCATGATGGGTGTTTATATGACTCGTGGCTATGTTTGGTGGATTTAGCACAGCAGCTCGAGGTTTTTACGCATGATATATTAATGTCTTCTTCGTGCCATGGGTTCATCACCTAGGATCGTCTGGTTTTGTTTTGATAGCGTGCCAGATTTGAAGAAGACGTTTCTCGCTTTGTTTTTCTTTCTCTCTCATTTCTCGGTCATCTAAGATGATTGTAGGTGTCATCGTGTCCAAGAGAGTGTGGACAAGTCCCCTGATGCCCTGATCCCTTGCATAATCTGGATAAATATCCCAATGGAAGATGAGACAAGTTGTATGAACATGCTAACCAGCCACCGGTCGTTACTCGTTACTCATACTTCAGAAAGGCTGCTGGCAGCAGACATCTTCGGAAGGGATGAGGTAAGTATACATAGTATTGATCCATCAGGCATGTCTAGACGTTCTTCACGAACAGTGTGTTACAGACGAGTCATCGATGCAGGGTCAACTCGGATGTACCTTGTGTCTCACATTCCAAGGACTAACTATTCTGCAGTAATTGCTGAATACTGTGGTCGGGCTCGAATATCTCTGGCGCATTCCTCGATGAACCACATATCCACATTCCATCATTAAACACTTCTACCAGCTATCCAGATCCTACTCGGCACTTCGGCAGAGGAGACTCGAGACTGGAGTCGCGAGTGCTTCACGCGTGTCTGCTTGCCCTCGTGTCTTGGTCGACTACCCTCTCCCTTCTTCAGGGACAAATTCGGTTCTTTCTTCTCTTCTCTCCTAGTATCTATATCGTACCGCCAACCTCACCCATCACCAAAATCCGAACTCCAACATCGCCAAAGTCACCACCACCACAGCCAAAATGCACACCCTTGCCCTCCTCTCCCTCCTCACAACAACTCTCACCGTCACGCTCACCCACGCTATCCCCCTCGCCAACACCGGCCCAAGCTCAACACCCTCCTCCTCCGCCGCCCTCGCCACCCCAACCCTCACAGGCCCCAACATCTGCCCCGGCAAAAGATCCAAACAGTGCTGCACATCCCTCAGCCAGCTGCAAACCAGCCTCCTCGACCCCGTCGGCAATGTCATCCCGCTCCTCAGCGGAATGCAGCTGACCTCGTTGATCGGATTGTCATGTCCGTTTACCACCCTCCACAACTCCGGCGTACATTCAGGGAACTAACCCAAGTAACCCCAGGCCGCACCATGTCCGACGAACATACCAAAACCGACTGCGCAGACGCGCTGATGTGCTGTGACGCCGCCGGGGAAGTGGTGAGTTTCCGCTTCCGTCTCCATTTCCTGACCTTACTTTACCCCCTTTTGCCCTCCCCCCCTTCTCCTTCTCCTTCTTTCATGCGTGATTTGAGTTAGGGGAAAAGGACGTAGAAGCTAACGGGTAATTCGGTGGTGGACAGGGCGCGTCGAATATCCTGCAGACCAAATGCGAGGAATTCGATCTTGCCAAGGCGAAGGAAATTGCGGCGGTGGAGCGCGCGCAGGGCCAGCCGTCGTCTGCGGCGAGGATGTTTGGGGCTTCGTCGTCGTCGGTGGTGCTGGGGTCCGGGTCGGGGTCAGGGCCGGCGGCGACGCCGACGCCGACAAGGCGTTGAGGTGGATATATCGTGTGATAGGTAGCGGATGGGAGAGGCGTTTGGGTGGGTGTGGATTTATATCTTTCTTTTTTCTTTTTTCTCTCTGTTGTGTGGTGTTGGGTGGAGGGGAGGGGAGGGGGGTGATGGCTGCGATTCGATAATCCAGTTTTAATGTATGATTAGGTATATTACCCAGGTTGGATGTCTATCGTAAGGGCTGTTGGCTGGAGTTTTAAATGCTCCTACGTGAGGTATTCTGTTTGCATCGTGAGAGTACTGTACAACCTGCCTATCTCCAACCACGCCCAGCTGGCGGATATCCACCCCCATACTGGTTCCACGAACCCGGCGCCCCCCGTCCTTGTCCTTGTCCTTGTCCTTGTCCTTGTCCCTGACCCATCCCCGGGGGTGGCGCCCCAGAATGCGGAGGGGGGAAGTGGTGCGACCCTGGTGGCATCGGCTGCGCCGAACCCATGTTCCACGGCGGGAACTGGCCGTGTGCCGTAAAAGGCGGTGGGAATGCCGACGGTTGCATCCCTGCGCCGTGCGGGGGAAACGGCATCGTCGGCATCGGTGGGGGTGGGGGCGGAGGCCACTGGCCCTGGTAATTCGGTGGACGGGGTGGGGGCGCGCCTGGTACCATTCGTGGGGGAAATGCAGGCGGCGGCACTGGTGGCGCATGTGCATGTGCAGGAGGGAAGTGCATGGGTGGCGGCGGTGGGGGATGAGAAGGATGGAATCCCGGGGGCGCGGCGCTGGCGTACTGGTTGCTGTGAGCATGATGCTCAGGACCAGGTGGTGGATAGCGCGCCGGGGATGGTCCGCGTGGGGAATACGATTTCTCGCGGGACCGCGATCGTCGCGGTGATCGGGATCGAGACCGAGACCGAGAATCGTAGCGTCGATCGAAGCCTTCGCGCCTGCGCGGAGCCGATCGGCTTCGGGATCGTGAGCCCCTCCATCGGCTGTCGTCGCTCGCTGGGCTGCCACTGTATCGTCGTCGCCGTGAAGAGCTGCGGCTCCGGGAGCGGCTTTGCGAGCGGCCCTTGGTTCGGATTTCTTTCATCTGCCGACAAAATGCACGCGACCACCCGTAGTATGTATCACCGTCGAGAATCCCCCCGCTGGTCTCATCCCGAATAATCGGTTGGCCCAGTTCATCAATGTCCACAATTGCTTCCTTTTGATCCTCCGGTGGCCCCGATTGATAGATCCGATCAACATCTTTGAGAAATGCTTTGAGCGCCGTCACCAACTTTTCATCTGCCGGACCCGCCAGGAATTGCAAAGGCTTGATAGTGTCAGGTCGGAGAGGGACGTTTGAATCGGGTATAATATGCGGAACCAGGTTGCCCGCCGGGAGGTCGTAGTAAGGCGTGGATGGATCACCGTGGGTGGACGGCATCACAAACGGCGCATCTTTCTCCGGAGGCCTGTTCGCCGTATACATGTTGTTTTGTTCAACGTCAATAGACGCCTTGAGGGGTCCGGACTCGGCCGCGTTCTTAACCACCTCGCGCAGCTTATTGACATAGTCGCCGCCGTAGTAACCATTCTTCTCCCAGATATCCAACAGATCATCTAAGCGCCTATGATGTTTGGGGTTCCTCTGTCGGTCGTAGGATGCAGCGTAGCCCAGCAGTTCCACGATGAACGGCTGCAATGAACCACTCAAGGTGGAGAACGCGGCCGGGGTGTCCAGGTGGTACTTGGTATGATGGAAAAGGTCATTAAGTAGGTACAGAATGTGCAGCCTCTTTCTTTTTGAGGATGTGGCACGGCGAGACTCCTTGGACTTGGGTGGCTGTCCATCTTCTCCGCTGGTGAACGAGCCTGACAAAGCAGCCAGGTACTTGGCCCAAACATTTATCCGATTAGACGAGGAGACAACATAGTTGAGCAGCCATGTTTTGCATTTCTATTACACGTCGCGGATGACAAAAAGTTTAGTACTCCGGTATTATCGACGGGTAGAGGACTCGACAAGTCAAACCTGGATGTTCGCTACGGAGCAATGCGACAGCGCCGTGTCGAGCAGAGTATGGAAGGCTGTGATCTCATCACGCGGGACAGATGTGGGGTCAGGACGTAAGAGCCCTGCCGATAATGATGCCTTTGCAATGGCAAGGTGATGGGACGCCATTGATGCGGCTGAAGGCAAAGTATGGGTGGGATGGATTTCTGGTGATGATGTTGGAGATGTTGGAGATCTTTTGGTGGTCCATCAGCGGCACGTGATCGTGGTCTCCAAGTCATCAGTCATCAATCATCGCCAGCTACAACTTTGAGTATACTGCATACAAAGTTAGGAATGCTGAATTTGAAATATGATGAACTAATCCTAAGTTTAAGTACTCAGGAACATGCATGCCCAATGAACAAGGACGCAGTGTCTTGAGATATATAGTCTTTCCACTCGGAGTATACACTCAGCTCAGGTCATCAGAGTCAACACATCAGATATGTGTTCTCATATTTCAATTTCAAGACCGCAATAGAATTGGCGACTGCCAAGTGCTTAATGCTAAAAGATCTATCGTAATACCAAGAAACAGTGTACTTCACCTTCCACTTATGCTTTGAATGATATGGGAGCATCACAGCCAAGCAGGATTCCACAAGGATCTGCAAATCCACGAGAGCCTCACATTCAAGTCATGGGTCGGTGGCTATGCCCATGATGCAAATTGATATGAGACTGAGACTGTAATACGCTAGATTTGATCTCAAACCCCTCCTGAGAAAGCGCAAGACCAAAAATCCATTCTCAATAGTATGTTGAAAGCCACTCTGTAGGACTAGGGGATGGCAACATGCGGTTCGATGTTGAATTGTCTAGGTAGACTCCTTAGTCAGTGACTTCGCCATGAATGTATAATGCTGACCAGTCACATCATTGTGATTTCAAAGCAAGAATGTTAGTAGGAATTGACTCTACCTAGGGGTGGTGTACATACTGTGTAGTATGTTAAAAGTCTGGTCAACAATGTCATCAATGTCAAATGACACGTCATTTTTGTCATTTCGACAGTTTGATTACCACCCGTAGTTAGTTAGGATGGAGTGAGATTTCTGCGGGATTCTGGATTCTGGATTCTGGACTCTGGACTCTGGACTCTGGACTCTGGAGTGTAAAGAGGTGGCATGATCATTGATACTGGACTGGAGCTTTAGGCAAGCTGATTGCTGGATACTGACAGGGGATCCGGATTCTCAGTCTGCACTCTGCAGCCATAATTCAAGTGGATGGTTTCAATTTTCAACCTCCTATCTAGGGTCCGTGGACTCCGTGGTCGAAAGTGCTACAGTGATTGTCAAGTACGCTGTACATAAGCTCTAAAGGCTTTGAAGGCTGAAGCGTTTGATGACTAGTAGCAAGATTAGCGAGGAATTACCCCTATAGGGCTACCTTATAGTGTTAGTAGGTATCTACTGTGTAGTATGTTAATGTACCGCAATAAATGCCTATCCTATCTATCCACCAGCAGGATACGGAGCGAGGTAGTTGAGGCACCCATACTTCAAAACATGAGACCACATCGGCCCCCGCTATCCGACTGAAACCACCGATCATCTGTTGTCGGATGAAGACTATAGAATATAGACTATAGACTATAGACTATAGACTATAGACTATGGACTATGGACATGAATGGTGAATGGCAGGATGATTTGTCTCTGTCTCGCATGAGGGTTTATCCCCCCCTCTTCACGCCACTTTGACTCGACTGTCATCATCAACCATGTGGGCCAGTAGGCAGTGTTGGTGTTTGGCGCAGGCTGAAATAATGAGAAATAATCTATACACTTAACTAGGCGTCTCAGAAGAAAAAATTGCATGTCTGGTAAGCTTCTGCGCGATTTGTATGGATTTATATCATTATATAATAGCTCGGTCCTCCCCTGAGAGAGTAAAGTATCACATCTTGAACTATACCAGGCTAGACCACCTACCATACTACAACTTCCTAGTCAAAGCAACTTGTATACCAGGTATACAGTAACCAGCATCCAGTGTATACGGGTGACCCTTCCGATTATCCACTTTCCCATCTCCATCCTATATCCAACATGACCATCTCAATCCAACTCCGTTCGGCAATCCGCCATTTCTCTGTCCGTCGTCCTCCACAAGATACTCGCACCTCGCGATTCGTCGCCAGCTCCTGTCTGGTATCTGCTGTCATTCTTCCCTTTGTACCTCCAGCCCTGGAGAGCTACCGCGAAAAGGACAAGTCTTACTCAAACAAGTGAGTTTTTTTTTTTTTCCTTCATGTGGTTCGCTGTCGCATCGCATCGCATACTCGATTCTTGTATACTAATTCGACCTCAAAGGCCACATCCCCCATTGTGTTTCCACGCCCGTTGAGATCCATCAACTATCAGTCTTATAACGATCTATCGACATACCTTCCTTGCTTTAATTCGTGGTTCTCTCTGCCCTCTATTTTCTTGAGGGCGCTGTCGGCGCGTTGCCGCCAGCTTTTGACGCACATCAATACATGAACGGTTAATGGGGTTTGCATCGTGGGCTGGAGTTTCTGGTGTTTTGGCATTGCTTTTGTTATTCTCTGGTTGGATTGAATGATGGCTATGAAATTGATGGCTAGATGCCCGGATACTCAATATAACACCGTATTTTGCTGTTAACAGAGTTGGCACTCGTAGAGAACTAGAGTAGAAGTGCATGATGCGTGATGGATAGCATGGCAAATCACCAATGAGACAATACTGCGTGAAAGCAAGAAGCGGCCGAGGGGAAATAGCTTAGTTGATATCGTACACGGCCGGACCCAGCATACCAAGACGTGCTTGGAATGGAGATAGGTGACCTCTTTTTTGAGAAACATTCGAATCCGACTTTTATAGACAAGACAGAGTAGCACCCTCAGCTGAGTCGATTGCCTTTCGGAGGTCGGAATGGCTGAGCAGCCTCATATTTGCCTTTCTCCACTACCCTGTCGATTTCCGTCATAGGCTCATGGCGGGTCGGCGCCGGATCATGCCCTGCTTCCTCACTTGGCGAAGCAACATCATCAGTTGCACTCTGATAGCGGGCCATGTTCGCTCGGACGGAACCCGAGGATTCGGGTCGGTTTCGACGGTCCTCCGCCTCGATGGCGGCGAGTTGCGCCTTCTTCTTCATCTCGGTTTCAAATCGGGAGGCGCGGTCCGCATTGATAGACTTTTTGGCGAAGTAGTAGGCGCCGCCGCCAGCTGGATGAGTGACACCCGTCATTAGTTCTCAGATACCTCGGTACGATTGCCAGAGACTCGGAGATGGATAGACAAGAAGATACATACCAACGCAAAGAGCTCCCCAGCCCACCCTGCAAATAACATGTTAGCGACGACCCGAAGCTAGCAAGCTGAATTTCTCCAGCATGAAGCTGGGTATCGAATCTCCGCTCACCAGGTCGATCGAATCTAAATCGCGGGACGAGTCCCGACAACGTTAATGACCATGCTCTTGGATCAATGGTGGTAGCACTTGGTAGCACGTACGGTATTCATTGTTTCAATATGTGACTTGACACTTTGTTGATCTGTGGATAGTTAATTCGCAGCGGGTGTGAGGAAGTGAAATAAATTAATACCGACAGCAGTTCGGCGTTGACTACGTCAACCGGCCGAAACCGACTTGTCTTCCTGACCAATCATATCACACGGTTGTGCTCCGCCACCTGATGGAACGGCGAATGCCTCAGGCTGCCAAAAACAGACAGGCGTCATATGCTGCCGCTCTCTTGCCCGTCAATTTCTAATCTCATCGCCGTCTTCATCTTCACCTCCCATCTCTCACTCGGTGGTCATCTCGTTTCGTTGTTTGGCTTCAGCTGGACTCGCACCGCGCACCGTTGGCTTGAACTGTGTGAAGACTTTATAGGTCCTCGAGGAATGCCTATTTCTCATACTGGTTCTTGAGGCTCTGGTAGCCTCCGAGCATTCGCATTCGTTCTGCCGAGTATTCGCCGCTGAAGATTTCTACGTATCATAGATAAAAATCTATCTCTTCTCAATTAAACAACAAAAATTATCACTTATTATGCCTCCTAAACGCAAAGCGACAGACAGTATGGCTTTTCCTGGCGGCTTTGTCTGGATGGAAGGCTGACCAAAGGGTAGGCGGTCGGTCCAGCAGGGCATCGAAACGGGCGACCCCTGTACCGGACGCTCAGGACGTCGGCAGCAGTGATGAATACTCGGACTATGTGGATGAGAAAGAGGGTAATCTGAAAGGTACCGCTCTGTAACTTTGCTATGACACCGCTACCCCAAGGAGGCTGATAGGTTCTTTCCATGCAGATGTCGTGAGCAAATTCTCCCTCGAATCTTTCAGTAACAAGAAGAACCCTGCGATCACAAGACAAGATCCGAACTTCGGCTACAAAGATTTCTCATCGCTCGATTTGAAACCGGATCATGCGAACCGTCCGTTGTGGATCGATCCGCTGAAAGGCACGATCACCTTAGAGAGTTTCTCCCCGCTCGCTCCGCAGGCACAGGACTTTTTGACTACGATTGCCGAGCCATTGTCGCGCCCGACGCACTTGCACGAATATCGGTTGACTGGAAACAGCTTGTATGCTGCAGTCTCTGTTGGCCTGCAGCCTGCTGATATCATCAATTTCCTTGACCGGTTATCGAAGACGCCGCTGCCAGAGACCATCAAGTCGTTTATCGTTGACTTCACCAAGTCCTATGGAAAGATCAAGGTCGTCCTCAAACACAACCGCTTTTTTGTGGAAAGTACGGATCCGGCGATGCTACAGATGCTTCTTCAGGATGAGGTGATCGGGCAGCAAAGAGTCAACGAGTCGGAGGGCATCACTCAACAAGCAGCACCCAAAATGGGTGGATTGGTTATTCCTGGAACCAAAGATGCTGCGGGCGTGAAACAGACATCCGAGCAAAAGCCAACAAACGGTGTTCCCAGTCAGGATCGTCAGGACGAAGATATCCTTATGGCGATACGAGACGATGATGACGACGATGAACAGGCTCAAGTGCACAGTTTCGAGATCCCCAATGAAGCGGTAGAATCAGTCAAAGCTCGCTGCCAGGCCATGGGCTGCCCGGCGCTTGAAGAGTATGATTTCCGGAACGATGAGATCAACCCGACCTTGGATATCGATTTGAAACCCAATGCACGAATCCGAAGCTACCAGGAGAAGAGTCTGAGCAAAATGTTTGGTAACGGGCGGGCGAAGAGCGGTATCATTGTGTTGCCATGTGGTGCGGGAAAGACTCTGGTTGGTATCACGGCTGCCTGCACAATCAAGAAGGGAACTATTGTCCTCTGCACGAGCTCCATGTCGGTCGTACAATGGCGAAATGAGTTCTTGCGGTGGTCCAATATCGATCCTGGCGATGTTGCGGTTTTTACTTCGGACAACAAAGAGAAATTCCGCAGATCGACCGGTATTATCGTCTCGACGTATTCCATGGTGTCTCAAACGCGAGCTCGCTCGCACGACGCTCAGAAGATGATGGATTGGATTCAATCGCGCGAATGGGGTCTCATGATCCTGGACGAGGTGCACGTCGTCCCGGCATCTATGTTCCGAAAAGTCACTTCGGCTATCGCGACCCAGGCCAAGCTTGGTTTGACGGCCACCCTGTTGCGTGAAGACGACAAGATCAAAGATTTGAACTTTCTGATTGGCCCCAAGCTCTACGAAGCCAATTGGATGGAGCTTGCTGAACAAGGTCATATTGCCAAGGTCCAGTGCGCCGAGGTGTGGTGTCCGATGACAACCGAGTTCTATTCAGAATACATGAGAGAGAAGTCAAGAAAAGCGGCCCTGCTCTACATTATGAATCCTCGGAAGTTCCAGGCCTGCCAGTTCCTGATTGACTACCACGAGAAACGAGGCGATAAGGTAATTGTCTTTTCGGACAACGTGTACGCCCTGGAACGGTACGCGCGCAAATTGAATAAAGCTTATATCTATGGCGGTACCCCTCAGAACGAGCGTATGCGTATCCTGGAGAACTTTCAGCACAACGAGCAAGTCAACACCATTTTTCTGTCCAAAATTGGAGATACATCTTTGGATTTGCCGGAAGCGACATGTCTGATCCAGATATCTTCACACTATGGTTCTCGTCGTCAGGAGGCACAGCGTCTCGGTCGGATCCTCAGAGCCAAACGCCGAAACGACGAAGGTTTCAATGCTTTCTTCTACTCTCTCGTGTCCAAAGACACCGATGAAATGTTTTACTCGTCAAAGCGGCAGGCTTTCCTCGTTGACCAAGGCTATGCATTCAAAGTGATTACCCACCTTCAAGGCATCGAGAACCTAGAAGGTCTTGCATTTGCTACCCCCGCGGAACGTCGGGAGCTCCTGCAGGAAGTCATGTTGCAGAACGAGACTTCTGCCGAAGTTGAGAATGTCATGGACGATCTCTTTTCGGAGCGCTCCGGTGGCTTCAAGGGTAAAGCCAAGGGTGGTGTTCGGCGGAGCGCAGCCACTCTTAGTGGATTGGCTGGCGGCGAGGACATGGCTTATATTGAGTACAACAGAAGTCGAAACAAGCAGTTGAAGGACAAGGCGGGCCACCACCCCTTGTTCCGGAAGATGGAGCGGGAGCGCCTGAAGAGGAAGAAGGAGCTCCAGGATTTCATGCGATGATTGCATATGACATTTTTTTGCTTTCAGTGAAAGCTGCAGAATGTCCAAGCTTCGCATGTTACCTTGAAATTCTTATTTTGCGGTTGCCGAATGATAGACTGAACATTGGCATTTACATCTACATAATAACAACTGGCATGGAAATAGAATTATGCCGACCTAACAATCTGCATCTTGAATGAAAGTAATGGGCCTGCCTCGTATATGGGATACGATATGTAAGCAACGGGGCCCAGACTGGGCCTTCAGATATCTAAGTAGTGCCTTAGAAAGCAACTCCCCTACAAACTACCAATGACATTCCAACCAACACATCTGAATACGAAGTCATCCCCCGCATCCATGCAATCTGCTCTCCAAGAACCGAAAATAGCCTGTCATAACCATAATCGGAATGCGAGACACAAGCGTTACGATGACATACACTTACTCGCCATGACGTCGTCCTCCAGCGAGCGGAGACAGCCAAGCACCGAATGCCGAACGCTCGCTGTTCCCGCCTAAGCATGGAACGGTGATCAGACTTGTTTGGTTTGCAGAGACAGATGGCCAGAGCATCCTCGAGCTGGTTTGCTTGTTAATCCGTCTGGCAGTTTCGTGTTCATATGTTGTTTCACCCGTGCGTTGGCTGCGGACGGGGTCTAGATGCGCTGTGTCGATTTGTAACACAATCACGATCAACAACATTGCGAGAGAGAAGGGGTATAAGTACATTCCTGGGACGCTGTGGGAAGCGTGGATTGTTCTTGGGCGCAGAGTACGGATCACCGGTTTCTCTGAGATCTGAGCGAAGACTCAGTTCTGCCACTGCTGCGAAATACTCTTGCTTCGCGAATACGGGGATAGCTACTCGTCGAGCGTATTTAACCATGGCTACGGCGCGCAACGTCCAGCTGTCGACGTCCGACACGGGTGTCTTCAGCGTCGGGGTGAGGGAAGATTCGGCGCGCGCTGCGAGTGAGGTGCTGCAGGATGATTTGGAGAAGCATCATGTCTTCTTTAATGATATAGGGTTCCATAGTATGTTTCTGCTATATGCTTTATGATACATGCTAAAGGCATGGGAATGGAGGGGCCCCGTGCTAACCATCGCTGGTGACAGACCACATCGTCCATCATGTCCTCACGATTTATGCGCTGGGTGGATCGCCGGATGAGATCAAGGCTGCTTATGAGAGGGACAAGCGGTACCAGAGGTCTGTCTTGCCCACGGACGACGGTGTGGTTCAGGCATTTCAGGACAAGGCCCAGTTCCGGCAGCATCTCGGAAAAGAGAAGCATTATCCCAACTACTTGGCTTTCTTCCAGCAGGAGATTGATAAGAGAGGCGTGGGGGATGTGCTGAACGAGTATCTCTTCTCTGGAACCGAGAACGCTGAGAACATGCTCAGTCGGCTCTTTGGGGGTAAGTGCCATACGTTTATTGACTTTTGGCAGTTTGGTGTGCTGACACATAGATCAGGTCTGCTTCATCCACTTATCCATCTTGGATTCGGGATTGAATTTGACCAGCCGGCGATTATCGCAGAGGGGCTCGCTCAAACCGCCGTCCATGACAATTGGATGGGTCAGTCATATCTCCTGCCGGTTGAGAAGGCAGCAGGAGGGATCGGGAAGCACGGGAAGAAAACGCTCTTGCAGATATTGAATGAGGCACGCGCCGACAAGAAGCTGGCTGAGTCTGCGAAGTGGGAGGACGGGAATAAGATGAGAGATGGCGTTTTGAAGCGAGCGCCAGACGAAATGATCAAATTTGCAGCCGAGTTCTCTGTGTCGGCAGAGCAAGTGGATGAGAAACTTGCTGAGATCATCAGCACAGTTGGTAAGGACTATCCTTCTGGATCCCTGAACATTTTGACTGACGTTGGCCGTGTGATACATGCAGCCTACTTCACCAGCGCTGCTCAGCGTCCACCGAAGCAGGTCAAGCTTGACTTCTTCCTGATGCACTGCGTGACAGCATCTATATTCTTCTCTAAGATCGTGGCTCTCCCATATTTGGACACTCGCACCAAGCTTCGTCTACTCGAGTGGAAAGGCCGGGCGGATCTCATGCTCTACGTGTCCCAAGGCGCGCCGGAGCTCCTTCTGGATGAAGTAACTACGTATGAAGTTTCGAAAGACTGGAACACAATCTTCCGCTTGAGCACCGCCCAGCCACGCGACGATGGTCACTTATCGAAGCTGGTTAGAGCTTTAGCTCATGGCGAGAAGGCTTGCCAATCATTTGAGGCTCAGGCTAAGGAGCTGGGAATTATGGTCACCGGTGACATGTGGCAGAAGATTGGAAGCATGGGTATGTGAGACCCCTGCTCAAAGTGACAGATACTTCTGTGAGAACTCTTTATTGATTATCCCCGTAGCTATCGATTCAACCAGAGAAGACCCCATGTGGGTGCGCTCTACAGGGTTTGAGCAAGCATGGGCAGATTTCCATGATCGGTCGCGCATGTAAGTATGGAATGACAATAATGACCAAGCGCCGGCAAGCATAGCCATCTCGGACGTTGAACTACGGTTTATCTAGGCAAAGATGTTAGCCAACTAGCCTAGGCTAGCACGGTAGCACCTAGCTTGTTCATTTCCATGTCTCCAGCCAAGGCGTGTGGGTCTGAATCGTTTGATTATTTGATGCCAAATTGCCAATAATAATAATACTATGGAGTTCGGCAGTCAAAAGGTTGTCTCAACTCCGGATCCCAACGGGCCAACAGAGGGAAGTGATGTTGCCACGACTCACGAGTCTGCAAGCGGAGTGGGTCAACTGCAGGGAGAACTTTTCATACGTTAACAATGTAGAATCATTAAACCCTGATCTCTTTAAGTCAATTAAATTCCGTCTCTGCGCTTTTCTTTTTCCACCTGATTCTGTTATCGAAACTCGAAGGTTGAAGAACAACCCAGAAAATTTGCTGTGTTTGCACCCGAGTCACGTGGTGATTACGATTGGCGGCCGAGTGGGGCGATATCCCCAACAGCTTCAGGCAATCCAGATTTCCGACTACTAATCCTCACATAGTTCACTGTCGAGCATCAACTGCTAGGATAGTTTCTTAATCAATTTGGCTCGTACAACACTCGCAAATATACCAACCGATCCAGAATCATACTGCGATTCATCTGACTGTATCCCATGATGGCAGGCGAGGAAGGCGATCCAAACCAGAACAAGAACCTTGCTGCGTCCACGGATAGCTTCCACGAACACAATCCCTTCGTTGCGTTCCGGCGCTATGCCGATGAACAAATCTCGTCCATGCTGCAGGCCGTGATGGGCCTTCCCTCCTCAGTTTCTCCTCCTCATTCGGGCCATTGGGCCATTTTCGCCGAAGAGCGCGGTTACAAGGAGCCAAACTATCGCCAAATACAGAATGAAGATGGCACGGACGGGGGATACCCTTCCGGTTCAGAGAATGGTGCCTCTGGGGACACAGAAAACCAGAACCCCGAAGGCAAATCCTCCAGGTCGCGATGGCCGCGTTCTGACAATACTTGGCCCTCCAACCAACGTAGACGGGCCAATGAACCTAGCGATTTCTTCGGCTTCGATTCCTTCTTTGACTCTTTCTTTGATCGGTTCTGGTTCGATGATCATTTTTCGTCGCGGTTCTTTCATCCGTTCAACCGACCTTTCTTTACGAATATGATGAATGACGACCATGCGACTTGGCCTCTGGCATACTTGATATTCAGCCCTTACTCGCCTCTCCATCTGGAACGCCAGGCATCCTACCGAGCCCACCGAGATAGAGGGGTGTTTTCTTCTCTCGTTTCCTCCTTGAACCCTTCTTCTGAACGCGATCCCGCAGAGCCACATTGGCGTGAGGCTTTTGAGGATCTTCTCCGACTTGAAAACGGCAAACCGATGCTGGATCGCGAGCCTACTACCGCAGTGACCAAGAAAGAATCGGGAACCGAATGGCTACGGGGCCTAGTGCAACGGGGCAGTCTTGGAGACCGTTGGAAGTATGTCTCTGGATCAGACGGCCAGGGTTGGTCCGGTATCACACTTGACAGCACGGAACATGCGCAGAAGAATCAACACGAGCTTGAGGAGAGGCGTGCGGAACCGCAAGCAAAAGGTGAAACCAGCTGGAAGGATAGCGCGTCTGGCACCCAACCCCCAACCGAGTTGGAGATGTACGACCGCTTTCTTCGGGATATTGAAGCGCGTGAGCGCGAGTTCTACAAAGGTGTATACGAGAGTCCCCTCCTGCGCTCTTTATTAGAGGAACGGCGTAGATTGAAGAACGACATCGATTTGTTCGAAAATCAGAATAGAGGCGATGACACGGACTCATGGATCGATCTCGTGTCAGGGGGTAACAAGAGCTCGGTTACTGAGATAAAATCCCAGTCATCACCAAACTCATCGACCACTGCCGAGACAAGTTCGACAACCTCGACTACAGAGCCACAGCCTTATGTGATCTCCACCAGGACGACGACCGAACGCGTCCGGCTCTCGGACGGTTCAATCCAGACCAAGACGGTGAAGACCAAGCGTTTTGCCGATGGCCGGGAAGAAACAAACGAGTCTGTCGAAGTCGTTAACTCGCCTCAAAATTCTCATGACTTCTCTGCTGGCCAGGAGTCGCTTGAGAATAATCATCCGAAGAGGAATGGCTGGTTCTGGAGAGACTGAACGTTCATTTGCATATGTTGGATGTGCTTTTTCTTCCTTGGACTTACTGGTCCTCTGTGTCATGCTTGGAATTAGCGTTGCTTGGGGATTCCTTTCTATGTCTACATTCTTGTTATCTCTTTATCCTTCGACCTTTCTACGAAAAAATCAGTAGGAGAGGTTGAAGGAACTGAGGACTTTATTATCTCTTGACCATCATTTGTCCTTTTGTGGCGTTGAGCGCTGCATTTTATGGATGGTACGGAAGCTATGATTGACATGGCGTCCCACTAACAATTTACATTTGACCCTTTTTTCCTTTTGGTCATTTTGTGGAGGGAGTTACTGTAATGTGTTGATAGGATCCAGATTGTCACAACGGATATGATTCATTTGTTTTCGCATATATACATCCACACTCTGATCCCGAGTTTTCTTTATGTATGTATCATGCCGAAAAACACAGCAAACATTACCATGGAAATAGAGAATTCTGTCTAATCCGCTTTGACACTCTTCTTCTGTGCTTTGCCAGCGGTCCATCCCCTAGACTCCCAGTACTTGACACTCTCTTCCATCTTCTTATATGCCCATGTGAACGGAGGATCTAGAGCAACAGTTATCAGCAACGTCCGTCGCACCAAGACAGTTCGGATTCACTTACACAAGAACTGGCGCAGATCATGCCGGTTATCATCAGGCGAGTATTGCTCCGCATGGTAGCTGGGCGTCAAGGTAGTCATCTTGTGCCGGCTGATGGCATAGTAATAGAAGAAGTGGCGGGTCTTCTGGTAGATCTCGCGAGGACTGTACTCGTTGCCCCACAGGTGGAGCAGCTTCTCGTACATGGACCAGGGCCCCAGCTTGGAAACCTTGCGCAGGTATCCGAATTGGCCAAGTTCGGCGTATGTCACGCCCATGTCGGCCTCATCGGACTGCACATATGTAGCTGTGATGGGCTCAAGCTCGGCTGTTGGGGTGGCTGTGAGGAATTCTTGCAGAATCGGGATCTCGAAGGAATCCCGCGCCCAGGCAATGAATTTCTTGAGGTCGACCTTGCTGATGGATCCAATTGGATTCAACTATTCAAGAACTCTTAGTGCCATTCGCTCACAGAACTGAGCAGGAAAGGGATGAATGATACTCACATCTGCACTACTCGCATCATATTTGGTGAAGTAGCCTCGTAGACTATTCGAGAGCAATGTCAGTCAGTACGTAGATAAACCCAAAACAAACATGTACTCTATACTGCCCTGCACTATCTTACGTACCATTCTGAAGGACCATCAGCAAAATGTTCTTAGAGAGAAAAGAAGAATATCTCTTACCATCCACGTTGGAAGATGCCAGCACAAGCAGTCCACCACCACCCGGGCGTTGGCGAACAGTCGGAAGTAGCGAAGCAAACAAATACGACAGGACCATCCTCAGACGAGCTTGAACATTTTGCAATGCTGCATTCTCTGCATGGGAGCCACTATGAACCTTGAAACGAGGTTGGAAGCTAGTGACCATGGTGAAAAGGTTTGTGATGGCCGAAACAACAGTGTCAAAGTTGAAATCGATATGATAAGATCCAATATCTCTGGATAGTCCCTTAGCCCTATCTCTTGTCTCCTGGCTGGAATTTTGAGTGCCCATGTAGCTGGTATGAAAAATACGGCTAATAAATCAGAATTAGTATCTTGCAATGACCAAAGCAGAGCACTTAAGGCCAGGTTTCGAGAAGGATGGGCCATACTTGCAAACTTCCTGGCTTGTGCTGGGCAGCCAGGTGGATCCCTCAGGCTCTGCGCACAGCCTACGGACATCTTTGATGACTTGCTCATTTCCTTCAGAGACGGCCTTCACAACTTCTCTGCACATCGAGTGCACAATGATAGCTGTAGCGCAACTGTCGATGCCTCCACTGAGGGGAAGGAAGTAACCGGCAGCACCACTTCTCCTCAGATAGTCCCAAAGCCAACAAGCCGGGCCGAGCGCGATTTCTTCCTCTGGGACATGGTATTTTGGTTGAAGTGACTCGGACGGGGCAAGGCTGGGCTCTGAGTCATCGTCTAGGCGGGAGAGCCTCACATCTAAATCAAGGCGGATATACGGAGGCTGTACACTGGCTTGCATGTTCCGGCTAGAGCTGGCGCGATACGTCCGAATCTACCTATAGTTAGCCGCTTGGAACATGAATGAGGGACGCAGCGAATAGGCGGACCTCTTCTATATCTACCGTGGCTGTGACAACCTCCACGTCATTCAAGGAGAATTGGGAACCTTGAGCCACAATGTTGCCATTGACGACTATCATCGCACAACCATCATAATAGAGCCTGTCACCGTCGCAACCTTGCTGGTTGGCATACAAGTAGATACCTCCGCTCTATGTTGAATGTATTAACGCAGGAGTTGGAATTGCGGGCAGGCTATTGTCACTCACCAGTTTGGTGGCTTGGGTGATGAGGTTGATACGAGTGTTCAGCTTCTTCAGCTCATGGTGGCTACCTGATGAGTTTGAGAAAATCTCAACACCTGGAGTGTTTGTAAGCATACAATCAACCAACAATGGCACGTCAAGAGTCAATTACCAGCAAGGCCATAAGGAATATGAGGGCTAGAACGAAAAAGGGTTAGCAACACGAAGAGTCCATTGTAAGTATAAAGCACATACCCATTAGGAGTAAACAGCTCCTCGCAAGTCTCGAGGCCCAAGCACGTATCTCTCGTGCTGATCACCGCATCACCAAAAGGCACCTTGTATTGTCCAGTGATCTTGCCCACGATTTGTTCCAAATAGTAGTCCTCAACTTCACGAGGCCGTTGCCACGGAGTGAAGTGTCTCAGCTCTCGGTAATTGCCGTCTGATTTCCAGCAGTTCGGTCAGCAAGCGGCCTTGTACATCGTGAGGGTTCGAGCAGTAGATGCAGACCATTAGCAAGCCACATTTTCGGGCGGATCAGGATAATCTTTCGGTTGTAGAAAATCACACTCCACATCTGATTAGTATACACATTTTTATGAGTAGATAGAAACTTACCGGCAGTTGTATCGTACGTTTCTATGGCGAACTGGCATGCCGATATCTACCACAATGTTCTGACAATCGGGGTGATCAATGATACGAGCCAACATTTCCCACGAGTGCAGGAAGGTATCGCCCTCTAAGAATCCATCGAGAACTCCATATCCTAAAAGAATTCAGTAATCTGCCAGCAAACAGGCGCAGTTGAGAGTCATATGTACCGGTGATCTCGAGTTCTGGACCAACACGTAGAGTAGCGCCAGCCGCTTTGGCCAGGCGGATACTCTCAATGATACGTTCGGCATTTCCTTCAAAATCAAGAGCCCATTGATTAAGGGAGCTTTTAAGAGAGGAATCAGCTTCAACCTGCCTCATGGGAGAGTACCAGAACAGAAAAATGGGACAAGACGGTTGCGTACCATGTAGCAAGGGTGACGAGATGACCCATTGTGGGTTGGTGTACAGAACACAATGCCTGAATCAGCTTCAAAATCCCCCAGGGCAAGCACCTAATGTGTTTACATATTAGCCTTTAAGCCCAGATAATGTTTCCAGGGACACCTGCACGAGACTCCATGCAGCAAGCTTTGCGTTTGGAAAAGAACGAATCAAAGTTCATTAGACAAGTGGAGAAAAAATGATACCTTCTGAAGTTGCAGATTGGAGTTGAATAGATATCAATTCCAGCTGATTGCCCTATTCATGTCCAGCTTGTGCGTATCTGAGGCTGTACAAATGTGATAAGAATTGGAGAGAGTGACCATGACGCAGATCACGTGTGTGGGGAGCTCTCCGTTGTGCCCCGCGCTTGTAAGGATATTACGCCCAATACTACTTCAAAGTGTGTCAATATCCGATACATACTGTAAGGAATTTACCATCGGATCTCCGCCGGGTTGATCCTCGGCCAAAAAGGCTGAATAATCCACGCTTATCAACAACGGAGGCGTTGATAGAATAATCAGTAGTTCTTGACTCTCATACTTCTTCTTTCTCCTGCTTGGAAAGTGAAGTATTGAACGACAGTGCTTTGGGCTTCCGCTGTGCATACTTCATCAAACCTCCGATCAGATTGTGGCTTTCCTTCGCCCGAACAGGCATCATGAGCAACACTCCTCAGGTCCCCACACCAGCTCATATCCTGGCCGACTCGATGTTATCCCGGCATTTTGGAAAAGAGACCGTTAATTACTTCTCGAGTGAGTAGATAGGTGGGCTATGCGATTGAGCACCTTGCTGATACCCGCAGGTTCACCATTAAACCGACTCTCGTTTCTACGCTCTGAGCATCCTTTCCTCTCGGCGGCTCTTAAGCATCCCTCAACTCGCTTTGTATTACTGAAAGACCTTGCGCCTCTGACGAGGTCGCCTGCCGAGTTGTACTATGCAAAGTATAACGAAGTAAGGAAATTGGTGCCAGAAGATGTCTATGATAGGCCGGAGGAAGACATGATCAAGGAGTTTGATTCTCGAAAGACAAGCGCACAGCTCATCTTCCTCGGCTTAGATGAGTCACGGAAGCAGGATGGACTGGCGTGGAAGATTTATAATGGGACACCGTATTTCGCTTTAGATGTTACACCCAAGGGATCGCAAGAGCACCAGTCCCACGCGAAGGACATTATCAGCAGCCTGGAGGCGCAAGGCTTGAGCTTTTACCAATCCCGAGTGGTTATGAGCCTCCCAGCCGATGAAGGTAAGTGAACCCACACTTCACTCTTGTCACGCGTGAGGGAAAAAAAACCATCTCGCTGACCTTTACCATCTAGCTGCTATATACGCCCAGTCTCGCGCACTAGTCGACTGGAACACCCGCAACACGTTCTGCGGCACTTGCGGCCATCCTACACTTTCCGTGAACTCGGGAACGAAACGCGCCTGTCCACCAACAGACGCTGCGCTTGTGGAAGCCGGAAAGGAGCGACCTGGCTGTAACACGCGCACCACACTTTCGAATCTCTCCTTCCCACGTACCGATCCGACCATCATCGTTGCTGTTCTCTCGGCAGACGCAAAGCGAATCCTTCTCGGCCGCTCTAAGCGGTTCCCCTCTAATCTCTACTCGACACTCGCTGGGTTTATTGAACCTGCAGAGTCAGTGGAAGATGCGGTTCGGAGAGAAGTCTGGGAGGAAGCCGGTGTCACGTTGTCGCGTGTCGTTATCCATTCGTCTCAACCTTGGCCGTACCCGGCGAATCTCATGATCGGAGCAATCGCCCAAGTCAGTGATCCCGAGCATGAGAAGATCAGCTTACTGCACGACCCTGAGCTGGAGGATGCCAAGTGGTTTGAAGTTGATGAGGTTGAAGAAGCCCTGCGAATCGGAACGGGTCCGTTGGGAGAACAAGCTGGGCCAGAATATAAGGGTGGTTTAAGACTCCCTCCTCCCACAGCCATTGCAAACCAGCTCATCCAGGCGGCTATCACGGGAGACTACATCACATCACAAAAGTCCAAGATGTAGAGGATTCAGCGATCGCCATCGCTTAGTTCGGTTGTATATGGGTCTTAGCCTTGCGCTCTCTATCCATTCGAGTGCAGATGTGAAATACATAGATATTAGCTTGATGTCGAGCATCAGAAACGCTAATGTACAAGCACATAGCAACTTAGACAATAGACTTTGATATCGAGGGTTAATTGTTTGCCTCCCCAGTCACTAACCTATTACAAATACACTGTTGTGAAAGGGCCAAAGTTCCAAAGGGTATATCCACAGAGGCCTTCCATATGCATGGTCACGCTACGTAAGGAACAGAATCAAAGATTTGCATAAACAGTGCCATCCCGTAACTCGTGTATGCTTTCCTTATCAGAAGGCGAGCCGACCTCGGTATACCTCCGCCCATCTCTCAATTCGTGAATCGTAATCCGTCGGTGGGATTTGCGACGTCTCAAGCCTCTTTGAGACACGGAAGATTCACCGCGTCCCTCGCGCAAAGTCGAATCGATGCTTCCTGCCTCGCTAGGTGCAGCACTGCTGAAAGGCGTTGCTTCTCTGCTGGATCTTCCAACGGCAGCTTGCAGCTGATGATCCGCTACCAACGCGATGCCATCTTCGTAATACCATTGTCGCAGCATACTAGTGTGAGTGACCTCCTCGTCGCCGTATTCGACTGGAGGACCGGCGATCTGTGGTTCATCAGAGCCGTTAAATACAACCCATGCGCTGGTATCTGTACTGACAAGCATCATCGAGTGATTGAAGCTCTTGACCTGGAAATTGCGGAGTAGAATGGCGTCGCCCTCTCCTACAGAAGGGAGAGCTGTCTTGTAAGGCCGGAAGATCTGTGCAACGATTGTCGTTCCCGCCATCGATGGATCGGTAAGCTGGAGCGTGACCATGAAGTCCTTTTTACCTGAGGTTACTCGAGTTGTAGGCGATGCTTCCGCCACGATAGAAATTGTGTCAGTCAGAGCATTGAAATGGTCGATAAGTGTGGCGAGGGGGGCGAAGTAGGAGTATTTGCTACGTAGACCGGGATGATGCCGGTCAACGACAGCTGGTAGACTTCGTTTTATTGCTCCAGGTACATTCCATGCCTGGATATGTTGGGGTTCAGTCTCGACAGAAGACATCACATATTCTGCATCGAGCAATAATGCTTCCTGAGTTTGGACCTGCTCCGATTGTTCGATTGATGTAGAGCTCATTTCGACGTTGTATTCCTTCTCCACATCGTTTTCCACAAACTGTGTGGATATATGCACCGCCGTCTGATTTGAAGCAGCAAGATGGGTCTCATGCCTTGGGCTCTGATCATGGGGGGTCTCCTGGGTGTGTTCGGGTGTCGGTAGAATTTCATCCGTCGAAATATCTAGAGAGGTGGGCTGGTCAAGCGCAATCACTTGTGAGGCATCTGGGGTGACGAGCTGTTGGGGTGGTGGTGTTGTGATTAGGACGTGGGGAGTCATATGCGCAAGATTCTCGACCGAACGCGGCGAAGCAGCACCATCAAACGATGGACCATTGCCGGTTACACGGTCCAAACCAGCCTGTCGGATCTCTGTTTCGTCTTCGGGGTTGTCTGATAGAGCAACATCTTGGCTGTGTTCCATTCCAATCGATTCAGGATCAATCGGTGCATCCTGGGTCTGTGGAGTAAGAGTGAAACCAGCAGACGTGGACAGCGCAGTGGGAATACCATCTTGGAAATCACCAATTCTTTCCGGGCTTCGCGATGAAGGCTCCATTGCTTGCAGTGCTTCATCTCCAGTGCGAGAACTAGGCGTTTCTTCAGCTTCATAACCGCTTTGAAGCTGGTCGTGCACTGATTCTGCAAGCTCTTCATCCTGCTCGACATCCTGAAATCCGACTTGCTCCCCATCCATGGTATCATTTTCTTGAGGTACATCCTCCATCGCTTGATCCTCCTCAGGGTCGCTTGGGATGGATCTGTCATGTATAAATTCTGCTCCCTCTCGTCCATCTCCTGCCTGAGCATACTCTCTGGGTTCATTCTCATCCTCGGCCCATTCTTCGGCCTCCGAATCAGTCGGGATTCTATCCGAAATATCATCATCTTCAGCTGATGACAATGGCCCCTCTGCAATCTCAGCTGAAGTAGCATTTGCAGTCAATCTGGGCTGGGCGTGCTCTAGAAGAGCGGTGGATGGTTCGTCCTCGCTGTCGCTATCCAGTACGATGACCTCCGGATGGGAGGTCTTCTGCGGTCCACCAGAAGACTCTACGTCTGATTCCGAGTCATAATCAGATTCCATCTGGTCGTAGTCATCCTCGTACACATCTTGTTCGTCCTGAAGATCAGATGACTCCTCGTCCTCTTCATCATCACCATCATCATCTTCATCATCTGCTTCTTCTTCTTCCTCCTCCGCCACCACCTCCCCATCCTCATCTTCATCTTCACTTTCAAACTCATCTGCCTTTTTATGGACATCAATGACACCTTCCTGATTTTCTTCAACCAGCTGACTCTCTATGGACGAATATCCTTCACTTTCGGTGTTGGATTGGTAGTCCTCTTTGATTTCCTCTCTTGTCTCGTCTGCAAGCTCTTCGATGTCTGATTCAGCATGTTCTCTCAGACGCTTTGGGCGGGATCCACGACTTGTCGAAATTTGCGAGGGATATCCATGTTGGTGTTCGTCCTCGAGTGACCTATCTTCACTCTCGTCCTCTGACACCTCTGACACCCCTGATATCCCTGACTTATCCTCGTCTGATTCTTGTGCTGATCCTTCCTCCTCCTCCTCCTCCTCCTCCTCTTCCTCCTCTTCGTCGGAACCCACTCTGCTAACTTCAACAATCTCTGCTTCGGGCGACTCTTCTTCGCTGGCTTCAGCAACGTCCTCGGCCCAGATCCCACTCCTTTGTTGACGTAAGTTCTCTTGTAACTCTGCCTTCGCACCAATGTGTTGAAGTTCCTCGGTTGTAACTTCTGCAAGTCTCGTTGCATCTGAGGGAGTGGCATCGACAGTGGACGCTGATGTTTTAGTAACTTCGCTCTGTTGTATAGCTAGTTCTGTACTTTCGCCCAGTGTTGTATCAGCCGTAGCCGCGCCGATTCCAGAGTCCAAAGGCTGGCACTGAAGGGCAAGGTCTTGCGAAACTGAAGAAGATTCTACTGTTTCAATGACTAGTTCGGACGGCAGACCAGCTTCTTGCGCCGTTGCGATGTCAGACCGCACAGCGGAAACCACTCTGTCCTCAGTGACCGTAGCACCAATGGGTGATCCCTTAGAAATTGATCCAGCTGAAGTCACCTGTGCACTAGGAGTGACGGGTGGAAAGTAGCCATGCGCATTGTTAGAAGTAGTGATGAGTGGAGATGGAACCGGCAGCCCGGGAGAAGGGATGGGATAGAGGCGTGGCGTATCGGTTGGAAGGTGAGCATCGGATTCGGGGATATTTTGTCGGTGAAAGAACCCTGCCACACTGAGAGGTCGATTCTGGGGAATCTGAAAATTGGGCGTAGCTACTTGCTCATTCGGTTGCTCGGGGCTCTTCATAGCAATATCAGAGTACCCATCATCCACATCCATGGCAATGTCCGCAGTGGTGAAAGCAGCCGACACTGTGCCACCAGCTGAAGTTGTGGCTTGTTTAACTATAGCGTCTTCGATCTGGTCTTCTGCTTTAGCATCGGATTCATGAGATTCATTCTCTTCGAACATCCAGGTCCAGTCAGCCGGCACTTCTCTATCACCGGGACTCGCAGGTTCGTCGACCACTCGCCAGTCCGCACCCCGTAAGCTAAACCTTGGCCGTTTTCTTCCTCTCCCAGGGATGTACCCATCTTCCTCTGCAAACGGATCATAGGCTGAGTCCACGAGGCCACCAAAAGACGTGCGAGTTCTTTCCACAAAGGCAGGGGACCTCCAAGTCTCCAATCTAGTGCCTAGTATATATTCGGGATGACGAGAAAGCCGATTGGTAGTGGGAGTCGCCGGGAGCGCAGTTGTGACTTCCGCATTTTCAGTTGAGGTCGAGGGGGGATCAATCTTCACGGTTGAGACATGATTCGATGAGCGCCAGACCTAAATATTTACATTTAGCATATCGCTTCTCTGATTGATAGTGATGCGATCAGGGTACCTCAAGTAACACGCGATCACCGAAGTGTACCTCCCAGGGCACACACCTTCCCGGTGTTTGAGCTTGTGCTTCGCTGCTCACGAATCGCGACCCAGCCAATCCAACAAAAATATGGTCGCCATTTCCAACCTGAGACTTTGCTACAGCTTCTGCCACATGCCCATGAAAGACCACCTTAACTTGACCATTGGTTCGGCGGAGGCGGAAGTCGGGTTCAGCTAACAGCAGGCTGAGAGATCGGTTGGAAGACGAATACGGCCATACTAAAGTCACGACCGCGTGAACAGAGCGATCGGAGAGTCCTTCAACGTCCGGGCCGATTTGTGCGATTGGAATAGTGGTTGAACGCAGGGGCTCAGAGATGGGAAGTTGTTCTTGGGTGTTCATCGCTGTGGCCGCGGAGCGGAGTGAATATTGCCTTGATCAAAGGCACTGCATCGTCTGTGTTGTAGGATGAGTCGTTTGGAATGGAGATGTTGTGTGATGGTGTGTCGATTGGATTGGAATGTCGCCGAATAGCAGGAGTTGAGGTGCGAATGGATGTCTAAGTTTGTTTATCATGAATCTTTAAAGCATCGAAGGCTTTGAGTTGTTGCATCACCAAGTTCGGTAATTCCTTTGTATATTTTACGACACCATAGCTCTTTGGTCCAGACAAGGCACGTAATGTATGTATCGGTTGAAATATAGTTACATCGTTCCAACCAGGATGCTTGTCGACTAAAGGATACAGAATCTACAAGAGAATCTCCCAACATCGAATAACTACAGAATCCAGATCAGAGATCAGAGATCAGAGATCATTGTCCATGTGCTGGCAATATGACGGAGTATACCCGAGTTCTGATATGGCAAATCACGGCAGTCAGCGCCATCAGCGGGGCAATCTCGCCAACATGATAACAATCGACTACATCTGATCCTTCGCAATCATCCAGGGCTCTTGGATTGGGGGTACTCTTTGCTTTGAGCTCACCGAATCTCCTGATACTCTGCAAATAGTCTCGCGTCTCGCTTTATTCAAGAATGACAGTCTCATTGCCAGTTCGTCGAATAGCTGTAATCGGCGCCGGACCATCTGGCCTCGCTGCAGTGAAGTATGAAGTGCCTATGGTTTATATAGTGATACACTGAGATCTTTCACTGACTACTAAGCCAGATATATCCTAGCTGAGAAGTGCTTCGAAAAGATAGATGTCTTTGAGAAGAGAGGATCGGTTGGTGGAGTCTGGAACTACACACCTGCTGCCGTCAAATCTGGCCTGGTGACTCCTGTGCCACAGGTGAACCCGAATGCGCTGCTCGATGGACCGATATGGCATCCGACTGGTGATAATGAGGAAACACTTCAACCTACTTTCGTCTCTCCAGTGTATAGCACTTTGGTTACCAATATTCCAAAAGATTTGATGGCGTACGGTGACAAATCATTTCCTCCTGAATGCCAAGTGTTACCCAAATATTCGACTGTGAGGCAGTATCTGGAGGAATATGCAAAGGATGTCAAAGACCTCATACAGTTTGAAACCGAGGTTCTGGACGTCAGAAGTGAAGGTCAAACTCGCAATAACTGGAGTGTGACGACCAGGAACTTGCGCACCCGCGCTGAGCTGACTGAGTCCTACGATGCCGTGGTGGTGGCAAGTGGACATTTCAATGTCCCATATTTACCGGATATTCCAGGCATAACAGAGTGGAATGACAGCTACCCTGGTATCATCTTGCATTCCAAATCCTATGACTCTCCCGAGCCTTTCCATGACAAGAAGGTCATTGTCGTGGGGAGCTCAGCCTCTGGACTTGACATTGGCGGCCAAATAAGCCCAGTGAGCAAGGGTCAATTGCTTGTTTCTCAGCGCACAGAACCAAATGCTTCCCTTGCCACCGAAGACAAGACTTATTTCCCCGAGATCGTGGAGTTCTTGCCGCCAGCTAGTCATAAGAGGGCCGTGCGCTTCGCAGATGGTAGAATTGAAACTGACATCGATGCGATTGTCTTTTGCACCGGTTATTTCTACTCATTTCCTTTTCTGTCATCTCTCGATCCGCCAGTTATCGGAGATGGTCGGAGGACCCTCAATACCTACCAGCATCTTTTCTACATCTACAATCCTACACTTGTGTTTCCTGTCCTCCCGCAGAGGGTCATCCCGTTTCCCTTGTCTGAAAACCAAGCGGCAATCTTCTCTCGTGTTTGGTCGGGACGATTGTCTCTCCCATCTACGGCAGAGATGAAGGCCTGGGAAGACTTCACTCTCGCCGAAAAGGGCGACGGTACAGCCTTTCATCTGATGCATTTTCCTTTGGATGCTGAGTATATAAATTTCCTTTACAACTGGGCTACTAAAGCCAAACCACGCCAGGGCTTGGTCAACAGTGGTCAGGGCAAACAAGGTAATTTATGGGGAGGCAAGGAGAGATGGATGCGTCAGATGTTTCCTGAGATCAGGAGAAAATTCATTGCGAAGGGCGAAGACTGCCACAACATCACATCTCTCGCACAGCTTGGATATGATTACGAGGATTGGAAAGATACACAAGAGCATGGAGTGTAGATGTTTTTTTTTTGTTTAAAAGACTCATGATAAGCCGTACACATAAATGATATATGGTTTAGCTCAAGCATTGACGAGATCAGGATGAGCAATGATAACAATGCTCATTAGATCCTGCTATATTGAAGCTATACTAAGATGATACCGATAAGCAGTGATACAACTGGTAAACTAAGGTAGAGGTGGAGTTGGGCACTGATAAGCGCAAATTTATCACGTGCGGGCGATCATCCGTGTAGCTCCCCATCGACCGTCCGACCATCCGAGTTGACCATACTTAAACAATTCACTCTGCTTTGTCCACAGAAGCCATTACTACCTGGTCTGTGATTCTTCATTGTTCTAATGAAATCTAGACTGAATCAATAGGCATCTGCTATATTTAGTTCAATCATTTTACTGCATCTATACTTGCTCTGCTCCTTCAAACATGGACTCCTACAAACTGGCTATGCTGATTGAACGCGCATAATGTGGCGCAAGCGCAAGGCCTCACCAGCATCTTCAGATTCAACAGAGAACAGCAGAAAGAAAAGGTGGAAGGAGACCTATGTGATCTCGTCTAGTGACGACGAGAACGAAAACGAAAACGACAGATCCAGTTTAGGCGAAGACGAGTGGTACATCAATTGCATTCTCGACGAGACAAAAACGCATTACCTGATTGATTGGGAGGGGCCCTGGTCACCAACGTGGGTAAGTTTGGCGGAGACGATCTAGGGCATACCAAGCTTCTTCAGGGGAGGTGGTAAGAGAGTGTTGTCTAATCGAGGCGTCCGTGGGCAGGAACCCAAACAGAACGCTAGCGAGGCTGCGGTCGGAGTCTGGGAAGAAAAGAAGCAGAAAGAGAAAAGGAGAAGCGACCGGGGGAGTCGAGTGACTGATACATCACCTGCGCGCTCATCATTTTCACGCCTCGAAATCCGAATCTCATCGAGTTCCGATCCGGAAGCCGGGATCGACGAAACAGAGTCGCCGCATCACGACGGTCGTCTTGATTCTCCATTGTTTGTCCCGCTCCATCAGGAATCAATATCGGGTCATCCCGGAGACCAAGCTAGGTCCGCTGAAGTGCTTTCGCAACGCAGTCATACGCCACTTGCCTCCCAGGAATTGCGCCTTTCTCAACCTGATATCACTAAAGACGCCAACCCTCAAGCTTCTTGCTCAGCCGCAGCACCATACGCCCCGGTGGGTGTGTTTCAGTATATCTCCCGATCTTCAATACCCTCCCAATACCGACTTCCTGACGAAAACACGGAGCCAAGTTCGCCTACAGGATCCGAGGGCCCTCGAATAAGTGCTATTCAAGCCACTCAAACCCCCTCCTCATTGTTGGCCGGCAATCGAAGTCGACAAATCAACGAGATTGCAGAGACACCGCCTGGCCCACCAGGTATTTCAGAAAGCCAGAGAACTCTCATCACCACGAACGGAAAGGATTCAGATCTACAGCCATTAAAGACTTCGATCAGTCAGAGATCTAGTTACTGCAATCTGATATCTCAGTTGTCATCGAGTGTCCTTTGGTCAGCAGGTTGTTGGTCCCCCTTGAATTTTTTTTTTTTTTTCTAATCACACTGACCACATGTGAACATCAGGAAAATCCCCTCTTGCCATTGGCAGCCCTACCGCTTGTCGCATAGGCTCAGTGCCAGAAAGCACACACTCGCTTCATCGCTCTCAGCAGACTACCGAGTACCAATCAGCAAGTGTAGGAAGAGATATCCCGACAGTCGAGACTCCCCTGGTCATCATGGAAGACCGAGCAAGCGACAGGGAGACCCCTTCCTTGGCGGAGGCTATGGAGAAATACAGCCAGTTTGAGGGTTCAACACCAAGAGAGAAACTGCGAAATGTATATGCTCAACTACGGGCGAAGCCCAACACTGAAACGCCCTTGAATGTCGATGCTAGCGCCACTCCATCTTCAGCCGGAGACATCGAACCAGTGCCATTAAGCTTCCCCGAAACAACAGCCCCCCTTAGCGTGAGAGTGGACAGGGAACCTGGCTCATATAACTCCCATATTGAAGGGGGGTTGCATTCTTCTAACCTACAAGCCACAGAAATGGGCCCTCCTCAGCAACCTACATTGGAGACTATACAACCTAGTGCGTTAACTGTAGGCCATCAGGAGCAAACACTTCCGGGGTCTGTGGAACTCGGACCTTCGGAGTTCGCTGTGCCGTTGCCGATGGATTCAAGAGTCAAGGATGACTACGAACGGATCCTTAGAGATGAAGCTCAAAATATTGGCGAGTACGTCAACACGCAAACATCTCTAGCAGAACCATCTAGACCAGAGGTGAGAGTACATACCCCTCAGTTCTCAACCAATTCTAATAGTTGATATTGATAGCACGAACGCCTAGCATCAAGGATGCACGGGTTACTGAAGCAACTGAGCAATGTGTCGACGCATCCCGATTTAAACATTGTTGAGCATATCAAGCATTCTGATTCGGATCTGGCAAAGGAGGCTGCCTGGGCTGAATACTCAAGCGCAAAATTTCTGTTCCTGGGTTATCTGGTGAACATGGCAGGTAACCATGATATGCACCTCGTGATTATGGTACATGGAGCCAAGACTTCAAAGACCGTCGAGCGGTTTCTTATGGGAAAGGGGCTTTCCTACACAAGGGCACGCCAGGAGATGGGAGCCGGAACAAATCTGGAAGTTTCCATGGCCAAAGGGTCGTTGAGTTTTGGAATCCAGTCCACACTTGATGATGGTATCATGGAGACCTACAAAGTCCCGGCTGCGATTATTGCACTTGACAGATCTTTCAACGCTAAATGTCCTTCAGTTGAACACATGCGGACAACCTATGCACGGCACGGGAATCTACTTCCCGTGGTTCGGCTGCTGGTCTCCAACTCCAGCGAGCACGTTGAGTTGTGTTTTGCCAGTTCCCCAGAACCCGAACGACTTCGCTCAATTATACAATACACTGTGCGTCTCCGTAATGTAGTGGGTGATCTCCAAGATAATGCCTTGGGCGTGCAAGAGGACTCGGAGGAGATTATATCCTGCCTTTTGTCTGACAATCTCAATGCCCATTGGACCTTGCCTTCTATTGAGCCCTTGAATCTGGTTAGTTCCGATGAACTTGAGGCGGGGATGAGAATACTCTTGACCCAGTCTGGGGCTACATCCTCATCGGATCCTCAAATCCAGAAACGCTTATTCGTGAGTCTTCGCTTTCCGGCGCAACTCTGAAAATGAATTTCTAACCCTTTTATGTATTAGGTGGAAGATGGTGCTGAACAAGCTTCTAAACGGCAACGAATGCATATTTCTCAGGATACCAGTCAGTTTACAGATACTTCCAAGGAATCCACTATGTTCCCGAGCCAAACACTGGACAATGATTTGCATGCACTAGAAACTCATCTCATGCAATTGAGAACATCTCATGCAAACGAACTCGAGATGCTCCGGAAGACCCTAGCCGATACGCAATCTCGTCTGCAAGAACGGGAGGGTGCTCTCTCGATGCTACAACATCGCTATGAGGCTCGCACGACAGAACTCCATAAATTGCGGCAAGAGCGTGATCGTTTGGCCGAAGGCAAAGTTTCATCTGAGCAGCGTCTCGAGAAACAGAAAGAAGAAATCGGGAAGTTGAAGGATGAGCGTACTCAGTTGAGACACGAACTTGAGAAAGCACGGGAGGCCTTGAAGGCTGGAGGAGGGAGCACAGCAGACGTGGAGGCTGCGCAGGAGGAAATTCGTCGCCTAACGAAAGACAATGCTTCATTAGAGCGCAAGGCAGAATACGAAGCCAAGCAAGCGGAATATACTCGTGAGCAGTATCAGACCGCTTCCAACGTGGCTGCTCAGTCCGGAAATGAGCTCCGTCAACTCAAGGAAGAGAATGAGTCACTGAGGCGCAAAGTTGTCGGTGACGCTAGCCGGCTCAGGGAAATCAATCTTAAGCACGACGAAGCGCGGCATCTTTCCCGGGTAAAGGAGTTGGAAGCCCTACTCGCATCTCGCGAGGATCTGTTACGCAGGAAGGAGGATGAGGTGCGGGACCTTCGCAAGAATCGACCTTCTACCCGGTCGACAAGTACGCAACCGCGCAGCCCGAAATGGAATGCCGCCAATAGCCGTCCAACCAGTCCTGGAATCAATAATAACAATGGCTCAGGCATTTCTGGACGAGGCAGCGGGTTACGGTTCAGTTCCGAGATGCCACTTTGAGCTGTCATGCCATGCATGCTTAGTATGAAGTCATAAAACTGCACATAGTGACACTCCAGCAGCTGTCGCCGCAAGGAGGACAACGTGGTCTCCATGATTGGACACCATCGAACTCAATTTCATCTATCTTTGAATGGACCCCTTTCTCTTGTGTGTGTTTTTTTTTTTTTTTTTTTTTTTTTCTTGAAATGACCTCGCATATCTAGGCGTTCTAGGTTCTTTTGTAGTGGGCGAGTCCTTCGGAGCTATTATGCTGCTACAGATAGATCTGAATCTGCATTTCGATTCTTTGCGGGGTACAGCCAGCTTCATCTGGGTGTATTTGTTTGCTTTTCCTTCGGCATTCTAATGCGATGCTCGCAGTCCAGTTGTCATATGACGGAGTACAGAAGACGGAGACTCAATATTTGCCGATATGTGGCTGTCAGAGGCAGGAGCCAGCCCTCTTCCGACACAGTACGTTTTCGCTTGGCTTGTAAGCAGTCTAGTACCTGGCGATGGCCCTTGAACCCCAATCAACTCTCTTTCGAATAGTATATGAGCTTCTAAAAATGCTTGTGTTTCACTTACTTCTGAAACAACAAGCCTGACCCCTGAGCCATGGCCCATGGCATTTGCCAATGGGACTAAGTTAGTATAACGATCTGATCTGATTGGGGAAGCCAGACGTGTGCTGTCCATGGGTGGTTGTGCGGGAAGCGGAGCCGGTCAACCATGGGTCAGTGGCACTGGAAGCTATACACTTCGAGATTCCAGTGCAGTAGACTATCACTGTTTAGCGATGGTTGTCTTTTTCTGGCGGAATATAGATGAGCGTACCTGGAGCAGGTGGAGGTAGAAAAGGCCTAGAGAGGACATGGGCTGAGTGCCCCCTTACCCATCAGAAAGAAGTATACCCGTCGTTGATGGAGGGAAGTATGAGTGGGCGGAGTATGAGAAAGTGAGCGCTGATGACTAAGCCACCGGACAGTGCGCATTAAGCTTATCGATAAGCCGCCAGCATCGGCGCTAGGCCCAAAGCGGCGCCCACGTAAACACCGCCGCCATCGGGCCTCACCGTGACTTCAGCTCAGCTCAGCTCAGCTCGGCCACTCTTGCTCTCATTCTCGCTCTCTCTCACTCACTCACTCTCTCACTCTCTGTTCTACTCGTGCAGGTCATACTCGATCCTATCCTCATTCTGTTCTTCTATTCCGCTTTCCCTTCGCGGTCTATCTGATTTATCATATTCTGTCTTTACTCTTCCCCTCCATTGCGCTTCTCACTTGTTATTGTCGGTTGTTATTCCACCCCTCCCTGCTGGATCGGATTCTTCCTACCATGTACGCTGTGGGAGCTCCCTTGCATGGGTCCTAGTTCTCTTCTACTCGGTAACTGTATGTTTGCTTGACTATTTGAGCAATTGTATTTCTTGTAAGTACTTGGTGATAACACGAGACCTGCAGCTCGTCCAGCCAAACAATACGCGCCCTCGCTATTGCGCCCGCCCAGCCACCATGTCACCAGCAGCACCTCAGCTACCCACCCGATTCCCCTGCTGGTGTCGAGCAGTTTACTCCTGGGGAGGAGAGACAAAACGCGACCTGGGTTTCGTGGAGGGTGATTTAATTGAATGCTTAAACGCGGGAGATGGGCAATGGTGGATGGGTCGTTTGCGCCGGGACCGGCGCATGGTCGGATTGTTTCCATCGAACTTCGTGGAGGTCCTGGGCGAGGATTTCGTCCCTGTCAGTCGAATATCAAGTCCCATGGTCACTGCCAGTCCCTCGCCGATCACGAATCCTACTTCCGCCCCCAAGAAACAAAAGACCGTCTTCCGGAAACCCTTCCAGGCTCACAGGGAAGCCCTGGCGCCAGCGGAACTCGCCCGAAGCGCAATGACCAACACTCAGGCTACAAGCTCCATACCGCAAACCCCTCCTCGGAATGGCAGTCATTCCCGGACTGTTAAGCCACTACGGACGCCAACGACCGCCGTAAAACATCAGAGCTCGCTATCCAAACCTCCATCGCAGTCACGGCCTACGTCGCGTGGCCTGTCGCCCCGTGGTCCGCCCGTGTCGGATCCGCCGCCACAAAATCCATCGCCTACCAGAGAGGATGTCTCACGCTCAAGACCCCCATCCCGCGCGGCATCTCCCCAACCACCAGATACCTTAGAGTACTACTCCCCGTCTGTGCCTGTCAGACAGGCGCCATTGGTCCGTCCTCCGTCCGTTAGACCGCCATCGGTTCGACCGCCATCGGCTCGGCCTCCGTCCCGCGCACCGTCCCCTCATCCACCAGACACTACGGAATGGTACTCCCCTTCCGTGCCCAATAGGCAGACTCCAATGGCTCGACCTCCTTCAGTTCGACCTCCATCACCTGAGATATCTCCGCTGCAGTTGCAAGTACGAGACGATTCGCCGCCACCACCGCCGCCCCCTCCGCATCGCATCGCAGTGAACCGCCAGCCTTCTATGGAACGCGGGGTCCCAGTACATCTGGAAATGAATGACCGCTACGTTATTATGTCAAGAACTCCATCTCCGGCGGCTCATTCAGACGCGCATGGCAACACACCGTCACCCCTGCGGGACGCCATGGAAGATGTCATGACATCCCTAGAGGATATGGGAATGTCGCGTGAGACGCATTCGCCTTCTCCGGCTCCCGTATATGATGATCCTTGGTCACCCGATGCTTATGACAGCTTTCGTGATAGTGGGCCTTTAAGAACTGGAACTCGACCACTGACATCTCTAGGATTCGAAGGCGAACAGGACTATCAATACAGTGACCGTCAGCTACAACGGAACACCATGTACGGGCAGGACCACTACCTCGACGGACCACCGCAGCTGAACAATTATGTGCAGCGGATGGAAAGCCGACTGCGCCAGATGCAGGAGCAGAACCGAAGGGGTTCGGAGGACACACAACTCCCGGAGGACGACGAGGACCCGCCACCACCACCGCCGAAGCATGTGTCTTCTCATGGGAGGCATAATTCCATTCCCGCTCAGTATCCATACCTGAGGAATCGGAGATCGGGACAGGATCTGCGGGGCGATATTCTAAATCGAAGCTACACCAATAAATCTAGTACCACAAACTCCTCGAGCGGGGTGGGGAGCATTGGTACAAGCATGACAGCCAGCACTGAACAAACGAGTCAGAGCTTGATGAGTGGACCGTCGGCAGGCGCTTTCAGCGCCACAAGCGCGGGGAGTTACGCGCGACGTGGGTTAACTTCCACCGGTGAAAGGCCGAACACAGCCATGGAGACCTTCCGTTCGCGAGGTTTCAGCGACGTCTCGCGAATGGCTCGACCGGAGACACCGCTGACTGGTATATCTTACCACTCCAGCCACAACACCTCCCGCCAAGGGGCCTCGTCCGCCATCCCTTGGTCCTCGCCTGCTGCCGACTCTGCCGAATCGACGGCGGTCTTTGGGGGTCTATCCACACCGAAGGCGAAGAAGCATGGTTTCTTCAAGAAGATTTTCGAATCCGCAAAGACCGGTGCGGCGAATGCCAGAAGCAGTATTGCTGTCGGACATACTGGAGGATCATACTCCCCAACTAAAGGCAGGCCGATTTCCCCGATCAGGGGCGCCCGCGACGCAGGGTTTGGCGGCGGGAGCGTGGATTGGGTTCAGGTGCGACGTGACGTGAACCGAGCAAGCTCGCCTAGTCGGAACGAGAGGATAGAAAGAGCCGAGCGTTGCCAGATGATGGATCATCCTGTGATCTACGCAGTCGAGGAGCTTCACGAAACTACAGAGGGTGATGAAAGTATCGACGGGTTACCAATTAGCGAGCCAACCAATTTTAACGCGGCGAACCTGAATCTCGTCGATAAGAGTGCTCGCTTTGTGAATAGCCTTCCTCCGATGACCAATCCGATGAGCCTTGCGCAAGGATATGTTTGTCGGCCTTACAAGAGTGACGTTCAGAGATTGCGCGCTATCTTCACCTGGGTCAGCGAGAAAATCGCCTGGGACGAGCCGGTGGAGGAGATTGGGGTTGATCTGAAGCGAATTCTGCAGACAAGGAGGGGAAGTCCCCAGGAAGTCGCATTCCTCGTCAAGGAAATGTGCACTGCCGTCGGCCTCCACGCAGATGTGGTCCAAGGGTTTCTCAAATCCCCTGGTGAGCTATTCGAGTTGGACAGCCTTTCACGACCAAACCACTGGTGGAACGCCGTTCTAGTTGACGGTGAATGGCGCATCATCGACTGTTCCCTCGCGAGTCCGACCAATCCGATGAGGAATCAATTTGTTACCACGAACTCTGCAGCTGCAGAGAGCTGGTACTTCCTGGCGCGCCCTCTCGAGATATGCTATACACATGTGCCACTGTATCCAGAGGAGCAACATATCTGTCCGCCTGTATCCCCAGACGTCTTGCTGGCACTCCCAGCAGCCTGTCCCCCTTACTTCAAGATGAACCTCCAGTTCCCTGACTATGACACAAGCTTGGTCCGAATCGAGGGATTGGAAGTTCTGCAGATTCGCCTGCTTGTGCCACCAGACGTAGAATGCGCGGCAGAGGTTGAGGCGCCCGCTTTCGCCCGCGATGCCGACGGAGACTTCTTCGAGAGTGGGGAGATTGTGCGTAAACGTGCCCTGGTCCAACCTGACTGGGTTGGCGGCCAAAAGCGGTTCACTGTGAAAGCTGTCCTGCCCGGCGACGAGGGGCAAGGCACAGTCAAGATATACGCGGGCAAGAAGGGTTTGATGCACTCTAGCAAAGACATCCCTCATCCGCTAGCGCTTGCCCTTCCCATCATTCACGCGGGTGACAACCCTCCGTACGAATTCGTCCTGCGCCATCCAACACCCCATGCTCAGCGGCATGACTTGTACATTATTCAACCCCAGTGTGCGAAACTTGCCGTCAACAACACCTTTGTCTTCGCCGTACGGCAACACCCATCCTCGCTTCCCTCTCCGACAAACGGTAATGACTTCGGTGCCTCGGGACGCATCTCTCCCTCCGTCTTTGCGCGGCCTGCCAGTGCTCTCAGTATGGTGTCCAGCTCTGCCGGGGGCTCTTCTGTCTCCGCCGTCTCCAACGAGTTCTCTGCCTCCACCTCAGCAATCTCATCAACCAAGTCGTCCTCTGGACGAGAAAAACCGGCCAAACTAGCCATCCAGTCGCCGTCAGGCAAGATTCTCCGGCTCACTCGCAAAGCAGATCATATGATTACCAATGACTCCACTTCGGATCCCTGCGCGGACGGCAGCGTCTGGGAGACGGTGATCAAGATCGGCGAGCGCGGGACCTGGAGGGGACTCGTTCTGGCTGACCGCGTTGCGCGATGGTGTGTCTTCTCTGAATGGGAATGTTTCTAATACGACAATTGTCTATGCTTTGGTCTATTGCTTCTCTAATCCCCTCCGCCTATGTCTCTCCCGATGAAGAATAATCCTTTTTTCTGATCTAGCGCAATCCCCGAATCGTTGTGTATGAGTTGATATCGCCTTCAAAGCCTAATTTCGTCTCAGGTTTTGGTTGGCGTATGTTCCCGTCTGGAATCGGTTGCATTTCTCCTTAGCTCATGGTTGCATGTGCATCAGTTACGCCGGGGTTGGGGCCTTTGATTACCCGCTGCATTATTTGGTCTTTCTTCTACATCTTTGTCAATCTAAGGCGACATCAACGAATTCGATTTTATGTTTGGAGTTACCGGAATACTGGTCATTGGGCGTGGTGTTGATATGTGTGAATTGATGTTTTTTTTTCCCTTCAGCTTCTTCAGTGTGCGACATCTCGATGTTATGTTTGATTGAGTTGAGCATGCTTGCTCGCATACGCGGCAGGCCCGAATTATAGAACTTTTCTTCTTTGTGCTTTTATACCGTGCTGAGGAATGAAGAATATTTCCGAGAATACGTAGTGGGATGTATACCCTCCGTTCTATCTGTCTCAGTTAAAGGCCGGCATTGCCGTTGACCTTTAGTTCTGCAACGGCCGCCCTCACCAACGGAGCGACCTGCTTTCTACTCTTCGTCACATCTGTCTGTAACCAGATCCGTCTCCAGCCCGGCGCATCGTTGTTCATCACCGCCAAAGTTTCCTCCAACTCATCCTTGTAACCAGCCTCGACGGTCGTCCACTCCTGCAGTCCCAACTGCGCGCCCGCCTGGGCAGCAAACGCCTCCAACGCCTGGGTGGCAACTCCATCGTCCAGTGCACATGCCACCAGCTCGCGGCAGAATCGGCCCTGCTGTTCAGGTGCAGACGTGGACGTGGACGCATCGAACGCCGTCATGACCACTACAACCCCCAGCTCCCGGTGCTCTGCAAACGCCCGCAACGACTCCAGGAACGCACGCGGGCCGCCCGCTTTCCGTACAATCCACGGGATTGACCTGACCATCGAGCAGAAGCCGATGTGGACCGGGACGGATTCTCCATCCCGGTGCGCTGTTTCGGTCCACTGCTTGTAATCCCGGCCGAGGATCTCGTCGACCGTAAGTAGATCGAGGCTGCTTTGCTTAGCTTCAAGGATCTGATTGTAGAAGTGGTTTCGGTCCCAGGGAGGATTTGGACCAGGATCAGTGGTGCTGTTGTCGATCTGCGATGTGAGGAAGTGCACGGCGTCTGTGTCGGAGTCGGTGACTTTGTCTTTCGCGGTAAGGTTGGCCGTGTCGATGAGGATGGCGGCCATGGCGAGCTTGGCGAGCTGTGCTGCGCTTGCGTCCTGCCAGCGGTCCACCTCTCGTAGTGTCGAGACGACGAGCGAGGTGCAGGATCCCGCGGGCCGCACGAGCATCGGCTGGCCGCGGGGCAGGGAGTCAGCGGGCGGGAGGAAGTTCTCGTCGACGTGGTGGTCGATGCAGCCTAGTACTTGGAAGTCGACGGTGGCTAGCCCATCCAGCGAGCCCTTTCCTCGCTGTCGGTGTGGTGATCGGATGGGTAGCGCATTCCAGTCCACCAGGGTGGCATCTGCGGAGAGTTGCTCGTGCGACTTGTCAGCGCGGTGCTGCTTCAGGTGAGCTGCAAAGTCTGCAACAGTAATAATGTGGTCGTGCAGGAAGGTGCCGACCGACTCGGGTGTTTCGTCCCATGCGCCATTCTCGATTACCGGAGCAGTCGCGGTAGCGAGGCAGAATGCCTTGACGAATTCTGGGCGGAGTCTGCGCAGCTCGGGACCGGAAGGGACATTTGTCAAATTTACGAGCGGGATGTGAGGCCGGGGGCAGTCGAGCGGAACGCGATTGTGGGCGAAATAAGAGTAAACTATGGCGGAGATGATAGAGTCCAGATCTGCGGACGGATTTCCAATCACATATATTGGTGTCTCCGACCGAGGTGACGATGACAGTGCTTCGGAGATGAAGCGAAGGTGAGTCTGTCGGGCATTTTTGAGGAACTTCAGCAAGTTGGCCATGGAAGGACATGACCGGGCCATCATGCTGTTGACTGGGGAACAGATGAAGAAGAACGATATCCCAATCAGGAAGCTCGTGATAGTTGACATCATCGGCAGAACGACACCGCCTGATGAGCCCCCGACATTCATCTCATTTCATTCATACTATTAAGTGCTGCTACCTGCTATATGTTTGTCGGAAGCATTGAAGTGAAGTGTACATAGGACATTGATCTGACTGCATGATATAGTCATATTCAATTCACCCTATGAACTAGTCGGCTGATCAAAAGCTACAGATACCCTCATACACCCACACTTGTGTATATATCTACATACTAGCCTGACTGTCTTACGACGATTATGCTACTTAAACCATCAACATGACACTCTCCCTGCCAGCAGCCTTTGCGCAGATTCCCCGCTATCCACTACTCTATCCCCATCCCTCACCGATCCATCCTCTCCGCATCCTATCATCCTATCTCAACAGCATCACCTGCGACCCCACCCCAAAGAGCCCATTCATATCCCTCTTCGCTAAGCGCGAAGACCACTCCTCGCCGCTTGCCTGCGCAGGAAACAAATACCGCAAGCTGGAGTACATCGTCCCGGACATTCTCGCCCCGCACAGACAGCGCAATGGCACCCCACCAACCCTTGTCACCGAGGGCGCCATCCAGAGCAACCACACTGTCCAAGTTGCGGCGGTAGCCAACCGGCTCGGCCTCGACGCTATTGTTGTCTTACACAAAGGCACAGGTGGCGGGCTAGCCGCGGCGACTGACAAGGCGTCGTTTCTACGCACGGGAAACGTGCAGGTTGTTCGCCTCCTGGGGGCGGAGGTCAGGGTTCTTGAAGCGCCGGTGGCGGGGAAGGAGGACGAGGATCCGATCTCCGGGATTCTGGAGGAGCTGCACAAGCAGGGAAAGGCGCCGTACTGGATCCCGTCGGGGGCGAGTCTGCATCCCCTGGGTGGGCTGGGGTATGCGCGAGGTGCGTTTGAGATTGCAGCGCAGGAGCGGGAACAAGAGCTGAAGGGCAGCGGTCGCTTCGACTATATCTTTGTGGCTTGTGGCAGTGGTAGTACCGTGGGAGGCTTGATTGCAGGGTTCAAGCTGCTGGATAAGATGGAAGAAGGAAAGCGGACGGATGTACAGCCTCGGAAGGTGATTGGGATCCTGAATTCGCCTACTCAGCCACAGGAGTATCACGAGGGGCGAGCGCTTAAGTTTGCGCGGCGGACTGCTGGCCTCATTGGATTGGATGAACAGGATATTTCGATGGCTGATGTGCGCCTTGACGATCGACTTGTGGGGACCGCATACGGTGTTCTAGACACGCAGACTAACGAGGCGATGGAGCTAATGGCAAGGAAGGAGGGCGTGGTGCTCGACCCCGTGTACACGGCAAAGGTGATACGAGGACTCTCGCACTGGGTGCATCATGGGGATCTTGTTAGAGACTGGTCTCTGCAAAGGAAGCTTTCTGAAGATCCTAATCAACTGAATGCGCTGTTCATACATACTGGAGGACAGGCAGCCTTGTGTGCTTACGCAAACACAGACAGCTCGCCGGGGATATGAATCAGAAGGTGACTTTAGAACTCGATTCTATCAATAAGAAATACAGGACAAAGTATTTTGAGTAGTATTACATCCGAACGCACCGAGACTAATTCGAGACTGATGTGCTCATGAGCCAGTGAGCCACATCGATTGCGAAGCATCAACAGCAACAGCATCGGCAAGCCTCGAGGTCCAGCAAACAGCAACAATAGCCGCCTCGTAAGATATATAGAACCCTTAGAAAGACAAGTGAAAGAAGAAGAGACAATACAGAAGCGAAGACATCCAAACTCCCCCATTCCTGCATCCTTTCTTCGTACACCCAGCGCACTGATGTGCAGAATGAGGAAGCTTCTGTCGACGTTGGACAATCAAAGCATATGAAAAAAAGACAAAACAGAACATATTGGTCGAGAAAGCAGACACAGTAATCATTAGCATAAATGAAAAAAAAGGGAAATCTCTCGTACATCAAACGCCGCACGAAACCGCCAGGTCAAGTATAAACGCCACAGAATGCTCTTGAGGGTTTCCCAAGAAAGAGAAAACCTCATTTTGTTGTGTGACTGGCCCCATATTGGCATCGCAAATTTGATAGTGGAAAAACAGAGGTATCCGGAATAGAAATAGTAAGTGGTGAAATTGAAACAAGTAGTAATCAGAATGGTCGGATTCGGTTCATGGATGGTTTTCGAAAGCTACGTCAAGGATTGTTGTCTGCAGGACCTTCGAGGCCCTCGTGGCCATTGATGTCACCGTCGACGTCAGGGTCATGAGCATCTTCGTGCTGAATATCCCCGGAGTGGTCTCCTCCATTAATCGCATCAAGAGCCTCTAGTGCTTCATTGGCATGCGTGTTCTCCATGAGCTCCGATTCTAGCTCAGGATCAGGTTCCACATATTGGTTAGTCAAATCCGCGAAGACATCATCCAAGTTCTGCCGAGGACTGCTGTCGAAAGGATTTTCATTGCCGATGTCAACTCCCGGAGGCCCTTCTGCAGGATCGCGATTGAAACGGGGGGAGCTAAAGAGAGTAGTATCAAGCCCTTGATGCGGCGATGGAGATCGTGGAAACGAGGGAGAGTGTGCTGCGATGTGAGGCAGAAAAGCGGAGTGCGCGGGGGCAAATGCTGGCGTAGAGTCACTTGCAGGGAGAGTATAATTAGCCGAGAAAGGGTATGGTGGATTGGGAGCCTCAGTCATGGGAGTCAATGTTGGCCCGTTGGCGTTAGGGTCGTCACCAGGAGCATGAGGGTTTGGCTGGAGAATTGCAGGCCGAGGCGTTTGAGCCTCGATAGACTTGCGTTTCGCATGGTTGGGCTGCTTCGTACGTAGATGTGGAGGAAGGTCTTCTGGACGTTCCACGCCCAATTGCGCCATGATCTTCTGCTGCTTGGTTGGGCGCGGTTTACGCGTCGAGAGGGATTGCTCCAGGATCGGGGGTGCTTCTGGTGCAACAGGTGCCCATTTATGGATCTCTTGACGGAAGAAGTTCGTCTCATAAGCCAACAACACCTCAGCACCCTCGATTTTGCGCAGGTAGAAGATCAACGTGGGGACTTCTTCTGTGGTAGTGCAGGCAGCATTGGTGAAGCTCTGGAGGAAGTCACGGAAGGTGGTTGCCTGATTAATGATGTTTTCCAAAATCTCTTCCTCGTCAGGCTGGAACGGAAGGTTCGGGATTTCAGCCTGCCAGTCTTGCAGATCCTCGAGCTTCGGACGCGCAGCATCGCGAGGAATCTTTTGGCGCCAGTCACAGATGGGACAGGTGTATTTATCGAATTCCTTGACTTTGCCTCGAGCGATCTTTAAGCATTTACCATGGTACCTGTAAATTTCCGAATGAGAAACGGTCTTGCATCACTTTGACAAAAAACAAGAAAAAGTAGGGACTTACCATTCGTGACAAACCTCGCACTCAATCATCATCCCAGCTTCAGAGTGCCTGCAAATGCAGAAGACATCCCTCTTCCGAGACTTGCCACCACCCCACATGCTCGTACTGGCGGTATGATTCTCCAGCAGGCCATCCGGAGTGTTGTCTCGAGACGCTGGTTCCACAGGTGGCCGACAGCGATCTTCTAGATCGAAGCAATATGAATTTCTCTTTTCGACATACTCCATGTGCGACTTCAAGATATGCAATGGCGCATTGGCCTTCCCAAATAGTTTTTTCCCTTTCCGCATCCAGTCCTCATGACGCTTTTGCTCCCGCTCCAGGTCGATTGCACCTGTGGGACGGCTGTTCAAAGCTTCCAGTGACTCCATGAGATCCCGAATTTCTTTGTATTTAGGACGTTTCCGAAAGTCTGGATCCCGGCTTCGCTCATAGAGGCTTTGAATTTTCTTTTGTGCTTCCCGTTGTTTCGTTAATATGGCATCGACCGCAGTGAGCGTCTCGGGAGAAACAGGGAAGCGTAGTGCCTGCGCAGACAAAGCCTCCAGTTGTTGATAGTGGACCGATTCTACAGACATCAACTCCTTGGCCTTGGCTTCCCAAGTCTCACCATGACGGCACAATTCCTTAAAATGACTGAGTTGCTCGTTGGTTTCCGAAAGTCCCAATTGTTCGCCAGCCTGAATAAGTTCTTGGCACTCCTTCAGAGTCAAATATTGATCACGCTTGCGACGTGCTTCGTCGTTCCACCTCATTTGTCGAAGAACATGCTCTAATCCTTCCACCTCGGGTATTTCCACGTTGAAATTGCGGGCCAAATCCACCAAATCTTCTACTTCCTGGATCGACCGGACATGGGGGTTCATGAGGGCAGCGTTAACGTCCTGGCGGAATTTCTCGATCTCGCGGGTTTTCTCTTCCAGAGCCGCCATCTGTGGACAGTCGAAGGAAAGTTTATCAGCCTCTGCAAGAAGGGCGTACATAGTTTCTATCTTGCGAACTTCACGATCGCGTTCTTCCAGCTGCGCGGCCTTCGAAGTACTCTTGCGCCAAGCCTTCTCGTTTTTCCTCCGGTTTTGCTGCTTCCGGGTAATATAATTGGTTGCTTCCTCAACCCATTTATCGCAGCGCTGGACGAAGGCCGCTAGATCTTGGAGGCCAGGCAGATGGTATGGGATTTTCTCACCTTCGCTTAGTAGGCTATGAAGGACCTTCAGTTGGGGCTTCGGCTCATCTTCCAGAACCTTATCGAGCTTCTCCCCCCACGTTTCCGGAATCCTGGCACGCTCCTGAACTTTGTGTACCAGGGATTTCAATGTGTCGTCGCTCATTCTGTAGCGAAGGGTATGGTCTGGTCCCGAGAGTCGTTGAGCGACGGTCTCTCCGCAACAATCGTAGGTCTCCGCATGCAGCAAACACATTGTCTTGCCCGTCTTATGGCAACGGAACTGGGTCAAATATGCGTAGGCTTTGCAATATTGACATTGATAATCTTCTTCTGGAAGATCTTCTTCTTCAACTAAGAACTTGAGCTGGCAGTCACCTGACGCCGACGGGTCCTGGGATCCGAGTGCGCACTTGTGCGGTGCTATCTCCCTATGCCGACCAAAGAATGCGGATCTTTCCGCAAGCTCACGGTTGCATGTCCTCTGAAGGGCGGGAGCGAGCCATTTAGCTGTTTTAATTGACGTATCACGAGCGGCAGCCGTAAGCAGCAGTTCGTCGTGGGAGAAACACGGGTGCCGACGGAAGGCCTGAAGTCTCTCTACGCCCATTGCACCCCACGGCTCCCAATCCACAGGGGCGAAGTTGACAGCCTCGTTGAAATTGAACCCATGGTTGAAACCAGCGTGGTACGCCTGAGGGAAGGTAATAACGAATTGCCCAGCTCGCTGGTCGAGCGCATAGACGTTTACACCAGCCTTCTTGAGCTGATCCGGTGGCATCAGAGTTACAAGCTGGAAGAGCAGGTCCGGTTGGCCCTCAAACAACTCTGGAACCGCCTGGCGCATTGCCTCCTCGAACGCCTCTGCATCAGCCCCCGGAATGCCGTACCAGGTCTTGGTGGCACCAAAATGCTGGTAGTTGGCTGAGTACGCATAGTGGTCTTCGTTGTGCCAGCAGAAAGTTGAGAAACACATGCCGACATAAACCCAGGGCACTGTCATGCCCGAGATGTCAGATTTAATATGACGAAAAAGCGAATCGCCATAGAAAGGGAGGACATTCAAGTTCCAGGGATCAGTTGAGTAGGGATCAAGGGGATTCCGTTCAATGGTTGGGAAACCACTGCCATGCGTAGTTGAATGGATGTCGGCGCCATATTCGACTTCAACAGTTTCGGTCAAGCTTTCAACAAGCCTCCAGAATTCGCGCTCGACGTCGTCCTCAGACTCTCGCCGATGAGTGTTGAGGACCGGGTCGAAAGGCATTTTGGAAGCGAAATAACTGTTCTTGAAACCGTTTGCCTTCTCCTGGAATTGTTTGAGAGAATAAACGCCGCCTTCCTCGAAGCCAAACTCGCCGGTGCCTACAAGACACTTGGGACAATGCCAGTCATATTCCGGGACAGTCGTTAGCGGCGGATCCAGGCAATTTTTGTGATATCCCTGATCGCAGCTATCGCACACAAGTATGGAAGGACGATCCTCCCCCTTGCCGCAGATTTCGCATTTCTGGGCCCTGTCAGTTTTGGTTTTCCTTTGCCGTGATGGGGGTCGGTTTGAGAACCGTGCTTACATCACCGAGTTTCCGGCTATCACTCTTGCGAACCCGAGGTGGAGCAGGACGGAGAAGACTCATGTGGGAGCCAGCGACAGTAGGCGGAGGCGGAACATCTAGCAAAGCGATAAGGGGATTTTCAACGCTACAGGTTCAGTGAACGAGAACATACCTTTTCGAAGACGTTTACTTCGTCGCCCACTTGCATCTGTCTCTGCACCCTCTGTCTGCGAGCCGCTGTCATGGCTGATCGCGCGCTTCATGGGATGCCCGCCATGGCCATTGGGTACCGGAGTCGAACTCTGAGGATGCTCGGCGACACTTTGCGGAGTCAGTGACCCATTTTCAGTTTCGCGTTTGACTACTGGACCGCTGTTCACGGCGACGAAGGATGGAGACCGATTGACTGCGGTGAAGCCACCAGTGCTGGCATTGACAGCAGTGAAACCAGATGCGGTAGGCCGAGGAGGTGCGGCTTCGATCGGAGGGGTGGGCTTATCAGGGGTAGCCTCTACGTCTTTCAGAGTACCCTGTGAACCAGTAGCAGCTTGGAGATTTAGGGAAGCCTGTGTGGTTGCTATTGGTGTATTGTGATCAAACAGCACGGGCTTCTTCGCCATCGGCGACTGGTGCGGAGACGGTGTGTACGGTCCACCGTGTTCTAGTTCCAGTTGCTGCTGCACTCCCGGTTTAGCCAGACGTAAGTACTCCTCATACGGTTGGAGCCATCTCTGATAAGAGTTCTTGAGAGAAGTTGACAGGGAGGACATGATCTTGCCGCTATACCCGAGATCACGACCGATCTCTGCCCACTTCTTCATTTTACAGACTTGATCGAAACCGCCACGAATCTCAACGGCCTTTTTGAGCTTGTACAGGTCGAGGGGGCGCTTGTCGACGCTCGGGAATCGGTTCAGATTGGTACCATGTTGTTTGTGGAATTTGGCCAGCTGATCGAGATAGTTCAAGTTTGCACGGGTTCCTGGGTCCGGGTTAGAACTGAGCTGCGGAGTTCCACCGGCAGCGAGCGTGGCTGAAGGCAGGGGCATACCTCCTTCGACCGAGTTAAGCTCCTGTCGACGAGTCTTGAAATGAAACCGCTAGAGAACAAAAGACTGTTAGCAATGTGAACTTCCAGGGGCAAGCGTTGCCGTTTCATAAAAGGAACAAGAACTAGAGTCATATTTCCTACCTCGGTGTCAATCGCAAATGGCGGCTGCCAATTTTCCGGCGGAATGATTCTGCAAATTCCATATTTCTTGCCCTCGGGCGCGATCTTCCGAATGTATTCCAAGGGATCCTTGAATTCTTCTTCCGTTGGGCGGAACGTCGGAGCTTCCTGTAGGCCATGGGGGCGGACTCTTTTGCTAGGCTCTCTGGGGGCATTGGGCTGACCTCGACGTTCGACGGTGGACAAATCGAGGGGTTCGGACCTTCGGGCGCTCAAGGGGACATTATGGGAATGCGACGGGTGGGTGCTGGCGGATCGGGTAGGTTGACGGCTTGCTGAAGGCTGTACGCCCGTCGAGTTCGCGCCCGTCAAGGCCGGAGCCACCATCTCTAGGTAGCGACAGCTGACCGGAGAAGGAGCGGGAATTTTGCGCGTGAATTATCGCGGACGGAAGGGAGAGAGCGTCCGATGCGAAAAACGCATTGAGGAGTGGCTAAGGCAGAAGAATGGAAGAGGAACGAGAATCCAAGGATTGTCCAGCAGATTTCGACGGTAGACTGAAAGAGTGTGATCTGAGAACCCGGAGGTGGTTGATGGCAGGAGACGGGAGGATGGATGATGATGGAGATGGGAGGAATGGCACTTGACGCTAGTAGTAGTATTTATTAGTAGTGAGTAGTGAGTAGTGATAAGTAGTAGTAGTAGTCGTAGTAGTAGGATGAGAGGGAGAGAGAGAAGTACTAGAGGCGAGGCCGAGATGACCCCGGGAGGGTTTAGCGTGGAGAATCTCGGAAGAGGAAACAAGACGTCTAGTAGTTAGTTATAGTTATAGCGTTCATAGTGCTTTGATATCCTGTCCAGTAATAGTAGGTAGTAGTCGTAGTACCGACGAGATAAAGAATGACGAATAGGAGAATCTGAACAATAATAAATCAGATACAAGAACTGAGCAATGTACCTTGGGTACGATGGATCAAGGATTGCACCACCTGTTGTGATCTATGCTGGGAAGTAGGAGAGAGATACTACAGGGTAGATACCTAGTACTAGTAGTAGGAGATGGTAGGACGACGCGAGTAAGAGATGAAATCAGATAGTCAGTCTCAACTAACAGAAGACTTAAATGAACAGATACACAAGCCTAGGCTAGTACGGAACATGGAATTGAGGTGAAAAAGTGTTCCCCAAAGTGGAAAAGGATGGTCTGCATCATAGTCATGCCTGATGCCTCATAGCCTCAGGCCTGGTAGCGAACCCTGGGTAACGAGAGATACCATATATTACCATATTACCATAATTACCATAATTACCGTTACGAGATATCTATGTCATATACATTACGGTAAGATATCCAAGTACCTAGAGGTACCTACCTAGGGAGTGGAGGTCTCTAGGTACCAAAGGTGGGTGGCTATGTCTGCAAACGGGATCAAAGAGCCCACCAGGATGATACATTCGACTAATGCAGTCTCAGTCTGAATAAAATTCTTAGTTATTACCTCAGTGTGAATATTGATTGTCAGCATGCATTTATTTCATCGTCTTTCGCTGTGCTGGTTCCTTCTCGCGGCTAAATCCATAGTCTGGGAGCTATATGCATGACTGTCCACTTCGGGTCTACGGAGAACCCTTGATAGAAAAGGCAGACAGTCCTTAAATCTATTGATTGACCAGCCTGGTTGATTTCGATTTATCCTTATAGAATACTTCTTCTTACAATCATATATCATCCATAATGTCTTTTGAGCGATACCTCCAGGAGGTTAAGTATTGTAGTCAGTAGTTGGGTATAGGTAAGGTATGAAGGTACCCGAGCAGTTGTAATGCTACTTCAACAATCAGAGTGTACCTTGCCTCATGTAGCAGCGACTTGAGACGTAGCCGTGGTCTACATTGCAGCACAATCATCATTCCTAGATTTCCTTCTCGATGATAACCTAATATCCACTACCTACCGCGGACAATGGCTTGTTTCTTTGGAAAACATCTACAATCGTCATCTTTATTGTTTCTTTTCACCCATATTGTAGAAGGAGTTTGGCGGGTGGTATAGATACTCTGTGTGGTACACAAGGGGAACAGACAGATATCCCACCACCACTGTGGTAGTTGACGAAATTGCGCATCTGCAAATAATTCTGGTGCTGATACGCCGGATTGACATATTTTTTAACCCGAGTTGATAATGAATTACTCATTTCATAATTCGGAAATCTGTACGGAGTATATCTGACGGATGTTGAATTTGATTGCATGATGTTGGTGCCTGAGGCCATAAGTGGACTTACCTAAGGATAAGCTTCAACCTTATCTAATCTACTTGCATCGCTTCTTCTGAGTTCTGACCGTCATGTGACTTTCTTTGTTATTGTTCATACTACGCAGTACTATCAACAACGCTAAAAATACCATTTACGCTGTATGCATACTCACTATATTAATGAAATCAATATTTAGTCATCAGCTGTGGCTGCACTGCTTACAGCTCCATACAGTGGTCATTCCAATCTGAGAAACCCTTGATCTTCGATCCAAGACATCTGCTTCAAACAAAAAAAAAAAAAAAAAAAAACAAAAGGCTTGGACGATGCCATGGAGAACATACAACTAGAACATTCGAAACCAATACCGGCCTTCTATTGCTGTTATCTACTTCGCTCGACTGTGAGACATGCCTCTCTTTATATCGGGTCAACGCCAAACCCTGCAAGACGGCTCACGCAGCACAATGGCGTGGTCAAGGGAGGCGCTCGTCGAACTGCAGCCGAAAAGCTGAGACCGTGGGAGATGGTTATGATAGTTGAGGGGTTCATGAGCCGCCTTGGAGCTCTGCAATTCGAGTATGTATTATCCAGTTCTACATTGCTTCCAAGAAGCATCTAAGTAACATGTCTCGAGATGGGCTTGGCAAAATCCAGGTTATTCTCGCCACCTGCGTTCAGAGGAAGAAGGCTTGGAAGCTCCAGGTACTACAAGTACAACAAAGCCAAAGACTACTAGAAGGGCAAAATCTCAAACTCCACAGCCTCTTGAATTTGAACGTGATCCTTCCGTTTCGAAGAGCCTAGGGACACCGAAAAGGAAGAATCAACGCCGCCGTCGTCCCCAACGATCTTTGACTACTCATTTCGCTGATCTGCATCGTTTACTACAATCGCCGTACTTCTCAAACTGGCCCTTGAGAATACGATTCTTTTCAGCCGATGTCTACCAGTCATGGAAGGCTTGGTATGATCGAGTGGATATCTTTCTTCCAGGGCATGTCAACATCCTCTTAGACGGCAGTTGTCCAGAGAACTCGGCACAGTGTAGTGCGGTTGGAGCCAGGTTTGGTAGTGTTGAACAAGCCAAGGTCAACTATGATATAATCCAGGACTATCTGGAAAAAGCCATGTTCCTTCTAGACGACCCGAAAGATTTATCATGCCGAGTATGTCAAACTCAAATTGCCCCAAAAGAACAATTGGCCGTGGTTTGTCCACAAGCGGGTTGCCATTGCACCTGTCATTTACTCTGTCTATCAAAGAAATTCCTAGACGCCATGCCGGAACCGGATTGTCTCATTCCGAGACATGGTGCTTGTCCTGCATGTAAGGCCACCGTTCAATGGTCGTTGATGATGCAGGAGCTGAGCTTCCGAAGCCGCGGAGAACAAGAAGCATTGGCGATCTTGAAAAGGAAGAGAAGACTCGATCGGAGACAGCAAGTAATCTCCAAAGCAAAATGTGCTGGCAAAGGTGTTGACTCGTCAGATGTGAGGCCGACATCTGTCGACTTGGACCGTTCCAACAATAATGCTTCAGATGACCTTCTTTTGGATGACGACTGGTTCGATGAGTTCGCGTCAGAATCGGACTCCGATACTGGTCATCGATCAAAGGCCCTCTCAAAAGCTGCACCGAATCTTGAAACTGTTGTGGAGGACAGTGAAGGCGACGATTTGGAGTTCTTGTGAGAGTATCGGTCTCCTCGCATACCATCGCCACGATGTACATGATTGGACCTAGTTTGCAATTGGGCCCAGTCTCTTCAGAGGTGCAGTGGCGTCAATTGTCTCTAGACAGGCCGTTACTGTCTGCAGAATATCCTGCGACACCGCATCAAGTGTTCGTCCAGCGTCGACCATGTGGATATAATCACCAAGCTGCAATTTAAAGAGCGTTTGGAATAGCTCGCGCACGCGGCTCTGCATCTTTTCATTCTCATACCGCTCGATACCGAACCCACCGCGCTTTGCCGCCTCTTCAGGAGAAATACGAAGAAATAAGCATATATCAGGCTGCGGCAAGCCGATTTCTGGTTGCCATGCCCACTCAAGGGACAGATTTTGGTTGCCCTTTGCAGCCGAGTAAACAGCGCCGGAATAAGAATACCGGTCAACTATGACGGTGACGCCATTGGCTATATCATTCTCAATGGTTCTCGCGATCTCCCAGCGATTTGCCGAAAACAAAAGGTGGATGGAATGATCGTCAAGATGCGACTGGCCTTGTAAATAGCCATTTATCAACTGGCCGATTGGGGTAGTACGATCTGGATGGAGGTTAGAAAAGCATCATATATCCTTATACACGGACATGACTAGATACCTGGGAAACGAATATACTTCACGGAGTACCCTGATGCTTGTAGTGAGTCGCGAAGGCGTTCACACTGACTGGATTTGCCAGCTCGATCCAGCCCTTCCACTACAATAAGGGCTCCGCGCTTTTGCATATTTCCCATTTGGCGTCTTGTCCAGTGATTGAGCAGATAAATCCACAACGCCACAACTGTTGTCGTCGAGTCAAGTAATGACCGAACATGCGATGGTTGATGGCGCGCTAAAGGAAACGCGGCGGAGAACAAAAGAAATGCCGACTTTATTTGTCGGCGGATTTTAAGCCACTGATCGTCGTTTATCTCCAGACGCATTTCTTTCCCCCCACCAGATCGCCAGCTCCCAAGATCAACCAATATCACGGGTCCTGTCAAACCGCCATGAGCTGCTCTGAAATGCCATCGCAGTCTACGGATGAGATGGTCCATTTTACTCTGTTGAGTCCTGCAGCTGCCCCCATCCTGGCCCCGCGCCTGGGAAAATTGGCCATCGCGGGCAGAAAAGCCATCTCCACGCCCAACTACATTCCGCTCACGTCGCGAGGATCCGTCCCTCATGTCGCGCATGATGTGATGCGCGAGCAGACTGCCATTGGCAGCCTCTTCATTGGTCTAGAGGATTGTAGGTCTAATCCCACATGATCTATGCATTGTGCTTGTAGCATCGCAGCACACAGAAAACCAAGCGCTGACAGTGTGCGATGCCCACCGGGGCTCAGATCAGTCATAGAAAAGCAAGGACAGCCAGGACCACACCGAAAGGGCGCCCCTCCGATATACAATGTTCCCACCGCGCCGAACGAGTCGGCGCTGCGAAAGTTCATCAGTCTCCCTGAGGATTTTGTGCTCATCCTCGGCCCTCGAAGAATCCCGTCGATCGTGTGTCCCTCGACGAACACCCCCAACTCGATTTCCGTCTTGACGTCTGTTGGGTTCCGGCAACTAGAAGCCGGCCAGTATGTGGAGGCGGTACAGAAATTACGACCAGATATCGTGGTGGGATTGGCCGATCTGGCTCAGGGACAGGCTCCCGGCTTGAAGAGGCGGGTGAAGATGGCCGATAGAACCCATGCATTCACGTCGCATGCGACAGGAAGTCTCTACGGGGGCACAATCACAGAGGAGGCCCGGTTGAAAGCGGCTTATTTCGCACCCGTGTTGCCGCTGGAGAACACCCAACAGTCTCTGTATCTGTCTGATCTGGAGCAGGAGCTACGTCCCTACATCTCAGGCCTCGCATTGTACGAGTCGGCATCCCTGTCGATTCTCCCGGAGAACTTGGGCAATCTTCCCCGTCTTCTTTTCAGCGGCCCAGTCACACCACACGACATCCTGCGTGAAGTGTCTCTGGGAGGGGATCTCTTCACTGTTCCCTTCGTTGGGATTGCTTCGGATGCCGGAATCGCACTGGATTTCACTTTCCCGTCCGCTTCTCCCACGGCGGCGTCCGACGTGAACCCGAGAGAACTCCAACCATTGGCATTCGACCTATGGTCCTCCTCGCATAAGACAGACACAAGTCCCCTGAAGGCGGCCTGCGACTGCTATACATGCACACACCATCATCGCGCATACATCCACCACCTCCTGTCCGCAAAGGAAATGCTCGCGTGGACCCTACTCCAGATCCACAACCACCATACTATGGATACCTTCTTCGCCGCCATCAGAGAGAGCATCCAGCGTGGCACCTTCGAGGCCGACATCGAGACATTCACCCGAACCTATGCGCCGGAGTTCCCTGAAAGAACCGGCGAGGGCCCAAGGTTCGTGCTAATCTTCCATCCTCAAGAAAACTGCCAATTCCCAAATAGAAATAAGAACTAACACCTTGTTTCTGCAGACTTCGTGGCCACCAGCTCCCCGCGGCTGGACCCAACCAACCCCGACGCTTCCCGCGCGTGTATGGTCGCCTCGACGACGCCGCAGAGAAGTTCGCCGAGTCGCAATCGTCCGTCGCCACGCCTGACACGGGTGCGGATGGACTTGAGGCCCACGGCTTTGCCCAGAAGGATCTACCTTAGCAGTTCCAGATCGTTTGGTGCGGCTCAGGAGAACCGAGGAAGTGATCTGGTAGGACCTTAGAAAAGAAGACTTGGGTTGAGTAGCATAGCACAGGCTTCTGGCGCCGCGGAGTTTTGTTGCTCTTTGCGATTATTTTATAGTTCTACTAATCGCCTACATGCTAATTTCTATATATCTTGTTTGGTAGAACTCACCTTCGGCGGCAGCGCTCTAAACATGTCTTCCTAGATTCGGAGTGTTTGGTAGCAATCCTGTGCATTCCTTCTATATCATTCAATGTTCATTTCAGACATAAGTACAATAAATTAAACCGGGTAGCTCCAAAAAAAGCCGATGACACATGGATACCTTTTCACATAATTCAGAAAGAGAAGGATTCGATTATTTTTGGATTGTTCATTTCATGCTGCCATGACATCCTGGATGATCACTGGCTGTTGATCAGGACGTTCCACATCCACTTGGTCTCGTGCTGTTCTTCGTCTGACCCGGTCTCGGTACCAGCTCCAAAGTCCTGGCCGACAACACACACCAGCCACACGTCGTTCTTGGTTTCGTCAATGAAGCGCTCAGTCGCAGATCCACGGGGGTAGATGCGGCGCCATTCCTCCCAGATACGGTACGCCTCTTCACCCCACGCCCTGAAACTCACTTCTTCAATGATGGTGGGAGTGACGATCTCCTTGCCGCGGAAGACTCCCCAGGTAACTGCATTGACATTGTCGGGGTTCGGCTCGAGAGCGTCTGAGTCGGCTGTTTCGGCAGGTAGGGAGGACTGGAACTCGCCCTTGGCATTCGTTGCGAACCAGGCGAGCTTCTCGTGACCGTGATTTGCGAAGAGTGGCTTGAGTACTGTCTCAAAGTCTTTGCTCGGGCAAAAGAATTCAACGAATGGCTTTTGGAAGACAAATCCCTCGCCTGGAGGACCCCATCCAAAGGTAGAATTGTCGCTACGCACGCCGTTGACGGCGGGCTGGGAGGCCAATGTCCACCAGCCCTTGCCGTCGATGAGCTTCAACAATTCAGGCCGAATGACCTCTGTTTCAGCATTCAGGCCACTGGTATTCTCCTCAGCACCTCCTTCGGACCATGGAACGATGTAGAGCTCCCCAGAGACATGGCGGCGGAACAGGGTGCTGATGTCATCTCGTGATACAGGATAGCCCCAAACGCGCCGAGCGACCGTGGGTGAGACGTGGAGTGAGGGGCCATATCCATCGATTTCACCGAATGCAGGTGACCGGGCGTCACCCCACCGACCGTTAGGGAAGTCATCCCATGTTGCTTCTCTGCCAAGTGCGCCGAGGCCCTCCGAGATCTGCAGGGTTGTGTTGCGATCAGGGGCCATTGCAGGCATTCCGGCGCTGTTGGCAAGTGCCTCATGTGTAGTCGAAGCTCTTGATGATCCATCTGAGGGCTTTTGTAACTTATCGACAATGACACGATTATGCGCCTGTGAGTGTACGGACGAAGCTCTGCGCCGAGTGAGAGCGCGCAACTGAGCACCACTGGGAACGGTGGCATAGTCATCTTCATCCACTGCAGCGGAATTTTCCGCATCATCTGGTATCAAACCACAGCGTTCAATGATAAATGACACAGTCTTTTCGAGGTTGAGAGTGTAGAAATGGAAACCTCTGAAACCAGGATTAGGGATCTTCCGGATACCATCCACAAGATTGGTGATGACATCCACGCCAATACGCTTCACTGCATCATCATCATGTCTCACTGCTTCTAATTTCGACAAAATATGGGGAGGGACCTGGACATGGCTGAGCTTCGTTACTCTCGTCAGGATCTTGTAGCTGTGAATCGGCATCAAGCCAGGAATAATCGGAATCGTCTTGAAAGCACCAGACTCATGGTTCCGTAGCATGTTCTCGAACTTCGTGTAGGCTTCGACGTCATACGTCAACTGGGTCATGATGAAATCCGCGCCCGCCTGGGTCTTCTCAACTAGATATGGTATATCCCTGACCGGATCCTGTACATCTTGGAAGGAATCGACCGGGTGACCCTCGGGGTATGCGGCAACACCCAGACAGAAATAGTCACCGTACTTCTTGCGAATGTATCGTACCAGGTCGACCGCGAACGTGAAATCCTTGTTGCTGTCATCTTCTCCGTGCATATTGTATTCTTCGCTGCGTGGCGGGTCACCACGGAGCGCGAGGATGTTTCGAATCCCCAGAACCTTCGCCTCCTCCAGAGCCTCATCAATCAAAGCCCGGCTCATGTTGGTGCACGTCAAATGTAAGCACGTCGTCAACTGCAACTGGCGCTGGCAGATCTCGGCCAGCTCCAGCGACCTTGCTGCGGTGCTTCCTCCAGCTCCCCAGGTGACGGTAACGAACAACGGTCGCAGCGCCTGTTCCATACGCTCTAGTCGAGCTTGGAGATTGGCAAAACCCTAGAAAATTCGACGCCTTGATTAGCAACTGAGGTCGCCGTCATAGTGAGTCCTTGGGTGCGGGGGTTACCCCACCATCTTCGTCTTGGGAGGGAAAAACTCGAGCGAAAAGTAATTCGCATCAGGCGGCAAAGCCGCGATCTTGTCTGTGATCTTCTCCATCTTGACACCGAGGTCTTCTCTGTCGTGAGAAACACAGTGGGAAAAATGGGGGTTAATGGAGAAGAATGTGAGCGAGCGCAATGCGGGAAAGAAAGTCTTGGTCCGGACTTTGAGGTTTCCTCCGATCAACGGATAAGGAAGCATGGACAGTTGCCGACCATGCTCAGCCAGATAGACACAATATTCGTCTAGGACACATCAGTACAATGATTTACACTAGCTTAGACACTTGGCAATCACCAGGTAGAATTAATCTGCCTCATTCTCATACAGCGAGGAGAGTCAATCTGCCTCAAGCCCTGGTGGGAGTGCAAACATAGCAAACAATAACATCTCCAACATCATTAAGGCGAAGAAATCGCGATATTCGAACAGCCACACCAGAGACATCGATTGCCCTGCCATCGTGAACTGTGCTAGTTATTCGGCTGAGAACAATAATGTCAAGCTCCATGTTGAAGTCCAACCGCTGATGCTTCATCACCTGATCTCTGAGAAGTGAATCACAACCTAACACCAACCTTGGTCTACTACGACTAAAAGGACAACCTGGGACCATGGAGAAACGACAGCTGCCAGCGTTCATTCGGCTCTTTCGCCCAGCTTCCCGCTTCAATACTTGCACGAAGCGCGGTCTGTCGACACCTCCTACATCTGTCTCCAGAAACTCCCGTTTCCGTCTTCGCCGTCTTCGCCGTCTCAACAGCCGTCTCCCAATGATTCTACGGTCATATACCACTCCGTTACTTGGAGCCCCCGGCAGACATATCACATCTTTCTTGATTCTCCACGAACTGACAGCCATTGTTCCGCTTTTCGGTCTCGTCGCCGCTTTCCATTACGGCAATTGGTTGCCAGACTTTACCTCCAATAGCGCATTTGAGGAAGGAGTACAACGATTTGGTCGGTGGCTGCGAAAGAAAGGTTGGATCAATGATGGTGATGCGGACAATGCTGGTATCGTGACAGCAGATAGGCCTGTCGCCGGGAATATCCCTGCTGCTGAGACGACCGTGCCATCTCGAGTAGGATCCGGGGAGAAAAAAGGGGTCCGTCTGGTACTGGAATTCGCGACAGCCTATGCCATCACAAAAGCTCTACTGCCCGTTCGAATAGCCGCCAGTGTATGGGCAACGCCGTGGTTTGCTAGGGTTATCATCTCCCCGATAGCTAAAGGCGCCAAGGCATTATTAAGGAATAAGTAGCGGTATAGGCTTCCTCGATCTCTTGAAAGATCACCAGGTTTACTCGGAGGTATCACTAGACGATTACCAGTGCCAGTGTTGGTAAGAGCATATGTATATTTTTATTCCTCGTATCGTCTTTTCTGTTATATTTCATATACTGCTTCCTACATCCTCAGCTGTAAAAGAGTGCAGTTCACCAGAAGATAGTTCGGACGAAGTTATTTAAGCCTTCTCGTAGATCCAGTCGAAGGCGGCGCTCTTCCAGGAGATGAGCTCCTCAGGCTTGAACCAGAGGGCAATCTCCTTCTTGGCGTTCTCAACGCTGTCGGAGCCGTGGCAGACGTTGCGGCCGACGTCCTAATGTAATGTGAGCGAGTGATACTTATAAGCAAGGTTGAATGGGTTCTTACAATGGCATAGTCACCACGGATGGTGCCGGGAGCGGAGGCAAGAGGGTTGGTGGCACCGAGGATGGCTGTTTTTCCGCAATTAGTACAAGGCGATGAAAGATTTGAGATTCTAAAATTGGTGGAAACTTACTACGGCCAGTCTTGACGGCATCACGGCCCTCCCAGACCATGGCGCAGATGGGGCCGCTGAGCATGTCTAGATGCATTTGTTAGCGTACTTCTACCAATTGAAAGCCATGGACATGGACTTTGACAAGGGAGGCCTACAGGAAACAAGGCCAGCGAAGAAGGGCTTGTCAGAAAGATCCTGGTAGTGCTGCTCAAGCTGGGACTTGGGGGGAGAGACCAGCTTCATGGCAACGAGCTTGAAGCTGCAACAAATTAGCTTGACAGCATGCAATTGAGTCTGGAATATACGAACCCACGGTTCTCGAAGCGAGAGATGATGGGGCCGACGAGTCCGCGCTAGAAGATCACATTGTCAGACACAAGCTCCATCGACATTGATCTGTCCATTGGACATTGATATAGCGGCATATAGCTCATACCTGGACACCATCGGGCTTGATGGCAATGAAGCTGTGATCTGTTAGCTTCACACGAAGCGACAAGGGCCCAGCACCATAGCATAAGAGGGGATTTCCGTAGAGAGAGACCACAGAATAGAGATGGGAAATAGGATATGTAGGGACTTACGTCTGCTCGTTAGACATTTTGAGGGATTGGTTCAGGGAGATGAAGATAACAAGAGAAGATTGAGGTTGGCTAGCAGCTAAGAGAAAAGGAAAAAGAGGTCGACTTCGGGTGAGTTGGCGAAATTATAAGGGGAGGACCGCAAAAGGCCGCCGAGTGGGGCAGGAGGGGCACTCGTGGATTGCTTGATGCCTGAGGGCCTGAGGGCCTTAGGTGTCAACAACTCCTCCCCAATTCCTCTTGGCCTAGTTCTGATCTAACCCAAATTGGCTGTTAGCTTACCCCGAATGCCCCCATCTGCCACTCTGGCCAGCCTGGAATCATCGAACTACTTCTTGGAGTCCCTACGATTGATCTTATCTGCATGACAGTTGGTGTTGGCCTTTAGCTCCTATAGATGCAGGTCAGCACGGCTATATTGGACATCGACTATACATTCGGAGGTTGAGTGTCTCTGATTGCGCTTCTCAACTCAACCATGGCCAGGAGCAGGCCCTCGTCCGCTAAGTGGACGCTATTGCTCTCACTGGCTATCCTTCTTGGATGCCTTGTCGTACCTGGAGGTAAGCTAGGTGAAACTGAGGACTATTTAGCCTTTCCTGGTGTCTGACCGTCTGTTCTAGTTACTGTGAAGCATGAGAATTTCAAGAAATGTTCTCAATCAGGTTTCTGTACTCGGAACAGAGCATATGCCGATGACGTCTCCGCCCAAGGCTCGTCTTGGAGCTCACCATATGACCTCGATCCTTCTTCAATCCAATTCAAAGATGGCCAATTGCAAGGTACGATTCTCAAGTCGATATCCGCCGAGGAGAAAGTCAAGTTGCCGCTTGCGATCTCCTTCCTTGAGTCTGGGGCCGCCCGAATTGTTGTTGATGAGGAGAAACGATTGAAGGGCGAGATTCAAGTCCGTCACAACAGTCAGGCGCGCAAGGAAAGATATAATGAAGCAGAAAAATGGGCGCTGGTCGGTGGCCTGGAATCAAGCACCACCGCAGTGGTAGATCCCGATGTCGAAGCTGGCTTCACCAAGGTTTTGTACGGCCCAGACAACAAATATCAGGCAATCATTCGCCATTCTCCTTTCAGCGTGGACTTCCAGCGCGACGGTCAGACCCACGTTCAACTGAACCACAAAGGTTTCCTGAACATGGAACATTGGCGGCCGAAGGTCGAAGCTGAAGAAGGTGTTGAGACCAAGGTGGACGAAAGTACCTGGTGGGAGGAAACCTTTGGTGGAAACACCGATTCGAAACCCAGAGGCCCAGAAAGCGTCGGCTTGGATATCACTTTCCCTGACTACAACTTTGTGTTCGGTATTCCAGAGCATGCGGACTCTATGTCTCTGAAGGAAACACGGTAAGTTCATATTGTCTCAGCTATGAGTTAGAATCCCAGCTAACGTGGACTTGAAGGGGCGGTGATGGAAACCATGAGGATCCTTATCGCATGTACAATTCCGACGTCTTCGAATACGAGCTGAACAGCCCCATGACACTGTATGGCGCCATCCCGTTCATGCAGGCGCACCGCAAGGATTCCACGGTGGGAGTCTTTTGGCTCAATGCTGCGGAGACATGGGTGGATATTGTCAAATCCAAATCATCATCTAACCCCCTTTCTCTTGGTGTCAGGTCCAAGGTAGACACACAGACTCATTGGTTCTCTGAGTCGGGACGTATTGACCTGTTCGTTTTCCTGGGTCCAACTCCACAAGAAATCAGCAAGACCTATGGTGAACTTACCGGCTACACGCAACTGCCCCAACAGTTTGCAATTGCATATCATCAGTGTCGGTGGAATTACGTTACCGATGAAGATGTCAAGGAGGTGGATCGCAAGTTTGACAAGTATCAAATTCCGTATGACGTGATTTGGCTCGACATTGAGTATACGGATGACAGGCAGTATTTCACTTGGGATACTCTTACCTTCCCCGATCCTAAGGGCATGGAAGAGCAGCTGGATGATTCCGAGCGCAAGCTCGTGGTGATCATTGACCCACACATCAAGAATAAGGAGAAATACCCCATCTCCGATGAGTTGAGGAACAAAGGTCTGGCGACCAAGAACAAGGATGGCGAGATTTACGAAGGCTGGTGTTGGCCCGGCTCGTCACACTGGATCGACTGCTTCAATCCTGAAGCGATCAAATGGTGGACTGGCCTGTTCAAATACGATAAGTTCAAGGGCACGCTTGCAAACGTCTTTATCTGGAACGATATGAATGAGCCGTCCGTTTTCAATGGACCGGAGACGACTATGCCCAAGGACAACCTGCACCATGGCAACTGGGAGCATCGTGACGTCCATAACCTCAACGGTCTGACGTTGGTGAATGCGACTTACAATGCTCTGTTGGAGCGGAAGAAGGGCGAGGTTCGTCGTCCTTTTGTCCTGACCCGGTCTTTCTTCTCTGGTGCTCAACGGACCTCTGCCATGTGGACTGGAGACAACCAAGCTACCTGGGAACACCTGGGCGCATCCCTTCCTATGGTGCTAAACAACGGCATTGCCGGGTATCCTTTTGCAGGAGCCGACGTTGGCGGATTTTTTAATAATCCAAGCAAAGAGCTTTTAACCCGGTGGTACCAAGCTGGTATCTGGTATCCGTTCTTCCGTGCACATGCGCACATTGACACCCGCAGACGAGAGCCTTACTTGATCGCTGAACCATACCGGTCTATCATCTCCCAGGCTATTCGTCTGAGGTATCAGCTCCTCCCCGCATGGTACACTGCATTCCACGAAGCTTCGGTCAACGGAATGCCTATTGTCCGACCACAGTACTATGTCCATCCAGCGGATGAGCAGGGATTTGCCATTGATGACCAGTTGTATCTCGGATCTACTGGTTTGCTGACGAAGCCTGCGGTTGCGGAGGGCACCACTAGTGTCGACATTTATATCGCCGACGATGAGAAGTACTACGACTACTATGATTTCACGATTTACCAGGGAGCTGGTAAGAGACATACAGTGCCAGCACCTATCGAAAAGGTGCCTTTGTTGATGCAAGGTGGTCATATCATTCCTCGCAAGGACCGGGCACGCCGCAGCAGCGGCCTGATGAAGTGGGATCCGTATACGCTCGTGATTGTCCTGGATAAGAACGGAGAGGCCGAGGGTAGCCTGTACGTTGATGACGGCGAGACCTTCAATTACCAGCAGGGTGGGTACATCCATCGCCGCTTCCACTTTGGAAAATCCTCTCTCTCGTCCGAGGACATCGGATCGAAGGGCCCCAAGACAGCCGACTATCTGAAGAAGATGGCAAATGTCCGTGTTGAAAAGGTAGTGGTTGTCGACGCTCCCAAGGAATGGCAAGCGAGGAGTAGTGTGACCGTCATTGAGGACGGTGCCAAGGTGGCCACTACTTCTCTGCTGGAGTATCATGCTGGGCAAGCTGGCCAGGCGGCGTATGCTGTGGTGAAGAAGCCCAACGTTGGCATTGGAAAGACTTGGAAGATCGAGTTCTAGACAGCCCTGGATCCGAGGTATATATACATGATTTGTCGTAACTAGAGGGAGTTCAATGTGTATGGTACTCTTGTTGTTGTTGTTGTTGTTTCCGGTTTTAAACCTATGAGCCAAGTACTGGACAGGTATGTAGTGTCCGATAATCTGGTTCCTGGTTGCCTGCATTTCCAGGCACCAATAGATAACACACTAGCCCGCATATAGACAAGCGCCGATACGGTAAAAACAAGCCGCATTCAGCTGAGAGCCTAAGGCAGGAAGTTATTGGCAGTGCTTGGCTTCGGTCCCCAGTCAAACCCATCCCATCAGTTATCGCCCTTTCCTATAGCTGACTAGCCTGATTGTGCTATGAGATCTTCTTGAGTTGACTGGATTCAAGCTCATTTCTGTTTCTTTTTGGCCCTCCACTCGTCTTTCGGATTGAAATCGCCTCGAGCCATTGTTTGAATTGCGACCTTTCCAGGGGATCCGCGACTTCCAATCACACATCCAATCTCGCGGCGGAAGAGCATAAACGACCATTCAGAAAACGGCCGGCATTCTTCACCTTTTTTTTTGTCCTTCCAAGTCTCCTCAAAAGTTTCAATTGATTGGGGTTATGTATCTCATATCGTTGGTCCTGCAATATGCGGCTCCGATCTTGTACGGTGCATCCCTACCATCTACCCCGGTTCTCCCCAGGCGGAAGAGCAGACAAGCAATTGGTTTTTGAAGGCATCGGAATGCTAACTGCGGGACATGTGTGCCATATAGTCTCGTTACCTCCCCCGTGACGTCCTACGCGGATCAGATCCTCAGCATACACCGGTCCAGGAATTCTACAGGCTTCTCCCTCGACATCCCCCTGATTATGCTTGTCGCATCGATCCTCAAGTAAGAGACCTCGGCATCTCTCTCTGCCCGATACACCATGATGTTAACAATCCGATCGTTAGAGTATTCTATTGGTTCGGACATTACTACTCGCTTTCGCTTCTTATACAGGCGGTGATCACGGTTGGAGTGCAAATCATCCTTCTCAAGGTTGCCCTGGATAACCGGCCGTCGCCGGGAGTGAAGAATAGCGTGGAACATGTTCCGTTCAGCAATCTTGAGGAGAAGGGGCTCGTCAGACCATACGACTTCTGGCAATGGAAGTCCGCAAAGCCGTATGTCCTCCACCTGGGCGTGATTTGCCGATCTATTATGGTACTAATGGGTTTGGGGTGCGCATAGTTACTGGATGTGTTTGGCCTACTTCATCGCGGGACTCTCCGTGGTCCAGATCCTTCTGCCGCCCATTGCTTACTCGGAATTTTACGTGAACCTGCTTGGATATGCCGGTCTCGCCGTCGAGGCCACCCTTCCTATCCCACAGATCATCGCGAACCATCGATCTCGTTCTTGCACGGGATTCCGACTGTCGGTCGTGGCGGCTTGGATTCTGGGTGACATGATGAAACTGAGCTACTTCTTCACCAGCGCAGAAGAGATTCCCTGGTCCTTCAAACTGTGTGCTCTGTTCCAGTGCGTCTGCGACCTCTACTTGGGGTTGCAGTTCTGGATGTATTCGCGGCCATCATTCCCCGCTGCGAGCACCCCTCGGCCTCAGAACGCCGGTTGGGGAACTGAGGAGAAAGACATACGGATGACCTGAGTTATGATAACGGCTGTTTGATTCGTTCATGAGAGTTTGATGCATTGTAGATACTAGAACGCGCTCTATACTTAATACGGACCTGACCTGGACACGAGGTCGACACCACAGACATGTAGACTAATGAATAGAAGAAAGAAAGCACGATTTCCGCAATACCTTCATTTCAATTACCTGTCCTTCTATGTTCGAATCTGTCAGACTCAGTCAAATCCGGCGGAATCCATCGCTGTCCCTCACGATTGCGTGATCCAAAATAATCGGCGCCAAAATTGACCCCCCACGGTTACCCCGCCATGTACCTAGAAAAAGCTTGTCCTCCCCTTTGCTAGAAGTCTCGCGGGTCAAATAAAAAGAACCCTCACTATCGCTACGACTACTCTTTGCGGGCTCGCCTATTGTTTGAAAACAGACCAGCAAGCAGCCATGGCTTCCATCCGAATTGGCTATGTTCCAGGTATGCATGCAGTCTCTCATTGTTCATCTTGAACCTTCTTGTACTTGACGTAATGGGCTCCAATGATTCCATTAAATAAAAGAACGGACCTCGTCTACCTTGGAGGATGGTCCGTACTGCTGGAGATACGAAGCAATATGGTATCTGACTGCTTCAATATCTGACGAATGTATAGAACACTACCTCGCCCCTCTCCACCTTGCGCTTCGCTCTCCAGCCGCAGCCTCTCTTCCCTTCAAGATCTCCTTGATCCCGTTCCCCTCCGGAACGGGTCATATGATCACATCGCTCCGCGAGAAGGAGATTGATGTCGCCATTGGATTGACAGAGGGGTGGGTTGCTGGCTTAGCTGGTAAGCAGCAGGCTCAGAACGATGCTGCGTCAGGTGGATATAAGGTGGTCGGCCATTGGGTCGACACGCCGCTGCGATGGGCCATTGTTACCGGGCGCGAGAGGGAGGAGCTTCATACCGTTGCAGAGCTGAAGGGTAAGAGAGTGGGTGTCAGTCGTCTTGGAAGGTTAGTTTTACATCCACCAGCCATGGATGGCCCAGATGGTCGAGCTGACACGGTAACAGCGGCTCGCACATCATGTCCTTCGTTCTGGCCCAGCAGCAAGGCTGGGGATCCGACTCCCTGACACCTGTTCCGCTGGGTCCGTTTCAGGCCCTGCGGAACGGAGTGACAGGATTCGATTCCAAGCACCCCGAGCAAGCACCCACGCCCACAGCGGAGTTCTTCATGTGGGAGCACTTCACCACAAAGCCATACTTCCACGCGACAGCAGACAAGCCTCACCCACCACTCAAGAAGATCGGAGAGATCTTCACCCCGTGGCCGTCCTGGCTCATCGTCGCGTCTACGTCGGTCTTCCCGAACCCGGAGAGCGACGAGAGACTGCATCAGTTGTTTGATCTCCTAGACCAGGGAATCAAGGCGTTCCAGACGGACCATGACCAGGTCGTCAGGCTCCTGGGTACGGGGGAGCTGGGTTGCACCTATGTCGAAGACGATGCCAAGGAGTGGCTGAAGGATGTCAGGTTCACCAGCAGCACGCGGGGCGTAGACCGGAAGGTAGTAGATGGCGTTGCGGATGTTCTCAAGGTTGCGGGGGTCATCGACAGCAAGATGTCGAATGATGAAGTCTCGGAGAGGGTGATTGGAATCTCCCGGTGAGCGTCCCGTGCTGGTGTCGTGTGGGTTGTGATTGTAAATATGTTTCTTGTAGGTGGCCGGACCGCTAGAGGATAAAGTATAGATACAAAGGTGACAGAGGTGACAATTCATCGCACTATGACTTGCACTTTGCAGTGACTGAATGGCTCATTATGAAGCTTTTCGTTTCTCAAATCATTATATTATAAGAAACAAAGCAACCACGCCCTCCGTTTCCTTAAAAGGTAATTTGTCCGAGGCATAAGGATAGTCGTGATACGCAAAATTCTACACATCCAAAGGAGGCTTTCGGTCCTACTCAATTCACCAGGCTGCGCATCCTGCTTAAACAGTACAGCACTGCGGATTTAGTACACCCTTCAGATGTAGCGTCGTCAGCACCCGTTGTGCCCTCTCCTTTTCATCTTCAGTTCCGATCCTGATGCTGCACGTCCGGCATTCCTCGGGCAGCATCAACCCCCAGACAACGCCTCCGGAATGCCACGACCCTTGTTTCCTGCCAATCACATACTCTGGAGCTGCAGAAACATGCTTTCTGGGTCGAATGAGGCATGTTGTTTGAGCGGGTTGGCAACATGACACTTTCCTCGGCCTGGAGTTTCTGCTATGGGGAGGAATGTGTTGCAGATCAAGCAGAGATCCTGTTCAAGCGACAATATGCATGACCATGAGCTATAAGATAGTCTGGATCTCAATTTCAAATCGCCCATTCGATGCTTGTAGTTTGATTGTCTCTTTCGATCAAATTGGCAAGTCGGCATCTACATCCTGGGGTGGTTCATTCGCCCTGTCCTGTCCTTTGGCAAATCGTCCACGCTCGTTTGATCTTGAGGGATTTCTCCTTATCGCTCTTTTCATCAGGCGATTTTGCCCATCACATTCTCTCATTCTCTTGTTATGTCTTTGAAACGTCTCCTCGCCGTCGCCGCGACTGCTGCTTCTCTGGGAGGAGTCTATGCCAAACTCGATCTTTCGTCGCCTTCGAATGTCGCTGTATACTGGGGTAAGTCAGACATCCTTCACTATTGATAGACAATTCTGATTCGTGGTAGGTCAGAATTCCTTTCGGGGGACTGGGAATTTAGCACAACAGCGTCTCTCATATTACTGTGATGGTGAGTCAAGATCTCCATGTGTGCATATCAACTCTTGCTAAACAGCTACGCCAGATCCTAAAATAGACGTAAGAGCATCTCAAGTCAAGCAGAATAACTTGGCTTATTGACCATTAGATACTTGAACTTGCGTTTCTCACGAAAATCAACGGCGAAGCTGGCGTTCCTGAGATCGACTTCTCCAATGCAAACGATAACTGCACGACTTTCAAAGACACGAATCTGAAGAAATGTCCTCAAATTGGGTAGAAGCTTCTATCTCTTCCCGTTCTATGGGGTAGCGTGGCTAATACCTCCAACAGGGAGGATATCGCAACCTGCCAGAAGAAAGGCAAGACGGTACTTCTGTCCATCGGCGGAGCAACATACAGCGAAGGAGGCTTCAACTCCGACTCTACTGCAAAGGCCGGCGCAGAGCTTGTCTGGCAGACATTCGGGCCCCCTTCTATCAACTCGACGGCCCGTCGGCCGTTCGGGAATGCCACCGTAGACGGATTCGACTTCGATTTCGAGGCCGCCGTCACCAACATGGCTCCCTTCGCGAGCCGGCTTCGCGAGCTCATGGATGCCGACCACAGCAGACAATATTTCTTGACAGCTGCACCGCAATGCCCGTATCCGGATGCAGCGGATAAGGATATCCTGAACGGCCCGGTTTCAATTGATGCCATCTTCGTCCAGTTCTATAACAACTGGTGCGGCTTGAACTCTTTTGAGGCCGGGGCCAGCCAGCAAAACAACTTCAATTTCGACACCTGGGATAACTGGGCCAAGACGGTCTCGCAGAATAAGCAGGCCAAGGTCTTCCTCGGTGTGCCTGCGAACACCGGGGCGGCGGGGTCGGGTTATGTGTCCTCCAAGGACCTGGGGCCGATTATCGAGTACAGCAAGAAGTTTGGTAGCTTTGGCGGCGTTATGATGTGGGACGTCACGCAGGCGTACGGTAACAAGGGCTTTCTTGATGATGTTGTCGAAGCATTGGGGAAGACTGCGTCTCGTGTTCGTCGGTCGTTGAACTATCGACCATATGGCTGGTTCTGAGACGTTTGGTCCTCGCCAGGTTAGTTCCTGCGTGTAATGAGTCGATGAGCTTGGGAGCTCCCGCAGAATCTTCTTGTATATATTGATAAATCAAAATAATCACACCATTCCTCTTGTACAAGCTTGTGGATGATTATAAGGAGTGTTTTATTGTAATGGTGTGAAGTCTGTCTGCGAATTGATAGTGTGCTTTTCTTGCTTTTATATATCGGCTTTCGACGGCTGATCTACACCGACTTACCTACATATATCCTTCTTAACACACTACTCAGAAACCACTATTCAACAAGCATCCACGACTATGGAAGCAATATAACCAGAGACTACTGGGTATTGTGCATAGCCCGGCATGAAATTATTGACTGTTAGCTCAGCTGACCAGCCTGAACATTAGGGAGGCACGAACCCACAGAGCAAGTCGAGGACATCGAAGCATGTAAACTATCTAGACTACTGCATCTGTCGATAACCCGACTCTCTAGTCCATGTCATTGTCAGCGTCCGGCTTGATGATATGCTTCTTCAGGTCTAACGAAAATGACGGCTGATTCCGTATCCAGGACGGCAGCTCCCTCTGGCCAGCTGCATGCATTCTGCACAATGACGAAAATGTAGCACGAAGATGCATCCCTCTTCGCTGCATCAGGATTGAGAAATTGGAAATGGGTATACTGAACAATCTGGTTGTCGTAAGATGAACAATGTATGTGCCACTGATCCCAAGTGCTCTCCTATACTTTGACTTCCTCTGGTTGCAGTTTGATAGCACAAGCTTACTCCAACACAACAGATCTATCACACAGAATACAAACAATGCAATACGAAAAACACTTCATACCTCTTGGATATGAGTTGCAACCATCGGTCTATACTGCGTGAGATGCGAGGGATGTCGATCCAGCCTCTAACCAACCGGCTCAGCTGAGGTTCTTTCCTTGGCTGCAATGATGGATGGGGACCGACATGGGACATCCTCGAATCTCAATTCCAATCCTAACTGATAGCCCCGTTCCACTCGGTACCCATGTGCTCATATTACAGGTCTTCTCTGCTGCCTATTTAACCCGCCACTGTGCCCGTATGGACTCAGTCTCTGTGGTGCGACGCTCTTTCCATTCTCTCGTCACCCCGTCACCGCCACGCAGTTAGGATGGCTCCCAACTCTCTACTATATACCGTATTTTCCTCTCTCACTGTTGCTCTAGCGGCGTCCATTCCCCGGACTGAGTATGAGGTGATGGTCATCGGAGGAGGCCCTGCAGGCCTCAGTGTCGCCAGTGGTCTGTCGCGGATCCGACGCAAGAACGTCCTGTTTGATTCGGGCGAGTACCGCAATGGTCCCACCAGGAACATGCACGATGTGATAGGCAACGACGGTATATTCCCTCTTCATCATGCCCGCACACCTCTTTAAAGAGAAGCTAACACAACTACTTCCCCCAGGAGCCGTCCCCAGCGCATTCCGCGGCCTCGCCCGAGAGCAAATCTCTCACTACAACCAAACCACCTTCATCGACAAGAAAGTCGACACCGTCACCATTGTCACCGATGAACACAGCAACAGCACCTACTTCAGCGCCTCGGTGGCCGGCGCCTCCTATACCGCCCGCAAGCTCATCCTCGGCACTGGCATGAAGGATATCCTGCCCGACACACCGGGCCTGGAAGAAGCCTGGGGCATGGGCGTGTACTGGTGTCCCTGGTGCGACGGCTGGGAGCACCGCGACCAGCCCTTTGGCATCCTGGGCCCGCTACCCGAAGTCGTCGGCGCCGTGCTGGAAGTCTACACGCTCAACACGGATATCATCGCCTTCGTCAACGGCACCCAGACGCCCGAGAACGAGGCTAAGGTGACGGCGAAGTATCCCAGCTGGGAGAAACAGCTGCAGGCGTACAACATCCGGATTGACAACGGCTCCATCGCCTCGTTTGAGCGTCTGCAGGATGGCGCGGCCCCAGCGAACCGCGACGACGAGGACTGCCAGTTCGATATCTTCAAAGTTAACATGGCGAGCGGCGCCTCGGTCGAGCGCAGTGCGTTCATCACCAACTTCCCTTCGGAGCAGCGCTCAAGCATCCCCCATGACCTAGGACTGGAGATGCAAAGCGGCAAGATCGCCACGAATATCAATGGCATGCGGACTAGTCTGCCGGGTGTGTTTGCTGTCGGCGATGCCAACAGTGACAACAGCACCAATGTGCCACATGCCATGTTCAGTGGAAAGAGAGCGGCTGTTTACGTTCACGGTATGTTCTTCCTCGAGATCTGCTTGTCAGCCAACCGATTAGCTATATATGGTAGTGTTGCTGATCCATGTTCTATCTATCTCCACAGTCGAAATGGCTCGTGAAGAATCCCAGGCGGCCATCTCCAAGCGCACACTACCCTCGCGACAGGCCATGGAGAAGGAAGCAGAGAGACGCATGGGCGGCGACTTGGAACAGTTGTGGGATCGTGTCCGTCGAGTATGATCATGCCTATTATTAGTTGTGTAAGGCGAGATGCGTTTCTTGATCAGGTAGTAATGGTAATGTCAATCACAATCCAATTACCAGCAGAGCGTGCAGCTAAGGGCACTGACAGAGATATATCGGATTGTATTACCAGAATTTAACATTTATAGAAATTATTATGGGAGATTAGATTACGTATACCTTGCAAAGAATATCCTCCCCTCATCCACGTCCTCCAACATATTATCACAATCACAAGCAGAACAGATTCTTTTCAGACAAAACAACTTCCTCGGGTATGCGAGATGGTAAGCACGAGCAACGGGGGGGTATGCTACTGCGATCCGGTCCAACCACCCATAGAACAACATACAAGCTAAGGTATTCAGCTGTCCCACCCCCGTTTGACGAGAGGATGGCGTCTACTCGGCCTCTTCTTCCTCCTTGCTGGCCGCCAGGAAGAAGCGGCCCTTGGGCTGGCCGGGCTGGTCGTACTCGACGGTCAACCGGGCCAGGTGGCCGAGCAGGTTCTCGATCTTGATATCGCCCTTGTCGCGCTTCGCGCGGCCGAGATTATCAAGCCACTTGAGCTTGTTGAGCACGAAGTACACAAGTGCGATGACGATCTCCACGCCGAGCGAATAGCCCCACACGCGGACGACCGTGACGATGTCCGTCCATCCGTTGCGAGTCTCGACGAACGAGGTGGCCGGGTTCGTTGGCATGGTCTCGTTGGTAAACCAACCAAACAAACAGAAGATGGTTGCCAGAATGTCCACACCCAGAATAGCAGTGACGAGATGAATCGAAGGCCAGGTATCGACACCACGTGTAACAAATATCAGCCAGTTCTCGGTGAGTGCGACTTCCAAGAACAGAACCTCTTGGATGGAACCCCAATTCTGGATGATACCGCCCGACGGGAGGAACATGGAGCCACGCACGACCCAAGTACCCATCGCCAACAGCAGGCCCAGAAGGACAGAGATGAACCATATTTTTGGAAGTTGCCATTCCACCGGCCGCAGCTCAAACGAGGCGTTATCATAGGCCACTGCGACAGTTGCCAAGTCGGCGAACAGAGCCAGGAAAACAATCAATTCAACACGGATGCTCTCATTCAAGATGATCATGGATGTCACCAGGTAGATTTCTAAGTGCAAACAAAGGGCGATACGATACTGGATATAGGACTTCATCCGGTGGAAAATCTGTCGAGCCACCTTGATCGAATCAATGATGGTGGACAATCCAGGCTCCAAGAAGACAATATCAGATGCAGATTGCGCAGCCTCAGTAGCGCCTTCTACAGCAATACCACAATCAGCTTTCTTCAGAGATGGTGCATCATTAACACCATCGCCTGTCATAGCCGTCAAGTGTCCGCGTTCTTGAAGCATTTGCACCACCTGATACTTGTGCTCTGGGAACACCTCCGCAAAGCCATCAGCTTTCTCGACCAGATCGCTTGCCATGGCTCCGCTCAGGCCGCCATGGATGAGCTTATCAGAATTATACACTTTGGTTCCCAGTGCTAGCATTTTGCATGTCTCCTTGGCAATTGCCAAAGCGTCACCCGTAAGCATCTTCACACTGATGCCGAGGTTCTGGGCTTCATGGATCGTTTGCGCAGTATCTTCTCTGGGTGGATCAAACATGGGCAGCATACCAAGTAGCGTCCATTCTTCTCCCTCCTTTTTGACTGCGACACCCAAGGATCGGAACCCTCTATGAGCAAATTCCTGTGCTTTTTGCTTGTAGAGATTGGCCATCTCCTTGGAGCAATTAGTCAGGGAAAGCACGGCTTTGGGTGCACCCTTAGTGCAAGTGTATCTGATTCCATCGCATGTGGCTACTGTCACAATTCGCTTGGAGACTGGATCGAAAGGAATATATTTTTCAGTCTTCCAGCCCCGTCGAAGAATTTCGCGCGCTTTGGGGTATTGCCTGAGAGTAAGAATGGTAACCTTGTCGATGGGATCGAGTGATTGAGTATTATGAGACGATGCCAGGGCAGCCACAGCGAACATCCAGTCGATGTCAACACCCTCAGCCACAAAGGGCTCCCGAATACTCAATTTGTTCGCCGTCAGTGTTCCCGTCTTGTCTGAGCACAAGATGTCAACACCCTATCACATTGTTAGCCAGGTCACTTTATTTCTGATCCAGCTATATGGGATTTCACCTACCGCAAGAGACTCAATGGCAGTGAGTTTCTGCACAATAGCCTTCTTCTTTGCGAGATAAGCTGCTCCAACGGCCATAGTAGTGGTGGTGACGACCGGAAGACCAACAGGGACACCAATAATCAGCAGGGAAAGGGTGTAATGCAGAAGTGTCTGTTGCGGAGGCGAGGCAATGGGGATATGGCGGAAAAAGCCACCAATCCAAGCAGCTAAGATCCAGGCCATGACAATGACCAGCAGAGATGTACCGATGTTATCCATAACGATTTCGAAATGACCCGCACCCTTAGCTGCCAATACCATAGATGCCGTTTTACCAACGAAAGATGTCCTCGCTCCAGTCTGGACCACTGCATAGGCCTTGCCACGTTTGCAGCCAGTTGTATAATAGATCATTTGGCCCATGTAGCGATCGACGGCAAGAGACTCTCCGGTAATGGCCGAATGGTCGCAGGCGAGAATGGGATGACTGCGTTTCCGTGCAGCTTGCTCTTGCCCCTGGTCCCCTTCCGGAGTTTCCTTTTCCTTGTCGCCCACCCCCTTCGTAGTGTCGCCCTTGTCATTATCCTCAAGATCAGATTCGGAGGTGCTGCTGAGATCCCCTTGCTCCTGCATTGTTTTGAACGCCTCCCATCCATTGGGGTCGTCGTAGTCACAGATGATCTTGGAGTCAGCAGGAACAACCTGACCTTCACCAATGACAATCTGATAGCTCTATCAGTATCTGGAACAGAAACGCCCTTTGAATGATAGCTCTGGCCATTGCACTTACGACATCGCCGGGGACAAGCTCTCGGGCTAAGATCTCTTGTTCGTGTCCGTCACGAACGACCGTTGCTCTCATGGCGATATCGCCTTTCAGACTTGCAACGACATCCGCAGCTTGCTTTTCTTGGTACCAACCAACCGCGGCGTTGAGGCACAGGATACCAATGATGACACCGAAATCAATCCAATCGTCCAAGCCTGCTGCAAGAAGGACCGCGAGTTCCATGACTATAAAAATGCATTAGAATCATTGAACCTTTGCAACCGAAACTCTCAAATCATATGCCATACCATAAAGAATTGGACCTCGGAAATAAGACAGGACCTTGGCGATGGGGTTCTCCTTCTCGGAGACCAGCTCATTCCAGCCGGAACGGCGACGTCTGATGGGGACCTCCGAGCTGGGCAAGCCCTGGCGAATATCGGTAAGGCGCCAGTCCTCTGGAAATACTCCTGGTTCTTGTTCCAAGTGCTTGACGCGGACCTTGCGCTTCTTCCAAGGAGCATACCAGACGCGCTTCAGTTGCTCCTCCTCTTCAGCCTCTTCCTTCCCAGGCTCGCGATAGGTCGAGACATACTTCACGAGCCTACCATATTCGTCAAGATTGGCCCAGTCTTCCTTATAGGAAACACGAGATATACGTCTTGAAGATTGGCCAGAGATTCGGGGCGGTGCTTGGCGCTCAACATCACCCTGAGCAGCACCCTGAGCAGCACCCTGAGAGGCAGCCTGAGAAGCACTCTGAGTAAAGCCCTGGGAAGCACCCTGAGCAGTTCCCCGAGCAGCGGCGCCCTGAGAAGCGCCCTGAGAAGCGCCCCTAGCACCGCCCTGAGCGACGCTTTGGTCGGCCATCCTCGTTGTTGAGCAACTACCTGATGCCTGAGGGGACTAAGAGAGATACAAGCTGTACTCTGAGCTTCGTGAAGCTCTGAAGTCAGAAATCCAGGTCAGTCAGGAGGAGTAGAGAGTGTAAAGAAAGAGGGAGTAGAGAGTGTAAAGAAAGAGGAAAGCAAAAAGCCCAAAGAAGAGGAAAGAGTGGTAGCGGAGGAAGTAAGAGATCTCCCCTTCACACCCAAGGAAGACGTACGAGAATGGATGCTCGTCTCAGCGTTCCTCTTTTGTGAGTGGCAGGGGAGCAGGTCATCATTTCTGTTGGTATGAACTTTTCACACGGACAACTAATGTTGACGTAGGAGACATCAGGAAGCCCACGGCTGATCTGGCCCATGAGACACCGATAACAGACTCATCAGGAGGCACGCGAGCATGTGTATCCACTCGTATAAGGTAGACCGAAGTGAGAGTTGGATAAGGGGTTTCGCCAGTTGATTCGACAATTCGAGGTTGTCTTGACGTATGAGACGTTCTATGGCATGCGCTACCTGAACCTTGTGAGCTTTAATCCACAGGGAATCAGGTCGCCCTGTTCCATCCATTTGTTCCGCTCCTCCCTATATTGACCTGGGTCATGTCAATGGCTAGAGTCTATCGTATTACGCGACGATGATCGCCAAGATTCGCGCTGTGGAATTCCATCGGGAAGCCCCCAGCGGGAACCACGGGAGCTTGACAGGAGCTTATGATGATTAAGCCGAAAGACGAATGAGAAGCACTAAGCAGTCAAGGCTCAAGTTCTTTTCTATTTTCCTGCTGCGACAGATGTTCTGGAGAGGCTCATAGGCTTAGCGATGCCAACGAATGGCCCCGTAAGTGGATCTTGCGGCGACTCCCCGAGTCGGTTCAGGTTGCAGAGGAGACGGAAGGGGTGAAGACTTCATTCGGAGATGGTCAACTGGGCGAACTCTCGCGGTGGTGATTTTTTAGCGCTCCCGAAATATCCGACTATGGTATGTAACGTTGCTGAAAGTCCATGGCATCGTTGGCCCTTTCCCCATCACCAAATAATGGTTCAGTATGGAAGGCTTTGGGTTTAGTCTAGATGTAACGTCCTCATCATTTGACATTGATGCCTCGTCATGATTATCCGACAATATATCAGGATTATGGCAGGTCAAGCTGCATGATAGCTGGAGGCCAATGGGGGAAACAGGGCCGCATAAGCGCAATGAGGATAGCATCATCAGTCTCGGAACAGCAGCAATTGCAAAAGCCATGCCTGTGAGATAAAAAAAAGCTCGATGGTGACTGATTCGATAATATCCTCTCATGGGTTGTACACACGGATAGAGCGACCCTTTATGGTTACAGGCCGTTCCTGTCGAGAACCCACAGTTCAATCGAGGGGAAAGGAAGAGTCTGTCTCAGACGTCATTGAAAGTAATCTGATTCATGAGAGGATGAAGACATGACTTGTTTAATTTCCGTCAAGGTAACTGTGGACGAAGAGATGATGAGAAGTCAAAGAGTCGACAAGTGAGGTGGAGCAATGATCGTGATGCTACTCCGTTCTACATTTAGATAAATAGTTAGTTAACTGGGGCCCTGTCGATTACGCACAGATCACAGCAGCCAGTTAGTCAGAGTGACTAGTCTAACTAGTTACTACTTAGTAGTTACTCGTTGGTGGATATCTAGACTACTACCTACTACTTTAATTTATGGGGCTTCTTGATGACACTCTCCATCTGAAGAATGAATATCCACAAGAAAGAAGGCTTGCTTCATATGCAATAAAAGGCCGGCTTATATGTTGCCGTGAGCCACGGAGACCACGTATCTAAGTGATCTATGATATCTGTTTTAAGATACACAAGTTTGATCATCTGAAGGTCTAGTCTATCACATATAGCCATCCGCTTATTTGCCGGTCTTGCCAGTAGGGATATTGAAGAGCACAGCGGGCTTGCCCGGTGCGTACGCCCGATCAACACGGTAGTATCCCTTGCGCTCGAATTGAATGATATCACCCTCCTTGAGCTCGGCGACATTGCAATCGGCAACGGCCTCATCTCTGAATTCGGTGTTCTTGTTCAGAACATCCTCGAGGACGTCATCCTCCTGCAACGAATCCTTGTTAAGAAGGTAGTCGAAATCGACCAACTCGACGGGAATGAGCTCCTGTCCCTTTGTAGAAAGCCAGGTGACCTTCTTCTCGGTCTTCTTGAAATCACCCTCAAGGTGAAGCTCTAGCTCCAGGCCCTTGACGACACCCGTAGCAGGATCGGTCTCAATCTTGCGGACAATAGCGTTGCCCCAGCTCATCAAGGTGATTTCTTCATCCTGCTTGAAGCTCTTGGCATCCTCCTGGTCCAAAAGGATAGAGTCGCTAAATGCAACTTTCTTCATACCGACTGCCGGGTTCTTGCCATGCTTGGGCTTGTCCTCGGTGTAAGGAGTAGCCGGGCCACCCTTGATGACGGCATTAACCATATCCTTTTTGAGGATGGCAGTATGACGAGGCGCAATAGGATCAATGTACTTCCGGTTAGTGGCCCAGATCAATGTCCAGTCAAGGTTAGTGATGTTCTTGCTAGGCCCCTGCTTAAGGATGAATTCTCTCAGAGCAGGAATGGTCATTCCCCTTCGTCTGATACCCTGGATGGTTGTTAGTCGGGACTATCAGGTAGAATATTGGGGATGAATCGGAAAAGAATATGCAAATTCGTTGGAAACCAGATATATGACTTACTCGGATGGTCGGGAAACGAGGACTAATACTGTTAGCAAAGGAAGCGTGATAGGATATAAATATAAAGACTTACTCATCCCATCCCCAAACAACACCCTGGTCGACGAGCTTGGTAAGCTTTCTCTTGGACAACAGAGTGCGGATGAAGTTCATGCGAGCAAAGTCCCAGATCTGGACGTTGCGGAGCTGCAGTGTATCCAAGAACCACTGGTACTGGGGGTTACGGTCGCGATACTCGATGGTTCTGAGAGCATGGGTGACACCCTCCATGGAGTCCACAATGGGGCATGCAAAGTCATAGGTTGGGTAGATCTTCCACTTCGCTCCTGTGCGGTGATGGGGAGTAGGGTTACAGCGGAAAATGACAGGATCACGCATGGCCTTGTTGGGGTTGTCAACAGACATCTTAGCTCGAACACACCACCTGAGACCCTCAGGGGTGCCCTTCTTCATCTCCTCGAAACGAGCAAGGTTTTCCTCGACAGATGCATCACGACGCTTGCTGGGCTTGCCGTTCATTCTCTGCTCAGCCATGACCTCCTTCTCCGTATCGTCGGCATAGGCGTTTCCGTCTTTGATGATCTTCAAGGCGTAGTCGTAAAGCTCGTCGAAGTAGTCACTGGTGTAGCTCATCTTATCGGCCTTAATACCCATAAGAGCGAGATCCTCGATAATGGCGTCCTGAAATTCCTGCTTTTCTTTTGAAGGGTTTGTGTCGTCGAAGCGGACAAGGAGCGTGCCATTATACTTCTCGTGTGCGAAGTAGTCGTTAAGAAGAGCAGCCTTGGCGTGTCCAATATGAAGATATCCAGAGGGCTCGGGAGGGAATCTGGTCACCACTCCCTTCTCGGTGTTGAGAAGAGCAATGTCGTAGCTAGCTCCCTCCTTGGCCTTAGCTGCCTTCTTCTCCTTTGCCGCCTGGTTCAAGGACTCAACAGCAAAAGAGGCCCATGGGCAAAGGTCTTCCAAGAAGTAGAACCAACGGGTAACATTGACCAGCGAGCCCTTCCTGATGGCTGCAATAGCGACACGGTTGCCTCGAATGGCACCCCAGAGGGCGATGTCTGCCGTGGAGAGCGAGTAGCCGACGACGAAGGAACGAAGGAGGAGATGGGTGTCAAGGCGCTGCAGCTCGGGGTCAAGGGCCTTGAAATCAAGAGTAGTGAACGCCTCCAATTGAGAGAGCCACTCGTTCACCTAAAAGGACCATTTTTAGTATCGTGTATTGGTAGCTGTGCGAATCAGTCTTCTTATGTTCCTTACCAGCTTCTCATCCTTGCTATTCAGGAAGGGGAAATCCTTGCGGAGTTCCTGAATGGCATTGCTAGTGCCAAAGACAGGGCTACCACTAGCACCGATGTACTGCACAATAGCCTTGTCGCCGTCCCGGAGCAGTGCAGTTTCCTCGAAAGTGATCGCAACCACCGGGTTTGGTCGAGCCTCATTGAGAGAAGTTGCAACGAGCAGGACAGGCAGCAAAGAGGCCTGGTTGGCCCGAGTGGCCAGAGTGAGCTGGTACTGAGCCATAGTGAACCTCAATATCCCTTCAGGTGAAATGGACGTCAAAGATCTTTGAAAGTGGGCTGATGGGTTTCTCCAAAAATTGGAAGTATATGGAGGGGCATTTGACTCAAGGCGGTCTCCGCCGGGGCTACGTTTCTCCGCCCGCATCTCCGAACGAGAGCTCTCGGGGAAAAGAAAACATCTCCGTTGACCAGGAGTCGGGAAGAAGCGAGTGCATCACGTCAACGCTCAGCGCCATGGCCTCGTACAGTTCGGTCTTGCCGTCCGCGGCTAGAAACATATTATCAGCATGTCGCTCGCCTTTGCGTCAGGGCACAATGGCTCCCTTGCTATCGAGTTTCCAACAGGTCCGAGGAGCCAAAAGCAACCCCCAGGCGCAAGGTAAAAAGGCGAAGGGAAAGGCCAAGAAGGATAAAAAGGGCCCCAGAGATTTCAAGCAGAAGGACCTGAAGGATATGGAGCAGTTCGCGCTCTGTGATGCGATAAGGTACATCTCTCTGTCATATTTCCCCCGTTAAGTCTATGCTAATCTTGCCTTTTCTCTACTGCTGCAGGTATATTCGTGCCTTCGAAGTTGGAAGAGAACCAACGATCTCGAAATATGAGATCCACATCCGCCTTAGAACGAAGCGAGACGGACCCGTCATCCGTAACATGCTCAGATTTCCCCATTCCGTCCAGACCGAATCGCGGATCTGCGTTGTGTGCCCATCAGGATCAAGACACGAGAAGGAGGCCCGCGCGGCCGGGGCTGTTTTGGTAGGAGAAAGTGATGTTTTCGATGCAGTCAAGGCTGGCAAGATTGAATTCGACCGTTTGATCTGTCACCCCGACAGCCTGGACGCTTTAAACAAAGCTGGACTTGGTAGGATTCTGGGTCCTAGAGGTTTGATGCCAAGCGTCAAAACGGGCACTGTGGTCGAAGATGTGGCTTCCAGAGTTGAGATGCTCCGCGGTGGTACCGTTTACAGGGAGCGTGATGCTGTCATCCGTCTCCCCATCGGGCAATTAGCATTCTCTCCCGAGCAATTGAGGGACAATCTGCGCGCTACGATCGAGCAGGTCAAGAAGGATGCGGCTGCCCTCAATGACCGCATTGTGAAGGAGATCCATGAAGTTGTGAGTTCATCCCACGATTCTCGCTCTCCTAGGCATTCAAAACTTGAATTGACCCCATTTAGGTTCTGAGCTCGACCAACGGCCCCGGCTTCAGTTTGAATGGAGAATTCACATCCGAAAATTCCCCCGATCCCGCATCTTTGCGCGGCCTGTAACATATGTGATTTTCGTCCACTTTTCTTGCGTGTATATTGTACAGATCGAGTTTATTTGGGAAGGGCACGGTGCATAATGGTGTTTGTTACGAACATATGTTTTTAGAAGAAGCTCAAGTCTGAATCCCAAACGCCACCGCTATGCAAAATAAGTCGCGCTTAATACACAAGGGGTAAAAAAGGCCTAAATCTTCAGGTTCTTCAGTGCAGTCACTGCGCTGGTGTCCTCTCCCATCAGCTTGTAAAGACGCAACACGGCCAGTGTTTTTGTATCCCGCTTCTCGCCAGCATGATTCGCTTGTTCGAGCGCTGTCTTGAGGTCCACGAGTACCGTAGCTCTTATCTTTGATAACCGAGGCTGCTGATTGCGAAAGAAAGGATGGTCATCGCCGATGCGCGCTGAAAGGCGAGTGAGGAAGACGTATTTTTGGATGTGGTTCTGAAGTCTCTTCAGAGACACCAGCGGTGTTGTCTCTGAGCCGCCAGACTGTTCTTCATCCTCACTCTCATCAACTTCGCTGCCAAACAGATCTGAGTCTGTGTCGATTTCCTCAACGGATTCGCTTGGATGTCGTGTGCGCGCATCGTCAATCATCAACCGTTTCTCCAGCTCCTCGACCCGCTCTGCAAAGTCCAACAGCGCCCGGGCAATGTTTGCATGGTCCTTGAGATGCTTCTTCTCACTTAAGAGTTGTTCCATCTCCTTGTGCCTCGCCTCGACCTTGTACCGTATTGCCTCAACATCCCTCTGAAACGACAGCAGGCCAACCCGAACCTGCTCGATTTTCTCTTCACCTCCGTGCAAAGCACCACCAAGCGACAGGAAATCACGGTAGTTCTCATTAACCAGGTCTAACAGTTCCCGGCTGAGCAATTGATCCAGGTTCCGTAGTTCCTGTCGTAGGTCCTCAAGACTTTGGTGCCGATTGGTCAGGGATGATAAATATACAGCGGGGTCGAAGTTGGGAGCGAGGAATGAGGAGCGACTGAGAGGTTCAGGGAATGGAAGGCCGGAGTCATCGTCGTCGAAATCTGAGGCCGACTCGTCGGAGTCGCCAAACTATAGGCAATGAAGCATTGAATCAGTATCTTGGTCGGCGACCAATGATGTATACACACGGAGCGGGTGCATACACGAAACCTGTTCATTTCGAAAAGGACTGTGACCGTGAATCGACCTGATAGCCTTCAAAGAGGGCCGCGAAGACACTATCGTCAAAAAATCGCAATGGAAGAGAGAGCTGGTTGGCCTGTCCGGGAGTCTAGAGTTCCAGACAAGGTGTTTGCGCTCCGCATAATCGTCCCCCCCTCGGCTGGTTTCATCCGCCCGCTAGTTAAGTTGGAGAGACAAGAGGGTGATCGGAGCAAAGCGCATACAATAGATAATCCCCGTGAAGGTCCTATGCCAACGCATTGTCTTACTCCTGCATTCTCCCAGTTTCCAATGATTGGGTCAATGTGTCCATCTGATACTGCTGTCGACACCGGGGATTTCCTCTCAAAGTGAAGTTCATCCTGCCTTCCTCGATGCATGCCAACATGGCATACTTCTCATGAAGCCAGCCACTGTAGCCTTTTGGTCGTCTGTGCAATGAGCTAAAGCAGAGATACGTGTCCTGCCATGCAACCGCTGTGATTTGACAGCTGCCCGATTCCCAGCTTTTGTTGGACGATCTGCCGCATTTACGAATAGGCGTAACGGCGGGGGGTCTCAGTCATCGTGGTGGTAGTGTTGTATTCCTTCTGCGTCTTCATGCATCACAGCTGCGACGAATCCACCTGGATAGAGGTTATGCAAATATATCGAATGACATTGGAAACAGGCCAGAAATAGAAAAATCTATTGGGAATATTTTGTGGACCCTCCTTCATTGATAATGGATTATAGGTCAGGCAGGCTGTCATCCCACCATGACCAGATTCGACTATCGTCCTCACTACCTGGCCAGAGGTGGTCACAGATCACTTCTGCTGCTCCTCACTCCTTCCCCGTGGTTGAGTCTGTCGATCCGTCCCATCAAGCAAGCTCGTACCGCCGCCCTGGACCTGCTCTAGATGACCCTGCTCGAGTGTACCGTACGACCGCACTTCGCCAACTGAATGGGAACCACAGACCTCTGTGTGGGAAGAATCGGCAAGCCACTTGCTCAGGCAATCAATCCTCAAAGTTGGCGTCTCAGCCGGTACTGGTCAGACCCTACCCTGATAGTACTGATGACACCCCAGGGCCGTCCAAGATGCCCTCACGGCGGTCGTTCCCCTTCACTAGTGGATCCAGGGCGCCGAAGCGTGGTCCAGAACTCCCCCTGGACCAGGATTTCAGTATCGACGATATCTTGCGAGCGATCGAGCCCGATCTGCGAAGTACTTTGGAGGCCATCGGAGAGATCTGCGGTCGGAGCAAGCTCAGCCTGGCCAACGAGTATGGCAGCCATATTGCACCCTTGGGCGAGATCCGAGCTCCCCCAGGTGGTCTCTTGACCGTGGAGGAGGCCAGCTCCGACCATGAAAGGCATCCTGACGATGCTGTATTGATCTTCGACGACGACAGTACCAGTGTCATCGGCGCGCGGGACTATGCTTCGGTTCCTCACTATCGCTACTTGGAACATATCGGACCACCAGCAGGATCGCCTTCCGCCATGGTATATCACTCGTTCGCACCCTTCTCGCTCGCAGAGGGCTCAGGGTTACTTACTCAATCCGACACCCCACAAGCACTTCTTGCTATCAACTCTCCAGACCCTATTGCAGACTCACTCCCTACGACAAGAGAGTTTGCATCTAAACCGAACTCGAGTGGCCGAACCCTGCTGGCGGAGAAGCACGAATCCGCCAAGGATGATCAGATTAAAAGTATCCTGACACCCGCGCTTGTAGCGGAGATTCTCCTTGACGCTCAATCGAGTAGTCAACCACGTGCTGGAGAGGACGCTGACGATGGTGGGAGGCTGGACAAGGCATCTGTGCTGGCAGATGTGCAAGCACTGTTCAAATGGCTCAGGAGCGCTTCCGATGGACAACCACGATCTGCTGAGAAGCTACTACGTGAAATGCTTGAGAGGCAGCATGCACCTGCGAATGCATGCTAGATCTATATCATAATTGATGGTCCCTCTCGCTATGTAAAACCTCTCACGCCTACATGCTATGTTACGTCCACTCTGGTTGATATATTTGGACATAGTTATTTTAATGATTGGATGGTGGATTGGTTTTAGCATCGCTTTATTACGTATATCTGTTTTTGCGTTGATAATCAACAGTGATTATCCAGGTTATAAATACAGATCAGAGGGAAAGCTTGTGCTATCCTTTAATTGCAATCATCTGTAAAAGTGCACAAGACAAGCATGGTATATAACAAAGACAGTAGGATCTATGATAGCATGATCATCTTCCTATGTCAGGAAGGTCATCCACTCGCTGGACTCGCACCCTCGATCTGGGATATTAATGTTTTCGCAAATTCTTCAAACCGACTGTGCGACCAGCAGTCCTTGTATCTTTCCACCAGCGGCCGATCATCAACGGGCTCCTCCTGCTGTTGGGCTTGCGTAGCCCCCTCCTCTTCATCAGAATCACTGTCATCAACCACCTTACCTTCCACCAATTCCCCAAACTTGACATCCACCGGCACACTGCCTAAGAACTTGATCCCCAGCTCATCCGCCATGACCTTTCCACCGCCGCTAGAGAAGAGATTGCTCACTTCCCCACAACACGGACAAGAGTAACCGGACATATTCTCAATCACACCCAGAACAGGGATCTTCGTCTTGACACAGAAATTGGCTTCCTTCCGCACATCGGACGTCGCGATGGCCTGCGGCGTCGTCACAAGCACCGCACCCGCCAGACGAGAGAGGCCCGCCGCCGTCGCAGACGGATCCGTCGAAGCCAGGGTCAGGAGCTGCTCCGCCAGCGCGATGTGCTCGTCACTCGTGCCCGGCGGCGTGTCCACGAGCAGATAGTCCGTCGGACCCCAGTATACATCTGACAAGAACTGGCGGATCATCGCGGTCTTCTTGGGCCCGCGCCAGATGACTGCGTCGCCGCGATCACGCAGGAGGAAGCCGAGGGACATGCAGCGCAGGGAGCCTCGGGGCTGGGTGGTGGATGAAGGGTTCTGGGCTGTGTGTACTGGTACGGGGATCCAGCCTCCCGGGGCCTGGGTGATCTTTGCATCTTCGAGTCCGACTAGGCGAGGAATTGAGGGCCCTGTGAGGTCGATGTCGAGAATACCGACGGATTTGCCTTGCAGGGAGAGGGCGAGGGCGAGTTGGAGGGTGACTGAGGATTTGCCGACGCCACCTTTGCCGGAGAGAACCTATATAGTTTGCGGTGTCAGTGGGAGCTTCTACAGAGAACAGCTTCATATTTCAAGACAGTGCCATCCCATATCAACGCTTGGGTATGTCTCTTGTTCCACCCTCGTTGGACGTGAAATCGTTATCGATAAGATGCGACAGATGGAGGGGTTCGCGCTGGGAGGCAAAACGAGAAGCGAAAGATGGGGACTTACCAGCACAATGTTCTTGACGCCGTCGAGAGGCATTGCTTCTAGTCTGAAAGATGGTCTTTCAAAATTGTGAGCAATTCTATGTCTCAATCAGAGAGGAAGAGAACGTTGACGGCGAAAGACCAACTGCTTTTTCTGCGTCATCCCGCCATGTGGGGAAGAAATGCGACTGCTTATCAATCCGGAGATTTCATTGCTTTGCAACAAAACTGATCAGTAATATAGCGTCAGATAAGAACTGAATTGATGCTATTCGAGATCAAAAAATGCTTAGGAACTACATGATTGAGGAGGGAGCTCAGGATTCTGCCAGATTTCTTCATTGATATGTAAGCCTCAGCAGATTGTCTCTATACTAGATGATCTTCGCCCATTCATGAATCATGTCGTCGACATTGATCTTCATCAGATAACGTAGGATAATGTTCGTTCTTTTGTGAACATCTTCGAAAACCCCTAATTCAAAGCCAGTGATCTATCTATTGCCATTTTTGGACGACCACGCCACCTCGCTTGAATTCAGGGAGATCGCCCAGAGCCGCAGCCTTGTCAGTGAGCTCCTTGTTCGGGAACGTGGTCATCAAGACCCAAGAGCGTGCCTGACTGGACGGGCTGGAAGAGGACACGAACTGATACACATCGCCAATCGTATGCGAGGTGTTGAATCGGGAAGTGAGCCGTGTACCGTCGCCAAGTCGAATCTGCAAAATCACAATCGGTTGCGACTCATCAACGTCAGGCTTGGCCGGCTCCGTGCTTGGTTGGCTAGAGGCAGGAGTCTCGGCTGGGGCGTGAGTGCGTATACCAGGGGTCGGGCTGCCAAGTCGCTGACCCGCTCCAGAGAAGGGCTTGTACTTGGGCTTGGGCTTGACATATTTCTCCTCGTGCTGCTTGATCTCCACATCAACCTCCTGGCCTGGCTGTACGTTCATGATCGAAAGCGGTGCGCGTCCCTGTCGGATACCGTCTAGAATTTCCGCGTTGCGTGGATCGTCTGATCGGAAGAGGTCTCCATCATCAACCGAAAATCCATCGGCCCAAAAGTGAAGAGTTCGTTGTACTCGCTGAGGTCTCTGAAGTGAAGGCGGCGCACTCGGGGGTTCAATAACTCGGCTAGGAGTGTCATCGCCGCCTAGGGTACGTGCCGAGCCAGTAAAGTGAGATTGTCTGGTTTGTGGCTCGTCGGAGGACGGCATTTGAGTTCTATATTACCAAAAAAAGATCAGTTTCCATATCAGTACGATAAGCGTTCTGGGGAAATCACCTTTTGGCTTTCTCGATGATCTTTTTCTTAACGTCGTCAGGGTTTTGCACGGCCAATCCAGACTTCTCACCACCAGCAAAAAGGTCCTGATTTTCTGTATCACTGTCTTCCGACGAGTCCCCGCCGCCGGATGCAAAGTCGCCAAGTGTCGCGAATCTCTTCTGGGGGGCAGGTTTGCGTGATGAGGACGATTGTTGCGGTGTAGACCCAGACTGGGCAGCGCTGCCGCCCAACGATCGACCTGCTGACGCAGCTGAATCGGCACCTCCAAGGGATTGGCTTCCCACGGGGTTCGCACCTTGCAGGGCCTCGTCTTGCTCTGCAAAGAATTCTGTTACCGCTGCCTCGATGTCCCACCCGCTAGCCGCCAGGTATTCTTGTGCCTTGAATTTGGAAGTCAGTCACTACAGCTTCTGGCAGTCAATATGAATTAGGAAACCAAGAGCATACCTCTGCAGGCTGAGTACCTGTCATTGCACAAAACTGAGAGACCACCTCATCGTGGGTGGTGGGGTTGTGCTCCATATTGATGGTGAACAAAGGTGAGGGTACTTGCTGTTCGTATTGTACTCAGAATCTGAAGGTAGAAAAATGATTTTGTGCACCCAAGGGAGGCGCTTTTAAAAAGAGAAAAGTGGGAGTGGTGGCTCAACAAGATAGATATACTACTTATGCTCAACTAGACTATCCACGAAGACAGCTTTGATAATCTCCGACAAACACCCCGATGAATGAGGATACGTCACTGTTGCCTGATTGGTCATCCGGAACAGCAGATATTCCGTCAGCAAGTGTTCTGTTGATGCCTGAGGATACCAACAATACCCATTGTTCCTTAAGTGCTGCATATCCAACCATATCATACTTCCCAGCCGTAATCAAAAATAAAACATGTAGTCATACCGATAAAGTCTAGATAGGTCCTAAACACCGATAGATTTAGTATGAGTAATATTTCAAAGAGCTCGGAGAGCTCACTACAATTGCGTAACTTGGACGATGTCTGCTTACATAACCGTATCGGAGTCAGGCGTAGAGCAATCAAGCAAGTTACCTTAGTTCTATGGTCAATTATTCGGATCTCAACTACGAGATCATTGATCTAGGCTTCAGTCTGGGTTACTCCTTTCTGTTAACTCGGCAGTGAAAATCCATCATCGCAGCGGTAATATTCAACGTCCTCTCCATTTCTATCCACCTTCCAGCACGTGGTGTTTTGTTGCTCTCACCGAACCCCTTCTCCCCGCACCATGGCCGACGAACTCTCCCACTCGAGAGTCGAGCTCTACGAGTCTGGTGTGACTGTGCCCTCGGACTCGGAAATCTACTCTACGAATCATGAAGTCTCGTCTCCGCCTTCGACATCTAGCTCGCCTCTGATCCTGTACAGCCCTCCCTCAATCTGGGGCATTCTTCGGGGAGCGGCCATCAACCTGGTTCTCCCCTTTGTCAACGGCTTGATGCTGGGATTTGGTGAACTGTTTGCGCATGAAGCAGCTTTCCGGCTAGGCTGGACCAACACAAAGGTATGCTTCAGTACCCCAGGTTGTGGCGGGATCGTTCACGGCTTCTCTCTGAATCCCTTCACACCACCGCGCCCTTGTTGAGCAAAGCGAGCTAATCATACCTCTATCTAGATCTTCCCTACACATCGACGGTCGAGACCAATGGGTCCAGGCGTGGAGGTTCGCGAACTTCCGTCGCGGCGTGAGACCCGAACGGGAAGTCTGCGCGACACCACGTCTTTGGAGTGAACGCACGCCCTCGGGCATCTATTATAGAATTTTTTTTGTTGGTTTTCTGATATCCATTGCTTCGATCCATTTCGCAATTGTCATTTTCTCGATCTTCCAGCATGGGTCCGCATATGTGGGTTTGTGTATATAGGTTCCGAAAAGCATCAGTAGTAGGAGTCAGTTGGATGGCGTGAGTGGGAAGCACTCGGACGTGACAGACGCTGCACTACACATTGCTCATTAGCATCAAATGCCATTGCACCGATCTTAAACGTTCGATATCTCTCCTCTGTTTTGTATCTCATCGTAGTTCTTCCTCAGGCGCAAACTCCGGCCGCCCGGCAGAAACGCGGTCTTGGCGCGAAAAAGTCCCAAGTCGCCGACGGATGGTGCCGTTATTTTCTCACCCCAGGAACCGCCATTCCCCAGTGAACCCCCATCAATTATCTCTCCTGCGGTCAAGTATCACAATGCTGGGAGGGGCAGGCTTGAAGGGGCGCGGTGGGATTCCCACTCTTGCCCGGCAAAGGTTGACTGCTTTTCCTCGCTCCAGTCGATCGGTTTGTCCCCCGAGATCTCCTCATCTCCGCCAACAAAGCAGGGACGACAGATCTGGCTGACTCGTTCTCCTATATCTACAGATCTCCTCGTTCCGTCCTCAGGCCTCGAGATTCCCAATCCGCCATGGAGGACTCAATCAGACTCTCTCCGGGAGCCTATCATGGAGGCCCGCTACCGCCTCGGTCACCGGCGCCATGTCCGCAAGGTTCAATTCGACATCGTCGGTGAGCGAGCCTGTGCCGGAAGTGAGCCCTGAGTCGACTCTATCCGACTTTTCCGATCTGTCCGCTGCCGATCTGAGCACCATGCCCGAATATATCGGATACCTGAAGGATATGGGTCTCGATTACGGCTGGGGTCCGTCGTCGGTCATCGAGTTCTTCATTGAACATTTGCACATCTGGGGAGGCCTGCCGTGGTGGGCGAGTATTGTTGGTACCGGTCTCCTGCTGCGTGCCGCCCTCTTCGTACCTACGCTGGGTGCTGCCGACACTTCGACCAAGATCACCAACCTCCGACCCATCACCGAACCTCTCCGGCAACAGATGATGCAGCTTGGCGGCCAGGGTAACCACGCGGAGATGTACAAGCTTAGAGCGGAGATGCAGAGGGTCCATCACCAGCATGGCGTCAAGACATGGAAGACCTTCATCCCCATGCTGCAGATCCCCTTTGGTTTCGGTTGTTACCGAGTCGTCCAGGGTATGACCGCCATGCCCGTTCCAGGCCTGGCTCTGGAGTCCGTCGGTTGGCTGAGGGACCTTACCGTTGCCGATCCCTACTTCGTGCTCCCCGTCCTCTCGTCATTGTGCATGTATCTGAGTTTGCGGGTAAGTCTTGTGTCTGCTTTCTTCAGCTCCCGTCCAAGTTGCTGACTCGGGTTGTCTTTCTCTCCATGCAGAAAGGAGGTGAGAATGGCGTCAACCAGCTCCAAGGAACAGCATTCGGCAGACTCTTCCTGTACGGCATGCCCGGTATCTCGTTCCTCTTCATGGCCTTCTTCCCCGGTGCGCTCCAGCTCTATTTCGTGGCTACCGGTTTGTTCGGTCTGGGCCAGGCCCACCTGCTCGCCTCCGACAAAGTGAGAAAGATGTTCAATATCGCAATCCCCCAGAGACAGGCTTTGCCAGCTGCCAATGGCTCCGCACCCGGTGAAGGCGGCTCGCAGCAGAACAAGGCCATCCGCACGCTCAAGGAGCGGCTGGAGGCCGAGCGAGCCAAGATGATCCAGGCTGATCCCAAGGCGGCTGACAGCTTGGAAGTCAGCTTCATCGATCGCGCTCTGAATTCCATGAAGGACGCCAAGGACAACCTGGCGCGCGAAGCCGCGGGCAAGATCAAGGAGGTACGCGGTGAAGGCCCTAAGAAGAACGCCGATGGCTCGCTCGCCGAGCCTCCCAGACTGAGCGAGAAGGATCGTCAGCTGGCGGCCGACTACGAGAGAAGACGAAAGGAAGAGGAGGATTGGAAGCGGGAGGAGAGGAACCATGCTCGCCGGGAAGCTCATCTGAGAGCTCTGGAGCTTGAGAAGGAGAAGGCTCGTGGGGAATTCAAGGTCAAGCAAAGGTGAGAGCATACCAGGGTTGTTCTTCTTTCTGTTTTTCAATGGTATGGGATATGACGGTCTATCTCCAACTGTACAATACGAAGGCGCTGTACCATTCATCTGCCTGTTTCTATGTTGTATTTTCTTTTCTTTCCGCTAAAGCATTTGGTCTTGAATGAACTATCTCCGATTTCTGAATGGGGCTCCCTGTTTCGTCATTTGTCATTTGGTCAACGAAGTCCCAGTGTTCGACGACACGAATATTCTCACGCGCAAGGGTCGAACTACATCACTTTGCTAGTGCCGTTCCAGCTTCATGACGTCTCGCACTACCAAGCTATCTATTCAAAAGGGGTCTGTTGGCAGTTGTCTTCCGGCAAGAAAAGGTCTTCCGGACGAAGCTGGTCCCCCGACCCATGTTAAAGATGTCTGCGCCGCAGATGGGAATGGATAACCATTTTCTTTCCAATCTTCTCCTCAATCGAACTCGTCCATCTAAAGACGACCCAACCTGGCCTACTTTCCGTCAACACCATATATTCAATCAGGAATCCAGCCACTTACCTCGACAACCGACTTGACATAAGACCAGGACTCGGGAAACTCCGCGTCGCCAGAGGCCTAGAACAAGGTTAGTGGAGTCCAAACAACCCTGTGAGAAACGTACATTGACCATGACGCTGCTGAACTTCTCGTAGCCGGTCAATTCAGCAAGAGAAGCAAAGTACCTGAGCTTCAGATGATTGAACTTCGCCAGACGCCGTTCGCCTTCCTGAAAGGTCATCTTAATCTGCATGTACCGCTTTTCCATTGTGTCCGGGGTCGCGAGGAGATGAAGTGCCATTTTGACATCGTAGGTCTACCCGCCAGCAATTATCAGACCGCGATGGCTCCAACACTCAGAAGGGAAGGAGAGGAGCGTCAGGGGTTCACTCACCTGATTCACCAGATCAAACTCCTCCCGCGTATGCGGAAAGCCATCGATAACGAAAACATTCTGCCCGAATCCCTGGTTGCGGAAGATCTCCAGCCTGATGACATTCACGAGCACGGCGCTCGGAAGCGTCCCGCTGGCCTCCATTGAGTCGCACACCGTCCTCCATGCGGGCTGCCGCGCGGTGACGGCCAGGCGTCGCACGACCGCGGCCGCGTCGATGTGAACGAGGTTCAGCTCCGCGGCAAGAGACGCGGCTACGGTGCTCTTTCCTGCGCCTGGTCCGCCTAGCGACAGAGATGCGATTCAGCCGGGTCAGGCATCGGAAGCATGAGGGTTTGAGCGGGATCAGGAAGGCTTACCGATGATGAGAATGATCTTTGCGTCCGAGTCATGAATGGACGCGTGGCAAGGAAGCATAGAGGTCAAGTCGGTGACGGGGACTAGGCCATGTCCCCTCAGAAAGGCGCCTTCGTCGTAAGTCCGAGTCTCCCGAGTCGGGGACAGCAAATCGGGCAACAATTGGCTCATGCGGTAGGAGCTGGGGGCATTTGTTGCGCCATTGTTCGGCTCCTGGGTTTGGTTCCCTCTAGTCTGCTGAGAAGACATTCTGCATGAAGGTGAATAAGAGAGAGCAAGAAAGTACAGGAACAAGGACAAAGAAAGCATCCGCTCCAGAACAGGCAAAAAAAAGAAAGAAAGAAGCCTGTGTGCTTGCATGCAAAAGATGAAAAGAATGATATAGTACTACTATCCAAGAGAAGGGGGAGGGAAAAGAGCCGGAGGTCAGCCAAGAGAGTGTACTCTTCCTTGATCACCAGGAGGTGAAGAGAAGCAAGCTGGCCTTCACTATCATGAAAGGGAGAGAAAGGCTTCTTTGTCGCTGAGTCGCCATGGACATGGACATGGTAGCGTGCCGCCGAGAACAGAAGGGCCTGCTCACTTCCCCAGACGCAGAGAAGGTAGAAAAGGTGTGTCTGCTCACAAGAGGCAATAGCAATAGCACCTGTACCTACCTAGGTATTCTCAACAACAACAACAACACCAACAACCCTATCAGAGAAAGAAGATATCATACTACAGAGCCATTCATTCATCTTGACAAAAAAAAACCATCGTCACTCAAAGACCGTAGCCACCATACACAACCTCGAAACCACTCAACTCGTCTTCAACTATACAAGGTACCTCCCCATCCCCCAGCTCGACCCCCAACACTCCCATCACTGCACAACAGAACACAGCTAACTAACCCTCAGCAGCCATGAACACCACCATCACAGCCCTCATCGCCCTCAAAGCCCCAGCCCCAGCTGCAGCTCCAGCCCCAGGAGCCATTCAGACGGAACGACCCGTCCTCGCATCCGCCGGCCTCCTCCTCTTCGCCAAGATGGTCATCAAGATCCTGCTTCTGCTGGCGACCGTCGACGTCGTGAGGGTTGTGCTCGTGTACGTGGATCAGTACTTCCGTCGTTGGGGACGGGGACGGGGACTGGGACAGGGGCAGCAGATTGGTGGACCGGTGCGGATGCGGGTGCGTGTGCGTGTGCGTGTGCGTTGACTTGTCTTCTCGGGGGATGAAATGGGCGTGGGATCTGTAGTGTTGTTTTTGGTTTTTGGTGGCTGGATCTGAGATAGGTTAGGCGATGACTGCGCTGAAGTCTTTTTTCTTTTCTTTTTCTTTTTTTTCTTAATGGGATCAAGTTTGTAAGGAGGATTCGGCAGAAGGGATAGGGTAGACAAGAAGTACAACTGGGTCGTCGTCCATGGCGAATTGGCAGTCCCATGCCCGGAAGTCCATTACAATGTGCTAAAATATGTATGTACAAGGAAAATAGTCTCATCATCTCATCATGCCATGAAAAAGGCCTGGAAAGCCACAAGCAGCCCGAAAGCAAACAGTCCTTACCGGAATATCCGTCTTCCCCCAGTGCTGCCCGCGCTCCAAGTAACGGACCCGCGAACTCCCAGATTGCCCATACTCAAGCCCGAGAAGCCAACGCCCCCGCCCTCGCTGTCGCGTTTATACCGCCGTAGCGCCTCGCGCAAATGACAGGGGAGCAGCTGGCCCCGGTGCGGGTTGGGCGGGGGTTTAAATTCCCGTTTGGGTCTGGGTGGAGGCTTTTGCTGTTGCTGTTGCTGTTGCTGTTGCGACGGGGGGTACGGGCCCGGCATGGGAGAGGCAGATGAAGGAGGGACGGGGGTGGAGCGGTTGCTATCCGAAGGCTCTTGCTTGACGAACGACTGAGGCTGAGAATGCTGCAAGCCCTGCGATCCCGGCACCGGCGTACCTGCGCCCGTCACCGGGGTCCCCGCTGTGGCCGTGGCGCGAGCTGCAGCTTCGGCCGCCCTGGCCTCGGCGGCGGCCTCTTCCGCGTCAAAGGCAGCGCGGGCGGCCTGGTCATGCGCAATGGCCCATTCGGCCTGCACGGTGCGGGCCTTCTCAATGATCTCGCCGGCAAAGACTTTGGTGAAGCCGTTGATGGTGGTGACGACGCTGGCCGGTACAGACTGCGAGAGGGCATGGTTGACGATGCGGCGCAGGGTCTCCTTGCGTAGCTTGGCCCGTTTGAACAGATCATATCTCTCAGATTGAATGGGATTGAAGGCATCCACGAGCAACCTATTCCAGTCCAGCGTTAGCTTTATCACCACTTAACCCCAACCTCACCCACCCATCCATCCATCCACTCTCCTCTTGGTCCAAAGCAACGAAAGGAATGGGGGGAAAAAAACTCACGCAAGATTCTTCTTCTCCGCCTCCGTATCCTTCACCCCCTCCTCCTCACCCCCCAACAACTCCCCCTCATACTCAAAATCATCCTCCTCATCCGCATCCTCGCCGGCCGCCTCCCCGCGCCCTCCCCCACCCCCCTTCACCGACATCGCATCCCCATCCACAGACCCAACGCGCGCCTCGCCGCCACGCACACTCCCCGCCTCCTCGCGCAGCTCGCGCTCGCGCTCGCGCTCCTTCTCGGCCTTGCTCTTCCTCCCGCGTTTGCCCTTCCGCGCGGCCCCTAGGAACACCCCGTCCGCGCTCGTCCCGCCCAGGCTCCCCGTGAAGCTGCCCGTGACGCTACCGGCGTCGCTGAAGGCGCGGTCTGTGTCGACGGTGGCGGGGAAGGAGGTCTGGCGGAGTGGGTGCATGCGTGGGCGTTTGGGGTTGGAGCCGAGGGGTTGCGAGGCGGAGGAGGAGAGGGACGGGCGTTTGAGGGGGTTAGTGGGTTGGTGAGGGGGTGGTGAGGACATGGTGATGTCTTGGTATTGTGTATCGTAGAGGGGAAGGAAGCAGGGCAAGCAAGCAACTGAGTGGAAATGGAGGTGGCAGCGCGTGCTGAGGATCAGTTACGCCTTGGAGGTTGTGGGGGTGGTCATTGACGAGGTCAACGAAAGGATCGTAGGATCGAGTGTAGACTGGTAGAGTATCGAATAGTAGTTAGTCTTAGTCTTTCTCTGTACTCCGTAAGAAGGTAGAAAAGTTAAGCGTGTTTGGCGCATCCACTGGATGTGATGATTGTAGCTCATCGAAGAAGAAGAATCACCGCCGAGAAAGATAAATGCAGCAGACCCACTCATTCCGGCAAGTCTGCCGAGGCCGCTTGCCAGTTGGCGAATCGCCTTGAAAAAAACGACTTTACTATCAGTTTACTCTTACATACTCAATCTACTTTCGAATCTACTTTGTAAAATGGATCATAAACCAAACGATAGAATCAATTGCATGACGCTATGGCCAAAGCCTATCCCGAAATGTAAAGACAGCACAATCAGAATACTCTGCAGAGACAGACAGAAAAACACAACGCTGAAGGTCTCGTAGAATCACCGGCAAGGCTCAAATGAGAGAATGCAAAAGAAGACAAGAAGCAATACAGCTTTCATCACAAAAAAAGAATGTTCGATCAAATATCTCCGAAAAGAAAAAAAAAAATCATCTTGACGTGCTATGGCTGGTGGATCTTTCAAAATTTCTCTTCTCCCAGCCGAGGGGCCCCCCCTTTCCAGTCCAGGCGTTCGTAGTAACGGAACACAAGCTCATAGCCGTCAAGATCGTGGACAATCCGGTCCACCCGTCGGTATCCCTCTACATGCTCCATTCGCGCCGCCCGGCGAGCAGCCTGGCGCTCCAGGTACTTGGCTTCCTTCCAGTCGTCGTCCACATGGGCCACCACGGGCTTGGTCTCGAAGAGCGTCACGCTGAAACGACCAGGCTTGAAGATGTCGACCACCTGCTTGATGATGCCAGCGGTCGTCTGGCCGTTCTGCGAGTGCGGCACATTGGTCTCGAACGAGGCGTACGAGCAATGGGGCTCCGGGGTGACGTGCACGGTGAAGTAGTGGGTTCCCGCTTTGCCATTGGGTGGCGGAATCACACCGTTGGCCGAGAAGCCGCAGGGAGTGAACAGATAGGCGTCAATCCGCGAGTCGGGATACATCTCCTTGGGATACACGTCCGACAGACCGCAGGCATCGGAGACCACGGTTCCCAGCGCGTGGCCCTCGGTGGTCAGTTCGGGAGGTAGCACGCGGCTTTCCTCCGAGTCGATGTCGCTCATGTCGGAGGAAGTGTTGCTGAACACATCCACGTGGTCGCCCTCGTCCGCATCGAATTTGTTGAAACGGGTCTCCGCCACAGAGGTCGCATGCTCGAGGTAGAACTGCTTGGCATTCTCCGCATCCAGATCGGTCATCAGCACTTCCAGGGTCTCATCGTCCTGCGAGTCCGCCGCCTGAAGAGCAGCACTCTCGGGGAGGCTCAGCACCCGAGTCTCGGTTTCGTGGAACTCGGTCTTCACCCCGGGGGTGGTCGGGGGGGTGAGCAGGGTGTGGGGCTCGGTCAGGTACAGGTACCAATGTTCGCCGTTCATCTTGCCAATCATGTAGGCACTGCCGTTAAGGAACAGCCGGTCCATGGTGCGGACCTCATCCCTCCAGCTGCGGTGAGGGCCGCGCTGACGGTCCGGGAAGAGGAAGTTCTTGCGGCTGTAGAACACGCGGTACGGCGCAGCGGCAACAGAAATCCCGCGGGAGGGAGCCGTGGACTTGGGGAATCCGCCGAACAAGGCGGCAATCTCGAGGATGCGCGGCAGGCCCGACAGTAGGGTGGTCGTTCCACAGGTCTTGAGGATCAACTTGTGCGGCCAGACGAACATGCTGGATTCCGAAAGCAAATAGGCGTCCACATCCTCAGACGACACAATGGACAAAACTTGGCAGTTGACGAGATCCAGCATGTCCTTCCAGATTTCCTCGGGCACAGCTTTCAAGCCCGCAGGCTGCGCGGGGCCGAGTTCCTGGGCGGAGGGAGCGAACCACACTTCCAGCAGTTTCTCTGGGCCTGTGATCGGTCAGTAATCCATCACAGAATGAGAGCAAAGTTTCCAAATCGGCTCCCACTGACCTTCAAAGGCATTGCAAGAGTCGAGATCCTGGGTTGCCTCATAATTGATGGTCAAGGACGGTGTTCCTGCGAAGGAAGACGGCGACGCCGTATAATTCTTGGGGATCCCAATGTAAACCATGTTTTTTTGCTGGTTCTTTGTCGACTTGATGATGTTGGGGATGCTTCCGAAAGACTAAAAAAAAAAAAGAGAAAAAACAAAAAAGAGAGGTGACCGTTCAATTGAGGGAACGAGAAGGCAGCGCAGGTGTATGAAGAAGCAGTTTTGACCGTAGGCAAGAAAAAAAAAAAAGCCTCGGAAGCACTATCTGCTGCCCAGACGAACAGGGGGGGCTATGTCCGCCTGAGAGAGAAGGCCCTTTATCGCAAAAGGACGAAGTGGCACACAGGCCAAAGTTGGACGAAGATCAATACAAACCCGAAGGGGCGATGCTAGGGAGGGCGAAAGGAAAGGGACAGGAGGAAGATGCCTCTGGAAGAAGGAATTGTGCCTATATGGAGAGAACTCTCGTCCTGGAAGATACCGATACTGGTCAAAGTATCGGGTCTAGCAGACGAGAGGATCTGCTTTCTTTCTGGGGGGCGGGAGGGAGGACGGTGATTGAAAAAGCGTGTGAACAAGGTGGACTCTATCGGGAGTCGTGCTATCGAGGCCTAGTGAAGGGCAATTGAGTCAGTATATGGGGGATATAATGTGGTGTTTGTGTTAATGGTGGAGGGGCACTACTACTAGGTACTACTAGTAGTAGTAGTAGTAGTAGTAGTAGAGAGTCGTGACGCCGTCCCGCCGAGGCGGCGAGTTTTGCACGCATCCCCCGTCCCTCAAGGAAGAGGTCAATTCTCGCACAAAAGAACTTACTTTGCTGGCTTAGACAAGAATCGCAGCAAGTCCTTGGGGTTCATGGAAGGCAAGATCAAATCGAGCTCAAAATAGCACGATGCAGCACGAGGCCACGGCTCTGGACATCTGCGAGAGCGATAAGAGGGAACGAGCTCAAGCGATGGAGGGGTTTCTTTCTCTCTCTCGGGTTTCACTTTGTATCGAACAATCGCAATGGTTAGAAAAGTGGGTTTTGAAGATAAAAAAGAATCGAGAGATGAAGGTATCCCAGGGGGATATTATATTTATAGTAGTTGACCTGGACTCGACTTGCGGTGGGCAGAGAGAGAGAGAGCGAGAGCGAGCAAGCAGGCAAAACAGGCAGAAGAAGGAGTTAAAATTTATGGATGCGGTGAGGTTGGAATTATTATTATTACTCTTAGACTGGTTAATGTGGGCGAGGAAAAAAAAAAAACGAAAATTGTTGGCGCGGGTTTTGGTCGTGGGGCGCAAGTCGAGAGACTAGAAATCGAGACTACTACGGAGTACTACTAATACTACTACTAGTAGAGGACTAGCAGGACTAGCAGGACTAGCAAGATCAAGAGTTGGGTAGAAGAACGGACAGGGAAGCCTGAATTTTAGATTGGGTTAGTCTTTACTGCCCCGGAAGTGGTATTTGAAGTTGATGAGCGAGAGGGTTTTCTTATTCTTGTTCTTGTTCTTGCTCTCTCTCTCTCTCTCTCTCTCTCTCTCTTCGTCTATCTGAAGCTGAATTGAAATTGGAGTATCTTTGGTGCCTGAGAGGCTGACGCCGCAGCCTGAGGCACTCGCAGGGCTGTCGTGCGACACTGGCCAGATTAGGCAGGCGGTGAGACGACCAACAGTCTGGCCCAAGATTCGCCCGCCGATGACGTCGCCAGCACGACAACTGGCGACGTTTCTACGGATAACTGCTAAAGAGTACTGATGAGTGCATGACTGAACTCACTCCAGATGGAGGTGATTAATGACAGTCTAGACATATCATATGGTCATGGTATTGTCCCCGGATCAAGCGAATTGTCAAACATGACGGATGTCAATCCCAGCGCCACAGCAAAAAAAAAAAAAAAAAAAAAAAAAAAAAAACGCCCCAAAACACCCCGAGGAAATCCTTCCCGCCGCCAAGGTGCAACAAACGCATTGTTGACAAATTTTAAGTCATTATTCAAAACAAAGAGAGAAGCAGATTCATGGCGCTGAACTTTCCAGAATCGCATACGCCATCTGCACCTCTCCCGCATCCGCGATCCTGGCCGCGATGAGATCCCCCACTTTGGCACTCAGTCGCTCGCGGAGCTCATCCGTGACGATGGCACCGTGCCCATTTGCCAGACCCTGACGGCCTTCGCGCAACGCCGAGAGGACGGCCAGGAGAACCCCCAGCACCTTTTCCGCCTCCGGTCGTCGAGGGTTGTCCTCGGCCATGCCGTCCTTGAGAAGACTGGCATACGTCGAGAGGTTGGGGAGGATGAGCACACGGACGGCTTCGACGCCGCCGACCGCATTCAGGCCAATCACCGCACCATAATGCGCCCCGAACGGCTTGGATGGGTCCAGGAACGTCTTGAGGCAGGAGCGGGCGAGGCGAGGTGTGAGCGTATGTGACGAGTGGGAGTATTTCTTGGAGATCAGGCCAAGGAGCGAGGCGGCCAGATCACGCAACGCGAACTGCCCGGAGAGATCGGTGTTGCCACCTAGTTGTCTGCCGATCAGGCAGGTCAGGATGGGAGGGACGAGGGAAGCCACCTAGATCAAACCGGAGTCAGCCAAGAGAATTTCACATCCAGGTAGGAAACGTACATAAGGATCCACGTAGAGGGATTTGTTCTGCACCAGGGCTTCCGCCATGTGCATGACCTGCGTCAACACAAAGATATCCTTCAGCCCATGGGTCACCTTCTCTGAGATGAACTGTACAAAGTAAGGGACCAGCTGGTGCAGGCCCGGGTCCTCGCGTAAGCTTGCATAGCCCGACGTGCGGTATTCCTCACTCGACTCGTCCAGAAACGCATTGCAGACTTTCTCAAAGTAGAGCTGCAGTTCCTTAGACAACACATGCTTGACCAGCGGCTTGACCGCCACATTGCCCGTACCACTCATCGCCGCCAGTGTCGAGTTGGCATTCGGGCCCTTGGAGGTCAATTCGAGGTTCCTCGAGTCGGCCGCGGTAGGATTCTGGGGGATAGACGGCTGGACGCCTTCAACAGCGAGCCAATGGGCTATTCCAAGCAACAAAAAAAAAAAAAAAACAAGTCAGCACAGACACAGTCGACCTCCCCACCAACCAACTCAGAAGACACAAAAAGAAAATCCCCCATACCAGTAAACGAAATCTCCCTCGGCACCTTCGGCAACGGCGCATTGATCAACTTCTCAAAATCCACCTCCTCATCCTCCACGTAGAACAACGGCTGCCCGGGCCCCAGCGACGCCTCGCCGAACCGCAGCGGCCGCGTCGTCTCATACCCATACAGCGGCTCCACGTCCAGCACGCGCAGCGCCTGCGCAACGTCCTGGGTCGTCAGCAGCGTGCGCCGGCTGTGGCGCATGAACTTGAGCGCCTCCTCCAGCACCTGTGCGATGCGGTACTCGACGTCCCGCGCCAGGTTCTCGGTCACGTCGTTGCTGAGATTGACGATGCCGACGGACTCGGCGACGTCGCGGATATTGTCGGGGTTCCAGACCGACATGGTGGAATGGTGAGGTGTCAGTAGGGTATTTGTATTTGGTAAGGTCGGTTGAATACGATACGACGACCCGTAGGGTGGGTAGATAAGTCGGGTGTGAATAAGGTGAGGTGAGACTGGAGAGTTGGGCGATCAATGGAATCGGGATATCCGTCTCCACGGGGGGGTGATGAGGTGTCACAGTCGATTTACTGAGAGACGCGAGAATATCGGAGAATGACAGCCAGCATTCTGAGTGAGTCAGTCTCAGAGACAATTTAAAAGTAAGATGGAAATGTAACAGAAGCGGAGTGAGCTCTTGCTGAGCCAATCGCTCTTGTAGACTGTGAATGTGTTGCGGAGTGAAGAAGTTCGGGGCGCTGCGGCTTTGGTGGTTCTGGTTCCCCGTACTATCTATATTCATAGAATATCTGCTTTTCCATCCCAAGCAGCCTTGTTGATGGTTCACAAGGTAATGATAATTTTGGATCATAAAGCAACTGAATACAACATATTCAGGCTATTCGTTATCCAAGAATAGTGCCCCCAGCGACAACTCCATCAGTCCTAAGAATCAGTGAGCCCGCACGAAGATAATCGATGAATGAAGACACTCTCAAGTGCTCACAGCAACAAATCTAAAGCATAACATGTGTCTATTACTATTACTATTAGGGTATATGATCTAGTCAAGGTCATCAACTCCTTCGCAAAAAGCGCGACAGTTCCGAGGTATCAAAATGTAGCAAACACGGAGCACACAAAACGAGAACAATCCCAGTCTGCCTATCCTCCAGGGTATCATATCTGCTCCTCCCATAACTTCCATGTTCAAGCCAAATTCAGTTTTCTTCATTGATTCTTCTTTCGTTCGTTCGTTCGCACACCACAATTACTTTGCCTCGGCGGTGGTAGCAGCTTCTTGAGTGGTGACCGCAGCGTCTGCCTTGGCAGGCTCCGCAACAGGCTCGGCCTTAGGCTCCTCCTTGCTCTCCTCCTTGGCCTCCTCCTGAGGAGCAGGCTCAGCGGCAGCAGGGGCAGGGGCAGGGGCAGGGGCAGGGACAGGGACAGCCTCAGGTTCCTGGACAAGGTTGACAGTTCTTGCGCCATCCTGGAGAGCAGGGCCACCTCCACCGTAGGCCTTGGGGAACTGGTCTTTCAAAGCAGGGAATTCACGAGCCAGGTTGGCGCCGTTCGAGATGGGGTGGAACTTCCGCGTGGTGTTCTTGCTCAGGAAGACCTTCATCGCAGCAAACATCCAGCCCATGATGGCGGGGACGTTGACGAAGAACTTCTCGCGCAGCAGTTCCGGGTAGGCGGTGGTGAAGACCTCGATGGTCTTCTTGGTGGCGGCCTTGATGGCGGGGTTCAGACGCAGGAAGCTGACGTTCAGGTAATCGTGCACCTGGAGCATCTGGTACGGATCCTCGCCATCATATTCGATCACGGAGGTCGCCTCTGCCATCTTCAACTCCTTGACGGCCATCTCCATGAGCGCAACACGCCACTTGACGAATCTACGGGGGATTGATTCAGTAAACCATGACAGTACATCCCCTCAGGAAAAGAACAAGCAACTTACTCATCCATATCACCAAACGTCTTGTTCATATCCTTGACACCCCCATAGATATTCCAGGTAACCACCGTCTGCGCACCGTTGGCATCCTTGTAGGTAGTCAGGTAGCCCAGACCGCCGAACTTGGCCGCATTGTAGGTGGCCGACTCAACCAGCGCGGTGGGGTTCATCTCCTGGCGCCACTTCAGAGCCTTGGTCAGCTGCTCCTCCGCCAGCTTGACATTTCCCTCGTTCGCACGCAGGAACTTGATCAGCACGTTGACGGTGGGCACATCGTCCGAGTCCTTGAGGGATACCCCCCACATCTCCTCATGGCCCGTGGCGGAGAGGATGGCAGGGAGACGGTCGAAGAACTGCCCCAGCGCGGGGTTCTGGGCCAGATAGGCGGGCTTCTCGGGCTGCTGCTCGGCCGCGGGCTCAGGCTCGGGCTGCTCGGCTGCAGCTGTGTCCTCAGCCTCAGCGGGAGCCTCCGCCACGGCGGGCAGAGGAGCAGCGACATCGGCTGCAGGCTCGGCCTTGGGCTCGGAGTGAGTCTCGGGGTGAGCCTCGGGGGCTGGGACTGTGTCCTTGGGAGCCTCGGCGGCGGTGGTGGTGACAGGCTGCGACTCAGGGGCCTCAGGGATCTCAGGGACTTCAGGGACCTCAGCTACGGGAGCTACGGTCTTCTCAGGTTGTTGTTCGGACATTGTTGCGAGGGGTGATGGAAAAAAAAAAAAAAAAAAAAAAAAAAAAGAATGTGAGTTTAGATGACTAAGTTCAGATGAGAAGCAGAAGCCTTGCTCAAGGAAGAGCCCTTTTTTGAAAGCCAATACAGAGTAGACTTATGAGGAGAGATAAGAAAAGAGGGAAAGAAACGGAAGATTTTCTCGATGCTGGATGTGTTGACTTTTGATGTAGGGGGGGGGCAAGAAAGGAACAAACACAGGGAAAATCACATGCGCAGTCACGAGGTTTGCGAGGCAACTATATCTATATATATGTACTCCGTACTCCGTACATATATATATATATAGATTGTTATATATGCAGACAAAAGTTCTTCTCCTCGAAAGTACGGAGTACTTTCGGAGATAACTCAAATCAAAACGATCATTCTCTCTCTCTTTCTCTTAACCAATCTACTCCGTATTCTTATTAGGGTGGAATTCTTCGATGGAGAGTACCTTAGACTACTGTACACAGTACTCCGTACCTCCTGAAATCAAAAATGAACCACTCCTATCTTTCCTCACTTTTGTCTCATAGCAGTGCTATTTTTATCCTCCCTCAAATGAGATCCCCAGTCAGGACCCTCCCGCCCTGGAGACAGTCCTCCGTCGTGTATCTACGGAGTAACTGGACAGATAGAATACAACTTATGTGACTGACCCCCTTTTTATAAACCACAACACACAAACACCCGGTTTGATCCACGCAACGCAACCCCAAACACTGACCAAGATTCGACTCGTCACACCATGACCAAATTGGCCCATGCATGGTGCGGCGAGTCTGCGACAACTAACTCCAAGTATCTAGCCCGGGGGGGGTGACCCTGGCAACCAACGATTCAGGATCTCATACAGAGTAGTCATGACTCATAAGGACTTACGAAGTAGGTGATCAATCAGTCTGGTTGCTTGTGTGCGCTTCTCTTTCCCCCCGTCTCAGAATGTAGGGGTACGGTCTCCCTCTTTCTCTACTGTCTATAATGTATGGGGCGATGGGGATACTATCTACGGAGTACTCCGTAGTTATCTACACATCAACTCAGTGTCCCTAGGTACTCCACAATCATGCGAGACGCACAGTATGGAGCACTCGGCGCCGTGCTTCAATGTTTTACGAGTAGTCGATTCTCTACTTATCTAGCTCCAAATCAGAGTTATTACAGCCGACTCCACTTTGGTCAGCTCAGGAAAAAAAAAAAAAAAAAAATTGGCCTTGTCGCAGATAACTAGCTAGTAGCTAGAGTAGATGAAGTAATAGAAGATGCTCCTCAGCCCCCTAATCTAACCATACGACTTGCAGCTCGAAACTCGGGTGCTCAATGATGCAATCTGCATGATGTCGAGTAAGAGTATGCATTTATACGGAGGATGATCCGGCGTCTGGGGGAAATCGGACGAGCTGCCCCGTGACGCTGTGTCCGCTGTCTGGATCCTTCGCATGCACCTTGAATGCATCCATATGTCGGCAATAGGGGGGAAATGACAGAGGGATCAACATGCTCGATGAATAAAAGCGGTGGGAAATGACACTCTTCCCAACCATATGCAGGAATGAGGGGGCTGGAACAAAAGAAAGAAAAAAAAAAAAAAAAAAAAAAAAAGTCGCTTGGGAATATACACAGACAGAAATGAGATACAAACACTCGTGCAATAAATATCATGGTGTCCGAGGAAGTTGTACACAAAAGAGGACCTGGCTAAGCTCCACCGTTGGCAAACCGTTCTGGAACTCGAGGCATTGGTGGTGGGTTGACTGAGCCAACATTGTTGATGCCTTCACCGTCGTCGTCATCCTCCTCCATCTCATCCAGCTCCTCGGGATGCCTAGCATACAGCTACAGTTAGCAACGCACCTTACGAAAGGAACGGGGCCACATACGCAAGAAGCTCCTTGATGTTCCGCATCTCATAGTGCCTTTTCCGCATCTGCTCGAACTGGCGATGCTTCTCCTTGGCCTCCTCCGGCGTCAGCAGATGGTCCCCTTCCCCCTCCGCACCCGCCTCCGGAACCACAACATGCTTGTCGCTCCGGTGCGACTCATTACTCAGGCTGCGCTCGCGCACAATCCGGCCGCCATCGCCACCCCCCACCGCCAACGATAACTCCTCGGGCTCCCCCAGCTCCAGCTCGGGAATCTCGTCCTCGGACGCAGCAAGCCTGCGCGGGGTCTTCTTCGCCCGATCCAGCTCATCCACCACCACATCCTGCGCATCGATCAGACCCTCCTCCGCCTCGGCCAGCCGCATCTCCTCCTCGTCCTCGGCGGGGTCGTAGTGCGGCGCAAACGGCGTCTTGGGCTCGTCGATCTTCATCTTGGCCGTGCGCTCCTGCTCCGTCAGGTAGAGGTTCGCCTCGTCCCATTTCAGCCGTGGCGAGGCCTCGTCCGCGTGGCTGTGAATGCTGGCCACGGACTGCCGGCGCGAGGTGGAGCGCCGACGGCCGGCGTTCTGCAGCGTGTTCTGGAGGGTGATTTCCTTGGTGTCGACGGTGTTGATGGAGACGGGAGGGGGCGAGAATTTCTCCGGCGAGAGCGTGGTTTGCGGGACGGTGCCGCTGGAGTTCTTGAGGATGCCTGCGACGAAAGTTTTAACTAACCCATTTTCTCCTTCCCATGCAAGAAAAAATAAAAAGAAAAAAAACAAAAAAAAAATCAAGTTCGAAGGGAAGAGCGCAACGCAGGTACACGCACCCTTGGGTCGCTTGGGCACCTCCTCGTGGTGATGAGCCATGGTCATCATATGGTCAAGTAGTACCCGGGAGGGAAGGGGGTAGAAAACAAAAGGAAAAGTAGAAAGAAAAAAAAGAAGAAGAAATTGATATGAGGGATCAACAAGCCAACAACAGTATGATTGCCCGTTTTATAAGTCTAGAAAGGTGAGAGGCGAGGCGATGCGATGAGGTATGAACGTCAAAAAAGTCAGCTGCGGTTCAGCCCAAATGGGACGATGCTGATGACGCTGGATCGTTTTTGGGTTTTTAGCGGAGGGGGGGGGGGATGTGTCAGCCTTGCCGAGTAGGAGTGATCCAACACGCCAACTCAACTGACTAGATAGATGGAGAGACTAGTTGCAACTAGTAGGTGGATGGCGCTGGGAGTGGTACGGTATCTACCTAGTCTAAACAACACAGAGAAAGAGGATCCAGGAGAGGATCTTGTGATATGTAATTCATCAGAGTCAACAAACTGTCGTGGTAAATGGTGAGCATAAACTGGTTGCTTAGTATTATATACTTCAATAAAAATATGACGGTGAACGTGGGGCTCTCCCGCCATGACGTCGATGCAAATCACCCGGAGATAGAACAACTTCAGATATATCCTGATAGCCATAAGTTGAGAAATAACTCAGGAAGTACATGGCACGAAACCTTGTATTGTGGCAGCTATCCTATCCACGTTGTCCAACTCCCAGCGCAGAACCCAGAAAACCCACGAGAGATGTAGTGTAATGTGTCTCAAACAAAACCAAGCAGATCGCCACCCCCCGTGAGAGAGGGTACCTGTATGTGGATATATGGCAGAAAAGAAGCACTCTTCTCCAATCCTGGGGAACAGTGCGGCCCCTCCAAAACTCGGATGTAAATGCAAATTACAAGGGAGAAAAGTGTAAGATGTCTGAGAAAGACTCCAGAAGGGAAGAATCATAGAGAGAAGGAAAAGAGCGGAAGAAGGGAAAGCGCGGTATCTGCACGGAAAGTAGCCGACAGAAAAGTCCCAATAGAAGGTGTCCGATAGAATTGGGATCAGAAACATGAAGGTGATGAACGGATAAGAGATGAAGGGAAGGTATGATAATAAATCAGAACATAAAAAAAGAAGAAAAAAAAAAGAAAAAAAAAAAAAAGCAAAGCGTCAAGGGTATATACGCATAATTCAAGCGATGGAGTCGAATTCATCGCGCTCTCGAAGTCGGTTTTGCGCGAGCTCGTCGCCGCCATTGGCAGATAACTGCATCCAGTGCAGCGCCAGGCACATGCTCTGCGGATCCGACTTGGAGTCTTTGTCGCGGCGGTACATCATCTCCGCCTTAAAGGTGTCCCGAGGGGGCGTAAGGGGCAGGGTAACACGGGGAAGAAGGTCAGGATGCGTCAGATAGAGAATGGCCAGCTCCCGCTGCGCGATGGGATTCCCTTCCTTCGCGCTGATAATCCACATTTTCGACGCATCCTCAATCGCGTGGCTCGGCCGCGCGTTGAAGCTGTAAGGAGGGGGCGGTTGGTGCCGTCGATTCAGTTCCTGCGAAACAATCCGGTCGGCAATCTCCACCATGCTGTTACAAACCTCGTCTTTGAGGCTCAATGCGGCCAACCCAAACTGCAAGAAGGCGGTCCCGCCGTCTGTCTTGTTGAGGGTGTCGCTGGGGACAAACGCCGAGATAAACTGCAGATCGCGGAAGAGGGTCTTGGGCTTCACTTCCAGGAGCAGGTCACGCAGCGCATTCACAATCTGATTCTCAGTGGGCGTTGTATAATCGGAGGGTCGGCAGTCAAAAATGACCGATTCGGCCCCTGGAGAGGTAGGCGTCTGCAGAAGATCTTTTCCAGAACCACCACGGAGAGTGCGCGCTTCTGAGAAACTCGACCGAGGGGCCCGTTTCGGATGAAATCCGGGACCTCGTTCCCTGGCGTGCGCAAGTGGCGGATCGGAGTGCACGTACTCCGCTTCATCACTAGATGAGTTCAACGATGCAATGACCAAGGCCCTAAGATCTCGCAGCGCATTCAGTTTGACAAAAGGGTTTCCATGGCGCGAGAAAACCTCAATCAATTGGCGAAAGATGATGCCGTAACAGAACGGGGACCGGTGATCGGGCTCTGAAGCATTCTCGGAAGTAGGGTCTGCGGACGGCCCATCGGAACTTTGACGCCTCCCGAAGACCGGGGGTTCCAGCGATCGACTTCTTCGGCTTCTGAGATTGCTGCCGTGAATGATTTGGCGGGCCGAACGCTCATTGCATTCGGTGTAGAATCGCTGGATCCTCTCCCGTTTTTTCATCTGTACCCGAATGCGCTGTTCGTCCAGCTTGTTACCGAACCAGGCATCTGTCTCACTTCCACAGCTCCACACCGGCGAGCCCAAGTCAGTCAACATCAAACTGGTCAGAGTCTGTTTCAATTCGTTGAGGAAAGCGGTTTTGCCGTGGGCTTTCCGATCATGCTGGCGGGGTGGTGGGGCTGCACCCCCATCACTCAGCATTGACGGCGGCCGGGAGTACAGACTCGACGCGCTTGCAGCGTACGGCGCATGCTGCTGTGGCACAGACCAGAAGGTACTGTAGGTGTCACCCGTCGAAGTCGAGGCCGCCTTCGAAGGCGAGTCTCCAACGGATAGCCCGTCAATGGAAGAGAGATCTCGGGGACTCTTCCACTTGTCAGAAATCGAGCTCTGAAATGAAGCCTTGCGATTGAGCGATGGAAGATCGTATGAATATCTGGACACCGAGTCCGACGGACGGAGAGTCCCCCCATAAGACGGGGGAAGATATGTGGGATCCTCGTTGGTTGGGCTAAATGGGCGTAGACTTGTTGAAGAAGATACGCCAAGGAAGCTTCGGCTGCTCTGACTTTCGAACTTGACTCGCTCCTTCTGAAACAGCTCGCTGGCCCACAGCACAGGAGCTTCGGTCATTGTGTCACCGACCAATCGGTTGATGCTCGCCTTCACTTCGTAGCAAAAGCGATGGATACGCTCTTCGCCCTTGCAGAAATTATCAATATTGTTTTGCGACAGCCACTTCCGAGTCAATTCGACCTGCTCATCAGACAGTTTATTCGGGCCGCCTTGGCTGCTGGGTGCTTTCATGACATTCATGACTTGCAGCTCTGGCTTCTGTAGGATAGAACTTCCCGGCATCCGAGAGCTGTTGCGCGTGCGGCGCTCATTGGTGGGCTGCTGGGGGAGGTGAGCAGAATAGATCATCGTCTTCAATGCCAGTGCGACATTCTTGGAATCTTCATATTTCATCGAATTCTTGACGTCAGTCATGTACCACATCTTGTTTCGAAGCTTGGTGATTGTGGCAATGGTCTTTTTCACGGTTCCCTGTAGCTGCCGCAGACTACGATCCAGTGCCACGAAATCGCTCTCGCATCGTTCGATCACAGAGTGAGCCACATGGAGCGCGCGGGAAGAAGAGCTATGCATGGGATGTAGAATCCAAGAGTCATCTTCAAGGCGAGCAGGCATGTTGGAGGTACTGCGCAGAAGCTGCCGACTGGCGTTCCACCAGTAATGGGCGCCGATGAAATCGGAGGCATGATGGCAACGAGACATGGCTCGATTGAACCTTTTACGCAGAGAACAGGTATCCATTTGGGCTGCCGGACCAGATTCCTGGCAGTAGTCGAGGCAGTCTCCATAAGGACTATCGTTGACTAGCTTGACGATCGCCGTGTGGAGAGCCTCGAAGTTGTCCTGCGTACCCAGAGTGGCAGAGTGTGCTGTATCAACAGATCGGTTATCCGGGTCGTTGAGTTGGTTATCGGAAAATAAACCCCAGACTAGACGGCTATTGTTCCCGCTGACTGAAAAGATGGCCCATTCTTCCGCGGAGGGATATTCAAGACTAGGACGGCCATCGGGTTCGCCCAGTTCTGATAATTCGAAGCGAACACGATCAGCGGCCCTTCTGAGGCGAGTCTCTGGGCGTGATAGGGGGTCATTGTCTGCTGAGAAGAACATCTTGCTCGTGGGGGATTGCCGAACAGCTCCTTCAACTTGGGGCCGGAAGAAGCCTGGCTCTGCAGTGACTGCAGAACGCCTATCAGGGTGAAGTTGCAGAGAGCTGAGGGACAAGGCAGAGAACCCCGACGATGGCGTAGGGGAGTGATACGGGGGCGACGACACTGCGGGAAACAAGGCACCAAGCAAAGTAAGCACGTCCGAGGCGGAAAGCATGAGAAAGGCGCAGGGTGATTCCTGTCCACCTCCAGATGAGGGCTGGACAGATGGCTTGCTATCCCAGTCGACGATTTCAAATCGGCGGATCATGTTCCCAACGCATTCCCGGACCGTATGGCGAGCCATCGAGAACTGATGCCTAGTTTTCAGATGAAAAAGATCAATCCGGTTGGTCTCCATAAAAAAAAAAGCCCCCTCCAAAACAAGGAAACGTACATGGAGCGCAGGACGGCAAAGACTTGCGAATACGCCTTGAGTGCGACCTGACTGAGCAGCTTTTCTCTTGCATCTTTTCTGATATGGAAATCGAGGAGAAGGCCATGGGTCTAGGACATCGGATTAGCTTTGCCATAATTCAAGAGTCTCACGGCAAATAAACCACAACAAACCTCGGGATAGGCAAGAGCCGAAGATAGAAACTTGGGGAAGAACCACTGGAGAAACAAGTACTCTAGGAAACGGCCACGAAGGTCAGGGTGGCTCAATTTGCGCAGGATGGCGCGGGCCAATTTCATCGCTGCATGAGGAAAGCCTGCGTCGGGGTCATCAAGAAGTTTAAGCAAGGCATCAACAGCGGAGGCAAAGAATTCCTCTGCTACGTCAGTTTTCAGCGGATCCAGGAACTCGGCATCAAAGCCCAGACCAGCGGGGGGTTCTATATGTTCCAGGAGAAATGCGCCAGTCTGGAGGATGTCCATCAGGTAAAGTTCAAATTTTGGTTTGACTTTCCAGGTACTACCCATAGACCAGGATGAGAGGATGTGGCCGATGAGCGGATAGAATCTATTCCCTCCTCCTTGGGTGATCAGATTGGCACAAACAGAAGACCAAACATCCAGGCGAAGGCGAGCCTCGGCAGATTCAGAGTCCAAGGGCGCAGCAAAACAATTGAAGACCAAGGTGGAGAGAGCGTCCGTCCGCTCGAAAGTGAGGGCATGATCTCTGAAAGGAAGGGATGCCGCAGAAGAGCGCTTGGGCAACGCGTATTGGCTCCGGGAGCGGGACGCAGACGGGAAGAGGTAATCATTGGAATCCAGGAAAGGGGCGGCTGAAGATACCAAGGCATTCAGCTGAGCGGATGTCAAACGGCACAATCGCTCACACAGAAACTGGGGATCAGTTCGGACCAGTTGCAAAATGTCAAGAAGATCGGTCCGTGACTGTGGACTCAGCTGCAAATAGAAATCCGAGGGACGATCCACGGCAGATTCCTGTGCGGATGACCAGTCTTCCGATGGGTCCTGCCGATGGAAGTGGCGACGCATGGTGAAATCATGAGAGTCCTGGAGATCCAAGAGGGTATGATACAGGGTAATGAAGTTGGCCTTGTCCTCATTCTTCAAGCTGTCGACCAAGCCGCGCTGTACGACCGCTCCGACGCGAAGCAAGCGCGCAGAGATACCGATGGAAATCTTGGTGGCATGGAGACGATTTTCCAAAACTTTGCGCCGAGCCTGCTTGTGTTGATTCTGGCGGTAACGGATCGCGAAGTCCTCAAATGAGACCTTTGGTATCTCCGTGGGTACGGATGGGGTTGCCGTAGGAAGTCGTGATTCCATTGGATGGCCATCATCCGAATCGACGGGGGTTGCGATAAATTGCGAGCTGGAATGGCTCGAGTCCTCTGACTCACCTGTAGTCAGACCAACCTTTGATGCGAGGGAGTGATCAACGCTCCCATCATTGGGAATGAGCAGCATGGGAGACATGCTGGGAATTGCAGGAGCAGCAGCAGCAGCAGCAGCGGACAACTGCGCCGCTGGGGGAGAATCTTGCGCGCGAGACACGGGTTCACATATTGGAGCAGCCCGAGATGATGAGAAGGGTAAGAGAGCTGAAAGTAGAAGGAAACGAGAGGACGAGGGTTGGGAATCAGCACTGAGATTTCATTATTTTTGCGGGGGAGAGACTGGACAGAAAAGAGAAGCCAGGAGCGAACTCTTCGCTTTTTTTTTTTTCTTCAGAAAAGGGGGGGGGAAAAAAGCCCCTTGTTCGTCTGAATAGAAGAGGAAGAAGAAGAAAAAAAAAGCAAAAAACAGGGGCAAAGGGGTAATAGCGCACTTACAGGTCACATAAGAAGCCAGAGTTGACGACAAACCATCGCGTTGGGCATCGAACATGATGTTGCCATAGGCAGTGTCCTGGCCACCCAGCCAAGAGGACAGTGAAGATCGCAAGATGGCCCTGGCGCCGCAAACCTCCTTCCTAGCGCATGGTTCTGCTAGACGACTCGAATGGATTGGAAACTGGCCCTCATGGGAATCGTGATCCAGACGATGCAGAGGCCCGTTCAATACTGCCGACCGATCCAGAGTGAGGTGGGAGGCGGGATTTGGCGAAGAGCGCAGAGACAATGCGGGGGTGGTGAGCTCGCCAGTATTTTATAGATAGACAGACAGAAGAGTAGAAAGAAAGAATTTCGCTTATGAATTAGAATGATCAAGATTGGGCAATAGTTGAAGCCGACAAGGATTTATTATTGATGATCAAATGAACGGGGAAAGGAGAGGCTTGGAGTGAAGAGAGAGATGAAGAGAGATGGGAATATCGAAATGCGATGTGATGTGATGTGATGTGACGCGATGCGATGCGATGCGATGCGATGTTAGGTTTCATTCACGTTGGACCAGAAGAAGGAAGGGCCCCAGGAGAATTAATATTAAAAGGGAGTCGAATGGACGACAACCAGACAGCAGGAAGGATGCAGGGTGAGTTTTTTAACTCCGATTTGACAACGTTGACAGGCGGGTTCTGCAGGAGAGGAGGAGGAGGAAGAAGAAGAAGAAGAAGAGGAGGAGGAGGAGGAGGAGGAGGGAGAACAGAAGAAATAAGAATAGCTAAAGGATCAGGACAATAAGCAAGCAAGCAAGAAAGAAAGAAAGAAAGAAAGAAAGAATAGTAGAAGACTGACTTCCGAGATGTGACATGCAGAGAGAGAGAGAGAGAGAAAAAGATGAGATGACTTGACTGCCAACAAATCACTCTTACTTCTACTAGATACTACTACTAAGGTAGTTAGTTAAAGTACAGCTACTATACACACACTCTCTCTCTATGACATCTTTCCTTTCTACACATGCATGATTCTTCTTTCTGGAGGTATCATCTCCTTTGTTGTCGACATAAATTAAGAAGTATCCCTATAGTTTAGTAGTTAGTAGTAGGTACCGTTACCGAGATATGTTGTTCGAGTATGGAGGAGTATCAAGGCCTCAAACACCCTCCCCCCCCAACCAGTCAGTTACTTATTTATGACAATCCCCATAGAAAATGTAGAGAATAGACTATCCCCCTCGTTCATCTCGCAGATTATTTATCTCAAGCCTGGACAGGATGACTCGAATCGGGTCGCTTGATCGCCTGGCTGAACATGCAAGCGAGCGACAGAGGATGGGGTCGAATGAGAAACCACTGTTGATATCTTTTTTTTTTTTTTTTTTTTTTACTTTTTTTCCCTCTGGCGAGCCACCCAGCCGGACAGATTCTTCTTTCCTGTCTTGAGAAGGGTCTCTGTGCAGACTTGCAGACTGACAGACTGAGTGACAGGCAGACTGACTGACTGAACATGGAAAGGAATTCGATGTGTTGGCACTGCATGCATGGCGAGTTGTCCCTGTCTGGGGCGCTGATTGGCCTTGGTTTTGCCCCCTCTCTCTCGAATTAGAGGATTCGAGTCACCGACTGGATGCGCGAGAACTAACTAGTGAGAGCCTGAGACTGGAAGTTCAAGAAGTCATCCTGGGCGAGGGGCAGCAGGTATTCTCCGGCAGCAGATGAGGGTTTCTTGATTAGTGATTCGACAGGATTCATTTAATAAGAAGAAGAAGAAGAAGAGAAATGCTCCGACCATGGCTCAGTGTCTCTCTCTCAAATCTCAATAATATGTCTCCTACGGAGTATATGCTAATAATAAAGAAATACTAAGCCAGACTGACTCAGATGGCACGTGTCCCATTGAACAACTCAGCCAGGCTAACTGGATTAGGTCATCACCAGCCACCGCCTGAGGCAAGTTCAGCTTGAACTTGATAATGTACAGTTAACAGTACTGTCAGTACAGCAGTGGGTTGAATCTGGACAGCTGAATGTGCTACTCCGTAGAGTACCTTATTATTAAGAGGTACAGGTGGCTTTCCAATATTATTATTAATAATACGCCATGAAACGAACAATCGGTGTTGTCGCTAAGTCACTTCTAAAGCAGCACGTGATGGCTCTCTGTCATCCTCTCGACTTCACCTCTACTACTACCACCAAGTAATTGTAAGGGTTGTCACACATGCGCCCAGCCATGGGCAACAACAACCTGCATCTCATCAATCAAGCAAAACGTCCCTGGCTCTCGGATGCCATCATGATTCCGTCCCCACTCAGCCACCTTCCGCTGGATGCGCGACTTCTTGATTCTCACTAACCACCCAGTGAACCAGCGCCGTAGTCTGTTCCCCCAGAGCGCCAGAGCAACTGGCTGCGGCTGCGGCTGCTGCGTGAGCCATGTCGTGGACGGGTGGACGGCCGCATACGCCAGGTCGTTGTAACCAACCCGGACTTGAGGATTCAGGTACACCCCGTGCGTCCGGGAAAGGGGATTGTCGGCGTGGATCAGACAGCATTCTGAAGCCTCGAGGTGGAGTTGGGCTAGGGAGTCAGGGATCCCGCGGAACCGCAGAGCAGGGGTGGACAGGAAAGGTTCTACCGGCATGGCCACTGTCGCGGGGGAAACCGAGGGGAAACTTGTGATCAGTAAAACAGAGTGAACTGGGGAAAAGGAACTCACCCATGCCGTTCCAGCAACTTCGCACCGGTACAGGAGCCATGACGAGAAGCGGGTCCCGTGAAGCCGTCGCGCGGAAATATGGCCATGTCTGCGTGAGATGTTCGTCGCCGTTGGCATCGCGGAGCGCAAAGGTGTCATATAGAGCGGGGCTTGGGAGAAGTCCAACGAGCATGCTGCGGCATAGTTCCCACCGTTGGTGTTGAGAAGGGTGAGCACATCATTGACCTGTGAATGGTCGAAGGATTAGCCTGGAGGAACTCCTCTCTCTCTCTCTCTCTCTCTCTCTCTCTCTCTCTCTCTGTGCAGTATTGAGTGGAAGTGATGGGGATAATCCTACCGTGAACACCACATCATTCAGAAAAAGCACCTTGTCAAACACGATGCCCTGGCGCGCGAGATCCTCCAGCGGCCGCAGCGAGAGATTGCGCGGGCGAGCCAGATATGGAATCCGGCGCAGCTCCCTCTGACCCCGGGACGTGTCGATCCACCCGGCCCCTCTCAACGCCGGTGCCACAGAGATCTCATCCTGATGCGTTATCTCGGAGAGCGTGATATTGCGCCGCACACCGAGGCGATCAAGCTGCGCATCAAGGGCCCGAAGCGCCCCCTTACTATCATCCCAGCTGCCGCTCTCGTACACGCTCACGAAGACCCGGTCCGGACCGAGGCTCGTCGCCAGCTGGACCACGGCGTCGTTCCAGTGGCTGCGCAAGATGGCTTCGTTGTTCCAGTGCGTGCTTGCGATGAAGATGCGCTCGGCCGACGCCTGTCCCGTCCCGTCATTGTACCGCGCCAGCTGATGCTGGGTGCTGTCGACCACCGCCACGCGATGGTAGACATAGAGCGCCTCGAAGACCGTCCAGAGCACGCTGCATATCAGGGCACCCACTAATAGACGGCGGCGGAGAGAGAATCGGCGGAAGAGCCCGCCATAGCCATAGCATCCCCTGCTACGATAGGGGCCGCGTTTTTGAAACATCAGACCGATTATAAACACAGCTGGCACTGCTCATGTCTTCGACGCACAGGAAGGCGGCTGCTTTTGCCATGGATCAAGTGAAATTCGGTCAGCTCGATTCCTGGGCGGTCTTCAGGTCCTGGAATAGGGGACACTAATTGAGAAGGTAAAACATCGCCTGTACTCATTTAGTTACACATTTGCATGATTATCAGACTAGTTAGAGGCATATTATTATTACCCCTGGACTTATCTGTATCTAGTTGGACGCTTTTTTTTTTTTTTTTTTTCAGCTCAATAGCGCCCAGCCATCTTGGCGTCTGTTAGAATCCTTGGGATAGTAAATTCCCCGTATACAGCTAGCTAGTGTGCAATTCATAGTGAGCTGCATGCGTCGATGGAAGCAAGCGGAATGCTACCTAAGAGTTTCTACTTGCTACTACACAATAATCTTCCTCACTAATATACATACTCCACACTCAGTATTTTTAATCCACCGAGGGACCACTATACCTGGATATCACTATGCCTAGGAATTGCTACGCCTAGAGATCTGGATATTGACTATGCCCAGGGGGCTCAGCTTCGATAATCTATATATATGTATTGAACCTGACCCCAGCTGCGGATTCAAGAAAAAGGAAAAAAAAAAGATACCACCCAGCATATCTACATATACGTATAGGAAACAACGAGATCGCATTCAAGGGAAGTGTCGAAACTCGCCAGGCATTCCGCTGACGTTGTGGCCCGGGAATTTGGCAGTCGAAAGGCCATTGAGCAGGATGGTTGGTGCCGCATCGCTTTTCCACCCGCAATGGCTAGAGACAGCACGCTAATGATCACTTCATGACGAGCATTGTCAGGGTATGAATCGCCAAAGGAGGAGCGGTTCCCTCTGGCCGTGTTAAAGACTACAGAAAGGCTGGTCGAAGATCGGATCCAATCTCTCGTTGTTCATACATAGTAGTTCTACTGTGGAGTCCCCTGGTCAGGTTGTCAACTAACAATAACATGTAACGATTTCGCCTGCTGCATGTCGCTCATGTATAATCCACCATATACTGTAGGTGTTCTTGATTAGGGGTAATCGTCAACTGGAACCTCGCGGTTGTCCTGCCGCTGGCCGGCTCGAAAGACGGTCTTCTCCCGTCGCGCAAATGGATATATCGTCAGTCGGTAAGTCAATCGCAAGCGCTCTGACACAAACAGATCAATGAAAAAGAATCGGTCTTCTGTCCCTCTTTCTGAAAATTTCCTCGACGCCACCCCAGCGCCATCCCTTCCTCCCCTTCTTTGCAGAGCGGTCGTGGTGTCGTCCTGCGGTTCCACGATGGTCGACGGCCACAACGACATAGGCAATACACAGTACAGGTTCCCGAGATGGCATCCCGTGCAAGCCCATTTATTCTTTGCATACCCATTTCTTGTCCGCCTCTTTCTGTCCGACGCGTGTGGCCACCTGATTCAACGTCTCCTTCAGAACGTCCTTGGACACCTTGGGAAATCTAAAAAAAAAAAAACAAATGTTCCCCGTTAACAACACAGATTCACAGTAAGCTCACTCGCGAAGAGCCGTCCTACCTTTTCTTCAGAACCTCGATTAAACCGGTCTTGGTCAGATCGCTGCCATTCACCGCCTGCTTGAATTCGGCAAGCTGCTCCGGTGTCAATGCGCGCTTTGCTTTCCCGCCTGCGGTCAACAGCGTCGGCGCGGCTCCCTCAACCATCGACGCAACCGTCTGAGACTGAGTGCTGGCTGGAATAACCATGAAAGAATGGAGGGTGGAGCGTCCCGCGACCCCCGTGGGGGTATGCTCGGTGGGTTTGGGCTTCTCCCAATACGCCGTCGAGAATGGATCAATAGGAAGCGATACCGAATCCGATACCGTCTGGATCTTGTACATTTCCAGATCTTGTTCGTCCGTTTCGCCTTGCCAGCGTAGACCGGTGCACACAGGTTCCAAGTCGCCGACGAGAAGCCGTCGCTTGCCGTCAATCAGGCCATCATCGTCATCGTCCAGGAATCCATCCATATCATCTTCGCCCTCATCGCTTCCCTCTTCTTCTTCTTCCGACTCAAGGTCTTCGCCCTCCTCCGGCTCCTCCCATTCGGCTTCAGAGTCATAATCGTAATTGGCCTCGGGAAGTCCGCGGTGAAAGGGATTGCGCATGAGTTTGTGAGCGACAGCTTCAGGGACCGTCTGAGTAAAAGTACCCTGATATGGGGGTCGTACATCTTCCCCGAACTTCAACGATTTCATTCTGATTTCCTTCAGTAGCTTCTGCGGTCGTAGAGAGCAATCGGATCCAGGTTGGTCGTTCTGTGTCTGCATTTCCAAGAGAATGTCCTTGACAGACGCAGCCTGCCTACCACGCCGTCGCTTGTATGGCATAATCTGGAATATTTCCGACGGGCGTAATGATAGAGGCTGTACGGAACCATTCGTATTCGATTTCAGACAGACATCAACGCGCTCCCGTATGTGAGAAAGAGCCTGGGAATCGTGTTGAAATCTATGCGGGGGGGCGACTGTAGTGTGGGACTGTAAAAAGAAATCTGGGAACTCGCGTTGATAATCAGATCGAGCTGTCGCAGACTTCTGAGGACTTGGGGCCGAGGATGCGTCCCCAGCTACAGGTTTCTTTGGAGATTCACTGGCGCGAGTATTGCCCACTTGTGCTGGAGTTTTCGGTTTCGCAAAGAACGCATTTAGCTTTGTTTGCGCCTGGTTCAAGGTTAGCTTGAGTTCACGACATAATTGACTTGAGGGTAACCTGTCGGTTATCAAACGCTTACCCGTTCCTTCTTTAACTTTTCCTCTTCCTTTTTGCGCTTCTCTTCATCTTTAGCGGCCTTTTCTTCTTCCTTCAGTTTTTTCTTTTCGTCTCGTCGCTTTCGCTCTTCCTCTCGTTCAGCCTCGCGCTTCTTCTTCTCTTCTTCCTTGATGCGTTTTTCCTCTTCTTTCTTAGCTTTTTCTTCTAATCTCTGCCGCTCCTTCGCTTCCTTCTCCTGTTGTTTAGCCTCCTTTTCTTGCTGTTTGGCCGCCTTTTCCTGCTGTTTCGCTTCCTTGCTCGCGGGCGAGAGCTTCCTCTTCTTTACGGGTGGTGTTGAAGCGTCGTTCGTGTTCGGGGTCGACGGTTGAGTGTTGGATGAGTAAGAATCCATCATGGTCCGTGACACTGGAATGGTTACTGATACAGACCCCACCGGCGTACTCTGCTGTGCAGTATTCTGTGTGTTCGTAGCGCCAGCATGAGGAGAACCTGGCGTGGAGGCTAGATGGGGACCAGATAGGCTGCTCGAGTCCGTATGTGTATTTGAGGTTTTGGTAGCGATGGAGGGGGTGGGCGAATGTGATATTGAGGGGTCTCTGTTTTCCTGATTCTCATGATCGCCGATCTTCAGAGACTTCCTGCTCTCTGGGGAGCCCGTCGAGGTGTCAATCTCTTGGACTGAACGCTTCCTTGACCCGGTTGGGGACGCGGCATATGTCTGTGGAGGGAGGGGCGAGAGACCCGAGCTGTTGTCCATGGATATTTCCATCCTTGCCTTGCACCTAATTCTGAGAGCGTTGAAAATGGCGCTGGTAATCTTCAATGGGTTGATATCGACTGGTCAATACTGACGAAAGTCCACGATTTTCTGCGACACGGAGTCGGCGGTTCTGGGAGTCTACTAGGGTGTTGAGGGATAGAAAGTTGAAGGATATCTAGAGCATTGATGAAATCCGAGCACATAAAAGCAGCATCACCGTCCTGTCCGTGGCCCTTTCGTAAGGGGTTCGATCATTGGAACGTTGGTGGAGGACAACTTTGCCCTGCCAAGTTGCCCAACACGCGTTAATTGGAAGTTCGCGCCATCTTCGCGTTGCTTCAGGCGGAGAGCACGTGCTTTTGATGCCGCTTTAACAGTATTGCTGGTTTTGTATTAGCTCTTGCTGTTTTTAACTATTTGTTTGTTGGGCTTCAGTTCGAAGTTATTCCTCTACTCCTCCACAGCTCAGGATGGTTATAACATGGTCTGTTCCGCTACATGCTGACTACTTAAGTCTGCAAACCCTGCTTGAATACATTGTCACAACGATAAGTGCTGCCTCATCGCTACCGTCTCATACTGCCTTGACATCATCACAGTCCGTCGTTGCAATGATCTCCCCCCAAGTATCCAACATGTCTTGCTCTTTTGCCAGACTTTGACCAATGACATGGATTGCATCTCTTCCCACAGCTAGTCTCGCTGGAAGTTTCCGTCCCTGACACCTCCCCGTCCTTGTCAATGCCTCAACAATGAGTTGGGCTCCCTTGACAGGATCCCCAGGCTGTTGGCGGTTATAAGCGTCAAGTGCTTGCCTTGCTGCACTGGTGACTTCACTCAATTCCGGGATGCGGTTTTGGGCAATGACCCTGTGCCCACCTGTCAGGAACGAGGTGCGGAAGTATCCCGGCTCGATGCACACGACGTCGATGTTGAATGGAGCCATTTCCCAATGCAGAGCCTCGGTGTAGATGGCCACTGCAGCTTTCGACGCACAATAAAATCCAGCAGCTGGTGTGCCTCTCCAGCCGCCGATGCTTCCAAGATTGGCAACGACGCCGGACCGTCGGGCGCGCATGGAGGGCAGGACTGCGCGCAGCAGGCGGATTTGGGAGAAGACGTTGACGGAGAACTGGTCTTCGATTTCTTCGTTGCTAGTGTACTTATTAGAGTCCTCATTGTCTTTCCAAAAAAAAAAAAAAAAAGCCAAGCCTTACCTGCACTCCTCCCCGGCTCCCTCTAGGATGTAGCCCGCATTGTTCACCAGGATGTCAATAGGTCCGACGGTAGATAGTATGTCCTCAATGAACCTCTGGATCTCGGCATCGTCCGCCTGCACATCCAATCTGCGAGGGATAACCCCAAGCTCCTTGAGATCCGCTAGCTTGGACGGATCACGAGAGGTCGCGATAACAGTATCATGGTTCCTGGCCGCCGCAAGGGCAAGTTCTCGACCGAAGCCGGACGAATAGCCAGTGATGAGCCAAGTCCGAGGCATCTTGTGTCTGTCTTCTATGTATAAGAATCCAAGAGAGGTGTCAATTGATATCCGGGGTAGTTAGTCTCCAGACACATTCGTTTGCTTTAATACATGCTCATTTGTGATCCTATATGCGGAGTTACTTGATAGCTTAAGTCCGATCTGCGCCAAGCTGTCATCGTCTTCCCTGTTCCCATGTATGCGGCTTACTCGCCTGCAAGCAATATGCATGCTGATTCCCATCGGAGATTATCTTGAGCCAATAGTCTATGGAGCAGCGCTGGACTCCTAGAATGGACTCCCAAAACTTCTAATCCAGTTGGGATTGCTACGTATGAGGGCGTCTATTCCACCCGGTCCCAGTCAGCCCTAATCAAGATTCAAGGCATGAAGCCAAACGAACTATAGAATACCCACTGTCGACCTCGCAGCCTTTTTCTTGCACCAGAGGGAGTCCAAGAGCATCACGATCAACCTGCAATTCCCACGCGTCGCTTGCCTCTGGTCCAGCTCGAGCAGAATGAGCGCAAGGCCACGCAACTGCATATGGTTCCTCCCAAATAGTCATTTCCATTTGGCCTTTTTTTTTGGTTCATTTCAAGCGTGAGTGCATGCTCGACCACCTCGACAGCGACGACTAGAGGTTCTCCTGTCTCCCCTGGGTCAGGCTTGTGGTCTGATGCTCATAGCCAGCAATTGACCGGGTAATGATCCGCGAGAAATGCCAATCCAAGCATCATCGCGCTCACAGCGACGGCCAAACACTGGACTGGGGATGGGAAGATCACGGTGTCGTGAATATAGGTATCCTGTATGCTTTCCGTGACTCACATATAAACTCAGCTCCCGGACCTCCCAGTTCCGATAGCAGATTTCCCAGATGGGAGAGTGAGCACCACATCGCAGGCGATAAAGAAAAAGCAAATCGTCATTTCTGAGCACCTCTTCTCGCCCTGATGGTGGAAACATGACGTCGGGGAAATATGTCCCCCGCCGTCGAACATCCATAGACAGCCAAGAGGTTGTCGCTTTCATCTTGAATCGCAATTCGAGGCTCTGCTCCTCAGTCCATAGAAGGCACCAGAATCCGACAAGCAGATGGCACCACCAGAGCCGGCAGCGCATATCAATCTCGAAGGGACTGAAGCCAGCCCCGTCCTGGTCCTGATGAGGGCCAATCCCCCTTCCACCCCCGCGCATCGCACTTCGCACAAGGGACGCCACGGCTCTTGCTCCTACTATCAACTGAACTCTGCGCCTTAGTCAACCTCGTCAACTGATGTCACGGTAACTGCTTCGGCAGGACGTCTGCATGGCTGTTGATTTCCGCAGGCGGGATTCTTCGTCACGATACAGTGGAGAGACACTTTCGAGCTTGGGATCATGTGATACTGATACTGAGCCTTGAGTTTCAGGCCGAGTCTGGCTTTCAAGAGAGATGCAAGGGGGAGCAGCGGGCTGTCGTGCTGCTATAAAAAGATGTAGAAGGGTCGGATGGGTTCGCGATTGTGGAGTGAGATGTTGAATCGTGGACAGCGCACTAAAATTACAACAATATCATCAGGTGTGAAGCGATGAATTTACTCTCCTCGAGTGTTTCAAGTCATGTTGACTTTTTCCCTTTCGAATCCTGCTAAGGGGGGGGGGGGGGTGACGGTCTGTGTGCCTGAGGCAGAGTCGCATTTTGTGATATATCTAACTGAATACGCTGGCAGGACAGGGATCAGGTATGGGCTTTGAGTTGAGAGGTAAAGAGTCGAGTAAAGAGTAAGAGTATCTCTGTGATATTTGACTCAAATATAGGATAAAGAGTCGATCTGAACAGATTCTCAAGAAAATTCGGCTCTGTTGTCTCTGTCGCTGCCCACATTGAGAAATGGCACGTAAATTCCTGTCTGATTCACAGAATATTGAATGGAAGCCTATAAACATGTACATCCATGATATTAAGATTAATGACTCTGCTCATAATATTGGTATAAAGACGCCCAAGAGTGCAAGAGATAAAAGATACACACAGCCAACAGATGCATATGTGATGAACAGAGCTGTCGACGAATCGCGCGGCCAGAAGGACAAGACGAATGGAAAACCAGATAGAATAAGGGCGATTCAAGCCTCCAAGCAGATAAAGATTCTTCAGAACACTGTACAATGGTTATTCCTTTGGGAAAAGACCACAGGAAAGTCGATCGAAGCATCATCCAGGCACCCAAAGGATTGACGCTTTGTAGGAAAGAGGATAAAAGAGGATAGAGAGAAAGAACCAAAGAAGAGGAGATATAGAGAAGGCCAAGCAAGCAGAGACGCGGCGTTACTTTTTTATGCCCGGCATAAACGTGGGTAATGAGTCCTGCTTATAGATCCCAGCCCGGCAGTCTGCGAGTGACACCGAACCCCGTGGTCACCCGGAAAAAAATAAAAAGAAAGAAAAGAAGATGAAATGACGACAGGTCAGTCACTCAAATCCGGGTTCGCGATGAAGAGTCGCACATTGGTCATCGAGGTGGTCCGCTCATCCACACTACCCCGACGCCGCAGTTCATCCGCCCTGCGAGCTTTCTGAGCCGCAGTGACGGCGGAACTGGGCGCAGCCATGTCGCCCACCGACCCAAAGCTATCTTCTTGCTCACTGGTCCTGCTATGGCTGGTCGCCGCGTCATCCTTCGCAGACGCGTCTTTGGCTTCCTCATGGCTCTCCGCCGGAGGATTCTCCGAGACGTTGGGGAGGTCAGCTCTTTCGTTCGGCGGTGTGTTATTGCTTCCCATCGTGCCTTGCGACGTTCGCTGGTAGCCACTGGGATAGCGGTAGTTGCTACCAAGCGAGCTGCGGCCACTCCCGGTGCGGCGATGCGGGAAACCACTTTCGCTCAGTGCATCATCGTCCGCGTCGCCCACCTCATTGGCACTCAGTCGGACCGGAACGGTCGCCCCGACCAGGGTGGAAGCCGAGAATTCCGTGACTCCCTTGCTTCCATGTTTGTTCTTCCCACTTCCCAGGGTGCCTGTGCGTCCAGCGCCAGCGCCGTGGACTTCCAGGTAAGCCCTCTTCTTATCTACCAGCTTCTGGGCGCGAACTCGGGGATCTTCGGGCTGAGCCCGGTCACACCAGACGGTTGCCTTCTGCCTCCGCAGAAGAGCCACATAACCGAGTTGTGCGTTGGTGGATCGGGACGACGTACTCCGGCGGATGTCGGAGGCGTAATTGTTGCTGGTCGAGCTGGTGGAGGTGGTGGCACTGGACAGCCGCCTCGACGGGTGGCTGACTTGGCTGGTCATGGTGTAATGCGGTGACGGACTGCCGCCATATTGCTTTTGTTGTGTCGCGTAGGGGAGTACACTGGAGGAGGAGGTTCGGTTGCGGCTGTGAGCCATGGCGTGGCCAGAGGGATGGGGGGACAGCTGTTGCTGTGGTTGCTGCGGATGAGCATCATAGGGTTGAAACGGATACCCGCGATGCGAGGCTGGGACGGGCTTTCTGTGAGGCGCCTGATGGATTGGGAGTCGATAATCAGTCATGGTTGGCGGAGCTTGCACACCAGCCATGTAGGTCCGACAAGAGGAGGAGGGGGGGGGGGAAGAGAGAGAGAGATGGAGGGCGAGTTGCACGGTATCGATGATTAAGATCGGGTACAAGACGTTTCAGCGGGATCCGACGCAATTGCAAGGAGGTCTATTTCTTCCGGAGTTCGAGGGATGCGAAGAGTCCAAGCAAGGGAAGTCGAAGTGTCTCGTTCGCACGACGATGAATGGATGGATCAGCGAATGGCCAGTGGCTCAGTCGTTGGACATGCAGCGTTTATCCGGGCGGCTGCAACAGGGGTAGGAAAGTGGCTGCCACGAATGAATTGTGTTAAGGGAGAAGACTCGACGACAAAGCAGGCACCCGGCGATCCGACAGGTTTCGAAGCGCCCAGTCTTTGTCCAGATAAAAAGGTAGAGGAGGGGGAAGCAGCTGACGCCGTGAGGAGTAGCAGGAGGGAGACGATTAGGCCGCTTTGGGAAACGAGCACGAGGGAGGGACTTGGCGCTCTGGGACAGGTATCGTATCTTATCTGAGTTTGCAACTCAGAAACACACCTTCTCGAAGAAGAATCACGAAAGACGCGGGGGGGGGAGGAGGGGAAGATCAAGTGTGTGATGGGTGAGGGTGATGGCAGGGAAAAAAGATGAGATGACAAGATCAAGAGCAAGGGAACAACAGCAACATAAAGGTCGAACAACGTTGTTGCTGCACTGACCGGTCGGCCGATGAGCGAAGGAAGACGAACGAAGCGGAAGAAAAAGAGTTTGTTTCGGTCTTGAAACCTGCGTACTGGTACCGAATAATACGAGTATGGAGCATGTATCAGCACAGCCACATGTTTCAACCACTCGATCTCCATTCACCATCTGAGACTTGAAGCATTCCAGCACATCAAATCTGAGTCGTTTCTGATCCTAGTTGATGGTACTACCGTTGAAACAGACAGCTATTAGCCTATTACCAGGATTTTCAAGAAGAAAGGGAAAAAAAAAAAAAAAAAAAAAGAATGAAAGACACATCACAATGAAGTCATGACTGGAGAGGATCTGAAGCCAAAACAACGATGGGGCATGGAGTACCCCTGGACCATCGATACTGTATACCTAGGTACATCAGTTGACAAACAAGGGCTTTTGTGCCTGCTTTAATCCCGACAATATTTACAACTCTGTAGATAACTCAAGATCTGAGTTCGGCTCCCAAGCCGCTGGGCTCTCGTGATCCTCTTGACACATTTAAAAAAACGTCCCGACTCCCAAGTCAAAAACCAATGAATCTGTCTGCTGTCAAAGTGGCATGCAGGGCTACTCCAGAGTCCAGTCATACGGCGTGGATAGGGCACGCACCACCGAATAACGCCTGTTGAGGAACTTTTGAGGCTGCTGATACTGATAGCGTATCCGTGGTTCGAGTGTCATCAGCACAGTCCTGCGCCACAGCTAGACACGTGGGGGTGTTCCGTAATTTACAGCTGGGCTGGTACGGAGTACACCGTGCTTCTACTGCATAAGTAGGTACATCGATAGTAGGTATGGTTCCATGTCAGTGAGAACTCCAACGGAATACATGAAGCCAACTCTAAGAGAATTGACGTTCCCTGAGTGATAAGCTGACAAACAAACAAACACAGTTAGTAATTAATATTTCCTAGATAGATAGATACTCCTCGATACCCAACTCCGATGCTACTCAGAGTAAGTTGCTACCTGCTCCGATACCTTGGGAAGATCCTTTGGGGAAACGGGAACAGGGCTGGTATTATTTTTTCTTCTTGGTTTTAGGCCAAAAAAACCACAGATCATGACGTCGACTACTCCACCAAGTGGGTGAAACAACCGGAAGCACGGAAAAGGGGTTTTTTTTTTCTTCTCTGTTTCTATCACTACTGGGGTAGATGAGTATAGACCATAGAGTATCAATCATCAAAGAGAGACTCTTAAGTTGTCCCTCTACTGATTCGGAAGAATGGGAATCTTGTGGATTGTCAGGAACTGGAACTACAACATCACCACCTCATCAGGCACCCCGGGGTGAATGTCACCTCAACCCAATCTTGGTCCTGCGGTATCTTTCAAACCCTGACCTGATAGTCTAATCCGGGCAGTCCTGCAGATATACCAATCTATCTATCTATCTATCAACCAGGGATCAGTCATCTTGGTACCCATCTTGTAGTTGTAGCAACTAGCAAGTCGATAGGTAGTTAAGCCTTGAGTATCTAGATACTCCATACAAAGTACTTTCGATCGTTCTTGTTGTACGGAGTAGGTACAGAGTAATACCAGAAGTACCCATATGACGTGACCATTACCTGATACCATAGGTAAGTCACCATATCATAATCATAATCATAACAATCAGCCCAGTGGAGAGTCATCGCAACAATTCCGCATGTTACATTCATATTTCAGCCGCTGTAACATCTCCCGCACCCGTTGACGGAAATGGTAAGGTCGGTCTCCAGCTAGTACTGTATCCGTACTAGTTACTCGTTCCCCCGCCCCAGTTTCGATGCATTTTTCAGCTCGCCATGTCATGGACCATGGTAGACTAGACTACAGCCCGACTGTTGACTGTTCGACTGTCGAGTAAAGGTACCTGACCGTACTCCGTAGTACATACTCTGTACATACTGTACTCTGTAGATTATTGGGTTGAAAAGTACCGTACTGACTGTATTTGTACCTTGCCTGCTGGATCGGACGCTCCGTGCCTACATGCAGGATTTTATGCGTCTCTGAGGGTTTTTTTTTATGTTCCTTAGGTAAGTACGTACATAAATTGGTCGGGGGAATTTTATACCGTGAAACAAACTCCCTGTTTCGTATTTTTGACTGGATATTTATAGATAGTGTACTCCGTAGTTAGACCTCGAAAGGGACCCCGTCACTCCATAGTCCATGCAGCTTTGCAGATATCATATTCTGTTGATCTGTTCGGCTTCAGGGTGGGGGAATTTTGTTTTAATACTGGCATCAGTGCGCGGATCACAGATTGCGAACTGCTAATTGCTGACAGTGACGGCTGCTGTGGCTGAAATCCGTTCTCGTGTTCACGGTTCATACAGCCCAAACTGGGAAAACCAATCGAGTCTCCTGATCCCGTCCCATAGCCCTACAAATGTCTCAAATCATATCGTGCCATGTCTTGTCTCCAACCAAGCTAGTTTCCTATTCCCCAAATTGAGGCAATCCATGTGACCGGGACTCCCACTGCCAATAATCAACCCGTGGAGGAAAAGACGCCGCTATAGTTTCGATGACTTCTTCCCATCCGTCTGCACGAATGTCCCGTCCGCGCGAACGTCAAAATCGCGTTCCTTCTGCCACCCCAGCCATGTCGCGAGGGTCTCTTGGCCGCAAGTACCGGGCACCAGCCCCCCTCCCGTCCATCCGCCATCGTCAGCAGGAATTGGAAGGCCCGGGGTATCAACCAGATGCACCGCGGGCCTGTGCTCGTAACCGCTGCGCTGCAACTCGTCTTGCTCCAGCACAGGCGTCGCACAGGCATCCGCCCCGTCAAAGATAGCCTCCCACTCCGCCCGGGTCTTCTCCCTGAATCGTTTCTCGAACGCGGCGCGCAGCGCAGGCCAGTTCGCCCGGTCCTCCCGTGCCGGCAGCTCATCCGGCGCGAACCCCAGCCCCTTGATCAACGCAGCGTAGAACTGCGGCTCCAGCGCCCCAACGGCAAAATACTTGCCCCGATCCTTGGTCTCGTATGTATCGTAGAAGGGGCTGCCCCCGTCCAGCATATTTTCCCCGCGGGGCTCGCTCCACATCGGCGTCTGCCGCGTCAGACGCGGCATGGTCGCGAGATACGCTGCCCCATCGACCATGTTTGCCTCGACGACCTGGCCGCGTCCGGAGCGAGTGCGCGCGAGGAGCGCCAGCAAGATACCCAGGAGACACATGGCGCCTCCGCCGGCGAAATCGCCTAGGAGGTTGCCCGGGGCGTAGGGCGGCTCGTTCTTCCGTCCGAGCATAGAGAGGACTCCCGACACCGCGATGTAGTTGATATCATGGCCCGCCATGTCCTTGTACTTGCCGTCGCGGCGGAAGCCGGTCATGCGGGCCACGATCAGGCGCGGGTTGTGTTTGAGGAGAACCCTGGAGGGAGAAAGGCCGAGGCGTTCTAGCACGCCCGGGCGGTAGGGGTCGATTAGGACATCGGCTTTGGAAAGGATGGAGAGGAGGACTCGGTGCGAGGCGGGGTCTCGGAGATCCAGGGTGATGGAGGTTTTGCGGCGAGTCAATTGATCTGCTGAGATGGCGTTGGGGCGATCGATGCGCAGCACCGTTGCGCCGTAGTCTGCGAGAAGGAGTCCTGCAAACGGGCCTTCATCCAGTCAGTCAGGCGTAACCTGGGGTATCTACGGCACAGTGAGGTTTCCAGACCTGGAGCTAGACCGGCCAGCTCAACGACCCGGACACCTGCAAGCGGGAGCGATGACGAGGTGGACATGATGGCTGTATGCACTTGCTTCAATTGAACTATTTACGGCCCTGCGCATTGCAGTCGATGATAGTGGCTCCCAGCGTTGAACCCGCAGCGCGACGTCGACATGGAATCAAAGCCAAGAGTGGTTGAAAGAATGGACAGTTTCTCCGCAGCCGAGGTCGAAGCCACGTGCGGGGAAGTAAACACTGCCGTGCAATTGAAGCTCATCTTTCTCTGGACTACTTTCAAGGGAGAATGCCAAATATAGTCCGTTCAATGCAATGTTGTTCATGCATTACTGCAGTGTAACGCAATCTATGCAGGAGTTCGGCCCGATTGACTCCAAGCATATCCAAACACGCGATAGTCCTAGTATAGCCCAAGATGGCCCCAGAAGCCAACGCAGCTTATAATATGAGATGCATCTACCAGTCATCTCTGCCCTCAGCGCGTCCCTCATCGTAAGCACCCCCCATCTCGTCGCCGAACCGTTCCACCGCGCCGACTCGGCGTCCAGCCCATCCGGCAACGTCCTCGGGGAAGTCCTCTACATCATCCACAGCATTGTCCCACTTGTTCTCGATACGGTCCTCGGTGCGATCCCAGCCCTGCTCGATATTCTCAGGGATCTGTTCGACTTCACCGACCTGGTAATTAGGGAGACGAAATGTTAGCAATGCCACCCACAGGAAAAAAAAAATCACCCAATAGCCTGAGCGTAGGGGGGAAAAAAAAGTCCCCAAACCTTTTCACCAGTCCATCTCGCCGCATCCTCAGGGAAATCCTCAACACCCTGCTCGAACCGCTCCTTGCGCTCGTCCCAGTCCTCATCTAAGCCCATGATAAGCACTCAAATCACCACTCCCACCCCAATCTTAGTAGTCGCAGCAAAACTTACGAATCTTCTCCCCCTCATGCATCAACAAGGCACCACCCGCCACACCAGCCGCAGCACCCATCGCCCCATACATCAGACTATGGTCCTTCTTCTGAGGCTGCTGCTGCTGCTGCTGCTGCTCATACTGCCGATACCCGCCGTCCTGCCCGTACGACTGCTGTCCATACGACCCACCAGCACCACCGCCACCATACGGCCGCTCCCAGCGCCGCTCCCCCGTCTGCTCATTCACGTAGAACCAGCGCCGGTCGCGATCATCCCAGCGCGCGACCCAGGGATACGGCAGATCCTGGGGCGGAGCGGGGCCCGAGCCGCCGCCATAGCTGGGTTGTTGGTTGTAGGACGGGTAGCCGCTGCCGTAGCCCTGGCTTGGCATTTGGTTGTTGTTGCTGCTGCCGCCGCCGACGACTTTGTCGAAGACTTTGCCTAGGAAGCCGTCCATGCTGGGTGTGAGTTAGGGAGATATTGCCGAGCCGGATTTTGGGAAGATTAGAGAAGTGTAAAAGGGTATTTGTTGTTTGCTCTATCTATGTCCTGACTGGACAGAGAAATCACAACAGGGGTCGATGGAGGGGAAGAGAGGGAATAAAAAACAAAAGGAAGAGGGTTGGGGGTTTCCCCTCGCGCCACAGCTTGGGTTCACAGCTCTTTAAATAATCATGGATAACAATAGCAATGGCTACTAACTAAATGGATCTAAATCATCTCTGTGCTTTGGAATCATGACAGCTAATCACCGTCCACGGATGAACCTGAGGCCACCCAGGCTGCTACAGCTGCCCCTCCAGCTGGGGGCTTAGCCCGCCAGACTCGCGCTTCCATTGGCTTGTTGTTGTTGGGAACTCCAGCCACACCGACCCCTGAATCTGCCTAAGGCAGGCTGTGGCGCAATTCGGGACCTAAATTCGCGCATCAGCGCATACAGTACCATACTGTACCATACCTAGGTGCCTAGGTGCCTAGGACCAAGATACTGGTGTCAGCATGATCATCATTCTCTAGATGGTGGCTCTCTAGGTAACCCGATTAGAGATGGGAATCATATTCATGGCTGCATCTCAATCTCTATTCTCTAAGTTGTATAGAGGTGTGGTGCAAAAGTCCCTACCATTAGAGTTGCATACCCGGGCCGCAAAAAGTCTACGTAGTATATAGCAGCTTCTAAAAGCTTAGCTAAATAGGCATATAGTCTAGGTTATTAAAATCATTAAATAGTATAGCAGGCTATATTAGTATGGAGGCTCTTACTACTATAGTACTAGAAGCCCCCTTCTTCTTCTTACTATCTATTACACTATAATAATCAGCAGTAGTAAGATAGACAAGCTAGTTAGTAACCACTCAGGTGGCAGTTAAATATAACTTTCAGCATTCTCCTGACCAAAAACAAATGGTAGGGGGTTTTTGGCGTTGGCCAGAGGTGTGTCTTTTTACTTACACCATCATTCGCTCGAAAGGCATTAATCTGCTCTAGTAAGGCACCGCCTAGATTTTCGATAGACTGTTTCGATAGGCTGCCCGGTAGTGTTGTATCATAACCGTACAGCAGTGCTCGGACATTGGGGAGGTCTTTAGGCAGAAAGTCGCGAAGCCAAACTTCGTCGCTGTTTGTGGATTTCCAGGAACCAAGGGCGTGGCTTCCTAGGCCAGGGACTGCAATTATGTTGTGGAGAAGAGTCAGTAAGGACGAGGACCGGCGGAAGTTGGCACGTACTCGACATCTGCTCCGCTCTCGTCCTCGTAGAGTGAGGTGATTCCATTGAATCTGCAAGTATAGCTATATGAGAAGCACTTTCCAGTTCGGTGCAGCCGGGAGCATAGATCCTCCCTAGATAGTGGAGTGGTAATAGAAACGGTAGCGCAGACGAAGCGCTTGTCTCTCTTGGCGTCAAAGAGTGACGAGACATGGGCTCACATGGCAGCAACAGCTCTCTGCAAGTCCGGGTCCTGCTCGGCAAAAGACCTAAGCTTGCGGTCTAGTTCATTAGCGTCTTTGATTAGGATATTATCGACACGAAAAGTCGGCTTCGGCTGTCGTGAGGGGTAGCTCGTTGGGACCTGCGGCTGACGACCATGTGACGCGAGCCGCACGTTCAGTGCTTGGTCCATGCCTTCCCACATAGTGAGGCTGTCGAGATTCTGGCTCATTCATATCACTGAATCCAGACGTCTCGAACAGCTTCGTGCTTGCTTTCTCACCGTGCTGGTGACCATGGTGGCATCAGGTGCAACACCGCCCTTCCTGTTTGCCCATCAATTAACACAGGAGCTGGACGGGCCGGCCCGACGCGTGCCTGACTGCCTGGACATTTCCGTGTTTCTCTGAAGACTGGATCAAAGAAACAGGGTGTAGGACTTGCTCGCTGAAGAATTCTGTTCGAACGACTTGGACCGCATTGCCAACAAACTTTGGTGGATGTCGAAACAAGATAGTGGCAACATATCCCCGAAAGGGACCAGGGACATTTCGGAGCTAGTTCAACTTCACCTATTCAGCAGACAATTTGCATTATGCTCCGATTCTGGCGGCAGTTGAGACCCCTTTCACCAGCAACACTGCGTCTTCGACTCGGCTGCCCCTCCCAGCGCAATCTATCCGACATGGGACACGAATCTTGCACAGTTTCACCACACCCCTTGTCCGACGGCTTATCCCAAGGAACATATTCGAAAGGGCCCACTCCACGTTAGTAGTACCATTTACTCTGGAGCGCGATAACCTAGAGAGGCATTGTTCTTGCTGACTCTACACTGAAGGCCATGATCTTTATTCTTATACTGGTGGAAGGTGGCTTAATCGGGACGAGCTCCAACGAAACTCTCGCCATATTCAGTTCGACTTCACTGCGCTCTGTGATAGGGCAATTCGTGTATGCCCAGGAGCAACCAAGGTTGTTGGGCATGAAAAGCGAGAGGGTGGGTTTAATAGAGTCTTTATTTTCACAATGGACAATGGGTCTTGTGTTGTGGCAAGGTTGCCAACCAGTATTGCTGGCCCACCAAAGTTAAGAACTAACTCAGAAGTCGCAACAATGACATATTGTAAGTATGATTCACATATCCTGCCTCTTAAAGATTTAGCTCCAATGCTCACTGATTATTATTTCATATAGTACAAACCAAGCTCTCGCTTCCGATACCGAAAGTCCTGGACTGGAATGATGATCAGTCAAATCCAATCGGCGCAGAGTATATCATCCAGGAGCATGTAATGGGTGTCCAGTTGCACCAGATATGGCCCAAAATGAATTCAGAACAACATATGCTATGCACAAAGATGCTTTCATTAGCAATAAAAAAGATGGCATCCCTGGACTTTCCAGCTTATGGTAGTCTATACTTCTCTGATGCACCGATAGACTCGAGCATAAAGGTTCCCTTCGAGCAGGGCTTCTGTATTGGGCCGAATTGCAGTCCGGTTTTCTGGAACCGGAATCCCGGGGAACTTGAACTCTACGGTGGTCCAAGTCCCAACTGCGGTCCCTGTTAGTTCTAGATGTTCTATCCTCTCTTCCACAACAGTACTAACGCAGAGTGGGAAAATTAGGGAAAGACCTTACAAGCTATTGTCTAGGCTTGATAGAGACCGGCTTCTCGCGTTTACCGAAGGAACCCGTCACCCACGAGCTTCTCCCTCATCAAGGGTCCGTTCAAGATCACATCCGTTTATTGAAAATCAGCCAAGAAGTGATGCAGAGGTTGGTTGAAGATAAACGCGTTCAGGATGCTGCTACTCCAACTCTGCTTCACCCCGATTTTCACATGAGGAATATCTTTGTGTCAGCTGAGGAACCAACTCTCATTACTGGCCTGATTGACTGGCAATCAACAAGCATTGAGCCTGCATTTATTTACGCTAATGAGACGCCTGATTTCGCTGCACTTCCTGAGGAACCTGGGGAAGACACGTTTGAGAGCGGACACTCTAAACAAAAGTCTCCTGATTGCAAGGAACGAGAATGGAAAGATGCATTGATCTGTTATCAGACATATGATGTGTGCATGAAGGGACTTACACCTAAGTTACGCCCTGCAAGACTACTTGACCCATCTTTGTTTCGACTCTTCCAATACTGTCACACAACATGGAGGGACAGTGCCGCAGCACTCCACCAAGAGTTAATTGAGCTTTCCGCTCGCTGGACCAAACTGGGGCTACAGGGAGCTTGCCCGTTTTCTCCGACTGATAAGGAGGTGAAAGAGCACGCTCGAGAGTATGAGGATTTTGAGACGTTCCAAAAACTTAAATTATGGCTAAAACACTCCCTCCATACGAACTCGGACGGGTGGGTTCCGAATGATCAATGGGACGCTGCGAGAGATGCTCATCGCGCAGCGTATGACCAATGGATGCAGACGGCCAGAGAATCTGAGTCTCGTGGCGAGGGTCTGACAGTAGCCAAAGCGGACCAACTGTGGCCATTTGATGCTAGATAACGGAGATCCGCCGAAATCGAGCTTCGAGCGATAGCTTCTTGAGAAGTATTATTGTCAGATCATAGGGATTTCATTTCTAGATATAGACTTCTTCCCATGAGCATTGCTGGTTGAATGCCCGTGCTGGGTGTAACGGCCTCTTCTTTCTAGAAGAGCTGCTCGGTCATCCAGAAATGTTTGGTACGCTGCTTTTGGAACTGTTCTCTCCTCACCCTCCCATACTTGATATCCCACCTGCCCCCAAACTTCAAGTGGCCGGGTAAAATTAGCAGAGCATCCTCTTGCCTAGAAGGTCCTGGATCGACGAATCTGCACACTGAATCCATTTGTGACGATGTTCTGGAATCCCTGCTTCTCTTGTAGTGCTATTCCACCAGACCAAGTGAGACTATAGCATTGATGCAATTCTCTCGAAGCATATCTCGCCAGGTGACAGGTCCCTTCTAGAGCTGCATTCGGTCCGGATTCGGGCGAGTTCATGGCCAGTTGGCACCAAACCTCAGATTGAAATAGCTATTTCCCCCTTTTTAGCCTCAGAAACTTCGTCATTCCATTGATTCTGATGAGTTCATCGTTGCTATAATCAATCTATCCAAAGACAGTCAACAGTATCGGAACCACGTAATGCCACTACTGCATATCCCCCAGAGCCACCTTCATCCTCGCACTCCACTCTTCCCGCTTGATCCGTAACAGTATCAAAGGTATGCCACTGAGGAGACAGAAGAGACAGGCTGCCGTAAAGGACCAGCCCGTCCCGATGGCATCGAACAAGGGCTGCGCGATCACCGCACTCACACACGACAGACTGTTCCGCAGCAGATTGTTCACTGCAACGCCCATGGTGGACCTCTTGGGGGTGAACTCGGTCAGCATCGTCATGGTCACATTGGTGAGGATCATTCCCGCGAAGCCGTAGAAGAAGTTGCCAATCAACTAGGTACGTCTTGTTTAGTTTTTTTTTTTTTTTTTTGCCCAAATCACACATGCAAGGCCGTACGTACCGGCACCAGCCAGAATTCATGCGTTTCCGCCGTCCACCCCCACCACAGCAATGCCCCGGGGAAGAGAATCCCCGCCAGCAAGCAGTTCTCGCCGAGCCGGTCAACCGGGTGGAGGATGAGATTGCCCTCGTCGTCGAAGCGTCCCGCTTCCCGCGCCGTCCGTTTCATGATAGAGTCCTGCCAGCGGCCGCCAATGATCGCACCAACCAGCAGTCCCAGGCCGCCGGGGAGATACGCAACCCCGACGATGACGGAGCTCCACGAGTACGGCGGCAAGGCGAAGGTGTCTTCGATGGAGACGCAGATGAGGTAGTACGTTGCGAAGACGACGCTGGTGTAGTACACGGTGATGAGGATGGGTGGGTACTGCAGCAAGGTAGCCGCCTCGATGGGTTTCAACACGAAGTTAACGACTCGCATCGCGGGTCTGGTCACCTTCGCCCGCTCGTTCTGCTGTCTCGCGTCAAGGTTCGTTGCCGTCTCCGGCAGCAAGAACACCATGATCAGGAACACGGCCCACCCATAGATCACCGTGGACCATTGCGTGCTGCGCCAGCTCCACCGGGTGACCAGCGCACCGCCCAGGATGGGAGCGAACATGGGGCCCAGCATCGGGCCGAGCATGAAGACACCCATGGCTTTGCCTCGTTCGTGCGCGTCAAACATATCCGAGATGGTACCGGCACTGACGGCCTGGAGGGATGCGCTAGCAGCCCCGCTGAGAAGGCGCATTGCGACGAACATGCCGATGTTGGGGCTGACTGCCGCCAGGATGCTGAGAAGGCCAAGAAAGAAGAAGGAGAGCAGGTAAACTAGCCGACGACCGTGGAGTTCGGCCAGGTGGGACCACCAGAGAGGTGTGATGGCGACAGAGAGAGAGCCAAAGGCAATCGACAGGTTCACCACCGAGACTGAAGATCCTCGGCGATCATGATGAGGCAGGCTATCATTCATATTAAATAACGAGTCCCGTTAGCAGCAGCAGTAGCAGCAGCGGCACTTCCAGAAGACCTACGGAACAAGACACCACTGCTCAGTGGCACGACCAATCCTCCCCCGGCCACTATGGCCGTTAAGAACCACTTGCGTGCCGCCGGATATTGTCGCGGGTCTTCAATAGCCGGGACCAGACACAGAAAGGATAGGAATCCTCGACGAACAGGACGCGAACCATCTCGATCATTTTTCTCTTGCCCCGTCCCGAGATCGTCCTTGGGGTCCATCTTCTCCCCCTCCGGTGGTGATTGAGGTGTTTCGCGTCTGTGACGGTCAGACATGTTTGATCACGTACTTCCGCTTGGGGAATTTCGCTTTCTGGCAGCGATGGTGAAAGCCTGATATGTGCCATGTTGTTTTGGGGGTCAGGGCTATATACCATGATCATACTTTTCTCCATACTACTACTACTACTACTACTACTACTACTACTACTACTACTACTACTACAAAGTACGCTTACAAAATAACCTCGTACGAGGAAGACCCACATCGGCCGAGCCAATATACTCTGTAGTCTGTAGTCTGTAGAGTCCAGCGTAGTTTGACATTTGACAAATACTCCCAGAAAAGCTCATCCTTCCCCTCGGCCGAGCCCACCTCCGTCTGAGTAATAATCCAGTATTATCATGTCGTAGAACTGAAATCTGTGTAATACCGCTACACTAAAAGGTATCCGGATTCTAGTTAGTGGGATACAGTATTTCATCTACGACGACATATCACTTATCAGATCCATGCCTTCGGGAGGATCCGCAGACGCCGCAGCCTACAGCCAGCCAGCCAGCCTAGGCTTCGTAGTTCGTACGAGGTAGATCAGACCCAAGGATCTTGCATGGGTCCGGAATGAAAGGACACAGAGTGTAAAGGAGATGCAAATCAGTCTAGCATCTTCTATCATTTTTCTGTAAAATACTCTCAGGACTATGGAGGGGAGGGTCAAATCTGGAAGATACGGAATGAGGATAGATAGCTTGATGGACGGATCTACTGCAGAGCGAATATACTAGGACATCAGCTCCACTGCGAAGGATTAGAAAACAACATCGGGTCAATACCCGCAAGATCAGGGAAATCAAAGGGTTGTCGGCGATCGCATTTCACCTTTCGACGACGACATGGTAAACAAGAGGTGATGGGACGAGCGTAGTTCCCAACGAGGGACGATGATGATGGATGGAGAAGAGAGGTGGGACTTGATGGGGCATACATGATGGACCGCTGTTGAGGCAGTAACCTCGATGACCAGAACAGTTGTGGTCTTTTTCGGCTGGAATCTGGATAGGAATCTTTATTATGGAGTACAGCAGATCCATAACATGGCGGATAGCTTCGAGAGTAAAAGCTCGAAGTGCAGGTAAGACTGTCCTATCATACTCTGATATCTCGAGTAAATCATGTTAGTAAGCTCCACTGGGCCATCTAATCATGTACTGTGTAGACTGTAGACTCACGCTCCTCTCAAGTCATGGCCAATGTAACTAGTAGTAGTAACTACTAGTGAGGTACGGCGGCTGATCTTAGAGCAAACCACTCCTTCATGATAGCACCACACATTCTCTGTAGTCTCCACTCGTGGCTATTCCAGGGGAAAAAAACCAAATGGTGAAGGGGACGGATATCCGTTGAGTATCGTACTGCCTCCAGGCTACTACCTACTACCTAGTACCTACCCTGAAAGCTTGTCACCAGCTGGAAATCCCTGGAACAAATTGGTATGTACTATGGAATATACCTTCAGCGACACAGAAACTACCGGAGGCATCCACTTTGGAGATCGTGGTCGATTCGTTGGCCGTCGTGGCTTCGCCTATCTATAGTCTATACAATAGGACGGGTCGACTCATGATCTTTGACTTCCCCGATCGGGACTACGGGGTACAGGGAAGACGTGGGTGGGGTCTTGTATGAGTGTGAGGAATGACCATGGTCAAAATTGTTATGACATGAATTTGCAACTTCATAGGACTCTATACCAGATGCCAATGCTTCCTGCAGAGAAAGAAAAGAGAAACAGAAGATGAGAGGGAAAAGAGATAGAAAAAATAGAACTGGACTCGGCTGGCGTGAGCGTAGATGGTATATAAATAGACTGCTTAATTTAAAGGGCCCAGTGCTAGACCGGACCGGATCGAATCGAAATGCGAAATAGAAGGTGAAGATTTCAAAGAGGAAAAAAAAAAAAAAAAAACAAATAAACGGGATTCAAAACAGCAGTCTTTCATTATACATGACACTCCCAACATCACTTCTCCCAACAGAGTCCACGCTTTACATCAGAGCAAAGGCAGACAAGGCGAGGACGGCGCCAACCATCACACCGTGACCCATGCCGGCCATGCGCGAGGCGGCACCGGTAAACATGGGTGACACACCTTCTTGAGTATTGCTAGGGGCAGTGGGCACATGCGGTTCGCTGCTGCTGCTGCTGCTGATTAAGGGCTTGACCGAAGGCTTCACAGCCAGCGTGGACGACGGGCGCACACCACCGGTCCCGAGAATCACAGGGCGGCCCGAGGTGGGGTGCACAACGGTCACAACCTGGGTCTGTGTGCTGGCCGCACCGCCGGCAGGAGGGGGAACCTCCTCTTTTTCTTCAGAAGAGCCGCCGGCACCACCAGTGGGGAAGACGCCAGAGGGATGGGTGGCGGTAGAGCCTTCTCCGGCAGTCCCGGTGGTCACGGGCAGGGTCAGAGTCACGGTGGTGGGCTGGGCAGCGCACTGGGTGCAGACGGTCACAGTCGTAGTCCAGCCCTCAGGAATGGTGGGGGCAGGGGTCTGCACGCCCGATCCACCAGGGCCGGACGGAGGATTGGTGATAGTGGCCGTAGCAGTCGCAGCATTGGTAGCCGGGCAGTAGGTTGTCGTGTAGGTGGTGGTGATGGTGGTGAAGCCGGTAGGGCAGATGTCGATGTAGGAAGTGATAATGATAGTGGTGATCGTCTTGACGTCTGAGCTGCTGCCAGGGGCAACGGCCGAAGAGGTACCGGTGGGCACAGCGGTGATGGAGGGGGTCACACCGGCGTCGGTGGTCGATCCACTCCCGCTTCCGACAGTCGAGCTCTTATCAGTACCGGTTGGTGCTGGAGCCGTGGTGGTCGTTTTCGGACCAGCAGTTTGCGAATGGGAAGAGCCAACGTCGGTCGGATTCGAACCAGAGGGGGCCGCGGGGCTTGACTGGCTAGTGGTGGCACCCGTGCTGGCATCGGGGATGCCCGAGGAGCCGACAGAAGGAACGCCGGGGGAAACGGGGACGCTGGAGGATTCGGCCGCCGCCGTCGTCGTCGTCGTCGTTGAAGTGTTGGAAACGGCCGCTGAGCTGGAGGGGTTTGCCTGGCCAGAAGTGACAGGCGAGCTCGAGGCCGGTGCGGTCGCAGAGGCGGAAGACGAGCGAACAGGGGAGCCGCTGGGCACACCGCCAGACGACGACGGGTTTCCAGGCACAATCACAGAGCTGGATGCAGTGGGAATCGTGGAGGGTGTCGGCGAAACAGTGATCGTCAAGGTGATGAGAGGTGTCGAAGATGGGGCCGCCTCAGCCGAAGAGGATGATCCAGGAATGACAGGCGTGCTAGTGGCAACAGCAGAGCTTGATGCACCAGTACCAGTTGATGAGGATCCTGGAACGACTGGGGCGCTAGATGCTGCAGGAGAGCTGGAGGAGGCGCCAGGGATGACAGGGGTGCTAGTGGCAACGGCAGAGCTTGACGCACCAGTACCGGTGGATGCGGATCCTGGAGCGACTGGAGTGCTAGATGCCACAGGAGAGCTAGAGGCGACAAAGCTGCTGGACGAGGATCCAGGGACAACTGGGGTGCTGGACCCAACAGGAGAGCTCGAGGGAGAGGGAGTGCCTGGAACAGCGGAGCTGCTCGAGACAACGACGGAACTGGAAGCCGTGTCGGGGATAGCTGGGGTGCTGGAAGCTGCAGCGGAAGTGGAGGTCGTCGAGGTCACTGGAGGAACAGGGGTGCTAGACGATGGGGTCACAGAGACAACCGGGGTGGAAGACACAGGGCTACTGGATGTCAAAGTCGTGCTAGTGGTGGTGCTCGTGGGCGTTGGGGTGGTGCTGGTCGAGGTCGTGGTAGCAGGAGGGTTGGGATCACAGCTGCGGACGACCTCCTTGATGATGTCCGCATAGGGACGGTCATTGATCTTGTTGTTCTCCGACGCAGTGGCCTCCCAGAGCATGACACCTCCGAAGTTGTTGGGGTACCGAGCCATGTAGGTGGAGACCAGAGACTGAACCTGTTGAGGGGTGATATAGTAGCCCGGGTTGGCGGCGGAAGCACTGGCGGGCAAGCCAATATAGAGCTTGGTGTTCTTGTTGGGAGTGTTTTGGAGATAGCTCACCCAGGCATCAAAATTGAAGCCCGACCCACTGGCTGAGCATGCAGCAGTGTTGTAGAACTGGACCCAGATGAAGTCGAAGACGGATCCAGCAATTGCGTCACCGAGCTGAGCGTCAGTGATGAGACACTGAGGAGCCGCCGAGAGATAGAATCTACGGCTGGGGAACTCAGCGAATCGAGTACGAAAGTGGTTGACCATGGTGGCATAGCCTGGAAAACGGTCAGTGAGCAAAACTGAAAGATCACAGAAGGATGGGGTCAACAAATTCATACCGAAATCGCCATTGTGCTCAATATCAAAGTCAAACCCATCAACAACAACATCACCGAAGGGACGAGGGCCAGACCAAGTCGTGACCTTGGGGCCAAAGGCGCCCCAGAGGAAATCGGCAAAGTCCGTGGCAGACTGCTGGCTGAGAAGCTTTTGAGTGGCGGGATAGGCACCACCCAGCGAGAGCAGAACTTTCTTGCCGGCAGCCTGGCAAAGAGGAATATCCTCGATCAGTTGGTGGCAGCCGGCCAGTAACTGGGTTGTCTGGCCATTGACAACATAGACGGTGCCATCGCACTGATTGCCAAAGTTGGAACCAGCCCACCCAGCCTTGCCCTGGTCTGGGAATACATTGATGAAACCAAGGTTGATGATGTCCGAGGAGGATTCTTGACAGAAGTGGCTCAGACGTTTTTGGTCAGAACCTTGACCCTGTTCGAGAATAGCATCAGCATGTGCACTTGTTTCCACATGCAAGGAAAATCGGGTTACTGATTGATACATACGTAATAGATCGCAACGTTGGATTTTGAGGCAGCATCGAAGGCAGATACTGTCGAGGCTAGGGCTGCGACAGCCGTAGCAATGAGCGAAAACTTGCTGGAGAGCATTTTGATAGAGAAAGAATGACAGCTGGTATGAGGGCCCAGCGAAAAAAAAAAAAAAAAAAAACGGCACTGAAAAAGGAGGGTAGTCGTGAAAGATTCAATGAAAGGACGCAGACAAACGTCTGCTAGCGAGCTGGAGAGTCTCTCGAAGGACGAAAGATCGCAAAGTCAAAAGGCCAGACCAGAGGAAAGAGAGAAAGAACATCTTCAACAGCAGGGGATCAGGAGAGATCTATATAGTCTGTGAGATGACTGGTCCCTCTCCTTGCCCGGAGATTGCAGACAGTAGTAGTTCTGACCATAGTCGCCATCATTGGTCGAGTAAGCAGGAACCAGGGGCCTTCGCAGAGTCGCAGACTCGCAGTAGCATTGTCGACTTGAATGGATATTAGCTGCAGGGATGATATCAGGCACCGTCGCCTTTTGGCGCGGAACTCAATCCAACGCCTTGCCAGATTGAGGTTCAAACAGGCACAGGCCGCCGGTCTGACAGACCATGATCATTCGAGTCGTTCCAAGCATTCAGTAAATCGCTCCACCAAGATTACTCCGTAGGGAAACCACCTAACGCAGGATCCGAATGCACTATGGAAAAAAGGCGTCATCAGATTGGACCACCAATTGGTTTCCGGAAATTGCAAAATAGGTCCGGCCGATTAATGCCGTTGGCTGGTGAGTGCCTAGTAAGTGAGTAGAAACCTTGAGATGGACGTTCTGATTCGACATGTGGCAAGTGGAACAGCCGATGGAAGAGCCGCATGAATCAAGGAAGTATCCTCCACTTGCACGAGCGATCCTTTTTGTATGGTCCCTGGGTCCGAATTAGTGCTGGGGCCTGCATTAGTCGGTTTGACTTTTTCCTACAAGTACAACTGTACAAGGTAGTTAGTTATGTGGACTAGTTGACTGAGTACGGAGTAGATAGATAGCGTGCAATTTCCCATCACTATCCAGTGCTGATGAGGCTCGAGTCCTCTTGTGTACCGAGAACACCGGGCCAAGAAGATAGAAGGTGAGACTACTATCTAGCTCCATCGAAGTGGCAGTGCGGTAAATCCATCCATTATTTGGTTGTATCCATCGATCATCATCCATTGAAAGGGAAAAGAAGATGAAGTCAGGACGGGGGTGGGGGGAGCTGAGAAGAATGACACCTGTTAGCTTGAGCCACATGGCCTGGTGGCGTGGAAGCAACAAGGGGATATTGTGAGCCTGTGATGCATCTGAAATCTGAAATTTAAACTTGCCTGCTCATGGGGACTTGGGGAGACTGGAGAGACTGGGAGTGGGAGTGGGAGTGGCCCGAGTGGGAGTGGAAGGTGGAAGCACTAATTAAGTTAAGAGTAAGCAGAGTAGTTAGTCAGACACTAAAAGCGACCGGCGCCTCCGTAGTAAGCGACTGAGCCTGAGGGTGGCATGCCTGGGGCATTCATTCGCTGGAGTTCTGAAGGCTCGGTTTAGTTCCGCAGGAGTTGCTCAAACTGGTTAGACAGATAGGTGCAGTGGTTTAGCGAGCCTTCCTGTTTCGGCTTAGTGCGGGGTTGCTGCCTGGTTCGAATATGCTCCAGACTCTCCAGGTACACCAATCAAAGTGATCAAGTCCAGCACTCAATATTGTTTCTATCCAGAAAGGGTAAAGTCACAACAATAAGTAGAGAGGGCTTTGAGGCAAAAGATCAGAAAAACTCCCTGATCTTGTTAATGGCATGGCTCGTGCTGATTGGCGGACACGGATTCTGCTGTCGGAAAATGGGCCGGATCTTCCGTAGACCACCTGATCTTCCGGTGACAACTGAATAACTACAGGATTGACTATCTGGGAAGACAGGTAGAGATGGGAATGGAGACAGGTATACTCCGTAAAAAGGTAGTTGACTTCCAAACTAGAACCCACTGACACCTTCCGTGGCTGTGTGAGGCTGCAAATAAACACATACTCTGGAAACTCTAGATAGTTTTCCACCCCCAGCGTTACATCCACAGTTTTCTTGGTAGTACTGTGTACGATGAGTACGATATGGCGACTGTTAGTCTGTTAGCCTCTCGCCAGCGTCGCCACCAACCAAAGTAAAATGAGTCTCCCTCTCATCTCCACTAATTTAACCGGTAATTTGATTTTGGGGCACAGGCCCTTCCAGTCGACAGTCTATCTACAACAACATGCTTCGGATACAGCAAGAGGACAAGACTCGGGAGTAATCTTCCAGAGTTCATAAAGCCAAGATTATAGCACTTACCTAGTACTCCGTAGGTCTCCCAGTCAAAACCTACCTAGGAAGAGAATACCGAGGCCAGTAATGCAATGTCGCTTATGCACATGAGTTACATTTGGTAGTACTCCCTCATACTTTGTTCACCCTGAAGCTACTCTCCTTCGAGCTTGGCTCTTCAATAGCACCAGCATAGGACGAGTTTCAACGATAATCTAGCGTCTGGGACGGAGAGAGTGTCTGCTGAAGTATTTCCTCGGCGTCTCTCGAAATCAAAAGTACCTGTTCATCGTTGTGCCATGGCTCCTATTAGACGAAGAACGCTGTGATGGGTAAAAGGCCCCTTGTGACGCGAATGTCTGCCATGCTAGATCGGAAATTGATCATTCATTCGATATTCTCTTGATGGACCGAATCTTAGTTGTTTTGGTTATTGGTGCATGGCTGACTTATACCGAAATCCAACACGTATGGGACATACTCAGTCATAGCAGGACAAGGGCCAAACCACGGGATCAACTGACATTCTGATAGAAGCGCTCTTTCTCTCTCTCTGAGCGGTACACTAACAACTACACAGTGACAGACTGCACCATGACGAGGACCATGATAGCTGAACCTTTTCTGATATCCAATTGATATTCTACCAGGATCATGATTCCCCAAAAACCCTCTTCAACATATCACACATCAACGTGATCGACCGCTTCCCCTCCGTGAGCACCCCATCCATCGCGAGAAAGGGATGCGGCATCCCCTTCATCACCTGCAGATCCACCTCGACGCCCGCCTTCCTCAGCTTCGCCGCATACTGCTCCCCCTCCGTGCGCAGGACATCCAGCTCACCCACCATGACTAGCGCCGGGGGAAGTTGCGACCAATCGTCCTCATAGAAGAGCGGGCTCGCTTCGGGGTTCGTCCGATCGGCTTCGTTGGGGAGGTAGTGGTCGCGGTACCAGATCATCTTGGCCGCGGGCAGCGCAGGCGTGTGTTCGTACCGCCGGTACGACTCGTTGTTCGCCACGGTAGCCGTGTTGTCCATGACGGGGACGGAGAGTAGCTGGGCGCGGAAGCGGACCGGCGGCGAGAGCGTGAGGCCCTTGTGCGTGATAATGGCGGCCAGGTTGCCGCCGGCTGACGAGCCCCCCGTGGCCATCTTGGAGGGATCGATGGGGAGCACCGAGGACCCGTCAGATATCAACCAGAGGAGCGCTTCCCAGCAGTCGTGGACGGCAGCTGGCCAGCGGTTCTCCGGTGCCAGTCTAATCAGTGGTCTTCATCAGCGGCCGAGTTGGTAGACAACAGCGGAGGGGGCTAAACTCACCTATAATCCACCGTGACCACCACACAGTTGCCCCGGACGCAGAGATTCGAACAGACCGGATTCTCCGTGTGGATGTTCCCCAGCACCCAACCCCCGCCGTGGAAATATAGCATCACCGGCCAGCCATTGGCGGGTTTTGTTCCCCGGGGAGTAAAGCTGCGAAGCAAGATATCCGGGCCCTCGGTCGCTCGCCGCTTGATGGTGATATCTTCAGTCTTCCCGACTTCGAGAAGAGGGCCGCCGCCGGGGATCAGGACACCACTTGTTCGCGATGCGTCTACCGGTTGCAGGTGAACCTGTTGAAGGTTTTTCACGTACTTGTTGTAGAAGTCAACGTATTCTGGGTCGAGCTGGTCCTTGACGGACTCATGCAAGGGATATGGAGGTTGAGGGAGGTCGTTCGAGATGGACATTTTCTTCTTTTTTTTTTCTTTCTCTGGGCTGATACGATAGAGATATTCGAATCACTACAGGTGATAAGTATCCTGGTTCAGGCAGTTGTTGGAGACTGTTGTATCGCAAGTTGAGCCGGGATCAAGGTGTTGTCTCGTTTCGCAGGTTTCCCCTCACATGGTCATGGAGTTAGTTGACTGTTACATTCCAATGCGGTCCCTGCGGACAAGTCTCGTAGCACGGGGACGTGGGGGTAGTGATACATTCTGCATCATTTGCAGCATGGATAGTGAGATGGGGGATTTGCAAGTATCCGAGTACCACTGCGAAGGTACTGTCTTGTCGATCAAAGCGGGAAGTAGATGGTGACCTCAGCTGATTGAAGGTATATATCCCCGACCAACCCCAGGAGTCTGGACTATACCGCTTGAACTTACAACGATCCCGAATCAAAAACTTACCTCCCTACTCAACCCACGCAAGGTAAAGTAGCATGCACGTAACTAGCACACGTACGTAGCATGCAGAGTCGAAGCCTTGGAGAACTCCCGCTGAGTTGTCCGTGAGGGGTCGCAAGACATCCTCCTCTATCATTGGCACGCGGGGGTTGAAATCCGGGCGTGGGGGAAGAAGAAAGAGTTCAAAGTAGTATTGACTGTCGGGTACTGCAACTCTACTCTACTCTACTCTACTCTACGCCCGTAGACGATGTCAATCAGCATGCAGTATGTATACCTACCTGATCTCTGCAGATGATTCATATGTCATGTACTCCACCACCACAAGGATAGATATACTGTGTATGTATAATATGAGCAGCCACTCCCCCTCGCACTACTACCACACACATTACATCCCCACTATCACTCCCCCAACTCACTCGAGAACAAAAACCACCACCACCACCCCTAAAAAGATACCAAGGATAAAGATAGATAACAATGACGACCAAAACTCCCGTCCTCACCGAAAAAGCCCCCAAGCCTCTCCCCGGCATCTACTCGCAGGCGATCATCGCCAACGGCGTCGTCTACTGCTCCGGCGCCGTCGCCATGGACCCGGAAACGGGTAAATTGGTCGAAGGGGATGTGAAGGCGCACACGGTATGGACTATTCATCCACCTTTTTTTTTTTTTTTTTTCTTCTTTTTTTTTTTTCTCCTGTTTGGCCACGGGGAAAGGGGTTTTGTTGTAGTTGTAGTTTGGTGGGTTGACGGCCTCCCAGCACCAATGCATCAAGAACCTCACGCATGTCCTCGAGGCGGCCGGGACCACCATCGACAAGGTGGTCAAGGTGAATGTGTTCCTGGCTGATATGGATGACTTTGCCGAAATGAATTCGGTGTATACGCAGTACTGGGGCGATGTGAAGCCTTGTCGGACGTGAGTCTTCTTTCTAAACAGTCCCCGGTTGGGTTTGGGTGGTGTGGAGCTAGCTGACTGGTTCGTAGGTGTGTGGCTGTCAAGACCTTGCCTCTCAATACCGATGTGGAGATTGAGTGCATTGCGGTGTTGTGAGGGTAGATAGCAGATTGAATTGGGTTATTTCCAATTTATGATAGCAGGTATAGAAAAGAAGGGTATATAGGCCAAATTCCAAGGGCACATGCAAGACGGTCAGACATTATCTGCCTTACAATCCCCATTTTACAGACAACACCAGGTCTCGACCAGATCATGGCATTTAAAAACAGGCTATCGTGGTCAATTCTCGTCCGGTTGGTTGACCTCTATTAGTAGACCCTGGGCCTGGGTGGCCGTAATGGGAGCCATGCCGTACCTACTTCTGTTAGTTCACCTGCGCTCTATTTTGAATCGACTACATACCAAGAAATAGACAGCAATCCCAGGATCGCTGCAAGGCAGCTGAAAACCATCGCAACAATGCCTTTGGCCGTGAACCCAGCCGGCAGCGGTGCAGGCGAGACATTCTCTCCAGTTAAATCGTAATAGTCCTTGGTGTTTCCGGCTGCATTCCCCTCGGTGAGGGTATTGCTCGCCTCGCAGACCTGGTAATGGTTCTCGGGGATCTTAAGCGTCTGCTGAAGATCGAGGGGTGCCTCAATGAAGGTTGCTGCGAGTCCCGAGTCCATGTGCCATTCAATGTGGCAGTGGAAGAGCCAGACGCCTGTTGACCATGATCAGCTATCGGAGATATGGCCTTTTGCGAAGAGCGGAAGACCTACCCGGATTATCTGCCTGGAAACGAACAACAAAATGACCCTGGGGGCGAACCAGAACAGTATCCCTTCTCATGGGCACAGATGGAAAGGCAGTGTGATTGCTAGGATCGTAATGTCCAGCGTTTTCCTCGCTGCGCGAAATTACCTGAAAGTTATGTCCGTGAAGATGGAAAGGATGTTTGCCGGCGTCATCGTTGTTGAGGACGAGATCCACGATATCGCCTTTTTTGAGTACGAAGGGATGCGTGTTATACCCATAGACAGCAGGGTCGGTGGCCGCCGAACCTGTAGTCAATGCCGAATACAGAGTAGGCACTTTGGGCATGACGTAGGTGATGCCGTTGAAGAAGGCACTGATTGTGTTAGCTGCCCTCCCTGAATTGTAATGTCTGGGGTGTAACTCAACTAGTTGGCCCCATCTCCCAGGTTGTCCATGCTCACGTCTAGTGAGAAAGTATAGTCAGCTTCCTTGTACAAAGCCATACTGTCCACGGGAACCAGGTTAAAATCATCATAAGGCTCAAAGGCGTCGATAGGCGCCGGAGCCGGTTTCTCTGCTTGCTCGTTATACATCAACCATCCCGTGACATTGTAATTCAACGAGTCGGGAATTCGATCGAACAGGTCCTGAACAATTCATCAGCTGTGAGCACACTTTCAAAGCAAGTCAGTAATCATACGGTATCCATGCTGCCCACCATGGCATAGTTTTGACTTGTCTCATTCTTCATAGTCACCAATACAGCATAGCGCTGTGCACTGGCGATGTAGATCATGCTCGCCTCCGAGGGGTCGGTCCATACGCCATCGACTTCGACGATCTTCATCGTGTGGCCTTCGATCCAAAAGTATTGACTGGCAAATGCACCGACGTTGGCCAAGTGGAACAAATACGTCTTTCCCGGCTCAACTGCCACGGCGAGATCTTGCGTGTCGTTCATGAGCGCGGCATCGGGCACGGGTTCGGCGCCGGTGGGATTGGCGACGTTGATGAATTTCTTCAGAAGCTTTGGCATCGGATCGTGATACCAGTCGGACAGGGTGATGACCCGCTCCTCATCGTATTGGCCGGCATACGGATTCTTCGGGTCTGTAATCACCAAAGCCTGGCGCAGTCCATCGGGATACTGACCCTTTGTATGGGAATGGTACCAATAGGTGCCAGTTTGGTCAACCTACCCGAACAATTAGATAACGACAGAAAAAAAAAAAAAAAAAAAAAAAAAACAAATGGGGTCAAACTGAACAGTAAAATTGTAGACAAACGTAGAACCCGGCGCAATGTCGCACTGGGTGACCGACGGGGGACCATCCATGTGAGCTGTTCCATTTTGGAAAAAGCCATGCCAGTGAACACTGGTGGTCTCATTCCCGAGCGCATTGTGCACCTTTGCAATGATGCGATCTCCTCGAGTAAAATTCAATACGGGAGGAGGCCATTGGCCATTGATGCCAATGACTGGACGATCGAGTTGACCATCTGGATTTGCTGTCACCCAAGTGATATTCCAATCATAATTGAGGGTGGCAGCCGAGGCAGTGAAGATATGGACGAGGATACTCGACCACCAGAGGAGCCCTGAGGCCATGATGGGAAGCGATACGAGTTGGGGGGGAGAGAAGGAAAAAGGGCAGAAGAATCCAGGAGATGTCAGTTAATACATGAGGATGGTGACTGATTGATAAGGACTGGGGGATTTTTTTTTTTTTTTTTTTTTTTTTTTTTTTTCCTTCTTCACAGGAATTTTAGTGAGATCATCCGGAAGTGAAAAGGAAAAGATAATAATTATCAGATCAGACTAGATCGATTATCTCTAGTAGTACTGTACGTAGTAGTATTACTATCATCCATGATTCCGAGCTGTTGAAACCCAGGCCTCGTTGAATGTGGGGTTAGTCGCAGGATGAGCCCTGGAACTCATGAAGAGGGAATAATAATAGTAGATTATAGAATGCTCTTCCGTTTCTTTTTCTTGAGCCATTTTTGAACATTCTTAGTATTGCCTATTTTTTACGTAGTCATATTCGAGGACACTCAGGACAGTTTGTGTATCGGATGAGTTAACAGGCTGCTCCTAGATAAGGTACACATCTATTACTACTTCTTGTCCTCAACAACGATGATCATTCACAGCAAACTCCAAGCTCTTGGAGACTTGGCAATGACCCTGAATCTCCGGCTGTTTGGGCAATAATTATCGAGAGTCTCTGAGAGGGCGGATTCTGCCCAGGAGCTCCACGCTGTTAGCTGCTGCTTAGTCGAGTGTTAGCGACTCTTGGGAGTCCTTGACCGAGCTTGATTCTGGGGCATTTCCACTTTTCAGGTGTCGAGAGCTCTGTACCTGTATCTCTTGCGGTCTCTCTTTTTGAAGATAATACTAGAGTAGGAAGACAATCAAGAAAGGGAACTTGATGAAAGAAAATAAGAGCGAGATCCGCGGGGGGGAGGGGACTCACTACTAGCATGGATACCACACCGGAAACCGTATGATTTCCTCCTCTCTCAGGCCGTGAGAGTTTGGCCGGTTGAGCGCCACATCCAGAAGACCAGACTTATCCTCGCTATCTATGCCGGATCATGCGACATCTGATACCCAGCGTGTTTCGCCGGCTGTCCGTTCGTCGGCTCGTCTCACCGTCGAGTTCCCGTCGTGCAAAAATTTTTATCAATCAGATAATCGAGGGGGTTTTCCTATTTTCCCTCGTGCTGGCTTTATCAATCAACAGTTATCAATCAGTCAATTGATCAACTTATTTTACCTTCTTCTACAACCTTTCTCTCCTCTCCTCGCCCATGGTTTGTGTCAACTTCTAGATAGACTTCATCGCAGCGTCTCTTGTCCATCATCCATCATGGCTAAAGACGTTTTTGCCGTCCCAAGTATGGAATACATTTGATCCTCCTTCCTCAGCAGTCCAACAACAACTACTAATCTCTTCATCCCCCTTCTTACGATAGTCTTCTTCATCTGTTTTCGAGAATGTATAGAGACCAGCATTGTTGTCTCAGTCTTGCTTTCATTTCTCAAGCAAACCCTTGGAGGAGAGCATGATGCGCCGACCAGGAAGAGATTGATCAGACAGGTCCGTATCTGCCCTCCATCCCTTGTTGGTGACCCCCCCCGGTTGACCGTGTGCTTGTGCTCAGGTGTGGTGGGGAGTTGGCGTTGGGCTTTTCATCAGTATCTGTATCGGAGCTGGCATGATCGGTGCTTTCTACGGATACGGCAAGGACCATTTCGCCGGGGCAGAAGATCTGTGGGAGGGCATTTTCTCATTGATCGCCAGTATCATCATCGCCGTCATGGGTGCCGCCTTGCTGCGCGTGACCAAGCTGCAAGAAAAATGGCGTGTCAAGCTGGCTCAGGCGCTGGAAACCAAGCCTCTGGCGCATGGTACCTTCAAGAACAAGCTCAAATTATGGGCGGAGAAATACGCTATGTTCCTTCTTCCCTTTATCACTGTGCTTCGCGAAGGTCTCGAGGCAGTAGTGTTTATCGGAGGTGTCAGTCTGAGTTTCCCCGCGACTGCTTTCCCTCTCCCTGTGTTCACGGGTGTTCTTGCAGGTGTGGCTGTCGGGTATCTGATCTATCGGTGAGCTTGTCCCTCCCTCCGGCTCCTTGCCCGCTCTTCCTGCTTCGGCATACTGACCCATCATAAAGAGGTGGTAATCAAGCCTCTCTCCAAATCTTCCTGATCATCTCCACTTGCTTCCTCTACCTCGTGGCAGCTGGTCTGTTCTCCCGCGGCGTCTGGTACTTGGAGAACAATGCCTGGAACCACGTCTCCGGCGGTGATGCCGCTGAGACAGGCGCCGGGCCTGGGTCGTACGATATCCGGCAAAGCGTATGGCATGTGAACTGCTGCAGCCCTCTGATCAACGGCGGCGGCGGCTGGGGTATTTTCAATGCTATTCTCGGCTGGACCAACTCGGCAACGTATGGCTCGGTCATCTCCTACAATCTCTATTGGCTTGCCGTCATCATCTGCTTCATTGCGATGCGCCACAAGGAGCGCCACGGCTCATTACCACTGCTTGATCCTCTGATGAATAAACTGAAAGGCCGGAAATCGTCTCAGCCCCAAACCGATCTTCAGGACATTGAATTCAGTGCGGTATCAGGCGGTCGTGAAAATGCATCGAAGGTCCCAAGGAACGAGGCGACGCTTATATGAACGAAGTGGGCCTCGCTGTCCTGTAGGTGCACTTTGCATGCTGAAATATAGATTGCTAGTATAATTTCATCCAGGCCATGAGTCAGTCAGTGGATTGGATCTCTAATGCCTTTTTGTTCATAAAGTGAATCATGATGGTGGCTCTGTAGCAATTTTCGGTCAGCACAGAGCATCCAAGCCCAATCCCTGCATTGAACCATAGCAGTCTTACCTCATCACGTAGTGTGCATCCCTTCAGTCCTCTTCTCCGGGCTTTTCTCTTCCTTTGGTGATGTTTGTCACGTGCATCCCTTTTTCTTCTAAACCTCATCCCTTCCTCCTTCGATTCTCCTTCGATTCTCCTTCGATTCTCCTTCGATTCTCCTTCGGTTCTCCTTCGGTTCTCCCGTCTCAAGTCCCTTCATTACTGCTCCTTTCACATTCGGCGCCCACTGTCTCATCCATTAATTTAATCTCGTGTTGTGTTTGCCTTTTGTTGCTAATCATAAGGATGGATCTTTAGTGTCAGCAAACCAAGGGGTTGCTGAGAGTGAAACTCTTTCCAAGCCATGGATTGCCCTCTCCAGTGGCTTAGGACCCAAATCAAGGGATTTCCGCTCCTGCATACTGATGCACGTACACAGGATCTTTGAAGCGCAGTTGAAGTCGTTGATGACGTCCGAGAAACAGACACTGTAGTTGGCGATGCAATGTGACCAAAGAGCACTCCCTTGACTTGGACAATGCTCGAAGACTGACAGTTCGTCAACTCAGCATTCCTGATGTATGATCTTCCACTCAGAGAGCATGCGTTCCTTTGACGATTCGAGTTCCTCGTCTCGGAAGAACTTTCAGGCACACGCGGTCCAGATTTGGCCTTCATGCCGCTCCCTCTGCATTCCGATCCCTCTGAACCCCGCGTGGACGCGCTCGAAGAGTGCAATTACTATTCCTTTTCTTGAATTGATCCTTCCTGTCTACTGGAGATCACTCTTCTTGTTCATTATGCCTATAAGCCCCGTCGTCTACCCATATCTAGAAATTTGCAAAAACCGTCTTGGTTCTAAATTTGGGTGCTTCAACTATCGGCTTCCGTCCTAATCTCCTTTCACCACACGTAGGTCAACGGGTCAGTCTCTCTCTGCTGTGGATGCCATTTGCTTTCAACAGCACGACATAGCCTCTGAGCTACTTGGCTTCGTCATGGCCGACCGACCAATGTCAATTCGGAGAGGAGGATCGGGGCCAAAGATTGTCATATTTATTTCACTATATGTGTTGTTGCTCGAGTCGCTCATTGAATGGGTCCTCGTGCTCTATCTATACGGTAATCGGCAGGTCGATTCCAAGATGTCGCCGAGTTTGGTTCTGATCCTCATCGCGGTAAGGTCTCTCTCATCTTTACCTGCCACGGTCCCTAGTCACTAATCGTGGACAATAGTCATTTTTTACTGTGCCGCTTGTCACCTTACATAGTCTTCTTGCGTGGCAATACAATAAAGTTCGTGGGTTCGGACGCCAAAAGAAGTTTTTGCATACCGTGTGCACCTACCTTCTTCGATTGACTATCATCGTCTGGGTGGCAGCCAGCGTTGCGGGCTTGGTGGTCATATCGCAGCAAATTTCATGTCTTCAAAACAGCTTGGATGGCAGCTTCTGGAAGAGTGGTGTCAGCTGTGCGCTTCATAGAGCTGCAGTCATTATATCAGTGCTATCCTTGTAGGTCATGAAAACTCCTGGCCTGCGACGCAAGGATATATACTGACAAGTCCTTCAGCATCACCGTCTGCTTCTACTTCTGCTCTAGGGAGCTCTGCAACCGCCCATACGACGTGTCTCTGCTTGGAGTGTACTCTCAACGACAACCAAATTGTGACGATAGCATATTCTCCCAGACAAGTTTTGAAAGTGAGAACTCGTTAAAGAACGACATCTTGTATATATGTCGCGGACCGGATGTCACATGCGGTACACTGGGGGTAGACATACCATCCAGCAATGACGCTTTCAACGAGAAACATCCAATCCCCCCAATCATTCAGCATCCTTCCCCGATTCGTCCAAGATCCCAACTCAGACTCGAGACAGATGTGCGTTCCGAGTCAGCGGAGATTCTATCAGGGACCACTCTGGCTTCTCCAGGTATGCCGACTCAGGCGGGCCCAAGGAGACTACCACAACTAACACGATTCTAGTATCTCGAACGCCCACATTGTCAACGTTGAAAGATGTGTCTATTCCTGTCCCTCCTTTTGCAGAGCTGTCCGCGGCTTCTGAGATCCAACGAGCACTGGGTCATACCAGGCAGAAGTCATCCTTATCATCACTTCGGAAGTTTCTTCCGAAGTTTTTACCATTTGCGCTCCCATTGTCGGCCGATCCGCAGATTCGGGCGTTGGCGGAGGCTGACTGCCGCCGTGATATCGAGACGCAGGCCGACGGCAACATTCTCGAACAGTCACCATGCGCATCTTCCATCTCGACACTCAGTGAAGTCACTGATTCTGATGCCCGCCACAGTGCAACTCAGCCGACGCCAGCCCGACCTCGTGCAGCTAGTGCGAACTCAACCGATGCTCCTGAGGTTTTAGTACCGGCGCCTGTCCACGTCCGCAGATCCAACACCGCACATACTGCTCCCGTATCCCGACCCACGTCTCGGTCTCATCGATCAAGCTACATGCTGATCCCGCCAAACCAGATAGCCCGACGGCCCCTGAACCGAGCCCCCAGCCGAAGGGTCTCTCCGATCGAGCCTGACACCGTACCCACGCATACACAGCCCTCCAGCCGTCGGCGAAGCGAAATCTATCACTTCGATCCGGTCCAGATCCCTCGGCACACACAAAGTCAAAACAATCGCCCCCAACGGCGCTTTGAACAATATCGCAACATAAGCCCCAACTGGCGCAGAAACGACGTCGAGATCCTGTATCCCAGCACTCGCAGGCCTCGCAGCTCGACGTGCGGCGGCATCGGCCCCGCGGGCCATTTAGATAGTATCAGGGAGACGGGGACATCGGTCGACGAGGCTCGAGTTCCCAACTCAGAAAAGATGGGGAGAGGCAATATCCTGGACCGAAACACGTACCGCGGCGCCAACCGTACCAGTATGCATGGGTTTAGTTGATGAGGTATCTTCGAGTCTGCAGGTCAGACAGGTCAAAGCGAGAGGGTATCGGTTGTACACCGACTTGCGTTGTCTTTTATTTCCTCGTATTTACTTTCACCAATATACCTAATCCTTTCTCATCATTGTCTACCGCCAGTGGTTACTTCAATCACACCTTGTGTAAGTACCGTAGTTCACTGCCTCATGATTCTGGACGCATTCTCCACGAATGTTCCTGTAACCGGTAACCCTCACGTATCAGATCCCTGAGATTCGAGTCATGTTCATTAATCGGGTTTCGTGTATAATTGACATTATTGGAATAGTCTACCGAAACACGACTCGAGATGCCTATCGGCTTGGAATCATTGCACTTGCATTATACTCGACGCCCAGCCTAGATGAGATGTCAAGAAACCCTTCCGAGACCCATCCGAGTTCCCCCTCCCGTAAAAAAAAAAAAGAAAGAAAAAAAAAAAAGACGCCAAGACACCAAAAAGAAAGAAAAAGGAAACAAAGTAGCATCAGATTTCAAACGTCCTTCTCTCACGTCGCTTTGCCCTGTTTGCCCTGAGCGTACCGATACCGATAGGCCTGCTTGACCTGCCGGCCTTCTTCGTCGAGGTTCTCCTTGACATCGCCGATCTCCTTCTGGCCCCAGGCCCACATGAGCGCCTTGCTCATCCGCTCTCGCTCCTTGAGGAGCAGATCAACCCGCCGCTCCCACTCTTTCTCGCGCTTCTCGACGGAGCGCGCAATCCGCTTGTCCATCGCCGCGGCCGTCTCATCCTTGGCGGCCACCGTGGCCTGGAGTCCCTTGACCTCGGCGTCAAGGGACTGTACCCTGTCCTCCTGGGATGCGTGAGCGGCCCGCAAGGAGCGCACTTCGACTTTGAGGGCGGCTTCGCGCTTCTCGGCGGCTGCGAGCGACGCTCGCAGCTTGCGTGTCGAATCGGCATGGGCGGAGCGGAGGGTGGAGATGGCGGTGGCATGAGCGGTTTGAAGACTCTTGACTTGCGCCTGGTGGGTTTCCTCGAGCTTCTCTGTCTGGCGGGGATTGCGCGACGCGGGAGGCGAAGAGGGAGGGCTCGGTTGTTGCGTCTTTTGCTCCGTTTGAAGACGCTCAATGGTGCGAAGGGCGTCTGAATGGTCCACTTGGAGCTGGTCCCGTTCGCTTTGAGCCTTCTCTAGATTGATTCGTAGGTCGTCGACTCGCTTCGTTAGGCGGGAGTTTTCGCCCTCGATTGACTTGATCAATGAATGCACTTCGATGGCCTGTTCCTGGGATCGATTCAATTCAATCTCCAAGGTCTTTCGCACTGAAATTGCCTCGCTCAATTCATCCTGTACTCTGGCCAATTCCTGACGCAACTTTTCCATTTCATCGTGCTTCGGCTCCCCCTCCTTTGATACAGTCTCCGTGGAGGTGCGGGACGTGTCATTTTGACCCAAGTCTTTGATCAATTCCAGGATCTCCGTGTATGTATTTCTCCCTCCTGCTTCCAATGGCAGGTCGGCTGCCATCGCCTTTAGGGCATTCTCCTGAGCCGTCACCTGTGACTGAGCGCGAGTCAAATCGGCCTCGAGGGTACTGTTCTTCTCCTCCAGGGGACGATTCCTGGTCTCCAAGCAGGCCACCTTTTCTTCGAGAATTCCGTACTCTCGATGCGCTTCATCTAGGTGCGTCTCCAGCTTTTCGATTTCGAGCAGATGGTCGTCGATCTGGGCCTTGAGACCGTCGATCTCGGTGTTCTTCTCCCGGCACTGCAGTTCCTTTGCTGCAGTTACCTCTCTTACTTTCGAAAGAGCTTCCTCCAGCGCAACATCCCGCTTCCTTAATTGTTCTTGAGTCAAGTCCAATTGCTGGCGTAGATAAGCGATTGTTTCCAATCGCTCCGCATCCATAATTGTGGGCGTGCTTTTGCTTTGGAGTTCCTTTTGCATATCCCCCAGCTGCCTTTGAAGGGCACTGAGACCTGATTCACTGACGGAAGAGCTTCGTAGGTAGGATTCTTTCTCCTCGTTTTGCTTCTGAAGAAGATTGATCTGTTCGCGCAGAAGGGCTTCATCGTTGCGTTTTGCGTGCAACTCGTCCAATTGAATCGATTTCGTTTGTAGTTCCGTCTGCAGACGCCTGACCTGTTCCCCTGCCGACTCGGCTTCCAATAGCCGTTGATGATTCATCTCCAGTTGCTCATCGCGATCTCGAATCATCTCTCTCAATTCAGCAACCTGACGCCGTAGATCTTCGTTTGTCTCTGTCGTATCTTGGTTTGATGTGACCGTGTGTCTCCGGACAGAAGGTGTGGCAACCGTCTCCGGTTCATCATCCGGATCCTCTTCGATGTCCTCGAGATGCGTCACCTCCTTTGAGAATGCGCCGGTTCTGCGCAGGAAATGAGACGGGGTAGACATGTCGACTGGGGGCCCGAATTCACTGTCCTCGCCGAGCTCCGCTTCATCGTCCGCATTCTGGCCCCCTTGCTGCGGTTGTTCGGTTTCCTCCTTCTCCTGGTCTTCCAGTGCGAGCGGTGGGATATCGTCCTGCTTCGGGTCCATTGATGGTCCCTCATCAAAGTCTTGGTCCTCCATATCATCCTCCATTTCCATCAGATAGCGCTCCATATTGGCGGTGAAGTCCTCCGGTCCACCGACGTCGGACATCTTGTCGCCTTCATGGGGCAGCTTCAGATCCGGCAAGGTGTCGTCCTGTCCACCGGGAAACGCGCGGAAATCAACCGTGTATTCCGCGAGCCGCGCCTCGAGTCCATTCCCTGCGATATCGGGAGATGATGCTCTGGATGACACTGGTGAGAGCGCTCGGTCGATCTGGGCATCGGCCCGATCGGATGCAGGGCTCTTTGGAGAGGTAGATCGCTTAGGAGAAGGCGGCGATGATGGCATGAATAAAGGTGTCGCAAGAGTCGACGCGCCAACGGTATCGTGCGTTGTTGGGTCGGGCGAGCTGTAGCCAGTGTCGGCCATGATGGGTTATCTGAGGGGTGATAACTTCAAATCAGGAACAGCATCGTTTGTCAGGCCGATTCAAAATGCAGAGTGAGTGAGGATGGGTGATAAGAATGATCCCCCGTATGTAAATAATCCGTTGAGATGAAGATGAAGGAAAAGAAACGCGCCCCGTGTTGACACCCGAAGTTTCAGGCCACAAAACCTCATGTTTATGGAATGCCTAATTCCGCCTAGCGCCATCTGTGACGTAACAGGTGAGGGTCCATACAAAAAGACATCAAAAGCGAAGAAGAAAGAGAGAAGTTCATGTTCACGAGGTATTTACATGCAGCTGTCACGTCTGGTTCTAAATCACAGGGACATGTTCTGGATAGGTAGGTATACAGAGTCTAGAGGAAGTCTACAAAACAGGACGGGGAGCATGATTCTATCTATTCTTTCAAACTATTGTACAACAATCCTAGAGGAGACTCTAGTGCGCTTCGCATATCATCTATCTATGAAGTCCATGATTTCTCAAACCCCGGGGCCGCCGCAGAAGGCTTGTTAGGGCGAGGGGCACTTCCAAAACGCCTTGACGCTTTTCCATAATATTGTGCCCCTTGTTCGGCCGACTTGCGGGTGGCACGCCCACCCCGAGAAGCGATCTCATGCTAATAACGAATAGCTTAGTTTTATCTTCACCAAGCCAGCAAAAGTCTCCGAACACGCATACCTGTTTCTCGGGATCCATGTTGTGAAAGCCTCCAACACCCTTGGCTTGGCCTCCTTTGCGACCACCCTTGCGACCAATCTCGGACATTTCCTCCTTTGACCGGTTGGCAAAATTTCCCGGGTTGGGATGACGATAGGGTTCGGTTGCAAATCCTGCAGTCGTCGACCGCCAGAGCGGAGCTCTTCCAAGGCGGCTCGAGACGATATGTGGACGGAACAAGACTCGTGGCATTGTTCCAAGTTCGACGAACAGGTTGAGTATGTCTAGTGAGCGATCTTCGGGGATTTCACTGGCGGAAGCAGATCAAAAATCAACTAGGATTGTAGATACCTAACAGTGCGCAGTTAGATACACCGATACAGATAAAGCACCTGCAGGGGGCCGCATGTTTATGTAGCCTTGCCGGGGGTTCGCTCATAGTCGCTCATAGTCGCCTCCCTTACCAAGAGACCAATTCTCCCAACGTTCAGCGGCAACAGTAAATCTTTCCCAGTTTGATGGAAAGTGACACTAACGTTGAGGCATCAAACTCGCTCACTGACACCAGTTTGTTGCCTCTTCGTTGGAATGTTCATCCAATTGGTCGGAAGGGAAGACCCGAGTGACAAGGGGTCGATGTCATGGTGAAGGCATCGCCATTGGAGATACTCTTTTGGGGCTGGCAAAAGGGAATGCACGCAGCCATGGTAAACGGACCATAGTTACTTGAGGCTCTCCATCTGTATCAGAATGGTCTACAGAGTGTGAGGTAGTCTAGGAATATGGGTTGGTGGTCCGAAAGATCAAGTCGATCAAAGCACCTGGTGGCGCTGAGTCAGCAGATCTCAGATGCACCGACTCCAATCGAAACAGACACAACAACCCCCAAATACCTTGTAGTCTATGATCTGGCTGAGGTGAAATGATTTATGTGAAGAAAACGCATGGCCGATGTCATCCTATATCGATTGAAAGTCTTTACATCAAAGGAGATCATGCGGAGGGCCGCAGCCAAGCTCTTAAAAGCTGGCTTGTGTAGCACAGGATAGCTGCTCTTCAGCGCAATTGGAAGATATGGCTGGGTTCATACATATACGACGCATCTGACCTCTTTGAAACGTCATACTACTGTATAGGCAGTCTACAGCCATGATTTTCTTTTTTAACCATGCCCTGATCATCGCCCATGGGTATACTTTCGCGGCCTTATAGTTGCATAATCACGACTAAACAGATATAAGGCTCAGGCTTAGGCGTCGTGGAAGAGGGTCAATTGACTCTGTGTCAGGATAAGATATCACTTTTCGTTCCAATTCAGCAAGCACACAATGGCATCCATATGCGCATTCAGCATTCCCATGCGACGGATACTCAGCCCAGCACTGGCATCTGGTACCGGCATCTCTTGTCAACACAACGCAGCCCATAGAGCTGCAGGCGCAATTGCGACATACCGAAATTTTTCCTCGTCTCCTCTGCACCGCGACCCGGAACCATTCAAGGATGGCAAAGATCCCCGGACGCCACCGACGGCAAGTTCACCAGAAAAGGCTTATCCCAACTTTAGCCTCCGCGACAAGGCCTATGTTATTACGGGAGGTGGGCGCGGATTGGGTCTGGTGATAGCAGAAGCCATGGTACAGGCAGGTGCAAAAGGTCGGTAGCCTCTCCGCTATCCTTTTTGTAATTGTTCCATCAGTGCCGACCTATTTGAACAACCAGTGCATTGTTTCGATCGACTGGACACCCCGCACCCCGACTTTGCACTGTCGCAGGAGGCATCCAAGAACCTCAATAGCTCAATCCATTACCATCACGTCGACGTGAGGGACAGAGAGAATCTCAACAAGACGATCTGCGGTATCACAGAAGAACACGGTCAGATCGATGGACTGGTTGCGGCAGCAGGGATCCAGCGTGTCAAAGACGCAGTGGACCACACGCCCGAAGACGTTGCAGAAGTGATGGACGTCAATTTCACGGGGGTCTTCATGTCTGCCAATGCCGTCGCACAGCAGATGATGGCCACCAGCCGACCGGGATCCATCGTGCTCGTTGCCAGCATGTCCGGCATGATCGCCAATAAAGGGTTGGTCTGCCCGGCATACAATGCCTCCAAGGCCGCAGTCATTCAGCTCACGCGAAACCTGGCCATGGAATGGGGCAAGCACGGGATTCGAGTCAACGCGCTGTGTCCGGGCCATATCGTTACCCCCATGGTATAGAAGAACTTTCAGGAGGTCCCCGGATTGAAGGAGACATGGGAGCGCGAAATATGCTGGGCAGATTGGCCGTTCCTGAGGAGTTCACGGGAGGTACCATTTTCATGCTGTCACCAGCCAGCAGCTTCATGACGGGGAGTTGCCTTTTCATGGATGGAGGACATACAGCGTGGTGATTTGCTCATGTTTTGTCTTCCCTTGATACTTGCATGTTTATGATATCCCAGAGCGAATAGAATCATCATTAACCAAGAGAAATTCCATCAACCACCTTAAAAAGTGAGGCATGTGGATGATGAGTCAGCAGCATCTCCAACATCCGGTTTGGGGTAGCCAGATAGACCACCAACTGGCTTGGGCTCAGCACGTCTTGTTGCTTCTTCTCACACAGTTCTGAAGGGTTTCGACCTTCGTTCATGTAAACAGTCTCATTAATTGAGCCCAGGCCATGTATTAGTCTAATCATCCAACCTCTATGCTCTGCACAACCTCAAGCCGAGGTCTGTCCTCAGCCTGATCGAGTCACTCCACTTCCCCGCAGCTGCTCTGCACGAACATGCCAGACTGCACGACCAAGGACCTGTCATTAACCATTCTACTTGTGTGACCTCCTCAGAAAGATGCCTCCCGTGCCCGGGCGATCAGAGCGACATCGAGTCATTTGTTACCACCAGACATTGTGTCCGAACCGCGGCGATTATGTCTCGGTACTGCCCTTGGTGAAGAACAACACCGGCATCACCCATATCATCATTGCAGCCTTCCACTTGAACGCAGAACCGGGACATATTACACTCAACGATGACCCTCCCGAACACGAAATGTACGATCCTCTGTGGGCGGAAATGCCCCTGTTGAAGCGCGATGGCATCAAGGTGATGGGTATGCTAGGTGGAGCGGCACAGGGATCCTTTCGGTGTCTAGACGGAGATCAGGACAAGTTCGAGCGATACTATCAACCACTTCTGGCCATGGTGCGACGGCACCAACTGGATGGGCTGGATCTAGACGTGGAGGAAGAGATGTCTCTGTCGGGCATCATCCGGCTGATTGACCGGTTGAAGCTGGACTTGGGAGAAAATTTCATCATCACCCTGGCGCCGGTCGCCGCGGCATTGTTGGGAATCGGAAATCTTTCGGGGTTTGACTACCGGCAGCTCGAGCAGCAACGAGGGTCTAAGATCAGCTGGTATAATGCGCAATTCTACAACGGTTGGGGTCCAGCAGAAGATCCCCGCATGTATGCCGCCATTGTGGCCCAGGGATGGTCCCCGCGGCGCGTGGTCTATGGATTATTGACCAACCCAGGGAACGGGTCGCAGGGCTATGTTTCACGCGAGAAGATCGGGACTGTACTCGCGGTGCTGGTCGAGCAGTTCCCGGATTTTGGAGGTGTCATGGGCTGGGAATACTTCAATTCCCTGCCCGGGGAGCGGGAGAAGCCATGGCAGTGGGCCGCGGAGATGTTTCTCAGCATGCACATGAAGGATTTGGTCGTTGCTGCACAGCAAGTGCTGACCACGGGGCCCATGGCCAGCAGTCTGATGAATGTTCTCCGAGATATGATGCAACAACGATAGATCTAGCCACAATCAATTGTTGAAGGGTAGATATAATATGATTGAGCCGTGCCCATGAATATATATGTACGTCCATGGCATTCTTCTATCGTCATAGTAGATTCCATGTATCTAGATGGTAGTCAAAGTGCTCCATAGTGATCATGATCGTGATAGAAGAGCGGGAGTGGCAGCGTATGTCGTCATTCCCCCCAAAACACGCAGTTCACCTCAAGTCGATCGAACATTCTCCCTCTCTTCTCCCATTCCCATCAAATTCGATCTTCGAACATTGTCAGTAATTGATAATTTTCGAACGGAGATGATCTCTTTCCTCCAAAGATCTATCTAGGCTTCGATTTGCAGCTATGGTGTCCCTCCCGCGCATTGCCGTTGCGACCAGTTCCGCCATCATCAGGCTGGCTACCTTTGTTTTCTTAAGATGGGTTGGTTGGTACAGTATCTTCTTTAACTGGAATCAGTATCGATTGACTATGATAGATCCCTGGTCATCATTTTCCACCTCTAATTTTGACATCTCTGGCGATATATATCTCATCCCTGCGGTCAGTTCTGCAACAAGAAGAGAAGGCCGCTGCTCAACGAGATGATGTGAAAGAAGCCCAGGAAACTAGTAAGTGCTGGCAGTTTCTGCTTCCTGTTCCAAGAATGCTAATGAGGATCTCAAGGAGCTACAAAGCGCTCATCCCAATCTCCACTCAAGACACTGTTGACTGGCGTGCCTTCGCGCAGATTGCCGCTGGCAACACGGTTGACAGCTCTGATCAATGTCGTGCTTGCGCTTCTGTCCCTTGACTTCCTGCTGCGAGGTGTAGTGCTTTACTCTGGGGATAATCTTGCTTTCACCCGTGTTGGGTATGTCTCCCCGACTACAGCGAATGTCCTGGTACGCGAGCCCGATCCAGCGCAGCTGCCTTTGGTTCTCTTCTACCAGGAAGCAGAGCAAACGGATCCCTTGCACTGGGTCGAGGAGGGTAAAATCTATGCGCTCGATGACTCCACGGATTACACTACCTCTGTGACTATCAGAGGCTTGAAGCCGTCTTCTGGCTACCGCTACTCTCTGTCGAACAACCAAACCGGATCCTTCGTCACAGCTCCTCTGCCGGGCACAGAATCAGCCAACCGGCTGACATTCTTAACATCGAGCTGCATCAAACCGAATTTCCCGTACAATCCGCTCTCGCACTCGCTGCGTATCCCGGGGATTGAGAAGATGGCTGAAACTGTCAGCAAACTGCCGTCCCTGCTGCGACCTGCTTTCATGTTGTTCCTAGGTGACTTCATCTACATCGACGTGCCTCAGCGCTTTGGATCGTCTGTGTGGCATTACCGTAGCGAGTACCGCAGAATCTACTCATCTCCATCGTGGTCGACCCCCCATGCCGATGCGGCCATCAATCTTCCCTGGATTCACACACTCGACGACCACGAAATCGCCAATGACTGGTCCAAGGGGAACACCACCGCTCCCTACCCTGCTGCTGTGGACCCCTACGTGCATTACCATGTCAGCGTGAACCCTCCCATCCCACCTCTAGCGTTTGCTCAACCCGAGAACACCACGTACTTCTCGTTCATCAACGGGCCCGCCTCCTTCTTCATGCTAGACACCCGCACCTACCGCTCCGAGCCGTCGCAGGTCAACTCGACGATGCTGGGGTCCGCCCAGCTGCAATCCCTCCTCGCGTACCTCGCCCGACCCGAGTCGGCCGAAGTCCGCTGGAAAATCGTCGCGTCGAGCGTCCCATTCACCAAGAACTGGCACGTCGGCACCGCCGACACCTGGGGCGGGTTCCTGCACGAGCGCCGCACCATCTTCGAAGCCATGTGGCGCGCCGAGCGCGAGCTCGGCATCCGCATCGTCCTCCTCAGCGGCGACCGCCACGAGTTCGGCGCCACGCGCTTCCCCGACCCAACCCTCGACTTCACCGCCGAGGACAACCGCCCACACACGGCCGGCGAGGGCCTGCACGAATTCAGCGTCGGCCCGCTCAGCATGTTCTACCTGCCCATCCGGACATACCGGCAGACGGACGCCGAAGACGTCGCGGTCAAGTACATCCCAGACGGCAACGTCAAGTACGGCCTCATCCACATTGACGCCCAGGATGAATTCATCGACACCGTATCCGGCGAGCCTGTGACAGTGCCGAGCTCTGTCCTGACGTACTCGCTCTACGTCGACGACCAGGTCGTCTGGAAGTACAAGCTCAGCGTCCCCTTGCCTGAGGCCGGTGCGCTCATGGGGGCTTCCTCCGCGAAGCACCCACTGCTGGCGCCGGGGAAGGTTTTGTTCGATGGGCGCCAGGGTGAGGGGTGGGATGCTGCCCTCCAGACGGTGATCGGGCGGGCGGGCGAGATAGCAGGCAGGTTTGGGCGGCGACTCGTGGACGAGTTCTATGAGGTGCTGGATGTAGCGGAGAGGGCGGAGAGGTTGGATTGATCTGGATTGTACTCGTCCGCACTTGTTGTGATTGGTTATGGTGCAGCGGAGATTGGTTGGTAGATCAGTTCATAAACATCTTATCATTTATCTTGTATCTCCATCTCGGCTGTACAGGGCCAGAACCCCAAGGGAGTATGGTTTATGTATTAGAAGCAATAGGACAAGATGAACACGCCCAACGCCATACAAATGCTAGACCGATCAACATCCACAGGCCGTTCGAAAAGAAGTGATAAAAAGAACATGGGAGGAATCGTAATAGAAAAAGGCAAAAGGGAAGAAACATTAAAGTAGACGACCGTGACTCGAGAAGAAGAACCTCGCACTTTATCATCAGCATCACCGTCCTCTGCCACGGCCTCCACCCATCAGCCCGCTCATCTGGCTCATCATGCTTTGCAAATCCATTCCCCCAAGACCCGGGATGCCGCCGCCGCCGCCGCCTTGTCCCTGTAACATCTGCATCATCTTGGCCATGTCGCCCATCCCGGGGAGACCGCCGGCTCCAGCGCCACCCATGGCCGCCATCCGCTTCTGCATGGCTGCCAGTTGCTGCTCCTTGTTGCCGCCCTTGAGCATGTTCTGAGCCCGCTGCATCTGCTTCTTCTGTCCGCCAACCCGCTTGGCCATGCCGGCCATCATGCGGTGCTGCGAGAGGAGATCCTCTACCTCGCGCACGGTCGTTCCGCTACCACAGGCAACCCGGACCATACGGCTTGGTTGCTCCACGAAAACTTTGCCGTCCCCGTCAAGCTCCGCAGCTGTCATACTATCGAAGATGTAGATCATGCGGCGAAGCTTAAGCGATCCATCTTCATCGTCGAGCCCGGCGGTCAAGTTGGACAGACCGGGGATCATGCCGGACAGTTTCGATAGGGGGCCCATCTTCATGATCGAGGTGATGTTCTCTCGAAAATCGCGCACCGTGTAGATACCCTCAGCGATATGCTTGTATGTCTCCTTTGCGGCGGCCGAGTCCTTTGTCACCGCCTGCACGTGTTCTACGAGACCGGCCATATCACCCATACCCAAGAGCTTCTGAACGAATGCCTTGGGCTCAAACCGTTCCAAGTCCATCAGGTGCTCTCCGGTACCAAGGAAAATAATGGGCGTGTGCGTTGCCGCGACGGCAGAGATGGCACCACCACCGGCGGCATGACCGTCCGTCTTGGTGATGATGATCGCACCGAAGTCGGCCGTGGCCTTGAAAGCAGCCGACTGGGCCTCGGCCGCCTGACCGATAGTGCTGTCGAGAACCAGGATAGTCTGATCGGGCGTGACGGCGTTCTGGATCTGGGTCATTTCCGTGAAAAGGTCCTCCTCCTGCTTGTGTCGACCACTGGTATCCACGATGATGATCTCAAAACGTTCCTTCTTGAATTTGGCGACACCCTCGGCCGCCACCACTGCGGGGTCCGTCTGTGTCAAACTACCATAGTAAGGGATCTTCGCCTTGGTGGCATTCTGCTTCAGCTGGTCAAAGGCACCGGCACGGAAAGTATCCGCACAAACCAGTGCTGTCTTGAATCCGCGCGTCTGGTAATGTCTGGCCAACTTGGTACAGGTAGTTGTTTTACCCGCACCCTGCAACCCCACAAACATAATCACGTTCGACCGTCCCTTCTTGGGGCGGAACGGTTCTGCATGAGGGTTGACCAGTGCAACCAGTTCATCGAACACGGCCTTTTGAATTAAGCGTTTCTTGTTGACGGCAGGTGGCAACGAGGAAAAGTTCACGCTGGACTTGATGGATTTGCGCAGCGTCTGGACGAGACGAACGTTGACATCGGCCGATAGCAGTGCGGCACAGATCTCTTTTATCATGTCATCGAAAGCCTATATGGAAGGACGGTCAGTTCAGAAGCCCTGCAGTGTTAAAAACCGCGAAATGACCATCCCACCTTCTCATCCAGGTTGTTCGAGCGTGTCAAATCATTGACAGCGGCGTTGATTCGCCGCCCAAGATCCTGGAGGACCATGACGGTGGGTTTTCGGGAAGAGGTAAAAAGTCAAGTATGTTCAGTGAGGGCAAATATAAGGACAGTAAGCGGTTATACCCCCCGGATAATACAGATAAACAGCAGTGGCGTGTTGGTTGTCGACGAGATGGAGAGCAAAAGGACAGCAGGCGATGCGGAGAGTCTGGAGGGCGGCAACGAGCCAATCGGAGACTGCGATCTGCTTGTCCGCCCGCAGAGAGAAAACGGAAAAAAAAGTTCCCTCTCGTTGCCAGTCGCGGCAGACAGTCAACATCTCGATATCCGCGAGATTTTTTTTTTTTTTTTAGACGAAAGAAGCAATCATTCCCGGCATTATGGCTCCTCCAATGGCTAAGAAGCGCAAGGTTTTAGACAGCCTGAAGAATAAACCCGGTCGGCCCAAGAAGAAGTTTAGAAAGCAGCACCAGTATCACAGCAGCTCCGACGAAGCAGAAGATGACGAGCCCACCGATTTTAAGGCAGTCAATCTCGCCGATTCCGATGTGGAGGAGGAAGAGAAGGTGGTAGAGAAGAAGCCAAAGAAGACACAGGCACAGGCGCAGACCACGAAATCGCTGGGTGCGCAGAAAAAGAGAAAGGCTGAGGACAGCGACGCCAGTGACGACGAGAGCGATGCAGACAACCAGGATGAACCTGGCTCAGCAGAATCGTCTGAACTTGAACTTGAAGACGATGAGTACCTCTCGGATACCTCGCTAGCCACCTCTACGAACGGCCGCAAGTCCGTCGCCAAGCGCAACGACCCCACTGCATTCTCGACATCGATCTCCAAGATTCTCTCGACAAAACTTCCCACATCAGCGCGTGCAGATCCTGTGTTGTCGCGCAGTAAAACAGCCGCGCAAAACACGACCGAGCTTGCGGACGAGAAACTGGACAAGCAGGCGCGGGCGAAACTCCGCGCTGAAAAGAAGGAGGAGTTGGATCGGGGCCGCGTACGCGATGTCATGGGCATTGAGCGTGGCATAACTGGCGCTGTTGCAGAAGAGGAGAAGCGCCTCCGGAAGATTGCGCAGCGTGGTGTGGTGAAGCTTTTCAATGCGGTGCGCGCAGCCCAGGTCCGGGGAGAAGAGGCCGCGAAAGAGGAGCGAAAGAAGGGAACCGTTGGTATGGGTGAGCGGGAAAAGGTCGTCAACGAAGTCAGCAAGCAGGGCTTCTTGGAATTGATCAGTGGGAAGAAGGGGAAACCCTTCAACATCGAGGAGGCTTGAAGGCATTGCTTTTTTATTCTACACTTCCCCCCCGGAATTGGATCGGGTTCAGTACTGTATGGACGAGACAAGGCATGTACAGGGCGTTAAAGGTAATCGGGATTGTTATGCTTGAATTTTGAACCAAAAGTTATACACATGATATACAATTATCTCTCGAATAGACCAAATAACATTGGTAGAGGGGTACCCTCAAGAGGTGGCTATCGGTTTCCCGATCCTATTCCTGTAGATGGACATATCTTCGTCGTCGGAGAGGAGGCGTTCCAGGTAGTATACATATGATTGAAATCGACACCATCGGTTATTGCTTCTGTGCGAAATCGCTTGCCTGCAGGTTCCGTGTCATGGAAGGCAACTGAACCACAAGGCCGTCAAGGTCTTTGGTCATGATCACCTGGCATCCCAGACGAGATGTCTCTGTCAGACCAAACGCCAAGTCCAGCATGTCGTTCTCGTCGTCGGAAGGCTCCTCCATCTTATCGAACATCTCTGGGTCCTCCACAATGACATGGCAGGTTGAGCAGGCGCAAGAACCACCACAGGCCCCTATGCAAGCGGGATATAGTCAGCAAAGACATATCACCAGTAGTAATCTAAGTCTCCAGAGCACGAACCTTCCATTTCCAGGTCATTGGCTTGCGCAATGTCCAGCAGGTTATCTCCCTCGGCTACCTCGAAGTCGTACTTCTGGCCGTCCTTGTCGATGAACGACACATGGAGTCTGGATGAACAGGATTAGAAATCCTTCTGCAACATTGAAGCATGAAGCAGATGCCTCGTCTAGGTTTGACTCACTCTTCGCCAGGCTTGGGAGGTGTAATATGGCCGTGCTGCACTCCAGCGGTAGCTGAAAAGCTTCGCCGCGGGGAATTGACGAACCCCCGTGCGACTCCAAACTGCGCACCTCGTCGGCTATACAGCTGGGTATGGCTCGATTGGCTAACATCGCTAAGGAATCTCTTCGACTGCGCTTGACACATGCGATTCCCGTTGATGGCCTTTGGTACTGCATGACGCAGTTGTTGACAGGATTCCCTCCACAACGACATGGCGGCGAATGTCCGACGTGTGTAAGTAATATGGAATATTTCAACAAGAGACTAGACTTAGCCTTTCGAGGAATCAGAGGGTCTCCCGAAGAAGGCAGTTTAAAAGCCCGTGGTCGAGAAGTTTACAGGGAGAAAAATCCCGAGCGAAAGGCGGGAAATTCGGACATAATCACAATACTCTTTCCAGCGATCGTCCATCGTCACACTTCGAAGCTTCATCGCCGAAAACCCGCCTCGCGATATCTCTTAGAATCAACCACCCTTCGGGAATTAATTGATTATATATCTTATCGAGTGCTACAGACACCATAATGACCGCTCCCCGGGAAGGGCTCAATCCTCTGCGCCCATACTACATCCCACCATCGTTTGGCCTTGACGCCTCCAACGCCTCGTCTCCTCCAGATATCGCCGCTCCGTCATCCGCGCAGGTATTTGGCAGCTCGGCTCGCGACTTGCTACCGGACTTGGATTACTCGGAGTACTTAGAGAGCTCTCCGTCGCTATCTGAATGGGTTCGAAATGCCTTGGATGCCGCGCTCCATCGTTACACGGGCGTCCTAGTAGCCCAACCATTTGATGTCGCCAAAACCATCCTTCAGGCGTATGTGGTGCCGGACTCGCAGGGTGAACAATGGGCCGCAGACGCCCCCGGAAGGTCCAGTCGAACGGACTCGTACAATGATGACGAGTATGATGAGGTATGGGGGGGGAACTCGGATCGTGTGGCGTACGGCGTTTGCTGACGGGCATCGTGTGATAGGAATCACAATCTTCGGACGATGAGAGCAGTTACTTCACGTCTGCGGCGCCTGGAACGGCCTCGCCGACATCTTCACGCTCGCGGAAGGCTCGACGCCATATCACAGACCGCAGCGGTTACATCGCATCTACGCCGGCGTCGCCCAAATATACCTTGGCGATGAAGAATCCCTCCTCGCTGATGGAGGTCCTCTCCCAACTCTGGTCCACCAGTGGCCCAACATCGCCATGGAAGGCGACCAATGCGACGTTTATCTACTCCCTACTTCTTCCCACCCTGAATACCTTCATTCGCAGTCTCCTGTCCGCCATCGTGGGCTTACCGGAAGAGGATATTGCGTCATCCATGACCGCCGACATTCTGACGTCGACTTCACCTTTCGCGACATTAGTGCTGTCGTTCATCTCCTCCTCGCTATCTGCACTGATTTTGTCGCCTATCGACACCGCGCGCACCTTCCTCATCCTCACGCCCGCCACCCACGGGCCGCGCTCGCTTCTCCGGGCTATTCGCCAGCTCCCCACCCCGAACTGCACGATCCCTTCACACTTGGTCCCCATTACCATCCTCCATTCGAGTCTTCCGAACCTCATCACCACTACCACACCTCTACTCCTCAAGTCCTATCTCTCCATCGATCCCATCCTGAACCCTTCCACGTGGAACCTATTCTCCTTCCTGGGATCAGGCCTGGAGCTTGCCGTGCGATTCCCGCTGGAGACAGTCCTGCGCCGCGCACAGATCTCCACATATACGTCCCCCAGCCTCCGGCAAAAGTATGCTGGCGGGTCTCGGTCCATCCCCCCCGTCACCAACGCGGACGAGGCACCGCAGGTCGAGACCATCGTCCCCGTGCCGCAGACATACCGTGGCGTGGTAGGAACGATGTGGGGCATCGTGTACGACGAGGGCGTCAGCGCGCCCTCTGAAGCCGAGCGCGCTCACAAAGTGCTCGGGAAGCCTCTGCCGCTCAAAAAGCGGCAGGGACAGGGCATCCAGGGCCTCTACCGCGGCTGGAGAGTCGGCATGTGGGGGATTGCTGGGATCTGGGGCGCCGGCCTGTTGGGCTCCATGGGGAGCGGAGGGGACGAGGGCGTGATGGTCGGCGGAGGCCGTTTCTAAGGGTTCGACCTAAGGTGAGGTTGAGGGGGACGTCGATGTTGCCGTTACCGTTGTCCTTTTCCCCTTCGTCCTTTGGTTTACTCTCTCTCTCGTTTCCTCCCTCTCTACTCATCTATCCGCATCTTAGAACGGCCCATACTCACTCCTCTCATTCTGTGATCAATTCCTCGCCCTGTAATATGTACACGTTTTCGGGAGTGGAATGGCGTTGAGCCTGGGGTTCGGCTCAGGTTGATTTTGTGTATGTATGGTTGTATGTAGATAATACCCACCACTCGACCGGGGGGCGATGTACGGAGTACTGTACTTTCTTCTGACTTCTACGAGAGATTTCCGTCGTTAAGATAAGGAAGAAAAGATGTGAAAATCAAAAACTCGTTTTCGGTTTCTCGAATCGTGGTCAACTTTTCTTTTTGCTCGTAGTGATCCAGCATCGTATGATTCTAAAGCATCAAACATAATATAATAAATCCCAAACGCCGTTCGTTTCACCGTCTAAATCGTCACATGTACGTTCACAATTCACATATATAGGCCCAGTCCATCGTTGAAACCAAGTTGAATCCCTTTGAAGAGACGAAACGAGGGCCTGGTCAAGTCCAAGCATCTCTAGCAACCATGTCACCTGGTCTGGGAACGAAAGGTTCTATATCTGGGAGGATAGAGAAGAGGAGAAGAAAGGGAAAAAAAAGTATTATACAAGTGGAACACGTCCTGGGGCACTTGTGGGTATCATTAAAAAAAAAAGAAAAGAAACGAAGATCAAGAAGAACGAAAGAATGTTGGTGGGCTTGCAGGGATGCTGGGCTTCATTTGTCGGCGAACCTCCGATCAAAGTACCGCAACACGCCCATCACGCTCGCAGCCTCGACTTCCATGGCAGCCCGGGGGGTTCCTCGGTCCGATAGGGGAATATCCCGGGGGTTGGGCAAGGTGTGCAGTTTCGGTAGCCAGTTGGAGATATCGTCCGTGGCCCGCGTGAAGCTTGGGTGCCGCGATAGGGTTGTGAAGGCATCGGCACAGGACAGCGTCAATGACGGGGTCGTCGAGGGACCCGGTATCGAGTTGGCGTTGCCAGTGGACCCGCTTCGTGAAGGGTTGGAGCTTCGCGACTGACAACAACCGCCGCCGGCGCCTTTACCGCCGCAGCATCCCGAAGGCGTCCCACTGGCCGATCGGGAGGCGGCAAGAGTTTTGCAGAACAGGGTGCTGCGAGGGTCAGCCAGGCACTGTGCGCACGTTCCGGGTCCGTTGGCGCAAGGGTTTGTGGCCTGGCTGAGGGACGGTAGCGTCATCTCCGAGCGCACATCGCCATCTGAGGGAGGCGGTGTGAATTGAGACATGTTCTGAATGGGAGCGAGTCGGTTGTTCTCAAATGTGTTTCTCCTCTCATTCTCCTCCTGCTGGGCGGCCATCTCGGCACAAATACACGGTGTCCCATCCTGACAGAACCCGCAGGGGTCAACGGCTGGGGACGAGACAGACGTTGGCGAGTGGTCTTGCGGCTTCATCGTGGCAAATCGAGCGGTAAAATCAATTTCCATCTCCTCCGGATCCGGCTTGATCTCCGGCTCCAAGCGGCCCGGCTTCGTACTTCCGGGTCGCCGTGACTCTTCTTGAGCTAGCACGCCTGGCATGGCAAAAGCATCTTCAATACACTGGCAGTGGCTTGTGGAGCAGTCATTGCAGCCCAGAGGCACTTCCTCTCGGTTGTCCGAGTGATGGCCGTCGTCGTGGGAGGCATTGTTCGCAGGCACACCATCATTTTCTGGACGGCTGGACGTGGCCCGTGGGAAGGGTACTGCATCCGAGCTGGCAGCGTTTTTGTCCGACAACGACAACCGGAATTCCTTCACGAGAGCTTCTTTGGCGCTGCGTTCCACCGACACCTCCTTCTCCAGAGTATGACACCGGTCGCGCCACCAGGTCATCTCCGAGCGACACTGCTCGACCTCGCAAGACAGGTTGCCGATCTGCTCTTTGAAAGCAGCGATGTGGATGTCATGCTCATCTTCAATTTTCTTGATCTGGTCCTCGAGTTCGTTCACGCGGGCGGCTCTGCGTTCTCTGAAAGCCCGTTGAGCGGCTCTGTTCTGCGCCTTTCGCTTTGTCGGAGGCGTATCTGTCGCAGGCTTCCTGCCTGGCTTCGGACGGGGTGGAATTACCCATTCTTTGGTGGTGATGGACCCGGGAGTGCCCGGACCTGGAGAGGGCGAAACGGCTGGCTTGGCGGCTAATGCGGGTGCCAGAGACGCAGGTGCAGGTGTAGGGGCCATTGAGGGAGCTGACATTGTTAATGGATGGAATTCCTGTTAGAGCATCCAAGGAGGAATCTGAAGAGAGATTGACATTAGTGGGATTTATTTTTTATTTTTATTTTTTTTCTTTTTCTTTTTCTTTTCCTGAAAGGGAAATGGATGATGATGAGTGGATGGAGGTGAGTGGGATTAGTTGAGGGGGGGGAAATAGTGAGGCGGAGAGATTAGGGAAGAAGGAAGACGGACCAGGTGGTGTCACTAATGGAATCGCTTCGGGAGAGCGGAAGTGCGCCCATTCGAGTCGGAGAAAGTGGGAAAGCGACGATAGATGGCTTATTTTTGCAGAAGATTACTTTTGGTTGGATGGAGTAGAGGAATATGAAAGGAATAATAAAATCCAAAATCCAATTTGGAAGAAGGAAATCGTACTCCGTAAAGGGTCAGTGAGGCAGCAGCAGCAGCAGCAGCAGGAGAGAAGAACAAGAGAAGAAGACACAGAAGAAGGAAAAACAGCTGAATAAGAGCGTCGGATCAGATTAGATTATCGTGGGCGTCTTCCCGATTTCGGCGAGTCGGAGATGAAATCATTCCCTGTTCACTCATTCCAGCCATGACCAGTTCTACGGTGGGAAACAGGCTGAAGTGTATTTTTATTATTATTATGGAGAAGAGGGTTCCGGAATTTTTATCAATCAGTCGGGGGGTGCTGGACAGCTGGAGGCATTTTAGTTTACTAGTTACTTAGTTCTAGGGTACAAGAGAAAACTCCACCCAAACTTGAGACAGTGAGCCCTACATCGTAGATTGATAAGTGCGCCACATATCCGAATATCTTCTCGTCGGCAGAGTCATCCTCCTCGGTCTCCTCCGCTCAGATCATTAATATCTACATGATAGCTCAAGTATATCTATCTACCAACGAGGATGAAGGATACACTCTCAAACTGCCTCTCCTCTTGACCAGTTCTCTAACCTCGGGATTGCCTTTCCCTCAAGAACATGCCGCGTATTGCTCCATCAGAACCACTCAGCACCAGTCTTCAAGACTCCAAGACTCCAAGACCCTCAAAACCGCTCACCGATTGGAAATGGAAACCCTGAGCCAGCCAATGGCAATCCACCCGGTCCGCAGCAGAGGAAAACAATGAAGAATTCGACTCGGCAGCTGATTCGTCCCTCCATCGTCTAATCTTATCTGATCACGCTTTACCCTTTGGGGTCATCAGCATTTGGTTCAGAGAGCTACTACCATCCATACTACCATCTTACTACCAGTGTATATCAATACTTGTAGTACCATTAGTTCATAGATAGATGGTAGAGAATATTACGAGAAATTTTTTGTTTTTTTTTTTTTCTTGTGAACCTCTACTTCAGATGGATACTCATCTTAGTTGGCCTTGTCGGTGGTTCTCATGGCGTGGGTCCCCCGAGTACATCCTCTGCTGTGACTCAATTGCTTCGACTCACAGTGCCGATCAACGGCGGTAGAATAGCGAAACCCGGTCCGGTCTGTTTGATTGCAATAGGTAAGGATCAAGATGGAGAGAGAGAGTGCGAGGGGCCACTACTTTGGTTCAATTGGAACTTGATTTACATGGATCATCAAGTTAGTATTAAAACAAGGAACAAATAACAAAATAACTCCTCTGATAGTACAATAGGGATCATCTCGTCAATCTCGGAACCCTATCATCATTTTGCCTTCTCCAAAATCGGTCTCCCAGTCAAGGGAAAGACCTTGCTCATAATTCTGTCAAACACGGGGATCCTGGCGCTGGGGACGCCGAGAATCTGGTTTGTACAAAGACCTTTTGCATGCCCTTTTCGCGCTTGTCAAACAATGCATATACCTCCTCCATATCTTCCAATCGTACGCGGTGCGTGACCATGTCCAAGGGATCAATCTCGCCACGCTGAATCAGTTCCAAGAGATGCTTCCAATACTTGTGCACGGGAGCCTGCCCATTGCCAATGAATCGGACACCCGTCTGCATGAGGGCACCAATGTTGAAGTGGTTTGTCTGCCGTTCCTAGTTAGCTTCAAACAGTTGATCGCACAGTATATCAAAACAAGTCCACTTACAAAGCCAGCATAAATACCAGTGACGCCGACCCGCCCAAAGGGGCGAACCGACGTGATCATCTCGTTCAACAGCTCTGATGTGTCCGTCTCCATTCCCAGAAGAGTTTCGAAGTAGTGCAGCCATCCCTTGGCATATTCGCCAGCAGCACATTCTAGAGCCACATCCGGTCCACCATGCACCATTTTCTTCAACTGTGAGGTCACCGACTCTCCGCGCGGCAGCCTGGTAAAGTCCAACGTCTCTACCTTGGGGATCTTAGACTTGACAAAATCAAGTCTCCAGGCTCCTTCTCCGCCGTCAATCAAGATCACTCGGCTGGCTCCCTGGTCGAAGCTAAACTTGACACACATCTGGCCGATTGGGCCGGCGCCCCAAATGGCAACGACATCCCCTTCCTGCACGCCCGTGTCGACAACACAGTGGTACGACGTAGCAATAACATCCGAGAGATAAAGTCCCTTTTCATCTGGGACATCGGGAGGAAGCTGCAACAGATTGACATCTCCTCCAGGAACACGAACATACTCCGCCTGCCCTCCCGCAAAGCCAGAAGTGAAATGGCTGTATCCAAAGATCCCTATATTAGGCGAAAGTTTCGTTAGCGATGCTCGCACAGGATTCCACACCGGACAAGGTCACACTAACCGGCTGTCCGTTTTCCGTAGAGGGCATTGGCAAGGGTACTCGAATTTGTCCGCTCACAAGCGGAAGTCAATCCCTTCTTGCAGTTCATGCAATCTCCACAAGCAATTGGGAAGGAAGCGACAACACGGTCGCCGACTTTAACATTCTTGACACCCGGTCCCACACTGTCCACTACACCACAGAACTCATGTCCGAGGACATCGCCCTTTTCTACCTCAGGAATAACACCTACAGGTATGTTAATCATAGTGTCCTTGAAGGATAAATGCCGAGATGCTAACACATACCATGATAGAGATGCAGGTCACTTCCACAGATCGTGCTACCTGTGACTTGCACAATTACATCACCCTCATCGATAACTCTCGGCTTCGGCATCTCAACTGTTGGTTATACCGATGTCAGTGGTCTTGTCTTCGAGGTAAAATGCCCTTAAATACTGACCAACTTCGACACTGTTCTTCCCCTGCCAGGTCGTTGCCTTGATTCTGGTATCTGTTTCCTCGCCGTAGTCCTTCTTCGCATAATTACTCACGTCCGTGGTGAATACTGCAGTATCATCATGCCCAACCACCTTCTCCACGGCAGCGGCAGCTCGAGAGACGGCCATCTCGAGATTGTTTTAATCTGGTTAGGAACAAAGTTGATTTCTTAAAGAAGTTGTTCAAAATCCACAGAATTCAGAGGAGCTTCAAAGCGCCTTTAGCAAAGATGCGTTCATTGCTTGTTCCTTTATATAGACTGCTTCCAACACTGACATCACCCCTTCGTCACGCGGCAGTCTGGGGCGAACCAGAATTTCTTTTGTCTGGATTCATTCTGTGGTGAGTTCGAGCGTTTATCAAGTAGCATATAATGGTCAGTCATTGTTGCAGCCATGACTGTCAAGGTCGTCGCACCCATCTCCTCTTCCTCAACTGCCGGTGATACTCAAGATGGTGATGGATGAAAGAGTCACGTTAGCTGCCAAGTCACGAGACTCTGTTGGCCATCTCTCCCACATACCAGCAGTCATTGAGATAGCTTAGGATCAATCACATTACTCACCTTCTTCGAGAACATTTGAGAGATCCTTCAGGGTAAAATACTCTCCCGACTCGTTGAATAGTGTTGCCTAGGAGAAGCTATGGCGACCGTATCAATTTTCCTCGGCCATTTCTCTTGGCCTCATCTACCAAGCTACCACTAGAAGTGATGGAAAACCCAGACAGAAATTCTCATATTTATCTCAAGGAATCACATCTCTGCAAGTTCGGATTCAAGTTATGTTCTTATGTGACCGGAAGGCGTAGGCTCGGATGCCATTGCGACGGACTAGTCTATGCAATAACAAGCTCTCTCTCTCTCTCTCTCTCTCTCTTTTTTGACAATCTTTCTCAAGGACACCGTGCAGCGCCAGGAGCATCTCTACTGAAGTGACAGCCCAATTCTTCTTCTTTGTGGTTGTTTTGCCCAATTTTTCATCCTCAAATTCCGATCATCGCGTGGTTTTCCACGCGCAATCTTCATAATGGGTTGCTTTGATTGTCTTTGGGGGCCCGGGCATACCAAAGAGGAGCCTGGACAATGCAACCCATATCCTGTTCCTGGTAGGTTGGTTTGACTTCATACATTCCTCCTCTCCCTGTCATGCTTGATAAGAGACAAAATGTTTTGTCCTGCACATGCCTTGCCTATAATGGCATTGTTTTTATCCTTCATAAACAGTAGATGCATGGAGGTGCCATTGCGTCTCGCGTGCCCCCAGAGAAAAGGGCCATCTTCGGCAACAGTGAATACTCTATCCATTGATTATTCGCTCTGTTTACTATTCATACACTTTTGATCTTGGTCGCAGGAACGATCTTCTCGTGTCTTTTAGATATCATGTTTAACGTTGCTTGGTTCATCAACCAGTGATTCTGCATTGACATTACTTCACAGCTCTCCTTCTTTGCCTTGATTCCAAACTTATTGTATCTACTCTTGTTCTATTCCTGATGACTCTCTTGTGCTCTCCATGATGATTTTCTGGTATCTGCTTCTTACACTGCTTGCAGTGCCTCCAACGATATCCCAGCACCATCCAGGGGATCAGACAGTCTTTGCCCACTTTATCGTAAGTCCTGGTGCTTCACGTCGAGGTTTGGAGGTCGAGCAGGCTAACGAGAGCTTAGGTGGGAAACGCGGCCGCCATGACACCTGAACAGTGGGAGTGTGATATCATTGAGGCGCAGAAGGCTCACATTGACGGCTTTGCCATGAACATTGGTCCTCAGGATGACTATACCGATCGAGTTCTCCACATGGCGTATGATGTAGCTGAAAGAATTGGCAATTTCTCCATGTTTCTTTCTTTTGACTATGGATCTGCTGGGCCCTGGCCTATTGATCGGGTCATTGACCTGATCAATACTTACAAGAACCGGCCCGCGCAATTCATATACCAGAACAAGCCGATGGTGTCCACATTTGAGGGTGCTGATAGTGCAGAAGATTGGCGAACCATCAAAGCAGCAACCGGATGTATGTTCATTCCCAATTGGACGAGCCTGGGGCCCGCGGGGATGTCGAGCGTCTGGGATATCATTGACGGTGCCTTCAGCTGGGATGCCTGGCCCATTGGAGCCCAGGATAAGGATACCGGTAGTGACGAAGAGTGGAAAAGAGCTTTGGCTGGAAAGCCGTATATGATGCCTGTGGCCCCTTGGTTCTACACCAACCTCCCTCAATGGGAGAAAAACTGGCTCTGGCGTGGTGATGATCTCTGGCACTACCGCTGGCGGCAAGTCATGGATGTCCAGCCGACTTTTATCCAGGTACCTTCTGACGCTCCATTGCCAATCAATGACTAGGGCTAATGATCTATTTTTCTGGCCAGATCCTCACTTGGAATGACTACGGGGAAGCACATTACATCGGCCCAATCTACAAATCTGGAGTCCCTGATGGCGCTATGCATTATGTTTCTGGTCATCCTCATGATGCCTGGCGAGCTCTTTTACCTCACTATATCGATGCTTACAGGCGGAAGCAGCCCAGACATTTCCCCATGAGCAACCCCAGATATCCCATGTCATATGGTGATAAGCTCGTTTACTGGTACCGTTTGAACCCCAGCAGTGCTGGCAACACTGGTGGAACCACTGGCAACAACCCTGGCATGGGTCAGCCTGAATTGCCTCCTGGAGAGGTCTCTCAAGATCGTGTTTTCGTGAGCGCGATGGTCCCGGAACCAAGCGACGTTTACATTCACATCGGCTCAAATCCGCCTACCAGACTTTGGGCGCAATTTCCCGGGATCAATCATTTTTCTGTACCTTTCAATGGACATACTGGTCCTGTGAAGATTGCCATTGTGCGAAATCAGCAGGCAGTGAAGTTGGTTGATGGGCCGCCCATCACTGACCAGTGTGCAGCTGGCATGGTGGATTGGAACGCTTTTGTAGGATCGAGCGAGTAGCTGGTCGATAAGGCGATGTACATAAGTCCTAGGGGCTATGAATTATGAATGTGACATATTTGTTTCATCTGGTGAGGTGTGATGTTTGTTCTACTTCAATTTGTGTGTGTGTGTTTGTGTATACATATATAATGGAGATGGCATCCACCCCGCCGAGGCCCCAGTACTATATCTTCCTATCCAGGTCAGCAACAAAGTTCAGGTTTCAACTCGAAAGATAATAGATGTCATTATTTCGTTCTTTAGGCGAAAATCCAGTAGAGTAGACTGAAATTGTCAGCATCATTCCTTGAATTCCCAGGCACCAGACTTATCAGCTGACCAGCCTGAGTCAACGATAAGCCGAGCTTCTCCAACTCTCCTCATCTTCCCCTCTCGGCTTGATTCCTCTTCTCTTCATCTCTCAATCACAGTTTACCAATTATAAATCATATTATCTCACTTATAGACACTTCCTGCAGCTTCAGTATGACAAAGAAGGGTATTGTCGATCTCCGTGACTCGAACATGGCTTATCGCCTGTCTGGTCAGTTCCCCGAGCCAACACCATCGTACCCCTCGAGCACAGCATCCCGTCCAGCGGAACAGAGCAAGCCGGCTGCATTCTCTCCTGAAGATTACGCACAGCCCTACTGCAACTTTATGACCGCATATCCCACCATCTTCCACGCCGTCGACGGGTTCACAAAGGAGCTCGAAAGCAAGGGATACAAGCATCTTCCAGAGCGTGAGGCCTGGACCTCGAAGCTACAACGGGGTGGGAAATACTACGTAACGCGCAATGGCAGCGCATTCATTGCATTCTCCATCGGGAAGGAGTATGAGAGCGGGAATGGGTTGGCTATTGTGGCAGGCCACATCGACGCCCTCACCGCCAAGTTGAAGCCTGTTTCGAAGCTTCCCAACAAAGCGGGCTTTGTCCAGCTTGGTGTGGCGCCGTATGCGGGCGCCCTGAACGAAACCTGGTGGGATCGTGATCTATCCATTGGTGGTCGTGTTCTTGTCAAAGACCGCGATAGTGGGAAGGTCGAGTCCAAGCTGGTCAAGTTGGATTGGCCGATTGCTCGGATCCCCACACTGGCTCCCCATTTCGGTGCCCCCTCTCAGGGTCCTTTTAACAAAGAGACCCAGATGGTGCCCATTGTTGGCATCGATAACTCAGATCTGTTCCAGCACCAGGTGTCGGCTTCGGCAAGCTCGGACAATGGCATCAAGCCGGGTTCATTCGCGGCTACTCAACCGGAGCGACTGGTCAAGATTATTGCGAAAGAGCTCGGAATTACAGATTACGACACAATTCTGAATTGGGAACTGGAGCTGTATGACAGCCAGCCGGCGCGTCTGGGTGGCTTGGAAAAGGACCTGATCTTTGCGGGTCGCGTCGACGACAAGCTCTGCTGCTACGCGGCCCAGCAGGCACTTCTCGCCTCCCCAGACAGCACATCACCCGCCTCGATCAAGATGGTCGGCATGTTCGACGACGAAGAGATCGGCAGCTTGCTGCGACAAGGCGCCCGGTCCAACTTCATGAGCAGTGTCATCGAACGCATTACTGAGGCCTTCGCCTCGTCCAACTACGGACCCAACCTGCTCTCGCAAACAGTGGCCAACAGCTTTTTTGTCTCGTCGGACGTCATCCACGCCGTCAACCCCAATTTCCTCAATGTTTATCTCGAGAACCACGCCCCGCGCCTGAACGTCGGCGTGGCCGTTTCCGCCGACTCGAACGGCCACATGACTACCGACAGCGTCAGCTACGGCTTCATCAAGCGCGTCGCTGACCGCTGCGATGCCAAACTGCAGGTCTTCCAGATCCGCAACGACTCGCGCAGCGGCGGAACCATCGGGCCCATGACCAGTGCGCGCATCGGTATGCGGGCCATCGACGTGGGCATCCCGCAGCTGAGTATGCACAGCATCCGCGCAACCACGGGCAGCTTGGATCCCGGTCTGGGTGTCAAGCTTTTCAAGGGCTTCTTTGACTACTTTGAAGAGGTTGATAAGGAGTTTGCTGATTTTTAGATGGTTGGATGTGTGTTTCATATCTATAGTGCATATAGATTTCTGTAGACCTCGATTGGTTTTGCTGACGGGCTGATTATACAAGCTGGATGAATGATGTTGTTTTTGAGAATTCATGGACCTGCTTTCTTTATCGTTGCTTGTTTTCCCTCTCGGTACAGATACCATGGTTAATCCACGATTGGCAATATATGAAATGAAAGAGATACCACAATACTGTGTCAAAGTCCAACCAAGCACTCATACTCCAAACCATTGCATATCCACCTGATGCTTCACAAATGGTCTCTCAAGAGAAAGTATTCACACCCTCACGGGGCTCAGCTATGATCATCTGCTGTTTAGGGACATCTTTCCTTGGAATCTTCTTTTCTTTGCCTGTGCTGTTATCTCCCAGACCCGAGAAAAGAACTCGCTCCGTCTCGCTGGTACACGCGCCGTACTCGACGTCGTCTCCACGCGTGATTGTCGTCGACAAAACCCCGATTCCGGTCCCGTGTCTCGGAGCATGGCTACGTGATAACGGACGGGGACCAATAATGCGGACTGCACTCGCTGAGAGTTGACAGTAAATGAGGCATGATGCGTAAGACTAGAGGGTGGAGAGTAGATAGATAAGCGCAGATGATGTCGAAGGGTTCCCAGAACTCTCCCCAAGTTGTATTGGACCCTCGGACGATCTTTCATACCACAAGGTTTGTCCGAGCGTTCAAGCTTCTGTCTGTATGTCCTGAACCGGTCTGGCAAGAACAAGGGAAGAGAACAAATATCCTGAGCAACAAAAGCAAGGAGGCCATAGATAGCGCGAAAAGGCAAGTTATCGAAGCTTTGTACAGGGTCAATTAGACAGCTAAGTAGAGACGTAGAGTTGCTGGACCCGGAACCCCATACAGATGAGAACAGGACATGCCCTGACTTAGTTGAACCTCGACATGAAAAATGATCAGATCCCCGAAGAAAATGAGAGAGATAACCCATTCAATTATAGCGACTAGGCTCTTGTCTTCTGGAAGGTAAGTTTGTATTTGGATGCAAGCTTCATGGATAGCACCTGGTGTTGCACCCACCCAAGAGTGTACCTTGCAGGATAACAGTGGAAAATGTTGTAAAGCTCAGACTCACTGGAGGGTGAACTTTACAATCTCCACTGGCGATTCATGTACCTTCTATAAATACCTAATCATTTGACACAATGATGGGCTCCGATGGCCTTACTTTTTGTCACTGACTGTTAGTGCCCAGTGATGACCGCGACGCCATAAAAGCAGACAAGAAGGGGCATACTTCGAGTGATGCATGTATATAGCTGCGCAAAGCCGAAGCATGTTCAACCACTTTGAGGTATGCGAGACGTAGTATGTGAGAGACAGTGGCGCATTGGTTTTATCTTGCAAGGTCTTTCGATATCTTGTTCACATAACGGTTTTTAGACCGACTGCCTGACGCTTCGAGGCTCCAAAGAGACAGGTAATATCAGTATAGTATCTCAGTAACCTTGTTTAGCCTTGATCACACCAGCCTTCTGGTGCACAAAGCTCTAATATGGTGCCAGTGTGTCAGACCTAGCCTGGTGATAGGTCAAGAGTTGTTGAAAAAGTTCTACACTGAGAGTTATGAAATATACTGAACTTGATGATCCTAACGGTCGAATGACGCCTCATCTGATCCATCATACTGGACAATTGCCATATCACTCACCATTAAACAGGTGAGACGTGAGAATTTGACGAAGTCTATGCGTTCTTCCAGGTCAGAGGCAGCTTTGAGTGATGACTTCAATAGCATGTGAAATAATGAGCATGGAGTATTGCTAATAGCAAGGATGCCATGTTCAGTATGAAGATTCGAGATTTCTTCCATCAGGTATAGCGATCGTTCGAAAATGAACGTTCAGATGTAGCTGGTGGCATGTTATCTGAAGCCATCTTTATATGGAAAGGGACAACCAAACATAGACAATTGGAAGGCTCTAGTTAATATTCATGCTAGTAGAAAAGGCAAGATCAATGGATTCTTTAGTACATCTTGATCTGTCGGGCTTTTTTTTGGTTTGAGAGATAGGTAGGGGAGAGATGTTGGATATTGCTAATGCATCTCATACTAAATCGTATGCTTTGTCGTTGACCAGTTGGCCGGCCGATAAGGCGACGCTAAGATAAGGATAACGCACAGACCAGCCAAAAATTCCAGCAACACCACCAGTGGCCCTGGGATCCTTCTTCTTACCTTTCAATTTCTTATTCTGTCGGTGCATATTGCAGTCTTCTCTTCCTATCATTTTTTGGAAGAGCCTGCTGTCGCCTTGCTTTTCAAAATGACAGATTCGACGAGTCCGACCAAACCGGTCCACACGATTATTCTCGATGCTGGTCCCATTCTGAAGAATACCCCGCCTCTGTCCACACTGCTTGCGCAATGCGAAGAACTCCTTATCACTCCATCTGTCGTCCGCGAAATCCGTGACCCCGATGCGCGCATGCGAGTCGAGACGCTGTATTTGCCATTCTTGAAGCAGCGGACACCGTCACCAAAGAGTGTTAGTGTACTCAGCGAATTCGCACGGAAAACCGGCGACAGGGCTGTGCTCAGTAAGACTGATCTTGAGGTCCTTGCGCTTGCATATGAAGTAGAGTGCGAGAGGAACGGTGGTGATTGGAGATTGAGAAGTGTTCCCGGTCAGAAACAGGTGAACGGCAAACCTCCAGTGAAGGAGGAGAAGAAAGAGGAACAGCCTGAGCAGGCGGAAGCGGAGACGGGAGAGACAACCGATACAGCAAACGCAGTAGATGAAGCAGAAGTTGATGCTGTCGCAGAGGATTTGAGCAAAACAACACTCGAGACTGATGACAAGGAGGTTAACGAGGAAACACCATTGGCAGACTCCGCAGAAACTGCAGAAGCCGACGACAAAATCGGAGACAAGGCAGAAGGCGAGGCGGAAGATAGCGTTGATGCGGATCTTCAGGATGATGATGAGGATGGCTCCGACTCCGACTGTGGCTGGATCACACCCTCCAATCTCAAGAAGCGACAGGCCCAGGACGAATCAATCTCTGCGGCTGCAGCACCCGAACCGAAGATCATGCAGGTTGCAACCATGACCACTGATTTTGCGGTATGTTGGAAATAGATAAACGACCATGGAGGCTGAGACTTATACTGATTCACTATACAGTGCCAAAACGTTCTGTTGCAAATGAACCTCAACTTGTTGTCTACAACCACCCTCCAGAGAATTCGTCATCTTAAGTCCTTTATCAAACGCTGTCACGCTTGTTTCTTCACGACCAAAGATATGACCAAACAGTTCTGCCCTCGCTGCGGTAGAGATACTCTCACTCGTGTCTCTTGCAGTACCGATGCGAACGGTCAGTTCAAGATGCATCTCAAGAAGAACATGCAATGGAACAACCGAGGCAACCGATTCAGCGTTCCAAAGCCCATGCACGGAAGTGCTAGCGGAAAATGGAAAGGCGGTGGCGGCAAGGATGGATGGGGTACCGAGCTCATCTTTGCTGAAGACCAGAAGGAATATGTCAGAGCCTCAACCGAAGAGAGTAGAAGACTCCGCAGGGAACGAGATCTGATGGATGAAGACTACCTGCCGGGAATTCTGACGGGTGAACGAAGCAAGCACGGCGGTAGACCCAAGGTTGGAGCTGGCAGGAATGTGAACTCAAGACGGCGGTAAAGGTACATACTTTTGCATTTGTGGATATTTACAGTTGATTGAAAATTTTCACGAATTTCTTTTGTTTATCTGCTGGCTATCATCCCATTTGCATCAACGCAGAGAGTTGCTTCAACATGTGTATAGAGCTTATAGCATATCTATGACGGAATTGGACATGGGTTACGCTGTGTCAGAGCAAAGTTGGCATGTATTGTGCAAAGCACAATTAATCCTCCAGATGAATATTCTCTATCCGCCAAATAAACGAAATTCTCCGTCCTCAAAGATCGCACAATAACACCATTCGCCTATAAATGATTTGGAAACCCCTTTGTAGATCAATTCAGTTTATTTTCGTTCGCAACCTCCTCACAGAGCCGCGCTGGTCTTCTCTATTGAATGGGTCAGTCTCTGGGGCTGGAGCCTTGAGAAATGGAACATACCGGGCTGCTGGGTTAGCAGGAGGCCATATCTCCGCTTGAGGGTGACACGGTGTCTAAATCGTTAAAGTTCAGCAATTGTTTCGAGCGCATTTCCAGTTTCCAATTCGCAAACCCACCTGGAGTACTTGTCATCTGGCGAGAAGCGAGCGGGGTGGGCAGACTTGGTGACTTCGCCGCTCTATCATTCGAGTATTGTCAGCGTCGTGGAAATTCGCGATGCGCTCAAGGATGCATAGATACTTACCAGGACCTTCTTGAGGGTATAGACCCGCTTGCCATCCTTATCGAGAACGTACTGTTAACGAACATTAGATGAGAGACTGCTCGGTGCTGTGCGTTAAGAACTGCAATGATGTCTAAAACATACCATAAGATGCATCCTGGAAACACGGCAATCAGTACCTTCGAACAACACGGCACTGCGCTGTCAGAAAAAGAAGTAAACTTACTTGGCGGTTGGTCTTTGGACAAGAATCAAGGCAGGTAATGAGTATATGCGATGTTATCCAACAAGCAACTGTCGATGTCCCTCGTGACAATTCAAATCGATAAAGTGGAGGAATTTTTTTCGGCGGAGATGTCGGAGCTCAGACCAATAAGGGCTCGCTTAGTCATTGGTTGTACCACTTTATAAACGCCGCTCCGAAATTTTTCTCGTTCTTTTTTTCTCAACTCCAAACTCATTGACGCTCAATAACATCTGGGAATGGTTATGATGATCGCATTCAATCAGGTTCCAACATGATGTTGCTGGAATACTTGAGGTAATAGCAGATTGTCTTACAACACTTCCTTACAGAAGCTTCATTCACACTCCCATTCCTCTCAAGGATTGGGTGCCCAGAAAGAGACATTTTTCTGGTAAGCACCAAGAGCCTCGCTCGACATATAGAGGTGTAATCTTCTGTTCTCTCCGGTGATGACACCTTTACACAAGCTTAGGCAATGGCAACCTTGATTTCTAGCTGTTGTCAGTGATTGCTTTGTTTTGACTACAACGGTATCTGAGGAGAAGAACATGATTAAACCTGTTGTGTTGAGAAGGGGATATCTTGCGATGGGGAGCGCCGAGCTGACTCTTCGCTCTGTAGATAGCCTCATATGTGGAAATAGTGTAATTGAATCAAAATATTCTGTTAATGATGGCTTCTTCGCCTACACCAATTCTAAGTTCACCTCATGAGCTCGTTGGTACCCCCACCAAATCCGAGCCGAACAACAATAATGCACGCCCGGCACGTCGTCCCCGGCCTCAACGGCCTAATTACAAGCACATCCATCGCTTTCCTCTTCCCTTAACCGTCCACCCTCTTCCTCCTCTCATTCCTCATAATCCCTTGTCGATTATCAGCGTGGTGTTGTCGTACTTGACGTACTTCATCACCCCCCCTCAACAAGAGATCTATGCCGCATACTTTGATTCGGCGACCTCATCCATCCATGTCACCGATGAAAAGGCAATCCGAGCTCTGTGGGAGATGGGATTTTTCGGCAAGGGTACTTTGAGTCGAAGTCAACCCAGTTGGCTGGAACGGGAGAAGAAACGAAGAGGGTTACTTGGAGGTCAGACCAATGAGGAACTCACTCGCCAGCGCAGAACCGAGCGACGTGAGCTGAAACTGGAGAGAGCAAGGATGGAAAAGGTAGCTATTGAGCAAAGACTGAAAGCCGAAGCTGCGGCACGTGAGAGTGGTACTACCCCCGCTGATCAAACCTCAGCGGTGCTACCTACGGATAGTCTTGCCAATGGTGCAGCCGTCACCCTAGAGAAGTTCTCTCTCAGGAAGGCTAGAGAAGCCAAACTACTTGAGTCGCAGCGATCGAAGGGGAAGGAGGATGGTGAACAATCCATCTCGTCTCCTGCGAAGGAACCCGCCGGCAAAACAGTCCGCTTTTCTTCGATCGTCCACGAAAAGGAATTTTCATCGGATTCGGTAATTGTTCGTCTGCCTGAGCCAGCTCAAGTTGATGACAGCGTGGAAGCTAAACAGGTAGACTCTACACTTAAAAACGAGGAGCATTTACAGCTATCGAACGAGGAGGCTTTCTTCCTTGCTTATGCGCTTGGTGTACTCCACGTTTTCGATGATGGGCACAAAGCTGTCGTTCCTCCTACCGCGCTACTCCCGCTATTCTGTCACACCTCATACTATCCGTCCCGCAGTTCGTCAATGATTCTGCAACCAGACGATCCTTTTCTCGTCTCCTATGTCGTTTACCATCACTTCCGATCCCTTGGATGGGTTGTGCGCTCCGGGGTGAAATTCGGAGTCGATTATCTTTTGTACAACCGCGGTCCTGTGTTCTCACACGCCGAATTTGCGGTTGTGGTTATCCCAGCATATGAACATACATACTGGTCCGAAACACTAGAACGGAGGGCTTATTGTGAAAGCAAACAGGCTCGTAGCTGGTGGTGGCTACATTGTGTCAATCGAGTCCAGGCACAAGTGAAGAAGAGCTTGGTGGTATGCTACGTGGAGGTTCCTTCACCAGCATCTCACGAGTTAGAGCAAGATTCTGAGGATATCGGCGCTCTTCTTTCTCGGTATAAAGTACGAGAAATGCTCCTCAGAAGATGGGTTCCCAACCGCACGCGGGACTGATCTCTTCCCTCGGTTCTCTGTCTATGTAACATCTGAATCAAATCAATACTTCTCAAGACATCAATCATCTGCGATGTTACCTAGTGTAACAGTAACCAATCGCCATGCTCTCGTAACCCTATTACATCAGAAAGCTATATGATTACTTAAAGAATCGATATACTCTGACTGCTCCTAATCCATTTCCCATTTCCAGATTCCAATAGAATCAGACGCAACTCTTTCTGCCTGTAGAGCTGATAGTGTCTGATGTTGACATGTGGTCCAGTGAACTAACCCCAATATAGTAATATTACTATAGCTGATCACGTGCTCTACGCGTTTCGCGTTTCTCTGGTTCAGCGACTTCAGTCCCATTACGGAACGCTAGGGATGGCTGCTTTGGGGGTGGATGGACTTGTGCAACTGAAAATATAAGTTTGGATATGATGGGGAATAACTATCTGGTTTTTGGAGGTATCTGAACGTGATTCAACATGGAGACGCAGAATGACAGCATCGACATTGTGAAGTTGCAACGCGTCGCGCTGGGACTAGTAAGTCGCAGCAGCGATGGGGTGGCGTTTTTTGATCTCGATCGTATTAACACCAATCATTCCTGATAGGACCTTGCGCCATCTCAGCTCCTTCTAGACGACCTGGAATCCATTGATAATCACCAGCCGAGATATCCGTTGAACGATTGTTGCGAAAATATAAACACAACGGATGTTCCAGCGCCGTCCCCTGATCACCAGGTCATACAACCCTCCCCGCAGGAGCTTGTTCCTCGAAGCGAGGATGATCCTATAATTTCGATAGATGCGAATCGGGAATCTGAGTCGGGCAATATCAGACACGATCCTCAGCCCGTTAGGCATACAGCGAAGATGAGTTCCGCAGATGCCGTGCCGTCAGACACTCAGGTTGTTTCCCAATCGGTTTTCGATGATATGATTAAACAGAATAAAGATGCTGCTAGAAATATTTTGGAAAGCAATCTCGGCGATCGAGCTACACTGGTGACATTGCACGAGGGTGACAGCGGCCATTTAGACTTGCTGTCAGGGTTTGAGAATACATGTCCGGACACTATCAATGCCGAAGACAACGAAGATCAGAGCAGCTCCAGGCTGGGGGAATCATCGCCATTGCACTTTCAACCGAATCTTTTCCCCGAATCTCAGCGGTTCTTGACAAGCACACCAGCGACAGCTTTGAAGACCGGCCGCACTCAAAACTCGAATTCCGAAACCCCGTCCATGTCCAAGAATCCTCTTGCAACAGATATTCAATCAAGCGGCGGAGTCATGGCATTGAGCCAGGTATTCCGAGCAACTCAGGCTCCATCCTCTCCGCTAGTCCATGGCCAGCATCCCGACCTCATGTCAGATAGACCTTCCCCAAATATTCCCATTCAAAGCCATCCGCTAGCTACAGCGCTGTCCTCCCCACTGAACAATCTCGCTGCGACGTTTCCTCAAGATCATTGCGAGACACCGATGGCCTATATTAGTATGAAAGAGTCTCAAGCGAGAAGAGATAGGATACTACAGGAAAGGATGACCCGTTCTGCGGAATACATACACTCCGAAGACCAGAGTGATGGCGAGTTTGACAAGGAACCTAGCTTTGTGGAGCGTATTATACGTCAAAGGAACATTGATCAAGAAGCAACAGCGCAATTTGCTGGCTTGGCAGCTCCACCCAGACCACTCAACAGACGACAAACGGGCGACAGAAGCTTACCATTACCTGAAAAACCACAGCAAGAGAGGCAGATTGAGGTGCCGAGAAGCCCTGTTTCTGCAGACGAGGCTCATAAACTAGAAGCTGGCCTTCAAACGAGTCCAATTAGTGAAGCAGAGACTGAGGGAGACGAGGAACCCGCACCATCTAGGCTTCCTCCACATACGCCTAATTCGTCAACGGAAGAAGACAAGGAAAACCACGACAATGTCTCCGGAGGTAGTCGTGCGGACACCGCCTCTGCGCACAAACGGCTCTCGCGGGCTCTCTCTTCACAAGACGGTTCAGCCTCTCCGAAGCGCTCGTCAGCGAAAGGGATTGTTTGTCGTCCTGGTAGCCCTGATTTGGCGGATTTGGATGGGACAAGAGAGTCATCACAAATCGTGATAGTGAAGGACTCGCAGCAATCCCCTCGACATGAGGACAATGAGGATCAGAGTGACGATGCCGTACATGGCCGACGGAATCACAGGCATATGTCGCAAGCCAGCGCGTATAATCCTGGCAATCCTAGAAAGAGATATGTTTCTTTTCCAACAAAATCCCCGCAGATATGTTCATCTCCGCCTCCATCAGACCATGGGGATGTCCAAAAGCTGCATCGAGTTCATCATAATCCGTCAGCTACTCGTAGTCGATCAAATTCGGCGAGCAGCCACGAAGCTTCCAGCCAGCTTCCAAGGAACCTTTCTTCTGCCCAAGAAGTCATCATCACGCAATCCAGCAACTTCCTCGGTGATAAGCCCACAGGAATTGCGGATAAAGATGTGAAGTTCGATACCCGAGACAAGCCATCTTCAATGCCCTCTCGTGTGGCCGAGACACCTGTCCCTCAGCATTTAAAAGACTTTGGAGACGGGCTCCCCGCAACAAGTATCCCAGAGACCAGTCCAAACAGATTGCACAACCGGGACTGGGTAGATGACACGGGCAATGACCCTATGGATCAAGATGATGATGATTTGCCCCCTACTTATGCGGCCAGCCAAGGGCGCGTCAGCCTCTCTCAGCCGCTTGTTCCTGAGAGTTCGACCCCAGTAAAGCGTTTTCAAACTGCTAAAATCCTTTCCAGTCCTAGTGGCAGACAGCGCAGAGCACTGACTGAAATAGCTGCCGATGCTTCACCGCAAGCAGGGACTGGTCATTTTGACCTTGATATCGGCATTTTGACAGCCGATGATAAGGAGTTCAGCTCTGTGGTTTCTATGTCCCCGATTCCTCCACGAAAGAGACGGCGTGGAAACGGTCAGAGTGTATATGCCTCTGACCCTGTAGTTCCATTCACACCTCGGACAGCTTCCCAATGTGTTCAAGCTTCCAAGGGAGAACGAACTGTGGAAAAGAGTCCTTCGCCTGCACGACCAGTGGAAACATCCGAATCCAGCCTTCGGAAACGATACGGGCCTCCCAAACGGATGGGAACTTTATGGGAGGTTGAGGATACTCCTCAATATCACGTGTCTCGTAAGGAAAGGTTGAAGAGGGTATCTCAACCACGCTTACAGGCGCAGCCGGAACCTCCTGCTCAGAAACCAGTGGTAAATACAGCCATAAAGATTGTTGAAGTCCACGATACTGGTAATCCGACCCTTCCGAGTGCAGAAGATGGGAGCGAAAGCCGTCCGGATCCCTCAGAATTCGCCAACGATGAAGAGTCTGTCCAGGCAAAATCTGCGCCTTCGAACAATGCTCCAATCGCAACAAATCAAGTCATTGCTCCTTGGAGCGGGCCAAAGCGGGCATATTATCCTGCGACTTGTGTTGGCAAATCGCCCAGTGTCGCGCAATCAAAAATTTTAGTCAAGTTTGAAGATAGTGTTCCCATTGAAGTACCGTTGGGCGCCGTCAAAAGACTGGAATTGCGCATCGGAGATGCCGTGAAGGTTGACATGCCTAACGTCCCGAAGGTAACACATATCATACGGGGCTTTCAAGACAAATTGAGTCCTGAAGATCTCGCGAAGGCGGCCGCTGATGGAATTTTTCCAATTACTGATGTATACGGCCATACTGTTCTATTACTAGGTCCAAAACAGCGCAAAAGCCTCCCAACTAGTGGACTTACGGGCCCTGATAATGTTATCAAGGTCCCCATCTCGCGCATCTACCTGGACACAATTCTGTGGAACCAGCTCAAGGATCGAGCTTTTGCTTACGACTCGGGGGCGGCACCTCTGGAGAACAGACTTCAGACGCCTTCTGAACGACATTCGACTCCCGTATCCCCAGGCTCACGACTATCGCGCAGCATTCGCTTACTGAATGGCTTATTTGCGGGGATGGTGTTTGCAGTGTCTTACGGAGATAATGATGAAGTGAAATCTCGTATCACCAAGATGATCTTGGAAAACGATGGGAGCATTCTGAAAGACGGCTTCAATGAATTATTCGAGATGTCCTCTTACGCACCACTCGCTACTCCTACAAAACCCTCAACACAAGATGCAAACAGCTGCAGTACGCACTTTCGTCTGGCGGGTGGTGCTGAAGAGGTTGGATTTGCTTGTCTCATCGCTGATAAGCACTCGCGCCGCCCGAAGTATATGCAAGCTCTAGCTTTGAATATCCCCTGTCTATCGGATCGGTGGATTGAGGACTGTCTTGCTCAAAATCGAATCCTGGATTGGGAACTGTATTTGCTCCCTTCCGGTGAATCCCTTTACCTGAACGGTGCAACAAAGTCAAGATTCCTCGCTCCCTATCCGGCTACAGCAGCACAACTGCCAATCACCATCGCTGCGCGTCCCAATTTACTCCAGGGCCAATCGGTGTTGCTAGTCATGGGTCGGGGTGGACGAGCAGATGAAGAAAGGAGAAAGGCATACATATTCCTTACATACGCCTTGGGTGCTTCCAAGGTGGAGCGCGTACCCGATCTCAAATCAGTCAGAGCTATTCTGGATCAACAAGCCCAAGCCAGGGCTGGATGTACCTGGGATTGGATATATGTTGATGGGGACGACATGGCTACCGCGAAAGCCATGATTCTCGGACTCTCAACGCTTGGATCACTCAAATCCCAGTCATTCCGGGGCCCGAAGAAGCGAAAGAGAACCGAGTTGATCGAATTCATCAGCGGCGGTGATCTTGGCTTGAGTAACAATGTCAGAATCGTGGGCAATGAATTTGTCTGCCAGAGTTTGATTCTCGGAAAGTTGTTCGAGCAGTGATGTTCTGCCATGTCTTTGAATGATTGATTAAGTTCCAGACATTTCATTCGGGCTAATTTGGAGTGAGCATGGAGCTCTTGGGCCGGAGTTTGGATGAAGAGCTCCTCCCAGCAATTGTACAGATACCCTAGCTTTTTCTTTCCGATAGTCTTCAGTGCCTATTTCGGTGGCTGGTCGTTTGTGTGTGCTGCTTTTCTTTCTACTAAAGCAAAGCGAATGCAACCCGAAATGTTAAACTGCAATATTGCTTGCTTTTTGTAGTCCATGATCGTCCGTGAAGAATTCGGATACATCATACATTTGGAAGTAGACTGATAAATAATGCTGACAATTTCTATAATACAAAGAAACACCTTGAAACCCCCGTGATGTAGCTGAAAGGAAAAGAAACACGGTGTATCAACTAACGGCCACCCTTGCTCTTCTTCGCAGCCTTCTTCTTGCCCTTCAGACTCTTCATCTGGGCAGCACGCTCAGCTCTAGCCTGTCTCTTTCTCCAGGCGAGCCAACGGTTATCGCGCTTGTATGGCTTGGCGGTAATTCCAGCCTTCTCGGCGGCACGACCGATCTGCCAGTTCGCCTCACGGTACATGTAGCCGGGACGCAGCTGGGAGCCCGTGGCGGCATTGGCGGCCTCCACGCCGGAAACCGTCGTGCCATCCTCCACAGTCGCAGCCAAGTCCGATTGAGCGGCAGTTTCAAAGCCATCGGGGATGCGAGGAACCGCGATTCTGTTCAACTTCCGTCTCGTGGGTGCGTTCCGGGGTGTAGGAAGCTTTCCTTCCTTTTCGAAGCAGACACCGATGTATTTCCGATCCGGATGGCGCTCAGGGTCGAGGTAGTATCTCACGTAGCCAGCCTCTGCCGCATAGATGGTGTGATCTCTGCCCATTGCGCAATTCTCGCCGGGGAACCACTTGGTTCCGCGCTGCCGGAAGATAATGCAGCCAGGAACGACATACTCGCCGCCGGTCTTCTTCGCGCCCAGACGCTTTCCGGCGGGATCACGGGAGTGACGGTTGGCAGTACCTTGAGTGGCATGCGAGGCGTGGCGGACTTGAGAGAAAGGGAGAAGATATTTCGAGATCGGGGATGGTGCGGAGATGGGGGCCCGTTGGAAAAGTAATGAAGTTCGAGGAGCGTGAGAAATGGCCGGCGATGAGCGAAGAGAGGAGACGAGGGTTCGCTCGAGCGCCCGGAAAGGCGCTATCAGTCTGGGTTGTAACATGGCTGTCTGAGCCGAAGGTGGAAAGGCACTTCAGCTCTGTTGACAGGATTCGGAACGGCCCATCAAGATTGAAGTTCGGCGACTTTTTCGAACTTTGGAGCCAATCTTGGCGGATAGTCACGTGCTGTTCTGATAGCTGGCTTCAATATGGCCAACTATCTCGTTCTCCTTCAACCAGCGAGCAATCCATACTTTATTTTATTTATTAGCGCTCCTACTTGTCTGACTGTCTCCCATTATGATCTCCGTTTGGATCAGAGTTCTGGGGGCTCTACTCCTCGCTTCGGTTGCTCAGGCCCAATTTCAGTTCTTCGAGCAGATGTTTGGGGGAGGCCACCAAGAACATCATCAACAAGGCTCGCAGAACTCTGCAAGCGATAGTTCGAGATACCAACAATTATGGGAAGCAAGTGAGTCGTCCCCACAGATGATTATTTTGCAATCGTTATGTATGTGGATGGAATAGCTAACAATCTGCTTGCGCCGTGCCTCTACAGCCAATTGCAACAAGTATCTTTGTCCCGGCACGCTTGCATGCGTTGACTTCCCGCATCACTGCCCATGTGAGCATCCGAATGTTGAAGACAAGGTCGAACTGGGTGAAGGAAGTGCGGTCTGCATCTCCAAGGGAGGATACAAGCCTGGGGAGGCTGCGCGGAAGATTGAGTTGGCTCGGAAAGGTCTATTGTAATATGATCCGCTGGATTTTGTAGCTACAGCAGATTAAAAGTGTCATTGGGAGCGAATGGGAGCGACGATTGTTTATGGTAGTGTATATAGACCCGGTCTCGACTGACAGCACAAGTCTAAGGATGCGATAAGCTGAGGAAGACTTTAACAAGGAAACAATTACGACCGAACGAATGTGTCCGATATATATGTTTTCAAGAACGATAGAAGGCTCTGCTGCTCTCTTGAAAATCGTCCATACCTCTTGGCTGTGACATTTACTTGTCAGTGTGCGCGCTCACTGTTATCTTCTAACGACTTCTATATAATTTCTTATCGCCGGTTAAATCCGCGCGGCACATGCAGTTCGTCATGTTCTCCGCCACCACTACACAGAGCTCCTTCAGACATCCAGTCGTCATTCTGTTCCTTTGTTCTTTGAACTAGTCACAGTATTATACATTCTGTAGATACTCCGGCTCATTTGACACATATTATCTTCTGTTTATCCAACTCAGCCTCTCATGTGGGGTACAAGACTGCGAATACCGTTCAGCAGGTCGATTCAGACGCCTGGTCGAGTTTTCGCAAGCTCGTTTACAAGAGGACGCCCGAGTCCTCGTAATCCGCGGAATTCGATTCGAAAACCGGAACCCATTGTGCCTGGTCGAAGAGAGCCAGCACCTTCAAAGCAACCCGAGTCATCAACATCAGAGTCCAACACTCTGAATCCACACTACGACCCCGCTCAGAACACTCTACTTTCACCCGTTCACATACCCGAGGATCCCAATGGGGTACTCAAAGAAACCCATCCTGCTACGGGGATACTGGCAAACTCCGGCCTCGTTGTCCAGAGACAGTTGGAGTTGATGAATGTTATGATGTGGGTATAATCATATGGCGCAGGAAAGTTCATACCCGCTGACCGACGTGCTTCTTTAACAGTGGATTCGAGCAAGCCAATAAATATGTGATTATGGATGCAAATGGAAACCATATCGGCTACATGGCGGAGCAGGAGAAGGGCATAACGAACATGATGGCACGACAATGGTTTCGAACGCACCGAAGTTTCGTCACGCATGTATTTGATCGCCATGAGAACGAAGTGCTTCGAGTAAGTCTATATCTATTAAAGGAAAAATTGGGTCTTCTCCTGTTAATGCTCTTTATAGTTCCACCGCCCTTTCTCCTGGATCAACTCTCGCATTCGAGTATACGACCCTCTTGATCTTGCCAAAACCGCTTACCCATCATCAACTGCTCTACAAAGTATCTCGCCGGGGTCACTTATCCAAGCCACTGGAGGCTCAAATGCACGCGTTTCGCCGCTGGGCCTTGAAGACATGCGTGTCGTTGGGGAGGCACAGCAACAGTGGGCGCCGCTAAGGCGGAAGTACAATCTGTTTACCTACCATCATTCCCCCAACAACGCCACGGAGATGGGGACGCAAACACTACCACTCTCACACACTGGCTTATCCAACACGCAGCAGATGCAGTTGGCTCGGACTACTGAGGGTAGCTCTGATTTAGGAGAATTTCATCAGTTTGCTTACGTGGATGAGCCTTTCCTGTCATGGGATTTCTCCCTTCGTTCCGCCGACAGCCGACTTATCGGCTCGGTCAACCGAAATTTCGTTGGGTTTGCCCGTGAAATCTTTACAGATACAGGTGTTTATGCTTTGCGAATGGACTCTGCTGCTGCAGACTCTGAGCAGCCATCCACGCAAGCGAACGCTGTCGCTGGAATGACGCTTGATCAACGAGCGGTCATGCTCGCCTCTGCTGTGAGCATTGACTTCGATTACTTCAGTCGTCACAGTGGTGCTGGTGGTATGGGTTTCATGCCTATCTGGATCCCCGGTGTAGGCGGCGAGGCTGCTGCTGGTGGTGCCGCCGCTGGTGAGGCTGGGGCTATCGGGGAAGCGGCTGCAGGCACTATTGGTCGGGCTGGCGCTGCTGGAGGGATTGCTGAGGGTGCAGCAGCAGGAGTAGCTGGTGCTGGAGCCATGGCCGGGTACGATGCGCTGTCAAGAGGCATGGGAGGAGAAGCCAACGCTCAGTATCCTCCTGGCCCAGAACAACAACAGACACCAGTGGATCAGCAATCTTCAGCATCGGCACCTGGCCAACCTGGTCCTTATGGGGATGTCTGGGCTGACGAACAAGAGAACCCGTGGTCTCGCGAACCTGAGGATCCATGGGGTGCTGATGAAGCAGCTGACGATGGCGAAACAGGCGGTGATGATTATGACTGGTTCTGATGAGCGATAGACATTATTGCACGTCCCCATCTGGTCCGGTGCATAAACCATGATGGAGTATATGCGATGAAAAATTATCTGATATATAATACCTTGTACTATAGTTTCTCTTATTGATGTTCGAATTCATGATCTGCAGTGTTTGTATGGATCGATACTCCTTACTCCGTAGTCGTCCTCCATTGACTTCACGGGCCGATCCTCGGGGACGACCAATCCTGGATATGTGCCGGGTGGCAAGACCAGACTGCGTTTCTTTCATCGGCCATCCTTTGTATTTCTCCATCCTCAGAACTCCCCTATCTTCTCTCGCATCAACTCTGCTTTGAGACGACTCACACCTTCTCCACGTCATTCTTTTCCATCGAAGGCCTAGGATTTATTCAACCCCACACCGACCGCCGCTTCTCCGCAGCCAGCCCACTTTCCACTGCTTATCGACCGCCAACTTCATTTAAATAATCCTCAAGAGGTTCGACTCGTACACAGGAGCTGCAACCGCTTGATCTCACAATCACAATCCCACCATGTCGACCGTCGCGCAGAAACGTCTCTTTCACGAGTACAAAAACCTCTCGACCAACCCTCCCGAGGGGATCACTGCAGGTCCAGTCAGCGAGGATGATATGTTCCATTGGGAAGCCCTGATTCAGGGTCCTGAGGGCACACCCTATGAAGGGGGTGTGTTTGCTGCAGAGCTCAAGTTCCCAAAGGACTATCCGCTTAGCCCACCAACAATGAAGTTTGTTGGTGGCGGGGTGTGGCATCCTAATGGTGAGCTTGTCTTTGTTTCTCTCTTCGATCTTATGAACCGTGATGGGTCTGCTGACACCTTTATCTTTCTTTGAACAGTTTACCCGAACGGAACCGTTTGCATATCTATCCTTCATCCTCCTGGCGATGATCCAAACCACTACGAGCATGCGTCAGAGCGGTGGTCACCGATTCAGAGCGTGGAGAAGATCCTGATATCTGTCATGAGCATGCTTGCAGAGCCCAATGATGAAAGCCCTGCCAATGTGGAGGCGGCGAAAATGTGGAGGGAGCGGAGAAGCGAGTATGAACGCAAGGTTCGCGATGAGGTCAGAAAGGGTCTAGGATTGTGAGGGACATATCCCGCGCTGGATAGGTGTATAGATCGTCCGCTTTTTGGATTGTACATACGCTTTTTGACATGCTGTGTCTTCAAGACCCCGGGCACGTATCGGGTTGATACTTGATTGTCGAAAGAATTGGATGACTATTGGAATGGCGTTACTGGTGTGTTTGATCTTTTTACTTGACTTTTCTATTCCATATTTTTCTTCTCTACCACACAATCTTTCCTTCCGTTCAAGTTGGGGTTGTTGTTTTTTTTTTTTCCTCACGGAAAAACAAGTTTAACAAATATAGATCATTTGATACAATAGAGTCAAGTTTCTCCTGAGCAGCAGCTCGCTTTGGTCTTGAATAAGCAGTGGCAATCGTGAGAGATCAGCTCGAGGTCGCCATTTTTCTATCAATCCAACCTTCGAGTCCTTCCTCCTGATCGTAGAGAATCTCAAGCTCTGCTTTCAAATTCACCATTAGCATCTGCTGCAGCTCGGCGCGCCATTCCTGTTCGGGCCCATCCGCTGCCAACACGGGGCTGTTCGACATCATGCCAATGGCTTTCTTTCTGTCTCTTGCCGTCAGCTGAGTCAAGGTGCCATCCCCAGCTCGGTCGGCAGTCGCAATGATGTCTAACGTTCGGAGGCCCATCCAGCGAAGTCCGGGTACGTTCAGTCTCGCATTGTCGTGTGCATGCGCCATGGAGCCGTATTTATACGTTGACATGATCGCCATGCCATCTGGATCGCCATCAACGAGCGCATAGAAGCGTGGGGTCTCTTCTGGGCGAAGATTCTTTGTTTCGTCGAACAGTCGTCGAACAAAGGCTCGAGTACTCAAGTCTGGGTAGCCTTTACCCTAAATTCCGACATCAGTTGCTGCCACTAACCCTGATCGTGGAAGACTCACCGTCACCAGTATACCTTTACCGGCTGGCGCTCTGGTTTGATAGCCACTTCTCGAGAGTCGACGGTAGACTGCCTAATAGTGATGTTGCCAAAAGGTGGCGATCTTAGTGAAAACCATCAAGAATTTGAAGCTGCATTACCTCTTTCTCTATGATCAAGACCCATCTGACCTCGGAAAGGTCAAGTTCGTGAATGTCCTCCGTACGTGGTATCAGGATATCCTATGTTGCTCCACTGTCAATATTGACCTAAGAAAGAAATTTTGGAGACCCGAACAACCTTCGTGGAAAGACGAGAGTCTATTGCTTCACCATATTTGGTTATAAGACGGTAATAGCCCGCAACGAGCCCTTTTGCTGCTGCTTCCTGTATCATTTGAACTTAGCAAAGCAAAACATCCGTCTGTCTAGGTTCATTGGTGTATCCTCGGTGCATACCACGTTCAATGCCAATCTATCTACTCCGATTGTATGTGCAATATCATCCACGATGGTGTCCACGACTCTTTGGGATCCGAAGCAAGCTGGGTCATTGTAATAGATATCTCTGTTTCCGTCGCATCAGCCATATGCGCATGAAGGCTCCTGTGTCTCCCCAGTCATACCTTTTCGAGACTACTAAACCAGCGTGAAGTGCCTCAGCAATAGCTGCTAATGTCCGAAGAATCACGGCTAGGAGCGGATCAATTTCGAGCTGGATGGGTTTGCAAGGGCTGGAATTCCGTACTGAACTTCCATGCCTCATAAGCGTCTCTGCCAGGCCACGTATAGATAGAATGTGCTTCCACTTCACACCTCTCGAGAGCCATATTATCACGGTTGATGAAGAACGATGATCGCGCAGATCGTCGTCTCAAAGTAAGTGATGGTCGACCGTCTGGCGTCTGCAACTCATCAAGAATCCTTGCGAGCGTGTCATCGATATATGCTTTAACTCGATCTCGATGCGAGTACTCTTGAATGTTAGTCCGTACAGTTGGGCTAGGCCCAAGCTCTCCATTTATGTCTTCCATCAGAAGGAGGATGCTTCGGTTATGGAACTGGTCTTGAGTCGCAGATGGGTGTAGACATGAAATCGCGAGGCTGGAGCATCTTCACGTTATTGGGTGAGTACAAAACGAATCGCCTATCAGACAACAACTTTGATCCTTGCTCACTTTTCATCCTCCTGGGGTGTATTTTCGTTTTTGTTAATCTCATTATTCTCAATATAAAATCTAGGATAAAGTATGCCTCTCTTTGGACCATTGTACCGAGATCGTGTCTGCTCTTACTTGGGTTTTTCAAATCAGTAACTCTTGCAGCCACATATGCTGTGGCATTGCATCTATACATCATGCGCATGCTACATGATATTGATTCGAGCGGTCGCAAGTGTGGAATAGTTCATGCTTCATAGTCAATTAGGTTGCCTATACCCGGGTGCCTGAGGCAAGATTTGCGCCCCTGATGACTAAGAAATCTCCATTTCCCCAGATTTACATGTGATCTGGTGTTGTCTCTTCCACTTTTCTCCATTCTATTGTATTCATTCACCCATTGAGCGTGCTTTAGGCTTATCTCTTGTTTGAACAAAGGGAGTATTCTACCTTTGCACTATTTCACCCTCAAATCATGGCTGGTGACCCCATTGCGCCATGGAGAACGGCGGCTCAGGGCCACTTAAGTTCTGATGAAAATGGAGACCTCAAAACGGACTACTCAAGGTGGAGATTACTTGATGATCGTGGTCGTCAAACCTGGCATTATTTAGAATCAGATGAAGAGAATGAGAAGTGGCCTCAATCCATCGCGGATAAGCATTTTCTGGGCCTTCCTATGGTATCATCCCTATTTATCCTTGGCATCACCCCAGCGGTCAATCCCAGCCATCCTTTTGCTGTTCATATTTCTGATTGTTCTGTTTCAGGGACTGCCAGAGTTACCAAAGGCAAAGACTCCGTTGCAGTGTGCAGAGAATGGTTTAGAGTTCTTCTCCAAGTTGCAGCTCCCTCCGGGCAATTGGGCCTGTGAGTATGGAGGCCCAATGTTTTTGCTGCCAGGGCTCATCATCACTTACTATGTGACAAACACTCCAATCCCGCCAGAGTATGCAACTGAGATCAAAAGGTATCTCCTTGCCCGTCAACATCCTGAAGATGGTGGCTGGGGCCTGCACATTGAGGCCCATAGCTCCGTCTTTGGCACCTCCATGAACTACGTCGCACTCCGTCTTCTTGGTGCCCATGAAGATGATCCTCGTATGATCAAGGCACGCGGACTATTGCATAAGTTTGGCGGCGCCATTTACGGGCCTCATTGGGCGAAATTTTGGCTCAGTGTTCTCGGCGTCATGGAGTGGGATTGTGTCAACCCTGTCCCACCTGAGATTTGGTACGTTGCATCTCACAAAATTTCTTGTGGCCTCTGAATCCGGTAATAACGACCAGCAGGCTTCTCCCGGATTGGGTTCCCATTGCTCCTTGGCGGTGGTGGATTCACATACGCCAGGTCTTCCTGCCTATGTCTTACCTATGGTCCAAGAAATTTACCCATCCTCTGGATCCTCTTACCAAACAGCTGCGGCAGGAGCTGTATACTCAGCCTTATGACTCTATTGACTTCGCAAGTCATCGCAACTCCATTCACGAAGCAGACAACTACTACCCTAAAACGAGGCTTTTGAACCTGCTCAACCAGATCCTTGTCAACTTTTGGAATCCCTACCTCCGAGTCTCTGCGTTGGTAAAACGTGCTGAAGACTGGACTTGGGAGTTGATCAAGATGGAGGACGAGAACACTGACTATGCAGGCCTAGGACCTGTGAGCAATCCAATGAACATGGTTGCTTGCTACGTTCATGACGGGCCGGATAGCTACTCAGTCCGGCGCCATCGCGAGCGTCTTAATGACTATATGTGGCTGAAGGGTGAAGGCATGTTAATGAACGGTACCAATGGAGTCCAAGTATGGGACACGGCCTTTATCACCCAGGCAATTGTCGTTGCCGGTTTCGCAGACGATCCCAAGTGGCGGCCCATGCTTACCAAAGCCCTGGAATTCCTTGAGGATCATCAGCTCCGTGAGAACGTTCCAAACCAGGAGAAATGCTACCGACAGCATCGAAAGGGTGCATGGCCCTTCAGCAACAAGACGCAAGGTTATACAGTCAGTGACTGTACCGCAGAAGGCTTGCGATCGACCATTCAACTCCAGGAGATGCACAACTATCCCAAGCTGATCTCCATGGAGCGATTGAAAGACAGTGTCGATTGCCTACTGCTGATGCAGAACCCCTCAGGTGGGTTTACCGATTACGAAACGACTCGTGGCTCTGAGAAGCTGGAGTGGCTCAATGCCGCGGAAGTGTTTGGCGGAATCATGATTGGTTATGACTATCCTGAGTGCACCACTGCCTCTGTCACTGCGCTTTCTCTTTTCAGCAAGTTTTATCCCGACTACAGGGCGGATGAGATCAAAGCCGCTAAAGACAGGGCGGTCAAGTACATCAAACGCGTGCAGAGGCCCGACGGAAGTTGGTATGGAGCCTGGGGCATCTGTTTCACCTACGCCGCCATGTTTGCGCTGGAAAGTCTGGCTAGTGTCGGCGAAACTTACGAAACCAGTGACTCTTCGCGCCGTGGCTGCGAATTTCTTCTCTCCAAGCAGAAGGAGGACGGAGGGTGGGGTGAATCCTACCTCAGCAGTGAGAAACACGTTTACGCCCATCATGAGAATTCCCAGGTCACTCAAACTGCTTGGGCCTGTCTCGCCTTGATGGAAGCGGAATATCCACATAAGGAGCCGCTTCAGAAAGCCATGAAGCTACTCATGTCACGACAGCAGCCTAATGGGGAATGGCTGCAGGAGGCCATCGAAGGTGTCTTCAATCAATCTTGGTAAGTATCCATTAAATATACCCCTGTGAGTTGACAATAGCTGATTTTCGCCTAGTATGATCTCGTATCCAAACTACAAGTTCTATTGGCCCATCCGAGCTCTGGGTCTCTACAGTCGAAAATTTGGCAATGAGGAGTTAATGTGAGCTAGTACCAAGCTTGCTGGTGGATCAATGTATGTATGATATAGTTTCCTTTTAGTCTCAGACACCGGACCGATTGCTCTATGTAGCTTACAGATTTAATGATACAACAATAATGATTCTTTTTGATGGTCGATGATACGCAAAACCTGTGAGGCGTCATAGATGTCCTAGCCCTCCGTAGAAGTTTTGATCAAAAAGCCGCACCAAAGAGAAAGAATTCGCAAAGAAGAAGAAGACATGCGTCGCAATCATCATCAGAACGCGAGGCTATACCAACCTTCTATATCGATTACCCTATTTGGCTAAATTGGTCACGTGCCCTTCCCCGCGGTCTCCAAAGAAAGTCATAGAATCGACAAGTTGGAGAGAGCTACTTGTCGTGCCAATACTGCCTCTAGTGCTTTTTTTCATTGACATCTTCTGGCTGTTTGGAGCATATACTTGCTCATCTGACTATTAGACCAAGCTACTACCATTTCTATAGAAGCTGCCTTTCAATCACCTACCAAGCTCACTGCGGAGAAGCTCCGAGAGAACGGCATCATGAACGCGGCTGCTCAGGGCGACAAGGCCCTAGCCAACTCCGACTTTCCTACTGCAATTCGATTCTTCACCCAAGCTTTGACGGAGTTTCCTCGCTCCCCCGCCTATTACATCAAACGGTCGACCGCTTTCTCACGGCTCAAAGCTGCAGATGGAGGACCCAACTTCCCCGCCGCTCTGCGGGATGCCGAGACCGCTCTGACGCTTGCGCGAGAACGCGCAAAGCGCGAGCTTATACTGTCCGCTCAGATGAGGCGTGGTATTGTTCTGTACCAGCTTGAGAGATACGGCGATGCAGCCTTCCTGTTCAACACCATCCAGGAGAAGATTGGGACGAGTACGGAATCACAGGATAAATCTGAGAAGGTCAAGGATGCTATGGCTGGGAGCGGTGCTGCCTCGTCAGCGAAAAAGGGATATGAGCAGGAACTTCCGATCTGGACACTCAAGGTGAAGACCAAGCTCAGCAAGCTGCCCGAGGGCGATGAGAAGGCTGCGGTGACGGTGGAAGAAACTGCCAAAGACGTGTCCATTCCATCAGAGAAAGACCTCAAGAGACAACTCGAGGCTCTCAAATCTGGTAACGGGGAAGATAGCCTGGCGCAGAGCAGTACAGCGGACGATATGGTTGCGAATTCTGCAAAGGTTCACCCATCTGCAACCACAAGCCTGAATAACAAGGGCGCAGCTGAGGTCATGTCGTCAACGGCTGCTTCCTCGTCGACTACTCCCTCAGTTGAAAAGATTCGGCATGAGTGGTATCAGTCTCATGATTCGGTTGTCGTGACCCTCTACGTCAAGGGAGTGTCAAAAGATAGCGTTGACACTGAGCTCAATGATGATTCTGTAAGTGAACCAGTGCCTTCTCTTCATACGATCATCTGTTGCTAATACAAAACGTAATTCATAGGCAGCACTTCAGTTCCCACTTCCGTCTGGCGCGGACTACGCTTTCTCTCTTGATCCCCTCTTCGCGCCCATCGATCCATCTTCCTCAAAGGTCTCGGTCATGTCTACTAAAATCGAACTCGTCTTACGCAAAAAGGTTCCTGGACAGAAATGGAGTACGCTGGAAGCATCCTCATCAGGTGTCAAGCTTGCGGACAGGCAGGCTGCGGTTGGGTCGGCTTCTACCGGTAGCACTGGACCTTCATACCCATCTTCGTCTCGCCATGGTGCCAAAGATTGGGATAAAGTCGCATCAACCTTGACAGCGAAGAAACCAAAGGCGAAGGCCAACAATACGAAGCAAAAGGAGAACGCGGGCAATGACGATGCTGGTGCGGAATCCGACAGCGCTGATTCTGTCGACTCTGACTATGGCGCTGGGGATCCAGTGGATTCCTTCTTCAAGAAACTGTATGCTAATGCGGATCCTGACACCCGTCGGGCAATGATGAAAAGCTACGTTGAGAGCCAGGGGACTTCTCTAAGCACCAACTGGGATGAAGTGAGCCGCGGGAAGGTAGAAGCGCGGCCACCCAGTGACTAAGACGGATACTGCTCGAATACAGGTCACTTCGCTCGTCACTAGCTCCTTGACAATCTCGGCGTTTGAAAATGGTTTCTTTCTGTATCTAGCGGGTGTTCTACTTCGGGTATGTTTGTTACGCATTAATATCCTAACGTAATCGTGACGAGACAAGGAGATATCTTTTATTTCCCTCTATGCTATGTACACGTTCTGAAAAGCAGCCTACCATAAATCGTAACGAAGCTGACCAGATTCGGAAGACTGATGTCAATCTTCACAAGAAGCCAGACCCTCAGTCAACCAATCAATCCACGTCATTGAGTTCGTCCTCGTTGTCTTTGTAGAGGAAAAATTGAACAAAGATACCCATGTCAAGCAATAGGGTTCCAAAGCTCCCTATCAGCCATGACAGATTCACAAGTATGTACCGACCATATAGAGCAGTCGCTTCGCCAGGCCGACAGTGGTGAGAATCTCCCGCACAGACGGGGGAAAAAGCCAGGATGGAGAGGACGTAGGTCAGGTTACCGATACACGCAAAGAGGAAGAAGAGCAAGGAGACTCCTTCCGTTGACTTGCGCCGGTAATTCAGGAGAATCTGGGGTAGACGAGAGCCAAGGTAGAGAATGGCGCACAGATACCCAAAGACCTGACCGAGGGTGTCGAAGGCGAGAGGGGGTGCACCAGAGTCATCTCCGGGGGGTGCCTGGTCTTTGTTCTTGGATGAGCTGGGGCTCACGTACCAGCCTACCACTCCGGCAGCGCAGACAAGAGCAATGGCGGTGGAATTGAAGAGGGTCGTCTGGAGAGTGGAGATGCGCCGAGCAGAGAGCTTCTTCTGCGAAGTTGGCTCGACAAAAGGCGTCACGGGGGAAAGATGTGTTCCATCGACAGCTGGGTGAATAATTTCGCGGAAGGAGGTTGCAGAGTGTCTCCTGTGATCTGCATGCGACAAAATTTGTGGCGTTTGTGATGTCGATGCCGCTGGCCCTTCCTGACTATTCTGATTGTAACGATCTTGGCCTTGGTTCTGATAGGACTGGCCATTTGCTTTTGAAAGTAAAGACGTACGCTCGGTTGGCTTTCTCTGCTGAGGAAGCGCATCATCTGTGATTACTTCCGTGGGAGAGGAGGCACCAGATGGCTCATCTCTCAACGTGAATCCTCGATAGTAAAAGCATTGTCCAAGGAGAACAATGTCTGCAAGTGTATAGTACACGGCAAGAATGATCATGGTAGGTAGCACGCCTTGCAGCACGGCACCAAGGATATTAAAAACATCTCCTGCCAGCCACACAACAAGAAAGAGCAGGGAGAGGCCATCGGCAGAGCCACGGCGAAAGTTCTCAATGATTTGTGGTGAAAAGACAACAACCCAACAGGCAATAGAGATCGATCTGTAGCTATCAGTAAAAAATCCATCCAATGTATGATGCCTTTGTCTTCTATTCAACCCTATCTTTTCCTTCAACATGTCCGCTTGGGGTACTTTGACTTACCCGCATATACCACTCAGAGCATCTAGATCTAGATTGCCAGTCTGCGAGGGAAACATGTCCGTAAGATGGCAGGGTAGAAAATTGGAACACTTTCCAATTCAATCTGTTTTCTAAACGGAGGATATGAGAGAATTCACATCAATGGACCACATCTAATGAATATCTGCGATCAAAGACAATGACGTCCGTTCGAAGACTCTGCTCTGGGTGCGTCACGTGATATTGTCTGGGGAAAGACATAGGCCAATCACACTGCCTGCTCCGTAAACTATACCACCACCTACTAAGAGTCACCTCTCTGCTATGTAGTACTAGGAGCCTGCAATTGAATCAATAACTGTACTATCATAACAATGGTTGCATCATTCGATCTCTAGCTACAGAGTATAAAACCTCTCATGTTTTGAGATCGTACCGCCTAGTTCACAGGCTCAACAGGAAGTAGGTAGTATACTTGTCATGTGATATTCCTGGATTAGTCAGTCAGCATGATTACATCATGCGCTCGCGTCTGTAATCCCAAAGCCAGCCAGCCAGGCTTTCTCCAGCAAGAGCAATTCTGCGCTCAATCAATTGAAGTACTCGAATGACACGCTGGCTGAGCATTGGGTATCATCTATCTCTACCGATTCTGAGATCTCAATGATGTGTCCTCAATGACGAAGCCCTCCATCCGCATACCGTTTACTGGCCCACTGCCTCCACCCATAATCGTACCTCCGTCTGCAAGCAACCTCTCAGGAGCGATCAATGCCCTCTATTCATTCTTCACGGCCCCTCCGTCTCTGTATCTTCGCGGAGTGGATGTTGGTAGACACTCGCAGACCGTTCTCTTGACCGGTGCCGGTATCTCGGTGGCATCAGGGCTCTCGGACTATCGAGGGGAAAATGGCACCTACGTCACAAATAAAACTTACAGACCGATCTATTTCCACGAGTTTTTGACACGGCATGAGTCTCGTAAGAGATATTGGGCCCGGAGCTTTGTTGGGTGGCCCGGACTCGCGAAAGCAAAACCGAATACAACACACTGGGCCGTTCGAGATCTCAGTGCTAAAGGCTTCGTCAGCACTGTTGTGACGCAGAACGTCGACTCTTTCCACTCGGTTGCGCACCCCGAGTTACCAACAATCGAACTGCATGGGTACCTGAGGTCTGTTGTTTGCACCAGTTGTCGGAACGAATTCTCCCGCGCCGAGTTTCAGAGCTCACTTGAGAAACTAAATCCCGCCTGGGCGGAATTCCTGGCTCGCATGGTCGAGACAGGGGCGCTTGACACAGATAATCCTGAAAAGCGGCGGCGGGAAGGGCTTAAACTGAACCCCGATGGTGACGTGGACCTGGCCGAGGCACCCTACTCCACGTTCAGGTATCCGTCTTGCCCTACATGTCTGGAAAGCCCTCCGAGACTCCAGGATGGCACACATGCCCGAGTTGAAGTTGAGAGGGACGGAGCATGGCTTCCTTCTTCGACTGCCGGTATACTAAAACCTGCAGTCATTATGTTTGGCGAGAATATCGATCGTGAGGTGAAAATGGCTGCGGAGGAGGCGATTGATGACGCTGGGCGGCTACTGATTCTTGGAAGCAGTCTTGCTACATATTCAGCATGGCGGCTAGTAGAACGAGCACATAAAAGAGGCATGCCCATAGCCATCATCAATTTGGGAGGCGTCAGAAACGAGTCAGTCCTTTTCGGTGCCGGGACTGATACTTCACTGCCTCATGTTCGGTGCAATTTTTCATCAGAGGCCATTCTACCTCCTGTCGTGGCCCAGCTTCCCAGATTCAATGAGGGATGACCCTATGTGTCCTTTCTTGCGTCAATGATGCATATCCTAATAGAAACTAGATAAATTCACATCTAGTTCTAGGGCAATACAATATATACAATATTATATAGATCCAGTCCGGTCGTGAGCGTGTTTGCGCTGAAAAAACAACTACATAGACCATCATCAGGTTAGAGAAAAAAAAAAGAAAAAAAAAAATCCTATCCCTCGTCGTTGGCAATATCTATATCTTCTTAGTGACTCTTGAGGTAATTTCCTTTGTCCAGACTCTTCGAGTCCTGGCATCCTACCCGCCAGTCTGAGCCGCGCAGGTGGATCAGCAACCGCCCGCGATTTGCCATCGCAGAAAGGGCGCGGGGCTGGTCAAGAAAGCTGCCTGTAAGCAGATCATCTCCGAAACATGGACTATCGCGCCCCAAGGGATCCTCAGTTGCAGTACAACCGACCATCCTCATATTCGGAGATCGTCTCTACTCTTGTTTCTCCTAAATCTTTTCTTTTTACCAACCCACGCTCTAAAGTTTCGCCTCAACCACAAGCCTCGCACAGAGGCACCACCACTTCCCCAGCAATGGACAAGACACAGCAACCCAGCTCATTCCAACAGCTGGAAAAGGTACGCGCCTCTGACTGCTCTATCTGCAGTGACGAGCTTAGGCTAATATCTGCATCACTTCTAGCTTGGTGAAGGCACATATGCCACCGTATGTCCAACTCTTCTTCCGACCACCTTTCTGTTCAAGCGGTCGAAACTCGACCCGAACACTCCCCGCAAATAAAACTGACATCAATGTCCCCTAGGTTTTCAAAGGAAGGAATCGCCAAACAGGCGAGTTGGTCGCCCTGAAAGAGATCCACCTTGATTCGGAGGAAGGAACGCCGTCGACCGCCATTCGAGAGATCTCGTTGATGAAAGAACTGAAACATGAGAGTATCGTCTCGCTTTACGATGTCATCCACACAGAGAACAAGCTCATGCTTGTCTTTGAATATATGGATAAGGATCTGAAGAAATACATGGACACACGGGGCGACAGGGGTCAACTGGACCATGCGACGATCAAATCGTTCATGCACCAGCTTCTCAAGGGTATCGCTTTCTGCCATGAGAACCGGGTCCTTCACCGAGACTTGAAGCCCCAGAACCTCCTGATCAATAAGAAGGGTCAGCTCAAGCTGGGTGATTTTGGTCTTGCGCGTGCATTCGGCATCCCTGTCAACACCTTCTCTAACGAGGTGGTGACGCTGTGGTACCGTGCGCCAGACGTGCTATTGGGTAGCAGAACATATAACACAAGCATTGATATCTGGTCCGCCGGATGTATCATGGCCGAACTGTATACTGGCCGTCCTCTGTTTCCCGGAACGACCAATGAGGACCAGTTGCAAAAGATCTTCCGTTTGATGGGCACACCTTCGGAGCGCTCTTGGCCGGGTATCTCCCAGCTCCCAGAATACAAGCCTAATTTCCACGTATACGCTACGCAGGATTTGGGTCTGATTCTGCCGCAGATCGATCCGCTAGGACTTGATCTTCTGAACCGGATGCTGCAACTGCGACCGGAAATGCGCATCAGTGCGGCAGACGCATTGCAGCACCCTTGGTTTCATGATCTTCCTCAGTTACAAGCGCAGTTGCAGCAGCAACATCAGCAGCAACAACAACAACAGCAACAGCAAATGGCGGGAGGCTATGGCGGAATGGTTCCACCTCAGCAGGCATACTAATCTCGTTTGGGGAGACCCTTTTCATGACCTTTCTCTTTGCCTCCTCTCTTCTGCATTTACATTGATGCAGAAGCATGATGAGATGATGGTTACAGTTTGCGGAAAGCATGGCGTTATACCCAAAGACGGACATCGAGGTTAATTCTGGTAGCCTCTACGGATACTTCCTTTCTTTCTTTTCTTTTTTTTTTTTTTTTTTTTTGCTCCCTAATTTTGATATGCATGTTTGGTTTTTGTGTGTGACGCAGGACGTGAACTAGAGAGGGGGGATGTTCAAAGCATGATGAATAAAGTATTGTTTGGGTTTATATCCACAATGTCCTTATATCCTCCATACTCCTCCATACTCCATAAATAGGCCATGAAGCGTGACTTATTCAAGAACCATCTGGATTCCCCGCTGCCGAGTCTACAAAAAGGTCAAACATCAGTCTTGATGTTAGCAGTTGTCTAACTGTCTAGATTCACGCGAGTTCGCGTGACTCCTCGGCATTTCCATTAGCCTTTTGGCCTCCTACTTTTTTCCCTACTAGTACTATGCTCTACCAAGGTCTTGTGTAGAGCCTGGAGCTGTTTTATCCAAAACATTGGTAGTCAAAGAGGTCATAAGTCATAACCCATAGATAACTCCTTTCCTTCCGAAGTTGATGGCTAAGACTACATCCAGTAAAAGCTGGGCACGGGGCAACGGGCGATCGAGATGCTAACAATATCATTACTATTGTTGTCGGTGCCTTGAGAGTATTACTTATGAGCTGTACACCCATCTTGTTTTCGTATCAATGCAATGTTCCCTTCGAGGAGACGGAGCTGATGTTCGCAAACTTCGTCCGTGGCCCCTGAAGGTCTCATCGACTTCCAGGATGGCAAATTGGCCGTTGATTTTTCATTTGCATTCTGACCTTATCATCCATCTCGGCGAAGGGGAATAATTGGCCGTACTGCTGTTCGCCTTCTAAACTTTAGTCGACCTGAATTGTGGCTTTTCTTGTTCCGAGCTGACCATGCAAGTCTAGGTAGCCATCCTTACTGATACTTTGAACCATGGTCTGGAGTCGATGTTCTTCGCTCCGAGGAACAAAGAACAGGAGTATGCAGCCTCTTTTCCCCTGGTTTCAATTCAAGAGTCCTCCTTTGGGAACCTTCTTTCTTTTCAGTTTCTCATTGTGAGAGATCGCGGGTCCGTCGTTTGTCCTTCCTAGTTGCGATGAGCAGACAGATTTGACTTTGCCAATGCTGCATTGTTCTGAACCGCTCGCTTTGCATTCCCTGTCCATCAAGGGGTCAGTCAACTAGTAACCTAATTAAGGAAGCATTGTACTTTTCTCGACATATACAGAGTAGGTTCGAGGCAGCCTGTTAACCACTTCTCGTCTGTGTGGCCTCAAAACGCCGCGGTGCAAAAGCCAATAATGAATACCTGAACCGAGTCTGGCTTGCCTCGATTGAGTCACAAGTCGAGAACCATCGCCAATGAATCATTATTTTCATTAGGCTGATCCATGCTTTCTCCGACCACAGTCTTTTGTCTTTGCTGAATAGCGTTTGATTATCATACGGATCCGGCGATGAGCCATGGGAATAGAGCTCATTTCACCCATGATACTTGACACTTGACACTTGACAGTCAATAATCATGAAGAGGATATGTCTCTCCAGACCCCGGAGTCCAGATTTCAGAGTCCAATATAACCTGTGTTTGAAAAAAAAAAAAAAAACCATGTGAGCAGGCTAGAATGCAGTCCCTGTCAAGCCATTCTTGGGTTTAAGTACTGGGAGTATTATTATCCAATATCCACACTCTCCAGACCGCGGCGTGTTGACCTGTCTTATAAATGGATTCAATAATTCTCCATTAACCAACGTACACCCTGTCGATATCACACGCAGAATCGAAGCAAGGTTCGAACATATATCGAGAATCGGCCCATCTATACATCAAGTGCCGCGGACCTGAGACTGGTCGCCGGTGTGGCTGCGACGAGAAACCCGGCGTCTTTCTCTTCTCTCGAGTCTCTTCTTTTCGTTACTGTATTTTTCTCATTTCTGTAGATCTCTCACATGAATCTCTAGTAGCATTCTTGACCGGCAGCTACGTGCATCAGCATGTAAACCACGCCATGTCTCTCTCAGATCGAGAACTATTCGCCATATCGACGACGGAGCGCATCTGTTCAGTCATCTCTCTCGCCGGAGCTAGTATTATAGTTGTCTCATTCCTCTCATCAAGCTCTTTTCGCAAGCCCATCAATCGCCTGGTCTTCTATGCATCATGGGGGAATATCATGGCGAATGTGGGAACGCTGATATCTCAGTCGGGCATCTCCTCTGGGACGGGCAGCCGCCTTTGTCAATTCCAAGGGTTTCTGATCCAATGGTTGGTTTCTCTACCTCTATGTCTTGGGATCGAAGATCGCGTACTGATCGCCGATTTCCGTCTGCTGCAGGTTCCTGCCGGCGGATGCTCTATGGATTCTTGCCATGGCATGTAACGTGTACCTGACGTTCTTCCACAAATACGACTCAGATCAGCTGAGACGGCTGGAGTGGAAGTACCTGGTGCTATGCTATGGCCTGCCGTTTATTCCAGCGTTTGTATACTTCTTCGTAGAGACTGAATCCCGAGGTAAAGTCTACGGTTCGGCCATTGTAAGTGCAAAAACCCACCGGGACATCCCCTCTTTTTTTTTTTTTTTTTTTTTTTTTTTTTGGTTAAAGGTCATTTCTCTAACCGGTTCCCCCGACAGCTGTGGTGCTGGGTATCACTACCCTGGGACTTCTTGCGCATTGCCATTTTCTATGGCCCGGTCTGGTTCGTCATCTTCTTGACGTTTGCCATCTACCTGCGTGCTGGCAAATTGATTTTCAAGAAACGACAGCAGCTCAAGGAGGCGAGGTATTCGGACATTTTTGCGGAAGCCAACACTCCTGTTAGCCCTGCGTTCATCAGGACGACGGAAATACACATCACAAGCGAGATAGCATATTCGGGAGGCGAGTCCAGTCGACTGGCCGCTGTCACTGCCAGTCTTATACCGCATCAGTATCTCAGTCCATATACTCCGTACTCCGTCACCATCGAGGCTGGTGGTGTCTCTGGCCAATTAAATGACGTTCCCATGCAAGGACTGCAGAAGGGGCAGCAAGACTCATACGCGCAACGTCACGCAATGGACGTGAATCTGGCAGCGTGGGCTTACACGAAATACGCAATGTTCTTCTTCATTGCACTGCTCATCACATGGGTTAGTTTCCATTCCTTCTACCCCTCCGTTACAACTGGGTCATCTAATGGTCATTTACTGAATTAGGTTCCCTCCACAGTCAACCGGTTGTATGCGCTGGTCTATCCGGACGACTTCAACTTCGGTATGAATTACGCATCGGGTTTCGTCCTTCCCCTCCAGGGATTTTGGAACAGCATCATCTATATATCAATCTCATGGCCCGCTTTTAAATCGAGCTTCGCAAGGTTTAGATCAAGGAACTCGGCATGTGACAATCCATCACAGCAGAGCAGAACCAGACAAGGCGTCGGTGTTCGGCGGTTTAATTCTCACGGGAATGATAGCACGCGGGGACTAACGAGATAGATCAACATTGTACTCTACCGGTTTCTTTAATTAAGTATCAATGTCTTTCGCGCCCTATTAAGTCTATTTCTCCAAGGGTTTAGATGTATGGAGTCACGTGGTTCGCGAAGTATACGGTCACGTGATTCGCGCGTACCTGAGATTAGCGTCCTATACAGAGTAGATCTGGTGGGTGGGTTATCTACAACCATCGACACCCGCTGCAACCCAGCATAATTGCAGCATTCCCCTGAAGAACCTGGAAAATAATAAATTTATCTAGAGGCAATGGCAGAAGAAAACCGTTCTACCTATCCCAACCCCTCGCAGCAACCCGCCTCGCCCTCCCCACCTCCTCCAGCGCCGGTCCCTCTCACCCCAGGCCCGCGCGCGTCGCGTCTCCAGCAGGTTTTCGGCCAGGCGCTCGCACGAACACTACGAGCCAACTCCTACGCGAACTTCTCCGGCTGCTTTCCGACGCCGGCGAAACATGTCCCTGCGAGTCTGGAGTCGGTATGGCGGCAATTAAACGCGAAGCTCGAGGAAAGCGCAAAGGCGGAATTCGACGATATCATGCACGAACGGAACGCGGTGGGGCATCTGAATGAGCTCGACCGGCTGGTCGGCGAGGCGAGGCATCGGAGGGATAATGGGCAGGGTGAAAGCCGGGTCGCGTATGTTCAATCTTAAGATAGCCCTGTTTGTGTTTGGGGTTCGAGCTGTGCTAACGGTGTTCATCTGGAGGAGGTTAGACCGCATACTTTGACGCCTGACGAACTATACCGCGCGCATCTGACGCCTTATTTGCAAGAAACACGGTCGAATTTGAACGCGAAGATCCACGACACGGAAGCCGAGAATGCGGAGCTGGCCCAGCACATCCAGAGGCAGAGAGCGGAGATTGAAGCGCTACTGTCAGGTCTCGAGTCTGTGGTCACCGACTTGGAAGGTGCTGCGGTTGCCGCTTCACAATTCAGCGGCGAGAACGACCTTCGCCAAGAGGCTTTCAAGATGGATGAAGAAGTCAAGGCTAGGTCCGAAATCTGACGAGCTCTCTACGACTACCACGCGTTTCTTTCCTGGTGACGAGCATTTACAAGTCTTATTTCTCTGGAGTGGTGGATGTGATTTGACTATGACAACAGTGCTTCCATATCCACGGGAGCCAGCAAGCCATCGTCCACAATGTCCTGAGCAACAGCCATCAGCTCTTTAGGCGACGTAGCTTTGAGTTGGCCCAGTTTATCTCCCTGGCCAGCCAGAGCGGCTGCGACCGCTTCTTTGCATGTCCCGTCTCGTGTTTCCTCCATAGCTCCGTCTCTCCTTGCTAGAGCTGCAGCTCCCCGATAATACGTCTGGGCATTGCGAAGGAGCGTTGCGCCGTTCTGTTGCGCCAAGGCGTATTCCCATGGCGCAAGTCCCAGTCTCCACCTATTCATCTCTGCGTCTCCCCTTGCCAAATGGATTTTAGGCAAGTTGTCTGCGTCGGGAAGTTTTGAAGCCTGAGTCAGCGAGTCCAAAGCGAATGATAACGCTTGCCATCTCAAAGCTAGCGATTTCGCGAAGGCTTCGGGGTCGTGGGAAGGCGGCAGATCCGTGAGTGCTGTGTTGAATGATGTAAGAGCATCAGCCTTACTGCACAACCCGTCGGGATCAGCCGAGATGTCCAGCTCTGATCCAAAAGCACGCACAATCTCTCTGTTATAAGTCTCCACCTCGATTCTTCCGCTTCGGTACACCACTTCAGTCAAAGCACACATAAACTTGGCCCGGGCCAAAGCCGCCTCATATTGTCTATCCGAGCCCTCCAGAAACGTCGGGATCTTCTGCAGAAGGTCTGATGAGAATTCTTCTACCCAGGCAAGGCCCACCCCGGGGTTGAAGGTGAGGAGGTTACACAGTGTCGTGAGAGTTTCAAGTTGCGCGACCGCTGTGTCCACCAGAGTGTTCTTGGTCACGGGTTCAATGACTGCTGCCCATTGCTCTTGTGGCTCTGCGGATTCCGACTCGGCTGTCGTGTCCATATCTTCTTGAGCCTGTCTCATTTCCTCTTCTTGCGGACCCATGTCTCCAGACTCCATCTGTTTCATTTGCTCCTGCATTTCGGTATATCGCATCTCTTGCAGTACTAGACAGCGTTGGAAGAGTTCTATGGCCTCCTGGAGGAGCTTGATTGCCTCCGAGAGCTGTTGGTCTGAGGGGTGTTTGGCATCTGTCACGGCCTCGGCCAGACTTGTGAGAACTTGAGCGGTATTGAACAGCGCATCCGCGTTATCTTGTTCTAAGTTCAGAGCCTCCCGGTGCGCTGTCAATGCTATGCGCAAGGCATCCAGCAACGGAATGGATAGTTGGGTAGCCAATCTTGGGTGCTGGGTGATCTCATATTGGAGACGTGCTCTGCTGGCTATCAGTTGCAACCCCTGGAACAGCTGTGGGGATTTCCCCGAGGAAACATCCAAAGGGGAAGGGATAGACTTCTGACATACTTGTTGTAGGCCAGATCAAAGGCAAGGGGGTGCTTCTTCAAGCCTTCATCATAAAGTGCAATTGCACGCATGAAGAAGCGCAAGGATTTGGCAGCATCACCAGCCCGCCATTTCTCTCCGCCCTCCTCCTGTTCGACGCCAGCTAGATAGAACCGGTTATTTTCAGATCTTGTCTACCTTTTGTATGATAATGCGACTTACCAGCTAGGAATTCATCCGCTGTTTCTGGAGCCTGTTAGTCATCAGCAGGTTGGTACTTGTAGATACACATGAATGGTGTGGTTGTCACTACCCGCTGCACGGCCTTCTTCCTAGATTTGGATTCTTTTAGAAAGGACTTTGGTTTCGGCATTTTTGCTCTATACAAGTGTGTTCAGATGGCAAAGTCCGTCTTGCATGACCTTTTTTTATGTTTTTCCTCTATGCTAGACGAGGGGTGGACAAGGTGATCGATACTGCTGGGCTTTTTTCCATGCCGCCTTGGAGACCGCTTGGGGGTGTCAGGACGCTAACCTGGAAGTGAGGTACTCCGTATACGGAGTATGTTTTGCATATGATCCGTTTTCTCCAGACTCTGTCATTTATCTAGAATTCTAGATAGATAGATAGATACCTACCTAGCTATAATTAATTACAAAGTAGATAAATTTATGTCCATTGGTATATCTACTATCTACTGTGATTCAGATTGATCATCATTGCCACTCTTCAATAAGCACTCTTCAATAAGCAAAACCATCTTATCGATTCGGCCCTAGTGATGACTACATATCCTTTCGTTCGTGGGGGCGTAGGAAGCATATTTCTGTGACACCCCAGAAAGGATCATCTCGCGTGGCTACCTATTTCACTAGAATAACCCCCAGGTACGTATTAAGATACTGTGTCTGTAGTACCTTACAGCCTGTGTTAAGCACGTGGCAAAAGTGTGCTCAGGCTGTGTTCGGCTGTTCTGCCCCTTAGAAGTTAGAAGCCATGGTCTGATGCACCTGCGTACTTAATAGAAGTAGATGGAGAGAAAGATGGTAGGTAGTATGAAAGAATGCTCCATGGTTGACTGTAGGTAGCCAGTGTCTTACCATGGACTCATCCCACAGCTATAGAGTGTAGGTTCTTGCCCTTTTGCGAATGGGTTACAGGGCACATTAATATGGACCTAAATAATCAGGCATACAAAGTTACCTATTCCATTCCCATTCCCATTTCCATTTCCTGCACTCACTGTCAACTGAATACATTCTCAATAATTCTGTGATAGAATGATAGACCTTTTTATTTATCAGGTTCATGATATTTTTTATTTTTGACCTTTTTTTCCCCCACATCAGCACAAAAGCAAGGTCGAATCGTTATCTACTAGATATTCTGTAGAGTACTACTACTACTACTACTACTACTTCGTAAGCAGTACTGTATCTGCTCCCCCCCTTTGACCCACTCCGTCGGCCGCTTTCTTCATCCCCGGCTCTCCTGATTTCTGAATTCCAAGCCCAAAGCCCTTTTGACTTGCATGCCAATCCGTTTTTCTCTGCTTCCTTGGCTCCTGAATAGCTCAATATCTTCCTCTTCATCCGGAGTATCTAGTCTACTGAGTGGTTATCATTTTCTATCATCCTCTTCGTGTACAATCAACGGTGTTCCTCATATCTGTCACTACCAAGCAGCGGCCTAATTCAGACATTGCGCATAAGGTATGGGGACCCTGGCTCAATAATTAATTTCGGCTGTCCCTGTTTTGAATGTCTTGTCATTCTTTGAACACTGCCTGTCGATAATCACTCTATCTACTCCCTCATTCTCCAAGTCGTCTAGAAGAGCTATGCTTGTGTCTGTTGGGCCATATTTGCTAACACAACAAGACCCCTCTGTCAGTTAATCGCCTAAACCCGCGAAGCATCGGTTTATCATCAACTTCGAGACGCGCAGAGCGCACTCCTCTGGCACGTCGTTTGGGCTATACCCAAGTAATCATACATCGCTACAGACGAGCACAATGGCCAGACATACCTCGTTGGATTCTGAGCGCCCCATCATGATCAAATCCGTGAGTTTGGAATTCACACCCTGTCCGGTATCGACACAGCCCTCTCATCCAACCCAGAACCGTACCTCGAAAAGATTCTCCACTGTGAGCGGGAACCCATCGCTTGCACCATCGGAACAGACCATCGGCAGCCTGCCTAGTGGCGATCCTAGAATCGCAGAATTCAACCACCTGCGTGACGGCCTTGAGCGCCTAGAGAACAAGCCGCTCCTGAAGCAACGCTTTGTCCCCACACCAGAGAAAACTGACAACCTCAGCAAGCTTGCTCTTGGTGCGAAGGTCGAGCGTGCCTTGGGCCGGAGGATGACCAGTCAAGACGCTGTTATGCGCAAGCCCGTGTTGAGTGAGAAGGCTGCTGCCGCCGAAACCACAGCTGCTTGAGCTCTTTGAGGGCACGTGCCTCGGATCGCTTTAGATCTCTTACTACATTTTCTTTTGTTCACTTGAACTATCTTTTTCTTGATATGTCTCTGTGCTCTATCTACGTCTTCTGTCGAGTTTCTCCATGTCCGACCCTCCAAATGAGTGTGATACCAATGTTCTGACCGACAAATCATGTCCAACATACCCCCGTCTTTGAGTTAGCTGTTGGTTTCTGAATTGTTTAATGCTTTTTTTTTTCTGCATGTGGGTGCAAGTTCTGCTGATTTTTTATGGCTTTGAATTCTCTTGAGCTCTGTATATTGATTTCGGATTGCTTTTCTTGTCCTGTTTTCCCTTCTCTGTCTGGATATTTGTGTCTTGTCCCATGGGCATATCCATTCTCAAAGAGAAAGCCAATAATGAAACCGAAATGGCTCCCTCCTCTCCTCCCATGTAGTCACTCCATCATCGCACTGTGAGAAGAAGCCTACCACCTACCTAGAGCGCGCCAGTTCTCAGAGCGGAGTGAGAATCGGGAAGGCGGTGAAGGTGGCACCCAGCAGCACCGCACGGAAAAGCAACTGGGCGACTTTTTGGCTCTGCGAAAGGCGAATTTGCCCTTCTTCCCCCAACTCAACTGGACCGAGAGCATCTTCTTCCCATCTCATCATCGTCTTCACCCCAAAACTTACATCTCATTCTTATTTCTTCTTTCCCCTGCGATTCTCCAGTCTCCCCCCCCTTCAACTAAATCTCTATTTCGTCAACTTGCTTCTCACCTTCTTCTCCTCCCTTCATTGAGTCTTTTTGATCACCATCCTGTTCCAGACTCTGCTCATCCCTCTTCGCCAACTTTTGATTGGAAATCGCACAGAATCTGCCTCTGCGTTTCTCGATTTAAGCACCACATACGAAACCTCGTCGCACTACCCAATCTTTTTGTTCGACTCTTCGTCTGGACCATCGCGCTTCTCTTTTTTCTTTCAATTAGCATTGTGGGTTTTCCTCTCTTTCCCTGTCCGCTTTGTCACTCTTTTTCCTTCATGCGAGACACGGGTATATATAGCCTGCCGGAGACTGACCAGCGTTTCTCCATAGTAGTCAAGCCCAAAGAGGGGAAAAGTTATCATTCTAGATTTCTTTTTTCTTTTCTCTTTACCTACCTTCTAGCCTTCGCGACATAGAGGCTTCTTTTTCCTCATTACTGTTCATATACCGCTGGCCTTGATTTTCGCCGCTTAGGACTTCTTCGAACTTCTCTTCTTACCACCGCGAAAAATTTCTACTCACTACACAATGGCCGACACGACCCAGCCTCCTATGAACGGCAGCTACCCCGCGCAACACGCGTATCCCGAGTCTTACAACCATGGCCATGCTGCCGTGAACAGCGTGTCCAACTTTCAGCCCGCGCAGTCGACCACTCCCAGCAACGCCCCACCCAGCGACCAGAAGAACGGAATCTCCAAGGATGAGGTTGGTTGGTACTTCGTTGAGCAGTACTACACCAACATGAGCCGTAGCCCAGAGAAGCTGCACCTCTTTTACTCTCGGCGGTCGCAGCTTGTTTTTGGCACCGAAGCGGAGTCTGTTCCTGTCGCAATCGGCCAGAAGGTAAGTACAATAGCCCTCTTCGACTCATGAGTCGCGCTCTCAGGTGAATTGCGCTAACTGTTCTATGTAGGAGATCAACGACAAGTTCAAGCAACTCGACTTTCAGGACTGCAAAGTTCGTGTCCTCAACGTGGATTCCCAGGCTTCTTTCGACAACATCCTGATCTCGGTTATCGGTGAAATCTCCAACAAATCCGAGCCATCCCGCAAATTTATCCAGACTTTCGTACTTGCTGAGCAGCCCAATGGCTACTATGTCCTCAACGATATCTTCCGGTACTTGGTTGACGAGGAGGAGGTGGTGACCGAGGAGGCTACCCCTGCTGAGGCTCCCGCTGCTGCTGCCCCTGCCCCTGCTGAAGAGCAGGCTGTTGAAGCGGTTGAGCAGAAGCCCGCCGCCGAAGAAGCTACCCCGGAGGTTACCGAGGCCCAGGTTGACAACGAAGTTGCCGTTGCTCAGGTTGATGAGAAACTCGAGCAGGCTGAAGAAAAAGAAGAGGAGAAGGCTGTCGAGGAAGATCAGACCAACGGAACTGAGGCCGAGAAGCCAGAGGTTGCGGAAGAAGTTCCTGCCCCCGCGGAGCCTGAGGCTGCCGAGCCGGAGAAGCCCGCGACTCCAGAGCCCACTCCGGCTGAACCTGTGCAGAAGGAGGCCCCTGCGCCTGAGAAGGAGGCTGCTCCCCCTGCTAAGGCTCTTCCCAAGACTTGGGCCAATATTGCGTCCAAGATTGGCGCCGCTGCTGCTGCTCCCGTCGTCCCTGCTGTTCCCGCTGCCCCAGCTAAGCCTGCTGCAACCCCGGCGGCGGCTCCGGCTGCGGCTGCCCCAGCTGCTGCCCAGCCCCAATCTGCTCCTGCTCCTGCTCCTGCTCCTGCTTCTGCTCCTGCTCCTGCTCCTGCTCCTGCTTCTGCTCCCGCTTCTGCTCCTGCAGCTGCCGCCCCCGCTGCTGAGAGCACTCCCAGCCAACCTCCTGCCGGTGATAATGCTGGCTGGCAGACCGCTGGCCAGGACCACAAGAAGTCCCAGTCTCGTGCTGGCGAAGAGCAAAACGTCCTTGCCTACATCAAGAATGTCAACGAGAAGGTTGATGCCAGCTTGCTGAAGCAGACTCTTTCCCGCTTTGGAAAGCTCAAGTACTTTGACGTGAGCCGTCAGAAGGTGAGAAAAAGAATTAAAATTAAACCTTGCTCTATGTTATCGTGAAATCGAGCTAATTGTTTATTTTTTGTTGCCTCCAGAACTGCGCCTTTGTTGAGTTTGCTGAGCCCGCTGGTTACGCCGCTGCCTTGGCTGCCAACCCCCACCAGATCGGAAGCGAACAGATCTCTGTTGAGGAACGTCGCCCTCGCGGAAACGCTTATGGAGGCAACGCCAACTATGGTGCTGGTCGTGGTGGCGCTGGTCGCGGCCGTGGTGACCGTGCCGGCAGCCAGGGTCGTGGTGGCTTCCAGCGCGACGGACGCGGAGGCTTCGCGCCCCGTGGCCGTGGAGGAAATGTCAACACCAAGGCCCGTAACCAACCCCAGGCTGCTTAAGCAGTCTTTTTGAGATTCCCTTTTCATGTTCTACGAATATTTTCGCCCTTTCTCCTGGTTCGAGGCAGCATTATTAGGGTTGAGGTGCTACAGCGATTCCAGGGCATGTATTACTCCCATCTACTCCTAATGACATGTGTTATGCACACTGCATATTAGCGGTTGGAAAAGTTCTTATGTCATTTTCCCCCCTCTCCCCCCCTGGGCACTTTGGCTTCTCCTTTGGTTTTCTGATTCATTCTCATGAAATCCTTTTCTTGTTTCTACTCGTTTGTACTGTCATGACCACGCTCACCCTGTTTCTTTTTTGCCTGTTCTAGCATAGCGAGCTTGAAGGCCCATGCTGTTGTCATTTTCTCTTTTTCATATTATCCTTCCATCATTCTTCGCTAGTTCGATTGTGTTTACTCGAAATGCCTCCTTCTCATTTTACTTTATGAACTGTAAATGTCTCTCCTTCGTTCTTCTCTGGGGGGTTGCGGGTCTGTGGAGGATCTGAGCAGAGCGGCAAAAGGCCAGATGTGCCAGTATTATGGATATTTCACCATTCACGTCAAATAATACCAAGGTATAGCTAAGAATACTTAGTACATTATTAGTACATTGTTCAAGAACACTCCCCACCGCTTCCATCTGAAGAACAGCTAGCTTATCATCAATAGCCCCAGTGTCCATGTCCATGTTGCGGCGATTCTTTTGATCTACCCATGACAATCCTCCTTTTGTCCATCCGATCTTTGGCTTTGGACTCACTTCGTCCTTGGTTGTCTTGTCTCCAGTGAACAACATGCCTGACGTGGATGTCACTCGTGCTTCTCATCGCGTGTGCTCCGTTGATCCTCTGCCGTCACATACTGCGACTCTTGACTAGTGCTTCTGACTGATCAACCATGGACAGCTTGGGATCTTACAGAGAGCTACTACCTTATCTACCTACCAAGATCTGTATGGTTACGTCAGGTCAGGTAAACTACTGGCTCTTTCGGCAGGACCCAAGCCAGCGAAGCCCGGCCAGGTAAGGTAAACCAAGCATGGAGAGTAATCAATCTACAGAGCCTAGTAAGGTTCCGACGGCAAAAAAGTGTGGTTGAATCTTTTCCACGATGAAGCAGGAGGAGGCGGTGAGCCTTTCCATGCTTCTGATTGGGTCCGCGAAAGGACAGTGGAGCGGAACGTTCTAGATTACCGGCCTAAGGCAGCCAGGCAGGAAAAAGAAGCTATCACCTCATGATTCAGAGAGTTCTGCAGACGCACCGGGGGGGAGTCTTCTGGAGGGCAGTGGAAGCAAAGTCCACGCCAGGTATCTATCTAATAGACAGACAGTAAAGACAAAGTATAGAACACTAAACGAGACCCTCAGAAGCATCTAGATCCCATGGAAGAAGATCAGATCAGCCGATTTTGAGCTCTTTTTGAAGCTATCTGGATAGCTTAAGTTCCCTCTGGCACAGAAGCCGCTGGAAGATGCAAGTCGGACCCAGTGGAACGGCGGAGAGCGTGGAAGTTGTTGGATTTCCGTAGAAACGCCGCACCGAAATTTTGTCTCCCCTCAGCCCCAAAGAACATTAAGTCGCCCTTCCCCCCCCCCCCCTCCCTTGCTCCCTTCTCAACTTTCTTCTTGACTTTCTTCTCTTCTCACATCTATCTCAATCATCTTCTCTCTAATCCTCACACCTCTTCTCCCTCTAATTCTCTCGAGTTCACATTTTGATCGGAAGCTACTTTCTTCCATCTACTAGTCCTACCCTCCATCTCTCATCATTTCCTCAAATGTAAGTCGTCACGGCTTTTGCCGCCCCTCAATTTGTCGCAGTTATCAGAAGCACTGGATTCGGTCTCAGAGAGAGAATAAGCTGACCGACTCCTGCACGATTGGGCTGGATTGCTAACGTTTTGACAGTCTCAAAAATCTCACATTCTGCATCTGCCATCATGTCTTCCGAAACCTTTGAATTCCAGGCTGAGATCTCTCAGCTGCTCTCGCTGATCATCAACACCGTCTACTCCAACAAAGAGATCTTCCTGCGAGAGTTGATCTCCAACGCCTCCGATGCCCTCGACAAGATCCGTTACCAGTCCCTGTCGGACCCTAGCAAGCTCGACTCGGGCAAGGATCTCCGTATCGACATCATCCCTGACAAGGAGAACAAGACCCTTACCATCCGTGATACTGGTATTGGTATGACCAAGGCTGTAAGTTTACACCCTTTTTAAAACACCATACTACCAGTGCTGTCGACAAGATCACTAATTATTTTTGCAGGACCTGATCAACAACCTGGGTACCATTGCCCGTTCCGGCACCAAGCAGTTCATGGAGGCTCTGTCTGCTGGCGCTGATATCTCCATGATCGGTCAGTTCGGTGTCGGTTTCTACTCGGCCTACCTTGTCGCCGACCGTGTCACTGTCATTTCCAAGAACAATGATGATGAGCAGTACGTCTGGGAGTCCGCCGCTGGTGGCACCTTCACCCTTACCCAGGATACCGAGGGCGAGCAGCTTGGCCGTGGTACCAAGATCATTCTTCACCTGAAGGATGAGCAGACCGACTACCTCAACGAGGCCCGCATCAAGGAGGTTGTTCGCAAGCACTCCGAGTTCATCTCCTACCCCATCTACCTCCACGTCCTGAAGGAGACCGAGAAGGAGGTTCCTGATGAAGAGGCTGAGGAGACCAAGGAGGAGGAGGGTGACGAGAAGAAGCCCAAGATCGAGGAGGTTGATGAGGAGGAAGAAAAGAAGGAGAAGAAGACCAAGACCATCAAGGAGAGCAAGATTGAGGAGGAGGAGCTCAACAAGACCAAGCCCATCTGGACCCGCAACCCTGCCGACATCACCCAGGAGGAGTACGCTGCCTTCTACAAGTCGCTGTCCAACGACTGGGAGGACCACCTTGCTGTCAAGCACTTCTCCGTTGAGGGTCAGCTTGAGTTCCGTGCCATCCTCTATGTGCCCAAGCGTGCTCCCTTCGATCTCTTCGAGACCAAGAAGACCAAGAACAACATCAAGCTCTACGTCCGCCGTGTCTTCATCACCGATGACGCTACCGACCTCATCCCCGAGTGGCTCAGCTTCATCAAGGGTGTTGTCGACTCTGAGGATCTGCCTCTCAACCTGTCTCGTGAGACCCTGCAGCAGAACAAGATCATGAAGGTCATCAAGAAGAACATTGTCAAGAAGACCCTCGAGCTCTTCAACGAGATCGCTGAGGACCGCGAGCAGTTCGACAAGTTCTACGCTGCCTTCAACAAGAACATCAAGCTCGGTATCCACGAGGATGCCCAGAACCGTCAGACTCTGGCCAAGCTCCTCCGCTACCAGTCCACCAAGTCTGGTGACGAGGCCACCTCCCTCGCTGACTACGTCACCCGGATGCCCGAGCACCAGAAGCAGATCTACTACATCACTGGCGAGTCCATCAAGGCTGTTGCCAAGTCTCCTTTCCTCGACAGCCTCAAGCAGAAGAACTTCGAGGTTCTGTTCCTGGTTGACCCCATTGATGAGTATGCTTTCACTCAGCTGAAGGAGTTCGACGGCAAGAAGCTGGTCGACATCACCAAGGATTTCGAGCTCGAGGAGACCGATGAGGAGAAGGCTGAGCGCGAGAAGGAGGAGAAGGAGTTCGAGGATCTCGCCAAGGCCCTCAAGAACATCCTCGGCGACAAGGTCGAGAAGGTTGTCGTCTCTCACAAGCTCGTTGGCTCCCCCTGCGCCATCCGTACCGGCCAGTTCGGTTGGTCTGCCAACATGGAGCGTATCATGAAGGCCCAGGCTCTGCGTGACACCTCCATGAGCTCTTACATGTCCTCCAAGAAGACCTTCGAGATCTCTCCCAAGTCTTCCATTATCAAGGAGCTCAAGAAGAAGGTTGAGGCCGACGGTGAGAACGACCGCACCGTCAAGTCCATCACCCAGCTGCTCTTCGAGACCTCCCTCCTTGTTTCCGGCTTCACCATTGATGAGCCTGCCAGCTTCGCCGAGCGCATCCACAAGCTCGTGTCTCTTGGCCTGAACATCGATGAGGAGACCGAGACCTCCGAGGAGAAGGCCACCGAGGATGCCGCTCCCGTTGAGGCCACCACTGGCGAGAGTGCCATGGAGGAGGTTGACTAGATGGTGTCTTCTCAGCCGAACGAAATGTAATAATTTACGACCTTTTGAACCTGTTCCAGCGGTATGTGCATCAGGATTAATCCACTGAACGATATTGCTTTCTTTCGAGATGGGACCGACAGAAGACTATATTCTCTGATTGATGATGTGATTCCACAAATGGCGTTTTGAGCGTTTCCCTTTCTTTTTTTCACTTCTATTTGACCTCATTCCTTTCCGACTATTGGGATTTGCTCTTGAAGTTTCCCGTTGAGGATCGTGAGAGCATCTCTCTAGTCAGGTAGACTTAGCTCGTCAAATAAAAGCCTTCCGAGTTCATTCATTCTCTTCCTTCTTGTAGACTGTATCGTGTTATTCGCATCATGATTCCCGACTTCTCCTGTTAGTCCAAGTCTATGTATGACGCCATGAACATCTATCCCTAACTTCCTGGATGGTATGGTTCTCGAGTGATTGAGCCAAGAGTAATCTCATGACAGAACAGGAGCAGGTCCACGAGATCTCATGGAAACAGATACTCCCACCCATACGTCTATGTAGTTATAGAAGTAAAGAATGGAAACTTGCATACCACTACTATTCCCGTACATAGTCGATTGACTTTCATCATCTATGTTATATCTGATTGCATATGGAACGTGGAGAAAATGAAGTGATTGGTAGTCGAAAAGGAGAAGAAAAAAGCAAAAAAAAAAAAAAAAACGCCAGGAATGGCCATGCTGAATGCAATGCCATACCATACATACTCGCACCCTTTTGACGCCGACACCTGTGGACCTAAACCGTTGGAAATTGTTGGGAGGACCTCCTAAATCTCATAACATCATTGCTTCATTCACATGTGCCGCACCACTCGAACCGCCACTCAGATAGACTGCGCGAGGGTAGACCCCAGGCCTTTGCAAGCCAGATGGCCAGCCCTCCCACTACGCCGAGGCTGCCCACGATCTGGACGATTGCCCATCCGCGGCGTTGGAGGTCTTCCGACCACCACACAAGACCCAGTGGGTCGTGCCGACTCAGGTTGGCGATCCGGTATTCCACTTTTTGCCCGTCCGGGGTGCGCACTAGCAATCCACCACCGGCTTTATCTGTGGGGATGCGAAGCCCACCGAATCCCGGGGTTTGGGTGATCGGCACCAGAGTCCCGTCCACAACACACTCTCCCAGTCTTTCTGTGAGCCAGACGGCGCGCTCGCCTCTAGCTAATGTGGCATATCTTTCTCGTTCGTTCTGGAGACTTCGTTGCAATTCTGAGGCCCACTTTGCCAACTGGACTTGCGCAATCTTCTCCTCGTGTCGCGTGTAATCCGATATCCGAGCCATGGTATAGCTCGGGTACCGTCCGCTGGGCAGCGATGTGACTCCGTCCACGGAGCTAGCTGAGAGGACGGAGAAGGCTGATCTGGACATGGCGCTCTGACCCCCAAATGGGGAACTGGGACGTGGAGCAATTTCCCAGTGCTGCGGTTGGTCGTGTCGCTGCTGAACAAGCTTTCGAGCGGCTGAATGTCGAATCCATGCCATGTTGTCGTGATCGAACATTTTCTGGATAAGGAGAGACAGTTCGGATGGCATCAAGGGATGGACATAGTCGGGACTCATCAACGTGCTGGCGTCCATGATCTCGTCATCATCCGTCTTTGCAGATGAGACCGCAAATGGCAGGTCGAAGGCGGGTTTGTCTGCCCCAGTCGCGTTTCCGAAGAGGAAGACTTTGATCGAAGCTGCCTCTGCCTTTTCACGGAAGCTCGATTTAAGAGCGGATACTTGACGCGGAGTCATCAAATCTGATTTGCCAATCAGCGGAATGACATTCGTCCACTCGCAGAGTTTCCCAATGCATTCAATATCCGTCGCAAGTGTGTCTGGGATGTTTAGCACCACAAAATCAACATCAGGGCCAATCTCGATGGGCTGCTCTCACCTTCTGAAATTAGGTAAAGAACAGCGTCCACTTGTGCACCACCGTTCCCAGCCAGTAGGTTCTGGAAATCAGCCTTGGAAGAGTCGACCGCCGTCGTGGCCCGTAGAAGCTGTTGCTGCATGTAATGCACAATAGCGTCAGTCTGCCCAACTCTGCTCAGGGAATTTGGTAGAGTATCGACGAAGCAGATGTTCCGTTCCAACACGACATCGCCATTACTCTTCCTCCTCCGTAGAACGCGCGAATCCTCCAGGTCCGACCACCACGGAGGGTAAGGTTTGGTACTGGCGTATATTTCCGAGGCAATCGCCGGCGATGTCTGAGTATTGGATCGAGATAAATTCTTCCAGGACGCTGGAGAGGGGAAAGAATCGACGTGGACAATATCATCACAAACTTGTACAATGGATTTAATAAGAGAGGTTTTGCCGGAACCTGTTCTGCAGGTCAGATATGCACTCCACCAGTTGTTCAAAACTCCCAGGTCTCAGTCCATGACTAATGGATTAGCTTACCACAAGCGCCTGCTACGAGCACCTTGAAGCGACCCATGGCTTTCCCTCGCCCCGTAAATGGTCGTCGGCTAGGCATTCTAATACTGGGCATGATCAGTTGAGAGGTGCAGTCGAAACCGGTCGGAATCTGCGCCTCGTATACTCCATTGTCCTCTTCCTCGGAGCCCACCGCCTGGCTGCTTAGCTCGTCTGTGATGGAAATGTCATCCAGGTGCTTCATGGACTGATTCGAGATGGATTTTGGACTGCTGGGTAAAGACAGGGGGTCGTCGAGGTTAAGCGGGGTTAAAGGCCGGGATGAAGCACGATCTGAAGGCGGCTGCAGGGAGGTGTCTGTTCGAAGGTTGCCCAACTGCTTGAGCGTTGATCTGCGACGTGCTAGCTGTGGTCGTTCAGCGTCCTCCCCGTTATTACTGTCGGGGATGTTGATGTTGAGATGATCGTCAGAAGGTCGATCCCCAGTGGGAAAGCTGGCAGCGTGCATCGTGTCCTCGAGACTCTGCACGCCATACATACTGTCCCTTGAGAATCTGGACTGTTCGAACACTCCTTCCTCCCGCTCCTCCTCTGTCTTTTCGTCCTCCTCCGAGTGTTGAGCATGGCCGCGGGCTAGGAAAAAGGTCGCGGGGGCGGCGGTGCGGGGATCAACGCGATGTTGTTCAAAGGAGGACTTGCGGGATCGAGGCATGGAAACCTCAGGCACAGGCGGTCTCATGTCTGCGGATAGGTGTTGGTTGTATTCACAGGTGAGTTGTTTCCCTTTGGAGGAGATAGAGCATTGTATAGGAATTGTAGTGGAGGATAGCGGCCACAAGGTCGAGACGACGAGCTCATTTGCAGAGGGTTATTTGTCGATGTCGATGTTTATGAGGATAACGATGAACTCACTGATAGAGAGTCAGCTGTTCCCTTGTCCTGTCCTGTCCTGTCCTGTCATGTTCTGTCAGGTCATGTCATGTCATTGATGGAACAAAGGACATTACCCCGCATTTTTGTACGGGAGTAATAACATTGTAAGTTGTAAACTTGTAACGGCTTTACACTTTTACAGCTGCATGAAGGTTTGCATAAGCCTTGGATTAGGTAAGGAATGAAAAAGCTCGTTGGAAGGCTTCGTTTTGCTTCTCTGTGGCTTTCGTTTGATGCAGATGACGGTCATCAGGCAGAAGACCCTTAGAAAATGGGTGGTAAGTAGTAACCTATCTAATATCTATACAGAATAGCGCAGAACACAAGAAGAAAAGTGATCGAATCAGCGGCCACCAATCCTGTCTTTGCCAGTCTGCCTAACCAGGCATATGAACCTGATATACTCAACCTGATATGCACTCCATCGGGTGATATTGAGACATCCGGGATGCTTCATCGTTCGAGAGCGATCGAGAAAGTACTTTGTTGATTGGGTGCAGCCCCATATGAAGAATTAAACCTGGTGATAAGTGGCTCTGATATTGGTCCTGTGCAGACGAGGCGGCATGATTCTATTTAGTTAGTTTTGTTAATAACGCACAAGCGCAGCTGCCGCTTTTAAATTCGTAAAATTAACTGGGCTAAAAACTTCGCTTTGCTCCTCTGGGTCTAGCAGAGTATTCAATTGAGTGTATTAGGATTTAGGAGGATTAGGCGTTGAGGACGAAGATAGTTATAGCTACGTACTCCGTACACTAGGGGGACACATGGGAGGCAGAGACAGAAGGCACCAGGGTTAAAGTAGAATCAGAGATAGCTGTAATATAGCTAGATATAGTACAGGAAAAGAAGAAGAAGAAGAAGATGATGATGATGATGATGATGATGATGAGAAAAATCTCTCTGGCTCCCTCCAAATCGGCTAGGATGACCAGATAGCGTTCGTTTTTTTAAACATGCAGGACTAGTCTCCTGTACATTGCTCTTGTTCATCCTCTATCTGAATTCTGAATCGTAGTCATCAAATATCTATTTACTGCTGGGAGAGTGATATTTTTCTGAGATTCTAGATCCTAAACCATGAAGTAGTAAAGCCTCCTCCTGGTCGTCGATTCGTTCTGGGCTTCCATACCCCAGTAGAGAGAGTCTCCTGTCCTCTTTTTTTTTTTTTTTTTTTTTTTTTTTTTTAACCCGATCGCTGTTCTACTACTGCGGTTTCTCTTCTGTTAGCTTCGCTTCTCGATTATCGAGTCGATTCTTGGTCCACCCCCACATCCCTGTCTCCTGTCTCTCTTGTTCCAACTTCCTCTCTCTTTCGCTCTTTTTCTCTTCTCTCTCGTATCTATCTACTCTTCGCATCATGTTGGTCAGTTTGTCTTGTTGAGTTGTGCTGCTTCTTGATTTGCCGCCCGCCGGAACCGAATTCTGCCTTCTGCTCTCCTCTTGCCCGATCCCATTGCGATTCGGCCTCGTGTCTTCTGCTTGGTTCCCCCCTCCCCCCCCCCAAGTCTCACGGTCTGGTGGATAGCCTGATTCATTTTCTACTTGCATTGATCAGTCCTCTATCCGCTGCCTGTCGACGGAACTATTCTCTAGAAAAGCGAGTGCGAATGCGAAATCCACATAGACCATCTGCAAAACGAGTCAATAAATCGCCTGTCCCACCATGGATCATGATCACTCGATGACATGGCCTGGACCTCTCCAGGAACAGTCCCTCATGGCGGCAGCCTCCAGCGAAGATGAATTTACGAATTTTCTGGAATTTGGCATGCATTTCCCCGATCTAGATGGGCACGGACCAGCCGAGCGACAACCTCCTCGTTCTCTTCCAACCTCGGTGCCGATGCTGTCGACCTCTACCGCTGATCAGGAACAGCTGGTGCGCATGGATACCGATGGCATTCCCGGCTCTCACGCCTCGTCCTCCTACAACCATCGCATCATGGATGACTTCTCCATCGATCTCTCCAACCATGGCCAACCGAGTCATTCCCAGGGTCAAATGCCCGTGTCCTACACCAGTGCCCCCGTAACCCCGGCCTTCTACAACCAGGGAGTGGCGCAGTCCCAGGTCTTCCAACAACCCCAGCATCCGTCGCAGAAGCAGTCGCATCATCATGTTCACCCGGGACAGCCCACCTCGCAGCAATACATGGCCCACGGTCAAGCGATCATCCCTCCTACGCCGAACAGTATCGAGCTCCAGGGCAATGCTGCCCGGTATCCGTCCCAGGTGGATGACAATCGGGAGATCTATGACCAATATGCTCGCATCAACGAAGAACAGGTGAGCTACTATCCATCCAGGATGTCCCGGTTTCATGGCACCCTCGGGGCACACAGGCTAATGCATGCACCCGCTTCCACATAGGCACTGTACACTCCCCTTGTCTCCCCCGCTATGACACCGTTGGAAACCCAATTTCGACTGCCGGAGTACACCGTGCCCGGTGAATACTTCACGCCCCTCACGTCTCCCGCTCTCGAGGCCCAGAACTCCAATGGCAATGGCTATCCGTTCCAGTCCGTGTCCGAAGTCGGTTTCCTACACTCCCCGGTCGATGCCCTTCCCGGCGCTTCGACACCATCATCCCCTGGCCTTATGAGGAAGCACCGTCGCCGGCCGTCGACCACCAAAAGCTTTTCTTTGCGAGCCAAAAAACAACAGTCGCCATCTGTGCGTCCGCAGACACGGAAGAAGTCGATGTTGAATCTCAATTCCGACGAGGTACTGAATGGGCTGAGCCATGATCAGGGGTCGTCTAGGATACTGCCGCATGGTGTGAGTGGTCTACGCCAGAGCAGCAACGAGAGCTCCGAGCAAGATTCTGTCTCCCCAGAGCCCCTATCGGAACCGTTGATGCCTCCACCTGCTCTTCCTCCGGCGCGGAAGTCTCCCGCCATGATGCCGCAAGCCGACCAGTCGCGAACCAGCGCCCCCGCAACTCCTGCGATGCTAATGCGCCTTCAACGCTCGCAGCCCCACGAAGATCATACCGGTCATTTCACGGGCCAGGCGAGGCTTGTTTCGTCGGAATCATACGACGACATCATGGAGGATGTTGTTCTCCCAGAAGCGGCCGCCCCTGCGTCGCAATTCTCTCGGCCCCAAATTTCCCGCATTGATACCACAATTTCCAACGGATCCGCCACCCCTCTCACCTCGGAAAGTCTTACCCCATCTGTGGAGCCCAAATCAGCTTCCATTGTCGACCGAAATTCAAGCTCAATCGCGCCAAGCCCGCGCACAGTGGCCATGCCTTCTCCCAGCGGGCCCATAGCCAGGAAATCGGACACTCCTAAGCTTGGTCCCATGGCGAGAAAGCGACAGAGTTTCAGCTCGACCCATGCTAGTCCTAACCTGCGGCCGAAGATTAGCCCCAGCATCCAGCCCCTAGTGCGGGGAGAAGGTGAGCATCCATGTTTTATTTGTATGCACTACCGGTTCAGGAGCCCACAGACTAATAGTGTCTCAAATAGGAATCTCAAGTGAGACGTCGGCTTTGTATCTGGCATCCAAGTCTAACTACCAACATATATTGGACGGCACTCTCCTTCCCGGTGTCTCCTACCCCGAAACCTTGGCCGAAAACCTTAGTTCGAAGCGGACAAACCACAAGTTGGCAGAGCAAGGTCGCAGAAACAGAATCAATAACGCCCTGAAGGAGATCGAGTCCCTCATCCCGTCCGCGTTCATTCAGATGAAGCATGCCAAAGAAAGCGCATCCAAGAGCGAAAAGGAGAAGGAGAAGGATAAAGCAGGAGCGCAGGCAATCAGCAAAGCCAGTACTGTGGAGCTAGCCATCGATTACATCAAAACCTTGAAGCAGGAGCTGGAAGCAACGAAGGGAAAGCTGGTCGCTGCGGAGGCCCGACTTGGTGAGATTGGCTCCATGAAAGACGCGAACAGCAAAACAGTCGAGGTAGCCACATCAGAGACCAAGTGCACGCATAATTCCCCTCTCCCCGAGAGCGCCAATGTCACTTCGGAGACAAATGGATCGGCATGAGTCTGTGACGGAAGCTAGCGACTTGAGAGGTCTCTTCACAGAATCGCTTTGCACCAGTGGAACGATCTTTACGTGATACGGTTTACGAAGCAGGTTTTACTCGTAATACAATGGATTTGGATAGACTTGGAGTTTGCAATAACTTGAACAGCAAAACCGACTGTATAGTGATCCTACCATGAGGTTTTTGAATTTGTCCATCTTTCAAGGGGTGTTCAGGATGGCTTCTGCTTCTGTCTTGGTGCGTGCGCCGGTCTCGAAGGTTACCAGGCGTCAGTGGTTTTTTTCTTTTTTTCACCCCGAATCATTGGTTTCTTTCCTCCAGCTTGAGGCTCCTTTGTGCGTGCTGCTTCATCTCTATTGTTGCTCTTGGGGCCGAGTAGGATTGCCGTGTGGCATTATCTTCCCTGCCAAATTGGCCATTCCACAAGGTTCATGTAATATTCCCTTTTTGTGTATCTAGACTCATCTTACCATTCTTTGTATTCCTAAATGAAGAGTAGGGTGTACAAAGTCAGCTGGGTCTCCATCAACGTATACATAGTCTGATCTGAAAAAAGGACTACAGTTCATCTCCTGTGGCCATAGAATTCTCCAATACCTTTTGAGTGTTTGAACTGGCTGATCAGATGCAATTGATATATGCTATGCAGAACTAACTTTTCCATTTTCATCTCTCATTACACGCTCCTTCAGGACCCTAGCTCAATAGTCTCTCATCACAGCAACCATCTCATCCAGGCGTGCCACTTCCCCGATCAGTAAGGCCTCCTTGGCCTTCCACTGCTGCAGGAGCGCCAATTCTCCTTCGGAGAGGTACCGTTCTTCGTTGCCCTTGACATCGCTCCGCTCCGTCTTTTCCAAAAACTCCTTGAGTCGGTTGCGTTCGAACCTCAGGCGCTGGAAACACCTTGACATGGCCTTGTATGTGTCTTGCAGCACGCTGTTGCAGATCCGGTCGGGATCGTAGTACCAAAGGTAGATGGTGCGCGAGGGCTGGCGCTGTGCATCCCTGGGCACTTCCTGCAGGTCAACGAATCCGCCGGCTTGCATGCTGGCCAGAACCTGTCGCAGGTCTTTGAATGGGAGGAGACTGATCTCCTGAAGTCGCTTCTCGTCTAGTTTGCCCTTGGCGTGGAGCACCCGAACCACCCGCAGCGCGACATCGCCGTACCGAGCCTCGATCATCCGCTCCAATTCGAGATGGCGCAGCTTGCGCGCAAGATGTCGAAACTCTACCGTCCAGGTGATGAGGCCCGAGACTATGCGTTTCGACGTGAGGTTATGTGGGGGTTGCGCCAAAAGACAGAGGTGCTGGTCAACCTCAAAGGTACGGTTACCTCCGGACGACAGTCCGTTCGCCCCTTCGTGATTTGTTCCATTGACGTCGTCTTCCAGCGGCCGTTTCCCGCGTCGATTATCCGGTTGCGAGATCTCCATGGGTCCAATAGATCCCGAGAGGTCGAGTCGTGGATCGACATCCTCGGCTACCGCACTAAGAGCAATCGGAACAGAGTATTGCTCTCCTTCTTCTCCTTCGCGAGGTATCTCAACCGTGTCACGGCATTGGTGGGTCTGATACTCAATTCGTCGAAGGAGGCACTCGTACACTTCGGCTGTCGCAGGCGACGCATCTTGTTCGGCTATTTGGATAAAGCGACAGTTTCGTAGTGCGACATCAAGCTTGTTATAATTGACTCGAACGACCAGCCCGGACTGGGTGACACACCCTTCGTTAGCTCTTCATCCCTCGCCGTTTATATCTTGTGATAGAAGAGCTCACCTCCATGGGAGTAGTATCGTAACCCATCTCATCATCCGACCACTCATTCTCCTCCTCATCCTGCTCATCATCCTCATCGACACTGGCAAAATCCACGCGAGCCTTTTTGTTGGGCGCATCAGCACTTTTCGAACCATGTTTACGCTTGGCACCTCTCGGAACCCCTTGAACCATCAAACCACGCGTCAAATCTCCATCCGTCCTCTCCTTGAGCAGCTCGAGCGTTCCTTCGATGACCGCCTCCTCCATTCGCTTGCCCTTCATGGCCTTGATCTCCGGCCTCGACTTCAAGACACGCTCAGCGTCAAGGATATTATCCGCATGGCTCTGAAATTGTGCCTCTCGGACACGAATTATATAGCCATGAGCCGCTAGCACTTTCAATGTTGGATGGAGAAGCGCTGGTTGTTGGTCAGAATGATCCCCACTGAGTCCATTTGGTTGTTCTTCGTCTCCGTCGACTTCGTCATGCTCTTTATCAACGCCATTGGTATGAGACTGCTCTGGCTGCAGTTCTGGCAAATTTTCCAGGTGGCTCACTTGCGCATGGCCAAGATACATAATGCTCGACATGACGGTCGCCGCATACTTTCCCAGTCGTTCCTCCACAAATTCGAGGATCTTCCCAGCCCGAACGAGGTAGTATGCAGATTGGAGATTCGCTTCGTAGTATGTGACACCGTCGTCATAGGATGTGTAGTGGTAAACGAGATGCTGCTGGATCATAGCCGCGAGCGCCGGAAGAAGCTGGCGATTTGAGAGCCCAGAGTGGAACTTAAGACGGGGCAAATTGAGTCGATCATAGCGCGTCAGAGTCGAGAAGATACGCTGATGTTTGAGAAAGAGCCAGAGGTCAATTTCACTGAGTAACCCATCAAGATCCTCGTAACCCAAGAACGTACCGCAAAGAGCTCCCCAAAATTGTCTTCCACCAAGAGCGCACAGAGCTCTGCAGCATACTATTCCAGAACCCCTATTAGCAGCTGTTCTGACAAAAAGAGAACATAAACCGGGACTGATCGAGTCTGTCGCATACTTGGGAGGCCATTTTTCGAGACTTCCAGAGAATCTGCCAGTTCGGATTTCTCTAGAAGGGAGAGTCAGCGTCACCGAGATGGTGACATGAGGATGTATTCAAGCGCTAGAACTGCTCGGGAACAAATTGAAAGAAAATCACTGGTTGATCATACCCCTCTAGAACCCTCCTGTCCCAGTCACTTTTCTCTTATCGCATACCCTCCAAAAAATTCACGTGCCCTGATATCACCTGATATCACCTGACACGACAAGCAGCAGCCGAATCTGTCCGCTTTCGACATTTCAACCAATCAGAAACCGAGTAATCAAGACGCCGGCATCTTGAAGCTTTTCAGACATCGTTTCCTACCCGTCCATCAACAGCCAGCCAGCCTTCTTGAGCTCTCCTCCCCTCTCCACCCTCCCAATTGCTGTCGAGCCTACCGGCTTTCTACGTCGCCTCTCTCCTCGTTCGATATTCCGCACATGCAATAATGCTGTCGCGGTCTTCCCTCAGCCGAAATGCGCCCCGTGCGCTCTCTGCTGCCAGTGCCAGCAGCCGTCGCAGCATGGCCTCTGCTGTGACTCCCGGCCTCCAGTACGATGTCCTCGAGTCTGCTGGCGTCAAGGTCGCCAACAGAGAAGTTGCGGGCCCTACCAGCACCCTGGCTTTGGTTGCAAAGGCCGGTTCCCGTTACCAGCCCCTCCCTGCCTTTTCCGATGCTCTCAAATTCTACGCTTTCCAGGTTCGTTGTCATGGCCCTGCCACATCTCCTTTCTGATACATCTGGCTCCAGCCGCATGAAATGAAATGGTTTCTGACATGTTATATCCTCAATTGATAGTCCACACTCAAACGGTCGGCGTTGCGGATCACCAGAGAGGTTGAACTGCTGGGCGGTGAAGTTTCCTCGACACATTCGCGTGAGAACGTTGTTCTCCAGGCCAAGTTCCTCTCGAAAGACCTTCCTTACTTCGCTGAGCTTTTGGCGGAGGTTGCTTCCCAGACAAAGTACACTGGTATGTTCAATGGCGGGTGGTCAGCACTGCCTGGTCGGGTGTTTACACTAACTTCAACGATCAGGCCATGAGTTGAAGGAGCTCATCCTCCCCCTCCTCAGATACAGACAGCAGGCCCTCGCCGCTAACCCTGAGGCTATTGCCGCCGACGCTGCCCATTCCGTCGCTTTCCACCGCGGTCTGGGTGAGCACATCACTCCTGCCACCACCGGTCCCTTCGAGCAGTACTTCACCGCGGAGGCCATTGCCGAGTTTGCCAAGGAGGCCTATGCCAAATCCAACATTGCCATCGTTGGCAGCGGTTCCAACTCCGCCGAGGTGTCCAAGTGGGTTGGTGAGTTCTTCAAGGAGCTCCCCAGCAGCTCCAGCTCCGGCCTGACCAACTTGCACCCCAACACTGCCACCAAGTACCACGGTGGTGAGCAGCGTATCGCCTCTAAGGCCGGCAATGCCGTTGTGATTGCCTTCCCTGGCTCGAGCGCCTTCGGCACCTCGGGCTACAAGCCCGAGATCTCCGTTCTCGCTACTCTCCTCGGTGGCGAGTCTTCTATCAAATGGACTCCTGGCTTCTCTCTTCTCGCCAAGGCCACCCAGGGCTTCTCCGGAGTCCACGTCTCGACCAAGAACAACGCCTACTCCGACGCCGGTCTGTTCACCATCTCCCTCACTGGCAAGGCCGATCAGGTTGCGGCTGCCAGCAAGAACGTCGTCGACGCTCTCAAGAAGACGGCCGCGGGTGAGGTCGCCAGCGAAGACATCAAGAAGGCCATTGCTCTGGCCAAGTTCCGTGCTCTTGAGTCTGCCCAGACCCTCGAGACCGGTCTTGAGGCCACTGGCTCTGCTCTGATCAACGGCAGCAAGCCCTACCAGATTGGTGAGGTCGCTCAGAGCTTCGACAGCGTCACCGAGGCCCAGGTCAAGGAGGTGAGTTCCCGCCCGCAATATCCCAACATGTTGAACTATCTCGAGCTAACCCTCGTCTTACTATCTAGGCCGCCAAGTCGTTCCTCTCCAGCAAGGCTTCCGTTGGTACTGTTGGAGACATCTGGCAGCTCCACTACGCCGAGACTCTGGGTCTGACCATTTAAAATGTATACATTACATGTTAGACTGACTTGGAAAAAGCGTCCCCCTCCCATTCTCATGTGTCTAGATCGATCTTCGCAGATAATTTTCCTTTGTGACGTGGTTGTAGTTGTGTGACTGTAATACAATCTGTATCTTATTCTCACACGATTCCCTGGTAGCAAGATTGTACATCATACGGGCCTCTGATATGCTTTCGTCTGGGTGAAGGTCTGGAAACTCGGGATATGGCTTTTCAGGTTCGCTTCCTATTGCACATAGATAATCAAGGTTCCATCCCTGTTGTGACTTCATAACCAGAAGAAGCTTTCCAGGATGTGCTCGCATCTACAGATCCTGATGATAATTGCTAGTTAGTATCCATAAGGTGATTCAAGACTGGTGTAAGGGTCTCTGTATGCAGCAGAAATTTTCATTAGGAACCTCGATCACAGAGATAGCGTCGTTGTCGATGGACACACCTAGGTAGCTCGGCTTCAAAGCGAGAGATATATAAATATATGTCCGACCGCAGGGTGAGCCTATATTTTGTCGTCCCCGGCCTACAATCGTGACAAATCTACAGCATATCCAACGATGAGATTGTTCGTTTCCTCAACTGACAGAAGAAATTACATGCGCTGGATGAGTTTACATACTGAAAAGCGATGAACTCCTGCACGGAAGGTTATAGGTGATCATGATGTTCTACCCCGATGTCTCCCTGGAGAACCTGTTATCTATAGAATCTATTTATTATTTGCTTTCAACAAATGAGATGGACATGGCTCGAGAGCACATGTGAAACAAGAACCGTGCAAGGAAGCCGAGTAGCCAACAATTGATCAGCTAGAACCATCGGTCATTCCGAGCACGTCCATACCAGAATTAACAAATGGTGTATCTCAATAATACATTCTGCCGCTCGCAATACAGACCGTGCATAGTAGAAGGGTGTTTCAAACCTTCTCTAGTGCTTAGCGGTGACTTTGTCACCTGTCAGTTTTTCGACTGCTTCCTTGGCCCTATTTCGGTGCAACGGAGACCCACAAGTTAGCCCGGTTTTGCTCCTCGGCATCACATGGAGAACGGAGAGGGGAGGGAGCCAATAATCAAGACATGCAATCCCAGACAGGGAAATGAGGGACAGGGGAAAGTGGAAGCAGATATGAGTAAGGGTGCGAGAGGAAGGTATTGCAACTTACATGTCACCAAGAGCCACCATGCAGACGGTCTGCCAAATTCCAAGGCCGACACGAGGAGCAACACCACGGTAGAGGCCCTTGATGCCGTTTGTCTCGTAGATGTACTTGAAGGTCTTGCCTACAGTGAGGTTCTTAGGGCGGTTGGGATCCTCAGTCTTGCTTTGCATCTCCACCCGAATGACCTCAATAGGCTGGTTCCATGCGGAGAGACCACCACCTAGGCCGGAGGCAATGACCTTCTCGATGGCACTGAGCTTCTGGCTCTCGTCCTTGTTGGTCACCTTCCGGATAGCGCTTTCTGCCAGACGCGAGAGACCAAAGCGGGAACCCCAGTTCGTAGTCTGGCGAATAGCCACAGCGTTGACTCCACGGTTGATTCCCCGAATGCCCTCCTTACGATAGATATCCATGAAGGTCGCGAATGTGCTCTGGGGCTTGACGCCCTCAGCAGCCATCTTGTGTTTAGTAATCTCCACGGTCTTCATGCAGGTGCAGAAACCCATGGTCGCATAAGCCTGTGCAACACCACCCGCCATACCTCCGGCCATACCGGCCAGGATGTCAGAGGCACCGAGCCGCTTCGCACGGAATTCCGCATCGGACGCGACGAACAGAAGGACAGCACCTTTGGTGGAGGCCTCAATCCAGGCCCAGGGAATGAGACCTTGATAATCTGTGGGATCATCCCACGTTAGTCCGTGTTTCTACCCCACAATATCGGAACGCGGGTAAAAGGGACACTTACAACCGAGGATCCCGCCACGACCCCATATCCGAGCCATAGCGCCGGCGAAGCTGTCGCCCCGGTTGGCAGCCATGGTCGTCTTGATCACTTCCAGCGGCTACGAGATCATTAGCAAGGAGATTTCGAGACTCCTCCAAAAACAATCAATGTAGCATACCTGTCCCAAAGTGGTGACCCTATAATGTTACCCATCATTAGTCTCATCCCAAATTGCGATTCCGGCGATGCATAAGATAGCGGTGAGGGGCGAAACTTACTCGAACATGTTCAATCCTGCACCAACTGTTGTTCCATCTCGATTAGGATTTGGGTTATGATGAATAGAGAGGATGCATCTGGAACCAGGAGCTTGTGACACGTACGCAGTAGATTGCTGAACTTGACAGGCTTCTTCTCGAGAGTAGAGCCCGTAGGGGCCTTCTCAGCAGTAATGGCTGACATTTCTGACCTTGGGGAGCGCTGAAAGGGGCCCTGACCAAGGGATGTAGGGGGGCTTCGTCGCCTTTAAGGGATCACAGGGAGCGGAGAGCCGTTTATTATTGGATCGTTCAAAGGCCGACTAGAACAGGGGAGCTCCGTCGATTCGGAAACACGAATGGAGAGAGGACAGGGGAGGTTGAGGTATGTGGTATTGGGCGGTGGAGTTTGGGGTAGCGGATAAACAACGATGGAAATTGATGAAGAAGAGAAGAAGAAAAAAAAGAGGAAGAGCAGCGGGAATCCAACGACGTTATAAAGTAGCAGGAAAGGGGGAGAGGGAGGGAAGCAGTTCAATAATCGACAGCTCAAGTCTGTTGCTCTGGAGTATGAATCCTACACTGTACTTCGTAGTACGTGATGACTGATGGTCAACGCCCTCACCCAACGAAGCTAGCAAGCTGCAATACTAGCAGTCAGTTAGCTTCCCGCTGTCGGTCTCCGGTTCTGGAGCCCTGTGTTTCCTTTTTCCGATCACTTGTAGTGTTTTACCCCCTCAAAGAGAAACGACATCCGTAACAAACTGAGCCTGGAGGGAAGGGCCTCAGGCTGGAATTGGCAAAATGGTGGCCTGATTCCTCAGGCGTCCGCTTCCTGGGACTTCCCAATCGCATCAAATTGGGGAAACGCTAAACTACATCGGGAAGACTCAGGGGAGACATTGTGCGCTAAACCAATTGGGGGACGGCGGTGTGATCTGGCCCGAAGCCCGGCCGCTCTTCTCGGCAGCAGATTGGCTGTTGAGGTCCCAAATGGAGCCAGCGGAGCAAACCGGGCGCTCCCCAACAGCTCCCGTCATGATCAACAACATTGATAACAATCTCCATCAAATCATCACTGCAGTTGAAGAGCATGGTCTATCTGTATCTGTTCATCCCTGGCTGGCAATCGGGCGACTCGGTGTTTCTGTGTAGTAAGATAGTGACGAACCGACGATTCCTTTACTCGGGACTCTGCAGGCTTGATAAGATCGACAATACATGATCCACCTTCATCACAATCCTTCAAGGAAGTCCGACGGAATCGACCAGACGCCATTCTCTACACCTGCAATTAGACACCGTTGAGGTGGCTGATAAGTAGGTAGATATACATACTGCGTCCCTAAGACACACGCAACTGTATGGGTACACAAATCGAGAAGGTATGCTGCAAAAAATAGAACTATTGCTGGTATCCCTGCAGCTCGATTCTCGCCTGGGTTTCTCTCCCTGGAAGAATGTTAGTCCTACGATTGTTGTATATCTGGGGATTCCTTCTCTGATAGATTCGAACTGACGTGAATTGAAATTCAATGTCTGCCCACGCGAACCTAGTGCTATCATACATTAATCAAACAAAAAAACCTCCACACTCAGCGTTCAGTCTAGGATAACCAAACGGTTGGAGAGAAAAAAAAAATAATACAAATTGCTCTACTTGGTCATAAATCGAAGGTAATCCCTGCCCGCTTTTCTTCATGTCATCTGGGAAAAAGGTGGAGAAAAAGAAATTTACAGCTTAGCACCGACGAGCTTAGCATAGGCCTCAGTGCTGAAACTCTTGGGACGCTCAATGGGGGCGCCGAGGGCACGGTCGATGATCAGCTGGGGCAGAACACCAAGGGCGCGGGAAACACCGAACAGGACGGTGTAGTAGTTGGCCTCGTTCAAGCCGTAGTACTGGAGGAGAACACCAGAGTGCTAAAGATCGGTCAGCTCACCACCGGCGCCAGGGGAGCAGGAGGATGGGGAGGACTTACAGCATCAACGTTGGGGTAGGGGTTCTTGGTCTTGCCGTGCTCGGTCAGGACACCAGGGGCAATCTTGTAGACCTGGCTGACCAGCTTGAACATGGGGTCATCGGGCAGCTTGCGAAGAGCGAACTCGCGCTGGGAAACATAGCGAGGATCGGTCTTACGAAGGACGGCGTGACCGTAACCGGGAACAACCTGACCGGCGTTCAGGGTGGACCACAGGTAGTCCTTGATGGCACCGTCGCTGAGATCGTTACCAATGCTCTTCTTCATCTTGGTGAGCCAGTTGAGCACTTCCTGGTTAGCCCTATTTGGGAGAAAAAAAAGATGAGTGTTAGCTTTGAGACATAAAACTTTTTTCGGGAATTTCAATAGTATGCTTACAATCCGTGGAGAGGACCAGCCAATCCATTGAGACCAGCAGCGAGAGAGAGCATGGGGGAGCTCAGAGCACTGCCAACAAGGTGGGTAGTGTGGGCGCTGACGTTGCCACCCTCGTGGTCGGAGTGGATGGTGAGGTAGAGACGCATGAGCTCAACGAAGTCCTTGTTCTCACCGTAGCCGAGCTGGTTGGCCAAGTTGAAGGAATAATCCTTGTCCTTCTGGATAGCAGCGACCTTGCCATCCTTGAAGACATTGCGGTAGATCTTGGAGGCAATGGTGGGGAGCTTGGCGATGAGGTCCATCGAGTCCTCGAAGGTGTAGTTCCAGTAGTCCTTCTTGCTAATACCCTTGGCGTAGGCCTTGGCGAAGGCAGACTCGTGCTCGAGAGCAGTAACGGCCAGAGAGAACTGAGCCATGGGGTGAAGGGTGCTGGGGCAGCGGTCGATGAGCTCCTCGATGAACTTGGGAAGATCGGAACGAGCAGCCCACTCGGCAGACAGGGCGCGGACCTGCTGCTCGGAGGGGATTTCGCCAGTCAGAAGCAGCCAGAAGAGACCTGGGCGCGGTTAGCTTGAATGTCCAACTGAAGGATCTATCAGTCAAAGGAATGGAAGTATACCTTCAGGGAGGGGCTCCTCGCCGCCGGGGGCCTTGGGAAGAAGCTTCTGGCACTCGGGAATCTATTTAATTCGCAGTGAGTGGGAGCGCAGCACAGATCGAAAGTAGCAGGAAAAACTTACAGTGTAGCCTCTGAAACGGATACCCTCCTCGGAATCCAAGACAGAGCCCTGGGTTTTAGCGTTAGCTCGTGTTCAAAGACTCGCACCAAGACGAAATGGTTTAAACACACCTCCCACACAAGACTCTTCACGCCACGGGCACCGCCATAGACCTGGTCAAGGGTGACCTCGCCAATGACCTTGTTGCCATATTCCCTGTTCAGAACAACAATCGAATCAGTATTTGCTATATGCGACTCACGAAGGATATCACAAGAGAAGGTCGCGCGCCTACTTTCTGAGCTTCTTAACCTTCTCGACCTCCTCGGGGAGCTTGTCGGCAAAGGTCTCCTTCAGGGACTAGATCAATGACGTCGAGTCAGCAAGGACAAAACTACATAGGACAATTGAATAGAGAAGACACAGTCACTAACCTTGGCCTTGCCGGTCGAGTAGCAACGCAAGCCATTGAAGGCAGCGGACTGGACGACTGGCTTAGCAGCGACGGAGGAGGAACGAAGGGTGAAAGTTCCGATTCTGAGTGTGGAAGCCATTGCGAATCAAACAACTATGAACGTTGACCGTTTGATGAGGAATGGGAGGGAGAGACGGTATATCAGGGAGACGTTGGAGTAGAAAGGGGAGAGATAAAAAAGAAGGGAGGTGTCCAGAATGTTGAGGGAGAAGCTCTTTTGCGGCCCTTTTTTTTCCATCTGACCGTATCGGTACAACCGGTACGTGATTGATACGGTAACAACCGGCAACGAGCGAGGCAATGACAACAACGTCGGGTACACAGTACGGTAACGCTAAGACCAGGGCAACACAGCCGGAATCCCGAGTTCCAACCAACTTTTTTTTTTTTTTTTCCTCCCTCAGTTCCCTTCTGTTCGGCGAGCTACTATCTACCTAGGTATCTACTACCTTAGTAGGTATGATATGTCGATGATGGTCCCGAAACATATTTAGGTCACGTATAGTAAGTGTCGTTATTATTCTTACCTACTCAGTAGTAAGTACTCTCCCTTCTCTACATGGGTTACTTGGAACTTGAAGACCTTCACCCGCCATATTCCGTCATTCGGAACAAAGAACGGATTACCTATGGACTACTAGATATGGATATGGAGTAGCTAGATACTCCGTAGTTAATATCCCAGTGCCAAGGCCCCGGCTGGGACACTTCGGACGCCTCAGTACGGGGTATAATCTATAAAATACGGAGTATACCGGGTATGTACAGGGTTAGTGATGAACGGTTTTTCAATGTGTCGTCTGCGATCACCATCAATCAGATATCATATGCCTTGTGGGTAGCTCGGCTTGTGATGTGGTTGATCGGTATCTTGTGCTTTGCGGCAGTACGGACTACGGAGTAATAATAATAATAATAATAATAATAGCTTGAAAGTTGGTGACGTCGGGAACTCGCCATCACGGTTCAACGCCACCACTCGGGGCCCCGAGCCTGTGTCTGGCTCAATGAGGTAATTGATAGGCTTCACAGAGCGAGAAGAGAATTTTAACTCGACTACAAGGTAGATATCTCTTCTGTAGTTAGCATGGGTTTGCTCTACTTCGTCGAGTGCGCATAGTATTTAGTGGTTGAACTCGAAACTTCTTCCATGGCAAAAAATTCTAATCATTGTTGTTGTTTGATGAAATCTGATTGTAGGATATAATTTCGGCTAGGTTTATGTATCATTTACTGGAGACTATCAATCTACTACAGCCTACAGGACTCCGTACGCATACATGGACAGTTATTCGTGCACATTACCTAACTATTCACAGTCATAAATTCCTGATTCGACTCACCGAACGGTAACTTCTGTCAGACTTTGGATACAATGATGGAGTTACGGAGTACGGAGTACGGAGTACCCTACGGAGTATTTACCGCCTTGGGTACCTAGGTACTCGTAGACTCGTAGCTAAGTTGTTCACAAGGGTGACAATATTCACGTGATATCATGTGACTTAGTGCCAAGACCAAGACTCATAAAGTTGCTGCCTCAGGCACTAAGAAAAGTTGGCTTTCCAGACCAAGACTAGCGCGGCAGGATTGAAGTTTTCTCCTCTTCGCAATCACCTGATCTCCGACTTCACTTCCTACTCTTTCTTTTTTCTCCTTCCTTTATCTGACATCCCTCTCTTCTGTCATCAACATCCTCCCACCCTTCGGCTGTTTTGGAATTCAGTTCTGAACAGCGTAAATCATATTTCGCTCATTTTCAGCTTACCTCTATTTTGCATCTTTTCTCTAGGCTGTACCCTGTACTAGTACTCACTCGCGAGTCGCAAAGCCCTGGACACCTTGCTTAGCTGTGTTCCAGCTGTAGGCGGAAGGCTCGTCGCCATTTGCTCGTGGAGTCTGTAGTGACACGACCACTAGAGGAAAAAAATCGCTCTAGACACTTCTCCCGGCTCAAGTTGGGCAGGACTCAGCAACTCGCCATCATTCTAGAGCATCTCAATATCTTATTGTACTGGATTGTCCAGTAGACATCTCGCGTTTGGAGTTCCAATTTCACCAAACTCCTCTATTCTATCCTCATTCAAAGTGATAGGACTTCCGGTCTTACACCACAAGAAACCCTAGGTCTCTGTGTTCCTTTCGTACAGCGTTGGAGTCTCAACAGCGATCTTCAACCATGTCGTCTGCTGTAGCAGAGTTGGAGAACTATCTCCAGTCTATGCTTGCTCTTAAGCCTCCAGGAGTCTCCGGATCTAAGATCAACAGTATCACATCGCTTTGTACAGCCAATGTTCAGGTATGAGAGTCCCTGAATTTTTTCCCAGCATGAACACTACTTCTGGATCGTAAGCTAACTCTTTGCCTTTCTTCTTACAGAATGAATCCGTCCTCATCCAGAAGATCTATACACACTTCAAAAAAGCACCAGGAACACACAAGTTGGGCGTACTCTATGTCGTAGACTCTGTAACTCGACAATGGGTAGAAGCAGCGCGCAAAGCAGGCCAGCCATCTGGTAGTGCTGCTCCCGATGGAACTTTCGCTGCTGGCGTCAACAGAGTGACAGAACTGCTCCCTGTTTTGATGACCGATATCATAAACAATGCTCCTGAAGATCAAAAGGTACGCTTTAGATGCAAAATGCGAATAATCACCAAACCATTACAGGATTCGTGGACTGTTCCGAAGGCGATATACAGCGGTGATCGTTTTTGTATCCCGTGATAGCCTCGCTTGGTCTCGAATCATCGTATTCCTGTGATGTATCCCCTTCTCACTGCTTAGAACCGTCACTCTTCCCTTTAAAAACTTCAGCTATGCTACGTGACGAATAGTCCCACTTACGTATTTGATGTTTTCACCATATAGGAGAAAATCAAGAAGCTGGTCGATATCTGGGAGCGTGGTTATACGTTTCCTGCACCCATGCTTGCATCGTTCAAAGAGAAGTTGAATGCACCAGCACCACAAAGTAAGCTACTCCTTCAGCACCCCTTGCGACACAGAAATTGGGCCTGCCGTATTTCTATCATATCAGATAGTTTTAGACGCGGGTTATCACAAACCCAACAGCTATTCTGTCAGATATCTAATTTCTACTTCTAGACGTTGAATCTACCACTCCAGAAGGATCACCTGCGCCAAACTACCTTCCAATCGGAGGTGCACAGCAGCAGCCATCAAATGGCGCATCTTCGACCACTCCCGCCCAGTCAGCTCCCGATACTTCCAGTATCTTGAAAGCTTTGGCGGACATGGCAAAACAGAACACAGCAGCCCCAGGAGTGCCGGCGGTACCGGCACCGGCTAATCCCCTAGGCGCCTTGAACCCGCAGAGGCCAATTCCACAACCCGTGGCATCGTCTGTAGATCCAGCTTCGCAAATTCAAAATGCACAAACTGGTGTAAACCCTTATGCTGCTGGAGCCATGGCAGCGCCATTCGCGGCCTTGAGTAGTCTTGCTCAAAACCCTGCGTTGTTACCCCCGCAAAGCCAGAGTCAGACTCCCCCTAACCCCTTGGCTGCCGCGGCAAACCCATTGGCTGCGCTACTTCCGCAGGCGACTGCAGCTCCGACTCAGGCAACTCCTGGTCTAGCGCCAGATGCCCTGCAGCAGCAGCTCCAGCTCCTGCAGCTGCTTGCGGCGCAAGGAATCCCCCAGGATCAGTGGGCGACTGCCCTGCAGATTCTCAGCCTCTCTAATCCCACGAATATGACCGGTCTGAACCCTGGGCAGGTTCCCGGCTTCAATTTGCCGGGTCAGACCGCGACTGCGACTGCGACTGCTTGGGGTACCCGTCCAGAGTCCCAATCACGTGACTTTGAACGGGACCGTGAGAGGGACCGTGATTACATGCGCTCTCCTCCAGGCCAGTATCGTCGCCGCTCCCGGTCTCCCGGATGGGAACGGCGTCGCGATCCGTCTCCTCCACGACGCCGCGACAGCCCTGTTTACGGAGAGTACCATGGGGATTCGCCTGGTCGCCGAGGTGACATGCGCAACCGACGTGGCAACGAATACCGCCAGCGCAGCCCTCCCGGTCGTAGACGCCGTTCTCCTTCACCTCCTCGCAATGATCCCGCACTGCCTCCTCCTGGACCGAAGTTTATTGAATGGGATTACTCCATTGGACAAGGAAACATCAAAGGTGCGTACGGCAATCTATCGACGCACAACATCCAATTCATCTGCTAACATACATGCGAACAGTTCTGAGCCGAACTCTTTTCGTTGGCGGTGTCACGTAAGTTTAGACAACCTGATCTCAGGAGCATTTCAATGGGCTGTTTACTAACTATTTCTTAGATCCTCCGAAGCACACCTGCGTTCTCTATTCGGCAAGTTTGGTATCGTCCAAACATGCATTGTCAACATCGACAAACGCCATGCCTTCATCAAGATGATTAGTCGCCAGGACGCCATCAGCGCCCGCGAGGGAATGGAATCATATAAATCGGGAGACATGCAATTAAGAGTAAGTCATTTCGACACATTGCGTCTTGTGTAGGTCGTACCTCTGACAAATTTAGACTCGTTGGGGTGTGGGATTTGGCCCGCGTGACTGCAGCGATTATCAGACAGGCATCAGTGTTATCCCAATCGAGCGGCTCACCGAAGCGGATCGTAAATGGATGCTTACCGCCGAATATGGCGGAACCGGTGGTCGGCCCATCGAGTCCGGCATGGTGGTTGAGGAACCAGACATCGAGATTGGTGCAGGCGTTTCATCGAAAGGTAAGAAAGATGAATTTTTTCTTCCTTTTATCTCTATATCGCAAGTTCTCGGCTGACTGTCTGCCAACAGCCATCAGTAGACGAATTGCCACGGATACCGGAGGAAAACGCGGTCCAGTGTCCTCTCGTACTCAGCAAGATCGATTCCGTCGTCCCGAACGCGATGGCCATACAGTTGGAATGGGTCCCGGCGGTCCCGGCTCCCACGGTGAGCGTGATACGTCCACTGCCAGTAATGTTGGTGTCCCGCCCGCGGTGCCTGGGTTTGGATTTTCGTTTCCTGGAATGCCCATGTTTCCCCCGGGTTTCATGATGGGTGGAGCGCAAGCTGGACCTTCCAATGGATCGAGTCAACCACCACCTCCCGGTCAATGAAGATGAGCATCAAATATCTTTCACTGGATATTCCAGACCTGGCAATTCCCAACGCATCGGTGCTATGGGATCTCCCTTGCCATGTGTCCAGCATATGTCTCCATACGAACAACCGGTCCGTATTATATCACCTTGCTTTCTTCCTCCGTCTTTCTCTATCTTCTTTTTCTTCTCTACTATGTACAATCTTCATCGGGGAGGGTTCATTCGGGAGTTTTTTGATCTTCGAGGGTGGTTTCTGAAACATGATTTCTGTTTGCGGTTTTCCTTACCAAAGACTTTCTTGAGACATGCGCAATTAGGCATGGGACATTGACCCTGGGGGTGCACGATGATCTGTATGCACTGCTTATTCAGATGCACGGCAATATGATCTTTGCCATTGATATGACAGTGGTTATGCGTTGGGAATTGGGATCAGAACCTTTCAAAATGATTGTATTAAGGCTTAGCGGTTTTCGAACTTCCCTTCGTCCTCTTACTTCCTCTTGTCTTGTACCACAAGTTTCTTCCATTGCTGTGATGGCCTTGCATTTGATTTGATTTCGAATTGGTTGAGATTTCCTGGGTGGCTTTCTCCCTGTGTTGTGATCGTTTGTTGCTGGGTCTGCTTTACAACTGAAGCTGTTGATATCAGGGACCTTTTTTTTTTTTTTTTTTTTTTTTTCTTTGATTACTGCACCCCTGTGATTCCATATTCCCCTCTGATGTCAATCCTAGTTCAATTATTTTACTCTGCTGAATGACTTCCGATATGCAAGGGAAACTTTCTAGTTCGGTTGTGGTAATGTATGTTCATTGTGTAGATTTGGCGATGCAAGATTCCAGATCTTTGACATCGCAACGTATGTACATCCCATTATCGAATAGCAGCAAGATCTTTTGGTTCTTACTGTTATTCCATGACGGTGTATTCCAATCAACAAACAGTGATTCTGAGCGAAGAAACGAAAAAAAAAACGTAAATAGATATTGCTTGGTATCATAAGTTGAGTTGTATCATGCATCCTGTTTCTCCTTCAGTCCCTCATTTTCTCCGTTGCGGATCGAGAAAGGTACGACACCCTACTGCGAGAGCGCGGCAGCCGAGGCTTTGAAGGACTGCTCGAAATCGGCAATGATGTCATCAATGTGTTCGGTGCCGACCGACAGACGGATAGCATCCTCAGTGACACCCGAGGCGATACGCTCTTCCTCGGTAAGCTGCTCGTGGGTGGTGGACCATGGGTGGATGGCGAGGGTCTTCGAATCTCCGACACTATAGCAAGTTCCAGTCAGCTCAGTTCACCAATGCGGGTCGCTCCTCTTGAGCCAAAATATATCACTTACTTGGCGAGGTTGGAAATCAGCTTGAAGTTATCGACGACCTGACTACCGGCAGCCGCGCCTCCCTTGACACCAAAGGACAGAACGCCACCGAAGCCGCGCTTCAAGTAGCGCTTGGCAATCTCATGGCTAGGATGAGATTCCAAACCGGGGTATGAGACCCAGCTGACGTTCTCGTTCTTCTGCAGCCAGTTGGCCAGAGCGATGGCATTGCTGGCATGGCGTTCGGCACGCAAACTCAGCGTTTCGATACCAAGGAGGAGCTGCTGAGCGGCAAATGGGTTCAGCGCCGATCCAAGATCACGGAGAATCTCTACACGGACACGGATAGCGAACGCAATAGGTCCGAAGGTCTCCCAGAACTTCAAGCCGTGATAGCCCTCCGATGGTTCGACGAACTGAGGGAATCTGTCGGCGTGCTTGCCCCAGTCAAATTTACCGCTGTCGACAACAACACCAGCAACGGTGGTACCATGTCCACCAATCCACTTGGTTGCACTGTGTACAACAATGTCGGCTCCGTGCTCGATGGGACGGAAGAAATAGCCTCCAGCACCGAAAGTGTTATCAACCTGACATTGACAGAAAAGAGTGAGTAACATGCCTCAACCGGTAGTCTAAGTGAGACACTTACCACAAGGGGAACTCCCTTCTCGTGCGCGACCTTGGCAATGGCCTCAAAGTCAGGCACGTTGAAGCGGGGGTTGCCAATGGTTTCGACGTAGACGGCCTTGGTGCGATCATCGATGGCCGCGGCAATGTCCTCAGGCTTATCTCCCTGAACGAACTTGGTTGTAATACCCAGACGAGGGAGGGTAACCTTCAATTGATTGTAGGTGCCACCGTACAAGTTGGAGGTGGCTACGATGTTATCACCGGCATGGGCAAGGGCGGCGATGGCCATGAACTGAGCAGCTTGGCCAGAGGCGGCCGCGACAGCTGCAACGCCACCTTCAAGGGCAGCAATACGCTTCTCGAAAACATCAACAGTCGGCTAGCGTAGGATATACGATGATCAGTGTCTGTGTGCTAGATGGTCCATTTGACCGGTGCGGGAATCACTCACGTTCATGATACGACTGTAGATGTTTCCGAATTCCTTCAGGCCAAACAGCCTGGCGCCATGTGCAGAGTCATTGAAGACATATGACTGCGGATAGCTGTTAGCGGACGCGTCGGATATATGACGGGGTAAAGAAAAGGGGGGGGGGGGGGGGGTCGCCAACAGTTGTGGCATAGATAGGCACAGCACGCGAATTGGTGGCGGAATCTGGTTCATGACTTGGGAGAATTGGTCAATACAGCTAAATGCATAATGAACAGAAAGCAGCTCATCGATCTATATCTTACCCAGCATGAAGTTGGAGTGTATCGAAGTGGGGTGTCTGAGACATGATGCTGGTCTCTCTGTCTCTCTCTGTTTCTCGGGGAATGTCAAGGTAGGAATGGTTCAACCGACAATTAAGAGGTGGAATAGAGGGGAAGATATAAGAGCACACTGAAGAAAGGAGGTTTAGACAGTCAAGGCGGGGGCAATGTTCAGTGACAGCCTCAACTATATAGATCTGTACTTCGTAACTATCGTTGGAATAGCGGCGATGGCGTGATTGAAGGACGAACATCGGAGCTGGAAAAGGAAAAGCAAATATGGGGGAAAAGCAGAATTACGCGAAAGCATCAATAATGGGAACTATGAGAGGCAGAATTTGTGAAGTCACTGTTTGATTCTTTTGGTCTACTACTACATGCAAAACTTTCTGATATGCTTGACAGAAAAATAAGCCATTGCAGGGGATCCGACTCTGCGTAGGAAGGGGAAGATAAGATCAGATCAAAGATCATAGATATAAGAGTCGTCAGGGTAACACCAAACGTTGCTGCATTATGCATAGTCGCGTTGAGAGAGAGAGAGGGTCGGAAACTACTAGTATTGGCGGAATATGGAGTATGGAGGGGTAAGATTATGTAAGTACTCCATGGTCACGATTATGTCCACAAAGTCTGGGGAAGACAATGAGTCAGCACGGTTCATATCTCGCATTAATATCATCATTATTCTAATATCCATCCTCACTATTTCTTGATCAGGCCTTATGCCAGCATTGATGCGCCAATCCTCGACACGTAAGGTCATCAGATCATAAGATATCCTCTTCGACAAGATAGTCTAGGTGGGTTGCCTATTATACCCTTGGTAGGTACGTATATATACGGAGTAACTACTAGAGCCATGAGGAATCACATACAACTCAAACCATGGATCCTGTCATGGATTCAAGATGATACCCGAATTCTTCATAGTATCCATTTCGTCTAAGTACCAGATAAGTACTAACAGACTATTTATAGACAGATTTTCTCTCGATATCTGTGGCTTGGATGCTATTGTAGTCATATAATTATTATTAATAAGAGTAGCAGTAGGGTGATCTCCCATGCTGGCTGCCGAGACGCTTGTCGTCATAAGGTGGTCCTTACCTATTGTTTGTATGATCACAGGTACAAAAAAAAAAGAAGACAATCAGCGCCCAATGACCTAGCATTTCCCCATCGGAGAGAAGAGAATAGTCAGAATGTCCTTTCTTGATTTGAAGCCTAATATAACCCGTAGTAGGACTCTGCACAACAACTGACAGCTAGCTAGAAAACCAAGAAAAACTCGCCAATCAGAATGACCAAAATACTCACCACAAGGCTCAGCGGCGTACAAGTTAGGCGGAAGTATTAAGGACGCTTGGGCAAGTGACGTTTGTTATCCCCAAGCCAACTAAACATTATTTATTTAAATCGCAGGGACTGGTGGTCCCCATCCTTTGCCAGTGTGTCCTTCATTCTTGCTCAATATATCAATACCAACCGAATAAATCATCCGTCCGGAGTCAGTATCCTGAACAACTTTTGGCAAGAGTTTCCCGCCCCAAGGTAAGTCTTCTACCATCAGTTCCTGTCCATTTTCATTTCCCTGTCACAAGATGACGGCCGAGCTAGAGCGCTCAATGGCTCGGCGAGGTAATGATGATCAGGACTGAAAAGAGCGTCCTTGATTTCACCACCCGAGATTGTCCCGGTGCTGTTTAAAGACGAGCCACTGTCCAGTCGGCATCGACCTTCGTTCTCCTACCTTCACATGTTCGAGGTTCTGTTTCGATCGGAAGCCCTTGCTGATTGCCGTCGAATTCCATTTTGGAACTCTAGTTTTGACGTTCCCAAATCCCGTGGGAAAAGTGTTGCAGTGTTCAATCGAGACGATTCGCGCATATGAACTTTTGTGATTTGAACTTTTTTCTCATCCACCAGTCCTTTCGCTGTCCATCATGGCTGCCAATTTCCCATGGATATATCCGGTTCGTGTGGCTCAGGCCATCTTCGCAATCATCGTTCTAGGATTGACGGGATATGGTACGCCTCCTCTTCGTTGCGCTGTGCAAGAACCATATCATCGGACCCTAACATCAAAGCAGCTGTCAGTTGGATCCGCTGGAGCGATACTATCAATTTCATGCTCTTCAACAGCGCCTGGACGGCCTTCATTGCGGTGCCCTATCTGGCGTTGGCCCCCGTTTTCTTCCCGAGACTGGCTCATCGCTTTGTGATCCCTGCCGTTGAAGCTGTTACCATGATATTCTGGTTTTCAGGCTTCGTCGCATTGGGGGTCTGGCTTCCTCCTTCAGAAGCCTGCCATTGGGGTCGGTGCCGCGCGTTGCAAGCAGCAACTGTATTTGGGGCATTTGAGTGGTGCGTTCTATTCTTTCCCAAACTCTCGGAATTCCAAGAGTTCATCCGAGGTCGCTAGGACTGACACTGCAGAAATAGGGCATTGTTCCTTGCTACGACTGTTGTCGCAGTTCTGGGGGCTTTGCGATCTGGTAACCACAGCACCAACAGTACGAAACCCGCCCCGCATAACACCGTTCATAGTGGAGTCTAAAACAGGGTTTGATTGCAGCTGTAGTTCCCTGAGATCCCATACATCTCACATGAATGTGCAGACGAGAGAAGAAAGAGAGAGAGAGAGAGAGACTGCGGAACTATTCTAATGAGCATGATGACGTCATCTGAACGGACTGTGTTGCTTCCTGATGGAAATTTACATTCTGTTTTCTGTGATTTTTTGGTGTTGTGGATACCCTTTTTGAGTTGACAAAATTAATGATGACAATAATGTTAATAAGCCTTCTTACTGCCTGGGGTTGGTTTGGAATTCTACTACGGAGTAGTTGAAGTTCATTCTCAGTGGCGGAATGGCCATATGATACTACCTTGGTAGTATTATTGCGGCTTTTGTTGATCCACTCAAAGGAACTAACTAGTAGGACTGTAGGAGTGTAGGACTGCCAGTGAACTTGGTTTAGGATATAGTCTATTATTATTTATTACTCTGTAGAAAGATGACTCTCAAAAATGCTCTACAGAAGGCTTGAAAATGGGAGGTATTATTATCTGTGAGACCATGGATAGTCCTGCAATCTTAAAACGATATCGCCGACCGACACGAGATGAAGATGAAATCTCTGCCTGAAGGATTAGCTAAGCTAAGCCGGCCATTGGGTCTTGCCTTCAGCAGGCGAACCAAGCTTCTTCTACCTTCCGCCACCGCACTGGTTATTTGCGGCTAGATACCTAGATTAGAGTATCTATGTAACTAAGTCTTTACGAGAAAAAATTTCTGTTCTCCGCTTGGATTCCAGCTCTTATCAGTATCGGTCTTTGGGGTTTGCGAGAATAATTTAAATCCCCGTTCATGGATGCTGATTGGTGATTGCGACTACCGGATGTTCGCCATCCAGGAAGCGTTTTTTTTTTCTGTTCGCCTGTTGCCATCCAGGCATCCACCCTATGGATTCCCACTTTTCAATCGCGTTACATCGTCTTCCCGCTCGCAGATAGAGAAGAGGAGTCATCAACTCCGCTCCACTACTATGTATGTAAGTAAGCAACCTAACAAGTAAGTACTCCGTGAGTACCTACTACTACTAGGTAGTTGATTAGGTAGTAGATAGATCGATAGATATCTAGTTATCTACTGGCTTCAAAATGCTCATTGTATGATCAATAGATTTTCTTCAATTTGCCATTGGCCCTGGCTTTATCTCGTCGGTGTGTCTGCTCACCCTCGGACCCTCGCAGTCTTCACAATAAAAAGCCCAGCGCTCTCCAGCCAAGTTGCTTCGCAGTGTGTTCAATTTGGGTTCACTACTCCACTGCGGGAAACGGAAAAGAAAGAGAGAGAGAAGAAGAAGAAAAAAAAAAAAAAAAAAAAAAACTTAGTATTATTGCTGGGATCACTGGTTATCTACTCAAGTGGAGTCTCTCTTCTTGCACTCTCTCTGCCCACCTAAATTTTGCTCTTCTTTTTCCTTTCTCTCTTGTACCGTGAATCTCCACTCGTCCTCTATCTAGTCCACCTGGATCTTTCATTCCGTCCTTTCTTCCATCCAGCCAGCCCTGACCAGCTTTGGATTGCCGGAAAGAGACGATGGCCTCTGACGAGCCTGAGGTCACAGCTGCCCCAAAGGCTGTAGAGGGCAAGGGCAGGATGATCAACGATGAGTCTGTCCACGTCTATGCCAACAATGATCCTACGGCATCGAACGATTTCGACTGTGAGAAGCATGGGGCGAGCCGCGAGTCCAATCCGCTGCCAGACCTCAAGCGGAAGCTGAAGAGCAGACATCTACAGATGATTGCCATCGGTGAGGAAGACTTGACTTCGTGCGGTCCCTTCTACAAGAACACCATGCTAATCCCTCTCGGTAGGTGGTACTATCGGCACAGGTCTTTTCATCAGCAGCGGTACCGCGATCGCGCACGCCGGCCCGGTGGGTGCTCTGATCGCATACATCTTCGTGGGGTCAATCGTCTACTCGGTCATGACGTCCCTGGGAGAAGTCGCTACCTATATGCCCATTCCCGGTGCCTTCACCGCATACGCTACCCGATTGATCGACCCTAGTCTTGGTTTCGCAATGGGATGGATCTACTGGTTCTCCTGGGCCATCACCTTCGCCCTGGAACTGACTGCAACCGGCTTGATCATTCAGTTCTGGAATTCGGATATCCACATTGCGATCTTTATCGGGGTTTTCTGGGTGATGATCACCTTGTTCAACTTCCTGCCCGTGAGTTTCTACGGCGAGTTGGAGTTCTGGTTCTCGAGCATCAAAGTCCTCACTGTCGTGGGATTCATGATCTTCGCCATCTGTATCAATGCCGGCGCCGGTGACAAGGGTTATATTGGATTCCACTATTGGGTTGATCCTGGTCCCTTCGCCGCCTATGATGGTGTTCACCCGGACTCGACAGCCAAGTTTGTCGGCTTCTGGGCCGTCCTGATCCAGGCTGGATTCTCATACCAAGGAACCGAGCTGGTTGGTATTGCGGCAGGTGAAACAGAAAACCCTCGTAAGACTGTTCCATCGGCCATTCGCAAGACCTTCTTCCGAATTCTCTTCTTCTTTGTCCTTACCATCTTCTTCATCGGTCTGTTGGTGCCCTATACCAACAACAACCTCCTCACGGGCGGGAATGATGCCAACTCCTCGCCATTCGTCATTGCTGCCCGGTTAGCCGGCGTGAAGGTCCTCCCGGACATCATCAATGCCGTCCTGTTGACTGTGGTTCTTTCGGCCGCCAATTCCAACGTCTACAGTGGCAGTCGTATCCTGATCGGGTTGGCTCAGGAAGGATTTGCGCCGCGGTGGTTCAAGGAAACAACCAAGAAAGGAGTTCCCTACTACAGCGTCGCATTCACCTCGGCGTTTGGTCTGCTTGGATTTATGAATGTTTCGAATGCCGGTAGCACTGTTTTCAACTGGTTCCTCAACATCTCAAGCGTGGCAGGCTTCATCACATGGGCGTCCCTGAATGCTTGTCACATCGCCTTCATGCGAGCCTTGGAGGCTCGTAACGTCTCCCGTGACCTCCTCCCGTACAAGGCTTTGTGGCAGCCGTTCTATGCCTACTATGGATTGTTCTTCAACATCCTGATCATCTTCACTCAAGGATTTACGGCGTGGATCCCAACTTTCAGTGTCACGAGTTTCTTCATTGCCTACCTGAGTTTGATTCTGTTCGTTGTGCTCTATCTGGGACATAAGATCATTTTCCGGCCCGCGTTTGTACGGCCAGAAGACGCCGATCTCGACACTGGCCGTCTCGCCTTGGAGAATGAGATGTGGGAGACTGTCACCCCCACCAAGTGGTATAAGAAAGTGGGTAACGCCATCTTTACTTAGAGAGGCTCCTCGGATTCCCGCGGTCCTCTGCTATTTTATTTTATTCAAAACGGGCATGATTTTGCAGCGTGCATGTGCATGAGTTGAAGAATCTGTACAGGCAATGAGGCACGAAATGTTGCGACATCAGCGTTGTTGCGTTGATTGATGGTGGATTTGAGCACCATGGGACTGCTGGGAGACGAGCGATGAAGCATCAGCGGGATTAGGAAGATACCCCAGTGTCTCCCTGGATGTCTTCTTGTATAGTATACATATCTATATATATTTTGTGTTTTTTGTTAGTGTCGCATTTGGCTCGGAGTTGGGAGTTGCTTTTTTCTTTTTCTTTTTCTGGACTGTCTTCTTGTTGTGGTAACAGGCAATACCTAGTTACCATATCTTTGAGAATCTCAACAACTATGCAAATATAAACCCCGTCATTTTGTTCTTGCCACGATGTCTACGATAATTGTATGCACCTTGCTTGATGTGGTGGATGTGGCTGAGCAGTGCCATCCACCTCAACAGACAGAATTGACATTTTTCACATGAAAGCTCACATGCAGTCATGTGCAGATTCCTTGGGGGGGGGAAAATAATAGCCTGAGATACAGTACTTATAGCGCACTCGTCCGCAGTCTACCAGTAGTAGTAGAGAGAGTACTCCTGCTTCCAACTATACATCATCCTGGGATTTATATGGATTTGGAAGAGCATGTGAAGGAGACGTGATAAGAAAAATAGTAGATGAGTAAACCCAGGGACGCTTCCCAGGCTTTCGACCCTTACGCTCATTGGATTCGATTTTGTCCCCTCTCATACCGCTAGTCAAGCCTCCCGAGTGCCAACTATTCCGTAGCATCTGCTGGGCTCCCTAGATACCTAGCTAAGTTGACCTGGTGTACCGTGTACGGGAGAAGTCCATGAGCCAGTCACTTGATGGGTGATTGGGGGAAATATCGGGGGTTGCCACCAACTTGCGTAGGAACCCCGGGGGAGGCGCATGAGCCATGGAGGGTCCTAAACTGAAACGAGGAAGAGTCCCAAGAATTTGAGCCGGGGGAGGCGTTTTTTCTCCCTTTCTTTTCTCTGGATCACGAAAGCAGAAAATGCTGTTGTTGACTCGTGGTGCGACTGGTGCCTGTGGGGGAGGAAGTAGACAGTAGTAGTAAACAGTACGTATTAACCGCAGAAAGAAGCCGAGGTAAGTCTTCGCTTTTGGGGATGGTCGGCTATGCGAATGACTTCAGTGGTTGGCTCGGCCGCTCAGCTGCTCCAACTTGCTCCATCCACGCTCCTCCCAGTCCGGAGTAGGGAGTCGATCATTCATTCATTCATTCATTCATTAGTCTCGTCGCTCGTTCTTCGAAATACTTTCTTGTTCCAGCGACAATCTTATTCCTGTTCTTCTTCTTCTTCTTTTCTTCCTGTTTGACTGGACGGGACGTCAAGATCAGAAACACCCACTTAGATTATAGGAGTCCGTACCAGGGTTCATCTCCTCCCCCTTTCTCATTCATTTCCCTCGCTCTCTCCCTTCTCTTGGTCTCGTCAGTCTCATTCTCACTTTCTATTCTGTGTATTTCGTTCATCGTACAAACTCGGGGTTTGCGCGGAGAGAAAGAGCAGAGATTCACCCTCCCCAACTTTTTCGTTGTTGTTGTTGTTGTCCTGTTCCTGCATCTTCTATGTATGTCCCTCACCTGCATTGAATGTCCCCTGGTAGGTCTCAGGCTAACTCTGCCTAGAGAAAGCTCTGTAAAGCGTTATCGCAATGTTTTTCTCGCAGCAACCCACCCATCTTGCTCGCGTCGAAGAGTTGAGACGAGAACCCCCCAAAGGCACCCCGTATTCCGTTGCGCTGCCTGGCACTGAACAAACTGGACGGAGCAAGATCTACCGTGCCTGGAACCTGCAGAAGGAGCTGCTGAAGACGCTAGATCCTAAGGTATGAAGAAATCCCGGCGCTGTCACTGGTTCCCCACTTCCCCGAGCGTGCCGAATAAAACTCTCCCCCAAACTGACATTTTCTCCGCTAGATTCTCACAGCGCATGACGTTTTCGAATCGACCGCCAGTCGCGTCCCGAAAGCCCATTGTCTCGGATGGCGGCCTTACAACCCGGTCTCCAAGACGTACGGCCCCTACCAGTGGCTGGATTACCAAACCGTACAATCGCGGAGGGCCGCTTTTGGTGCTGGTTTGGTGGAAGTGCATAACAAGCATGGCTGTGGACGCTCGGGCCCATATGGCATTGGTTTGTGGTGCCAAAATCGGCCAGAGTGGCAGATTACCGGTATGGATTCCTCCCATTTTCTCTCGCTTGATCAAGCCTGGTTCACTGGCCTCTGACGAAAACCCGTTGGTATAGATCTGGCATGCATGTCCCAAGGCCTTTACTCGGTTTCCATCTACGACGTCCTCGCCGCCGATGCCACTGAATACATTATCAACCACGCTGAGCTGAGCTGCGTCGTCACGTCCTTGCCGCATATCCCGACTTTGCTCAAGCTCAAGCCTGCTTTGCCCAATCTGAAGATTATCGTCAGTCTGGACCCTCTGGATGCCGGCGAGCCCACCGGTCACTCCAAGCGGGCGCTTCTAGAGTCCATCGCGACCGATCTGGATGTCGTAATCTATACGATGGACCAAGTGGAGGAGTTGGGTGCGGCCTCAAAGCGTCCATACAATCCTCCGGCGCCCTCCGACATTGTCACAATCAATTACACCTCTGGTACCACTGGCCCCCCCAAGGGCGTTGTCCTGACCCATGAAAATGCTGTCGCCGCGACATCCGCCGCCATGGTCAACATTTCGCAAAATCCAGGTGACACAAACTTGTCGTATCTCCCATTGGCTCATATCTATGCGCGACTGACGGAACATACCGCTTTCTGGGCGGGTGCCCGTATCGGTTACTTCCATGGAAACATTGTGGAATTGGTCGACGATATCAAGACACTGAAGCCAACAGGATTTATGTCGGTGCCGCGTCTATACAGCCGCTTTGGCAACGTCATTCGCGCCGCCACTGTCGAGCAGCCTGGATTCAAGGGAGCCATGTCAAGACACATCGTTGCTGCCAAGACAGCTAACCTGAAGAATCCGGATCCCAGCAAGGCCACGGTGAAGCACGCTCTGTATGATCGAATTTGGGCTAAGAAGGTCGCTGCAGCCATAGGTCTGGATCGGTGCAGATTCATGGTCTCTGGTTCTGCCCCTCTGGATCCTTCGTTGCACAACTTCCTGAGAGTTGCTCTGGGTGTCGACTTCATTCAGGGTTATGGCTTGACTGAGACATATGCCATTGCCACCACGCAGTCTTCCACAGATCTTACCGCTGGAAACTGCGGTCGGGTTACCCCCTGCACGGAAGCCTGCCTGATGTCCCTGCCTGACATGGAATACTCGGTCGACGACAAGCCGTTCCCTCGGGGCGAGTTGCTTCTGCGTGGAGCCAATGTTTTCCAGGAATACTTCAAGAATCCCGAGGAGACCAGCAAGGCCATGACAGAAGATGGGTGGTTCAGAACCGGTGATGTCTGCACAGTCGATGAGATGGGTCGTTTCATCATCATCGACCGTCGCAAGAATGTTCTCAAGCTGGCGCAGGGAGAATATATCTCCCCCGAGCGGCTCGAGGGCGTCTATTTATCCGAGCTCGGCTATTTCGCCCAAGGCTATATCCATGGTGACAGCATTCAGACTTTCTTGGTTGGTATCTTCGGTGTCCAGCCCGATGCATTCGCTCCCTTTGCCAGCAAGGTTCTCGGCCGTACCATCGACGGCACAGATATTGAAGGCATCAAATCGGTTTTGAACGATGACAAGGTCCGCAAGGCTGTGTTGAGAGACCTAGAAAAGGTGGCCAAGAAGCACAAGCTTGCGGGATACGAAAGGGTCAAGAACTGTGCTCTAATGATCGAACCTTTCTCGGTTGAGAACAATCTGCTGACACCAACGTAAGTTGCTCTTATGACTTTGTTTCAAAATGTGTTTTGTTCACCTGCTAATCTCTTGTCTCCATTCCAGTCTCAAACTGAAGCGTCCTCCTACTACCAAGAAATATCGCGATCTCCTCGATCAGCTGTATGCTCAGGCCACGGAAGAACAGTCCGCTCCTAAGGCCAAGCTGTAAATGCTCCTCGCTTCTTTGCTGTATAGATCCTTGACCCGCTTTGGTTCTCCCTCCTGGTGGTCCTAGATCATCAACTCATCCAAGGCAATGTACATACAGTTGAACGGTTTCTTTCTTGTCCAGGAGGTGATTGAATATTGCACAGTATCCGGGCCGCCTGCTCTTTTCCGTGTATATTTATAGTTTCTTGTGATTATCATTGATGTTATACTTGCACCGTCCGCGACGGTGAGTAGCGAATTTGATTGTTCAGCTAGCGATTAACAAACTCATTACATAGATGTAGAAAGCCAGAAGGACTCTATCTCCCTATACATGGGCTATGATGGCCTTTTTAAGTCAGCGAGACAATTATTGCGCTAAAAAGGATGTTGAGTAAACAGTATCGGAGAGCTATTGACCCTATCCGAGAGCTTGGCACTTTCATACCCGTCCACGTTCTGTCAAGATTACTGATCTCCAACATCTCCACCCAAGCAACAGCTACTGTCCCAACGCAGCATTGTGGCCATTATTGCCGTCGCTCTCTGCAATCATGTATCTTCTTAGATCCTCTCTGTCCACATACCTCCTTTTCTTCGCAGCCACCATCGCAACCGCGGTGTCCTCCTCCCTCACCATCACCATCCCTCCCTCCAACCTGCTCCCGAATCCCAACACTCTCCCAGCCGGCACGCACGCTACCTTGATCTCGCTACCTTCGCCGGGAGACACGAACAATGCCAACAGCAACCTGCCCCATCCCATGACGGCTCCGCTGACGCGCTCCGCCTCCTTCGTCTTCCGGAACCTCAAGTCTGCGAAACCCGAGTCCTACCTGCTCGATATCCGGTCCGCGGGGTATGTCTTCGCGCCGTACCGCGTGGACGTCTCCGCGGACGGAGCCGTGCTGGGCGTCTGGGAGACGTACCGCGCAAACCCCTGGGATAATCGCGGTGCGGAGAAGTTCGCGGTCGATGCTGCTGCTGCTTCCCCCGCCGCTACGGACGTGGCCGTGGATGCTAAGGTACTGGGTCAACGGGGGTTCTATGAAGAACGCGCTCGATGTAAGTCGCACCCAACCCCTCGTCGTGCGGTCTTTGTCTTGATTCTTCCCCCTTTTTTTGGGGGGGGGGTAGTTACTGACGATATTGGGACTTTCGCTCTCCGTGATTAGTCTCGCCCCTTTCGCTGCTCAAAAACCCTATGATTCTGCTGGCTCTCGTCGCTCTGGGTTTCACCTTTGGAATGCCAAAGCTCATGGAAAACAGTAAGTCCGGCTGTTATGTTGCCATCCTGCGGCGTTCGCTTGTCCACTCGCCCGCCTCGCTGACTGACTTCTTTCCCCAGTGGACCCTGAGATGCGCGCCGAGTTCGAGAAACAATCTCGCTCCTCCCCCATTACCGGCGCTACCCGGAATGCCATGACGGGTGGCGGTGGCCCCGGGAACTTTGATCTTGCCGGATGGATGGCCGGTGCGGCCCCCAGACCGACCGCCGCAGAGACAGAACCGGCAGCGCCCCGGGGAGCAGCGACCGGCCGAGAGGGTGGAGGTGCTACGCGCAGACGAGGATGATCTGGCTTTCGATACTTTGCTCGAGCGACAATATGCGTGTGCCTTAGCACAGGGGCTTTGCTTTGTGTTGTGGAAGGCCTAGTCCATGTACAGAATATAAACAAGTGGCCTTGTCATTTTCATTTGAAAGAGATGAAACAGCGGACATTGACTCGTAAGAATAAAAAATAACACATCAATAGCAACACTATATACATAAATCGTCATATCATCGTCGAAAGCATGAAACAGTGAGCGCATCAATGTGCCTCAAACAATACATATGGGTGGGCAGTATCAGAAAGAAGGAAGCCCTCGGCAATTCGATGCATGAAAACAAAGTGCTCGACCGTATAATACAGTCGCTACGAAACCCCGTCATTCTTCAAAAGCGAAACGTAGATAGCACGAGTGGCCACATAGGCATGTTTCATACCCAGTTCATTAGAAGTCACCGCCAAAGTCGTCACCGCCACCGCCAAAGTCACCACTGTAGTCATCACCATAGTTGTTGATCACGGTGTCACCATGGTCGTCATCGAATGCCGATGCGAGCAAAGCACCACCGAGAAGACCGCCACCCACGCCTAATGCGGCAGCGCCTGCGGTTCCCATCCCCCCACCCCGCCGGGGCGGTTGGCCCGCAGGATAGTAACCACCCTGGGGCGGGTATTGGGGGTATCCGTACCCCGGTTGCTGGGGGTAGCCTGGCTGCTGAGGATAGCCACCTCCGTAATAGCCGCCTTGTTGGTGGGCAACAGGCGGAGGCGGTCTCCCGTAGCTAGAACTCGAGCTCTTCCCCATCAACTTGCTCAGAAAGCCTTTGCTGCGCTTCTGTTCAGGAGCTGGCGTGGGGCCCTGGGTGGACTGATAGCCCGTCGATGACTGCGGCCGGGAGCTTCCGCCGTAGTAATCTGATGCAGCGCCGGGCTGCGCCGCCGGGCTGCGACTTTGAGCTCGGGCGTCCTCTTCCGCCTGAAGCTGGGCGGCTAGGCGCGCATCACTATCTAGCGTACCATTCCCGGCATCTGCTTTATAAGGGTTGTTGGATCCCAGCGTCTTCTTGTCATTGGCAGCGGCCAGGGCGGACGGGTTTGCTGAACCCGAGTCGTCATAGGACGGGGGTGGCCCGCCTGGCGGAGCGTGCAACTCTTCTTTCTGGGCTGGGGCTTCTGGACGATCCCACTGTGATTTACCAGTGTGTAAGTTCACGAAGAACCTGGGAGCAGGATGTTAGCTTCATATTACCATCATTGCCTTCGAGGCAGAGTTACCATTGAGCATAGCGGTCATCATATTGAGCCTTCCATCCTTCTGGAACAGAAGGTGGCGGAGGTCCAGGAGGCGGGGCAAATGACATATGTAATAGAAGATAAGGATTCGGAGTACTGTTGTCTAGGTTTGGGGGGTATCAACAAAACCCGAGATGATCTGATCTGGAGGGTGTTCTTTTCTGAAGGGAATAGCTAGCGGATCAAATGGACGAGACAAGGAGAACATGAATATAGAGAGAGAGAGAGAGAGAGAGAGAGAGAGACAATTAGGCAAAGCCGAGCCAGGGTGTAGTAGTATGATTTAATAATGCTAATTCGCCTCGGAGCCACGGGTCATCAACAGCGCCATGTGGCTGTGCTCAGTTCATGATTCCTGGTCATTGGCTAGTACTAGTGGTAGAGTGCTGCAGTGGCTGAATCTCTCTTATGAATAAGAGTACTAATATCTAGATAATTTATGCTGATGCTGATGCTGCATTCTAATCCCTCAGTAGCTGGTCATCTGCTGCTGTCGCCTTCAGTTCAATAATTTCGAGAGATGCGAGAGAGAATGGCTTGCAATGGAACACTTCTTGTTCGTTCATTAGTAGTCAGAGAGGTAGAGATATCTGGACCGGATCTTATGCATATCTAGATCTACTATCTGGCGAATTCTCATCATCGGAAGCTCGGATCAGTTCACAGATGGCCTGAAACTATGATAATCATCATTCTCAGGTACTTTATAGTCAAGCAAATGCAGTGAAACGGTCAGCATGTATCAACACACCTGACCCATATATTCATAAATCACGTCAGAATAATAAAAGGTATATGAGTTATGAGTTAACAAGGGTCCAGACAACATTGAACTGGGAGGGTTCAGCTGCTTCGTTTGATGGTGGCCCAGATTGGCCTAGGCATTTCCTTGTGGAAAGTTAGGATCGATCATGTTGCTCGCTGGCCACCAGAAATCCTCTTCCACATCTTCTCTGAGCGTTTCTAGTAAACCTCTTAAATCAGGAAAGGACGCGCTAGGCTCAGGCGTTCCAGCCATCGCATCATCTTCTGAGGTGTCACCTGTCAGATCGATAACCTCGCAGTCAAGGTTAGAAAAGCCAATGAATGATCCCTTAAAACGTCGTACAGCTGCCGGTCGTCTCTTCAAGCCACCAGATGTACGCGGACATCGCTCGCCCTCATCGTCTTCACTGCAAAGATCCACGAAGGCGACATCTATTTTCCGTTTGTGCTCGTGGGGCTGACCATTGCGGATCTTGGCCATCTTTCTGTGAGCTTCTATTGTTTTGCGAGCAATTCCATCTAATCCAGGGCGGCATTCGAGAGGCAGCCCATCGAGCTGGACAAGCTTCACAGCTGGATTAAGATCAGTGCATCTGAGAAGGGACGGATGAGTCCCTAGTGGGCGAGCCCAGCTGGCAAAAGGTCCATCATACAGGGGGCCCTGTCCCACTCCATAGTTGGGGTGTCGTTTTAGTCTACCCGAGTTCAAGAGCTCCCGAGCGGATGCAACACCGGATTCTGGATCTGGACCATGGTCATCACGGGGCGGCCAGGAGGCATGCTTAAATTCCATGCTTGTGTCACGGCCATCTCTCTCCTCATCTTCACTATAAGGTATGTTTGGAGAGAGGATATGGATGCCTCCACCCGCATCCCCGAGAAGGAGATGCGAGCGATCGCCGGAAAAGGCACCACAGGTGATCTCTTCTTTAAGTTCGAAAATGGTGCGAGTAGGTGCGTCTCTCTGAGAGCGCAGTATATCCCACTGCTTGACAATCCCATCTGAAGCCCCTGTATAGAATTCACCACTCTCATTCCCCCATAAGGCCATCCCGACGCCTATATCCTGCTGCTCCCTGGAGCGGTTCATATCAAGTTGATGCAGAGGTTCGCCATGACAAAGTTTGAGAAGGACTTGATCATGCTTGCGGAAATCCCATACATATGTAACCCCATCCGTGCAGCTGGCGGTTACATAGTGTAGATTATATGGACAGAAGGTGATGTCATTGATATCCAAAGCAGGACACTCAAACTCAATCATCGGTGATTTCCACATTAATGGCTCAAACACGCGCACCACAGACTGGGTGTTCCGAGATACTTGGCTTTGTCCCACTGTGCTTGCTGTCGCAAATCTTGGCAAGCTAGGATGCCATTTGATGTCAAAGATGTTCTGGGAACTAGGTTGGAATTGCCGTTTGGTCACTGAAGCCTCGCCCACATGCCACGCGGTAAGAAGGCCATTCTCCACCACCTCATCTTCCCCAGACCTTCCAGACATACCGGCTAATAGGATATTCTTTGTGCTACCGGTTGTGCCCCATGCCAGGCAAGTAGGTATCAGGTCCTTCCTTGACTCTATCTCAAGAGGGGAGTACTGTGATTTTCTTACATTCCATATGCCGAAGGAATCCGTACCGGTTGCCAGTATATTTTTCTCAAAATTTGAGCGAGCCATGACTCGTACCTCTGAATCGTGTTTGAGGCTTCTGCGACATTCTACCCCATTTTTGGAGAAATTCCAGACTTTCACAGTCTTATCATAACTTGCTGTGAACAGTGTATCATCAAACCATTGCATGGCAGTTACACTCATGAATAACCGGATATCATTCCGATGTTGTTGTGATGTAGCGCTTCTTATCAAAGCTTGCTTAATGTGATGGCCCGGCACTTCCTCCAAACGATTGCACGTCAAGTCCCCGACAAGGAGGTTATTGCTTCGATTATACGCCATGTGGCGCTCATCACACTGCGCTGTTGCGCCTGCGGCGAATTTTGTACCATCAGGAGACCAAGCTAAGACAACGACATCATTGGAGGCGCCCTTCCAAGTTTTGTAGAGGCTAAAGTTTTGGGTGATTTGAGTGCGAAGCTGTCGTCTTACTGCCCCCCCCATCTCGCGATTGAATAGAAGTGAGTTTACGGTAGGAGAAACATGACCAGCATGGTCTACCGGAAGACTGCTGGTATCGTGACTGGTGTCTTGGTCATGAGAATGAGGTGACTGACAGGCTAAAATATGGTAGTTAGGCGCGGCGGTCAATAAGCTTGGTGCCCTGTTGTTCTCAAGAGGCTCCTGTTCGGCGTCCGAATCAAAGAGAGGCGGTATTTCATAATAGTTTTTCGGTCCCTTTTTTGAGCGAGCGGAACGCCGTGCGCGGGGTGCTGAAGATCTGGTGTTGGATATAGATGGGGATAAAGATTCTCGCTCAAAGGGCGTGGTAGAAGAACTTCTCGTCAAACTTTTCCGGTGGGAGCGACCATGTGTCGACCTTTTGTGAGAAGATGTAGATGAGCTGGTAGCATTTCGGTTACAGGGCTTCTTCGCATCTTCTGAAAGGATCCCAGAATCAGCACATGACGGTGATCGTTTGTAGCGTCCAGAAGGAGTTGCATTGGGTGATGGTTTTGGCCGCGTCGTCTCAGGCCTTTGGTTGATCACAGGCATCTGCGGCTCGGTAGGTCGCTCAGAGGTAAATGAATTGTGAATCATATAGCCTGGTTCCCGGCAGTTGTCCGCTGCCCTGGGCTTTGACTTGTGGGTGGTGTCATGAGCGCTAGCTATAGAAGTGGAAGTAAGCGAGGCCGTTTGCAAATTATCGCGCGGCCATGCTTTCTGATTCTTGGAAGAAGAAGGTTTCATGAATTGGGATAGTAGCAGCTGGTATTCTTCAACAAGAGCAGGGTCATCCGACTCGAGAGATTGAAAAGATGACATATAGATATTCGTCATAACGGGCGACTAGTCGTAGAGCACCCTTCTGTGAAACAAGCCTGGCATTATTAGTATGTGCTTTACCTGAAGATCGATAAGAGAGGCGCCGGAATAGAACTGGATAATGATCGTACAGTCACCGCATGAGATGCGAGATTTCTAAGCCTATTTCTCAAGTCCGAGATATCATGGTTTGACAGCGGCGGATCGACCGAGACCACAACGAGAAAGAACCATGGAGAATGGTCAACAGACTGCCTGCTTGACCATTACAATGAATCCGGTGAGTTCGATAGCCACTTGTCTCGTTGTCGGTGTTGAACGTTTTAGGTGGTTCAGCCGAGACCAACGGTCTATGGTGAGATAAAAGCAAAAGGAAAAGGAAAATTGCTTGTGACACCAGGGCTTTCGATTGCTATCTTTTAGTGAAAATTGATGTAAAGGCTAGAAGAAACAAGAAGGGCTGCTTCAGAAGGTTCCTGAAGGTAAGCAAGTGACGCGTGAACGCGGACCTCAATTCGTGTCTTACCATACAAGTTGGCGCTGGGGGGGGAATCAGGAAGCACTATATCCATATGCAGTAGGCGGTCAATACATTGACCGTGAGAAAGATGACTAAGCTTTCTTGGGTACTACTAGGTAAGGTAGTACTCGGTAGAAGACATCACATCAATTTAGATCTATCCTTGAATAATTAATATTAGGAAGAAATTTTATAACTCAAGGGACTATGATTTCGCCATGGTATTTATACAAGTCAAGAGTAAAGGGTCAAGCCCTCTGCATTGTACAGAGTATGAATATCTCAAAAAAAACAAAAAAAAAAAAAAAAAAATCCCCAAATGTTTCAAAAATACCCTGCCCCAGCCCAGCCACCTAGTTATTTGAGGATATCACAATCACAGCACCAGATGAAAATATACCCAGCATCCCCACTGACTCCATCGCTCAAACAATTTAAATATGTTAATAGGTCCTTATCCAATAGAATCAAAAGCTGGTTACACGATATAGAAGTGTACAGTGTACCAGAGATATCAAAATAAGACAGAGCTGGGGTGACCCAACCCAGTCCATAAGTGACTTTCCGATGTTTCCCTCTCGCCTGATGAGACATGCGGTCCTAAAAAAGACTACTATCGTCATCTATTTAGAGAGCTGAGATCTCTTCCGGGCAGAAACCATCATATCATACAGAACATCCTTGAATCCAAACAAGAATGCAGCAGTGATCGCACTTTGGGTCACCTTAGGAATGATTCCTGCGTGATCGTCAGCTGAGGCCATATTGATGACGTGCCAATACACGTAGCTCACTTACCCTTGTATAGACCTGTGTAGCCCTCCTCTTTGATAATGCGCTTCAAGCTTCCATTCAAGCTTTCTTTGGGGCCATCCTTGCTTGCGACGTGCATTCGGCTCTTGACGGTGATATAAGGATAGGTGATAGAGGTCGCCAGTATCTTGCCCAACGCACCAAGATAGAATGCGTCTTTGGGCGTCATACGCCTACGGCGCTCCACCAAGTTCTTCAGCTGTTCGAAGATAGTATATTGCAGAATGGGGTTGATCACCAGAATCAGTGCTGGTAGAACTCCAGCAAAAAGGGCCGTAGGCCCTTCCCGTTGGAGTAGGTCCATCAAAGTGCCAATCGTCGAGGAGCGAGCCTTCTTCGCCGGGGTGCCAGGCAATGCTTGCTCCTCGGAGTCTGACTTACGAGCCGTCATTCTTGTGTTCACAACCCAGATGGGATTGGTGATCAAGACGGTTGCACTTCCGGCGATGGCGCCGGCGATCATTGACTCAGCGGTGGTGAGTTTCTTGGATGCGCGACCTGCTTTCACGGCTGCTTTTTCGAAAGCGGAGCGTGTCCATTCATACCAGTAATAGTAGACAAAGTTGGTGACGCTGATACCGAACAGTGCGGATTCGAGTCCAGAATAAAGTCCGCTTATGCCCTCTCGCTGGACAATGCGACGAACAGCATCCATGGCCGTAGATTGAGCTCGTTTAGATTCAACCTGTGCTCTTGTGGAAAGTGTGATGAGGGGGTACCTATAAGTTGATAATCGTCAATGGAGGTTCCAACAGGGAAGGGTCTGATTCTGCGCACGTCAAGACCATTGAAAGAATACCACCGCCAGCACCCGCTAAGGCGTGTGCGATGTTATCACTTCGTTGAGCGGCAGCAGATGCTGCAACCGCTCTCTTCTGCTCCTCAACTCGAGACTGAGACATGATGGACACAAGCGAGCGTAAGCGCTGGACTAAGCAAGATTTTTGAGGAAGGTGTATATATATATCACAAAGAGTGTATGCTTCGAATGCGGATGGCTGATGTTTGGTGGTCAGGGTGTCGAAGGGATGACTGAGAGTAGATGTACACAGGAAGATCCCAAGGAAAATAGAAAGAGGACGGATAATGTTCCGCGGCTTAGGAAAACGAAAGTAAGTGTTGAGAGGGGGCTCGGCTGATAATAATACTACTAATGAGATGAGAATGTTCACAAGGAGATACTCGGTCGACTCCGTTTCGCTGTCAAGACGCGCGAGAATGAATCGGCTCGAATGGGGAAATGACGATGGCTTTCATGACGTTTTACCGAATACTATGCCTCGGCTGATATTTGGGCCCCTTTCGTTTGTCCGAGCCTTCGGCTGCATGTTTAAGGTACCTGTGGAATATTGTAACAGAGTAATTCGGGGCTATAGAGTAATTCATCTATAGCTTGATAAATGAGGATCTAAATTTGTTTGGATATGTTTGGTGAGCACAATTGACTATTATTGTCGGTATCTCGACCGTGTACGCCTTGTGGAGAGTTGAAGGTGATATTTTACTACTCTATTGCAGGGTATCCTTTCTAGACTACAGAGCGAGTAAGTACATCCTATTTCATGCCCGCCATTTCAGATATTCACTTAGGTACTCCGTGGTAATAATGTGAGTATGCTAGATGGGTTGAGAACCCCCACAGTCGTGTACACACTATCAAGATATCACTCCACCTCGATACATGCTGCCTAGGTACTAGACAGATACTAATGGAGGACGGCTTGTTAAGTCCTTATGGACCTACTGATCTACTACTTGCATGTGATGATCAGTTTCAATAATAATGGGGTTCATGATTCATCACTCTGCATTCCCGAAATCAAAAATTAGTGGTGAGCATTTGGCATTCTTCTGCAGCCTTATGATGACCCAAGGCAACAAGTTCTAGCTTCATATGTCACTAATTTAGACACATCATACTTCTTTTCTTTTCTTCTTTACGCGGTGAACCGTTATTTCCTGAAAGCGCTAGATATTACGGAGTAGATAAGAAGATTGATTATCTTTGTGTGAAGATTCTTTTAATAGCGCTATCACCATCACCTGAAGAAGTCATACTTCCAAAGTCACAACACACAATCTATTTCCAGTTGCATGCTTGACGTGAGCCCTCCTCTAGAATTATGGCTGTATGACACTTTTATCAGAAACTGAATCTTCCCAGTTGCATCTAAGGACTATAAGCCTGCAGGGAGGCTCTACTAAACTGAACAGCATATGGACGAGGACCAGTGGACTTCCTTTTTCTTTCTTGATCTCTTATTATTTTTCAAACCCCCCATTGTCGTGAGATTGACCTCGCCATTTACATGTAGAAACATGCTGCTTCTTCTTCCTACAGACCGAGTAATAATCTTGAATGCAACGGTTCAAATTCGCAAGCTGATACACTCTCGCCAGATAAAAGACTCTCAGATAACCGTTGACTGTCCTTACAATAATCAACCCATCCTGAGTCCAACCTGAGAAAATATGGAATAGAGATGCTGTAGAATCAAAATACCACGTGGGGGAAAAAGGGACAAGAAAAGGTCATAAATTAAGGTAGAACACCGGCGGAGACAACACACAGAAAGGCAATTTCGCGGACCGTCTAAAGGCATAACAGAAAATCGAAGTAATTCCCAGCTGTCATCTTAAACTCAGAGAGAAGGAAAAGGAAGGGGAGGAAGCAAACCCACAGGACATTTTGATCCTGGGCACCGTGTTGATCCATGCTCAGGGCCTGGTTGAAATGTCCATTTCATTGCTTAGAAAAGGCGATACAGTTGCACGCCTTGCATCAGGTGAGATCATGACAGATCCCTTTAGCAGCACCCACCGGCAGATCCGGATTGGACACCCTGCCCCTGACCGACCTGTACAGTTGGCTTGTTATTGACAGTGGCAGTTCCCATACGCTCCTTGATCTGCCTAGCCATGGTCAAGAAAGCTTGCTCAACGTTCGAAGCGTTCTTAGCCGAGGTTTCAAGGAAGGGGATTCCAAGACTGTCGGCGAATTCCTGAAAGGAAGCACGGTTCATGTCAGAAGGAACACCGCAGATCGATGTAATGATAGATGACAAACCTTCGCTACAGTGTATTCCACGACTTTCTTGTCTTCCATATCACTCTTGTTACCCACAAGCAGCTTGTTGACTCCCTCCGTGGCATAGCGGTCTATTTCCTGAAGCCACTGCTTGACGTTGTTGAAGGAATCCATGTCGGTCACATCGTATACGACGCAGATTCCATGTGCGCCACGATAGTAAGACGATGTGATGGTTCGGAATCGTTCCTGGCCTGCCGTGTCCCACTAAACTGCTGTCAGCGATAGCGAGCAAGAAAACCCATCCAGCCTCCTTACAATCTGGAGCTTCACAGTCTTCCCATCAAGTTCGATGGTTCTGATTTTCTAGATGTGATGGTCAGTATGATGCCTTTCCGTGAATGCGATCGAACCATGTGGTGAACGAAGGACGTACGAAGTCGACACCGATGGTGGAAATGTAGCTTTCTGTATAGGTATCATCGGCGAATCTAAGCAACAAGCATGACTTTCCAACACCAGAGTCTCCAATAAGAAGAAGTTTGAAGAGATAATCGTATCTGATTCGGATAGTTAGAATATCGAAATCGGAATCAGAATCGCCCAAAGAAAAACCCCCCCGCCGCGCGCACGGAGGCTGTGGACAACTAGGCAATAACAAGAGGGTTTAAAGTTACTCTGATTAGAGCCAGTAGAGTCAGCTACCTTGACCAAAGATCAAATGAGAGAAGAAGTCTGGAAGTCGAAGCCTTGCAGGCGAACAAGAGAACTCACCACTCGGGATTCATGATGAATGGTCAAGGAGGGTATCAGTTCAATAAGCACAAGAATTAAGGCTCAAGAAAAGTTCACAAGGTACTTGAGAGAGAGAAAAGGCAGAGACACGATGAGTATGATTATTGAGCAGCTAAATAGTGATGCGTGAGGGCTGCCTGGAAAGGGTTTATTCAGGATGATGACCTTGGGCGGCGTTCTGAGATGGCAGTTGCGTTGCTAAGTGCAGGAGAACAGGTGAGCTAGTTAGCGGTGGAGAGGTTACCTAAGGTAGACAACAGTAGTAGCAGGTAGGTTAGTGGCGGTATCACTCCACTGCCCGGCCCTGCCCTGCGTTTTTCTGGTTGCTGATTGCTGACTACTTACATACAGGAAGCACGGAGAGCACTAGGTAGTAGATAGTTAGTCTAGTACTTACTAGTGACGGTACCTTAGTAAGACACTTCTATAACTAGTACTGGCTGTGAGCCTGTGACTGTTCCACACTTACCCGTCCCAGATCCCAGAGACACCCCCTAAACTAAGTAGCCTAGCGTTTCATTATCAATATAGAATTAGTACAAGTACCAAGTGACCGACGAGTCTAGATAGTCATACCTAGACAGTCACATTCTCCCAGTTGTGCTTGCCTAAGGTACTTAGGTGATATAAGTACATCTATTTAAGGTCTATGAGAACAAGAAGCCAATGCAACTAGGACCAGCTGTCAGGAAATGACTGACTGGCTTCATCTGATACTTACTTTGTCATCCAGTAACAGTGTAATCATGCAGTCTTCTCATACAGAAACCCAGGCATCTAACATAGTTAAAAAGATTCTTGTATCGGCTATGTGTAAAGCAAGTTAGGTTGAGCCTATCATTGACAGGCATAAAAGCTACTTTGATAAGTTATGCATAAGGTTCTTAATGGCACAATTTTGAACAAGGCTCCGAGTGGGAGAGTGACAGAAAGAAAATCCATAGGTAATATACTAATATTTGAATAAGCCCCAGCTATTACCAGTCAATCCACAGATAGACAATTATCTTAATTAATGGACACACAAGCTATGTTCTTCCCTACATTCACCAAGCTACTTACCACACACTACGCGAAATAAACTATTTCACAGCACATTGATTCTGGTGGAGGTGACCTAGATATTGTATATTTCAGGCATATATCATCTAGAAGAATTTCAGCAGAAGCGCGTTGATTGATACCTTGTAACTTGTAAGAAAGAATCTACCCAAACATCAGCCTTCGGGTTACCCCATTCAGGCATAACCATGAGCCTGAAGCCACTCTAGGACTAGCTTCTCATCTCTTTCTTTGTAGTTTGCATTGGTTCGGATGCAGTCAGCGACAATCACCAACGCGCGATCATAGGCACTAGTATCCTTGTTCTGGAAGAATGAAGCGATGTCTGCTCCGATGTGATGATCTGCAAACTTCGACAAGCCCATCCGCACAAAACGCTCAAAGACAACGTTGTTCGCCGACAGCCGGGCTTCAACCATGTCCCAATTGATCTTCATGAATTCCCAAAGAAGATGCCGGACCTTGGAGTTACCCGCTAAAGAGACAGCACCATTGTGCACATCCTGGATTGCCACTTTGTCGGAGAAAACGAAATCCAAGTAATCCTGGACGAGATTGGCGTCTTTCGTGCGTCCGAGTGCAGCAAGACAGATCTCCTTGCCATCAACAGAGTCCGTTCTGATGTATTCTTCCTTGACAGAGTCATACTGGTCACGACCACCCTCGGAGATCGTGATACCGAAGATTGCCGAGCGCAGGTTTGTGTGCACGGCGTCCTTGTCTCTGCCAGTGGCCCAAAGATCGAAACGCTTTTTGGCCTCGGTGACAATGCTAGGCAATGATAAGTCAATGATCCCTCCCTCTTTTACCACCAGAAAATGATGAGGCATACCTCTCATGACCCGCAAATCCGGCCATACTGATCAAAAGCTTCCGTAGCTGAACGGTGAGGTAGTCTTCGTTCGGCTTGAAGTCCCAACCAATCCTTTCAGCCGCGGACGATGCCAACGCGAGGGTGAATTTCTTCAATCCTGCAGCCACCGCTTCGTTCTGGGAGAAAATGGATCGGAGATTTGCGATAGACGATGAAATTTGTGACCACACCCTAGAAAATTTGCTGTGAGCAAAGGTTTCCTACAAGTTCTTCCCGAAATTGGTGATACTGACAAGTAATTATCCTCGTTTTTGAACCCCTCCAAGAGAGCCAACAACGCGGCAGACGTGCCTTCTCCGGATACAGCCAGGGCAGCAGCATCACCAATCAAGCCAATCTTGTCTTCAGTACTCAATAAGTCCAAGGACTGGCCCAACTTGGCAAGGCGATCAGCAGGATAGTTTGTACGGTAGAACCCGGAAAGATCTTTGTTGATCTTGTAGAATGAATCTTGACCAACACCCGAAACAGTGTCGGTCTTCGAGACAAGAGCACGAGAATTCACTTCAGTCAACGTGGGGCCGGACTTGATACCGAGAGGAATCCACCATGTTGTCTCATCCTCTTCAGGTTTCACGTCGCCTGTCGAAAGGAATCGATTTTGGCGGATGCTAATCTGGCCGGGTTCCTCTGCCACAGTAACGACGGGGAAGCCAATCTTTCGAATCCACGGGTCCTACACACGCGACAAGTCAGAAAGCCCTTAAGTTCAAACATGTAAGGAAGACACACCATGTACTTGTGGACGTCCTGATTCGATGCCTTACTGAGTGCGGACCAGAGATCATTTGTAGTGGCGTTTCCTAGACACTATTTTCAGCACTGTTATTCTATCGGAAGAACATGTAGCCAATAGCTTACCATAGGCATGTTTCTTCAGGTATTCGGCCACACCACGAAGAAAAGTCTGACGACCAAGATGGTCACTCAGCATACGGATCACCGAACTTCCCTTGAGATAGCTGATATGGTCGAATATTTGGTCAACCTCTAGAGCATTCCTGACGGGAACCTCGATCGGATGAGATGCGCGCAAGGAATCGAGCTGGAACGCTTGTTGTACTCCTTCAGCCTGCAAAACTAGTCAATCTTTGTTGCAAAAATGTCAAAATTACCTCGGGAATTGCGTACGACAAACTGAGACCAAACATTCCAGTCTGATGGTTGTAGATTAGCTGGCTGAAACTTCGGAGCATGGGCTCGGAGTGAAGTAGTGGAAGGAAATATCTTACCAGGATAGAAATGATCGACCGCGAGCCAACCAACCCAAGTGGCAAAGCCTTCATTCAGCCAAAGCTCATTCCACCAATCCATTGTGACAAGGTTGCCGAACCATTGGTGGGCCAACTCTGTAATTCAGTCTTTTAGGAAATTGCTAGATGCGTTCATTGGGGTCCCAGCAGGCTCACCATGGGCAACAACATATGCGATGCGATTCTTGTAGCGAGTGTCAGACTTGCCCTCGTCAAAGAGAACTGCAGTCGTTCGATATGTGACGAGACCCCAATTCTCCATGGCACCCATAGCCTGGAAAGATGGCCAGTGAGCCATATATCTCTTGAATGATCAGATTGATGGCGTGAATCACTTACGAACTCGTGGACAGCGAGAAGATCCGCTTTGGGTAAGGGATACTCGATCTCGAAGACTTCAGAGAAATAGTCGACGGTACGATGAGCACATTCTAAGGCAAACCGAGCTTGCTCTTTGAGACCCTTCGTGGTGTAGACACGGACGGGTATGCTTTTCCCGTTGTATTTGCGCTGGGTCATAGCTTCCACGTACTCAAAGTCACCAACAGCCCACGCAAGGAGCTAGATGGAATCTGGTAAGCCTCCAGTTGAACAGTGGGGTTACAAGCATCTTTACTGACATATGTACTCATGACTGGTGTCCTTTCAAAGGACACAACTTTGAGGCCGGGCTTACTGCCATCCTTTTCAGCTTTGATAGGCATGTTGCTTAAGGCAGTTTGTCCCTTTGGAATCTCGATTTCGAAATCGAAGGTGGACTTGAGGTTTGGCTCATCGAAGCAAGGAAAGGCCCTCCTAGCATCGCAGGACTCGAATTGAGTGCTCAGCATGTAGTGGAAATCGTCTTCATGTGGAGTATCGGCAGTTGGCTGCACCACAGGCCTGTACTTTGAGCGGTAGAAGCCAGCCATAGCACTGTTCATCGTTCCTTTGAAGGCAATAGACAAGACAATGTCCGACTGCGTTATTTCCTGGGAGAAACCGAAGGATACACGTTCCGACTTTTTGTCGTATGTGATAGCAGACGCCTCTGCTAATTTCGAGTCTGAAGAGTAAGGCACAAGATCTTTCGTCAGTGATTCCTGTGGCTTTACATGAAGCGAGGATAGAATTTGGGCAAAATTTGACAAACCATCTTTACCGAGAACCTCCACATTCTGTACCTCGATTTCCTTGCAATTGAGCACGATTTCCTTAGTAGGACGGCTGATTTTGCAATCTATCTTAACAATGCCTTTGTAACCCCATAATCCACCAAGCTCCAGGTCGAACAAGGACACATCATAATGGACTGGTTTAGACCTTTCAAGCCGTCAACTTATGCCCGGGAGAAATAGTGGATAAACTCGTTGCGAAGATGTGGTAGCTAACTTACACATCAGGGAGCGTGTCCCTGTCTTTCATTGCCATTGCGCGGACTTCCGAAGAACAGTGCCTTACAGATAATCTTGATATATCAGGTGTGATCCGGCGAGGCGAAAATACACACGATGGGGAGAAAAGGCGAGAGGAATGGCAGAAGCGTGAGGAAGAAGTAAAAGAGGGGCAAGAGGGGCGGAGGAGGGAGGCAGGCCGGATGGGTCGATGAAGAGCAGAATAATAATGACAGCGGATTGCTTCAGTGGTTACGCCAGCGCGTTTGGTTGACGCAGCGTAGTATCTTCTCCCCCACATCTGCTTTGAATTGATTAATCATAAACTGCCCGCGGCTACTACTGTCGGACTCCGAGATCCTTGAAAAACAACTGGCTGTCCCTTCTCGATTACTACTGTGTAGGTATTTTGAGGGAAGAAATGGAAACCTAGAAATCCAAATGATACGATGACAACAACAGTGATAAGGTAGCTACCTAGAAGTTCGGAGTAACAAACCAGACACAAAAGTCAAAAGTACTCCGTACTACTCCGCGAGCATAGGTAGTTACTCCGAAAATTGTATTAAATTAGGCATCTTGTACGGAGTTCGGACTGTTGTACGGTGTACCCACAACGCAGTTATCGGATCAGAGCTTGAGGTTTACAAAGGTGTGAGCCTGTGAGGGAGTATGTATTCATGTATTGATAGAGGTAGACATTGGATCTAATAGGTATTTCTAATGTAAAGCAATTCTGTATGAATTCCCGCTTGTGGTTAGTTTTTTTGTTTGCGGTATGGCATCCTGATACGCCGTCTTGTAAACCCTGCCCTCATCATGACCTCCAGTACTCCGTATAGAAGGACCATCTCTTCGCTTTTCTAGCTAATACATTGCTATGGGAGCGCAAATGGTTGATTGTGGTGCGCAAGGAGCTTGTGACACTGCCATGGGAATCTTCAACCACGACAATCGTTCCTACGACCATTGCGTAGCAGTGTGGAACCTATGCCAATGACGACTGATGAGTAGAGCTTTTGGTACTACTATAAATATCGTACTTCCTTACTAGACACCATGGCATGATCTATGGCTTGGGCAACATTTTGAGGATGCATAGTAGAGAAGTGAGGATTCCGAGGGACCAGCAGGTAATAAGACCGGGAACACCCAGGTCAGTACTCACACTGAGCTACAGAGTAGATAGTGTCGAAATATGTGGCTAGTCACTAGTGTGATCTCCCTGCCGACAAGCAAAGGTTCAGGACTCAGGAGTCAGGACAGAACTTGAGACAATTCAAACGCGATTATGGATTGCAGGGCCTCACAAATCACAATGCTTTTCTGTATGGCAGTCCAAATGACCTACTTTTTTGCATATAGACTTCAACATCGTCAGGTACATTCGACCACAGAGTGAGGAATCGAGCACCAAGACTAGAAAGAGATGTATGAGTATGCAGTTCAGCACGGAATCTTGATCAAGTTCAACAATGAAGTTGTCGAAAATACAAACCCCCCTTCATCACCGGTGCGTCCTTTAGGTTTGTGGGTTGAAACAGGAATTCATAATTCAGATTTCACTAGCTCTGCACCATCTTCCTCGCAATCATTAAGCTTCAAAACTCCTGGCTGATGCTTCTGAAACACGCCTTCCGTATCAATGCCCCTACGATCCTCTTAAGCCTCTGGAGGTTCCCATCGACCTACCCAGCTGGGAAGGTAGTCAGCTGTCCCGCCCGTCAGCCTGTCCCACAGTGAATGGCCGGCTACCACATTTGATTGGTCTAATTTATAAAACTATCCAATTGGTTCCTTTACCTCCAGACCGACCCGCAATCAATGCGAGTCTAATTGCATGAATATAGACTATAGAGTATAGACCTTAGAGTATAGACTACCTATAAATCTATAAGGTATTCGCGTATATCTAGGAGATAGCCATAGTTCGAAATTTAATGAATCCATTCTACATGTATGGAGTTTAGTAAGTTCCTAATTCTAAATCAAAGTAGTTTTCTCATGAGTCTTTATTACTACAATAGAATAGCTGCAGTCTGCAGTATATATCTTAGCTAGTGCCCTAGACTTTTCTTGAAATCTTGTCATTAGGCTTGATTGGAGAGGCACTGTTCCCGTCATAAGGGGAGCTTGGCCAGCATTTTATGCGCTTTATTGATAAGTTTGTACAAACATAAGGCCACTGGCCCTTGGCGTCGTACTATCCTCTGCCTAATTGTTACCTCCTCCCTTCTGGGTATATATGTTGGGACTTGGGAACTATGTTCTTGTATAACGCCGCTCTGTCCACCTTTTCCCTTTCCTTTCCTCCCCAGGCTTAGTATTTAATATGTAGACAACATCTATAGGTGGTAGAAAGGCACACATGTCTTAACTCTTATATCCCAGGAAACTGTATGGAATGGTAGCATGTCACTATGTAACGATGGGTCTGTTATAGCTGGAAGGCTCTATTTGGATCTTAAACTTGAATATATTATTATTATATATCTTGACTGTGCTTTTTTTGATACCTTACTAAGACAGCAGGCCCTATTCAAAATGTCTAGAGTACAGTGGTACACCCTCCGGTATATATCTCCTGATTATCCTTAACTCGCTAGACAAATCCTCTCTAATCTTCTTACTTGTCTTCTTTTAGATATTATTACTTCTTAGACTCCTTAAAACTCTTAACAGGAACTTTCTATGCTTGGGGATAGTGGTGGGAAATATGTGCTGGAGTGCTAAAGCAGCGGCTCACTGAGGTGAAAATATGGCTGTTTAAGGCCTCGGTAGTGGTACCACATTCTTAGGCGTCATTTTTACTCCACACAGGTCCTCACATTCAGGATGTAATTTTTATCTACGGAGCACCTCTCTGGATCATCCAATTTGCTACAGAGTAGAAGCCTAGAAGGCCATTCAATTACATACTCCGTACAGCATGAACAATAAAAGGTACCTTGGATCGGGCGCCGCTATAGGTACATAACTGTTTCCAAGATATCAGCCATAAAACCCAGGGTAGTCTGTACTTTGCAAATGTCTAATAAGGTCTAATATGGAAACAAATACTTCACTTAGGCACAAAAGCAACTATATAAGTATTTGGGTAGACACATAGCTCAGCTAAGGACTATAACCGATTTCTTGTGCAGAGCAATAATACTAACCTAGGGATGCCTGTACTTTCTACTCACTGGGGAAGAAATGTTTTTAAAAAGTAAAAAACGCATTTCTTTTTTACGATACGAAGTCATGACGGAGCCCACACTATTACTGAACACTGGAGTTTGTAAGATACCTAAGTCTGACAGTACCTCAGTACGGAGTAGCATTGCAGCACCCTATGTATTTCCCTAGGTATTCGGCCCGTTTCTGTGCATTGAACTTGGATCAATGATTTTATATTGCTGTTAATGGTCTGACGCTAATAATATCGCAGATAAATGCTCACAATCCGGACCCTCACCCTACCTACACATTAAGCCTATCGCTATCGAAAAATATACGTCAACGCTGTCCCGGCCGCTTGATGCAATTCGAAAAGAGAGGAGAACATGGCTGATTCGGATGAAGAGTATATCGGAGAACTCTCCGAAGAAGAGAACAATGCCAGTGTGCGCGGCTCTCATGGGACTGCGCATGCATCCCGTTCCAAGAGAAGAAAGCAGCGAGGAGGCGCCGAGTGGGAAGTCTCGCGAACATGGGAAACGCTAGTTGAGGGTGCGGATGGCACAATCAGCTCTACGGTTGAAGGGCTTCTAGAGGCTGGGAAAAGGAAGAGGTAAGCGACTTTGAAATCGGTTGGAACTTGTGTCATTGCGCTGAGCATCATTCTTCCGGTACAGGCTTTTGAGAGATACAACGCCCTTGCAACGTGGTATAATCCGGCATCTCGTCCTAATTCTGGACCTATCCCAGTCAATGATGGAGAAAGACCTGAGGCCAACACGGTACCTTCTCACCCTACGGTATGCACAAGAATTCGTGCGGGAATTCTTCGAGCAGAATCCTATATCCCAACTCGGCGTACTCGGTTTGAGGGACGGGCTTGCAATTCGGATCAGCGACATGAGTGGAAATCCTACGGAGCACATCAGTGCCATACAAGCTTTGAGAGATCACGATGCCAAAGGTCTCCCTAGTCTACAAAACGGACTCGGGATGGCTCGTGGCGCTCTCTTGTAAGTTCTGGAAGCCAATCAAGTTCTTTTGCAAATCTAATTCGGATTCAACAGTCATACTCCAAGTCATGGTACCCGAGAAGTCTTTATTGTGTTTGGCTCTCTCCTTTCCTCCGACCCCGGGGACATATATCGGACGATAGCCACCTTAGTAAATGATAAGATACGCGTGAGGATTGTTGGTCTGGCCGCTCAGGTGGCTATTTGCCGTGAACTCTGCTCAAGAACTAATGGTGGTGATGATACCACTTATGGAGTGGCGCTCAACGAGCAGCACTTTCGTGAATTAATGATGGATGTAACAACACCGCCTGTTACATATTCTCAGAAACAATCCACAAGCTCCCTCTTGATGATGGGATTCCCGTCTCGTACTGTTGAAAGTTGTCCTTCTCTCTGCGCCTGCCACTCTAAACCATCTTGCGGAGGGTATTCGTGTTCACGGTGCAATAGCAAAGTCTGTGGGCTCCCCGCCGAATGTCCATCTTGCGGGCTAACCTTGATCTTGTCTACACATCTTGCAAGATCTTACCATCATTTATTTCCACTCATGAATTGGGTTGAGGTTCCGTGGCAACAGGCCTCGCGCAGTTCAGCATGCTTTGCTTGCGGCGTATACTTCCCTGCAGTGCCCCCTAACGATCAGTGGCAAACTACGGAGTCACAAGCAAAGGGAATGAGTGTGAGCAGCCGCTATGAATGCACAGTTTGCAAGAATCATTTCTGTATTGATTGCGACCTCTTCGCTCATGAAGTTGTGCACAATTGCCCTGGCTGTCAGAGCGGGATCATGGCCCAGGGGAAAAGAGGCTCACACAAGGATCATCCTGATGCAGATGAAATGGACATTTCAGCATATTAAAAGCTGAGAAGACCTTGACCCTCTCTTTAGCTACCCTCTTTACTTGATCTCTCTAATTTTCTCTCTAATTGTCTTTGGAATGTCAATGCTTGATGAGACATGGGTGCATATAGTTCGGCGTTGTCTTTTTTTTTTTTTTTCTTTACTTGATAAGGACCTATGAGCTGTATGGCATTATCCAAACAATGAATATTGATGGACTGACCTTCTTGATTCTCACAATATTCCCTAGCAGGATTAAACATTTGTGAACCGTAGATTCATTACAAGAGAAAGCATCACAAAACTCTAGATGAAATCACACCAATTGGGCTGAGTGTCTGACCGAAGAAAAAGTCAGATAAAATGAAGCTGGAGACTCTCCACAGATCGTGTCAGAATCTGAAAAGCAACTTCTAGGCCTTAAGCAGATATCTTGCTCTTCATCATTGATTGATGGATTAACATGACTTGTGCCTCGGTTGACGATCCTCCCCCACACGACCTTTTAAGTTGGGTGGATACTCTTTTGGAGAACCGCAGCAAGTAACTTTGGCATTGATAAGAACGTATTTCTTCTCTACTCTTTGAAAGCCAAAGAAACATCTGATTGCAGAAGAAGTACCAATCTGCTGCAAGACACGACGCAACACATACATATTTTATCTGGGGAACTTTGTTGAGCCCACCTCAGATTTTACCAACAGCATTTGTAATAGGGATCCATTCACCTCGACACGATGGCAAGTAGCACGGCCTCTCAAGAAGATAAAAAACTGAACTCTCGATTACTTCCCGATGCTGTATTTGAGAAATTCAATTCATATTCATTCATCTCAGATCGTGAATTTGCAAAGGGCCTTGCCATTATTCTCGGCCATCCAGATACCCCAGCAACAAGAGCTGAGATCGATCGCGAAGATGACCTAGTTCTACAAGCAAAATGCTTCTACTTTTCTCGGTACGTTCTCCAATATGAGCTTGCTCCCTCTGCGCTGCAGCCAGGCTCAACTCGGCCTTGGTGTGTTGACACTCATTTTCCTTTCCTGCATGTGCTCTAGCAAAGAAAAGCTCCCCTCTCCCCTCGATTTCAAAGCGTACAAAGCTTGGCGGGACTCAGCAGCGTCAGGAGATGAACTACTGAACCGCTGGGAATCAAGTAAGATCGTATCACGACAAGCAAGTTCCACAAGTCCGCCCACGCCGTTAGTGCAGCCCGATTCGGTGTCCGCAAACACATCGCTTCCAGTCCAGGAGCCCGCATATCCATCGTCCTTCGCCAGAATTGTCGAGCTTATAACGACTGGTCAGCCAATTCCTGGTATTCAGCAGATACCCGACACCGTTTTGACAGGCCACGACACCCCCAGCGAGAAACCACGGAGACGAAAACCATGGGAAAAGGAGAACGAATCTTCAGAAATACTGAAGCAGCAGCGTTGAGTCTGCCAGCAATAGTCGCTTTAATCAAATATATAATCGAGGCATGTGTACGGGTAGCGAGACTAAGGAATGGGCGTCAGCTATAGTAGACGTCCAGATAAAACGAAGCTCATACTCGTTTGGCTTTGTGGCCCACAAACTATGAGCTACTGTGAACAGAAAGAATACACTCTTGTGATGCCACAGGATCGATTGGCTTGTAATTCAAGTCCGAAGGGAAGTGCAGAAGAGGACGGGAGCATTCTAATTTCAGCCTATTCAGTATATTCGCATTCCGCTCCACTAAATTCAAAATATAGTATTAACAAATGCTTCCTAGTAACGAAAGGTAGGAGACGGCTGACGGATTGAAGAATACTGAACTCCTTAAGAGATAAGCCGAGATACACATCTGTCAAGAGGTTCATCCTGCATAAGCCAAACATCCACCATGCCCTTCCCATCTATCATCATACAGAGGCTTGGAAGCATAAAACACCCAGAGTCATAAAGAAACAGACCAAGAGCCCCCATGTAACGGGACGTCAACTTCCCTGAGTCGCATGTTCTGTGCGACACCTTCAATACAACATACTTCATCCTTCAATGCAGAATCAGAATTCTTGCTCTTAGCGTCATTGCATGGAACCCACAATCGTTTGCCAAAGCTAGTATAGGCTGTAGAGAGTTGGTAAGAACCAGTAATTTGGTCAGCGGAACGGTGGATAATTCGGATTCCACTGGTTCCCGCGGTTCAATCGCCCTCCATGCTGTCCTGACGAGTGAAATCTGTCATCAGTGATGTTACTGAAACGACCAACCTGCATACCAACTCCTGGCCCAGGTCGGGTCACATGGGACGGGTTGCAACAGAGCATTGCCACACGAGAACCGAACTTCGAGCCACGCAACGATACCATGTGCTTTCTATCAGCCTTAATGTTAGGATAAGCTAACAGAGCTGAAGACAGGAAGAAGGACAATACCTAATGTGAGTGGCAACTAGCTCGCGTTGATGGGGTGCAGCATTCAGCAAAATCCATTGAATGAGGTAGTTCCCGTATTGGTCCCCAGCGACTGTTGCCTGTCAGACACAACCAAACAGTTTAACTAAAGCAGAGTGTGGACTCACTATCAATGAGAGGCATTCGTGGTCGGTCAGTGCGACCGGTACATACTCGAGAAAGGTAGCGGTCCAGAAAATCAGATCCCCCTATCTTCAGGCACTTCTCCACGATCTTGGAAGCAAACTGGTCCATACTATAGTCGACTGAGCGCAGAAGAATATGTTCAATTGCTCGATTTTTGTCATGGGGAGCACCATGCTCACAAATATGTTGAATGCACCAGTTGCCAAATTGACCGTGGGCAAGCACATCGATCTTTGCCAGTACTTCCTCGATAGCCGGACGCTAGAGAGTCATCAGTTAAATCCACGAGTTGAAAAATATAGAAAAAAAGCTCAAGGGAATGGGATCGCAGGGATGAAGAGTAGTGACGAGAAGAAGGACCTGGATCTGTAGTGATTGCTGGGGAATTATCACCTTCTCGTCTTCCACACAGTTTTCGAAGATATTTTGGACCACTAGGCTGCCAGTTTCACCTAGAGCAACCTCGTGCCACATCCCACGCAACGCTTCGTTCACCTTCTCCATGATCTGGGGTGGCTCGTTACTCCAGCGTAGCTCAAACAGTTTTTGCCACACATGGCATGCATACCGGTGAATCACTGTTTCTGGAATTCTGCGAAGGAGCTCATGGACCATAACAGCTTTATGCTCTTCTGGAACACAGTCGAAAACCTTTTGGACGACATGGCATCCGAATGGATCCATACTGAGACTCAGAGTATTCCCTTTGATGGCATTGGCAATGGCAACAACTTGTTCCGGAGTCCCATGCTCGAAGCAGCGCTGGACAAGGAAGTTGCCGAAGCGGTTAACCATGAGTGGATAAGCTTGATGCGTAATGGCTTCAATGATGTCGTATTTTTGCTCTGTTGTCCCAACTTTAAGCTTCTGTTGTAGAAAGATGGAGGCCTGTTGGTCATTATTACAAACGATCTTGTCAACTATATATTTCCAGTCACAAGATACATTCTTGTCAAGAAGTCGTCGGTAATTGAGTGGTTCGAGGGGGGATATGTATGTCTGAAAAGTATTTGTGCCGGCCTGTCCGTATTAGCGGCAGAACTGAGATTGAAAGATCTAGTCATCGCAGGGATAGGTGTCGCCTTATGCTTACCGGTGGAGCCACCCAGGGTATAACACTTGCGCTAGAAGAAGTGAACTCAGTCGCAGTGGGCGAGAGGGGAGTCCCGATAGGCCGTTGGTGATATGGAGGGATAGGATATAGGCCCACCTGCTGATAAGTGGTGCATGGTCGATTTGTAGGCGTCTGGGGGAGCTGATTGCTAGGAGAGCTCGTATGAAGTGATCCCCACGGAGAGTTTTGTGTTGGGAAGAAAGAACCAGAGCGATTGGATGGGATGATCGAGCGACGCTGCCCTACGCTTGGACTTGGAATACACCGAGTTTGGTCGTCAAAGAACTGTGTATTAGAGCTGCTAGTGCCGAAAGATGGTCCCGAGAGAATTCGATGTGGCTGAAAGGAACTGCCCGTGCTCAAAGCCGTAGGATGATTGTTCCAGAGTCTGTCGGAATCATGACTGAAGGTATTGTTGGATACGGGGACAGGCTCGCCAAAAGTTCTGTCACTTGTGGAAGCTCTCATAGGCATGCCGAATGCTTGCTGGGACTGAGGGAGCCAAAACCCTCGAGCCCTGTTATACCCACCTGTGGAAAGCGCGTCAGAGACATCTGAGTGTGCATCGTCATGAGCGTTCCATTTTTCCTGTATCTGCGTGAGGGTAGAGTTTGATGCATTAAAAGCATTTTGGAGATGGCTTATTGTCTGCTCGGTAACTTCACGCCCCCCAAAGTCAGCTTCAGAGGGGGTACCAAGAGCCTGATCCAGTGTGTGCTTCATGACTCGTGTCTGTGCTAGCTCTTGCTCTTGAAGGGCCAGCTTAGAATTTGCAGCAAGTAGTTCCTGTTTGAGACGAAGCACTTCGGACATATCAACTCCCAATGAGTCGGATTGGGTAGTATTCATGGAAGAAATAGCCTGGGGCATATCTTCCATCGGAGTAGACGGCACCACTGTGGCAATTTTATCAAAATCAGATTGGCCGTTGGGGGGACCGCAATTGTTTGCGAGGACGTTTCTTTGGTGTTCGAGGAGGGCTTGGTGCTCAGGCAGCTTCGTAAGGATCTCTTGATTCTCAGTAGGGTTGTCACCAGACGAAGGGGGCTTCGGAGATAGTTTGGCAAGCAACTTTTCCATGTTTGAATCCCTGGGGGAAGAGACGGTAACTGAATGCTCCAACTTCTGCTTCTGGGCTTGTGAGCTTGGATCTCATGAAGGTTTAGGGATGTGGCTCGCTGACCTTGTTGGATGGAGCACCAGCACAATCACCTATCATAGGCTGGAAATTTCCAAATTTGCAAGATATAAGGGGATCGGGTGGGCTGTTTGATGTGATCAATAACTGGTGGCCCTATGCAGATCATCAAGACTGATTAGAGCACAAATAGCCAGGTCTAGTGGGTCGTAGCAAGGCAAGTGATCCCTTGACTTACAGGTTGCTCCCGCTCAGGCTGTAGAGTGCCTGTCTCGGTATTCTCGTCACTCAAGGGAAGTCTGTCCTCTGAGGAAGTTTGACCCGAATTGGAAGATTTAGTCGAAACGAAGGACATTTGGTCAACCTCGATTGAAAGCCGAGATATCAGTACCAGTGATTGGCAATCTGATCCAGTGATGCTATAAGCCGAAGCAGGGAAGAAGACAACAGAATAACTGGGTGGTGAGCCTCAAGAGACAACTGCGCCGGACACTTTCCAAATCTCTCACATGAAATGGCAGCTGGCAGTTGAACAGATTCCTGGGGAAATGGCTGTAAAGGGTGGGGGGAGAGACGCAAGATAGACAGCGATGTTCTATAGATCAGAGATATGAGGAAATTATCCATGAAATCGAGATGTAACCCGATAGATGTAAGTAAAAAGACTTGAGAAGTTGGGAAGGTGCATCAGCAGGTAGGGGGAATAACAATCAATAAACAAGAAGGGGCGAAAGTATGAGGAAGGAAAGTCAGCTTGCAGGCAGTCAACTTAAGCAATAATTACTCTGAACGAATACAATACTGATTGATGTTCATTCAGTTCGTGATTAAGAGTGACGGCCCCGCTTGTCAACTCTGTTATGATGGATGAGAAAATGAGATCCATGATTAGAACACTTTTATAGCAAGAATATCAGCGCATATACAATCATGGTCTTGACATCGAAGATAAAGAAAGAGTATTGTTGTGGCAAACCACATGGTGATTCTGTAGCATCTGGTTAACAGAGGTATGAGGAGACCATTCGCAGTGCTAGTTTTGAAAAAACAGGCCGAAGCCACAAGGATATTCGACACCGCAGAGTGATGGCAAAGATGATCCTGTAAAAATAAAGACGATTTAAACAGATTGCTTTAAGTGGCTTATATCGACTTTTTGTGCTCCACAGACGAGCAAAGCCTACATACCTGAATATCACCGATGAGGCTGGAGTGCTGGCTAAGGAGGGCGATGGCCAGGCACAGTAGTCACAAGATTTTTGGCATCACCACGAATATATGATCCAGACGTTATCTGCCAAGACTTGTCAAAATGGCCAGCGGCATATACTCCAGCATGACCCTTCCAACGACAATTGTCGCTTAGAACGATAAATTCTGGATGTCCAGCGCCTGTAAGAGTGGGCACGAGCCGCGTAGCCTGCTCGAGGCCAGATACATCCGCCCCCCATACAACAAGCTCGAGCCTTCCATTGCCCAGTGGTCGTAGGAAAAGGGCGCCCAAACCTCGTTCGTAAGGAATTCTATGAAATTGACATTTTTGCTTCATGCTGGACTTGGGTCCCGCCTGTATGTCCGTATTCACCTGAAGGCAAGGTTGAAATAGGTCCAAATATCCCTCATAAGCACGGATTGGAAATGATGGATGTTCTGATTGGGGTAAGTCATCCTCCAGTGCAAGCGTAATGACGTTCCCAACACTTGCTTTCTGATAAGAGCTCTCGGGTATACTAGAAACAGAACCGCATTGGCTTGAGATTTGCGAATCTGCTGCGAAATACTGTATGAGATTACGACTGATTTGCACGGCCAAATGTTCAATTCCAGCCGAGCACATATCAATCGTGAATGTGTCCGCGGTGCGCAGGATGACATCCATCCCTCCCAGTTGACGACCATACCTTGTATCTAAACCACGCCAGTCCGTTCGATTCGATACTTTCCATGTTGCAAGGGTTTCCTTGAGAAACCACCAATTTCCAAGGCGGTCAAAGTTCACTTCGTGCTTGTCTTCGTCATCAAAGACAACCGCAACGGGCTCGGTGAGATTTAAGATGCTAGCCGTAAGATGGAAACGGTGTATGTTCACTGTTCTCACATACCAAATTTTCTCATGTATATCTCGGCGGACCCGCAGTTCTCCGTATGCATCGGGTGACTGCAATTGATCGACACAGATGCCGTATTTGGTGATACTCCCCAAAGGTGGAATAGTAAGTGTGAAGTTTACTGGAATCTTTGACCGAAGCGGGACCAAAGCATTTTCCTTATAAAAGGTAAGAAGAGGCGGGGTTGTCAATATCCCATCGAACCAATGCTTCTGGCCTGGTAATTCGACATAGAAGGATGGCCACGGTGTCTGTCCTAGCAAGTCATGCATCAAGCGCGAATGGTATGCAGGGACATTGTCATCTAGCGCTCCATGCTGTTGCAGTATTGTAATACCGACGACGTTACTCAACAGCAACTCATGTTTGAAACTCGATCGCGACCTTGAGAGTACCGAGGATAGCAGAGGGTTGGCGCTCTGCCACATATCATAAGGCACGTAATCTATCAAATTAGCATAGCCAAGGTGGAAGGCCAGGCTTCGAACGTACTTTCAATAGAGGAATACCCTGATACTGGCGCCACGGCCTTGACTTTATCGGGGTAGTGTGTCGCCAGAAACCACGCCCCTTGGCCTGTGAGTATTAGCAAGGTGACTAACAGACTAATATCCACGTGACAAACATGCCTCCATTCGAATGCCCGACAACTATCCAATCGTTCACCGATATACCTGGGATGCCCCAGCCGGTGTTTTCCATCCAACATGGGATCGCTCTCACTGCCGCCTCGATGTCTGCAGCGCCCCACGTATCTGGAGACAATTAGATGGGCTATGTTTACAGGATTAAAGCCATGCCAATAGGAAGACAAGAAATAAAGCGGCGATAGGAAAAAAAAGTATTGTGGATGGAAAACCATAAGACTATAGTGTGCAAGGAACGCAACTTTAATCACTTACACCAATCATCACCACTCCAAGCAGTGACACCACTGGGAAATAACATCCATGCACAAGTTTCATATGCGCCATCCAGCATTTCACGAACTCTTGGGCTGTCCGCACTGGTACCTGCACCATGTAAAGCAATAATAAGAGGCAGGTTGCTGCTTTCTTTCCACGTAGCAAAGGCGCATTCAGTAGGGGGGGGACGCAGGAGGGCGTACGAGACAATACCTGCATTATAGTACGTAAGTCTCTGTGCTTGATGTATCGGGACTTCACCAAGGTTCATTTGAAGTAAGTGCGTTTCCTGGACCCCATTATCCTCGCGATACATTCTGTAGGATATTCGAAAGGAAAATGTCAACTGAGGCCGACGACCAAGGTATATGCGGAATATGAGAGGCCGAATTTGATATGGAGAGAGGTCCAGTGGCTCCTCCATGATCAAACGATGCGGACATTCCTGGATATGTGTCACTTCTGTTGCCGATGCCCTTCAGTAGGAAAATAGCCACTAACATCAGATGGGATAATGGACAAAACTTCAATCCGATCCGCGATGTTATTCTGCAGATTAATTGATGCCCAAGGACTACCGAGCTTGCCACGGCTAACGTCAGGCAATAGAAGACTTTCTTCGTCGACAGTTAGTGGCTTCCGGCGAATCTCTACTTCAATCGTCACCGCGATTATGGGTTCTGCAACGGCGCCTAGGGTTCGAACGTCACGAATAAGTCGCAATTCAATCATATGGCCACCAGGGGTCAATTCTAGAATCACTGGTGCAGTGCGGTAGCCATAAAACCCCCTCCGAAATATCGCTTGCCGTCAATAATGAGCTCAAGAATTCCAGGAGTGAAGATGGCGACGATTTGATGGCTAGTGCCACCGAGCCTCAGCGACCCTCGCGCCCAGTTCTGATACTGTAGGGCAGACCATCCATATACAGCTTGCAGGAACTCCCAGTCTATCTCTGGGAACTTCACTTGAAACCTTGCTTTAGCCTGCCCTAGAGCCAGAAAGTAGATTCGAGCTTGGGTAGTTCCCCACTTGACGCTACCATTGGTGGCCAGGCCGCTGTTGAAGGTCGCATTTCTGTCGTAGGAGAGGTTGTGAAATCCACCCTTGTGCTCTAGGGGGTCCGCTCCCCAGACAACTTCTGGATAATGAGGTTCAAATTAGTTTGCAACACCTTTATAAAATGTGAATGGATGCAATCTGCCAAGGACGGGTTTCTTATGGGGTTAGTACAAAGGCACGCCCTACAACAAACCTCTGGTGCCACATTGGAAAGGGCCAAGAACCTGCCACTTATCTGAAAGCAAGATGGTTGGATCATCTTGTGCGAGTATGAACTGAAAGTGAGTAGTATCTAGAAGAGATTCTGTGAATTGTAGGCAATTGCATATGACAACTAATTGCGGAAGAAATATTGTAATATATATGGCCAGATAAATCTGATATGCCATGATAATCCATTGGAATCAAAAAGTATGATGCTCGTTTAGTTATCAAATTTGAAGGTAAAGCGAGGTGTCGGTCAACCACACTGCTGCGATCTGGGGGTGGTTAGTAGTAATTCAGGTACGGAAATGGAGTACTCCTCCATATATCAGAATTGGCCGCGAATCAGTTATTGGTGTTTGATATGCATGTCCAGACATATCCATAACTCCTGTCGATCATATCTTCAAGGCTGAATGTATGGAATATCTACCTAGGTGTGTACTTAGGTACCAAAGTAGGCGGGGAGGTTTGCATAGCCTGTTTGGCACATCAGTAACAGCACCCATACCACCACTATCATTGTCGAACTCCTTAGCATTATCGGACGGATTGATTGAGTACTCAATACTCCGTAACTTACCTAAGCCTAGCATCTAGGTACCTCAGTCTATCTACTCTATCTACTACCTTACGGAGTAGGTACCTAGTGAAGTGGTTTTATTTAGGGACCGCGTTGCGTGTGCTTAACTCTCAGCGTTCATTCGTCAGTCCGTGCTAGCACCATGTGGAGATTCGTCATCCAGATATGGATGGCCGCAAACGACGACAGAGTCTCTCCCAAATTGTGTACGTATTAGTTAGAGCACCCATATACTACATTAACTTGTAACTAATATTGCTAACGTACAAATCTCATCCATTCCCTCAATTTGGGGCAAAGGGCCTCAATTATACTTGTTGGCGACGGATCTAGCAACTGCTCCTGACTAGGTATAGTCTCTTTGTTTCAATTGTCGAGGTTGTTCCAGAAATCTTGCTCACTAAATCACCATCCTCTCAGCCAGTGTGTCAGGGTACCTGCCTGCACAGACGCGTCCTGGATGTGATCTGAATATGACTACAACTATCGTGACCGGCATTGGACGACGGTCATCCATCCGACAACCCGAGATACACTCACCAGTGAAAACGTCCAGTTCTCAGTTGACGACAAGCCCGGCCGATAAATTCCCACCATTCGAGGCGGAACTCTACAGCCAGACAACGGACACAGGAGAGTACAAACCCCACGTTCCTCTCCAAGGCGGGGCAAATGATTATTGGGAGCCGCGGAAAGCAGGCTATCTCCCTAGAGATCATGCGAATCGGTCGATCCAACTGCCAAAACACAGATCAAGGAAGAGTATCAGCGAGGCGATCACCACAATCAGGACGCGCAACGCAAGTGTCAGTGCCAATGCTCAAGAATTAGCTCAGGCGCTACGTGCACCGGTTTCTTATCGATTAATAGTAAGGCCAATGCCTTCATGCCCTTGCTGTCGTCCACCAACTGAATTTTATCCAGATCCTTTGTCTCATATGGTATATGACCTCGGCGATCACGAACACATCTTCCAAAACTATACTCAATGCCCTCCCAAAACCAGTGACACTGACTGTAATACAATTTGCCTTTGTGCCCGTATGGTGTCTGCTGCTCGCATACTTGTCGGCAACCTTTCCCTGGATCCGAAGGAATATTCCGGCCCTCAGAAATGGAATACGATATCCATCGCGCGAAGTTCTGAGAACTGCTCTGCCTTTAGCAATATTTCAGCTCGCAGGTCACATACTCAGTTCAATGGCTACTTCTCAGATACCAGTGTCATTGGTGCACACCATAAAAGGGCTTTCACCTCTTTTTACGGTTTTCGCATATCGCGTTTTCTTTCGCATTCGCTACGCTCGAGCCACTTATCTATCACTCATTCCCCTGACCTTGGGTGTCATGCTTGCGTGCTCCACCGGGTTTTCAACGAACTTCTTTGGCATCCTATGTGCTCTAATTGCAGCATTGGTCTTCGTCTCCCAGAATATCTTTTCCAAGAAGCTCTTCAATGAAGCTTCGCGTGCGGAGTCGGATATGCAATCAACAGGTGGAATGAAGCTGGACAAACTAAATCTGCTTTGTTACTGCTCTGGTCTCGCCTTCATCCTCACGCTCCCGATCTGGTTCGTCAGCGAGGGCTATCGATTGATCTCGAATGTCATGCAATATGGGGCTATCTCCTTGTCAGGCAAACATGGCTCTTTGGATCACAGTGCACTCATCATGGAGTTCGTGTTCAACGGAGTTTCGCACTTTGCGCAAAACATACTGGCATTTGTTTTGCTTTCGTCAATATCCCCAGTATCCTACTCTGTTGCGTCACTTGTCAAGAGAGTATTCGTCATCGTCGTAGCGATTGTATGGTTTGGCAGCTCGACTACTTCTTTACAAGCTTTTGGCATCGCACTCACCTTTATTGGGCTCTATCTCTACGACCGCACTAGTCATGATGATGTGGCTGATCAACGGGCAAATGCTGACCACTTTCGTGCGAAGGAGGCTGTTCTTCCCTTGAACGTCCAATCACTCGATAAAACAAGGGGTCCGCATAGCTACGTTTTCCCAACCTTAAAGGGCGGTGAGACCTCCTTTGTGAACAACTCAGCTGCGTTGTCATCGAATTCCAAGAAGGAAGACGATGCACTTGGTCATGTCCGTCCAAGGGGAGGCAGCGTTTCCAGGACATGGCTGCCTGGCACGAAACAAGAGTCAACCTGGCAATCCGGCGATTCTTAGGGAAACAGCCGTTGTAATGTACTATGATTATACGCGGTCCCGTAATCTTCTCTGAATCTTTATCTTCAATTTTGTACCATGATGAATTGTATATACTACATATAGACAAGCCAAAAGGTCTCATATTCCTCTACCTGCCACTCCAAACAGAGGGCTGTTATGTGGATAGCTTCAACATATGTAATTTCCAGCCAGCTAGATTAAGCTCTTGAAAGGACTTGATCTTGAGCAAATAGCGCCGGCGATTCTCAATGAGGCAGAGGAAATCATCCAGCCGCAGTGTACCGGCAAAGAGTTAAAGATATCTATCTACTCCGTACAGCATGATTTAATGTATGAGGATATGTTGCGACTGTCAGTAAAGAACTACGCCATCATTAGGCCATTGCACCAACCTGGTACCAATGACCCTAAGCAGCTCCAGCTCAGTGCTTCTTCCTCTTGGGTCATATAGCAGAGGAAACAGGTATTGAAAGATCCTGTCTCCTACAATAAAGTATGCCCGTGAATGAGTTATTGATGATCAAGAGAAAGAAACAAGTCAACGTCGTGAAGAAAAAAGATACTTAAAGGGTGAGCGACGGAATAATGTAGCTCCGAAGGTCCGAGCCAATCCGCAGGCGGCAATTTGCGAGTGATGTTCTGACTGGCGTGTGCCAGAATCCGCAGGAGCGAGTCCAAACTGGAACTGCTCTTGGGAAGCACAACCACTTGAAGTTCCAAAGCTTTGCTTCTGCCACGCCCTCCTGTCACCCTAACCTTGGGACTATCCTTCTTATTTTCCTCTCCGTTACCTCGCTTCTAGTCTCACTATGCGGCCGCAGTTGTTTCGTGCGGCCGCCCGGTCTTTCCGGGTCCCAAAATCCAACAACTTCAGGACCTTCGCAACGACAACCCCTCGCTCTGCTGAGGTGGAGCTTACAATTGGTGAATCGAACTGGGCATTCGAGGCTTGAGTGTTCTTTTGCGCTAACATTGGGTTCCAGATGGCAAGAAAGTCTCGGTAGAAGGTGGACTCAGTTCCTGGCGAACGTGGTTTGGAAGCCTTGCTAATATGGATTGACAGCCGGCTCAGCACTCATTCAGGCATGTGAAAAGGCAGGCGTGACGGTTCCCAGGTATGGTTCTGTTTGACGATGCGCAGGTGTTCATAGGAGCTGACAATTGGCTATAGATACTGTTATCATGAGTACGATCTACCTATTCGACCATAATGCTTACCTGTTACTAACATCGTTGCTAGGAAATTAATGATTGCAGGAAATTGTTCGTCCTCCTGCCGATTCTAACAAGTTTATACACTTTACTCACTATCTTTTATAGGCCGTATGTGCCTCGTTGAAGTCGAACGTGCTCCCAAGCCAGTGGCATCCTGTGCTTGGCCTGTGCAGCCCGGAATGAACGTCAAGACAAATTCACCACTTGTGCATAAAGCAAGAGAGGGTGTCATGGAATTCCTCCTAGCGAACCATCCTCTCGATTGTCCTGTTTGTGATCAGGGGGGTGAATGTGACCTCCAGGACCAGTCAATGCGCTATGGTGCTGACCGCGGTCGATTCCATGAGGTTGGTGGAAAGCGTGCTGTTGAAGATAAAAATATTGGTCCCTTAGTCAAAACTTCCATGAACAGGTGTATTCACTGCACCCGTTGTGTTCGCTTCATGAACGACGTCGCTGGTGCCCCAGACCTTGGAACTACTGGAAGAGGAAACGACATGCAGATTGGCACTTACTTAGAAAAGAACCTCGACTCAGAGCTTTCCGGCAACATCATCGATCTTTGCCCCGTCGGCGCCCTCACCTCAAAGCCTTATGCGTTCCGAGCTCGCCCCTGGGAATTGAAGCACACCGAGTCCATCGATGTCCACGATGCCCTGGGCTCCAACGTCCGGATAGACACCAGGGGTATGGAGGTTATGCGGGTACTTCCACGATTGAACGATGACATTAACGAGGAATGGATTGACGACAAATCCCGATTTGCGTGTGATGGCTTGAAAACCCAGAGACTCACAACTCCTTTGATTCGCAAAGAAGGAAAATTCGCCCCTGCAACCTGGGAACAAGCCCTGACTGAGATATCCAATGCTCAGCAAAAGCTGCAATTGAAGGAAAATGAGTTCAAAGCCGTTGCCGGACATCTTGTTGATGCCGAAACGCTTGTGGCCATGAAAGACTTGGCGAATAAGCTTGGCTCCGATAACCTTGCCTTAGATCAGCCAGGAGGGAGCTCTCCTATTGCCCATGGAATCGATGTCCGTGCGAATTACCTCTTCAACTCTAAAATTTATGGGATTGAAGAGGCGGATGTCATCCTTCTTGTAGCTACGAACCCTCGCCATGAAGCGGCAGTGCTCAATGCGCGCATTCGCAAACAATACCTGCGCTCCGATCTTGAAATCGGCTTAATCGGGGAGGACTTCGAGAGCACCTTCGACTATGAGCATCTTGGCTCTGATGTCTCATCTCTCAAGGCTGCATTGTCTGGAAAATTTGGAGAGAAGCTTGCATCTGCTAAGCGACCAATGATCATTGTTGGCAGCGCCGCCGCTGAACATCAGGACGCGAAAGCGGTCTTTGAAACCGTCGGCAGCTTTGTGGATAAGCACGCGAAGAACTTCAATACCTCTGAATGGCAAGGCTACAACGTTCTTCAGCGTGCAGCGTCTCGTGCCGCTGCCTATGAGGTTGGCTTTACCACACCGTCGGCAGAAGTGGCCAAGACTACACCCAAAATGGTCTGGCTGTTAGGTGCTGATGAAATCAGCCAAAGTGAGCTCCCAAGTGATGCATTTGTCATCTATCAGGGGCATCACGGTGACCGTGGAGCTCAATTGGCCGATGTTGTTCTTCCGGGTGCAGCGTATACCGAGAAGTCGGGTACTTACATCAACACCGAGGGACGTGTACAGATCACTCGTGCGGCGACTTCGTTGCCTGGTGCCGCACGTGACGATTGGAAAATTATACGTGCTGCCAGCGAGTTCCTTGACTCGCCCCTTCCTTACGATGACATTGAAGCTCTCCGTGATCGCATGGAAGAAATCAGTCCTATAATGCGTCGGTATGATGTCGTCGAGCCGACTTCTCTGAGCTCTTTGAGTAAGGTACAACTTATCGACCAAAATAAGGGTGCTCAGCCATCTGGCACTCCGTTCAAGAATGTCATTGAGGACTTTTACTTCACCAATCCCATTGCTCGCAGGTCAGTGTATGACCCGACATCCTCATTCTTACACTGCTAATCATCTACCAGTTCTCCGACTATGGCTCGCTGTTCAGCAGCCAAAGCCACTGGAAACCCCGAGACAAACTTCATGGCTGCTGGGGAGATGTCTCCTCAGGCTCTGTATGGCTAGAATAGTCCAGACCACTGCGGTCTAATCATCCTTTTCTGTTGATCTAGGCGTTGTCGTTGTACCACCTAAACTTCGTTGACTGTCTGTTTTTGTAGTCTATTGAAGTTTCCAGTACTTTTTGTGTGCGCCCTTGGGTCATTATCTGACATTTCATAAAATTGATCGAATGTTGTGATTGTGTACATATGATGGGAGAATATGACCAGTTTTGGGGCACAAGAACCATTCCTTCGACGCTTTCAAAGGAAGATAAATTTTACTGGCTCACACTTGAGTGGACACCTGCACGGATGCCATGGGTGAGACACCGTGAGAGAGCATGGTTTTGTCTGTGCACGCAAAAATCCCACTCATTTAGATCCGAACAATAATGGCACTGTTAGTGACACATTCTGCCCCCCTTTTCTGAACTTTGGCGCCCAGAATATGGTAGCACATGCCTTTATTATAGTTCATCGTCATCGGTTTCTCCAGCCATCTCTTCGGCAGCGTTCCCTGCGGTATCCCCTCCATTCGAGTCAAGTCTCGCTGAAGTCGACTTCGTATCTAGCTTGGTTCTTCTGACAAATGGCAACTCTCTGCGGGGCGGGGCGATGGTTGAATCAGGCAGGGAAGCGTGGCCCAAAGATTTAGGTTCACTCGAAGTTCGCATGCCTTCATTGCGCTTTTTCAACACTGAGGGCGACGAAAGATCCTCATCCGTCGTGACTATTCCTTCGTCTTCAAGAGGTTGGGGAGTGGAAGGCTGTTCATCGTCTGTCACAAGATCTTCTCGGCGACGATCCTGTTTTCCCATCGGATCGACATCCATTTTCTCGAATCCGTCATCGCTTTCAGAGTCATTTTCGGTCATTTCAGCCACGGAGCGTTTGGTGATTCGGGCATTGCGTCTTGAAGGGTGACGTTTCCCTGACATTGTTTCTTGTATCTCGGATACTAGAAGTGTAGAATGTCAATCATGCGGTGTTTTGGGTGAGTAACGAACTGGGGTCGTACTTTTCCTAGGATCCATTTCTGCTGCTGCCAACAAGCGCTGTTGGCTTCGGATTTTGAGCTTTTTCCCATTAAGCAACTGCACAAAACATGCCATCAATTGTTCATCATGTTGACTTTTGGCGTCTACCAGCTCCTTAAGTTGTTTGCTGAGCTGTTTGATAGTGTCCTCAGCTGCGCTATAGCGGTCATTGAGGGACGAGAGATGTTGCTCAAGAGCATCGGCTCTGGCAACGGCCATACCCGACCAGTCGAATAGCTGGATAGCCTGTTCATCGTCCTGTCTCAGGGTCACGGATCCGAGCCTTTGCTGCATACCGTCAGACAAATTAAGAACGGGTCTGAAGACGGGAGCCTACTGTGATCGACTGGACACGCTTCCGTATCGTAATAACTAACTCGGTGTCTCCGTTCTCGGTTGGTAAAACGTTTGCTGAGGATTCAATATCGGATACCAGGCCGGAAATCTTGGTGTAGTCTTTGAGCTGGCCAAATACATATGAAATAATCTGTACCCACTCATCGTGACTACCCTGGTAGTTCTTTGCACGGAGGGTTTTCAGGATATTTTGTCGCACTAGGTTGTCTGCGTGAGAGCCCCTTCAAGATGGCGAGGAATGATAAAATGATCAGAACAGGGGAGGAAATAATAATCATGTAGAATGAAACTAGTTTATGCAGAATCATCCGTGTATTTACCCAAGGGAAGCATACCAGTTCCGGTGTAGGGGTTCTCCCCTTCTGTGGCCACAATATCCAAGTCTAGAGAAACAGACGCAGCGCGGGATACTTGAAGGAGCACGTAGCTCTGAGGATCATTAGATCTAGGGATTCGGATAATTCTTCGCGACAAGCTTGGTTCGAATGGAGACATGATGGTGAGCTCAAGGAAAAGACACCAGTGATTGGTAAATCTCCGAGGATTCACTGGGATTGTTATATTTCTAAAGCCCGTGACAGCTTGCCTAGCAAGTCATTGCTGCCTATCGACTGACCAAAACCGATCATTGTACTCTGTAGGCATCAGCATCAGAAATATCTTGATAGTACTCCATACTAGTCAACGGATATGCTCGTTCCGTGGGTCACCCTGGTTCCACAATCTCTCTTCGATGTAGAATGCATACCACATCATTGAAGTCATAGTTCATCTTGCGAAAAATGAATATACAGTCTACACACTAGTATGGTGAAGGATAGGCAACATTAATCAATTAATCAAGCACTTGTTGCTTCCCAGCTTCAGCTTTTTTTTTTCTTTTTTTTAAGCAGCCTTGGCAAGCAAGCATACTTCGTGAAGCATGCGATGACCTCCCTAGTAGATAACTACTCTCTAGCGACATCCGATGATCTGCCCCTGTCAATCATCATAGCACAGGACCAACATATTAGTAGCAGCAGTGCCTCCCCGCCCCGACCTTTCCTCCGTAAGGAATTCAGCTTCCTACCACTGCCTCACCAGTCACCACACACCAGCATCCACCAAGTCCATGTTTCAAAATCCAGTCCAACCCTTGCAATCCAGACATAGTCATACATTTGTGGGGCCCTCGTGCCTCGACCGTCTCTATTGAGTTGCTGCGACTTGGATCCTTCAACTGTTCTGACGCTTCTGGCGACTTCTAGCTTGTCTGTCTATAAACTAACTAATATCTTACTGTCCGACGCCCTATTGTGATTTATCCAGTGGCTAGATGATTTGTATTCTATTGCGATCAGTCACCTGTCATAATTTCCGGATCTTGCGAGATCAATACTGCAACTTCAACACAGACGAACAATAGGATGATGCTTCAACTGGCTTTGGATTCAGTATCAGCGCCGAAGTTATTCGAGCGTGCCATCTGAATTTACCAGCTGTGCAAGTTTCATTTGACGTCAGATGAAGACTTGTCTATCGCCGCTTGTAACTGCTTTTTTTCCTGATAGGCTTCATTGAACATGGAGCCACTGACTACCCAGCTACGACATGGTGACGAAGAGACAATCGAGTGTTGGGATGATGACGGGGATCTGCAGTGCTTCGAAGACATCCATATTCGCACGGCTTCAACCACAACATCGATAACAAACTCGTCCATCCTCCGATCTAGTCACCGAGACTCAATATCCTCCCGCCGATCTGCTCGCTCCGACCTCGATTCGACCCTTGGAGATGATGAAGACTGGCAGGTTCAGCTTCAGGATGATGACGAGCTTTTGAGCGAAGAAGCCATTGCATCTGCTAAGGGTGCTGGTATCCCACTGCCAGCCAATATTCCCAAATCGGCCCTCATTGGGGGGACAATCAAACGTCTTGGAAGGAGGAAGCCTAGAAGAAACTTTGTGGATGATTGGACGGATGATGTTGAACTTCCGGGTCCCGATACTGTTTTGGAACTCAAGAGTGTTCAAGAGACAGCATTCCCTGAATCCCTCAGGCAGCTTAGTTCTGCTGCTACTAGCCCAGTGAAGAGTCCGACTGCATGTTTCTGGGGGGATGATGTTCCTACACAGTTGCAATCCGCCCTGACGAACTTAGATCGAGCAACCGATCATCTTGGCAATGCCCTCCTCGACACTAATGACATTGACGACGACGTCCCCACTATCCGAGTTGCAATGCCCCGAACGCCGGAAACGACTTCAACCGCTCTTGAATCCAGCCGTATGAAAGTGAACAGAGTATTAGAGAATTTGGAAAGCGATTTCGAATTGCCGGTAGATGATCTCCCTCTTCGTCTTTCTACGCGCAAAACCGGCTTGGGCGCGACAAGCCCGACCCCTGAGGAATTTGACGTGGAGTGGTCCGAAGGCAGTATTGGTGTTCGCTTTGGAGGTACACAGAGAGACCATCGCTCAAATCCAAGCTCTATAGTCTCTGTTGTCAGTCCTAGTGCATCTAGTTGCCTGACAGGTGAGAGTGAGGACGAGGGACTTGATGGTCTTATTATCCCTGAAGGTCCCTTAGACCTAGAGTCATCTTTGAAGAAGCGTCTCGACACCTTTTCTCCGAGAAATGTGCAATATCCCAAGCCGGGTCAAGCTGAAACTGACGCGGCGGATACAGACGATTTTCTCTTGGGTCTGGATATTGAAAGTGGTGGTGCCTTTGATCTGAAGAAACTCTCTCTTAACCCCAATATCAAATGCAAAACAGAACACCCAGGGAGCCCCGCGCGCCGTTCAGCAACCTCCATTACTTTCACCAACACCTCGGTTTCCCCGAAATCTCGGATTCCGCGCCTCTCGAGCCATGACCTTCATTCCACTCATCTTGAAACCGTTTCTGAGAGTGGAGTTCCCTTACCCAAATCACCGAGCTCCCAATTCCGTGTGAGAGGCCATGCCTCGCATGCTTCTGTCTCTGGTTTTCCTTCTGCAATCCCATCGACATCACCGACTCCTTCGACTTCTGGCCGGCGGCGCACCGCATCTCGGCTGACGAGAGACTCGTTGAGCGGCGATCAACCTTCGGCTAGGAACCAGGTTCTTCGAACAAAACGATCTATGCCGACCATGAGAAATGTCCATCTTGCGGCAACAGTGACCTGTTCCCAGAATTCTCAGCCCCAGCATGATGATTCGATGCGTCCATACCCCTCCAATATTCGTCCTAAAACCCCAGTCGATCGCGTCGGGAATGATCTGAGATATTCAAATCGTAGGTCTCAAATGCCTTTCATTCCGGCTGGGGCTTCTGAAAAACAATCTCATCATGTCAATGTTAAAAGTCATCGACACTCGCGGTGGACAAACTCAGATAGTTCTGCCGAAAACCTTGGCTCACAGATGCCTATGTTCCGACATCCTCGATTAAAGCGTCAAATCAACCTAGGGAGTAATACGGAAGAACCAAGACCTGAGGCTCTAATCACCGCGCCGAAGCAGGCTATCACCAAGCCCACGCGCAGGCGCAACTTTGGCGACGGAAGTGAACTGGAATCATTCGACGATCTACCCACATCTTCCTCAATAGAAAGAAGATTCATCAAGAATCCTACCGGTCGAGGTGTTCCAAAGTCCATCCGGGATAGATTTAGTCAAAATCGGAGTCTATATTCACAGATGGATCATCCAGACTCGAAGCCCACTCCTGGCACTATGTCAACCATGCCAAATCTTACGCCCCGGTTTGCGCGGGACACAAACGCTTCAAGAACCGCGAGAGAAGAGCGGATTGCGTCGATGGCGTCTAGTGCGAAGAATCGAGCGAGCAACGCACTGAGTCCACTCAGTCCAAATTGGAGGACTCAATCTAGCTCACGTACCCCTTCGGCCTCTTCGACCTCCTTGCCGATGAGAAGCCAGAAGAATAAATCATTCACATCGTCTGGTGGTAAACCTCTCCTGATCAAGCCAATGGGCAAAGAGGTGCAAGAGCCTAGAGGTACGTACATTTCACTCGAAGTGATTCAGTTCAAGCGGTTTTTTACCACTACTAATACTCTCATAGCTGTCAATGGGATGCGTTATAATCCAAATACGTTTCGGTGGGAAGGCAATGAGACATCTGTCCATGAATTTGAAGCTGAGAAATTGCCAATGTCTCCCAAACCCGCACCTGCTCTGATCACCAATGTCGGCGCAATGCAGAATGTGCAAGTTGTAGGCGGGATGGTCTTCGACCCGCAGCGCATGTGTTGGCTGAAGCTGGCCCCATCCCAACCAGGAGCTAAAGGTCTGGTGGCGGTTCAACTCGAAGACGATATTTTCGCCGGCCTGGATGACCTTGAAGAAAAAAGTCAGGATAAACTACATTGCGGACGGGGTAGTTGTCAGAACGACGCTGGCCATGCCGGGAGTGGTGATGACCGAAGCCTCGGATACTCATCGGACGAATGGCCCATCACGGAAGAATTTGATGTCGGCCCTGAATTCATTCGACGCCAACGCGTGGAGGAAGATAAATGGAGACGCAAGGTCGATCGATGGGTGAGCATTGATCGGAGTAAGGCTGGACAAGGTTGGAGATGGGCCATACGGGATATAGTGGGCTTCAACAGTGTCCGGGGAGCCCTCGGAGCCCCAGAATTTCACGGTACGTGAGATATTGCCTGTTGGTAGTCCTCACCCATGAAATCGGAGGTGGATTAAACAGCACTGTGTGGCGTGTGCAGATCTGTGCAGTCGTTGAGGAAGTACACTTCCACCTACGGTCGTGCTCTTATCGACCTAGATGATCAGGCCCAGGTAACGGGTTGTGAGCACCAGCCATAAGATGATGCTACCCTATGAGACAGGGGTCCTTGCGAGTTGTGGCATAATTTTGATGGATATTCGGAATGAGCTTATGATATAGCATTCGCTGGCCCTTATGAACTGGCCAGCTTCATGACTTTTTTTTTTTTTTTTTTTTTTCCCTTACCTTCACGTTTTGAAACACTTCTTGTGCCTCTCTTTTTCTGCGCATCTCTCTTTCGAGAGCCAATTCTCTATGACTTTATGTAACTATACCTTACGTTGCGACTGTACAGTATAATACTCCCTCTCACAAAATATATTTTCTCGTTTCTCCTGTGGTTTCCTTTTCCCCTTTAGTATTGTTTGATTTGTCCTCATTTTGTTTTTGTTCCGATCTCGCTGGTTCCCTGGGCAATAAATCGTCAGACGCCAACCGTCCGCTTCAACGATGCTTTCTTAGGGTCGTGAGGGAGAGAGCAGAGGAGAGAAATAATCTTGTTGGGGAAGAGGGTGATGAGATGGCTGGATAGAAAAGATGGAGAGGGTGGAGAAAATAGGAGTTTACAGCACTGCAATGGGTTAATCATCCTAGTCATGGGTCATGCAGGTCGAGCTGTTTGCTATGAAGTCGGTCTGAGCTTCGACATGGCTAGTCCATGCTGGGCTTCCATTCCTTCGAATCATTGATGAAGGTAGTTTGCAAACAGAAAGCCAGTCTGAGAATCCTGGTCTGTTGTCCAGCTGGCATCTGCGTGCCTGTGGGTTCAAGGGGCGAAAAGCAATTCATCAATTAAGGATTCGAGGTTTGCTCTTGTAGAAGAAACAATGTCTTCTGTTCCAGTTTCTATGACATAGGGATGATGAAGTCTCTTGATTAGCCTGTCTCTTCTTTGGGGTGTGCAGAAGGGGAGATCCTTAGTAATATTCGGTTTTAGGGATGAGGCCGACTGTCTGGCAGCGAATGCCAGGGCCGTGTGACTCGGTCGAGGGTAGAGAGTTCGATGTCTACTAGATATTTTGATATGATGATTATGATCTAGGTGCGTTATTTGCTTGGGCCGTGGAATGTCAATACATGACGCAGAACTGCCAGTCACATATTCCGTGCAGTCACTATCATAATATGGTTGCAGCTCGGTAGGGGGAGAGCTGAAGATCGATAGAGAGAGCAGCAGAACTCGTTCGTTAGTGTATCAGCACTAAACGAAATAAATACCTACATAATACGTCTCCCAGTGGTCTAGCATATGTAATTGCACAACACTACAACCAATAACGATAGGCAAGTACTCATCAACTACCACCATTCAAGAGACGTGAATACAGTGGCGAAAACCAAGCTGACATTCGGATGCGGATGGAAGCACAGACACTGGAAGATGGGACTGATCCCAGGATGAAATGCAGGAAACAAACCATATCGAGGCTCGTATTTCTAGCCTCTCCCTCTGTAGTGGCCAATGGCCCTCTAAAAAAGAAAAAGTGGACAAACAAGCATGCCCAGGAGCCGCGCAGCTACTATTTATCTCCTATTTGTCTACTTCGTAGTGACACAACCTCGCCGCCTCAGATACTCCCAAGGCTGGTTCCAGATCTTCAGTCATTATTCCTTCCTTTGGTAGCCTTTGAATTGCCCACCCATCGCTTCACTGGACAAGACTGGGGGCGACCATCCCGACTGGAAGATTTATGCTTTAAACTGGGATAGGACTTGGGGCGCCAAAACTGCAATCTGTCAATGGCCGGCACGTTGGACCTGATGATGACTGGCCTTCATCTTCTTCACAACCCTCACGTACTACACTGGATAAACAGCAAAATCTGAGGAAGTAGTGACTCATGCGAAATCCAGCTGCCCAAACATGGTTCACCCTCAGGGAACCTCAACTCTCTCCCTGACTCTGAAAATTGATGATGATGAATGTCTTCATACCATGTCCATGCGTGCCTGGTTGGGGATGAAGAACAGGTGGTATCACCAGTGGCAATCTGCCTGTTCGATCCCTATAGGCGCCCTGGAAGTTGAAACATAGGCATTAAGACATCAGGCACGATGCATTGGATTTGCTCACTTCCCTGGATGATGATCAACAAACATCGTGGAATAGCCAATTCTGGTCCCAGCGGAAGGAAAGAAGGGTCTTTCCCATTTACTCTTTTCCCGTTCTGCTCGTATCCTTTGTTGAAGCTGTTGCTAAATAAACCCTTGCCCCCCGTACAGATCCAGCTCCTCCCCCAAGTCTGTTGGACCTGCAGCATGGCAGGTGATTGTGCTTTATTCTTCCAAGGCCCTCTTTTCGCAGAGAAGACTAGCAAACTTACTGCAATCTTCTCCTACCATCGACCGGAAACCCGCCCCTGCTTCATAGAAGATACCTAAAAAGAACTTACCAAACATTCTGTCCTGCGGGTCAGGGATTGCCATCTGTCGTGCTCTCCCTCCACTGGCCCCATCAGGGGTCACCTTGTTTTGATTGATGGAGACGCCTGTCATAGCTCTTTGTCGTGCATACCATGGAATAAGGCAAGTGCCTCTTATGCCGAGTCATGCTGGGGAAGGCCAGAGCTTAGGCCTAGGTCGGTGCGAGGGGGAGTCTGTCCCGCCTACTTAAATGATGCCGCCTCCCCGCGCTCGTCGATGTATCCTGTCATCGCTGGCAATTTCCCAGTATACCTTAAGACCTCTTCCATGGACATAGGCCATCTCTACCCGGTTACAGCGAATTGACTTCAGCAATAATTCCCAGGTGTCGGGGTGTGACGTCTTTGCAAGGTATGTCGTCTCAGGTCACTCGTCTCTGTTTCCAGAACGTCTCAACATCTGTACTCGCCACGTACACCGAGGACCTGAGAAGACACTCTATGGCTGACATTCGTTGTGTGCGTGAGAAGTCCGGGCAAACCTGACATTGTGCGCGAGCATACACAGATTATACCCGATACATTATATTTGTCCGTAAAGCTTCAACTGTCAGATAACCCTGATCGCCATGAGTGGTTTTGAGAGGCGCAGTGCCCATGGCCACGGCAGCTACATTTTGAACCAGCAGATTTCCCTACCCATTTCTTATAACCAGGGAGAGAACCACGAATACGGGAGCAACGGAACCTCCTCGTACCATATGCCCCAGAATTCCTACAACATGTATCACCAGTGCAGTCTGACATACGACCAGAATGGAGTACCTTCTAGCATCAGTGAACCATCTTCGCATCCAGTTCTGCCCACTCCTGAACATGAATTCATACAGCATGGATCCTCGCAATGCATGCCCCAGGCGCGGTACCTAGAGTCCCCACGATATTTATTCCTTCGTGAAGCAACGAATGAAACCGAGATAGAGAGCCAAGAATCTCTGAACGAAAACAAAATGCTATCGGAGCCTGTTATTCCCCCGCTAGAAGGCTTCCCCGGCGTGAGGGAATTTGACCAATTGATACGAAGGTAACTACATCCTCTTTCTGAGCAGTAAAATGCCTTCTCCTCCGTGTTGCTGGATGGAAACAAGTACAACGGACTTACATAGTACGTCAGCTACGTGGAGGATCTGTCTATCAAGAAACAAGACAAGGCTTTGATCCACGCCAGGAGAGCGCGCAATATAAGGACCGTCCTCATCGATCCAAAAGACACAGCCGTTGAATCAGCCCAATTCAGGTAGACATGACTCGTCCCAACTTCCACCCGAATCGAAATTTTTCACTCCAACGATCCTCGTAAAACCAATTATTTTACGTATGCCTTGCTAAATTTCTGAATTAGGTTTTGGGTGAAGAAGATGTTCAAGCTTCAGGTAGTTGGCACCGGATCTACCAACGTGCGTAAAGTCTGTTTACTATACCTGAGAAAGACATCACGCTGACATACATCAACACCTCTTGGAAGTGTACAAAAATGATCTGCCATGAAGGAAAACCGGTAGCCATCCGGGAGAAATTATTCAAGATACTGACCAAGGCGCATCAACAATGTCAGCACGGTGGCAGGGACAAAACATCCGCGCAAGTCAGACAGGTGTACTCCTGGTAGGCGACCCTTGTCCGCTATTGTCCGCTGTATCCTCAAGTGAAAGCTCACTTTGTCTGACGAAATGTTAATCCGCCTCCAAGGGTTCCCAAAGAGCTCATCTCACGATTTGTCAAGATATGCCCCACTTGTCAAGTTCGCAGAGGAGGCGTGCGGTTGACGCCGCCCATCTCGAGTCGAGGCTCTCCGCGACTCGAGATTTCGAATCGGTCACCTAAACTTCCCTCTCCTCCAATCTCGAGGCGTGAATCTATTTTGTGTGGTCATACCTCTCTAGAGAAGTTACCGGCAGACGACTTGAATCAGTTTAGTGGCCACACTGGTTGGCTAGACCATCACCATGATTCTCTTGGACGGCCAAATCTGGTTTCAACTTCCATGAAATCTTTCGGGGGAACGCCGGTGGTCAATCTACCTAATGTCATGTCTATGGCGGTGGATTCGTATCCTGGTGGAGATCTATCCCAGATTAGCTACAGTACAGCATATACAACCGCGAACAACCAGTCTCAACATCGTGAGTTTTAGGCGTTCGAATGAAAGATCGATGGTTTGGATTATCCCTTGACTCTGGACATGATCTGGCAAATTTGAATAATGGTGAGCAATGCAGGGTTGCTGTCACGATTGGAGCCTATAGGTTCTCTCTAGTAATATGTTCGAATCGGTTGACTTTATTTGTCGAGTGTCATGTTCAAGACGGCTTCTCTTGCAGATTTCTGCAGGAAACCTCCATGTAGAATTATGATATGAACGCAGTCCCTACATAGACTTCAAGGGTGCTCTAAAAATAGAACCTTCTGGTCCGAAACTTGTGGCAGAGTAGGTTGACTATTCCTAGATCTGGTCTTACATGCAGTGAATGAACTGGTGCTGGAGTAACACGAATAGGAAAAAGAACTCAATGAGCATATAAACTTGATTTTGGTCATGAATTTGCAGACCACATATTCTGCAGTGGTTAATACCTTCATATGTGGACACAAAAATGTAACCTTCAATCAAAGGTTATGTCTGATGAACATGACATCTATGGGATCACCCTAAATTGTTTGCGTCTAATGATAGTACACCATCGAATGAGAAAAGCAGATGCTGATGAACTGAGGTGTCAATGAAAATTGTCATCATGGAAAAAAGACTAACATACAAAATGCATTTAGGCACTGCACCTGATGGATCTTGAAGATCCTATTCAACCAGACACCAGATAACTTACAAGGGAGGAAAAGATCAATGCAAAGAATGATGAATGAAATGGCAGGCAAGACATGCCAGATTGTTCCACGCCAAGGCAGCAATTGCTGAAATTCGTTGTCCCACTCAGACTGGAAGTGAGAATTTTTTCCCTTTCATAACTCTGCTCATGGTTAGAATGTGTTTGACAGTGGTGCAGTCATGAACTCACTTGCTATAGTAGATATAAAAAAAGTCTGAATACAGAAGCGTTTGAACAATGCCTGCCACAACAGGAACCGGGTGGAATCGGCTCTCTGAAAAATACCGGTAGATCCAGTTTGGGATATAGAGAGACCGATAGAGCCCCAAGGCAAAGAGATAATGTGTAGTGATGGTGTCTGCTTCGCCAGTGCGCTGTAGCATGAAGAGTTGAGGAAGGATCGCAACAGATTCAAGCCAGATTGAGAATGTCCAGAGTATCTAAGAAAGCATGAGAGAGAGTCACAGTCGTAGATCAGAATAGCGGGCGAACCTCGGAGATGCTGTAATTGCTTGAGAACAATACTGCTAATAGAGCACTGGCCCCAAGGAGATACTGAACTTTGAAAGTGTCGAGATTCGGGTCATGGGTTGGCTTGTAGTCGTTGAGCATCAGGTAAATGATATAAGCCGAAGAGCAGATGAATAAGATCTTGAATGTTGTGTTATAAAACGAATCGGTAAAGGTCCAGAAGAGATCTTCGTCATAACAATGGTCAGGAACAATCCCTTTCGAGATGATTTTCGAAGAAACTCACCAAGATAGCGTGTAACGAAGACCAGCAAATACAAAATTTGCGATTTGAAGGACAAACCAGAGCAACTCTGCGGTTCAAGATTAAACGGTGTTCACATGGCAAGGTGGAATGTCCTACACTTGAAGATTTCATTTTATGGAGGAGAATGAATATAGATATTAGATGTGAAAAATCGGCTATCATCCACATCAGTATCATCAATCCTCGCAAAGGCGATAACCCACTACTCACCAGCTAATCTGAAGATATTCATATTGATAAATTAGCTTCCAATATGGAAAGATCGATTCTCTGGCTGCGGAGTATTGAGGTGTCGAATCAATTAGATGAGTAATGGGTGACAAGAAGCTCAATGAATTTGACAAAATGGAAGTTGCAATGCATCAATGGAGTTGTCTCTTGAGAGGAAAAGTGGTTCACGGAGTAGGACACATATGTATGATGATAATGACTACACGAAAGGTACGCGACAAGGCTCCACATCATGCGCAATGCTGTAATTGAGATTCACCCAATCACCAATGCACATAATCTGGAACACTTAAATAGAGTCGCGCAAATCGCAATGCTCAAGAATACTTCGATCCCTGAAATGCTCGCTTTACCTCTTCTAAAGACAGCTACATTTAATACTTGGAGCTTAGGCGATATACAAGCGTTGGGCAAGCGCATCTTTCCAATAAGCCAAGCAATTGAATTGGGGGTTATGCTGTTCCATTATCCATACTGACGATCAAAGTTAGTAGGTCATCTTCGGACACAATTCTCTGCCAATCCTCATACTCTCGAAATGATCTTTGATCAGTTTATAGAGCTCCTGGAACGGAAGAGAGATCTGGACCACTGTAGAGTTGGAATCTTAATAGTTTACAGAATTATTTCTCAGAAGCCTGAGTCTTTTAGAACGTTGTACCCGCATTTATACTCTCCCCATCTGTGATGCGTTGCAGATGACCCTCTGCTAACTCACTCTTTAATACACAAATAGAGCTTTCCCTATCTAGCCGATCCCATTCTTGAGAAACGAGTCGCTTGAGCCGTTGGCTATCGGTAATTTGCTCAAACAGTCGGTCTTTGTCTGAATCCAACTGTCCAAGGCGTTTTTCCATGACAGTAGCCACGTCACACGCTAAGAGCCTGCCTCCCGGGATAATCGCACAAAGACCAGCAAGATGATTTGTATGCTTCTGGGTGCGGGGCCAGGATGGCCCAGCGAGACTGTTGTGGCGGTGGATATGGGGTCGATGACTATCCACGGGTACAGCTGCGGTATGGCTATTTCGCGGGCCGGTTGGAGGCGCACTGGGAACAAATGTTAGCCCCCGGCGAGTGGAAACGCCCGTACGAAAATTTTCCTTGGTATTGGAACCTCCGCGAGGGCGAGTAGGGGCTGAAAGCAGGGATATGGTTGGCCCGCGACCATGAGACGACTTGGATTCAATAGATGCGCTCGATATATCTGATTTAGCTCGAGATAAGGACGGGACATTTAGTTGGGTGGAGAGAGCGTTGGGAGATGCATGATTTGAACGGCAATCCGATTCAATCGACGGCCCTGTGGGCTGGGTTGACTTTATACCAAGAGCTGTTGTACCATCTGGGAATGCACAAGGTTGTTCTTGAAGTGACGAATAGCCCAAAGACTTATCTTGACTATCCCTTTCATTTCCGACGTCCATTTGCACATGGGAAGGTGTCGAATGAATTGAAGATCTGGATGCGCGGCGTTGTGGAATATAACATTCTGCTGGCGAACGACCCCGGGATTCCTCGGCAGTTGCATTGGGTCTGTCAATCGTCGGCGATGGTCGTCTTGAGTTGGAAACAGTGCTCGGGGCAGAGATGTGAATGCTCGAAGCATCCCTAACAGAGGGTGATTGTCGGGTTTGAAATGTGGCATTCCCTGAACTCCGTTCTGGAGGTCCTTCGGGTGGAGTCCGCAGGTTGTGAGAGATTAGTGGGTGCGAGTTGCTGTTTCGTAAGAAGGCATGCCTCATGGGAGATGCTGATTTCTTGTAGTGATCGGGAGGGGGCTGAGGACCTCTCTCTCGTTTCAAGAGTCGAAGATCCTGTTTCGGTGGGGTAGGGTCTCGCCAACTCGGAGTGGACCGGCCACGAGAAACATCGCGAGGGCGTCTATCCCGGTAGGGGGAACGCGAACGCCACCCAAATTGGGGCGATCTGGGCCGTATCTCACGCCTCGGAGAAAGTTTCCTCTGAGCTGTGTGCGTGTAAGGATTATTCTCACCGTCTCTCTGGCGAAAAGTAGGGCTCCGAGAACGGCATCTATACGGCAATGGCGAACGATCCCTAAAACGACCGTACGGTCGATTGGAAGGCGGCACCCATGTATCGGCAACAAGGCGAGGGGAACGAGTTCGCGCTGGTGACGTGTGACGGCTATAGCCCCGAGATGCCGTTGGCCGATAGCTCTCCCTGCCCCGATGATCATCAAATCTGACATAAATTTCCATCAGTTGAAATTTTCAACAAGATAATGAGGATGTTGAGGGAAAGCTCAAGGAGCGCACCTTCTATTGCGTTCTCGGTCCATCCTGCTAAGTGTTCAATATTGCCCTCGAAGGAGCATTAACTGGTTGGTCTGCAGCTCTCTAATCAGCTCAAGCAGCGTTGGATGGATTCTGACATTGATTAGTTGATGTTAGAACTTTTGGGATGCAAGAATATTTCCTCGTAGTAGTTGTAGCACCACCGTGAGGTGACTAGTCAAGCTGATTGACCTAAAGGATAATGTGCAGTCACGTGATTACCGTCAAGACCCAAAGTATTACCTCCCCCATCACATGCGAAATAGTTGGATATCTCGATGATATCTATGTATTCTATTTTCTCTGGTATTGAGACGTAGACGGGAACTGAAAGACTTTTTCTATATATTGGTAATATTACTTACTGTACAGATAACAGGATAATTCAGTTGTATTAATGGCTCCTCAAGGAACCAACCTCGGAAATATAGGAAAGACAATAAAAGGGAGTATGGCTCTAAACATCAAAAATTCACAGTGTTACATTAAAGAGCACTTGCTGCCGCCTGCCGGCTGGGATGGATTCTGTGACTTCTCAATCTCCTCGATCATTAAATCAAAGGCTTTAGTCACGTTATAATCAAGACGGGCGCTAGCCTCAGTGAATGCACAGTGGAACTCTTCCCCTAATTGTCGGCCTTCGTCCAGCGAGACCTGACGCTGTTCAGGTTTGAGATCGCTCTTGTTCCCGACAACGACAAGGGGGACATGATCCGCCCCCTGTTCTTCCGTCAGCAAAAGATGCGGAAACGAAAAGTAATTGCATGGGCACTTACAAGGTGGTTCAGAATTTTGTCGCGTATGACTCTAACCATGTCGAAAGATTGGCGGGAGGCAACAGAGTAGACGATAACGTAGCCATGAATCCCGATAAAGTGCTTCGAGTTCAGAATGCTGTATTCATCCTATTAACGAAATTAATTGATTTGAATATATGATACATTGGGACCTGTATACTGACTTGACCCGCTGTATCGACTATCTCCGTTGCAAAATCCTGGCCATTGTGCTTAATGATGCGACTGAATGTGTTCTCAATTGTGGGATAATAGCTTTCCACGAAATGATGCTCGACGAAACGAACCGTAAGAGAGGATTTTCCTGCGCAACAAATTATTTAGACCACAGCAAAATGCACATGAATATGAACGTGCGGGACTAGACACTTGTGTGATATTCATACCTACAGACCGACTACCAACAATGGCAATCTTCCTCTGTTTTGGTGCAGCAGGCATGATTTGACACGTGCTTTATCGAATCTCCTCTACCAGCAATCCTGTATATGAGAGGGACTGGCCTTCAACGAGCTGAGAGGCTGAAGTCGATATCTAACAACCACGTCGCCAAGTTGGAATTGAACTTTGAACGCAGTGCCCAGTGAAAGCATGAATGGCTTTGGATGGCGAAAGGCTCGAATACATTAATCAAGAAGTTGGTTGAGTAGTCAGGCTGGTCTCTCAAAAATGGTTGATACAATGCATACCCATAGGTGGCAAATAATCCCAGACATTACCATTCCTCGCATACTCATTATTACGGAGTAGGTAACTACGGAACATGCCAAACACATCAAACGTGGAAAGAACGCATGATCTTATCAAACTGCCCATTCATATTATTCCTATAACATGTGGGGATTATTTGTTCTTTCATGTATATCTATATCCTATTCAGCTCCTTGATAATTCCATCCAGTTCTTTAAAAAAAAAAAAAAACTTCCATGTACTAAAAGTAGTAGAGAGCTTTATGCCCAACACAAACTTTCCATAAAGTTATTTAAAAGTTATATGATCATTCTGGATGCGTTAAAGCCACATTAAGATGTAGACTGCTTCACCTGACGTATTATGTACTCAAGTCTTGTCATAGGCCCCAGGTTTCCTCTTTCCTGTGTTTTTGACCAAGGCTCAATCTTCTGGTGGTACCGTAAGAACTCATCTGCTGTCGACGATATTATAGTGAGCCCATTGTTCTGCTGTGACTCCCTTACTTGGGTGACTGCCTCTGCAGATAAACAAAGGGTGAGCAGTAGGATAGACAAATAACCAATGGCAATGTCTTGGTTAATATTGCGAAGAGGATGTACCATCCCAAAAAAGATATCAAGGAGCAACTGAATATATGACAGCGAGCCAGAAGTGGGGCGTAGAAACATAGATCTCGCCAGTTCGCTTTTCTCCGTCAAATTGATAAGTACCCCCAAGGCTAAGACAGACGTGCTCAACGAATCATCCAGCCCCGAAAGTTCTTCCTCGGATGCATCCCTGATTTGAGAAACGGCGATTTCGACCAAACCCCCGACCATTTCGGGTGTGGAGTATTCATTGGAAAGGTAAAAATCTCGGTTGGTGAAATTTAATATTGTCCGGATATAGTGAGTGCGAAGCTGTCGGCCCTTTTCACACTGGTTGAAGCGAAGAAAGTGGTGGAGCTGGGGAAGTAGACGTAGAGAGGGATAATTCTGGCTGTGTCCGTCTGGTTTTGATAAGATCGCGTAAGATTCGAGTATAGACAAAGTTAAGACCAATGTTCTGAATTCCTCCGGAGGCAATGAAGCTGCTGCCATGGTTCCCTTTTTCTGTTGGAGTAGCAGCTCAACAAGCGCCTTCAGCAGGGGTGCGGGCATTGATTCAATGTTGCTGGCCCCATCGCGAAACTTTGTAAGGCAGGACTGAATACTGAAGAGAGCTATAGAACGAGGAGAGATTATCAGGTGCGGATCCTCTCCGCTGATAACAAAGGATAAACGTGGTTGTATGTTCTTCACTGTCTGCCGGATGGGCCTCGATACTCCGGCAGAGAGCGTGGCCGATAGCAGCGGCCTGTCACTGCCCACATGAAGTATCAATAGGCATGAAAGATTCAGAACATTCGACCAGTGTCGCGTCAACAATGTCTGGGATACCACATCATACACTCTACTTAATCTGCAGGCGCACAGTGCAAACGAGGCAGATAAGTAGTCCAGATCACCAGCCATGCATCTCAGAAGGCGTTCATGAAAATCATGTTCGCTAAAACAGCGCACAAGATGAGGATCCAAAAGCTTCTCGCACAACTGGATAAAGCTACTACATTTGCCCGAAGTCGAATTGCACGAGTCCTCAATATCCTCGAAAATCGAATCAATAACGCTCTGAAAGCGAGAATTCTCTCCTGCTTGTCTGAGCTCGTGAATACCGCGTACAGGACCATCCCCGCCAATATCATCACCGAGTTGTGGGGTGATGTTGGGGGAATTCTCGTGCGCTAGTTGTCGCAGGCCTCGGTTGGAGTAGCTCGCTGGCAGGTTGGGTGTGTCCTGGTGCTGGGAGCCGCCCAATATATGGGCATCGTTCAGAAATGATCGCTGCCGTGCGTATGTGATCCTAGAGTCCCCAAGGCCGCTTGGTATCGAAATTGACGACTTTGAAGCCGTGTCGCCTGCGAACCAGCCAGCACTTCTTCGAGACTGGATATTCGGCCGAGTACCTGCCGACAAGTTTTTCTTGGAAGCGTATTGAGGTAGCAAACAAGCTTCTGTATCACCATCAGTTTCCGAGTTCACCAAAGAACCCCTTCCTGAATGCTCCATCGCACTCAGTGCATCCACGAGCCTTCGTCGAGATGATACCTCCTTTCTATTCGGTGTATTGCCAATGTGCGAAGAGGATCCGGTGAGCGTGTCGGATTCGTGATGTTCACATGATTCTTCAATTGGTACTTCAGCCGACACGGCTGGATGTATATCACTTTGGTGCAGGTCAGGAGATGAAGGGGACACTGTATGTACTTCATTGAAGTTTTTATCAGACCCGCTTCGAATGACGGCGCAGGCGAGAGCCGAATTAGTATTTGAAGCTTTCGTCTTTTCGGTTTTGGGCTTTAGAGGTCCAACAGGTCCATTGGTGTCGAGGCCGTGGTCGTGGCTATTCTTCATCTGCTGGGTATCAAATTTCCTGCGTTTGTTGTTGATAACAGCATGTTCTTTTCTCTTGGGGTTCTGTGGGGAAGGCATCTCTTGACCAGCAAGAACAGATGCAACTGGTAAATCGTGGTCTTGAACTAATCTTTTTACTTCTCTCGTTGATCGAATATGGGCACTGTTTGTTGGATGGTTAAACCCCTTCTGGCGCCCACTATTATTTTTTCCGGAGGGGGGATACAACAGATCCTCGTCAGACCATTTCTGCGAATTCTCAAGCCTGATTGTAGGAAGTTTGCCTGGTGTTCTGGGCATCTTGTATCTATAGGTAGTGAGAGCGGACTAGTGAGTGTCCATAATCAATATCATCTGATCAAGTAAGGATTTGTTGAACTCTCTATCTCAGTAATCACAAAAGCCAACTTGTGTGGTAGGGTAGGTAAGCTGAGTTATAGGAAGGGTGGTTGCCATTCATCGCTTCTATGCTGATGTATGGAGTACTCCGTATGGTAATCTTATATATCATTAATCACTATTTGCAAGTACTGATATGTATCAGAACTAGTTAGTTAATATTATCCTATCTAGTTATACTATATAGTCTAGTTTACCCCAGTAACTTCATTAGTATACTGTGTAGTGGGCCGGTCAGGGATGGTAATCCTTCGGATTCTACCACTATCTAATCCAAGAATAGCAAGATATTAGGATGATAAGACAGTGAAATTCCAGAGATTTCTAATATTTTATATGGCCTCCTTCTGCCTAGATGACTGCCATACATTTAGTCTATATAGATTAAATAAGATCCATAAGAAATTTCCTAGAATGGCTTCCCATGCTTAGAGTTGCATTCAGCCTAGATTTGGGGGGGTTTATAGCTAGTTAGCACTAAACTAGAGGAGTAATCTAACTATGTCTATAAGTAACTTTATGGGACCTAACCTGCGCGGCTCATCTTACTCACCATAACTCTCCTACCTTGTGGGGAATCTTATTTTCTTTTCCATCTTCCAAATTTTCCGAAAAAAAAAAACATTTTTTCTGCAAAGAAAATATTATCTTTTTAGAGGAAATTTTTATATGAGTAAAATATCTCCCCTTAATTCTTCCTGCCCATATATTTTACTAGTAAATTTTGAAATTATGCCTAATATAAGAGATGCTATTTTTCATCCTCCATAAAAAATTTAATTCTATAAAAAAACAGTTACTTTTCCTATATTTACTTCCCTAAAATCTAAGTATTTTCCACCTGCTTACTAGCCTAGCTACTAATAGGAGCCTTACTAATACTAGCCACCTTACTAGTACTAACCACCGTACTAATACTAGCTACCTTACTGGTGGCCTAACTTAAAGCATACTCTATATTAGTTAGTAAGATTACTCTCTATTATATACGCTCCTTATCTTTATCTTCTCGGCTTTTATATAGGCTTATAGGGGGTAGGGAGTATCTATTGAGCTAAAGGCTTTAGATATTTATATAGATAAATATTATCTAATTTACTTACTTAGTTTTTATCTAATTCTGTAGCTTTATATACTATAGATTTATAATTAAAAGGATTTATTTAGAGGAAATAAAATTTATAATAGTATAGTAGAGATAGAGGGTAAGAATGCTAATTTTAGGAGCTTTATCTTTCTAGTAAAGAGTAATTAGATTAGTATTTAGTATATAGTTTCTTAGTATATTAAGAATCTTATTACTATAAATTAGAACTACTTAAGATTTTTTTTATATTAGAACTTCCTATCAAAGAATACTTCTTATTTATTCTAAAAGAATCTAAATTACTTTATAGCTTCCTTACTACTATACTTATAGATTATATTCTATAGATCTAGTATAAGAGAAGGAAGAAGCTATATATTTAATATCTTAGGATATAAATAGTAGCTAATCTAATAGATAAGTATAAGCTAGTAATTATATTACTTTATCTATATGCTCTCTAAGTCTTTACTATCTACTAGAGGTTAAAGATAAAAGAGGAGATTATCTTAGAATATAGAAATATAACTTTTATTAGAGAGATACCCTTAGATATCTAATTATTTTTATATTATCAATTTTATTAGTAAATAGTATAGATAAATATAATAATATACTTATAAGTATAAGATTATACTTCTAGGATTCTAAGTATCTAATAGCTTTATCTACTAGCTCAAGTAGTCTAATAAGATTAGAAAGATTACCCTAGAAGCCTAGCTTATAGAGAATTTAAAAGATCTTATTTATATTATCTCTTTCTCTCCTTTTTGATAGCTTTAAAGCTTCCTAATTTAGTATTACTAACTAAAGTACCCCATACTAAGATCCCTAATAAGTAGCTATAGCTATAATAAATAAAGATAATATAGAATCTAATTATTAATTCTATATTTAAAGGTAATTTCTTAAAATACCTTATAATAGAAGCTACTAATTTAAAGAGCCTACTAATAGAGGAAAGATTTAATAGATCTTTAATTATAAGCTAAAGCCTATTCTTACAGAGAATTATAAATATCTTCTTAAATACTAGCTTTATTTACAGAATCTTCTATACTCTTTTTAGTATAGAACATATATTAATAGAGAGAGAATTAATATATTTTTATATCTTTTAGCTATTATTTAGCTTAGTAAGAAGCTTTTTAATCTAAGCTTCAATCTATATAGAAATTATATAGGAAGTTAAGCTTTTATCTAATATATCTTCTGCTAGAAGAAGGTAGCTATATTTATATAAATCAATACTAAGACTTATAATTCTTTCTCTATAAATATTTATAGATTTATTATGTATAAGATTTAGATACTATATAGTTTAAAGCTAGTAGAATAGTGTTATCTAGATAAAATTATAGTAGGAATCCAGTATAGTAGTAGCTATAGTCTTAGATAAAGGAGAGGGGTATTTTAGATCTAATACTTAAAGAAATAAAGCTATTCCTAGTATTAAAATATATATAAGGGGTAGGTATTATAGAAGATAGCTATCTATAATTATTAATTTATCACTAAGATAGATACTTTTTAATATTTAAAGATACTTATCTACTAAATTCTATACTTCTTTATCTTTTTTTTATATTATACCTTATATAATCTAATATACTAGCTTATATAGGTAGTTATATAGATAGAGTTAAAAATTTTAATTAAAATTAGAGTAGTATTAATAGTAGATATATAAAATCTAGTAGATAAGCATTCTTATAAGTATTTTAAGTAATTCTTTATATAAATTTATATAGGAGCCTATATCTTTTTATCTGTATAATTTATAAATAATTATGAGTTTAGCTAAATTTTTTATCTATTAACTAGAAGATGAATTTCCTATAGTAGTAGTAGTAGTAGTAGTAGTAGTAGTAGTAGTAGGTAGTAAATTTTAATAAGTTAAAGATATACATTTTAATATTATTATATGAAATTTACTACTATTTCTTAGTATTTATACATAGCTTTCCTAGGTAATAAGGCATCTACTTGCTACTAATTCTAATTAGTCTATTCTTATAGGGTAAGAAAAACTATAGCCTCTGATTAGCTAAAAATGTCTTGGTATTACTACTAGATTGAGGGGGTTTAACTACTGGAAAAATATGGAATAGAAAAAAAAAACATTAGAAAATTCCAAAATTTCCAAACTGGATTTTCTTTGTAACTTTTTGAGGTCCCTACTACCTTGCCTGCGCGGCTTATCTTAGTCACTATACTTAATCTTTTTTATCTCTCCTACCTTACCTGTGCAGCTTATCTTACTTATTATAATTGATCTTTATTAAGAAAGATAGCTATATGCTAGGCAGTAAGCTACCTTTATATATACTTAATAATTAATTATTTAACTTATCTATAGTCCATAATTTAGGACTCTTATTAATCTCTAAAAAATATATCTATATATTATTTTAATTAATATTAACTAATTTAGGGATAAAATATATATTATAGATCTACTCATTATATTAGGAGTATATATATTTTATTGATCTAGTATAAGGTAAATTAGTAATAGCTAACTACTGCTAGCTAGAGTGCATCTATATACTAGCTAAGTAGTAGAAGATATATTATATATTATAATTTAATCCCTTAAAGTATAGGCTTATCTACCTATAGTCTAATTACTATAGTATACTAAAGCTAATTAGCCTACTTAATATAGTAGCTTACTTCTATGATGCTAAGGTCTAACCTAGGCTAATACTAAAATATCTATGGGTCTACTTAAATAAATAGCTCTCTAGCTTAGCCTATACTAAATACTTATAAAAGAAGGATGCCTATATAACCTCTATACCTAGTTTAATAATAAGCTTAATATAGGAAATAAGGCTACTTTACCTTTAATATATATATACTATAGTACTATAGCTATAACTATTATATAGCTACTCTGCCTAGTTTATCCAGGGGGGCATTAGCTTTAAGAGTAGTATCTAGAGAATTATTATAGTTATAGAATCTATTTAGTATTAGGCACTATATTAGATTATTAAGGTATTCTAAATAACATCTTAGGCTACCCTAAATACATATCTTAATATACTACTAGCTATGCTAAACCTTACCTATATATTATAATATTATTACTATAATAAATAATCTACTCTATCTACTCTACTTCTATCTAGCCCTCTAGTTATTAATATACTAACCTAGATACAGACTTCTTAACCTTACTACTATAGCACCTTAAATACTAACTCTATTACTACCTTAGTATTAGATTAGGCTAGATTAAGACTATTAAACCATTTATAGTTAGCCCCTAATAGGAGCTACCTAATACTACTATATTAGATACTTAGAAGTAGATAATCTATAAGTATTATAAAGTATTAGTAGGTGCATACAGATTAAATATAATAATAGTCTATATAAATAGAAGTAGTACAGATAAGGGGGTTAGTATAATAGTAATATTCTTATAACTAAACCTACTACCTTAGCTCCCTAGATATATAAATAGTCTATACTATAGAACTTAGTAGCTTAAAGATAATACTAAATATTATTACTACTTAACTACTATTAGGGTGGTATAAGGATCTATGATCCATAAGAATTGGAAACTAGTGTGAAAGAA